GTACATACGAGGGAGGAAGGGGCGCAATGTATCGATTACCATGCAATTGGAGACCTTAGACACCCGAGAGACACATTCCGTAAAAGCGCTAGTGGACAGCGGAGCCACCGGCAGTTCCATAGACCGTGCCTGGGCTCAGGATCACGCCCTCAACCTCAAAAAGGCGGCCCGACCCGTCCCGGTTTATAATGCCGACGGCACCCGAAATAAGGGCGGTGACATCACCGAGTATGCCGAAGTACGGCTCCGCATCGGGGACCACGTGGAACGGATCGAACTAGCCGTGGTGGACTTAGGGTCCACTCCCCTCTTCCTCGGGCACGATTGGCTACAAAGACACAACCCGCTAATCGATTGGGATACCGGAGCGGTTACTCTGGCCTGTTGTACCTGTCGGAAAATCCCATTTTCCCTACCTGATACGGATCCATCGTCCAAATGGGATGAGTATGAGGAAGGAGACACCATTCTGGTGGTCGATTTTGAAGAAGCATTCCACGTACGAGCAATGGGTACTAAGGCCAACGAACTGGCTGCCCAGGCTAATGCCCACAAGGAGACTAAGTCCTTTGAAGAAATAGTACCGGTCGAGTATCGAGACTTCGAGGACGTTTTCGCCAAAGAGAATTTTGACGAGCTACCGCCGCGAAAGCCATGGGACCACGCCATTGAGCTAATCCCAAATGCTAACGCCAACTTAGACTGTAAGGTCTACCCCCTTAATCCCATGGAACAGAAGGAATTGGATAAGTTTTTAGACGAAAACTTATCGACGGGATGCATTCAAGCCTCCAAGTCCCCGATGGCTTCCCCCTTCTTCTTTGTAAAGAAGAAGGACGGCAAGCTCCGTCCGGTGCAGGACTACCGCAAACTCAACGAGATGACCATCAAGAATCGATACCCGCTCCCGCTCATCAGAGAACTTATGGATCGACTAAAGAAGGCCAAGTACTTCACCAAGCTGGACGTCCGATGGGGGTATAATAACATTCGGATAAAACAAGGGGACGAATGGAAGGCCGCTTTTCGAACCAATCGTGGCCTCTATGAGCCACTGGTAATGTTCTTTGGGCTCACCAATTCGCCAGCCACTTTCCAGTGGATGATGAACGATATCTTCAAAGATCTCATCACCGCTGGAGAGGTGTCGGTCTACCTTGATGATATCCTTATCGCCTCCAAGACCAAAAAGGATCATAGACGCATAGTACGGGAAGTACTCCGGATCCTCCACAAAAACAAGCTATTCCTTAAAGCGGAAAAATGCGAGTTTGAGGTGGAAGAAACGGAGTACTTGGGTGTGCTCATCAGCGAGGGAAGAATTCGCATGGACCCAGTAAAAATCGCCGGCCTCTTGGACTGGCCCGTTCCGACGAAGAAGCAAGAACTACAATCGTTTTTAGGCTTCTGCAATTTTTACAGGCGATTCATCCACGATTACAGCAAACACGTCAAACCCCTCACGACCCTCACAGGGAAGGTGGAATGGAAATGGGGAGAGGCCCAACAGAAGGCATTCGAAAGGATTAAGGAGCTGTTCCGCGAGGATGTAGTCCTAGCCATCCCGCTAGACGAAGGAAGGTTCCGAGTAGAGGCAGACTCAAGTGAAGGGGCCATAGGGGCGGTGCTATCCCAATGGCAGGAGGAAAAGTGGCAACCGGTGGCCTTCCTTTCTAAAGCGCTATCGGTCACCGAGCGCAATTATGAAATCTATGATAAGGAGCTCCTGGCCATTATGATTGCGCTGGGAGAATGGCGACAGTACCTCATGGGCGCTCGAGAGGACTTTGAGATTTGGACAGATCACTCCAATCTCCAATACTTTCGAAAGCCCCAGAAGCTCAACCGACGACAAGCTCGGTGGGTGACTGAACTGGCCGAGTACCGATTCACCCTACATCACAAGCCTGGGGCCCAAAATCGTAAGGCCGACTTACTGTCCCGACGTGCTGACCACGATCAGGGGAAGGGCGACAATCAAGACATAACTGTCTTGAAACCAACCCACTTCCGGGCCCTAATCATGCCCACCATGGAGGAGCTGCATGAAAAAATCCGACTAGCCACTCACAACCCACGCAAGTGGGATCGAGGTATCTCCGACTCCCTTAATCACGAGAAGGGAATTTCCCGTGACCAAGGACTGCTGTGGTACGACGGACGCATATATATACCCAAGGATAGGCGACTACGAGGGGAGGTCATAGCCCTGCACCACGATCACGCAACGGCGGGACATCCAGGGATAGAAAAGACAAAGGAGCTCATTTTACGGGACTATTGGTGGCCCCGGATGCGTTCAGAGGTAGAGGCCTATGTGAAAGGATGCGAAGTCTGCCAAAGGACCAAGGCAGATCGATGTCCCAAAAAGGCGCCCCTTCACCCCAATGAGATCCCCGACCGACCATGGACACACATTTCGGTCGACATGATTACCAAACTCCTGGACTCAAGGGGAAATGACTCCATTCTTGTTTTGGTCGACAGATTTTCCAAAACCATTATACCTATTGCCTGCACCGAGGAACTATCATCCCTAGGATTTGCTAAGATCCTACGAGACTACGTTTACGTGCCCTACGGCGTAATGCCTGAAAAGATCATCTCAGACCAAGGACCTGCCTTCGTGTCGAAATTCATGAAAGAATTCTACGCTCTCATCCAGGTGACAGGGAATCCCTCAACTGCTTATCACCCCCAGACGGACGGGCAGATGAAGAGGGTTAACCAGGAAATCGAAAAGTACCTCAAAATGTTCGTCAGCTATCGACAAGACGATTGGAGTGAATGGTTACCGCTCGCCGCGTTCACCCACAATAACCGCAAACATTCTGCCACGGGCTTCTCACCATACAAGGTAGTCTTCGGGCGTGATGGGCAAGTCATTAAAACTGCCCAACGCCAAAGTACTGTCCCAGCTGCATCCAAACTGGTCCAAGGAATCCAGGAGGTACAGGAAAAAGCAAAGGAGTCACTAGAAAGGGCGGCTGCGTCGATGAAGAAGGCTTATGACAAGCATAAAGAAAAGGCGTTGGAGTACCGAGTCGGCGACAGGGTCTGGTTGGACTCCACCAACCTGAACCTCCCTCGCCCAATGAAGAAATTAGGGGATAGGCGAGTAGGACCATTCGCCATCATCGCAAAGAAGGGGGCCTCAGCCTATGAGTTGAAACTCCCAGCAAAATGGCGGATCCATAATCGCTTCAACGAGTCCTTGCTGACTCCATACCATCCTCCCGAATTCCCTAACCAACCACGTCCTGAACGACCGCCCCCAGAGCTCATTGATGACGAGGAGGAGTACGAAATCGAGGAGATCGTAGGAGAGAGGGACCGTATCGTCGGCCGCGGACAAACCCGCCACACCATCACCGAATACCTAGTAAAGTGGAAGGGATACCTGGCAGAGGAAAACTCTTGGGTCAAACGCTCAGATATGGCCAATGCCGAGGAGCTCGTCAACGACTACGAAACACATATCCAAAAGGTGTGGTGGACGGTTAACGAGCGAGGAAAGACGGTTGGGATAGACGACCATATACCTCGCAACCTCCCTGTCTCTTATCACGACCCGGAAACCCCGTGTGTAACTGACATTATAACCGTTCCATCCTCCCAGTGTACGGCTTCTCGCCACTCTGAAGAACTCAATGTTATAGGGGAAGTAGATGGGTCGGACGCAGGACGAAGCGTAGGACTAATATCTGTCACCCCGTCCAACAGGAGGTTGATGGTCGATATTTCCGAGGCGATGAATCATGCGCTCTTAGAAAAGAACAAAAAATATATGCACGATCACCCTAGCGAGGCAGGCCCCATCGTGTTGTATCCCCGATCCCTGGCTAAACCCGAGCCCGATGATCCCCGGGTACGAGACTTCTACCTAAAGAGACGAAAACTCGAAATCGAAGCCTCACGACGGGAAGATCGACCATATAAAGATCCTCCCGACCTACTGGACCCTCCGTCTGACGATGAAGCGGATGTAAACCTCCTCCAAAGGGTAGCGGAAAACTGGAACGATGATGAACACACCTCCGAAGTCGGGTCGTACGAGACAGATGGGGAGGAGTCGAACGTCTCATTTGGGACAGATGAATCGTGAAACGAAAACCTATTTATGGTGTAGAAGGGGATTTCCACCGCTCAATTTTGGGCAATGAACCCTTAGGGACAGGGAGTCCCGACAGACAGCAAGAGGCCTAACCGGTGCAAGGTGGTCCTGGATATCCACGGGTACCAGGATCCAGGTGAGGCTAGGGGTGAGGCCGACGGCAGTACTCAAGGCCCAGCGGACCCAATGCCGAACTGTTTTAAAGCAGAAGGGAGACCCTCTTGCTCGCCTTGTGGAAGGAAGGAGATAAATTCTCATTCGGGATGAATGAGTCTTAAGGAGGGGGTAATGTTACGGTTTATTCATTTCTTTTCATTTCTTTCCTCTTTTCCTTCATCTTACTCAGCGTGATTACTAGTTTGCGATCATGACAGACACATTCTCACAGTACTATTTTTAGTTTACCAATTTGTATTTAAGTAGAGCCTCAGCTGGGCTAAACCCCAGCTTCAGCTAAGGTTTAATCTACCTAACATCAAACTCCATTCTTCGTGACTATCTGTCCCATCAACTTTCATCGCCTTTGACTTGCTAGAGTATCGTCTACCGAAGTGCGAGTAGCGATCCTAGTGCGATCTAAGTCGATAGAGTTAGTGGCTAACACAGGGATGGATTCCCAGATATAGACGTTGGCACATCCAAGCTGATCGCAGAGAGGAAGATCAAGCTGAAGCAGGGGCATGAAATCAGTAAGGCCGCCAGGACCGTCCGACCGTCGAATGTTACTGACAGATGGGCAGGTCATTTTACGGAGACCTCTGTCGTCTTTGATGATGGTACAGAGATTGAGGCGGATATCGTCGTTCTAGCGACAGGATACAAGGTAAGGGATCCCCTCCTCTCACCTCGCCTGACTGCATCTTGAGTACGGGCACAAAATTAGAACATGAAGACTACAGCGGTGAAGATTCTCGGACCAGAGGCAGAGCGGATGAAAGACGTGTGGGGTTTGGATTCTGAGGGAGAGTTGAGTGGGATTTACAGGAATAGTGGACATCGTAAGTCGTGTTGGAATGAGATGAACTTTACTGACCTCAGGATGTAGCCGGGATCTACGCTATGGGAGGTAACCTTGCGCTTGTGAGGTTTTGGAGTAAGAGGTTGGCGTTGAGGATTAAAGCGCAGGTAGAAGGTCTTGCACCCATGTAAAGTTAGAGATGTGACATATTTTGGACTTTGATTTATACCAGATGGGTATATGTATTCGATATTTCGAGCCGAAAACATTTGTTGCAAGACTTTGTACGAGCAAGTTCAAGGTACGGTCTTTGACCGGCACACGAAAGTGTGATATTTCTGGACTTGAAACTCAGATGTACCAGTTTAGACTCAGAAGTTCCTACCAAATTCTGTCCTGATTTTAGCATTGGGCCACTTGTGGCCACCTAAGGAACAGCGTCAGCGCTGCAGGCATTAAAAGTTGAGACAAAAGCCATAAGAACTTCCCTTCAATCCTCACTCGATTCTTATGTAGAAGCGCGGCACCGAAGTTGGCAATTGGCAAAATATCGGTACGATTTGCAAAGCAGTAACCCTGCTTCGGGCCGAAGAGTTTTAGCACAAAAATTTCTGGGCAAAATATATATAAGCGCCTGCCATCAGTCTTCCTTGCGACGTCCATCTCTGCCCTGCCTGTCAGCAATGCTCTCGCCACAACTTCTATGTGCAATGGTCGTACTCAGCTGCAGCCTCATATGCCGGTCCTGGGTACAGCGATCGCACCGTCGTTATCTCAGAACCACCCACATCAGCAGTGCTGCACAGGCAGGGTCCTTCCTTCGTTTGATTTCCGGATGCTTGTCTTTCATCGGTGCCCCAGGAGTCCAGGCTCTGGTCGTCGGGATGGACGAAGGACATGTGCAGGATTGGTGCTGGGAATGGTTGCCTAGGATGTTAGAAAGGTTGCCTGGTGTGAAGGCGCTGACGTTCTTGAGGATCAATTATGCGATTCATACGGCTTTGCAATGGTATCCAACGCATTCAGGGCGCGACGAGGGGTTTTTCGCTGCGCCTGTCAGCCTCGCTCCCGCGAGCCTCAGGATGACCACACTGAAACTTGTAGGATGTCATTTTTTCTCTTTACGACAGTTGTTCTTGGTGCTCAGTCAGTTCATGTTGGTGGAAGATCTAACATTGGAGCGACTTCAGTTCAGAAACCCGGAACCACATCCTTTCATTTCCACCTTTAGGGCGTATAGACACATCCAGCACCTCGTTTACCTGAGAAAATTACGCATTGATACCCTTGATTTGAATCCCTCGCGAGATAAGGTCTCCTCGTACATCGCATTTACGATGCCTTCGGTCGAAGTGCTGTCGCTGAGGATGCCTAAAACAAAGAATGAGTGGTTAATGATGCAATAATTCCTGCATGGGTTACGGGGCTCGTTAGTGGAGTTGGAGTGGATCGAGTGTGGTGACATGGAAGAAGATTGGGATGACATTGAGCTGCGACTCAATCTCTTTCGTGTTCACACGATTCGCTTCAGTAGAATAAGGGAGCAGAAGTTCGATAGATATGGCATACCGTCCAATTCTATGATTTCGCTGGTCCTCGACCAAATTTTCGGAGGTGAGCTGAGGAGCATCATCTTTGACGTCCAGGATTCGGACTTGGACGTTGTTGTTACGATGAACGAGTTTCTCTGTCGCGCCATTGATAAAGGGTTGGAGAGACCGGCATTCTCCGACCTCAGCTAAGTGGCCATGCAAGTGAAGGAGCAGTTAATCAGAGATCTACCCATGCAGGGGTACGAAACATGGATACAGAGCATGTTCCCGCTCTCGTATGGGAGGGGGATAGACTTGAAAGTGGAATGAACGTAAGGTCATGATCTTACATTCATCCTCAGTACTCGCATCTAACTTCTAAACATAGGAAGTTGTGGATTTGTTTCTTGGACAGTACTTACGAGTAATAAATGCCGACATCGGGCAATTTACCTCACATATACTTTTGATTTTCAGTACTGGGTAATCTCAAACTCAAGATGCATGTCGCCAGCAAGCAAAGAACAAAGTGTGATGTCGAGCATCATGGTAGGACTCGGAGGAAGTATCATTTGATTGGTAGGTCTTCAAGTTCTACTTACCTGTGATAGACTCGACTACGTGATTCATGGACCGTGTCATCGTCTGTACCAAGCATTTTTGACCCGAATCATGTCAATGCTGCCAGTGCAAGTTTCACCGCGATGACAACTACAAGATTCAACAAGATTCAGGATGACCTGCTGGTGTGAACCTCTGATTTGTCCCCTTTACCGCTCTATCGGAAACGAATATGAAGCACTGACTTTTCTGTAGACTTGACGATTCAGCTGACGTTCACTTGGTGGAATCTCTCAGGTCACTATGCTATTGCCGACTGCCTTCAGTTCAGGATGAAAAGAGATGAAACGAGGCCTTTGACTGTGACTATACGATGTTGACTTTAAGGGTAAGTTCCAAGGTATAGCATAGCGTGTATTTAGTGACTCAACACTGTTATTAAAGTTACTATCACTCTTTCGAAATACAGATTTACAACCGCTTGTATGGGATTATGAGGGAGAGTTGAATGAGATAGACAGGCATAGTGGACATCGTAAGCTATGGAAGCTGTATTGGAGCATAAAAAACGTTGACCTTGTTCATGTAAAGTTCTGGAATAAGAGGTTAGCATTGAGAATTAAATACGGTGCAGGCAGAAAGCCATAAAGAAGTTCGACCACGAACCGGTATTCCCGGTGGCGTTGTTACCGGCCTTCAAACTCCTTCCGTTCTTCAACTCCCAACGACGACACGAATCCCCCATGCTCTCTCAACATCTCTATGAAACCATCATCGACTTCTGCGCCGAGTTCGAGGACCGATCCACTCTCCTCAGCTGTAGCCTCGTATGTCGTTCTTGGGTCCGTCGATCACGTCACCATTATTTCAGGACCACCTATATCAACAGCGCCGAAAGGGCAAATTCCTTCCTTCAGCTAATATTTGGACCCATAACTTCCATTAACTCGCCGGAAATCCGTGGTTTGATCCTTGGAATGAACCGGGGGTGTGTACAGGATTGGTTTTGTGAATGGTTGCCTGAGCTGTTGAGAGTTTTGCCCGGAGTGACGGCGCTGTCCTTCTCGTTGGCCAACCACGAGATCCATACGGCTTTGGAAGTCCATCCTATGCCTTCAGGACGTGACGAGGGGGTTTTCATGGCACCTTTCAACCTCCTTCCGGATAGCCTCAGAATGACCACGTTGAAACTCGCAAAATGCCATTTCTTCTCTTTACGACAACTCTTTTTCGTGCTCAGTCAGTTCAGACTGTTGGAGGACCTGACGCTGGAGCAGCTCAGATTCAAAAATACGGAACCGGATACCTTTATTCCCGACTTTGGAGTGTATAGATACATCCAACACCTCGTTTATCTGAAAAGACTACGCATTGACACCCTTGCTTTGAAGTCCTCGCGGGGTGAGGTGTCCTCTTATTTTGCTTTTGCGATGCCTTCAGTCGAGGCGCTGTCTTTGAGGATGCCTGGGACGAAACATGAATGGTTAATCATGCAGCAGCTCCTGCATGGGTTGCGGGGCTCGCTAGTGGAAGTAGAGTGGCGGGAATGTGGTGACATGGAAGGAGATTGGAGTAGCCTTGATTCCTTGCAATTGAACCTCCTCCACGTTCGCGCAATATATTTCAGCGGGATATGGCGGCAGTCGCTCGATAAATTTGGACGACCGCCCAAGTCCAGCGTCCCGCTGGTCCTCTATCGTATATGTGGGGCCCGTGAGTTGAAGGATATCCTTCTTGACGTTGTGGATCCGGACTTCGTTGCCGCGATGAATGACGCTCTATGCAGTGCCATCGACAAGGGGCTGGCGAGATCTACATTTTCCAATCTTGACCAATTGGTGATACGGACAGATGGGTGGTCAATGGGGATAACGAACCTCACGGTGATTGTTCCGCAGCTATGGGCATCATGGATAGCGGCGAGGTTTCCGCTTGCGGGGAGTAGGGGTATAACATTGAGGGTGGAATAAGCGCGTCGCTAGTCAGGTTCGGATTCAATCGTTCGTACTCGATTGTTGGCGTACTCACTTCTAGTACAGGATTCCGTTTGTTTATTGAAAAGGTAGACCTACTGATAATCGATATCCATGTCGGGCAGTTACCAACTTGAACCTTGAGGTGAAAATCGAAATGCGATTGTGTGGGTGCTAACCAACTACAGAAGAAACAAGACCCTCAAAGCCGACTGCCATGCGTGCAACTTGAATGTTGTACATTCGACTGGTCTCTCCCCGTTAGGCGATGACCTTTCTGAGTTTACAGTAGGCTAAAGCTTGTAGTGCTTGGGTTGGAAAGCACCTCTCCTGCTTACGCTTTGACGCGCTGCTTTAAGGTCCTGGCCGAGCGACGGCTGTCTCTATGACTCGGGGGGGATTTGAGGGGAGTTATGGAAGGCCTTCACACTCCGCTTGAAATACCAGGGAAATCCTAGGAAATCTCGTCGCTCCTTTCAAAGTTACGCCCCTGTACGTGCTTCGTACATCTTGAACTAGCACGTATATCATCTACTTCAATCGAACGCAGAACCGATGGAGACTGAAGAGCGTCGAGGACCGTCGACTCCGAGGACTTGTGGTCCGGCTTTACGTTACCCGGACCCGGCGGCCGATATTCTCCGAACATTCTTTTCCTTCCCCATGCATAACAATCAATTGTACGGACCTAATGAAAGGGTCACCATACCCTGAGTCGACTCCATTCCCGGGGAAGAGATATATCAGTTCAAGTGCCGGAAAGGTATAGTACTCTCCTCCCGAAACTAGTTTTTCCCCAAACTTACCTTGGTGTTTCCTGTAAATTAAGCATTCATAACGCCAAAAAACGTTCAACTCCGTTGTCATCTGGGATGGATCTCCAGACGAAGCAGGATCCGCATGAGAATCGTGTTCGGCTCGTAGACGGCGGCAGTCACCAGACTTGCTGGAAGTAAAACTGAATAGTAGGATAATGGATTGGGGATCCACACGATTTGCCGTGAGTATCTAACTGTATCCGGCGACTGAGGATTTCCAAGCTCAGATCTTCTAGCGGCGCTAGGTGTGCCGTTATACCTTTCCCCCAATGTCGAACTTCTTTTGATCCTCTTCGTGTTGAAATGGACACCGAACCCACATCTGTAAGTATATGTGTTTCCCAAAGCCAACCCGCTAACCACTCTTTCAGATAGCAGAACGGTGGTTCCAGTCGATTTCGGAAGCTATACATTCGCAGGATGCAAACGCTGTCTCTTCTTGCCTCTTCTCAGATGGATACTGGCGCGACCTTCTTACTCTGTCGTGGGATATTCGCACCTTGCATACTGCTTCGACTATCAAGACGTTCTTGGAAACAGACAGTCGCCTACAGAGCTCCGGGCTGCGTGAGTTGAAACTTGAGGGTGACCCGGTCCTTGTAGAGGCCAAGCCTGGTAAGCCCTCTTCTACACGCGTTGCGAAGTTTGTACCATATCGATACGACTAGGATTTACTTGGATACAATGTTTATTCACGTTTGAAACCGACGTCGCCCGAGGACGAGGATTCTTCCGGTTGATGCAGGACAGTCATGACAGTCTTTGGAAAGCAAAGTAAGCAGTCATTTTAGCTGTTGTTGATATTGTCCTTCGACTATCTTTCAGAACGCTTTACACCGGAATCGAAGAACTGAAGGAACATGAAGAGAGGCAGGGGAAGGTGTGTACCTTCGGTGATCTTGTTTGCAAGGCAAAGTCTAAAGACTTTTGATCCAGACGCGACCTTCCGGTGTCAATTATACCAACCACACGGACCGTATTGACGACGAAGAGCCAGTAGTACTGATAGTCGGAGTGGGACAATCCGGCCTATCCCTTAGCGCACGACTTCAACAACTCAACATCAACACAGTCCTCATCGAGTAAGTCTTCTTTCTTACTTCTCCAAATCTATCATCCTGACAACGTGACAGCAAGAATGATAGAGTTGGTGATAATTGGCGAAAGCGGTACAAGTCTCTTGTTTTGCACGGTGGGCCCTATCTCCCCGTTACTCTCAAAGGAACGGTCTGATATGCTGCCATTGCAGATCCCGTTTGGTTCGACCACCTTCCTTATGTCCCTTTCCCCGACCACTGGCCCATATTGTGAGCCCGGTCATTCTATGTCGTGACCGTAGTTGACTAACCTACATCTAGCTCACCCAAAGACAAGCTTGCGGATTGGTTTGAAGCATATGTATGTTGTCGATGTACTTCAACCATCAGAAAGTTTATGAGCGGTCTATATCTAGGCTATCATCATGAATTTGAACATCTGGACACGAAGTTCGATCAAGTCGGCTGCATACAACGAGGTTTCTCACACATGGACGGTGACGATATCCCGCACGGGACGTCCCGACCAGGTCATCAAACCGAAATTCATCGTCCTTGCAACGGGAGTCAGCGGAGAGCCAAATATCCCCACGTTCAAAGACCAAAGTGTGTTCAAAGGTCCTGTTTATCATTCTAGCCAGTTCAAGTCTGGAGAAGGATTTAAAGATAAGAAGGTGAGGAACTGATGGTGTTGTCTTCGGTCCTTGGTCTTCGGGGTATTGATATTCTTATCGACAAGGCTATTGTCGTCGGTTGTTGCAATAGCGGCCATGAGTGTGTCAAGCTCGTTGCTCTTGAATTGACATGGATCTGATCATCTTCTAAGTATTGCTCAGAACTTGTACGAACATGGCGCAGACGTCACGATCGTACAGAGGTCCAGTACCTACGTTATGTGGGTTCTCTAAGTACTCGCTTTAGATTTACATGTCATAACATCTAACTAGATCCTCTACTGGTGTCGGATGCTTACTTAGCCCATTGTATGGGGAAGACACGCCACCGACAGAAGATGCCGATATCATTAACTTCTCGCTTCCTGTTCTCATGTACAACTTGCACAAGCATACAACTGAGCAAATCGCTGAACTAGATCGCGATTTGTTGGAAGGATTGCGGAAAGCTGGGTTCAAGCTTAACACTGGTGAGCCTCCTCGATGTTCGCCAAGTTACCTTTTCATTGATTTGACGGTTAGGTATAAACGAGGCGGGATTGATGATGACGTACTTGTGCAAGGGAGGGGGGTACTGTAAGGGAGCGTTTACCTTTCTGCTATGTTATTCACTGATCTTCGTTAGACATCGACGTTGGCGCATCGAAACTCATCGCTGAGAAGAAAATCAAGATCAAACAGGGTCACGAAATTAGTAGGCTATGCCGTCCTAACTCAAGAGCAAACTCTAACAAGAATCAGGCCATTTTACTGAAAACACTCTTGTCTTCGACGATGGAACGCAAGTCGAGGCGGATATCGTGATTTTAGCCACGGGATACCAAAATATGAAGACCACGGCCATCAAGATCCTTGGATCAGAAGCAGAACACATCAGCGAAGTGTGGGGCCTTGATTCCGAGGGAGAACTCAAGGGTATTGCGAGACCTACCGGGCATTGTACGTATCCCATGATCACTTTATTGCTTGCAAAAACTGATACAGTGGTTTTTAAAGCTGGCATATATACCTTCGGAGGAAACCTTGCTCAGGCTAGGTTCATGAGTAAGCGGCTCGCATTGAGAATCAAAGCGCAGGTGGAAGGCCTTGCCCCGTTTTGATAACGAAGTATATATCCTTGGTCTAAATTCTACTTCGAATCATCTTTGATATAGAGGATGGGAAAGAGCTCAAGGTTCCGTGCAAGAATATCGACTTGTATTAAACCGGAGACCAGCAGTGTTTTGAAGGAATTGGTGATACAGATTAACGGTGAGATCGGGACCCCAGCAGATAGCACTGTAAATGTACTGGAGATGAATGAGTTTTTGAGCTTTCAGTTGGAAGAGGTATAACTTTGAGGATGGAATCATCTCATCGTTGAAGAGGGTAATGGTTCATCCTTCATGTCGTATGGCCATGCGTCTGACACTTGGTCATAGGGACTTGTCTCTTTTTTCTTGGAAAGGTGCTGGTACGGAAGGATAAATATCGCGGTGGAGTTGTTGCCGGTTCGCGTGACTTTTGCGCCCACGGCCCCACAGTTGGTGTGGGGTAATTTGAAACTCCAAGGTTCAAGTCGATTGACAAGAAGGTCTTCAAGGATGTTCATCATCTTCCAAATCGTCTGTCGGGCACCGACGCCGCGATCTTTCATTATCACAAAGTTGATGGTTTGTTTTTCACCAAGCCAAATTCGAGAACCTGGGTTTCCAAATAGGAAGGAAGTTTGTTTTATTAGTCGTTGGTGCTCCTTAAAAGAAACGTAACGACGTTCGTACTACAGCTAAAATCCGTTCAATTTGATGTATTACCAATCCAGAACAGTGTGGTCAGCCTCCATGGCCAATCTCACTGTCTCAGCAAAGTCTGGTAGCGCCTGGGGTCGAAATGAGCTGCTGTACTTCAAAATCCAGATCGACGGCGTCGATGTTCCCGGTTTCTTCAGTGTCGCTCAACTGCCCGGGCCCAATGTTCCTACCGTTATTCTGAGCCACGTAGATCGACCTAGCGCACCGCTCTTTCACGACACTCGCTTGTTCTTTGCCTATCTCGATGATGCCATGACCGGTGAAGAGTTCATGGTTGACGACTTCCCGCCTTTCTCTTGCGTCTACTAGCTTTTGACGAGCCTGACGGGGTTATCCACTGCCGCAAAGAACTCTCATTTGAGATGTGCGGCTCTAAGACGTCTGCGTAATGTCAGAGCAAGGGCAAGCCTACCTGTTCCTCGTTAGGCGCACCGTTAATATAGTTAACCCTGAGCCTCAACTGATCGCTGAGGCGATTGCTGCATTTCACCAAAACAATCTTAGCCGTATCGCCGCCCGCCCTGCTCCTTTACAACAAGAGATTAACCCTGGCATTACCATGCGTGGTAGCACGCCCATGTTCTTCAAAATCCCCATCATGCAATGTCTTATCGATAACATAGTCTCGGGCGTTCATCCTCAGCAGCCCACTATTGTCCAAAGATGCGTTCAAGGCGTTCTTGGTGGGGGTTTCTATTCCTCTTCGACGCATAGTGCTCATGCTCGTTGCCAGTAAGATTAATAGTTATGAGCGTCCCATATGTACACTAGGCCATTATTTCGTTTCCTGGTTTTTGTACTATCACCATGCCTTATGTAAAGCGTAACTCAATTCACAAATCCTATTCGCCATAATATGAAGGAGGAAACTGTTTGAAGATATTCCAGCATACTGCGAGGTTTGGGGAAGGTTCGAGGGGTTGAAGAGGGTAACGATCAATCCTTCACGTTGAATGGTCATACATCTGGCCTCCCACAGTCAGTGTGGGGTTGTATGGAGTAATTTGAAGCTCGAAGGTTCAAGCCGATCGACAAGAACGTCCTTAGGAATTCGTACTATGGTACAAGACTTCTAAAGCAATATCGTTCGACTTGTTATATTCAAACTTCCGGGTCATAGGCAAGTCATAGGGCGGATACTTACGACTAATGGGCCGAAGTACCAGATGTGCACGGCGTTGAAGAGGTCTGTCACCGTTCCATACGATTTTTTCAGGTCTTGGCACTTGCACAGCTGATGGTAGCATGAACAGTATCCCTCCATCCAAATTCAGGAGTCGTTGAGTAAGGGCACCGTAGGGCGCAGGCTTGAGCATACGGTCCGACATGTCCTATGTGTCGAGGATTCAGCCTACCCTACCAGTATTCTCATTATTTCTCGTTCGATGTTCCTACTTACTATATTTAGACTATACCTCCTTTCTCCCGATCCTTATAACTACGGCGTTTGCCCCTCTACGCACCTCAGCTGTTCACTACATCTTCGTGTGACTGACTGAGGTGCGTATATCATTCATATTATCATTCGCTACCTATTTCTTATGCTACACTCATCTAGCTGTTGTTATCTTAACAGGTAGCGTACTTAATACAGCTGTTCACTACATCTTCGTGTGACTGACTGAGCTGTTGTTATCTTAACAGGTTCTGGGCCCCGTGCTCATCCCTCCTAGTCAACAACACACACGTACTACCAAACAGACTCAATAATCCGCACAGACTGTGCATACTGAACTCCATACACCCCCTATCATGACGACCTCCTCTCACCATATTCTCCCCATCAAACTCGACGACGACGAGAAATTCAATGGCGAGAACTGGGCAACCTTCGAAATGGTCATGATGACCGAAGGAAACACTCGAGGCTTCGTCAATTACTGGGAGAACAAGGTTGCAATCCCTGGCGCCACACTCGCACCATTACCAGCAACCCCCATCAATAGTCTTACCCCGAACTCACTGGAATACGCCCAACGCGAGAGCGTTGCACTTGCCTCAATCATTCACAATGTGAAGGACGTATTTGGCGTCGGAATCGACCCTCACAAACCATCCCACATGGCCTGGGAAGTACTCAAGACTGATTATGGCGCATACTCGGACCTAATCCGCAACCGTAGGGAAAAGACGTTGAAAGCCGTGAAATACCAAGACGGGGAAAAGGTCAGCGGCGATGGAGGGTATATTGAAAGGATGCGAAAGCTCCGAAAGGAGGCCAACGACGCTGGAGCAGGCATTGACGACAAAAGTTTCAAGACGACTCTGCTAGACTCATTCCCCGAGACTTGGGACCCCGTCGTCAGCACGCTCTATGCCGAGAACAACCTCATGGTCGTTATCGCACGTCTTATTGCCCACGGCGAACGAGTAGTCGGACGGAACTCCGTTAGCAGCCCCTCATCTACACAGGAGTCCACCATACAGGCACTCCAAGCATCGATCCAAGCGCTAACCCTACAAGTCCAAAGCTTATCCTCAAAGAAAGGCGCAGCACCTAGGTCCGACAAATCTCACACGGCCAACGAGAGTTGCAAAGGACTGGGTCATACCCTCGACGAGTGCTGGAAACTAGGGGGAGGGAGACAGGGTCAATATCCCCCCTGGTGGAAAGGGAAACGGGACGCACCCGTTCCTGGTTCCGCAAACCTAGCCACCACGTCATCATCCGAGGCGGGCTCCGTATACACCAATGTCACCGCATTGAGCGCAATCATCGACGACGAAACCTTGAAGTCTATTGAAAGGGCACTGGAAGCAGAGAAGTCAACGATGATGGTCAATAATGCTAGTCAAGGGTTTGTAGACACCTCACTGTTGTACGGGGACTCTGGCGCGTCCACCCACTTCATCCAAAACAAAGACTGCTTTTTCCATTACATGCCGCTTGGTGAAACAACTGGAACTTCTTCGAAGGCTGGCGCCGCTCTGAAAATACAAGGTATCGGCACCGTAGCCTTGAAGTCAACAGTGGCAGGTATCCAGAACGTATTTACCCTCAGCAAGGCCCTCCATTGCCCAGACGTCTCTGCCAACCTAATCTCAATTAGCAGACTGGACAAAGAAGGTTGGTTCGTCACCTTCGGAGGCAGCCAAGCAACCTTCGTAGACCAGAAAGGGACACCCCAGTTCACGGCGACGTTGGTAAACGACCTATACGCAATTAATGGGACGTTGATGCGCAGTGAGGAATATACTGCCCTCGCAGCGAGATCACTAGAGGCGGCCGTACCCATCGAAACGTGGCACATGCGGTTTGCACACCTTGGAGTTGACCGAATCACCGAGTTGGAAAAACGAACGCTTGTGGATGGTCTGAACATTGCGAAAACTGAACGTGCTGGGGGAAAGTGCGAGCCGTGCATTTTGGGAAACCAGAGAAGAAGGCCATTTGACGCTGACGTGGTGCCGGAGAAAGTGGTTTTAGCGCGGGTGATGGTTGATATTTGGGGCCCAGCCCGCGTACAATCCATTGGGGGAGCGAAATATGCCCTCGTGTTCGCTGATGATGCGACGTCTCGGAGAACGCCTTACTACATCTCAGATCGAAGGGCCGAAACTACCATCAAGGCACTAAATCAGTTCACTGTTATGGCAGAAAGACAAACAGGGAAGAAGCTGAAGAAAATCCGGTGCGATAACGAGTTTCGCAATGACCTATGGAAGACGTGGGGCATAGAAAAGGGTGTGATCATTGAGTTCACAGCACCCTATTCGTCTGCAGCCAACGGGATGGCTGAACGGACGCTTGGTATCGTCTTTGGGACGGTCCGAATACTGCTCCTAGAAGCAAAGATGTCTGATGGGTGGTGGGCCGAGGCTTGCGACTATGCGATAAAGGCTGGAAATCTGCTGCCATCATCAAGGCACCCAGGGAAGGTTCCAGAGGAGGAATGGACCGGTAAACGGCAAACTGTTAACCACCTCAGAGTTTGGGGATCAACGTGTTATGCTGAAAATCCCTGCAGCGAAAGGCCACAGCAAGTTATCTCCGCGAGGACAGAAGGGACGGTTTGTTGGCTTGGCAGGGCATGGTTCATACAGGATTCTTCTGGATGACGTACCTGGGAATAAGGTTATCATCTCTCGTGATGTCATTTTCGAGGAGCTAAGTCCTACTCGTACCGTTTCTCTTCGTGAGGGGGAGATTGCGTACGAAGACCTCATCGAACCACTCGCAGAAACGATCGAGAATCACTCACAGCCACCGATCGATCCTCCAAGCCCTGATCGCAATCAAGCCCAATTGCCAACTGCACCCATCCAAGCACCTCCAACTCAACCACACGTTAATCCACCGCCTGCAAAACGTCCGTCCCGCATACCAAAGCCCACTAAAGCCTTACTTGAATCGAAGGAGTATGCCCAACGTGAAGAAGAAGCCAAACGAAAGGGAAACAATTGGGCAAACGATAATACCATTCCACTACTCGCTGATGAAGACGACGTTGAAGACATTGTTGCCCTTAAAGCTTCGGAAATCAGTAATATCGTTGATAGACATGACATGTGGGTACCAGATGACTACAACCAAGCTATGACCAAGGCGAAGATCTGGAGGCCAGCTATGGATGCAGAGATTCGACGCATGGAAGAAAGAGATGTCTGGAGAGTTGTGCCGAGAGAACCATGGATGCAAGTGATTGATACTCGCTGGACATTCGATAAGAAACTCGATGGGGATACAGCTGAGCTCCTCAAACGACGCGCTAGACTCGTAGTCAAAGGATTCACGCAAATCAAAGGACTCCATTATTACGACTCATTCGCAGCAGTCGTCCGATACGAATCTTTACGGATGTTCTTTGCGGTTGTCGCTGCTCATGGTCTGGATTTTTGGCTTATAGACTTCGTCGGCGCATATCTAAATGCAGAGCCACAAGGTGAAAACTACATATCGTTGCCACAAGGATACGAGGATATAGTTACCAGGGACTATCCAAAGGGAGACTACGTCCTGCAGATGTTGAGAGCGATGTATGGGACTATGGACGCCGGGAATGCGTGGTTCCACGAACTCAACAACACCCTTACCGCGCAAGGCCATAAACAGTCACGAGCGGATCCATGTGTTCGCCTTCTCAAGAATGGTTCCGAACGGACGTACACATGTACATATACGGACGACGTTTCTGGCGCGTCCACATCTATGGAGGAAGGCAAGCGTGTTCGGAAGGAAATTGGGAGTGTCTACGAGATTAAGGATTTGGGGAAGCATAACAGCGTTCTTGGAATGACCGTGGAGTTCGACGAAGAAACTGGTGCTATTTCGTTGCATCAAAAGAACTTGATACTGAAAACCCTAGAGAATTTTGGGATGTCAGACTGCAAGCCGAAAGCGACTCCGCTTCCAGTTGGAAGCCTGATGAATCTGGATACGCAACCCCAACCAATCCCTAATGCGGATAAGGAATTTATGGGGGACAAGGATTATCGCGGGGTTCTCGGATCATTGAACCACATCGCCAACGGAACGAGACCTGATATTGCGTTCGCCACGAACTACCTTCAACGATACGCCTCGGATGCTCGTCCCATACATTGGAGCCGCGCTATGCATGTCCTCGCCTATCTAAAGGGAACGATCGAGTATAGAATCACCTACCATCGAGGGAACGCAGAAGATGATGGCCTAACTCCTGTTGGGTACGTGGATTCATCCCATGGCGATGATAGAACGTCGGGGAAGTCAACCATGGGGTATGTATTCACGATGGCAGGTGGTCCTGTCGCATGGAGCTCAAGGTCACAGAAACGAGTTGCGCTATCGACGTCTGAAGCAGAGTACGTCGCCACAGTCCACGGAGGTCGCCAATCGTTGTGGATGGGTTCGTTTTTGGACGAGATCGAACTGTCAAAGGATCGCCCGTATCGTCTGAACTGTGACAATAACTCGGCTATCAACCTGACGCAGAACACCAAAGGACACGGAAAATCCAAGCATTTTGCTATGGATTATCATTGGATTCGTGATAGCGTTCAGCTTGGCGAGCTGGATGTTCGTTACATCCCGTCCGAGGACAATCTAGCCGACCTATTCACCAAGAGCGTTCCCAAGCCACGGGCAACCGAGTTACTGAAGAGGATGGGGATGACCAGGGTATAGAATCCTACGGGCGTAGGCTTCAGGGGGAGTGTCGAGGATTCAGCCTACCCTACCAGTATTCTCATTATTTCTCGTTCGATGTTCCTACTTACTATATTTAGACTATACCTCCTTTCTCCCGATCCTTATAACTACGGCGTTTGCCCCTCTACGCACCTCAGCTGTTCACTACATCTTCGTGTGACTGACTGAGGTGCGTATATCATTCATATTATCATTCGCTACCTATTTCTTATGCTACACTCATCTAGCTGTTGTTATCTTAACAGGTAGCGTACTTAATACAGCTGTTCACTACATCTTCGTGTGACTGACTGAGCTGTTGTTATCTTAACACTATGTACCTTGTGCTGACGAGATGAAATGCGGACTACGCACCGTCATAAACCAACGCATTCCAAACCACGGTTCGCTGGTGCTGTTTGGATGAAAACCTCGCGGCGTTCCAGTACGTACCCCGTTCCGTTCCGAGAAACTCCAGGATTCACACAGGCGGACACTATGCCCTATTCTCCATAGCGACGTGCGAGTTTATTTGAGAAGACATGGTTCATCTAGAACAAGGGATCAATGAAGATGAAGAATTTATCACTGAAATTCGCGCTCGCGGCGATCCCGGTGGGCACTCCTGTTCCTTGAACAATGCGTCATAGGTTACTTGGACACAGGTTCGGTGGCGATGAAAGAGGGTTTGACGGTTTGGTTCTTTTTTCACCCAGTGTGAACGGTCGAGAGGAGGAATAGAGTCAAGAGAAAGCGGCTTGAAAACTTCGATAAAACTCGCACTTTTCAAGCGGCCGCCACATACCGATTGGATTTGATGCCCATCTGAAAGACGAGCCCTCCCCTCGTAAGCTGGTTCTTCGGCAGATTCATAAGTTCAATCACGGCGCCACTGAAGATGCGTATTTAGTTATGACACTAGAGAGAAAAAATGCGGCCGTACACGCGTTGCTGAAGAGAACATGCAGCTCGGTCTCTTTGACTGTGAAATTTGAAAGTACATCTTGCGCATCTTGAGAGGGAAAATTTGAGCACCTTGATAGGAAGTCTTTGATGGTCGAGCGGGTGGTCAGGTCCAAAGGAAATTTTTGCCAGGGCCGAATTCTTCGCGCAAGTTTGATATAGTTTTCTTTGCTTTGTTGCCATCCTTGCAAGAAATGTAGACCCGAACATTACGCGGTGGTAGAACCCAGAATTTTTGAGTTGATTTAGATTGCAGAGGTTTTTTGTGCCTTGGCGATCTTATATCCAATCCCAGTGTCCCATAGTGGATAAACTTGACGACTTTCCCGGACATGTCTGGATCAAGAACTTGTTCTTTGGGGGCCAGGTTCATGACATAATGGGCCGCATGTTCGCGTTCATCGCTTAGAGAGCAGATATAGATTTACAATAGTCCAAGACTGCAGAGCAGTGCAGAGGTGACCTCTCGATGAGTTCCTTGAAGATGCGCGTCGACACTATAGTAGTAGGCTATTCATCAGTGTGTTTCATGTCCATCAGTCCCCACCATGTGTGACATATAGGTAACTGGAATTGAAGGAGTCGCCGAGTACATGCCACACGCTTCGCACCTGTGGTGGAACCGTAGAAGGAATTTCAACGTTGCAGCTGATAGCACCGCCACTGCTCAGTCACGTGACGAAAATCTCCGGTTCCGCGAAACCTGGTTACGCGATTTGACCAATAACTTTCATCAATACGTAGTACGAACAGTGCGAAGGTACTCCTATGGAAAATATTTCAAGTCTGAAACGGTGGGTCTTGCAGGCTTCCAAACTTTCTCATCAAGCATGCAGCGCGCAAAACATACCGAGTTGGGCCTATCACTACGTATCATGAGCTCGATTTCGGGTCCAGCTAGGTTCAAGTGCTTTGAAGAGCCGAGAGGCAGAAAGCAGAACTGTCCAATAACGGTGAGAGTAATCGCAGCACTTTAGAATTTAAACCATTGAAGTCTTGTGGGGGTCTAGAGACGGGACACCTCTTGCCGCTTCTCCACCTCATCGGAGCATGATTCTATCGGGGGCCAAGTTACGGCCCTCCAATCTGCTATATCGTAGTAGGAAAAATTCTCGTTTGATTCCTTTTACGATGAAACCCATTCTTTTCTAGGTAAACATATTCATCGATGGAGGATTTGAAACCGGGTCTGACTTCTTGTCATACCTTGAAGGAATAAAAGGGAAGCTCGTTCTTATCGATGACATCGACAGGCTCGCTTGCACCCCACCGCTTGTATACCGCAATTTTTTCAGGGTTCTCCATCAACTACGACCTGAATTCCGTGCCATTGCAATGGGGACGTGGGGCATCGTGAACTTGGCGTTCGCGGAAGGTATAGAACCTTTCGACCTGATGACCGACTTGGATGGCCGGATTCCTTACTTTTCTCGTTCACGAGTGGAAGATCTCTTCGATGTGTTCCAAAATGACGATGATTTTATTCTTGATCCAATGTTGTCAGTGATATATGGTTGAGCTCTACCAGGTGCATAGCAAGCTACAGTTGAATACGTTACATCCCTGATTCGAGCCTCTTAGCCATCCTGCTACAGTCTGCCTTCGTGGATATTTTCTTACGAGATAGATTCCAAGTGCTATTTGATGATCATAGTCGACACTTACCACTTGCCGCTTGGAAGCGTTGCTCTATTCAGGAGTCGTGCTAGTGGATCGGTCTCAGCCCAGCACATAATAGGATGCTTCAGGCGCTCCACCAGCCCGATGCGGTAATCTTTCTTCGCTACTACTTCCTTGGTGATCTGGACTCCATTCACGCCCCGGAACCCTTGGAGTATGACATTGCCGATTCTTTGACAGTTCAGGGCGTGCCAATCCAGCTGGACTGATTCTGGGCTGAATATCTGATAGCTTCAGCGATTGTAGACAGCTTCTCATGCACAACGCTGCTTTCCGCCAGATATCCTATCCGTCCTAAAGATGCACCGCCTGTGGTAGACAAAAAACTTATGGTCCCTGAAACTGTTAAGGAGGCGGGGCGACATTTTGAACGATGTTTCTCGCAGGACAAAGCCCCCGGCAGATCGCATAGAGTTGCGGATTCTTCTGTTCATTGGCGCATCGCAGCGTGCGCCCCACACCAGGGTTTGTATACTGCTGAATTGACAAGAATCCTCTCAACTTGGTTGAGTATATCTGAAGGCTGATCCGTCACTAGTGGCTGGTACTCGAGCACTATCAGCATGCATTCGTACATCACTACCCCCTTTAAGATTGCTCCACGTTAATCAAAATGCATACTTTGTTTAACTTCTGTTACGCTACTTTTACTACGCATATAATATACAAGTATCTTAAACAAACATAATTCTGGTCAAACTAGGGTGCTAGGTCTGCAGTCTGCTCAACAAGTTTCCTAGAAAGCTCACTCCTCGGCGTAATAGTACATTTGAAAGGCAAAGGATGTCTAAAAGGACCGAGATGAAGATGAGAACCGAATAGAGGTCACAGCGGACTCACGATATCATTCCCGATGCAAACGCCGCTTGTGTGTGTACCGGTTTCCCGTTTTCGTCATACCCCGGAGAAATATCAAAGGCACTGAGAATACAGGCCACGGATACCCAGAGCTGGCCTTCTGCCATGAACCTTCCAGGACAAATACGGCGCCCGTATCCAAAAGCTACTGAGACGTGGTCAAACACTGCGCTACCTTTCTCAGCACCGAGGAATCGCTCAGGATTGAATCTTCCGGGATCTGGATAAGTGACTGGATCGTGTAGAATGGTCCTGGTTGATAGAGTGAAATACTACCAGGGAACAACAATGTAACGGTGAACTAACCAGCTGTTGCCGACGATTGTGGTGCCTGCGGGAATGAAGTAGCCGTTGTATTCGTCGTCGTGCGTCACCATATGTGGTAGACCTAAAAAGCCGTCGATACTTTGTCTTGTACCAGCCAGCGAGTGTCACTTACCGAGGGGTGCGACGGGGTTCCACCTGTAAAGATGTCTTTAAGCACATGGAGTGACTTGTCCGGCCGAAAGAACCCACCTGAGCACCTCTTTGACTACGGCGTCAACATACGGAAGAGATCCGCGGTCGCTAAAGTCTGGAAGTCGGCCTTGTCCAATAACGGTGTCGATTTCGTGCCTAGCTTTGCTTTGGACGTCGGGGTACAGGACCATAGCGAGCATGAACGAGGAAAGAGAGGATACAGTCTACACATGGACAGGTGAGCTAAGACTATGAGAGAGTACAAGAAAAGTCGCACGCTTTCAGCTCCGGCTGCCAGAAACGTAATTAGGATACGAACGAAGTCCATTTGACAGGGATAGCGTACCAGCCAAGGCAAGTCCTGCGCAATTACGAATTGTATCTTCTTGTTGCTTATTCTCTTTCTTCGCTTCCAAGTCATCGAGAAGATAAGAAACAAAGCATGGAGTTGCCGTTCCTTGTTTCTATTTATCGAAGGATTAACATTCATGGCGGAGAAGAATAGGGAAAAAGACATACCAATGCATTCTTAACGGCTTCATAAGGAGCATCACGCATTTCCATGACTGCTTTCCTCCATTCTCGAGCCTTCCTCTTAAATCCAGCGAAGGGCATGAACTCGGGGACATGTTTTACTATTGTGACGGAGGTCAGACTATGCGTGTGGGTTTGAATACGGCGCGAGGACGTACGAATAGGGAAAATGTCGACAAGGAAAGCTCCGGGATGCGCGGCTTTCGCCATTCCATCCAAGGCCTTCTCTGCCACGGTTATGTATCGGTCGTCTTCATCTGATACTTCTATACCGTATGTTACGTTCATGATCGTGCTAGCCGAGTTACTATGGTGAGAACGCGTCAATAAGCAGCGTGTTCTTTGTGACATAAGTAATGGTACGCACTGACGAAGATGTTCCAGTAATTCTTCAGGTTCGTGTAGCAGACGACGAAGCAGCTTGTGGGCTTCCTTGAGTTGAATGGGCCAGTAGACCGACACGACCGATGATTGGAAGTGAGCGTGGAATATTTTCCGATGGGCTTTCCAACGATCGCCTATTGGTGGATCAATCAGAAAAATCGAAGAAACCAAGGAGAAACGTCGCACCATACGGCATATGACCGAAACTCCAGTCCCAGCCCATTCTAGAGTGTGGTTAGGACACAGACAACAAATTAAGAAAAAATGTCGTACAAATCGTTGATCATAGGTAGTTCATTTCGGTCAGAATAGTTGGAAGAGCGCTTCTCGAATAAATCATTGGCAACCTGGTAAGTATTGACGACCAAGATCGTTTTCCCAAAGACGCTCAAAAACACGAGGTCCCCTGCAATGGTGTCAGATTAAACAGAAAAAAAAAAGAAAAAAAACCAGATAACAGAGAACACTCACCATGTTCTCGAGCAAGCCTGTTGTACCGAGCGGCTTCACTATCGCGGGGGATATCCAGAAGATTACCGATAATCGGAAGGAGCTTTGGACCAGGAGGCAATGGAAGACGACGAGGGTTAGCGCGCAGACGCGCCTGCCTCCTTCGTATCAAATATGAGAAGAACAATACGCCAAGGATGACCAAGAAGAGCTCCTTGACTTTGCCCTGCATGACGTTGCGTATCGCGAGCTCGAAATTCATAACAGGGGCAAAAGGACAAGAACAAGAACAAGCGCTGGGCAATCATTTGCTCCAGTTTTTTATACCTCGGCGTAGAGGGTGGTCTCTCATCGGCAAGGTTATTGTCCCATCTCCATTCAGGTCAGGGCACAAGGAAAATGCGTCGTATTAATCAAAAAAAGGCTATCAGTTTTTCGGCTCGGCCAGAAAAATAGACTTAACCCTTTGTTCTGTCCCGGAAATGGATAAGTCGCTTGCGTTGTTGATTGACGGACCCAAATTGACAAAGCCGCCGGCAGACGAAAAGTGAGACATGTTTGTTGCTGAACAACGAACAACTGGTCTCAGATACCCGATCAAAGCTTGAGGGAGTGAGATTGGGTATGTTCAAGTGATCGTCATTTGTATAACTTTTGAGTCACTTTGACAACCTAGAACATTCTGTAAGACACGAAGCTTTAATAGAATGATAAGGCAATTATATACATGCGCACCAGTGACATCCTGGCTTCATATTGCAACCTGACGTGTACTTCACCCAGATGCTGCGTACCATATGTAATTTACAATAATACAACATACGATAGTACACATAGCAATGTAGGTGATACATAGATCATAGAACGAATATATAATTCCCTGAAACAAAACTGCACGCGAATCAGTCATGCCACACACATTATGAACAAGATCGGCGAACCTTTCAAGATAGCGAGAAACCACCAAAGTCTAAAAATGCCTCTTCGATAGACATTTTGCGTACAACAAGAGCTTCGACGATGAGTCGAGGCTGGTCTTTGCCTTCTTCAGCACCAGATGATGCGACTGAGGTGTAGGGTGTAGAAGGGGTGGGAGATGCGAAAACGTCGTCAGTCGCCTGTAACCTCTTCATCTTCTGGCTCGACAAGGCTGATAGATGGAATGTCTTCATCCAGCTGTCACTGTCGGAGGTCCTGCAGAAACTGACTGACGTTCAATCGACACGTGAAGCTCCCCAAGCCCGGAGACAAGAGCGTTGGCCGAGTCAGGAACTGCTTTGTCGTTCTCCTGCTTTGCCCCCTCCTCCGTATGTGATCGGACATCTACGGCTTGATCTGCAGTTTGGGGTGGTCCGATCGTATTCGACGCGAATGCCATCAAAGCATTGCGCCTCTCTTCCCTTCTGCGATCCCGCGCCTGTCGCCGGTTGGGTCCCTTGGTAGCCTTTCGTTGCTCGTCTGTAGATAGAAGCGAAGGGGCCGAAGAAGAGGTGAGCACATCATGCAGATGGTGTTTAGCTTTCTTTTTGGCGCCTCTGTTATTGCGCTTGGTTTCGGCGGAGGAAAGTAGGACCGGATTGCTGGTAACTCGGGTACGAAAAGGACGCGGCTTGAAGACCGAGGAGATTTCCAAGTCGATAGAAAACCGGTGTTGGGATGGAGGAGATTCAAGGTCAGACTCGGTGTCTGCCTGCTCTGCGATGTCTGACTCCATGTCCATTGAGAACACGTCAACAGAAGAAGAGGAAGAACCAGGGGCGCTGTGCGATAAAGAGCGTTGATGTAGTGAAAGGATCCTTGGAAGCACACTATCGCCAGGATCCTCGGCGTCTGTCGTTGAGAGTTCCGTCTCTGTTTCAGTGCCTGTGGTGGTACCCTCCGACCCCACCCTAAACTCGGTCTTCCTTCCTCGCTTAGCACCATTGCCACTGCTGTCCTCAAGGATCGCAAGCGTCGCCAAAGCAGCTGGTACCTCTATTTCCTTCACCACGATAACGCTAGCACCTATTTCCCCAGCCATCATTTCCAGGGTCTCCAGTGTTTGTTCCAGGTCTGCGCGCGGCAGACCGACTAAGGCGCCTGAATCAGCCACTCCTAATTCATAATACGCCTGACCTCCTCCTTCCAGTAGTCGCCACTTGAGCTGGGTGACCAGGCGCGCAAAACGAGCTGGAGACGGAGATAGCAACTGAAGCTTGTACTCGACATTTCCATCGTCAGCTTCGGGTACCAGCTTGGGAATTGCCGTCACCACTGGAGAGGCGCTGACAACAGGGCCAGATGAAGGCGAAGATGATGCCGGGGTGGAAATGAGGGAGTCCCAAGGGCTGGGAACTCTTGGGCTCTCCGATTCGGATTCGCCGAACATGCGGTAGCAAAGATATATGATTTTCTCTAGTGATTTGTTGGAATTTATCGATGTATTCGTGGGATCATGATTGTCGAATTACTGCGCAGAGTGTCGTCGTGTTGCTGAAGGGTAACTAGACGGACATGATGGGAGTAAGAATTCAAGTTACCGTGTCAGACAGAGTCAAACGTGTGCGGGCAAGCCGTTGGCAAGCAGCCGCAAATACAGGCATTTTCCAAAATAACCCGTTGAACCAACTTTACCTTCCTTCCACCATGTCATCGGTGAAGGCGACGTCCTTTGCTGCCATTAAAAATGCGCCTCTTGTTGGCCTTGCTGAAGGCAACAGCTACTTCAGCAATTACCATCTCGCGGCCGTTGTCCTTGTCGTTCCCTATATCTTGAAATCCATCCTTCCCCTCGTCAGTCGCGGTGGATTCAAGACGTATCTTTTCCTTCTCGTGTTGTCAGGCGTCCCAACGACTGTTGCATACTGGACCTTGGCGTCTATGTACGGTGCACGCAAAAATCAGAAGGTTACGCTTCCCGGGAAGGACATCGAGGAGTACATCGAAATCAAGGACGTGGAGCTTTCTAGGCTGTACAAGGGAAAGGACAAAATTCCCATCCAGGTCTTCCACGATGCGTACTTTGACGGCAAAGCTGAATTCAAGGGTATGTCCATCATTTTCACTGGTTACGTTAACCCTATTTTAACGTTCGACTTTTATGTAGGCGACGTGTTGGATATTTTGGAACAGCGTCACGACTGGGCCAAGTTCACGTTTACTCCGGAACTCTTCAAGCATGTATTTACGAAGCTGATTCCCGACGTTATCTCGCATTCTCGGGAGCAGGACCAGGATCAAGTTCAAGACCATTATGACCGTAAGTTCCCCTTTATTTTCGCCCATGCTCAGGCAGTTGACGTGTCATATAGGCGGTGACGACTTTTACGGATGGTATATCTCACCACCTCTTGATCTCCTGACAACTTAATGCATGCTCGATCAGGTTCCTTGGTCCGCGTATGATATACACGTCCGGTATCGTCCTAGATGCCAATGTTCAGGAGACTCTTGAACAGCTTCAGGACAACAAGCTCGCAGTCGTGTGTAACAAGTTGGATCTCAAGCCAACGGACCGCCTCCTCGATATTGGCTGCGGATGGGGCACCCTCACGGCCTACGCTGCCAAGAACTTTGGCTGTGATGCGACAGGTGTTACCCTTGCCAAAAACCAGGCGAAATTCGGTAATGATAGGATTGCAAAGAACGGTGTACGACTTCCTGTCTCTCACACGCGAACGTGTACTTATGGTTGTTCTAGATATCTGCCGACAAGGCTCGTATTCTCAATCGCGATTATCGTGACATTCCCCAGGTCCCTGGAAGCTTCGACAAGATCGTCTGTCTGGAGATGGCCGAGGTAATACTCGTCTGTTATCCTCTGTCCCTGCTATATTGATGGCACTGCAGCATGTCGGCATTCGTCGCTACTCTCAATTCTTGTCGGAGGTGTACAACTTGCTTTCAGATGACGGTGTAATGGTTTTCCAAGTCGCTGGTTTCCGACCATGCTGGCAGTTTGAAGATTTGAACTGGTAAGACCCCTTAGGAAGCGCCTTACATATTGTTGCTCATGATCGCCATTTTTCAGGGGTCTTTTCATGAACAAATACGTTTTCCCTGGTGCTGACGCGTCGTGCAGTCTTGGATGGGTCATACAGAAAGTAGGCCTGGTGTTCTTCACGATGAAGCCTTGACTAAGCGTATCTGCCCCCCTAGCTTGAAGGTGTTGGCTTTGAGATCAAGAATATTGATGTTCTCGGGGTGCACTATTCCGCTACACTTTACAGATGGTACTTGAACTGGGTCAGCAACAAGGACAAGGTTATTGCGGCCTACGGTGAAAAATTGGTACAGGACTTGGGTGTTCTTCCTTGCGTGGAGTACCATAACCAGCCGGTTAGTATCTCTCTTTCGTACGTATTTACGGTAGCTTATATACCATTTACAGGCAAGGAAGCGCATCAGTGTTCCAAATTACAGTGCACAAGAATTTGAACGCATACCATCGCATTGCTGGCGTCGCTAATCATGCATCAATTCACGTCAAACTGGACAAGGAGCCAATGTATGTATGTTTCGACCAACCTATCCTATGTGTATTCATTTCTTTCTTTGCAGACTAATTGAGTAGGTTACTGGTTGAAACTAGATTTAGGAACCGTAGTTACTTGTTTTGAAAATACGCTATACCCACCTGTGGCACTAGAATGGACTTTTGTTTGAGCGTTGGACAACTTCGGTGACAACGACTTTGACGTTTCTCAGCGGTCGTTATGTCCTTATGGTCTCGTATAAACGTTTTTCCAAACGTTGACATCCATGCGCATGGATCAGCGGCAAGCCCGACCGAGCCTTGCGATGTTTCGCCCCACGGCCCGAGTTCAAATCCCCACAGTAGCAAGATGAAAAAATCCCTTGCGCTGCAATGAACAAGGCCTGGGAGTGCCAATGCTCGCAAAGGAGAATCTCTGGGAAAATTCTTCCGCTGTAAAATGTGACCTGAAAAATAATACAAAAATGACTACTGAAGAGGGGGAGGAACTAAGACCCGAAATGTCCCAGTGGTCCAGGCAGATTTTTGCCCCAATGCAACTCCATGGAACTGAAATTGTTTTTCTTCGAGTTCTAACTTTCGAGTCCTAGGCTCTTCTATCTCCGGCAGTAAAGAAGCGATGCTCGGCAAATGTACAAATACTGTCGCCGGCTTATTCATGAGAGTCATTGCCGAGCAGAAGCGTCTGGTCCGAGTCCCTGGTTCCGTACCGGTATAAATGAATCAGGAGCGTAGCAGTTTCACTGAAACTACTATCATAGTATGGGCTTGCTTCACTCATTTATCAAACAAAGTTGGCCACCTTCGAGTCGGTTTTCCGTCGATGACATCCCCGATTTGTCGGGGAAAGTCATTATCGTGACTGGTGGAAACGCAGGAATAGGGTATGAGACGGCAAAGGTAAGACATATCACTGACAGATGTCCCAATGATACAACATATTTAAAAGGCTCTTTTGACACGGAACGCACGAGTATATATCGCTTGTCGGTCCCCGGAGAAGGCGAAGAAAGCTATTGATCATTTGCGTGCAGAGTGCGGCGGGAAGGAAGCATTATTTCTACCGTTGGACCTTGCGAGCCTCAAGGCAGTCAAAGCTTACGCAGAGGAATTTTTGAAGTGTGTTAGTTTTGTAGAAAATATGAGTAATACAGCTAAACTCTTGCTTCTACTCAGGAATGAAAAGGAGCTGCATGTTCTTTTCAATAACGCGTTTGTGGACTGTTGACACCGAATGGAAGTATTCTTTGCTGAAAACAGCTATCTTGATTAGGGGTATAATGGATCCTCCCGTGGATCAGCTAACGAAAGATGGATACGACTTGACGATAGGCATCAATCTTCTTGGTAATTCAAAATTCGGACATCTTGGACCTGGGGTTCTGAAGGTCTATGGTTATTTCAGGACATTTCTATCTCACTAAGCTTCTCCTCCCGGCCCTTGAAGCAGGCGCGCAGACCTCCTCAGATGGGAAGGCCCGAGTCGTAAACACCTCCTCATTTGCCTACGAACTTTGTTCAAACTTGGATTACGATCTCTTTCGTGATGGTCCTGCTCGCAAGAAAGCTGTCTCTACTACGGAGAAAATGTACTACCAGAGTAAATTCGTGAGTATCTGTTATATTTGTACAGCGATCTGAGCGCTTAGAATACATTTACCAAAGGGTAATGTTGTTTTTTCAGCCGAACTTGCGCGCCGGTACGGAGCAGAAGGGATTGTCTCTACTAGCGTGCATCCTGGAAAGTATTATCCGTGCCCACAACCTGTACAAATGCTAATTCGACTTGGGGTTTCAGGTCATATTCAGACAGATATGCAAAACTCGCTTACTGGAGTTACAAGTTTCTTGATTGTACGTTCATCCTGTCCTCTGCGCCGCAGAGTATTTACTCAAGGAATCCCTTACAGGGTCGTCTTTCGTACCCTGCATCACAGGGTGCTTTGACTCAGCTATACGCCGGTACAACGGCTGAAGGCGCCAACTTGAATGGCAAGGTACGTTGAGTCTACAGGTTTACTGAGAAAGAGTCGATAGCCGACGTCTTTATTAGCATCTTATACCGTGGGCCCGAGTCAACTCGCCTTCTCCTGCTTCACAGGATCCTGAGATCGGGAAAACTTTATGGGGTTGGCTGGAAGAGCAGGTTCAGAATGTATGTCCGTCACATAGTCTTGTTGGCGGTATGTAGTATTGTACGTAGTAACACGGACGATATAACCATTGCTCCGAAACGACTGCAAGATGAACGACTGTTTTGAATCAAAAGCTGCGGTCATATCATGCGGTGGAACACCCTCTTCGTGCTCCTAACGGGTAGTGATGCTTTGAACGATTCCTCTTCCTAGTCGCTCAATCTCACTTAGCACTGCAGCTTGATTCAATACTACCAAGTCCTTTGTTTTGTTCTTCTCCTTTTTTGACTTGTCGTCCTGTAGCATGGTTAGCATCCATTTTCAATAACCGATCCACCAGAGTACCCACCTTGACGGTTTGAGGTGCGCTGGAAAAACCTCCCATGACTCGGAATGGTCTGGGCTCCTTCACTAGCGTTGCATCCCAAACCCCACCAAAGGAATCACCGCCGTAGGGATCATAGAATATTTTGAACGTGTCGGCGTAGATTTTCTGTAATCGTCAGTGTCATCATACAGTACAAATTCCATGACAAGAAGAATATCCACCGTAAGGTCTCGTATGAACGCCCGTGCTGGATCGTATCCTGGTCTCACGACAGTTGCTTTATCCGCATCTTCCGATTGCAGATTGGAATATTTCCCCTGCCTTCGGGAAAGAAGAGTGAGATCCGGCCGAATATTTTGGTGATACCGTGGAAGGACCGTGGGATCTAGTCGAACAACGAAATCATAGTCGCCAGTTGGGTGGTTGAACATTGGCTAGAAACGGAAGAAGCACTCAGCAATCAGAACCAAAGCACGTAAGATGTGACGAACCTGTATGCTATCCGTTCCACGCTCGACACTTTTGAGATGCGTCCAGGTGGCTTTAGCTAACGCTTGCACCCTACGGGCGACAATCGCGTCAGGTCCTTTCCAAGTCCAAACCCGTCCTGTCTTGTCCATCTCTGTTCTGATCGCCCATACCCCTTCACCGGAGATGCCGCTGTCCATGACTTGTTCTTCCTTGCCTTCTTCGTAAAGCGGTAGAGTCAAGCCTTCCTCCCACTTCCAACTATGCAAAAATTCCATAACCATGGCGAAGCCCCGTTCCTTACTTCCTGGCACATTGCCGCTGCCGCTAGAACCCGTCTGTTCGTGCTCCCGCTCCCACCCTGTCTTCACAAAGAAGAATGCGCAAATGAGCTCTACGGCTTCTTCGCTTACATGACCATCGAGCAGCCAATGTACTGCGAACCACCGCTTTACCAACCTTACGGTAGTTGTATATGCAGGAAACACATGATGCAACCTTGATATTGCCCTATGATGCCTCGGCGCGTGGATGAATCTGCGCAAGTATAGTTCCTTTGCCTCGACTGCATGGTGATACTCACTCCCCTTCTTTTTCTTCTGTCCTGGTTGAGGAACTATGTGTCCTGGGGTCGTATTGATCACCCTCTCCAAAAGGATGAGCTCGCGGTCATGCCATATTCTCAGGCTAAACGCCCAACCCTCCACTGTTAGGATCTCCATCGTGGGGTCATCATCCTCACCGCCACGCCCCCCTACCATGACCGACGCACTCAAACCAGGCATACTCTTCATCAATGAACCCGCTATTCGTTCGAAGAAGGCAAGCTTCACAGTTTGTATCGCCTTGAGATCATCTGGCCACTTGGCCGATTTCTCAAATTGAACGATGATGGGGATGGCATGGAGGTATGATGCGTTTGACGGAGTAGAGGGAAGCAATTTGGCAGGTAACGGGACGGGACTGAAGGTGCTTGTGTACCGAAGGTAAGAGGACACAGGACTAATGTTTAGAATCGACAGAGGAAGGTCGTCATCGAGGGCTTTGATACCTTTGACGAGGTTATCAAAGGCTGTCAGGGCACCCTTGAAGCCAACTGCGATCCCCGATTCCAAATAGCTCTTGGAAATTTGCTGGGGAAGACGGAGAAGAGAATCAAAAGACGAATGCCATGACTGAGTATCTTCGATTCCAAAGTGGCGTTCTAGGATGTATCTGGCAACTTGTACCGGAAGATGGACTTTGTCATCGGCATTCTTGACGTCCCACACTACGCTCTCAACGATCCTTCCGTCTTTGAACATGCGCAGCTCCGCTTTGTCGCCCCATAACTCTCGGAAACTCGCGGCGTGAGTTGGGTCCGGGTCGTCTGCTGCGGGACCATGGTCGACTTGACGGAAAGCATGTTCTTGTTCGTAAATGAAACCCAGAAAGATGATGTGGTTATTCGATGGATGTGCTTGGGACAGTGGACGGGAGGTGGATGAAGGATGAAGAATAGCCAGTGCCTTGGTGCGATTTCCTAGGCCTTGACGAAGGAGGGTGGACATAGAGGCAAGGAGGGCATTGTGGGGTGATCCATGGTCGATTGTTGCGTGGAGTGAGTTTTGACGTGGTTTTGAAGTGGAGAGGTCTACACGAATGATTGCATCGAATCTTGTACTCAAATGCCTGCGATCCCGTAGAAAGGCCTCTGTGAAGGGATCAAAGGACGAAGACGACGAGGACAGTGCCTGAAGCGTCTTCTTGGCGTCATATCGAAGCTATAAGCCACGTCAGAGGAATGTAGCGCGCAGCGACTAAACTTAACATACCAGATCCAGGGACCCAAGAGGAACATCTGCTAGAAGGTTGACGCGTGAAGAAGAGTCAACAAAAACGGCCTCATGATATGAGCTGTACTCTTCCAGAGGATACTATGGAAAGCTTAGTCCAAAGTCGGTGTCCGACAGAAGAAAATACAAACCTTGTTACCTCCTTCAGTCTTAACAAAGACGGGCTGTGATTGGAAGTCATGCGTTGCTGAAATCAATATAAGTTCTCGTCCAATACCTTAAGATGTAGGGACCATTACCAAGAAAGTCGATTACTGCCTTGAAAAGCTGATAAGAGCTCAGACCCCGTCCAAGAGGCTTTCGTTTTGATTTCCCTTCCTCTCCGAGGATCAGAGCACGTAATACAGAGACCCACCATGGTCCTTTTCCTTCAAATCCGCGAATACCAGGAGTGGAGCCTTCGCAGTAGCCACGTTGATTTGCCCATACACACAACAGAGTCAAAGCGTCGCTCAATGCAGGTGCCTCCTGCTGTAGAGCGTGCGTTGAAACGAGGTGAGAGGACGGGGTAAGCGCAGTAAGCAGTGCGGTATTGTACAGAGGGGTGGGTACTCGTGTCTCCTCAGAGGAACGAACACTTGAATGCGAGGGAGAAAGGCGCTGGAGAGATATCGGAGATGTTGGAGATAGAACAGGGATGATGCAAATCTGAGCTTTGAGCTTTGAAAAGTCATTCTTGGTGACACCAGGACGTGGCTCCAGAACTAGCTTGGTGAGTCGTGGATTGTCAGACAATGAATGATAGGAACAGTCCACATTCAGTCCGTGCTTCTTGTCGCATATTGCTTCCGCAAGTTTCGCAAGGTAAAATGATCGTTTGTGGAAGAATCGGCCATTAAGATAATCTTTTTCTTGGAAGAGACTCTGTTTCACGGTACCTTATTAGCGGAATGAAGGCAAAAACAGAAAAGGACACACATCGGGCATCTCAACAGCTATATCAACACCGAACTTGTTACCGTCCATGCCTTTAACCGAGGTTTTGTTGCCCCAGCTACCAACAAGTGTTATGCTACTGGGAGGCGCAAAGGCTACCTTCCAATTGGAGTCCTCGGTTGGTAGTGGGGTAGAGTATGGTATAGATATACCTTTTTTCAGAAGAGGTCGAGTAGCCTCGAGTGGATGTATCGGAGATGATGATGGAATATTCAGAAGAAATGTGTGCAGCGACAGAAGGAATTGTTCAAGTGGTAGTTTATGTTTCTCCTTTGGTCGTACGTTGGGTAAAAGCTCGTCAATCTGTCCTCAAAGTTCGAAAATTATCAGGGTGCTGAAATAATATGGGCACTTGCCTGAAGCTTGAAGCTAGTCGACTTGAACAGATCCGCTGCTTCCTTCATCTCCCGGACCTCAACACCGGTAGGTGGTTTCTTTGGTTTTCCCTTGGATGCATGGACATCCTCTGTTACACCAGTTGGCTCAATACCACCCCATTCCTCATCATTTCCATCAGCAGGATTGTCACCTTCCTCGTCGTCCTCGTCGGTTCCATCTAACACAAGATTATTCTCTTCATCAGAATCATCTGGAGGGGATAACTTTCGGGTCTAGAAAAGGTGGTTAGTCCCGTCTCGTGTATGCCAGAATATTCTCTCCTACCTTGCGAGGATCATCCTCTTGCTCTCGTTTCCTCTTCAGATTTGCGGCCATTTGGCTAATGTTGTTAAGACGAAAATTTGACACAGCCACCGATCAGTGCTTCGGTCAAATCCGGGCACTTGATCAAACCAAATTTAAAATTTGAGAACAATCCCAAGAACCACAACCACCACAGGGCCACTCACGACAGAAAGATGCGTACTTCGTGGTATTTGCTGGCATATCTGTAGCACTATCTTTGGGTTTCGCCTTCTGTTCCTTTATTTTGCCAGCGGGTCTCAGTTTGAGCGGTCACAATCTTAGAGTCGACATAAAATCCTTTTAAATTCCAACGAAACGTATACATTGCTCTTTGACAAGAGCTGTCTTCAACTTGCAACCGTTCGGCATAAATTTCGATGCTCGGCGTCACCATCTACGTAGCTGCCATCTGCCTTCCGGCGCCCACCATAATATTTGGACGCCCACCGTCAATCATCGAACATGATTCTCTGGTGATATATTGCACGCGGTCGTCTTCTTGGAGATGCCAGTTCTCGCAAAATCAACTGCACTTTACTACACTGCTCCGAGTTCCTTTCCGAAGTCTAGGAAACTGAAAAGTTCCGCCTATGCCGAGTCGGGGCTTGGGCACCAACTTGGACGGCCAAGCGTACAGACATCCGCCGCCTTCAAGCCTCCTTCGACCCATTCCGACATCCTCCGATCAACGGACTTGCCCCGATGTTGAGGACAATGATGCCCCATCTTACTTACTTCGGTCCGAGTAGTGAATCTGATCAGTCTAATGCATCACTCTTGGTCGAGACATATCCGTTTGCCGTAAACGATCGACCCTCACGGTCTATATATTGCTTGTATCTGCGGTATTCATCGACTCTCTTACGCCCACGATGGTTCTTCCACCAGAGCTCTTTGATGCCGTGGTTGACGAACTCGAGGGCGATGTAACCCGGATGCCGGTTACATCGGCTATTCCCGATGTGACATAGATACGAGGGATTGCCATGTCACGTCTCTTTAGTTTACCACCACCATCTGTACCGTCGTCTCACGAATACCGAGCTGGTTCCTTGCACATCTGTGTGAACGAGTTCTTCAGTGTAGCTCCGTGGCTACGAGCTTCCACTTTTTTTTGCAATCCAACTTGCTCTCTTCTTTCGCTTTCGTTCCCACACTGGACGCTGCCACGTCATCACGCCGTTTCACGCGCCGTACCGCGCAGCAGTACCACCTACCCGTCTTTGAAGCCTTGGACGATCCAGACTTACATCAACAACCCGACAAACACGCTACAGACCCTCGTCTATCTCCCGTTCCCAACCGTTCATCGTCACCATTGACTGAACTTGATTCTTCTTGCTCGCCTAGCCCTCAACCAATGTCTTCGAAATTAGATCTCCCTACCCTCGCCAATGTCACCTCGATTGCTGCACTCACATGGCTGACTCGCTGCGCAGACTCCTTTGAGGCCTGGTCTGCTCTCAATGCCGATAAGAAGATCAAACCCGAGACGCAAATACTAGTTGCTGGATTGAAGATGGAACATGCTGAGGCCGCTGCTTGGTGGAATGAGAACCGGGAGTCGTTAAAGAAGCTGGCATCATGGGATGAGTTTGTCGCAAAGGTGAAGGATCGTTTTGTCCCCTCCAACTGGCGTTTGGACGCACTTGCTGCCTTCTACTCGGTAAAGCATGCACCTGGGACGGACTTCCAGTCTTTTGTGTCAGACCTCCAAACTGCGCGGAATGCCCTCGCGTCTGCTGGCACTGGCTACACCATCACCGACTCTTCTGTCAAAAATCATCTATTATTCTTCGCGCATCCCATTTTATCCCTTCGCGTCCGTAGTACTACGGGTTTTGCGTCAGTCTACGGAACCATGAAGCTTGATGCCTTGGTCAATCTGATGTCTACGACTTGGGCGAGCCTAATTGCAGAGAACGTCGTTCGAATCAAGAATGTTCAGACTAGTGACCAATCCCATGCCATTCCGACTGCCCACATCACTTCTACCCATCCCACAGCATCTACGGCCGCGTCAAACGGTTCACGTTACCCTTTTCCGGATCTTTCCTATGCCGAGAAAGAGGCTCTTCGGGCTTCTGGAGGTTGTTTCCATTGCAGGAAGACCCCATCTTCGCCGAACTGGACGCAGCACAGCGCACGTAACTGCCCTGGAGATTCAGCTGCCGGTGTCGCTCCACGAGCCACCCGCCCTCTACTCCCTCACCAACGAGTAGCTGGAATTACTTTTGGGGATGCCGAGATCCCGGAAACGCCAGGCTCCTTTGTATTAGATGGACCCGACTCTTCGGACTCGGACTACGACACCGACCATGACTTTGACTAAAGATTTCCCTCACTACCCGTTGTCTTTCGCATCGCTTTCGTACTCGCTTTTCTTTGATTGCTATCGTCTTCAGCCATGTTGCAATATTTTGGTCACTTCTGTCCTTATGTTCGCACCCGTGAAAGATAATACTTTCCTTGTTCGTTTCGTCCGTGACAATGGTCTTCATGTTCCAGCGTTCCTTTTTCTTTATGTTTCTTTCTACTTGGACTAGTACGTTTGTTTTTTTTAGAGTGGGGAGGAGTGTAACCCGGATGCCGGTTACATCGGCTATTCCCGATGTGACATAGATACGAGGGATTGCCATGTCACGTCTCTTTAGTTTACCACCACCATCTGTACCGTCGTCTCACGAATACCGAGCTGGTTCCTTGCACATCTGTGTGAACGAGTTCTTCAGTGTAGCTCCGTGGCTACGAGCTTCCAGGCGACCGTAGCGCTCTCAAAACATGCTCTCTAGTTTCCCATGTTCTACGACCTCGCGCTCAAGCCCATCTCTTCCGCGAAATCTCTCTAGAAAATCCCAATTGGTGCAAAAAGTTTCACCACATTGCGTCGACATCTCCTTCTCTTCCCTTTGTCGTCCGTTCGCTGCGTCTAGTCACATTCCCCCGCCAATGGGTTAACGAGGAACCGACCTTACCCCTTGTTCTTAAACGCATGGTAAACCTCAGGCACCTGCAATTGTTCTTTGTCGAGTGGCAATCATTGCCTTCCTTAGAATCGGCCTTGCATTCACTGCGGAATCTCACAGCGCTCACCCTCAGTAACGTCTTTTTCGAGAACTGCCTCGCTTTCTTCGCAATGGTCGGACTTACTCCTAGCATGAGGCAGTTGACCCTTCGCGGCGTGTTTTTTAAAGGACTGCCGTTACCCAATGATACGTTACCCTCGAACACGCAGCGAGTGTATCTCAATACATTGCGTGTCGTGAGCACACAGTATTCCGAAGACGCGTCAAGGAACATCTTGATATCCTTCCTTCATCCCTCATCACCGATATCTTTGGCAGAGCTGAAGGACTTCCAAATCACCCCCTTCTTAACAAGCGACATCGAAACTGTGAGGGCCGTCCTGTCCGCGAGCATGGACTCGCTCACCCATCTGTCCCTGGATGCTTTCGTACAGTCGCATGTTGTTGGTTAGTGCCTCACATGTTCTACCTCACCCAGTCCAACCCTGACTGACATCTCGTCACAGACGAATTTACCACAATCTGCGAGCCGCTCCATGTCCATCATATTCCTTCTATATCGCTGGAATTCTGCGATAAGGTCTCGATTCAGAAGCAGTTAAAGTGGTGGACGGAAAGCTTCAATATGCATGCCGAGGATTATTCCCTTCGGGTCATCAGTATGACCATTCGTCTCGACGAAATTTCGTCAATCGAGTCACCTGCGTTTACCGATGTGACCATATGGGAAGCCTTGGATGCTGCTCTGACGCGTCGTGAGATGGCTGGCCTGCAGGGCGTAGAGTTCATTTTTGACATCGGTCCTGCGAGTAACAGGAAGGCCCTCGCACGCGATCTGGACAATTTCTTCCCTACGGCATGCAAAGGCCTTCACAGCAAAAATCTTCTTCGGTTTAGAATACGAGGTATGCTTTCTGTAGATCATAGCAACCGGTCTAACTTACCTTTCATAGATATATTCCAACGACTCGTTGCAAAAAGCTCGTAAACGTGGATCTTCACAACACCTCATTGCATATTAGATACAGCAGTGCGCTCTGAGGGCTGGATCGTTCAATGAACCATCATGATTGGTGGCTTCTACAACATCTTATAGACTGACTATTTAATTTGCTTCAGTATACTGCTCAATCTGTACAACAACACATTTCAATTTCGAAGCTACACTCGGGAGCAAAAGAAAAATGACAATTTTACAGGGTCAATGTAAGGACGCTCAGACTAAAAGGCGGCGCAGAATAGGTGAAAGTTTGACCGGTTGCGATGGTGCTGTTCACCGGAATGACAAGCTGTGGCGTCGATGGAGTATTGCTGGCGGTGGCGCTTCCCGTCAAGACTTGTGCTAGCGCCGTAGATGAAACTGAGCTGAAAGGAAGGCTGAATGTCACAGGCGGAAGCGTTGGCCACTGTATTAGCGACCTGTCAAGCAGATTAGAACACACCAGGTTGACATATAAAATCAATCGATATCGCAATGGAAGCGCACTTTGATAATGAGCTCATTTGGTATTACCGATGTCTTTCGGACTACTGTCCAAAATAATGTGCCGTCACGGGCCGGCAAGGTGCTTGGTATGTATTCGTCTCCACGGTTCCTGCTAAAGAGCTGCAAGATAATAAAGTCAGAGGTGGCAAGGGTCGATGGGTTGTTGTGCGCGACCTTCTGAGCGTAGTAACTCGTTGAGAGATAAACCGATCCAGCGCTAAACGAGATTCAATTTAGAGCATCAAGAGTATATGAAGGAACATACTCGAAACTGATCAAGTTGGGATGCTGTACAGTAGTGATCATCAGTATGACCGTAATATCATGACGCTGATAGCAAAATCTTACCCATTGGGAAGAGGCGACATTTCTGAAAAATTGTAATCAGTCAAGACAATAAAGATAGCTCTAGACGAAGGGCTCACATTGAGGACAGGAGCAAATGACGCTGCAAATACGATGTCGCTGTTTCCTAGAATTCCCGAGTAAGAGAAAAAGGTTCAAATAGATATGGCAGTATGAATTACTCTCAAAGCCCATCATGAAAACAGCTTCAGCTGCCGTTCCTACAGAATGGTTATCTATGAACGTTCTTTCTCTCTTAAAAATTATACCAATACCTTGCATGGTAGGAAACGTCAAGGGTTGCTCCCGCATCATTTGTCGTCGACTGCATATTCTCCCTACCAATGAGGTCAATAGACTGAGATAACTAGGCTGTCGTACAACTGACCTCAAAATATTGTGTACCATCGCGCTACGAAGATCAGAGAGGCCTAGGGATATGTAGATCACCAACTACGAACCGCAACATCGTCGTAGAAGAACCCGTTTTGAACCATTCCGGCTACACAAGTGGCATCAGCGGAAAGACGAGATGAGACGAGTATACATACAGCGAGAAGTGTAGAGATGATTGTCATATTCGGTGGGAGTCGGGGAGAGGACCGGGTTGAACGGAAAGGTGGTGGCAATATAGTCTTTGTCAAATATCCTCAATACGAGTTGCCAAATCACAGTAATTAATTCACGCACGAAGATCAGGGAACTCTGCCTTGAGGGCATTGACGAAGGCTGGCCATCGATAGGTATATCTTTTCTAAAGTTAGAAAGTGAATATTGTGTGCCAGTACGTTGCACAAACGTCGAAGATGCAAAAAAGTCCTATGAGGCGGGGTCAATAATGCTGGTAGACTGAACTTGAACCCTAAGGTACTTGCTTCGTTACCAATCTCGACGTATTTCAATTTGAAAGGTTCTGGGTGACCGAGAGACGCTCGTAGCGCCGCTAGGGAAGCGCATCAGTCAAATTTTAGGCAGCTTCGAAAGCAAAGAAGCCGTGAACCGACCATTTGCATTAGTAGCGGGATCACCGATAGTGAAATAGATCTATATGCATGGTTTACAAATCACACGAGACAATATTTTCCTGGACTACTAACCTGATCTATCGCCTGCTGAACGTAGGGACCTAGTTGGTCCTGCGGTACAGATGCGCCTCCCAGTGCGAATCCTTGGTGCAAATCAGCTAAATGGCAAAGGGAAGAAAAGGTGAAAAGCATGCCTGCCCAGACCGCCATTATAGGCTCCATGTTCAGGTCTTCGCACCAGGTAAGATACTCCAAGAGACCCAACCCACTGTGAGACTGATGTTAGTGACTATTCAAATGGAAAATAACCGTATATACTCGGTATTGATATAGCTCCAGTCACCAACACGGCCTGACCCATGTCAACGCTAAGATAACTTGACACTATAGTTGCAACATAAATACCTGGACGATCGACAAGAGGTCCTAATGTCGCGTTCCATTGCCACCGTTGTGCGATGGTTCCTCCCTATGATCCGTTAGATATACATAGCTTGATAGCATCGTGATCCAAACCTCCTAATACGTGAGTTAGAGGAGATATTATCGGACAAACCAGTGAATCTCACGAGATTATTACCACCAGGAAACCTGAAAAAGGATGGGCCCACGTCTTGAAGAGCCTGCCCATCTCACCGTTTACCGAAACGCCAAAGATATTAGGAATACCCACGTTAGCAATATCCACGCGCATGCCGTTCTGCCTGTTCTTGAACGTCGGCGGGAACAACGAAAACATCGCGAAGTTGACTGTTTGGCCTGCAGCTGCAGTACCATCCACGGTGACAGTGAACATATTCGCCGTAGATGCCGGAGTAGTGGCCGGTCTTAACCTGGCGCTCACTTGAGTCCAAGACGTTCGGGAACCCGATATAGAAATTGAGCTGCTAGCGAGAATTTGACCCGATGTCGTTTGGAGTCCAACATTGATGTTTCCCAGAAAAGAGCTTGCGGTGGGAAAGCGGTAGAAGAAAGAGACAGTGTATACGCTTCCCTGGGTTACCTTGATACCTGTTATTCATGAGACCATTTTTCACTGTGGATCGTAAAAGATGACCTTACCAAAGTATCCGGTATTCCCGAAGCCAACGGCGCCGGTACTTCCAGCCGGAATAGTGACATGTAGCGCATTAGGGAGAGCAGAAGAAACCGGCTGAGTATCTGCAATTACAGCTAACGATGCACCATTGATTGCCTGCCAAGCATTCAGTGCCGCTGTAGTGCCTGAAAAGGAGTGAGTTCCGAGGGTATGGATTCAGAACTGGAGCGCTACCTGGCGTTACTTGCTGAAAGGCGCGATTTTGAAGAACTGTGGGGTCGGCGGTTAGTTTTGCTGACAATGAACCGATAATAGACTAGTTCAAGTTACGCTCGGCATAGAGGCCGCCGTCCCCGCTCTGTAAGAGTATTATTTTTACAAGGTATACAGATGTTCAACGCATACGAACATGCTGGTTATGAATGTCTGTTTCAGTACAACCGGCACAACGTCAAAACAAGAAACACTGACGCTAATGTCCTGTCAACAGTATTCGAGTTGATTTAACGTCAGTGGAGAGTGCGAGAAGATCATACTTCATACATAACTCCCCCTGAAAATAGGCGTACGGTAAGTTCACCAAAATACCAAGCGTGGAAAGAAATACCCACATAAGCTCGTCGGAATGGCATGGCTAGCCGTCGCACTGACGCTAACAGTTGTTTGCGCCGTACACACCCCTACGAGCAATCCAAGCACGGAAACACCAAGCTGAAAGGTCTTGAGCATCTTGAGGCTGTCAATTTCCCATGCGTGGAGATTCAAACTTGCGTTAGCGCTCCTTTTGAATAACCTTGAGCCAACGGCCCGTCGACAATAGCAGCTGCTTTCTATCATTGTCACCGTTCAGCATCTCTCCGGAAAGCGTCACATGAGGCTTGCGAAACCGGATAAAGAGAGGGAGGCGTATCCCGCTGTGAGAAAAGAGCAGTTAAAAAAGGGTGTCAGATGTCACCTGTTGACACGAAGAATGACGGTTATGGGAGTAAAACGAGACAATATAGGACACTGCACAAGGTGAGTAGATGCGTAGAATATCTTGTGAGCCATGAAGGAACGAAAGATGCTGCGTGACGGTGCAAGCGTGGAGGCGAAAGGCCTGGATGCGTGCTTACTGTACCTCAATGAACAAGCAACGGACCGACATAATTTCAAAGAGTAGCATAGATAGACAGTCAACCTCAACGGTTCCGCCCATCCGTTATGAAGCTGTACCCACCGAAGGCGCACTAAGACTTGACCAAAACAGAATGAAAGGCAAATGGAAGGAAATTCCAGTGAGAATCTGTAGAACGGTCTAGAACGGCCCGAGCCGATCGCCTTCAACTCCGGCCAAAGCGGCCCGTGCACAAACCAGAGCAAAAACTCATCCAGTTTATCCAGATTTCCAGGGACCACTTGTCAGCGCGACTAATGCTGCCTACTATTATAAAGTCCCATAAACCCAATCATCGTCCGCTTCACAAAATTGAATCTCCGTGATTGCAGGCGTCACATTTTATAGCTTGGAAGTGTCTATCTTGACATATTGTAACAGATTACGCCTAACGACAATGTCTATGAACTCCGGATTATATCAAGTCTCCATTCGAAGAGAGACTTGGAAGCACCAGAAATGTGCTATGTTGAACAGGAAGTGTTGTAGCTTTTCAGAATACATCTTACACATTCCTTATAGCTGTACCATCTTTGGTCACTGTACTCACAAACATCCACGTAGCTGAACTTCGTTAAACCGCGATCTCATTTCGAAGGACGTCTGCTACCAATGGCAATGTGCTTCAAACCTTAGTTATCAAGTGTTCCCATCTACGAACCATGGTGCCTGACTCTGCATAGATATTGGAAACGTAAAAAGTGACTGGCACGTGTACGTTCTCTTACTCCGGCCACCACCCAGCAGCGTCGTTGAGTACGTCTCTGCCTCTAGTTGCACGTTCAACAGTATGCTTTCCCTTGTCCCTTCGCTCACTTTTAATAAACCAGTCAAGCCGTTCGGAGATCAATCCAAGGACCTCGACCAACGCTGGCTCGCTGCCTCCAACCATGTCTCTGCAGCAGATATCCGTTTACTCTTTTTCAAGCTCATCTACTTCACCCCGACCATCAGGCCTCAGGGGTGGGATCAAGAAGGGATTTCCGCCAACACGTGTTCTCGCACCTTACAAAGCGAGGAGACAGTAGTGAATAGCACAGCCACGTGGGCGGAGCGCCGGCTGGCAACCGAGCCTATCGGTTTAGCCCGCCCCGGATCTCTCAAGTTAACGAACATAGCACCGTATAAACTGCCCTGCCTGATCGCCTCTGAGCCTGTAGATCTGCGATCTACAGATCGACTACCTTGAAGGCTGAAATTCTCCCGATGTGGTTGAATTGCGACCCGGGCCTTCTCAGTCGCTTCATCTTGTCCCCTTCATCTATATCCAATCGATCATGCTGAAAAGTCCCACAGTTCCTGCTGCTATAAGTTTTCAAGATAACAGGACAGCCTGTTCAAATTCTCGCCATGTTGAGCTACAACCACTATGGTAATGGTACTATCCCGTGTTTCACTACATTGTCTCCATGCTTGCTGACTGAACAATTCAGAATACCATTACAACACATACCCCACGGCTGTCGCATCTGATAGATGTGTGCCCGTTTCAAATCCGCTCCTCTCTCATGAGAGCTACTATGTTCCTAATGGTATGTTTTCCTTTTCACCTGCCGCGGCTGCTGCTGACTTGTCTTAACAGGATATGTCGACGAGTGCGGGATATCTAGCTCACAGCCCGTCCCTTCTGTAAAGCCCAATACAGCATGTACGTGCTGTCATCCTTCGCTTCATTGTCACCGTCTGACTGCTTTTATCAGTCCCTCAGCAAACACCTTTCGCACCTTCCCAAGTGCAATACCAGGCCTACGAATATAGTAAATATTCGTCTCTGATTTCTAACTTGCAGGTCTTACAAACATCTGTAGCTAACGTCTCTGCCATTTCATCTTGGTCTCCAGAATACAGCATGTCAGAGGCACCGCCCTCAGTGCCCTCATCGTGGACACCCTTTAGTCCAACGACAGCTGAATTTTCCCTAGATTGTAAGGATTTTCGCTCTTTTTTTCGAGATCATTTTAAATATTTGCTCTCTTGACATAGCTCTTTATTCGTCCCCTTCAATGACGGATGGCTGCACGAACGTGTTTGATCTTCAGTTCAGACACTCGCTGCAATCGCAGAATCTCGAGTGCAACCTTTCCTCCAGTTCTGTTGGTTCTCCCGAGTCGCGTATCCCTCGTGAGGTTGTTCGTCCAACAACGACGCCAAAGAAGCCAATTCGTTCTCGAGACGATCAGTATTCTCCACGACGACGGCGGCACCCATGTCTCATCCCTGGATGTCAGCGGCGCTTCACCAACCAGTATACGCTCAGAAAGCACCTGCAGGCACATATACCGAAACCCCCCGTTTCGTTTTTATGCGCGCTAGGATGTGGTGGACGTTTCTCAAGGCAGCATGATCGCCTTAGACACGAGGTTGCCCAACACGGCAAGGTGTGTGAGTTCTCATGCGATGCCTGCGGAAGCTTCTTTTCGATGGCCAAATCTTTGAACAATCACAAGTGTATGGAGCCAAGTGCTATGCGATGGATTTATCATGGGACTCAATGATGAGTCGTGTCTGGTCGCATGATTTGTGTCTTTTTCGAGAAAATAGGATAGGTCTTTGGGGAACCATTGAAGTATCAAAAATTGTACGATATATTCAATAGCGTTGGATTATTTATTACGGACTTCATGTCAGCTCGAACCTTGATTTTAAGCAACGGAACACCACAATCAACAAGGCTCAGCCACACAGCGTAACCGCCGTCATCTGATTTCGAGCGTAATTGATACTTCCTTCTTTCCTAAAAAGGTCTTTGGTCTTCTCTCGGTGACTCTTACTTCGACATGAGTCACCTTCGGCTTTGGATAGGGTATCAATCCCACAAGATGTAACGGTTTACTCCTTGGATTTTCACCAAGCCAAATCCTTCTCGGGACCACATAGCTGGGAAAATATTTCCGGTGTTGTTCTTTCTTGGGACATCTCTGATAGAAAATCTAGACCAAGGCTGTACCCGACGTGCGCTCCTGAACTTCATCATTCACGCCGATCTCGAACTTAACGAGACAGCTTACACTTACTAGAAGTTGGGATGGGATGCGCACGCCTTCCATCTAGCCCCGGACCATTGAGCTCGACCCCGATCAATTGATATGAATATCCTGAACCTGGACCTTCGCGGCTCTCGTCGAGAGAACCGCAACTTGAACGAGAACCTCCCTGGGAATCGGGATGCTACAGAAAAGGAGCAAAGGTCATTAATCTTTTGAGTCGTTTGTTGGTCAACGGTCGAAGGGGTTCTGCTCCATCGACTATGTTGTGTTTGGAGAATGTTTACGTGTATGTCAGAAGCATAAACGAACTAATGTGTTAGAAGGATCTGAAGGTGACGGTCACATAGACTTAGCCATTATTGCTACGATGTATTGCTTTCTGATAGGCTGCACTAAAGGTTTATGAACTATTGATTCATGCCACACATCAGCAATTCGATTTTATTTAGAACTTCCGAAGAAGCGTGGTGACCGGGACCGAACTGGCGTACTTAGTATCGTGTTCGGTATGTTGACAGGCGAAACACGGAAGTACTATACTATCCTTTGAGTTTGCACAACTTGATGAAAGGACCGTGAATAGATGGCGAGAATTCACGATACTTTACGCGATCCGTGATCGCAATACATAAAGCAGATACGCGAGGATGGATCCTTTAACGTGAAAAATCATAGTGAAGCCAAAGGAGTATAAACGATGCGTTATTGAGGAGGGATAGACCAACGTTAGTGTCGACCAACACCATGGCGAAAGCAATGTTCATTCAGAAAGGAGAGATAGGAGCCTTCTCCAACAATAAACCTATTTTCGAAAGGTCAAGCATCAGAAACCGTTATTTTAGTGCGATGAAGGGGGCAGGCAAGAAACTTAACAGCGCTCCCGAGTGGCGCGACTAGACTCCATCAATTAACATCTTGACAGAACTGGTGCCACAAAACTTTTGATAACGGTCTGGAAGCATGCATGTTCTGAAGGAGCTGCTCTGGATACGGATGTTCTTACGCCTTAAAGTTCTCTTATTCCTCGTCCATTGCCGAGCATTGTAATTTGTCGGAGTCGAAGTCGCTGGTTCTTATTCATCAATGTTCTGCAAGACATAATGGCAAAATATGGTATCATGTCATCTGGAAACACTTGCGTGTGAATGATGAACTTTGCTGCCTACTGAGTTTCAATGCTCAATCTGATTGCTGAGATCCTTACCAAAGTTCTGGTGCCTCCTCTCAACATGAAGCATTACTTGCCTGGGACTAATCAAGAGATCGTTCAAGACCATCATCGGGGTGTAAAAAGATTTCCTTCCAAAGTTCTTTCCGAGTCTTGCCGTGACTGCGCGTACCGCGTTCTACCGCGTTCCAGTCATAAGACTTCCACGTGATCTCGTCGACGACCTTAGTAGTAAGGTACTTCCCTTTCCTTTCCCTCCCTAGTCGCTGATCCTTATCCGAACCTGAAGAGGTTAATCATTTCATCGTTTTCTTGTCTGCGCGATTCTCACTGTACCATTACTTAGTTTCTCTGGTGCAGGTGCCCCTCAGTCAATCTGGGCTTTGTGGGATGCACTTCATGTCCAAGTCCACTGCATATCACATCGGCAGTGTGCTCGGATTAAAAACCAAAACTTTGACAGGTAGATCATCGGAACATCGTAACGCGTCCCACCTGGACCTGTCGAGACCGAAACATCACCGATCAAGAGCTCTTAATTTCCACCTGAGAAAATCTCAGCTGTTCATAATTGACTCAAAAATCCCATTTGTGTCCACCCGGCACAGCACAAGTAAGTAATGATAACATGTGATGATGATAACATGGGTACATGTATGGTAGTGAGATAGCATAACACTTATAAGTAGGAAAAAATAAGTGGTAGTACAAAAATTGGTACATAGCTGAGAAAAACACAACACATCCATCTGTGCTGGGCTGCTGTTAGTAGTACATAGTACAAGCAAGCATGAGCAGAAAGATGAATAAAAGACATGGATATATGAGGGTGGTCATATAGTGGGCAGGATGGCATCTATGGCACCTCCTCCAGTGATGATGATGCAAAGCACCATTGCTTCAAAAAAGCATTATAAAGATCCTCAGGCGAAGATGGGGGACTAGAAGGTGATTTCTTTCCCCCTGGCAGAGTGGATGCTGAGCTGAGAGTCGGAGAGGCACCTGATGACGATGACGGCAATATCGGCTCGCGTTCAGGCCTGATGGCATCTAAATTGAGCATCGAGAAGGGAATCGGAAGACTCGCCGGCTCAGCGTACATGGGTACGTCCGTCAATGCCAACGCGTTCGCCCGTTCCTTGATGGGCGAGTCCGGTGGGGAGTTGCTGCCTCTGGATAGAGAAGGCGTAACATCGCCATCCCTTGTCGGAATGCACCGGGGAGGTATCCGTTTGCGGCTTGAAGGTCCCAAACCAAAACACGCCGCCACCCTCTGCTCGTTCTGTGGTAGGACTCAGTTGCAGAGGGACGGTGTTGGGTTTGGCATAGTTGGGCAGCTTGAGACCTTCCAGATGATGCCGAAGCGTCGCCTCTGACTGCGCACGGTTATGTTGCGGAGGAGGCGACAGAGTCGGCGACAGGGTGGATGTCGAGGGAACGGAAACCGATAGATTTGTAGGTGAGGGAGGAGCAATCGTTGGGAATGGAACCGAACTCTCGAATGGAGTTTTCGTCAGAGGTACAGGGGCACGGGCTTTCTTGATCGTTGCAAGTGATGCGTCTAAAGTTAAATAAAGTGAACAAGTGGGAATGGACTTGGTAGTATAGGTACTTACGATTGGGGCTTCGAATGAAGGCTACACGATAGTTTTTCCCAGCGTTATTGTCCCACCATTCACCTCCGCCTGTGGAATATCGAGCGACCAGAAAGATGGTGCGATCGATAAGGGTGGAAGTGTAGTCTCCCAGTTGAATTGTATATTCAAAGCGGTCCCAAGTGGCAGATCCTCCTGTAGCAACACCTGCGGCGACATCACCTACAGTAAGGTAACTCTCGGGCGAAACAGCATGGGGTAACGAGGGCAATGACGTCTGATACCGAGCGGCTACTTCAGACGTCGTTTGCCATTCGTCAAGGGTGAACCTGACGTAGACCCTGCTTCTCGTAGGAAATATTGCGCACGAGGAGCGTGCCTTTGAGCGCCAGTGTGGATTGGGGAAGAATCAAGGACTCTAGTATGATATTAGACCCCTTTCTTGGGACTGTAAGGCTTGGTACGGGGTCGGTAAATGGAGACAGAGAATACGAGGGGATAGCGAATGGAAATGGGAATCGTGGGGTCGCTGCAATACGAGAAGAACCGTCCTCGGTCTCGGTTTCGGTCTCTGCATCGGAAGAGGGAGTAGTTCGAAACAGGGAAGCGGGCTTCGCAGACCTGTTGAACATGCGGACCGTTTCCAGCTGGTGAGTAGAAAAGTGAACATTTTTGTGGCAAGGATGTTCATGATACGAAATAGCAGGTGCCGAGGAGGCAGACCGAGCACGGTAATGTTGGATAGACACTAAGGGCATATCAGGGACGGACGACGAACGCGGTGAGCTTTTAAGGGATGATTTGAGGGGTCGGCCATTGGAGAGCAAGACAGGCGTCGAATTTGAGCGCTGGGGCGGGGAAGGCTTATTGGGAACGTCTTCGGGCGAGCTCCGTGGGAAAGTTATGCCCAAGTGAGTATCTACCTGTAATGGAATTGCTGTACGGGGGCCGAGGAGATCATGGTCGTCGTTATCGTTCTGGAAATGGAAGACAGGACGGTGTTGAGGAGCAAAGGCACCTGAAGGATGTGTATACGAACGGCGGTGAGTCGAACGTCTTGTGTCGGAATTAGGCAGCAAGTAGGGCATACGGCTAAAGAGGGTCGTGGTTTATCGCCAACCAGGCGGATGTGCACATTTCTTCACTTGGTCTTTTTTGCTTTTTCAATCATCGCAAGTTTTTGGCCCGATTCAATCTCGTGTCTTATCTCCTCGATCTGATTACTTAGTCAGCTTTCGGCACATTGCTCTAGCTCCATATATGACTTTTCAGCGGATCCACCATTACCCTACCACTTTTGCGTACACCTTCCTACTCTCCGGTCTGCCGTTAATTTTCTTTGGCTCGTGGGTGGTGCAGTTGTAAAGCTCGCCTCTGCCACAATCAAGTCCCGGGTTACATTGCTGCCTAGGTGTAAGAGAAGTCGCCATCTAGCTAAGTACCATTCCGAATCTTCGGCACAGAACTGCGATGGTTCCTTCCAGACTCCTCCCTTACGTCTGTCGGACATGTCCTTCACCACTGTTCTAAATTAATATATGTATGTATATATCCGTATTATATCTGTCAAAAAAAGAACCAGCCAACCCTCCCCCATTCTACCGCTGCGACATGTTCCCTCAACGTACTTCATCCTACTCATCATGCTTCTTGCAGCCGCAGTCAACTCCTTTCAATATTCTTGCGTATGATTCTTCTGCTCCCGCCCGTTTCAACCTCGGGCTCGAGCTATACCTTTCTTACTCTCTACTCCTTGTGGCTTGTCTATTCTTACCATCGTATGTCCACCGGTGTCGATGGCCAATTTTCTGCTCTTGGATTCACCATCAGTAAAGATCTCATCATAGAACGTTCCAGGGTGAGAGGAAATGCAAGCATTCTCGCATACGTCGAAGCCTCCAGCACAAGTTCATGATGTTGACAACCCTGCAACGTTACGTGTGCCCCGCGCTACGGCTCGTATGTCTTCTCAGAGTGATAATATCGCGCCACTGCGATTGGCCCACACTCTCAGTCCCCTCAAACTTCTCGTGAGACTCACCTTCGGCCATACGTTGGGTTCGTACTATTAACAACGCGTATTTTTATTCTAGAGGGTAAAAACTCGTCACTGCACACGTTGTCGATGCTGTGAATACGCGTACTCGGCTACCTAAATACCCTTACGGCGCGGCAGGACATCCCGCACATCAGGCATTGATTGTAATCCCAAACACTAGGAGGCAATACGGTGAAAATATCTATGATTATCACTCCATCCCTGGTGAGCAGGAACGACCAAACTGTATTCATCTTGAAGGGCAGGTCTTGCCGTCTAACCATCTTAGAGACATAGGCAGGCTTTTCGATAGGTGCCGAGAATAGCCCAGGCATGAACCTATCCCGCTGGGTTCAAACTTCAAAGTCATGGGTCAGTTGTAGTAGTCAATGCTCTGGTGATGTGGCAAGAGTGCGGCGACTAACGTGCTCGTCTGAGTCGTCTTCTTCCTCCGACCCTCCTTCGTCACTACGGGACCGCTGTCTTGGGCAATACGTATACGCAAGGATCCTTTCTGCGGATTTATTGTCCTTATTGGTTTCGCCCTGCTAGGATGACTCCAAATGGAGACTCATTATGCCGGTTTCAGTATGTCATTCCGAGTCCTATGTATATGTAGTAGGATATCGGTTATTATGCCAGTTTGATTACTGTGGGAAATTCTATTCGTTAACGGAGTTTGCCGATTTCCCTCCGTGCTTTTCTACCGTTCCGTTCCGCTTCGGTCTCTGACCCTCCGTGCGCCTGTCATGCGTGTTGCGTTCATGGTGACTTTCTCCATTTTGTTTTCCCCCTCTGATATTTGTTCACACCACGACATGTTTTTCCTATCTTCCTTAAAGCTTCATGTCCGCCGCGTGTAACTAATCGGTAAGGTAACTTCCATAGCCCGCCCTTTCCCTCTTCGCATTCTCTCTCTTCGCCCTCTCCCCTCAGTCTTTGCCTTCCTCCCCACTCCGTATTCCTATTGCCAACAACGTGATGAAGTATCGGTTAGCGGATACTGTGTACTATGGCTCGCGACACTTAGCTGCGTGGTATGTACATTGTAGACCCACATAATAGAGTGGCTTAACGATGGTATTTCAAGGACGACTGCTTGACATGACGCGAGACAAGACAGGGAATGATTGTAATGGGTCCAGTTCATGGATTTATAGGTGTGGCTCTTCCAAGCATTTCGTTCATTTCTTATGAACCTCCATGACCTCCTCTACCACCTTAGAACGACCCATGATATCTCAGAGGTCGCCCTCCAGCACCGCTCTCGCTACTGGGTCTATATCTCGTCTTATTTGGCGTCGTTGGCGCTGCCTGACTCGTTCCAGTTTGTTCAGGCTTCGTCATCTATGTTATATCTACCTCTGCCCTCTGGGATTTTGGATGGCTGGGAAACATGACTTTCGCTGTAGCTTTGTTCGAGGTCTGTGCGGCTTTAATTAACCAAGACGTGTACAGCAGATGTTGACTGGCCATCATACAGGTCTTTAGCGTCTACTAGTTATCCTGCACAGTGCATGTCTGGTCTGGCCATGACACCTATTCGGAATGACTGCAGGTTGTTTTGACGCGAGTTGGCAAGTCCGGCCTCACCAATCTTTCCGAGGACGACTTTGATACAAAGTCTCTAGACCAGTCAAGACCCAGAAGTTCCTTGTCCTAGATATTGCATGCACAATCTGGATACTAGGGGTGTATTTATGTAGGCCAGCTATTATATGATATGATGCTGTTGCAGACACAAACAATAGAATATGAAAAAAAAAAACAGGACTCGGACCTGCCGCGCGGATGGATCGGCCCTCATCCCACTATTTCTTCGAGTATGACTTCGCCTTGGTGGACTTCGGGTTGCAGAAAACTATGGGAGTTGGTACGGAATTTCATTCGCATTATTTCGTATCAACTAATATGTGGTGATGGTCGTAGCCCTGCGTATCTGGTCAATATATCACTTTTCCTTCCACCCTGACGTGCTGTGTGATCTATGTAACAATTATATTAGGTGGGTATTAAATGCATAGAGCGCGTCGCTTAAGTTTATTATGTTTGATGACGAGGTCAAGGAACGACTACTTGGATGCTATGACGTCGCTAATTGTTTCAGTTCCTCATTGCGGTCACCATCAGGCTCGTGTGGTACTACTACCCCTGCCCAAATGGACGCAGATTCGACGACGGCGTGTATACCTCAACGCCGTGGCGCATTATTCTGTTTCGAGAGCACTCTATAGGTTATTTTGTGCCTGTCCCTTGGCCTTGTCTCTCGATTTGAATGTCGCTGATCGCAGCTCCGTTTAACTTCCACTGGCTATATTCGGGGCCCGTCGGTCAACCTCAGTCAGGATAATGGTTTCGTTGATGATGAGAAACCATCAGTCGTAAACATGTGCTCATCCCCCTACTTTGAGCGATGTGTTCCGGGAAAGAAAAGCGCATTCGGATCGGATTTCTTCACAATAAAGGAATCATTAGGCACTTTACTCGGTCTACAGCAGTGCGGAACACCCTGAGGGTCAACACAATAACCGTACTAGACTAACTGGGCCAGGCTCCGTAACCAGGATGGATACAAGACGTGACGGCGCTGTCCGCATGGGTTTCCTATTATGGCGCGCGTTGTTTCTTGGATCACATTGAATTCCTCATAATTCTGATGTCCCGAGCACTTTACCTCCAATTCCCCGGGCCTGCAGTGCCTTGCCTTGTATTTTCTGCGGCCTTCGACAGGTTCAAGCCGCGTATAAAATTCTCCGTGTCGTCACGGTTCGTTTCCCCACCAGCTGTCCTTCAGCCCGGTGTCGTAAACCTAGGTCCTTCTCTCTGACTATGGTCGCGTTGATCTTCGTCCTGTTGTCGGCCCTCTCTTTGGTGTCTGCTGCTCCGTTTCCAGGTAGCGGTCATCATAGTATCTTCGTAAAGCCTGGCAGCGGAGGCATCCTCTGTATCTTGTTGCCTTGGCTGTGTCCTCGGGATACACAGACCAGTACAGAGGTCGCGACAAGTATTGGCACCGCCAAAGGGGTTGTTAATGGTACAGCGGTCAGGTTCCCCGTCAAGTACGCCTCCGCAGAGAGGTGGCAAGAATCCGAAGTCGCTTCGGAGTGGGAGCTCCCGTGCGTGTTTTATTTTGCTTTGCTTTGCGCTTTCTGACATTCGTATGTGGTGCAGCAATAACTCTTCGGATGTGACGGCTATGCCTCTGGCTTGCCCGCAGTCGGATTTGGACTCGTCGCAGTATTCGGAGGACTGTTTGTCCATGATCCTCTACGTCCCTGCGACGCTCACCGTATCTGACAATGTTCCGACACTTACATGGTGCGAGAACTGTCTATCTATCAGTGGAGCTGATTAATTAACTCCTGGACAGGGTGCATGGAGGATCATTCATCACAGGGTCCGCCAGTGATGAAGGTTTGGATGGCTCGAACCTTGCTTCCACAACGAATTCCATTGTTGCTGTAATCCAGTACCGCCTTGGAGGTGTAAGCACCCTTCTTCCCCCCTTTGCTAGAAACTCGTGTTCATGTTTCCACGTTTAGCTCGGGTTTATGGCTCCCGACGGTAGCATGAACTTGGCAGTCAAGGATGTCATCAACGCAATGAAGTTTTTGCAAACCATCCTGCCATCCTTTGGCGGTGACAAGTCCAAGATCACATTGGCAGGTCAAAGTAGCGGTGCCAATATGATTCGTGCTTTGTTAGCCGTGCCATCGGCATCATCCTTGTTCCAGTCTGCTATTTTACAGTCAGACCCGATGGTACGCGCCTCCTTTTCTTCGGCTTATTAGTGGTGCCAACCCCTTTTTTTAGAATTTCGGATTCCTGTCTACGACCACGCAGGAGACCTTGCAGAGTTATTTCAATGGACTTATCTCTTGTGGAGCTTCGGACACGGCCTGCTGGGATGCCCTTTCACTGGATGACATTCTTAATGCCCAATCGACCTTGTTTAGCAATGCTGCCTCCCTCGACGCGTCTACAGGGACTGCTGAACCCATTCGACCGGTTCGTGACAACACCTTAATCACATCCCCGCTCGACTCTACCGCCACCTTCCCGTCCGTGAGCAAGCCCATCCTCGTCACTTCCGTACTCAACGAAGCCGGCCTCACCATCTACGGCTCCTTTACTGCCAAACTGTCTGAAGTATTCTTTGCAGCCGTCGCCGATCAGTTTCTGGGAGACGAACGCACAGCGATTATAGCCAACTCGACTTTTTATACTCCAACGGACGAGGATGACGATACGCGAATTAGGTTGGAGAGGCTCGGGACGGATTATATGTGGAAATGTGCAAAATGGACATTCGCAAGAAACTGGGTTAGTAGCGGAGGTACGGCGTACGTTGGCCTGTATACTGTCGGCACGTCGTACCCCTTGAATACCTACGTCGACTTCTGTCACGAAGATGGGAAAGTGTGTCATCGGGACGATATAGAGATAGTGGTAAGTAGTTCTTCTCTCTTTGAAAATAGTCGTTCCTCACTCCCTCTTTAGTTCGGGACCGTGCCCAACCCTTCCTCAACTCAGGCTGAACTCATTTCAGAGATGCAGCAACGATATAAAGCCTTTTTACACTCTGGCAACCCTAACGTTAACGGTCTCATTACCTGGAACGCGGCTGGCTCCTCCGATGTGAATGCACTTCAGCTCGGAGCGACAGGCTCGTTCGATGTCGGTGCTTGCATCCCCTCTTTCTGGGGTGCGGCAGTCGAATACGATTATCAAGTTTACGGGATTTAATCTTACCCCTCACGACGGCTCACTCAAAGGGCTTTGCCACGAGCTTTGTGTTTCACTTTCACACAACTTCAAAACTCATTGTCATTCGCATTGATACCAATCCTCTTCGCAGCATTCGCAACTAATTGCTTAAAGTTTTTCATCCTTGTAACGATATTGTATCTTACGCTTTCCCCTTCTTTGTGGTATCATCGACATGTGTATCAATTTGTTTAACAACGCTTTCGGTTCGTCCATAGTCCTCATGTAGCAAACGTCGCTGTCGTCTTGATTTATCCGATATCTAATTACTTACAATGAAATCTTTATTTGCTTTGCCTCGTTTATCTACCGTGGGAACGTTACGCCACATTCGCATCCTTTCCTTCACCACCATCATGGCCAACGGACCTCCTACTCCTCCACCTACCACCGATATCGAAATACAGGACGCTGCGCGTGAGGAGGCGTCAGCAAATGCCAATGCCAATGAACAAACAGCGAGCTCCTCGACCGAGACCGCCCCAGAACCTGCCCAACAGCAGCAAGCGCCATCACGCCCACCACCTCCTCAGGATGTCTTCCAACAGGCATTCCAGAAGATAGCGTCCCTAGCGTCAGCGAAGCAGTGGCAGGAACTTATCTCTGTTGCAGAAAATGCTGATGTGTGGGTGAGTTCATGCAACGCCCATCAAGATTTCAGACTGATCATTGGGTATTTGACAGGGAGATGACGAGAGCCCTGTGTCAAGACTGCTCGTCGTCGCGCCCCTTGCTCTGGGGTATCTGATAATTGATGACCTGTGAGTACTGGTACCGATCGTTGCCTCCGGTGTTTGACCTTCGGAAGACCAGCGGCTCGCTTCGCGTTAACGCGCATACATCCACGGCTCCAGAAGCTTCCGATATCTATCGCTTTAGCAGTACTTTTAGAATCCTCTATGGAGAGGAAGCATGGAGAAGTATATGCGCGCGCTGAAGCACTGTACAACATGACGAAAGATACAGCCAACACACCGGATCCACAGTTTCCTGGCGTGCTTTCAGAGATGGTGCAGGCGTTTACTGGTGTGTGTCGTTGTATAATTATTTTGTGATAGAAGCCGATGTCGTGATGTTGTAGAATCCTTCCGGGAGAGAACATTCAGGTTGCTGTCGAAGGCGTACACTGCTTTACCACTGGCGCTCGCTCAGACATATCTGGGCTTGACTTCGGATCGTCTTCTTGCAGGTCCGTACAAGTCAAATTTCTGCCTTTTGGACTACCTGACCGTGTCTCTAGCTGCCGAAAGTAATCACTGGAGGTACGATGCTTCAACACAAGTTCTAAGTCCGACCGCCCCGACTGCTCCCATGGATGTTTCTTTGCCCGGTATGTTTCTATTATCTTTTTCTACATCCAAAACTGAAGTTTTATCTTCCTAGCATCTTCGTCTTTGGCTGCATTTGGTTTCATCGCAGACAGCGTCGCTCAAGTGGAGATCATGTAAAGATAACTTTTCACTGTGCATTGTTTTCACGCATCGCTTGTAATAACACTGTATCATGCTGCTTTCATTCATGGGACAACTCAGGGCAGCGCACTTTCTCACTCTTTTCTTCGCCTTTTCTTGTCATTCGTTGAGTTCGACCAACTGCTCACAGCCCACCTCGCTTCTGATGTACCTGCGCATACGATTGCCTCCAAGTAACTGATCCGAACGTACATGTCTCCCGCTGTGGGTTACCTTCACATTGCTCGCTCCACTCTGGTATTTTGAGAACCGACAAATTTTGTGCTGTGCAGTAGCTCAGCATCTGCCTATAGTCTTGGTATGTGCGTGGTTATAATCTTTCGCGCTGCTTGGAGTACTGACGTTCTCGTACTCACGGTATCGTTCAGTCATTTCTGCAGAGGGTCTACGGTCGTATACATGTGGGGAAAACGTCCTGTCATCTAGCATCAAGAAGACTTCATTTCCTGGGTTTTCGAATGCTTGAAGACTAGCATTCTATCTCGTAGGACTACTTTGAATCCAAGTCCTAAGAAATAAAAAGACTTATCCGCACAGGGCTTAACTCGTTCCAATGTCAACGCCCGTATTGATTACCTCGAGTGTTGCTTCAAACGGTTCATTACCCAGGTGCGCAATGGCTTGCGTTGATAGTATGCCTGTATATTTGATTCAGATGTCTTTTTTTCATACAGCATATATCCTGTCTTTCCACTAGATCTTCTCAGGTTATTTCGAATTGTGGCTACCGCTAGTACTAGTTTAGAAACAAGACAACCATAATATATGTCATCTCACTGTTTTATGAGTGAAAAAACAAGAGTTCGAACAAGGCTTCCAACCGGCTAGACCGGTCCGGCGATACAGCAGCAACGCGTGTTTGTATTTCTTGTTTCTCTTTCTTTTCTTTCACCATCATCATGGCCTCTTCCATAGATGTAACATCGGCGTCAGCGAACGGCATAGAGGTAACGGGACGCGACGAACCCATTGTCGAGGTAGGACATCCCGTACCTAAGCGCCCACCTTCAGGCCACTGATTGTTCGCGACGACAGAATGGATCAGGCATCGTCGAGACGTGGATATCGCTCCAGTTCACCTGGTCTGGGCGTTCTTTCTCGCTAGACATCGCGGATACCGATACGTAAGTCGCTCGCCCAACGCAATCGTCATCAAGCTAATGGTGCTTTCTTGACAGCGTGTATGATCTCAAAGGCTACCTTCATGGCCAGACTCGTGTCCCGCCCGAGCGCCAGAAGATCTTAGGCCTCGTCAAAGGCAAACTGCCACCTGATCAAGTACGCATGTACGTGCTCAATGGCGTGACTTTATTGGTTCTTTGATTTACTGGAGGTTTCAGCGCCGATTTGAAGCTGGCAGTCTGGGAAGAAGTTTTCGCTCGTTGGAACGCCAGAGGGCGATGAGATCAAGGATCCATCGGGTATGCAGTCTGCGATGTGATGGGATGCTCTTTGTTGATCGTTGACATTTGTAGCGTTGGAAGCGCTCCCTGACATCGTCAATGACTTCGACCTGGACGTGTTGCTCCTGGATTTCACGTCTAGGAACCGTTACCTCACTGACCCGCGGAACGCTCGCAAGGTGAAGGAATACACGTCCAAGACGCATATCAATTTCATCCATCCGGTACGTCCAGGCAAGAAGTTGTTGGTACTGGATATCGACTATAGTGCGTTTTTCTTGGATGGTGGTCGTGATATTTGAGACGAGTTATCTGCTAGCGATCCTGGATACGAAGCCTTTGACGTCTGGAAGCCTGCCACCCGCTGAATGCGCGCGCCCTGGCCTGCATGAATTCTTAGAGGCAATCTATCCGTTTTATGACAGTGGGTTCGTCTTCAATACTCACCAGCATACTCTCACGCGCGATTTCAGTCTGTATATGGTACGTCGTACTTGGTTTTATCTCCAGGGCAGATGCGGGTGCATCCTCCAGAATGATAAATGAGATCTTGACCGGTTTCATCATAAGCAATCCTTCCTCACCATACTCGACGAAAAAAATCCGGAAATTATTCCGTAGAACAGCGGTAATACTTCTCGCGGTGCTCCCCAGGGTTCAGAATCGGACCATGGAAAGCTTCCTTTAACGAAATCTGCCAAGATTCGTTTCTCGACACTGGAGATGCACCTGACCCTGCAGCGGCCGTATTAAATGCATTTACCAATCTGCTTTCAGGTCCCAGACGAGCTGGATTTGGCTGGAGACTAAATTGGTAGAATTGGGTATGGTTGGAGGTAGTCGCAATTATCAGGTGCGTATGCGTTCTCAAGAGCCTGATCCTATGTTTCTCGAACATTCGTATAGATCTCGTTCGGTAACTTGAAGCCCTCATGGTCTTTTCCTGCGCGCCGCTGACCTCTAGCAGTACTAGATAAGACGAGCATGTTCACTGTCTTTAGTCAACGCGACAACAAGCCGTGGCAGCATTCTGTCAAGCCACTACAGATCATATGGAATCTTATACCCCAGTTGTAAGTGGCCACGCATGTACTCCCACATTCTCTTATCAAATTCCGTGCGAATGATTAGTGGCGCCCGTAATACTATACACATAGATGATCTTGTAGGTCTTGCTGCCCGACGGTCATAACTATCCGACTGACTGATGCTCCGCCAGAGTCGTAATTTCGCTCTTAATCCTGGTCAGGGCCTCAAGATCCATGCGTTCAAGAATGCCCATACACCAGAGGCCTTGAGAGATCGAGAGCTGGAGAAGGTGGCAAGGTATATGCTATCTATTGCTAATATCGAGGATTTCAGGACGTTGGAGCATGGTGTGAGTAGCCGTGATCCATGACGCGATGCCCGCTTCGTTTCATTGATCTGCTTATAGAATTGGAAGGACGCACTGAAGAAATTGCCGCGTCCCTGAAGGAATGTGACCGTCTTTCCGCTTGTTCCGGAATACAGAACGTGTAGTTTCTTGTATAACTTTTTTTGCTATCGGGCTGTCGCTTGCACATCACTATCATGTAGCGCATAATACTATCATTATTGTACTGGAGGTCGTTGTTACGAATCCGGCACTTGAAATTGAGTACGTACCCGGGATCTCAACCGGACCGGTGACTTCCTTCTCCCATTTACCGACTACATCTGATGAGGGACCACCCAAATTCAAGGTATAAGACGCCGAGATGATTATTTGTGGCTTGCGTCAGTCTGTTCCTCGTTCTCGGCTTCGCTACGAATCTCTGCCAGCTCTCTGGATCCATTATCGCAGCTCGTCTTCCGGTACCATGTCCTCTTCTCGGCCTGTTGTGCCCCGGCCCTCTGCTAGTCTAGTCATTATCAATAAGCGTAATGAAGTTCTGCTTGTACATCGCAACCCCAAGGCTAGTGCGTTTGGAGGCGTACATGTAAGTTCCAGCTGCTACCCGCTAGCCCAGCAGAATCATGACACGCCCCCTACCAGGTCTTCCCGGGGGGAAACTACGACCAAAAACAGGACACCTCATTACCCATGACGGCGATCCGGGAAACATTCGAAGAGTCTGGTTTACTTGTTGGCGTCACAGGCTCGTCCCTTCCAACGGGTCCCGTCCTCGAAGCAGCACGCCACAAAATTCATTCCCAGAAACTCCTCTTCCAAACATTCCTCGACGAGAATCAGCTCTCGGTGCGTACAGACTCCGACGTTCTGCTTCCCTTCACGGAGTGGGATTACGCCTGTTGATGCTCCTCGGTCAGTGGCTCAGGGATCTCCATATGTGGTTAGACTCAAACGGGGACCCACAGACGCTTCCACGCCCGTTTTTACGTCGCGTTTCTAGACTCAGCTGCTTTTTCGTCTTCTGGTTTCTCATCGGGATACAAGGAGGAGCAAATCCCGAAGCCAGGCGAGTGGTCTGTTCGCCGTTCCGGTGTCTTCTTCTTCTAATCACAGTCTTGCGGGTTATCCTTATTCAGATGGGGGACAGGAAGTCATTTCGGCACGTTTCTTGCATCCCCGATGACGCATTAGCCGAGTTTAACGACGGGAAGGTCATTTTCATGCCCCCGCAGTTCTATATCTTGTATACTCTAGCAAGTATTCTGCGGGGAAATAGGAACTTACCTGAGCAGAGGGATAAGGTAGCGCAGTTATCGCGGGGATTATTTGGTAGGATGGTTATGAATCCTAGGAGACTTGAAGGATCCTTTTCCTCCTGGTGGATCGGAGGGAATACTCACGTATGAGGGAGACGAAACCCGTGGAGGGTCAAAAGGACGTCTGCATCGTGCAGCTCTGTCAGTTCATGAAAGGGAGGCGTAAGTATTTCTGCCTCCTGCTTTCATACTGGGTCGCAGCACTCATCTTCTTCTTCCTTAGTTGACCACTCGGATAGTCCTTCAACGTAACTTTGATATCTTCACCGAGATTGAAGCTAATGCATTTGAACAATCATCCAAACTGTAATGTAATGTAATGCTCGATAATACCTTACTCTTTATCTCTTTACAATAATATACAAGTGGCTTCCAGCCTACGTCCATGTCTGTCTTCAGCAGTTTTAATTACGCGTAAGTACTTATTCTAGACCTATGATCACTGCGGATTTTTTTTGTTGCCTCTACGTGTTGTTGCTCAGTTGCCCTTGCTTTTATGTGAATCCTGGAATTTTGTGCAGCGAGAAGACAGATGATTTGGGTGTGCGATATGTTAATCTTGTGGCATTTGTCCATTGATATTTTCAGCAATGAGCATACAGTCTACTGGTTGTAGTCCATCATCTTCGGTAGACTCTGTAGAATCACTATATACTGTAAGTGAGTTGGAAGAATACTTTATACCGTATGTGGACGGTACAATTAAGTCGTCTTCAGGTTCGATAAAAACAGCGAGCTCTAGCAAAGAGTTGGCGAGTTCGATCACGCTGCGACTAGTATTAGGTAAATGATGTTGAAAGGACGCAGTGGAAGGAACAGCAGGGTCACATTACAAGCCTGGCGTGACTCCGTACTAAACATCATCGTCGGTGTAAACTGAATTCGTTCACCCGCTAAGGTCAGCTCCGGCTTTCGGACCGTATCCCCGGACGACCCAACCACCAAATTTGTACTCCGAGTCAGCGCTTGACGCGATGGAATTACCTCAAATAGGTGCCCGTATTAGCCTCTCCGGACACATAGGAAGCATCCGTTTCGTCGGACCTGTCCACGGCACAAAAGGTACGTGGCTGGGTATCGAATGGGATAACCCGGAGCGCGGAAAACACGATGGTGTTAGAGATGGGACGCGATACTTCTTATGTCGGTAAGGCTATGTACTCCATTTTCGACCTCTATATTAAACTATTGTAAGGGTACCTAATTCTGGCTCGTTCATCTGCCCATCATCAAATGTATCATACGGGCGATCTTTCTTGGAGTCACTGCAGTCCAAGTATATTGAACTCCCACACGGATCTGAGTCCACGGAGAAAGTGATTCTTGGCTCATCTCACGGGGCTATCGAGATAGAAGCTGTAAATCTCGATAAAATTAGGCAAAAGTTCTCGAACCTGGAGAGACTCCGGGAAATCAGCCTTGACAATGAACTTGTCTGCAAGGGCGACGAACCCGGCGTCATCAATAAGACTTGCCCCAGTAAGTTCAATACAATCTTCTCAAACACATGAACTTTTTAAACCTGTGTATCGAACAGACGTGCGCGGGCTAGATCTTTCGATGAGCCTTATTCCCTCTTGGGACGTGGTTGCCAGCGTTACTACAGAGCTCCCAGCGCTTACAAGACTGGTCCTGAAGTTAGTTTCATTTCTAATGCTGTGACTGGTGCATCTTACGATAATACGTTGTTTCAGTCGGAACCGACTTGACAGCCCGAGAGATACCGCCAAAATGTCGCCAGCCTTCATGAGAGTGACAGATCTCCAACTGAATGACACGCTCACATCCTGGAATCAATTGCTCGAGATCATCCGCTTTATGCCGAGACTCCAGCAGGTTGAGATGGGCTACAACCGTCTCAAGCGTCTCTCCAAGGGCCTGGGAACTGTTTCTCCCACTGCCACAATACAGAGTATCAATCTCGATAGCAATTCATTAAGCGACTGGATTCATATCATGGAATCCCTTGGCTCTTCGTGTACTTTGTAAGGATTCCCACATTTCTCCGTCCACCCCTTCGCCTTCCTTACCCTGCTTCTTGTTGGCAGATTGACCACCGTCATCCTAACTTCGAATGATATCAAGGAAATACCGTTCCCCACTGAGCATCAATCTCGATTACCAGCGATCAGATCTGTTTCATTGTCTGCAAATGGACTGAGGTCATGGCGAGATATTGACGCGCTCGCCGCTTGGTGTCCCGGCCTAGAGACGCTGTACATACGCGGTAACCCGCTCGTTCAAGGTCGGTGCAACGGTGAGAACGGACAATGTCTATTTTTTTGATCCCTTCCCCTACGACAGAAACCGATCAGGCAAGGTACTCCCGTCAATTCATCATCGCAAAGATCCCTTCCCTCGTGGCTTTGGATGCAACGGCGGTAAGCACACACGGCGACGACGGAAATCGATGGGAATTTCACTGACGCCCACGTCATGCGCTATAGATATCCTCTAAGGAACGGACTGATTGCGAGCTCTTTTACTTGTCGCATATTTCGCACGATGACGCAGGCTCCGAGGAAGAGCTCATCAGAAAGCATCCTCAATGGAATAATCTTCGAGCTAGTACGTCAGCTGTGTCTTTCCTTACATCTTAGCCCATCGACTTCATCAGAACATGGTTTACTGGGAGAGGCACCAACACAGCCTCAGGACAAGACTGACCGCTTGAGAAAACATCTGATAGGTACGCATGTACGTGTTCATTCTCAACTAACTAAACACGTACATGCAGAACTGAATGCCTATCGAACCATGAGTCCAACCATCGACCTCGCCCAACTACTCGAGACTCAGCCCATGAAGATCAAAGTTTTGCCATCCATGGCGCTTCGCATCCTACGGCAAAAGCTGTGTAAGGCCACGAAGACCGGCATAAAGGCAGATGTTGCCATATGGATGATATGCGAGATAACTCCGTCGTGGAACTCGAAGTCGACCGCGACAAGCAGGACATTGCTTGGTTGGGATTCGACCATGGCTCGTCCATTGTGTTTTACATCAACGTATCGTAGTAGCGAATACATACCCTTTCCATTGGATAGACAAATCGTTTACCACACGGTCCGGCTCGCGCACTCGTAAGCCTTATGGTTGTTGATTCGACTTCGGATGTTGTTCCGTGAGCCTGGGGCCTCGACCTAAGCGCTTCGTGATGTGTTGAAGTTCCCACAAGCAGAACATAAATCCATCCTCAAAAACGTCCATCAGCGGACCTACCCGACGCCATCGAGTGTTACGATCGAGGGTAGTCGGTACCAATACGAGTATAGACCATCAGCAGAAAAGTACACGGTCCGGATATAGAACAATGGGGGGACAGAAGACCAAAAAAAGATAACCGTTTGAAACATGCCGTCCGTTTTTTTTTCCTGAATTTCTTGTGTGGGTGGCCAGACAACAAAGATCCTCAACGAGTCCATCCTCCATCACCGTTCGCCTGTCTTGGGGGCCTGTCGTCGTACCGGTCATCCTTCTCGTCGCGTCTTCTTTCGTCCCTACGGCGTTCAGGATAATCAGGTACTCTGCGATCATCATAACCCACTCTCCGGTAATCATCGTACCCTGTTGGCCTCCTATCATCATAATCTTTCCTGGGAGGCGGGGACCGTCGACGATCATCGTGGTCACGACGAGGCGATCTTGAGCGGTCCCGACGGTAGCCACGATCATCCCTGCCGCCGCGGTCATCTCTGTAGCGGTCGTCCCGGTAGCTGCGGTCGTCTCTGTAGCTACGGTCATCGCGATAACGGTCTTCTCGAGGAGGACGGTCATCACGACGATCATCGCGCCTATAGTTATCGGGACCAGAGCGCTAAGTAATGTTGTCAATATCAGGCTTCTAAATTATGGTCCTACACCACTCACGCTATCATCAGCAACGCGAACGATTTTAGCCGCGAAGCTCTTTGCCATCCAAGTCTCGAATAGCACGGATCCGCGTCCTCACGAGTAAGATATTCAAGAATACTGGAAGAGAAGATAAATAGGCTGATTTGCAACAAATACATCCAGAGCTTACCCTTGACCCACGACATCGCGGTCGATATCAGCGAATGTCACATTACCAGCATCCCGGCCAAAATCTTTCAGATCCTAATATAGCGGGGACGACAACATTAGGGTCCATCGCCAAAGCATTAACAGCCGATATAATCCAAAGGGCCCTCCCAAAACGTCGGACAACGAGAAGTGGCAAAAACCATGGACCTCGGCGCATATCCAATCAAACGGGGAAGCATAGTGTGGGAAGGGCCAGAACGACGAAATTGGGCAAAACTTTCCATACCTGCCAGCTGACTTCACGGGCGACGTTTTGAACGAGAATACGGTAGCCAGGGGGCCTACGGGAGCGAGCGCTTCTGCTAGGAAAAATAAACGGTCAATCAGCTTACATGATGGACGTCTGTCTTCATACCCGTAGCCATGGCTCCGGTCCTCGTAGGGATCGCGACGAGGCCGGCCTTCTTTGGCAAATTCCACGACGATGCTGAGTCGATATGAATATAAAATAATTATCACGCAACCTTTGCAACATACTTTGCACCCATGAAGGACTTGCCGTTGCAGTGGGTGACAGCGTCCTCGGCATCCTTCGCACAATAGTTAGCAACACGCCACACTGCGGTATCCATCCAGAATTTACCTTGGCAGCCTCGAACTCGACGAAACCGAAACCTAAGAAACAATGGCCGTCAACACAAGATGTGGCGTATTCGCTCGGACTAACCAGTCATCACACGGCAGTCCACAATTCGCCCATAGGTGTCGAAGAATTTCGAGACATCATCAGAACGGACGTCGGGGGGCAATCCTGTTCAACAAAAATGTCAGAGTCCATATCTGGGCCTGCCTGCTCGGAAAAGGCTCTTACTGCCAATATAGAGCCGTTGCCTGGGGTTGGACATGCTGCAGTGGTGGTGTGAGGAAAAGAGTGATAAGGTTGGGAATTCTGCTGAGTTTGAATGCCTTCATTGCGGAGTGCGAAGGAGCTGGTCCGTGCCCTTGCTAATTTGATTTATCGATGACGACAGTAAAAAATACTTCCGTAAAAAATACAAGTAATTATGACCAACTACGAAGAACAGACGTGTAAATATCGACCCATGAAATCAGTGCTGCGACCAGTCAATCGAGTTAATGTCAATACCCTCTTGAACCATTTCCCACAGCGGGCTGTAAAATAGTGTTCAGTCATTGGCGGGGAATAAATAAAAATTTCACCAACCTCATTTCTCGCAATTTGTTGACAGTGCTAACAAGATGCCGCACAACAAAATCAATCTCTGCCTCTGTGGTAAACCGACCAATACCAAATCGCAATGAAGAGTGTGCCATGTCCTCAGCCGCACCTACGCCAGATTAATTAATCGTATCAAGCGAGATCAGACCTGAGCAGCTCACCTAGGGCTCGCAAGACATATGACGGTTCCAAAGATGCTGATGTGCAAGCACTACCCGATGATAGCGCAATGTCCTATACAAGCTGCTTGAGAGATTTTGTATCGAAACGAAATCCGAGACAAACCTTCAACGCCATGAGGAGAGATTCTCCTTCAACATACGAGAAACTAAGGTTCACGCAGCCCGGGTAGCCGTCCACGTCACCATTTCGAACAACGCGCTCCACCTGAGAATTGATGGTTCGTATCAACCGGTCGGATAGCTCTTTTACATGTGCATAATCCCTCTAAAAAGATCACGTTCAGTAATCAAAGTAAAGGGACGTGGCCAAAAATAGACGAAAGGGAAAAAAATTTACTCAGTACCCCTGCACAAATGTCATAACGAGGCTGACGTAGATAGCAACTGAAAGAACAGCGCAAACACCACCCCGTTCGTATTTTTGCGTGCGAGTATCATCATAGCGAGAAGAAGGAAAAAATGACGCACCGCCATCTCTTGTTTTGCTATTCTTGCAGCTTCTCCCAAACCGACAACCAGCGGTGGTGCCAGGGTTCCGCTGCGCAAACCACGTTCCTGACCTCCTCCACTCAAAATAGGCTCAAGTCTAACCCTTGGCCGTCTCCTGACATACGCAGCACCTATGCCCTTCGGTCCGTAGATCTTATGACCAGAGATACTCATCAGGTCGACGTTCATTTCGTTAACGTCCAAGTTTATTTTTCCAGCGGCCTGAGCGGCGTCGGTGTGAAAGTAGACTCCTCTGTGCTTTCGAAGCAGGGCGCCAATTTCTCTGATTGGCTGAATAACTCCAGTCTCGTTGTTCACCGTCATGATCGAAACGAGAGAGGTATCGGGTCGAATGGCGGCCTCAAGTACATCCAGATCAACGACGCCGTTGTTCTTCACGGGCAAATATGTCACATCAAAACCTTCTTCTGAAAGTTTCCGGCACGAGTCCAATACACATTTGTGCTCCTAAGCTCCGTGTGAGAACCGTTTTATTCATGGTGAATTGCTAATCACTCACGGTTTGGGTTGTGATAATATGTCTTTTCTTTTCTTTGTGAAACCGTGCGACACCTTTGATTGCCATGTTGTTCGTTTCAGTTGCCCCGGACGTAAAAACAATGTCCTTGGCGTCAGCTCCAATGAGATCCGCGACGTGCTGGCATATAGTAAATGAAGACGAATATCCTCGGCATCCCAAAAGATGACTCATACCTTTCGTGCATCCTCCACCGCTTGTTCAGCTTCCCACCCGTAAGCATGCGTCCGACTATGTGGATTGCCATACTGATCCGTCATGTAAGGAAGCATGGCATCCAGCACCCGGGGATCAAGTGGGGTCGTCGCCTGCGCAACAGTAAGCACCACAGCGGGCCAGCACTCTAAAGGACCACGAACCTGCAAGTCCAAATAAATTGGCCGAATTTTCTCATGAACCGAGCCCTCCCGACGAGGCATCTCCAACTTGAACCCAAGCATATCTAGGCATTTCGTTAGCCGCCTTCTTTCATCGGTTTACGAGCAACGAACCGGATCGCGGCGTAAAATGCGTTTCATGTTGGTACGTCGAAGGCAGGTCGACGACGCTTGCTCTGTCCGCACCAGACGGGTGCACAAGCCCTCGACGGCCGGACATTACCGAGCTGGATGCCTTCGCTGTCACCGCTCTGCGTGATGTCGTCCGTGAAATTCTCGACAGCATGATGGTTTGAGTGAGAGTGGGGCTTGCCGGGAGTTATCTGATAAAATTGAGGACGCGAACGTCGATGCCGAGCGCTGAGACATTTCCACTCCAGTCACGTGACAGGATTAGTCAGCGGATATATCACCACCGACGGGGGTGATCTTATCTCCATCTTCTTCTCATTTCAATTTACTTTGAATTTAGGCAAATTTACTCGTTGTACTCTATGTGCTATTCCGTTGAGCATGCTAAGTAGATGTCTACGTATCCGCGAACGTTCAGTCAAATCCAGACCGATGTCCATGCAGATCCGAAGTAGAAAGTTTTTGTGTTTGTGAAAAATTTGAGTGCTTGGCCGACGTTCATCGGGCCGCCCGATGAACGTCGCAGACAGATCAAGGGCAGAATTTTTACCCACAACAAAGCAGCCCTGACAATGCAGCAAACCTAGATAAGCTGAATTATATTCCTCACCAGAGATAAGAAAGATGGAGTTATTATACGATCCTGATCTTGAACTATATATAGATCACAGGAAACATTTTATTCGACAAAAAAATAAATGTAGTCCGCCTCATATCACTACTGTGATCCTACAGCGCTGGGTTGGCGTTGGCAACCAAAGTCTGGAAGTAGGCTTGGAACCACGTTCCAGCCTCAGGTGCATTGGGTGCAGCGTCACTAGAGCAACATGAGCAGAGATACACGAGTCTATACAAAGAAAACTCACGATTGACCACAGTGGGCGTCATATCTGGGAGAGCTAGTGTTACTAGTTCCATCACATTCACCACCAGGCTTGACCCAAACAATAGAATCAATCAGGCTGGAACCGGTGTTTGTAGTGGGGTGAGTTCCGAATCCGGCTCCCACGACGTTGCACCAGTCACCCCAGGCGCTACGGATGTTTTGCCTACCAGAGCGTCCCTGGTCAACGATGAAGTGAGCAGGCATGGAAGTCAGAAGAGGAGCCAGAGCCTGGATATAGTGTATCTCGTCGTAATTGGAGTTTCCAGAAGTGATAGGGTCAGGAGAAGAGGCGCTATTTTGAACCGCTCAACAAAGTAGAACTGAAAACAGACAGAATTTGCTTACACGAGTGCATTGTAGTTCGCAACGTCTGTCGCCAATCCGCGAACAAATTTGGGTGATCCGGCGGAGGTGTAAAGGCTGTTGAAAAGCTGAGCAGCTGGACTTAAGTTGGCAGGCCAGCCCAGCCATCCAGCGTGTCCAGCGTCAAGGTACATGTAGACACCAACGGTATTGAGCTGCTGCATAGCGTAAGTGACTCCTGCCTAAGAAAAGGTGTCAGAGGAAGATGAAAACAAATAAGATTGAATTCAAACCTTGTATGCAGTTTGAGCATTGGCACATTTGCTGACGCTCAAATTCGTCACAAGGTTAGCCAAAGAATCAGGCTCAATCACAGCGACGACGCGAACATCAGGGAACTCTGCTCTTGTTGTTAGTGGTAGCAGAGTAACGATATTCCCGGCGACTTACGAGTAATCTGTTCGACAAGCTGGTCAATGTAGTTCTTATACTTGTTTAGGCCGTCATTTGCAATGCTGAATTCACCATTCGAAGCCAAAGCGGCACAGTCACGGTCGGGAAGGTCATAGACGACGATCTGGACGATGTATTTTTTACCGGTAGACATCTGCAAAGACTGGGCATCCGCAAGGTAGGTTCCCAAGTCAGGCACTTTTGCAACGGCGTCGAACCAGGTGAATGTGGGGATTTGGGCGACCTCCAAAGCCTTCGAGGCCATGGTAGAGTCTGTCATGGCTTGCGCAGCGGCAGTGACCTCGGCTGCATAATAAGGAGACAAGTAGATCTGTGTACGCGTTAATGAAGTGGAGCTAATTGTGGGGACTCTGTGAACACACACCTCATAGCCCTCAAAAGGATTGCCGGCAATCGGAGTCGAGGTCGAGCTTGGAGAGGATCCAGACGTGGTCGAAGTCGCCGTCGCCGTCGTGGATGTCCTGGAAGTGGCGGTGGTCGTAGACGCTGCCGAACCCGGACTGAAAATAATGGCTTCAGATTTAATATGCCGTGCGAGGAAATCACTACATACAGGCACTGAGAGTAATAATCATTCAAGTAGGTGCACGTTGATCCGGCCACACAAGTCGTCGCACCCGCTGCCGTACACGTCAGCGGAAGATCACCCGGCGCAGCGACTCAGGACTTACTCCATCCGATACCGCCGCATTGGCCGTACACGGCAGATTGAGCCTCGACAAAAGCGGGAAGTATGGCCACGAGGGCTGCGAGAGCAGAAAATTTGAACATCTTTGTGAAAGACGGGCTGGGAGATCACGATTGTAAGGAATCCAACCATGATTCGACTAGTTTTATAGGACTCGCTGGCCATTAGAACGTGACGATGCTGTAGTTCCGGTGTTCAGCCGACTGCAATGAGCGGAAAGACGTCGGTGCTGGACGACCCCTCGTGCCTCGAGGCTCTCGTAGAGTAGCTGATCATAGTCGGTTACCTCATCGCGAGCTTGGCAGTTCATCCGAATATGATGTCAACCCTGTCGCAAGGGGCCTTTAGCATGTCGAATCATCGATGGACACACAAGATTCATTGAGCCGAAGGGGTAGCGCCGGAAGAAATGGCTGTCAGTCCCTGACAAAAGTTTCCCGACATAAAAATTTTGTTGTGTGATTGGGAATCCTGGTCGACAACTCTCGGTTCTTTATCGGCGACACACTTGGTTAAGTTAGACAAGGGCAGGCAGGTGATAGGTGGCTACCTGGCAGTGTCGGAAAATTGGAGCCGTTCCAGTTTTATTTCGCATTCAGAAGATCGACAAGTCATGGAATGGAATATCAAGGTGCTTCCGGTCCAAAGATCGATCTGTTGGTCCAAGTCGAAGTGCAGGAAGTCATGGTGCTACTCATCAAGGATTGAAAATGACAAGTCGCCTTATCGGAAGGGTCGTTGGCATCATTATCACTACCCACGTGAGCCTCGGATTCAATTCGAATTCTGCCACAAGTTTTTCCTATGTGGCGCTTTCCAAGCAGCGAGGTTCATTAAAAGCTCGGAATAGCAGTATACGGTCCGAATGTCTCGCAAGTTTTTTATTTTCAAAGTCAAAGAATGATGTTTCCGGACTGGCTCGAGATCGCACTAAGAACGCTGAAATTGGACATGTTGAACTTCATTTCCAAGTGATTGAATTCGTTATGAAACGCGGTGGAGTGCTGAACGATTAAGAACGTGTCAGGGATGTAGAAAACAACGCAAAGTATCATAATGAAGGGTTGGCATTGGTCACCAAATCGGCGAAGTAGGACTGGAACCATGTTCCAGCTTCCGGTGCATCAGTGGCGGAATCACTGCACCATGAACATGAGCGAATATCAATGGAAACAAGCGGGAAACTTACGACAAACCACAACTAGAATCATATCTGGAGGAGCTGGTGTTGCTTGTTCCATCAGACTCACCAGGAGGCTTGACCCAAACTATAGCGTCAATTAGGTCAAAGCCAGTGTCAGTGGTGGGCCGGGTTCCAAGTCCAGCACCAACGACGTTACACCAATCACCCCAAGCATTACGAATATCCTGTTGTCCAGAGCGTCCCTGATCAACAATGAAGTGAGCGGGGAAGGATGTGAGTAAAGGAGCCAAGGCCTCGATATAGTGAAGTTCGTCGTAGTTAGAGTTTCCGGAAGTGACAGGATCCGCAGTTGTGGCGCTTAAGTAGGGACGGTAATCAATACAGGGTCCTGAAGGGCAGGGCGATTACTAACCTGAGGGCATTGTAATTAGAGACGTCCGTTGCTAGCCCGCGAACATATTCGGGAGATCCAGCAGCGGTGTACAAGTCGTTGAAGAGTTCAGCTGCCGGACTCAGGTTGGCGGGCCAGCCCAGCCATCCGGCGTGGCCTGCATCAAGGTACATATAGACTCCGACGGAACTGAGCTGCTGCATGGCGTAGGTAACTCCCTCCTAGCAACCATGTGTCAAGGGGATTCAGGCCAGAAGGATCAAATGTGGGTATTACACACCTTATAAGCATCTTCAGCGCCGGAGCATTTAGATACACTCAAATTTGTGACAAGATTGGCCAAGGAATCAGGCTCAATGACAGCAACGACGCGGACATCAGTATATTCTGTTGGCGAGCTAAGTCGCGGACCTTGCAGCATCGAAAAATCACGTACGAGAAACCTGCTCGACAATTTGGTCAATATAATCCTTGTACTTATTGAGACCATCATCGGCAATGCTAAATTCTCCATTCGAAGCCGATGCAGCACAGTCACGATCGGGAAGGTCGTATACTACAATCTGAACCAGGTAGCTGGTGCCCTCCGATTCTTGCAAGGACTGGGCATCCGCGAGATAGGTTCCCAAATCGGGTACCTTTGAGACGAGGTCGAACCAGGTGAATGTCGGAATTTCGGCAACAGCCGAGGCCTTTGCAGAGAGCGAGGAGTCAGTGATGTTAGCGGCGGCGGCTTCAACTTCGGCAGCGTAGTACGGAGGCACGTAGACCTATAAAATGGTTAGTTTCAGGGTGCAGTGGCGGCGGAAGACACTCACCTGATAGCCATCATAGGGATTGGTATCGGCTTGAGCCCGTACGAAAGCTGGAAGAATGGAGAGAAGCGAAGCGAGAAAAGAGAATTTTGCGAACATCGCGATGTTGAGAAAGGTAGTGTATCAAGTTGAGTTCCAGGCATTTTATAGCCTGTAGTATGGTCATCACAAGCTGGGTTGTACATAATAAAAACCCGGTATCCGTCCGACTGCAACGAATGGGTAGACGTCGGCCTCCAGCGCGTAATATTGGAGCTTTGAGATGCCATAGTGACAACGGGTACCGTGAAGTGACGACAGAGTAACTCTGAACCTTCTCCTTGCCAAAAACTCCAGGAGATGGTCTACTAAGAGGATGCTCAATGTCGTACATATTGATGATATAGTAGATGTCAACTTACAGAAACGTGTGCGGAGGAGGCGGGCGTTTGGCTCTGTTCTGAAGATTTCACCGTTCGGGACAACATCGGAAGCATTCCCACGATATAACAGCTAAGAAGGTCCCCGTAACATTCCGCCGTCTGCTCGGAGAAATGACATCTGGTAAAACAAGAAAACAGAACCGGGTGTAATGCAGGCTTGGATCGGTTCTGGTCTGCTTCGGACGGTTTCGCTCTTGGCAGCATTATTGAAGCACAGTTCAACACAAGGTATTGAAATATTGGACAATGCTTACCTGAGATTGGTGTACTTAGTCACAGGTATCAATTATCAGTCCTCGAGCTCATTCTAGACATGTGGCAGATGAGTAATGGTCACTGTAGTAGGGCTGGCAAGTTGGCAGGTCAGTCGATCTCTCTGATAAGGCATCTACATAGACTCCGATGTCAGTGAGCTATCGCATGGCATAGGTGATTTCCCACTGGCAATTGTGCGAGTTAGCCAGAAGAGGAAAAGACATGCTCTTCTAGTGTAGCCGATCTAGTGACGTTCATGTTTAGTCGACGGGTGTCGGGGTGCTCTGCTAGCACGTCAGATAATGAAAATATGGGAGTATCAGAAAACCGCATACTAGAAACAGGATCGACAATTTAGTAGTCTGTATCCTTTTCAGACTATCGTCAACGATACTAAAAACCCATTCAGAGTCAACACCAGACCGTTCACGTCCATTTGTGTGTGTGTGTGCTCAGCTTCTTGTATGGATTGTGCGTAGCTAGGTATGTTCCCAACTAAAGTATCAGCGACGTGGAGCGAGACGGTCGTAGTAACTTGGGTCACAATCAAGGACTGTTCCGCAGAGCGACGGATTTGTGATGTTAGCACTGGGCTTCGCCTTGCAAAACACATGATAAACCATACGTCCATCGTTGAACGCTCTTGAATTTTCCTCGAAGAGGGCAACGTGACAATCCGACAATCCGAACTCGTTCCAGAGCGTACTTGAAATCATACTTGAGGATCGGAATGGAATTTTGATATCAGCACAACGACCGGCGCAAAATGGAGTCAGCATGTACTGGGCACCAGGCGGTGCGGTGCGGGCGACCTTGTATCAGACATGCCGTCCAGGTAATCGCGACGCTCTGGAACCTAGGCATCACACGGATATACGGATGCCTAGAAACATCATTATCCGTGAAATGACTCGAGTGTTTCTAAGTTCTGATCTGGGCACAGCGCGCACTTGTTACGATTCCTATCGTGAAACGTTAACAGGCCCTTAAATACTATTAGATGTGAAACACACCTTGCGAAGTACAAAGTACAGATGGATGATCTACAATCATCAGCGCATTTGTCGGACTCTACGATGATGATCAAGATAGATCCGTCGACATGACGTTCCATTGTACAGGCACGTTTGAATATCATGCATGTTCTAACTCAGGATCCCAATCAGATTACAGCACTATTCTTGGAACCAAGCATTTGTATCAACGCTTGCTAATACACGTCTTTGCAAACAGTATTCTGTATAAGCAGTGAGCAGCAACGTGAAACGATTGATTTCAAGACGATATATCCATTCGAAAACATCTTAAATACAGTTTATGACCGTTTCTTGGAGCTTGGCGGAGGAGGTAGGAGCGGAACTGCGCCCCCGGCGGAGGTTTGAGATGAAGACTGCGTAGTTGATCCTAGAAGATTGGTATCTGAAGCCACAGGTTTGCTTCTACCTGGAATAGCAATGGTGAAGGTTTCCCCCTCCTTGAGGCTGTAATCCTTTTTAGGACCAGCGGGTACATGAGGAGAGGGTGCTTCTTCAGCCTCGCTATGAGGCGGGTGGAGGGCCGCCCTGTGGCGCCTAGAGACCGGTATTAGCACGCCTCCGGGGAGAAATAAGACCGCATACTTTGAGTAATCTTGGAGTGCGACGTCTACAAAGGGATGAGAAGGCAGCACCATAACCGCGTGACCTCTGACATACTGAAGTCAAAACTGTCGGTTCTTTCGGCAAATCCAAGTCCAATGTAAGCCTTCTTTCCAGCATCCTCGATCCGAACAACGAAATATCGCGATGAATCCAACACGGCTTCAACAGAAGGGCGATCGGGATCATATGCAGTCTTAGCGAATACTTGCAAACAATTAGGACCAGAGCAAGAGCCGTGTCAGCGAACGTACATTCTCCTGTGAAGTTGTTAATGATGGTGCTCTAGGTGACGTTTCGACCTGTCGCACCTGTCTGGGCATCCTCAAATAGCAGGGATGCGCCAGATGATTTCTCCACTATTTTCAGACGGCCTTTCCATAGAGGATTGCTGAGATCGCCCCATTCCATTGCGCGATGGCCGGCGTTGACTTTCAAGGGCGGTATCTTGTATACTGAAGCCAGCGCCTTCCAGGGATGCTCGACAAGAAAGGATACGGCACCACTTACTGGATATCTCCCTTATGATGAAGAGGATAGACTCGATCTCGTCGTCGACGTCCATAACGATTTCAATGAGGTATTCAATGGGGCAGTGGTCGTGGTTAGGGTTCAAGACGTCACGAAGCTTATTATCTAATTTCATTTTGTTTATTTTTCCTCCGTTCCGGAAGGGTTGGAGCCCATTGCCGGTCCTTTCCCCAAGTCGATCTCAGCGGACAGATAGCTTTTCCGAGTCCGGCTTCCATGTTGGTCCCGACTATCATCAAGGGCATGTCTCGAGGAGGCGCCAGCGCACTGAAACGAACTCGACAGATCGCGTCGCACATGATGTCGACGACGGCCGAGGTATGCTGCAGCTCGCTGTCGCTTTTCACGACCAGAAGATAATTTCAAAATTTCAGGAAACGGTTAAATTCGAGTCTCTTTCGGAGTTGCGGACGTATACACTCAATCGGCCTGAAAAGCTCAATGCTCTCGACGAGCAAATGCTGGGTTTGCTACGACCCAAAATCGAGGTGGCCAGTTTACTCCTCTGTCCTAGGATTCCACTTACCATCAAATCTCAAGTCTTGGAGCAAGTCCGATCTATGCGGAGTAGTTCTGGGTAGAGGTACTGGGAGAGCGTTCTGCGCAGGCGGTGATGTTGCTAGTGAGCTGGATTTATTCATTGCTGTTTCTCTGGATCTGAATGGAGATCTTGCACCGAGGTGTCGCGCAGAACGCGGCAAATCCTACAACCAGGAAGCGCGCCATCAAGTTCTTCAAAGACGAGTACGTAGCTACGACCCTTATTGTTCCTCTATTCCTATCCAGTGACGTTTAGGTTTGAACTGGACTATTTGTTGGCAACTATACAAAAACCATACGTGGCTTTGATGGATGGCATCACAAGTGAGTGTCAGCTTTTTCGATGTCTTCCCGCTCTGAAGGCGCGCGCGCTAGTGGGTGGTGGCGTCGGACTGTCTGCGCCGGCAACTTTCAGAGTAGCTACCGAAAATACATTGTTTGCTATGCCGGAGACTGATATCGGCTATTGCCCTGATGTCGGAGGCAGCTACTATCTTTCCAGGCTTGATGGCGAAATAGGGACCTATCTCAGTCTGACTGGCGCCCGTCTAAAGGGCAGAGCGGTATTGTGAGTAAAATTTGCGGTCCGCGGCATTTGATTGAAAGCGAAGCGTACTAGTGAACATGGCCTGGCCACTCATTTTATTCCGTCCCGTCGGATTCCCACTGTACTTGAAGCCCTGGCTGGTGTGGAGGCTGCCGATTACGACACTGCGTGTGTCGAGGTCAATGGTATTCTTGAGGAGAATTCCGCAGAACGGGAGTCTGACGAACCATCTTCGCTGCTTGTTGGGCCTACACGCGTCGCTCTGGACTCTGCTTTCCGTCACGACTCAGTGGAGAAGATCGTGGACGATCTGACCAGGTTCAAGTCCGACAAGGACGAGATGGTTAGTGGTTGGGCATCCAAGACGTTGGAACTTCTGGCGCTCCGCAGCCCCACGAGCTTGAAGGTCGCTCTCGCAGCCATCCGTCGTGGCCGAGATCAGGACCTATGGGAAGCACTTAACATGGAATTAAGAATAGCTACCGCTTACTGCGTGCGTATTATTTCCCTCACGTCATTGACATGGAGTACATTGAAAACGTACTAGTCAGGCGCCAGTCCGGACTTCATTGCTGGCATCACCGCCAAGCTCATCGACAAATCCAAAGGACCACCACAGTGGTCTCCAAGCTCCGTAAAAGATGTCGCAGATGATATTGTCTCGCGATTTTTCTCGGCCAAGTCTGCATTCCTTACTCAAGCGCCAAAATTATATCTTCCGGAGAATGATGTAACGCCAAAGGCAGGAACTACCAAAGACACTGAAGATTCGACCAACAAATCCGGTACTTCATTGCAGGAGAGCACGGGAAGTGTGGAAAGCGGTGGGGATAAGAAAGGCAAGGAAGGTGTCATTCTCGACGGTCCAGATCGCGATATAGGCCCCCCTCCTGACTTCAGTGCTAAACCTCACGCATACCATAAATACAGCCTGCCTACGGAGAAAGAAATCGAAGCCATCGTTCGGGGCAACGATATTGACTCACCAGGAACAGGGTATACCATTGACGAAGTCGTAGAAAAGGTTCTTGAACACCACAACGGGAAAATGGGGATCCGGGAGAAGGTGCTTGAGATTGTAGAACGCAAGTGCAAGATTGTGGATAACGCGGACGGTAATTTTGTGTGGGTAAGCTGGAAGTAAATTTGTATCTAGTCGATGGATTTGGATGGATAGATGACGAAGCTCCAATTTCACTGCTTACAATAGTTACACTCGATCTTAGCGCCACAAATTGTATTTCCGGAGCGCTTGTCTTCTTCTCAGGGAGTAGATAGTTGCGAACGGTATTCACGCCGTGTGTAAATGTAGATAATAATTTTAGTCATCCAAGCTGGAGCGTTTAAGCACACGGGCTCAACGGACAAGGAACTAACAAAAAGTGAAGAAAGATGCCGGTACCGGTGCCGTGATGTGACGGGTTTCGTCTCGCTGTGCACAACAATATCGGACGGAGCACGGTGGATATCGGGAGAAAGCTGTACATGGTCAAAAGGATATTGCAGTGAATCATAGGCTACTTTGACGACACAGCAGATTGCAAGTAGTAATACTAGATAATGACTCAATACTGATCTAACTAAGACGGAACGGCACGATCGGATTATATTTCTACTTATTAAAAAAGCGGGCCGACAGAAGGAGAATGGTTCGCCATTTCATGAATGACATTCGGCAGCCTCCCAACTTGGGCTGGCGGGCGACATCAACTTCAATCGAACCGATGCGGTTATTTGAAGCAAGCCACGTGCAGAGATCACTGTACAGCCACTGTATGGTTCTCGTCGTAAAACGGCAGTGGGATCAGTAACGGAATTGCCCCATATCGTCTCGCGTAGGGAACGGCTATTGGGGTAAGATGAAGAAGGGTCGCAACCTGGAATCTCGAGATCTCAGGGTCGAGTCTCTTGCTCTACATACTCTCGGATCGTTCGTTTCCGATAATACACGGTCGTGGATCAACGGAACACCTGGGACAAGTTGGGAAAAATACAGCTGAAAATACGGCGTGCGATGTTTAATTATTGCTGATGTATGATGACTCCGGTGTGTGAGGCTATATAAATGCCAAAGAGACAGCGAGTCAAACCCCATCTCCACCATGGAAAGAATACTTCACAGCTCAGCTTACCAATGTTCCACTGGCTCGCCTCTCTACATTGTCTCCCTCCTACCTTCCCCTTACCATCTGCTGAGACGCGCCCTCTCGCTGTTCAACTCGATGAGCAGCTTCACCTCCCCTCGCAAGACCATCGACATAACCCGTTCACCCTCAGAATTCGACATTGACGACGAAACGGGATTCTTGCCCCACCAACCACTTCCCAAGCTCCCCAGCAAATACGCCATATGGGAGCTGGCCCTGTCCGACGCGTCCGACGCCCTAGTCTTGGGTACAGACGATAGTGACGATGCCATAAACAAACGGCATAGGGGAGAAGCTTGGAGATCCAATATCAAATCGGTAAGTTCTTGGCCGTCGAAGCTTTTTGAAAATCGCCATTGATGAGGATTTTCACTAGTGGCCCGTTCTCGACGTGGTCGATCTGAAATCTGAAAAGTTGTTGCTTCAGAGAGCGCATCACGTTCTCGCGTATCTTGCGCACTATTTTGCGCATTCCACCCCGTCGGAGGACGCGTCTCCGGTTCACGTACCCGAATCTCTCGCTATTCCCCTTGTGGAAGTGTCACGTCTCCTTGGAATCGCACCGATCCTTACCTACGCCGACACAGTACTATGGAACTGGGAACTCATAAATCCCGCGCAGCAGCTTTCCATAGAGAACATGCAAGTATTAGACGTGTTTTCCGGCACTGACGACGAGCGATTCTTCTACTCTGTCAGTTACACGGTAGAGCTTCGAGGCGTAGAGGCACTGCAGATCATTGACGAGTACAACCGACTCCCCAATCTATCCACGTATATCGCCACGTCTAAAGTCGCTAGGGATTTGGATCGGTTGACGGGGATAATAGAAGATATCAGCGACATCATACAGTCGGTGCAGCCATTATGTGATCCGCATGTCTTCTATTGGGAGATTCGACCATGGTTTTGCGGAAGCGACGCCAGTGGTCCAGATGCTCCCGGGTGGATATACGACGGTGTGCCGGACTGCCATCTTCTAGACCTGAGTGGACCGTCGGGTGGACAGAGCACGCTCATGCACGCGCTGGACGTTTTCCTCAACATCGATTTTCTAGGGCGCGAAAAGCGCCTTCCAGCACCTTCGAAACAGAACAAGGGCGGTGACGGCGGTTTCATGGAGAGGATGAGGCGTTACATGCCCGGACAGCATCGGGATTATTTGCTGCATCTGGCCAACACTCCGAGATCAGTGAGGGAGTTGGCGCGGAATACACCGTCGCTTCGCGAGCCGTACGATGCGGCGGTCATGGCTCTAAAAAAGCTGAGAGATCTACACATGCGAATTGCCTGCCGCTACATTGTCAATATGTCACGGACGAAAAGAGGAATCCCGGCGGGTTGTCCGGTCAGCGCGATGATGGACAGGATGGACAGACAGAACAGCCAGAATTCGGACCAGGCAGCAATCCGAGGTACAGGTGGCAATGAGGTGTCGCGCCTGTTGAAGGCGACTCGAGACGCTACCCGACGCACCATGTTGAAGGATAACATTTAATGGACGCCATCGGAGAATGATTGATGTCTCTTGGGGGATCATGCGGAGAGTAAACGTCGGGAGGTTGCGATGACAAGCGACAAGTATCTAGGTTACAATGACTTTTGGGTCGCAGTTAGTAGTGATAATCTAAATTTTTGGTTAATAAGTTTACGGTATAATTTGTGATGATCAGGCACCAGAAAATTTCGGGACGCATGCATAAAATTGATTAAACATTTTGCTGTGGCAGTCAACCGAGGCAGGGGATGGATGATAGTAGCTAAATTACGGTTGCCTATTTTGTTGTTCTGTTCGTTGTCAATCGATTTTCGTGCAAGACGTCGAAATACGATATACGAGCAACGTGTCAGATCGATGAGCAAATGTGTCGAGAGAGCCTATTTGATCATGTTGTAATACTCGTTATTTTGCCACCGTCGCTGGGCGTCGAATTAGAGACATGTCGACATCTGGACTGAAGAAAAATTGCGATCACGGCAGAGGAATAATGGAAAAGTATTAGGTCAAGGTCCCAATAAGGAACACGGCCAAGGATTGGCAGAAAACCAAATCCGGACAAGATTGTCTTCCCACGGCTGTGGCGTGGGATTCCATTCTGCGTGACTCGGCGCGTTTATTAACAGTCACGCGCCTCCGTCGTCTTTCATTTTCACCACCATGTCTTACAATCTCACTACTAACGCTTGCTCGCGCCTCACCCTGTCTGATATGGAAGATGATATCTTCCAGAGCAAAGTCACTCTTCAGGTCCTGTCTACCAAGAAAGTACCCCAAGCCAAACACGCTCAGGACCGGTATCGTATCATCTTGTCAGATGGCGTGCACTACATTCAGGCCATGCTGGCTACCCAGCTCAACTCGCTGGTGGATGAAGAGACGGTGGTGAAGAACACCGTGATCTTGGTCGAAAAAATGACCTGCAGTATCGTACAGGAGCGAAGGTACGTGTCACCCGTGTCCGCGTCGCGACGCTAGTCTAAACGCGTCCATCCAGGTTGATTGTGGTGCTCGAAGTTCAAGTCCTTGGCACTCCTGCAGAAAAAATTGGCAACCCTGTCTCCCTCAACAAAGCTGATGACACCCCTGCCCCGGCGCAAGGGGCCCCCAACGCGTCGACTGGACAGACTTCACGCCCACAGCAGCCTCAGCCTCAGCCTCAGCCTCAGCAGCCAGCTCAGCCTCAGCGGACCGGATCAGGCTCGAAATCGAATTGGCACCCTATTGAGGGCCTGAGTCCGTATCAGAACACGTGGACCATCAAAGCGCGTTGCACTCAGAAATCGGACATGAAGACATGGTCCAATCAGCGCGGTGAAGGAAAGCTTTTCAACGTCACGCTAATGGATGAAACGGGCGAGATTCGCGGCACTGCTTTCAACACTGTGGCCGATGAGCTCTACTCCAAATTTGAGGAAGGCAAAGTCTACTACGTCTCCAAGGCCAGGGTCAATTTGGCTAAGAAGATGTTTTCGAATTTGGCGAACGATTATGAACTCTCATTTGAACGTGGCACCGTTATTGAGGAGGTATGCTCTGTTGCATGTTGCCTGATTTTGCTCTGACACGTGTAACAGTGTCTTGAAACCACAGGTCTGCCGATGGTGAAGTACAATTTCGTACCCCTTTCCGGCCTCGAGGGAATCGCGAAGGACGCTACCTGTGGTAAGTAGTCATTCAGTTTGCACAGCTCTGTTGTTAAACTACTGTATCTATCCATCAGATGTCATCGCGATTGTGAAAGAAGTTGGTCCCGTCAGTGAGATCGTATCAAAGGCCACTTCCAGGGCTGTAAGTGGGACCATCTGTCCGATCATTTCTCGTCCGACTCACGGATGCTTTTGACAGACGAAGAAACGGGAGTTGACTCTTGTTGATCAGTCGAACTATTCAGTTCGCCTCACCTTGTGGGGCAAGCAAGCTGAACAGTATCAATATGAAAATGCACAACCTGTCATTGCATTCAAGGGCGTCAGGGTCGGCGATTTTGGTGGTAAGGACAGTTTTCGCTAATAGCCGGATAAACGGGCTCATGTCATCAGGACGCTCGCTTTCCATGGTCAGTTCGTCCATGATGGCCGTCAACCCTGATATGGAGGAAGCATTCTCTCTCCGTGGTTGGTATGATAATGAAGGTCAATCGTCTACGTTCCAGGCCCACAGCCGAGGTGGTGCTGCAGGCGCCAGCGGTGGTGGCTTCAACCGCTCCCAAATGCGGAGCTTGTTGGAAGTCAAGGAGTCTGAAATGGGCCAGTCGGATAAAGCTGAATACTTCTCAACGCGCGCGACCATCATGCACATCAAGTCCGACAACATTGCCTATCCAGCGTGTCAAAATGAGTCGTGTAACAAGAAGGTCGTCGAAAATGGACAGCGCTGGCGATGTGAGAAGTGTGATCAAGACTTTGAAAGTCCTTCTTACAGGTGAGGTTACTTCCGACGGCACTGAGCAAGGCTGACCACTTTGTTACCGTTAGATACATCATTTCCATGGCCGTGGCTGACTGGTCAGGTCAAGCATGGCTCAACGGCTTCAATGAAGTTGGCCAGATGATTTTTGACATGTCTGCCGATGAACTGATGGCGAAGAAGGTAGGCTTCTCTTATCCAGGAGTGTCACCTACCCTCACTTACAATCCGTGTCGCTACAGAATGAGGACGATGCTCAATTCAACGCTGTCATGCATCGAGCAAACGGTGCAACGTACAACTTCTCTTGTCGCGCCAAGCAAGATTCGTATAATGTATGCTCGTTCGTTATGATTTTTCATGCTTACGTTGACGCCGTTTTCCATATAGGACACTGTCAGGGTGAGGTACGGCATCTCGCGGATCAGCAAGCTGGATTACAAGGAAGAATGCAACGCCCTACTTGATCTGTTGAATACTCCTTGGGCAAGCCGGCCCGCCGCGTAACATGCTTTTAATTGTGTTGATCTGTTCCTTTGCTTCGAATCTGTCCCATGTACTATAGCTAGACTCCATGAATTTTTCATTGTTTTATTATTGTGCGGCACTTGAGGGGAATTGATTCCATCAGTCGAGTTTTCCCATGGTGATGGCCCGTTGGGGCTCGGTGTTTGGTCCAATTGTGGACGCGTGCCTCTTTCTGCCACTACCCTCACAATTGTCGGGCGCGTCTCCATCTGGTTCCGTGACTACTTCGGGTTCTACATACCTTCGTTTCTCCTACAACTATCATTCATCTAGCGCGACCTGCTATACTTTTGTTGCTTTTTTCTTCAACGGACGCGACTTACTCTACCCTTCAACATGGCTACCAAAACGCCGTCGCGTTACGGACGGTCGTCTAGCCCTGGCGTTACGCCAGGAAAGCGCGTTATGAGCCCGACGTCGTTCTCAGCATCAAGCTACTCACCCACAGTCAACGGCGCGCAAAAACTGAACATCGTGACTCGGGTCGCGATTGAGGGCAAGGCGAACAGGGATAAGGATGTTGCAAACATTAAGATGTACCTCAAGGTGCGTGCTGCTGTTCTTGGTTACCTTTTTATGTGTCCTGAACGCGTCTTCAAGATGTCGGTACCTGTGGACCAAGTCGAACCCGGGACGACTATCTCATTATTTCCTGGTACGTCTGTCCGTACCGTCCTCTGTGGCGTTAAATAACGAGCGACATTAGAGGAGAATATCAAGATTGCGTTGTCCCAAGTGCATCCACTGGACAACAACTCTGTTCCGTATCATTTTTCTTCCGCTGTGTCGCCGCTGTTGAATAATGCCGCTCGAGCGCTAAATCTTCCCGCAAGATCTCCAGAATCATTTAATGAAGCGTTCAATCTATCTCCTAGCCTTGTTCACACCTCAACATCAACTACTTCTACCCGGACCTCTAAGGCGAATACAAGTGATGTTCCTGGGGTTGTGGACGAACGGTATACCGGCAAGATTCTCGTTAGCGGGTACAACATATCCTACGTCCTTCCCAAAGTCTTTCCTCAGTACTCCGAACCTCATTCCCGTATCTCGTTTGGACGTCGCCGCGGCTCCGTTGGTGATCGGAATCACGTCCAATTCATGGCCGCCATTGAGTTGATGGTTCCGTACGTTTCAAGACCGCCGCGCGCGCCATATTTGGTACGTGCTCGAGGTGTAATGGGTTCCTGTCTTCTGATTCATGAAAATGTAGCTTTCCATACCAACTCCACGGTGCCTACACAATAATATCAAGCTACGGATCTTTCCTCCCAGGGACTCCTTGGCCTCAACAGCATCGCTCTCTGATGATGACGCGGGATCGTGGGATCTTACGTCTGATCCCCATGTTAGTCGCCCTACGCGCATGTCGCGTACGACTTCGTACAATAACTTTGCAGACGACGAATCTAGTGATTCCTCCACCAGCGGTCTTCTCGAAGGTATTGGCATCCAGGGCACATTTCCTAGTGCAGAGAGGATACGAGTGAGGTGAGTCTTTCAGCTGGATTGGTTCAAATTTGCTACTTGACCGAGTCTCCAAGGTGGGCGAAGCCTATGAAGAACATTGCCAACGGAGACTCGGCTGGACGGAGGCAGGTCGGAACAAAAGAGGTCCAGGGTACAATGACTTGCACTGTGAGAGGGAAAATGAAACACCCGGACAGAGCGGGAGTCGAAGGAATCATCATGGATGTGGAATACAAAGCGTCATGCAAAGGCGTTTGGTTCCCTGGTGTTGCTACTCTCTTGGGGATGGACGTTGGCTTAGTTTCGAAAGGTTCCGACGTTTCATGGGTAGCAGGCTACCCTAACAATTGGCAGGTTACGGGCGGTACCGGTTTTACAGGTTTTGACGTAGGTGTACCTCCGCCGACTGATGGCCAACGACATGATTCCTTTGATTCCAACTCGTCTCACGCTGTGCTCGCAGCAATGGCAGCCAAAGAGACCACTGCACCCTCATCAACGTCGTCGCTGCTTCGCGCACCGTTGCCGGTTCAAAACGTTGCTGACTATTCCTTCGAAGGATCTGCGTCTGCAATATCATCAATACCCTCGACAGGTGCTTCGATGGCGGGTCTTTCCGCGTCGGAATCAGTACCATCACCTCCCCCCAGTCAAGCTATCACGTTACACATCAACATGAACGAACTCCTCCCACCGTCGCGTAACACATTCACGTTCACCATCACCGGTACCATCCTTATTATCCCCAAAACACCCGGAACGCCATCAGGAGACGAGTCTGAATCAGATCCCGAACCCGTTCTGCTCCCTGGATTCACTGTTTTTGGTACAGATTCCGAGGTCGTATCAATCATTGTACGCAATGAGGTTGATCGTGGTAGCGCCAATGTGGAGGTATACAACTCCACGGGAGATTACCGACGTGATGCCCAAGTACGCAAGACTGTGCTCCAGAAAGGTGGGCATACCAAGTGCGGTGATGGTGGAGGAAGGATTGCCCTGCGCAGTGTTGCAGTAAACGGCAAGCTACCTCCCAATCGTCCACGCACTCCCAGCAACCAGGGACATCTCAATACTTCACACTCGTCTTCTCCCGCGCTGCTTATGAAGATGCTGTCTTCAGTGAACCAAACCAAGCGGGATATGCCTGTGATTATCCCGTCCGTAAGCGCGACAGTTACACCGCTTGTGCTGCGAGAGAGCTCGCATCTCAGTGCTTATGCGGTACGGGTGAGTTTGACTGCGATGGCGGACCCGGACTCTGAGTGGTTGGAGTTTGGGTTGGGATCTTTGGGGCAAGTGTCTTCTTCGAACGGAAAACCGCCACCGAAAGTGGATCTCGCGTGTGTTAGTGTGGAGGGTGTGCCTGTGAAGTACGAAGCTACTGCTGCTGCCAAGCAGGACCATCAGGATGGCAGCGTTCCGTTTGAGCAGATGGGTGGGAAGGAGTGGATTAGTTGGGTTCGAGTGCATATCGGATCGATGAATGGTGGTTCCGTTGTCGTGGACTATGTCGTCAAGGTAGACGACGGTGCAGGGAAAGGGAAAGGGAAAGCTCGAGAAGACTCACAGTTTGATGTGTTTTTGCCTACATTTGCTGTTCCGATTGGTAGGTTGGAAATTGTTGTTGAGGACGTCCCTGGTGTGTTTCGTATTTCCCCAAATTTTATGTATACGTCTTACTGATCTATGTTACAGGACACGGGATTACCTGTTTGGATTCAAATCTTCGGTATCGCCAATCAAAACAGCGTCTACTACACTACTCTGCCGAGGAATTTTTCTATCCACACCTTACACTGGCACTGGATTCCTCTTACGGTAGCAGATCGATGTTGTCCTGGTGGAAATCTGGGCTATACATGTGCTTAGTGTCCCTGGTCATTTCATGCGCTTTTTTCCTACCGCTATCCTCCGAGCTCAGACGCGTTGGCCAATCTTTGGATGGCTACTCGTTAGGCTCTCATTGGAACGATGAACCCCGGCCGGTCGTCGTGACTACCACTGTGTATTCGAATACGCGACGGTGGTTCGCCGACGAATCGGCTACTCCGGAACCCTCAAGTAGTGAAGACATCTATTATGCTTCACCCACTTCGAATTCGCACATCACTACCACCATTATTGCCACTGCCACACCTGAAACCAAGCTACCCGAGCCGTCATCGGAGACGCCTCCGCCACAGGTGACTTGGGAATCGACGTCTTCGTCGTCTTCCCAAGGCCTACAACTTCACTACGATTGGGCATCTTGGCAAACGCTCCTAGCGATGTCTTGGGAGGATCTACATCCTCTTCGGGATAAGGTTATAGAGAGCCTAGAATCTCTTTGGCAAATTTTTAGCAAAGTCTATCATTATCCTTTACCACCTCCGTGATGTTTTTTTTAACTTTCAGCTCTCGATGTGCTTTCTGATGTTGTTATGTTTATATTATGATTTATGTAGAGTGTCCATAGGCCTATTAATATACACGATTTTCTTGGGATTATACGTGTAATGGCAGTTTTGTTTTTATCTTTCTCGGTCACTCAAGAAATGAATGGGAACATGTTGAAAGACTGCTCTTATAAGCTGACGCTACGTCGTTATTATCATAAGTCAGTAACATCATTTATCACTCGGATCTGAGAGTTTGGTTAATATTCTTTGTTGGGATTTGCAACTTCAAGCTTGTGCTAGAAGACGAACATTCGGCTTACTCATTTTGTCACGATACTTGGTTATATTTAGTACTTTAGGTAGAATATTCTAGATACTTTCTATAGTATATAAGGAGCTCATTCCGAGCTCTAGTAGCTAACAATTAGGTATATTTCCTACTGCAAGCCTCCCACTGCTAGACTGCTAACATTCTTTTCATACGTTATTCGCATGTTTGTGCCAACTTGAAATTTCCAGATCACCTTCGGAGATCGAATTACACTTCCCAACCGACCACCGGCCACATCATCAAATTTCGTGTTCGAACGGGCAGGGATATGTACTCTAGCACTCATGTACTCAACGCTAGCGTTGCAACGTTGAACCATCTGCCTGCACCTTCGCAAGAACTCTACTAATATGAAACCAACTAGCACTTCCAAGTCTGCAATACTTGGGTACGGCTTTCTCTGTACCTTAGCCTAGAGGTGGTGCCATCTAATTTCGCTTGCAAAGAATTATGTCCGTTCTGACCTTGAGACAGTAATTCCTGACGGTGGGCGCTTAGCGTGAGAATACAAGCACACAGCATCCCATAGCAATGTAATTACAGTGTCTTCCGCTGCGTCACACAGCTCTTCCATGCCTAGTCCACGGAAATCCGATGAAGCGTCGCGCAGTGAGTCGAAAGGAAAGGCGATGGATCCCATCGAGCACCCAAATGATGGTAGAGTACGTGTAGATGAGCCTGAGGTCGATAAGGACGACGAGGAAGGCGTGGAGATGATCGAGGAGAGTATCCACAATGCTGCCAAGCCTCCGAATCCAGCGACGTCCTCGAAGGCGAAGAAGGCTTTTGGGATGCACAGAGCTCAACCTACAGCGAGAAGAGGTATAATATCATCTCTACATTCACAGCGGATATCTGATGGGATTCGTTAGGCAACGATCCATCCAACTACGAAGACAGGTTCCCTGAAGATCCCATGTATGAAGAGACGGTGCCCAATGCCCGAGTATGGAGAACATGCCAGGAGGAAAGCGCGGTCCACGATGCGAACATGGTTGAAGAGTTTCGGGATAATGTCGACGTTCTCCTAGTATTTGTAAGTGGAACATATGTTGTCTCTTCTGTCTCTGAGTATTTCTGTACGCTGCAGGCGGGTCTTTTCTCGGCGGTCGTCACGACCTTTGTCGTCCAGACGTCCCAGAGCCTGCAAGCTGATTATGCTAAGGCCTCGGCGTCTATCCTATTCGAATTGCTTCTCGTTCAACGTGCGATCGCCAACGGCTCTTCCGTTGACACAATCCCGGTTTCTTCCCTCAATCCTCAGACCACACTTGTACCTTCAGCTACAGATGTCTGGGTGAACGGATTGTGGATCACCAGCCTATTTCTCAGCTTGACGACAGCATTGGTAGCCGTTCTCGTGAAACAGTGGCTGCATCATTACATTGTCCTTCCCTCTGGAACTCCGCGTGACCGGTGCTTTGTTCGACAGTACCGGTATATGGGATTCCAGAAGTGGCATGTCGGGGTCATCGTTGGCCTGCTTCCCGTTCTCATGCACCTGGCTCTAGCGCTGTTCTTCATTGGATTATCACTGTTCCTCCATCCCCTTCGAGCTGCTCTTTCATGGGTTGTTTGTACGGGAACTGTCCTGCTGATTGTGGCGTATACGATCGTGACGATCCTTCCTATATGTTTCCCGCAATGCCCCTACCACACCCCACTCTGCGACCTCGTATATCGATCCTACATTTATATTGCCTCCTTATTTCAGACACACTACAATCGACTGCTTGCGCATATAAGTAAGGAAGAGAAGGAGCCAATGCTTGGCATGAAACTTTCGAAAGTAAAACCAGACTCCTTAAAACAGCTGGAGCTTGATGCAGTGGAGAAGGTGTCAATTCGATCATCGGTTGAGGCATTACATTGGCTATTCTCTGTCTCATCAAACCCTACAGTTCAAAGCATTGTTGCTGAATCCATTGGCGGGCTACCCATGGAAGCTCTGGTAGATGTGGAGGATATTTTTCGTGGCAGTCCAATCGCTGATGTACAGAAAAACCTACTGCTGTCGCTGACCAGAAACTATTATACTGGTGACAAATTGAAGATAGTGAATATGCCATCAGGAATGAAGCGCAAATTCGAGCGTCTTCTTCGTTCTTGCATGTTTATTTCTTGGATGAACGAGGTGTGGGAGGGGTCCAATCTTGACCGATCGGACCAACTGGATCTAAACGGGACTGGCGCTACTCTCATAACCCAGATACCCAAATTGTCTTCGTCCATGTGGTTGCGGGAGGCTAATGTGTTTCTCCATGAAATTGTATGCCTCGAGACACCAGCAAAGTTTCCTCCCATTGTCTGGGCAAACCTCATCCAGATGGTGAAAGATGGCTGGATCCCTCACCTCTTTTCTATGCGCGGCCAATTCCCGGCCCTCCTCTGTTCAGCCGCGTTTAGTATTGGGAGAACCCTCCCAAAACAGCAGCTATTTGCTTCACCGCTTGTTGTAGACTTTCAACAGGCGGTTCAGTACTTTCCTGAGATGGCCCTGAAGTATATGATGCGTTGTTTGTCGGGATTTGATTTGCTTCGTGATGAGCACATCGAGTGTAGGGCATTGGCAGCTTCTTTTAATTTCATGATCCAGAGGCTGCGTCAATCAGCAGCAGACACAGATGTTTCTGAGACCCCTGAAACCCACTCGCTGCATGCAATGTTCGGTATATTGACAGATTGGATTCATTCTGGAAAGAATCTTGAGTCCATTTGGAAGATACTCGAATCAATCATTACCAATACTCCCATTTTCTTCCGGGATCCAGATACCTGCCGTGATTTGGTCCTGAAAACATACCACGAATTAGTGGGGAGAGCCAATCTTGCTTCACGTATACATGCTTCCTCCCCTGTCATTCAGTGGCTCATTACCTTGATCAAAACTAAATGGTCCATGCTTCCCACCTCTTCCAGGACTAAATGCATGCTTGACTTGCTGGTGGTTTGTCTAGAAAAGTGCTTCAGGTCTGCATATGATGCATTTTATGAACGACATTGTTTGAAGTTTCTTGCGACACAACCAGTCTCTTCATGGTCAGCATCACTCTGCAATGCATATGTCATTGGCATCTTCAATTCAATAGCATTGCCTGGAGATGATGTCATGGAGAACCAGACGTTCCGGCAAGCAATGGATCATCTTTACGAGCCTGAAAATCTCTTTTTTGTGTCTTCTACCTTGTCCGTGTACAGTGTAGTCCCAGAACAAGTATCAGGAATCTATATCAGACCTGATATCCTTATGCTGATTGCTCAAATTCGGCCACTCGATCCTGGGTGGGGTAATTGTTGTCAGAGCCTTCGGGCATGGGTTGAGGATATAACCTGTTTTGTTGGATCAGAGGGTGAAGAAATAAACATAGAAAGCTGGAGGGGCGATATATGTGCAGCCATCGAGAGCCTGGAAGCATTCTTGAAAGCACCTCCCCAGGCCACGGCAAATTTGGAATTGGTACAGTTCCTTCCTCGTTCACTTTCTTCTGTGTGCTAAACAGTCCTTTAGCCAGAATCGCTACAACCTGAGTCTTGGTCAGGTTGCATAGGTCACCTGCTACCTTGGCATCGACAGCAACGACAGAATGGTGAACACCGACCGGCTGAAGGTGTTTAGTCACATTTTCACTGAAGTTTTATTATTCTCGAAGAATCGCAGTCTCATGAGTAGTGGACCTGAATCTATATATACGTCCATCTCAATGTCAGTGAAAGACTCAAAATAGATGTATTTGTATTTTTCTATCTACTTGGTTTGCTGGCTGCTCTTAAGGCTAGGGTCCGAGGAACCTAGATGAACGTGCATTAGGATGTCAAAAGATCAAGATGCGGTGAGATATACCATCCGTAAAACTCGTCACCGCCTATATGACACGTCAACTGCCTGAGAATGGGCGAAAATAAAGGAGAACTTACGGTCATAATGGTCTTGTACTTGATCCTGGTCCTGCTCCCGAGAATGCGAGATAACGTCGGGAATCAGCTTCGTAAATACATGCTTGAAGAGCTCTGGAGTAAACGTGAACTTGGCCCAGGAGTGACGTTGTTCCAAAATATCCAACACATCGCCTATACAAAAGTCAAACGTTAAGATAGGGCAATGTAAACCATGAAAATGAAAGACAAACCCTTGAATTCAGCCTTGCCGTCAAAGTACGCATCGTGGAAGACCTGTATGTGAATTTTGTCCTTTCCCTTGTACAGCCTAAAAAGCTCCACATCCTTGATTTCGATGTACTCGTCGATGTCCTTCCCAGGAAGCGGCGCAACCTTCAGGTTTTTGCGTGTACCATACATAGAAGCCAAGGCCCAGTAAGCGACGAGCGCTGGGATGCCTGATAACACAAGAAGGAAGAAATACATCTTGAATCCACAGCGACTGACGACGGAAAGGAAAGATTTCAAGATATAGGGATCAAGGAGCACCACGGCTGCGAGATGGTAATTGCTGAAGTAGCTGTTGCCTTCAGCAAGGCCAACAAGGAGCGCATTTTTAATGGCAGCAAAGGACGGCACCTTCACTGATGACATGGTGGAAGGAAAGTGAAGTTAATTCAGATGGGGAGGTGATACCCGAGTCGTGCAGACCAAGGAGAGGGCGTAAAATTTCGATAGAGGATCTCCAAGAAGGTCGCAGAGTTGTCGGCACTATAGGAAGCATATAAATGTATACAAATAGACTGCCACGACTGGGCCACTTGCTCAGCCTAGCGCAAGCTCGAGATCTGGCGGGAACGTAGAAGGTCGGTTCAATGGTATTTGGAAAATCCCCGTATTTGAGACTGCTTGCTCATCCACATTTGCTCTGTGAAGGTCGAACCGGACAGGGTGAAAATCAGCCTCGTTTCTGTTTTCGCCTAGGATAAGAAGACTATCAGCATTGGGAAGAATACCGTTAGGTGTAATAATGTCCTACATTGTATCGAATGGTTTTCTTGAGTTGAACGCTGATCGAATTTAACGTTGTATGCCACAGATACATTCAAACGGTCGTTGCGAACTAGTGGACACTAAACGTAAAGCGAAAACAGTCGGAGTCAAGGGTTGACACTGACATATTAATCTCATTAGAACTCTTCTCGGGCAAATGACTATCTCGTCTCACACATACAAAGGAATCTAACCGCCCAAGCATAAACTGAAACTGGCTCGGAAAAAAGATGCAGTTGATTATTCCACTGCGTACTAGGTCCGGCCGAGACCATAGCTAAGTATCTTTGTTAAGCTCTTCGGTGTCGCCGTATCCCAGATGATATTCCAAGGCACCGTAGATAAACAACGAAAATGTTCTGTGAACCATAAGATACTGAAGATGTACCCAAAGTACGCTACTTACCTTCCACCTTCCGCGTCCGTACAACATTGGATTTGAACAGTTGTCAAGAAGCAGAGCCTAGCTCTGAACGTTCGTAATCATCGTGGGTGTTAGAAATGTTAGCGTCGCTTGTGAAACTTACATCGTCAAGACTTGCATCAAAGCGACCACTAATGTCGGAGCAGGCATCAAAACTCTCAGTATCTCTCCGTCCAGCCATCTCCAGTAGAACCACTAGCATGCTCACGTCCAACTTCGCGCGATTTACTTGTTGTTGTTGACTTCTCAGAACCATCCGAGGTTGCGTAATCTCTCCCTCCCCTCTTCTTTGCAAGAGTCTCGCGCGATAGAAACAACCGCACCATCTGTATCATTGCCCAAGTGAATCGGACGAACAATGGATATCCCTGAATACGAGCAGGGAGCCTAGTAGTGCGCATGTGGTAGCTCTCAGCTAATCCGATGTGCCACGGCGTGAAGAAGAAGGATACGTATTTGTCGCCAAACGGTGCAAGTACATGGGAGGGTCGATCCATACATTCCTTCAAGCCGGATTTCAAGGTGAGGATTTGCCGAATATCATCGATAGGGCGGGCATCGGGTCCTAGGCCAATGTTGAGGTCGTTCTCACCTTCCGAGAAGTATTCGAAGATACGGTGGTAGTTGTACTGAGCGATATAATACATTAGATAGGTTAAAGAGATTAAAGCAAGAAACGGCGAACCCACGACGCGTAAGGTTCAGGAACCAAGTGCGCGCCTCGGAGCTCTTCATTCAGTCCAGATATTGCACAATATCCATCGGCGCATTGAAGAGCAAGGCTGATGTCGCTGAACGAGGCCTCGTGAGGCGGGTTCATTATAGGCCTGTCGTGTTTGTCTATTGCAAGCCATCGTTCTGGTACCTCCGTCCGAGCGAGGGGCGTCCACTCCGAAAATTCCGAGCATACAGGGTAGTCCAGATGAGCGGTGCCATTGTCGAGGAAGAACCAATACTTCCTGTCAGAAATCCACCTTCGTCTATCTGAATCCTTCCAGAGGGCTCTGGAGTCGATGACAGGAAACCCTTGCCTGCGACAACAAGACAAGCATCGAGGATGAACCAGTGGGGAATCCCGAGGCGTTCTACGCCGTTTTCGGTGACTTTTTGGCGGCGTCCAAGAACGAGAAATGGGAATTGACGGACGGGGTGATAGTTACTTATCCGCTCGACGTGATCGCTGGGTTCAAGAGGCGGGCGAGGAATTTGCGAATCTGCCGTGAGCTCTGTTATGGTTGTTAGCAGGAGTCGAAGTGAACGGTGAGCTGAGAGTCGTACGTGCTAGTCTCAGTTGTGAGACAAACCGGGAATACGCGCACGCTTTCCCCAATTAGTCGAGCCGGAAATGCAAGACTTGGACCCCGTTTGATTGCCGGAAGTTTGACTCTCTTCCTACCAAGCCACAACAAGCGAACCCCACGTCTCCCCACGTCCGTAGCACGGACCCCGATTATCATGGCAATTTCCATGTCCAGCGTTACCACTACTTTCATCACACTGGAAATACGTCTCCGAAGGCGGCGCTACCATTGTCTTTTCCTATGTCGGTCCTCCGAATCTTAGCTTTGATGGCATGGCATTGCGTTTGCGCAAGTCTGGGGTGCAGACGCCTGTGCTTGAGAAGCATGCGTTTGATACGGTCGCGAAGGAGGAACCAGACGATTGTATCGTTTGCATAGGTGGATGAACGAGGGACGTGAACAGTTCGTTGATACTGGGCGAAGTCGAGTCAAAGTATTGAGTCCATCTATATTGAAAGCCATATCCTTTGATGCAACCCCGTGATACAGCCTATCTTTTCATCTTCCTGCCTTTGAGATATCTCCTCTGACACGTCTCGTCCTCGGCACTTTGTATTCTCATTCCGCGCACCGATTGCTCTCACGCAGTTCCACCACCTCGTCCAAGATATCTTTTCGTGGAAGGATCGTGTCGCCTCGCCTTTTCTGGGAAATGACTCGGCTTGGAAGGATGTCACTATTCTGTTGCACCATCTATGTTTGCAGAAGGAGGAAGGATGGGTATTGATACTCAGTTTTTGTCGAGTAAAAGACGCGCGCGGAGCATGGATATTCAATTCGTCACACCGTCTCTCCCCCGCATGTCCCTGTCACTCTTCGCTACCAGCTGTTGTCACCACTTCATCTCATCTCGGGTCGTCCTCTATCACATGACAGCGTTGACGAGAACGCTCCCTCAGCTGTCAATAAAGCTGAGGTAGTATTGGGACGAAGGAACTTTACCTACCGTCCACATTGGAGGAGCGACTAGGCGAGGAGGGAATGCGCGGAGAATGCATGATCATACGGGCGTGTTGGTTGCCGACTTTTGGACCAAGACGACGAAACAAATCGTCTTCCTGCGGGCGGTCCCGGGAGCCTCGATTATACGCGCACTCCGAGAGCTCCTATTTTTTGATGTCCGGCGAGCGAAGGCATACCGTCGTCGAGAGGTGAAATCAGGTGAGGTGGAGGATGTGCAGGCATAAGGTACGTACTTGCCGCTTGAGGAACTGCTTTCATTGTTGACTGTTTGCGTGCAGATTGGAGACAACACATCAAGCCTCGAGCTCAAGGCTCGTAAACACAACAATGATATGGTGCCGTCTTCACTAATCTACATCTGGCGAGCGCACCATAGCTGTGACTATAATTGCCGAGCTTTGCGAGCTAAGAACCGCTGTGCAGTATGGATGCTGTCTTCGGTGTCGACACTACCATTCCACCATTCGTTCAGAAATACTGAGGGGGAGGGGGTACATTATGCCATTCCTGTCTGCTGTCTAGTACTAACACCGTTCTTCTTAGCTGTATACCCCCGAGCCCTTATACTGTGAGTGCCTTTGTACCTAGGATATCGAACGTTGACTTACATTGCCTCCTTAGCTCGACTCGACTCGCCCCTGCCTTAAGCTCAACACGAGGAGACAACCAGCTGACATCTTCATCCACCCCCGCTGCGTCAGAGTAAATACCTGTCGTTCGAGGACGACTCGGGGACGTTCGAGGGCATGGAATGATACTTGTCTCGGCTAGCGTGGTTTCAAACTTGTAGGGCGTCGAGTGCCGTTTTCAGCTGGCATTTCCAATTTGGAGATGCCGCTCAGCAAGTTCAGTCGCAGAGGAAGAGGAACCAGACGATTCGACCATTGTCTTCCAATAGATCTGCTGACTGATGCCCAACGACATGATTCCTTTCATTTCAATTCTTCTCACGCTATGCTCGCAGCAATGACAGCTAAAGAGACCACTACATCCTCATCAACATCGTTTCTGCTTCGCGCACCGTTGCCGGTTCGAAACGTGGCTGAGTATTCCTTCGAAGGATCTGCGTCTGCAATATCATCAATACCTTCGACAGGTGCTTCGATAGCGGGCCTTTCCGGGTCGGAATCAGTACCATCACCTCCCCCCAGTCAAGCTATCATGTTGCACATCAACATGAATCAACTCCTCCCACCATCGCGTAACACGTTCACATTCACGATCACCGGTACCATCCTTATTATCCCCAAAACACCCGGAACGCCATCAGGAGACGAGTCCGAATCATATCCCGAACCCGTTCTGCTCCTTGGATTTTGAGGTCATCGTACGCAACGAGGTTGATTGTGGTAGCGCCAATGTGGAGGTACACAACTCCACGGGAGATTACCGACGGGATGCCCAAGTACGCAAGACGATGCTCCAGAAAGGCGGGCACGCCAAATGCGGTGATGGTGGAGGAAGGATTGCCCTGCGCAGTGTTGCAGTTAATGGCAAGCCACCTCCCAGTCGTCCACGTACTACCAGCAACCAGGGACATCTAAATACTTCACACTCGTCTTCTCCCGCGCTGCTTATGAAGATGCTGTCTTCAGTGAACCAAACCAAGCGGGATATGCCTGTGGTTATCCCGTCTGTAACCGCAACAGTTACGCCGCTTGTGCTGCGAGAGAGCTCGCATCTCAGTGCTTATGCGGTACGGGTGAGTTTAACTGCGATGGCGGATCCAGATTCCGAGTGGTTGGAGTTTGGATTAGGATCTTTTGGGCAAGTGTCTTCTTCGAACGGAAAGCGATCGCCAAAGGTGGATCTCGCGTGTGTTAGTGTGGAGGGTGTACTTGTGAAGTACAAAGCGACTGCTACTACCAAGCAGGACCATCAGGATGGCGGCGTTCCGTTTGAGCGGAGGAGTGGGAAGGAGTGGATTAGTTGGGTTCGAGTGCATATCGGATCGATGAACGGTCATTCCGTTGTCGTGGACCATGTCGTCAAGGTAGACGACGGTGCAGGGAAAGGGAAAGGGAAAGCTCGAGAAGACTCACAGTTTGATGTGTTTTTGCCTACATTTGCTGTTCCGATTGGTAGGTTGGAAGTTGTTGTTGAGGACGTCCCTGGTGTGTTTCGTATTTCCCCAAATTTTGTGTATGCGTCGTACTGATCTATGTTACAGGACACGGGATTACCTGTTTGGATTCAAATCTTCGGTATCGCCAATCAAGACGACGTCTGCTACACTACTCTGCCGAGGAATTTTTCTATCCACACCTTACACTGGCACTGGATTCCTCTTACGGTAGCAGATCCATATTGTCCTGGTGGAAATCTGGGCTATACATGTGCTTAGTGTCCCTGGTCATTTCATGCGCGTTTTTCTTACCGTTATCCTCCGAGCTCAAACGCGTTGGCCAGTCCTTGGATAGCTACTCGTTAGGCTCTCATTGGAACGATGAACCCCGGCCGGTCGTCGTGACTACCACTGTGTATTCCAATACGCGACGGTGGTTTGCCGACGAATCGGCTACCCCAGAACCGTCGAGTAATGAAGACGTCTATTACACTTCGCCCACTTCGAATTCGCACATTACTACCACCATTATTGCTACCGCCACACCTGAAATCAACCTACCCGAGCCGTCGTCGGAGATGCCTCCGCCACAGGTGACTTGGGAATCGACGTCTTCCCAAGGCCTACAACTTCACTACGATTGGGCATCCTGGCAAACGCTTCTAGCTATGTCTTGGGAGGATCTACATCCTCTTCGGGATAAGGTTATAGAGAGCCTTGAATCTCTTTGGCAAATCTTTAGGAAAGTCTATCATTATCCTTTACCACCTCCGTAATGTTTTTTTTTTAACTTTCAGCTCTCGATGTGCTTTCTGATGTTGCTATGTTTATATTATGATTTATGTAGACTATGCATAGGCCTACCAATATACGCGATTTTCTTAGGATTCTACATATGTATAATGGTAGTTTGGTTTTTTATCTTTTTCGGTCGCTCAAGAAATGAACAAGAACATACTGAAAGACTGAGGCTGCGCCGTTATTATCATAAGTCGGTAACGTCATTTATCACTCGGATCTCAGAGTCTGGTTAATAATTCTCTTCATATGTTATCCACATGTTCGTGTCAAATTTCCAGATCCTCTTCGGAGATCGAATTACACTTCTCAACCGACCACCGACCACATCGTCAAATTTCTTGTTCGAACGGACAGGGATATGTACTCTAGCACTCAATTACTCAACGTTAGCGTTGCAACGTTGAACAATCTACCTGCACCTTCGCAAGAACTCTACTAATATGAAACCAACTAGCACTTCCGAGTCTGCAATACTTGGGTGCGGCTTTCTCTATCTCCTAGCCTAGAGGTGGTGCCATCTAATTTCGCTTGCACAGAATTATGTCCGTTCTGACCTTGAGACAGTAATTCCTGACTGTGGGCGCTTATCGTGAGAATATAAACACGCGGCATTCAATCATAGCGATATAACTACAGGACTCTTCTTTGTCGTCCACCACGTCACTCAACTCTTCATGTCTAGCCCACGGAAATCCGATGAAACATCGCGCAGCGAGTCAAAATCAAAGGCAGTGGACTCCATCGAGCACCCAAACGTCTATGATGCTGGAGGAAGTGTAGACAGTGAGGTTAATGAAGACAACGAAGAGGAAGACACGGAGTTGTCGGATGAGGAGAGTATGCACAATGCTGTCAAGCCTCCGAATCCTACAGCATCCTCTAAGGCGAAGAAGGCTTTCGGGATGCACAGAGCGCAACCTACCGCGAGAAGAGGTATTATATTCTCTTTGCATTCAAAGCGGATGTATGATATATTTTGACAGGCAACGACCCATCCAACTACGAAGACAGGTTCCCCGAAGATCCCATGTACGCAGAGACGGCGCCTAATGCCAGAGTATGGAGAACACTCCAGGAGGAAAGCGCGATCCACGATGCGAACATGGTTGAAGAATTTAGGGATAACGTCGATGTCCTCCTAGTATTTGTAAGTGGAATGTATATTGTCTCTTCTGTTACTGAGTATAGCTATACGCTGCAGGCGGGTCTTTTCTCAGCGGTCGTCACGACCTTTGTCGTCCAGACGTCCCAGAGTCTGCAAGCTGATTATGCTCAGGCCTCGGCATCTATCTTATTCGAATTGCTTCTCGTTCAACGTGCAATCGCCAATGGCTCTTCCGTCGATGCCATCCCCGTCTCTTCGCTCAGCCCTCAGACCGCATTTGTACCTTCAGCTACAGATGTCTGGGTCAACGGATTGTGGTTCACCAGTCTGTTTCTCAGCCTGACAACTGCGCTGGTAGCTGTTCTCGTGAAACAGTGGCTGCATCACTACATCATCCTCCCCTCTGGAACCCCTCGTGACCGGTGCTTTGTTCGACAGTACCGGTATATGGGATTCCAGAAGTGGCACGTCGAGGTCATCGTTGGCCTACTACCTGTTCTCATGCATCTGGCTTTAGCTCTGTTCTTCGTTGGATTGTCGCTGTTCCTCCATCCCCTTCGAGCTGCTCTTTCACGGGTTATTTGTACGGGAACTGTCCTGCTGATTGTGGCATATACGGTCATGACCATCCTTCCTATGTGTTTTCCGCAATGCCCCTACCGCACTCCACTCTGTGATCTTACATACCCTCCCTATAATTATATCGCCTTCTTATTTCAGAAGCACTACAATCGACTGCTTGAGCGTATACGTAAGGAAGAGGTGGAGCCAATGGATAACACCAAAGCAAAGCTAAACTCCTTAAAACAGCTAGAGCTTGATGCAGTGGAGAAGGTGTCAATTCGATTATCGGTCGAGGCATTGCACTGGCTGTTCTCTGTCTCGTCAAACCCTACAGTCCAGAGCGTTGTTGTTGAATCCATAGGCGGGCTGCCCATGGAAGCTCTGGTAGACGTTAATGCTGTTTTTCGTGGCAGTCCATCAATCGACGATGTACGAAAGAACTTACTGTTGTCGCTAACCAGAAACTATTATACCAATCGCACGTTGAAGATAGTGGATATGCCATCAGCGATGAAGCATAAATTCGAGCGGCTCCTTCGTTCTTGCATGTTCATTTCTTGGAAGAGGGCGTGGTGGCAGCCCGATCTTAACCAATTGGACCGACTGGACCGAAATGGGACTGGTGCTACTTTCGTGACCCAGATACCAAAATTGTTTAGGTCCGGGTTTCCGTGGGGGTGCGGTGGATTTCTCCACGATATTCTATGCCTTGAGACGCCAGCAAAGTTTCCTCCCATTGTCTGGGCAAACCTCGTACAGGAGGCAGTACTAGCTGACTGGGACCCCAACCTCTTTGATACACTCGACGAATTCCCAATGGTCCTTTGTTCAGCTGTGACTGGTATCGTTGGGGGAGGCACCCCAAAGCAGCAACTATTTGCTTCACCGCTTGTTGTAGACTTTCAACATGCGGTTGAGTACTTTCCCGAGATGGCACTGAAGTATATAATGTGTTGGTTGTCGCCATTTGATTCACTTTCTGATGAGCACGTCGTGTGTCGGGCAGTGGCGGCTTCTATCCATCTCATGATCCATAGGCTTTGTCGATCAGCAGCAGGGACAGATATCTCCGAGACCCCTGAGATCCCGTTGCTGCGTTTGATGTTCAGTACATTGGATCACTGGATTCGTTTTAGGAAGAATCTCGAGTCTGTTCAGAAGATACTCGAATCAATCATCGTGAATACTCCGATTTTCAGCCAGGATCTAATTCAAGGTCCAAATGATTTCTACTGGGGTTTGGTCCTGGATTACTACACTGACGTAGTGAGTTCGAAGACTGATGTTACTTCACATATACATCCTTCCTCGTCTGCTATTCAGTTGCTCTTCACTTTTGTCACCACTCAATGGTCCATGCTTCCCACATCTTCCACGACTCAATCTGCACTTTCCTTCCTGGTGTTGTGTCTCCAAAACCGCATTAGGTCTGCATATGATGCATTTTATGAACAACGTTGTTTGGAGTTCCTTGTGACGCAACCAGTCTCTTCATGGTCAGCATTGCTCTGTGGTGCATATGTCACTGGCATCATCGATTCAATACCATTGCCTGGAGATGATGTCATAGAGAATCAGACACTCCAGCAAGCAATGGATCATCTTTATGAGCCTGAAAATCTCTTTTTTGTGGCCTCTACCTTGGCCATGTACAATGATTGGCTGAACTGGAACCCGGTCTATTTACCAAAATTCCGTGTCTGGATGCCCAATATCCTGATAGCACTTGCTCGAATTCGGCCGTTTGATCACGAATGTCGACAGAGGCTTCGAACATTAGGTGAGAATGAAAACTGTTCCATTGGATCAGAGGGCGAAGATGAGGGAATCAAAGAACGGAGGCACAATATGCATGCAGCTATTGAGGGGCTGGAAGCGTCCTTAGCAACGCCTCCTCAGGTTGCAGCGAGTTTAGAATCGGTATAGTTGCCTTATTCCTTGCTTTTTATTGACGTTACTAAACATTCCTTTAGGCAGAGTCACCGCAACCTGAGACTCGGTTAGATCATATAGGTCGCCTGCTACCTTGGCGTCGACAGCGACACCAGGATGGGGAACACCAATTGGCTGAAGGTGTTTAGTTACATTCTCACTGAAGCTTTATTATTCTGTTGATAATCACAGTCTCATGAGTAGCAGACTTGAATTTGTATATACATCCGTCTCAATATCAGCGAAAGACTGTATTTATCCGCAAGCAACTTCATCCTTCAAAATATCAAGGTCGTTGCCGTGAACCTTGACTCAATACATCTCACTGATCGGAAACAAAGGGTGTCAGCATGAAGGATCAAAATAGCTCGGAGTACGTACGTACAGTTGAAGTGGAGGTTCTGTTAACTGAGGGAATAGACTAATAGTTAGCGTTCGCAGCCAGCAAAACGAAACCTTACCACGTAGTATTCCACTCAGAATAAGGAAGAGAGACGGGAAGGAAAAGAGCTGCGGCTTCAATTAAACCTTAGATTCTTGCGAGGTGGCTCCATTCTGGACCATCCACCTTTGAGACGAGTTTGGAGGTATAAGAGTCTTCCGAGACAATGTTAGAAATAAGAGAACAAAGCACGAATCTACTCACCGTCTTTGTTGGTACGCTCAACAGCAAACCTTCATGAAAAAACTTCAAGTCCTGTAATATCAAACAGCGCGTTGGCTAGTAAAACCACAATGAAGCGAAGGCGACGTACAGCAGAACATGAGCTCGTGTCTCCGTCTCCTCGAAACTACTCGGCTTTGAAGGATGGCACTGTGCCATCTATGTTTGCAAAACGGCGTTGATACCAAACGTTGGGTCGGGGAAGAAGTGAGTCGGGTGAAAGACATGCGCGGAGCACGGATATTCCACTTCGCCACCCTGTCTCTCCCCCGCATATCCCTGGTCACTTTTCACCGCCAGCTTTTACCACCATCGCATCTCGGGTCATCTTCTATCACACAACGGCATTGGTGAGAATGCCCCTTCCACCGTTCTCTGCCTGTCAACAAGCTGAGGTAGTATCGGGATGAAGGGACTTTACCTACCGTCCGCAATGGAGGAGCAAGCAGGCGGAGAGGAAATGCGCGGGAGAATGCATGGTCACACGAGTATGTTGGTTGCCGAGTGTTGGACCAAGACGATGGATCGTCTTCTGGCGGGCAAGCCCAGGAGCCTCGATTATACACGCACTCTGAGAGGACGTGTTTTTTGATGTCCGGCAAGCGAAAGCATACCGTCGTCGAGAGGTGAAGTCAGGTGAGGTGGAGGTTGTGCAGGCAGAGTACGTACTTGTCACTTGAGGAACTGCTTTCGTTGTTGACTATTTATGTGCAGATTGGAGGCAGTACATCAAGTTTCGAGCTCAAGGCTCATAATCACAACAATGGTATGGTACCGTCATCACTAGTCGACATCCGGCGAGCGCAGCATAGCTGTGACTATAGTTGCCGAAGGATAGATGCTGTCTAGGGCTAACACCGTTCTTCTGAGCTGTGTACCCCCGAGCCCTTGTACTGTGAGTGTTTTTGTACCTAGGGTATCGAACGTTGACTTAGACGTACATAAACGACGAAAATGGTCTCTAACCATCTGTGTATGATTAGATATAGAAGATGCACCCAAGATTATGCTACCTACCTTCCGCGTCCCTAACACTTTGGAGTTGGCTGACTCTGAAGAATCAAAGAAGGCGAGCCGAGCTCTGAACGTTCGCAATCATCATGAGTGTTAGAAAGGCTAGCATTGCTTGCGAAACGTGCATCATCAAGAGTTGCATCGGAGCAGTCACTGATGTCAGAGCTGGTATCTAAGCCCTCGGCACTTGCTTCCGTCCAGCTGTCTCCAGTAGAGCTCGGTCCGACACCATCACTAGCATGCTCACGTCCAACTTTGCGCGATTTACTCGTTGTTGACTGCTCAGAACCATCCGCGGATTCGTAATCTCCCCTTCCTCTCTTCTTTATAAGAGTCTCGCGCGATGGAAACGACCGCACCAACTGTATCATTGCCCAAGCAAACCGCACGAACAATGCGTATCCCTGAATACGAGTAGGGAGTCTAGCGGTGCGCATGTGGTAGTTCTCTGCCAATCCGATGTGCCACGGTGCGAAGAAGAATGATACGTATTTGTCGCCAAATGGTGCAAGTACATGGGAGGGTCGATCCATACATTCCTTCAAGCCGGATTCCAAGGTGAGGATTTGCCGAATATCATCGATAGGGCGGGCGTCGGGCCCTAAGGCAATGTTGAGATCGTTCTCATCTTCGGAGAAGTATTCGAAGATACGGTGGTGGTTGTACTGCGCAACGATGATAGATTAGACAAGCTGAAAAGCTCAAAGCGAGAGTCGACATACCCATGGTGCATAAGCTTCAGGAACCAAGTGCATGCCTCGAAGTTCTTCATTCAACTCAGATATGGCAGAATATCCATCGGCGTATTGGAGAGCAAGGCTGATGTCACTGAACGAGGCCTCGTAAGGCGGGTTCATTACGGGCCTGTCGCGTTGATCTATCGCAAGCCGTCGTTCTGGTACCTCCGTCCGAGCAAGGGGCGTCCATTCCGAAAAGTTCAAGCATACAGGATAGTCCAGACGAGCGGCGCCATCGCTGAGAAAGAACCAGTACTTCTGTCCTGTCAGAAATCCATTTTCGTCGATCCGAATTCTTCCAGAGGGTTCCGGGGTCGATGTCGCGACAACAAGACAAGCATCGAGGACGAACCAGTGGGGGATACCGAAGCATTCTACGCCGTTTTCGATGACCTTTTGGCGGCGTCCTAGAATGAAAACGGGAATCGACGGACTGGGTGATAGATGCTTATCCGTTCGACGTGGTCACTGGGTCAAGAGGCGGGCGAGGAGTTTGCGAATCTGCCGTGAGTTCTGTCATGGTAGAGAACAAGAAAATTCCTGCTACGTTAGTAGTAGGTCTTATAGAGGGATGGTGGTAGCCGAGTTTTGAGTTTAACCCGAAGTCCGATGTCATAAAAATTTCTATTTGTGGAAGAAATTTACGGCCCAACGCTTCAAAATTTCCGTTTAAGTCAGAATTTCGGGGTGGCACAGTCGCCGCTTGTCACTGTTTACATGTGACCCTCTGTTACTATCACGCTTTCTGCGGCGTTGTTCGGCCGATCTTGCCAAGGATTCTGACTCTGAGAGAAAATGCGAGCTGGTGGCGGCAGAATGCCGCCACCGAGCGAGTCTTTTTCTCTCAGCAGCAGAAGCCACCACCGCTGAGTGAATCATTTCAAGGGGTAGTACTCTCTCATTCATACTACTATTTTTTGAATGCTAACTATTATTGATTATGACTTCGTTTTTTTTCCGCAAGCCAAGATTTGAATAACCCTTGGGCCTTGATTCAATCTCTCCTGCAGGAATTATAGCCAGTAAACCTCGCAGGATCAATCAATTATACATCAGCTTGGTTTATTATAAACTATCATAATTATATAAAAAACGAGGTTTCAAGGGGGGTCAACGTAGCAGGCTTTGCCCCTGATGTGGGCCTTGCAGGCATTATAACTATCAAGAGTCTAAGTGAACAGTGAGCTGAGAGTCATATTGTCGTGCTAGTCTCAGTTCTGAGACAAAACAGGGAATACGGACGCGTCGAGCGCCTGGCATTTCCAATGCGAAGATGCCGTTCGGCAAGTTCAAACTCCGATAAGAAAAACTAGAACCAAGATAAGCGCTTACCGTGAGGGCACAAAAAGCTTAGAGCATATTTTACTTGCAAAAATGATCTCTACTGCAGATTTGAGAGCCAGAAACCTCGCTGATCCATATAGTCAATCAATCCGCCTTGCACTCGGCAGACCGGCCGATTACTGCCGATTGATGGTGGCTGTATCTCGGCCCGATACGCTTCATCTGGACTTTGAAAATGCACTGCCACCGGCGAGGCAAGGGAGGGTTCGGCTTCTTAGACACGTACCGATAGCACAGCCATGTGGACGAAACATCGGCTGATAAACAAGCCTATCGGTTTACTCCGCCCCGGATCTCTCAGGCTAGTACATATGGCACCGTGTAAACTACTCTGAGCCTGCAGATCTATAGATCAACTCTCGAAAGCTGTACTTCTCCCGATGTGGTTGAATTCTGACCCAGGCGGCCAGGCCAAGGGCCTTCTCAGTCATTTCACCTGGTCGTCTATATCCAATCGGTCATGCTGAAAAGTCACACCATTCCTACTGCTATAAGTCTTCAAGATAATTGGACAGCATGTTCAAATACTCGCCATGTCGAACTACAACCACCACTATGATAATGGTACATCCCGTGTTCCACTACATTGTCTTCATGCTTGCTGACTGAACAGTTCAGAATACTACTACAACACATACCCCATGGCCGTCGCATCCGACAAATGCGTGCCCGTTTCAGATTCACTCCTCTCGCGTGAGAGCTACTATGTTCCCAATGGTATGTTTCCCTTTGCACCTACCGCGCCTACCACTGACCTGTCTTAATAGGATATGTCCACGAGTGCAGGATACCTAGTTCACAGCTCGTCCCTTCTGTGGAGCCCAATACAATCTGTACGTACTGTCATCCTTCGCTTCACCGTTACCATGCGACGGCGTTTATCAGCTCCTCTGCAAATACCTTTCTCACCCTCCCAAGTACAATACCAGGTCCACGAATATAGTAAGTATTCGTCTCTGATTTCTAATTTTCAGTTCTAACAAACATCTGTAGCTAACGTCTCCGCCGTTTCATCTTGGCCTCCGGAATACAACATACCAGAGGCACCGCCCTCATCGTGGACACCTTCTAGTCCAATGACAGCTGAATTGTTTCTAGACCGTAAGTATTTTCGCTCTTTTTTTCGAGATTATTTTGAACATTTACGTTCTTGACATAGCTCTTTATTCGTCCCCCTCAATTACGGATGGCTGCACGAACGTGTTTGATCTTCAGTTCGGAGACTCGCTGCAACCACAGGATCTTGGGTGCAGCCTTTCCTCCAGTTCTGTTGGTTCTCCCGAGCCGTGTACCCCTCGTGAGGTTGTTCGTCCAACAACGACGCCCAAGAAGCCAATTCGTTCCCGAGACGGTCAGTCTTCTCCACGGCAGCTGCGGCACCCATGTCTCATCCCTGGATGTCTGCGGCGCTTCACTAACCAGTATACCCTCGGAAAGCACCTGCAGGCGCACAAACCGAAGCCCCCTCCTTCGTTTTTGTGTGGGCTAGGATGTGATGGACGTTTCTCAAGGCAGCATGATCGCCTTAGGCATGAAGTTGCCCAACATGGCAAGGTGTGTGAGTTCTCATGCGAAGTTTGCGGACGCTTCTTTTCGACGGCCAAAACCTTGGACAATCACAAGTGTGTTCTGGTACCAGGTGCTACACGATGGATATATCATGTTACTCGATGATGGACCGTATCGCCTGATTTGTGTCTTTCCAAAACAAAAAATAGGATAGGTCTTTTGGGGGACTATTGAAGTATTCAAAAGTTGTACCGTACGATATAGCCACAATAGGGTTGGATTATCATTCCGGATTTCATGTCAGCTCGAACCTCGATTTTAAGCAACGGAACACCACAGCCAGTAAGCCTCAGCCACACAGCGTAACCACCACCATCTGATTTCGAGCGTAATTGAATAGTCCTACTTCCAAGTCCTTTCCTAAAACGGTACCGTCTTTGGTCTTCTCTTCTTTGGGGGTGACTCTTTCTTCGACATGAATCACCTTCGGTTTTGAATGGGATATCAATTCCAAGATGTAACGGTTTACACCCTGAAAACTACGTGTCCAGCCGTTTTTCACTAGGCCAAATCCTTCTCGCGACTATCTGAGATACTATTGTCTCTTTGTTATTCATTTCCAGTATCATTCTTTCTTGGGACACTTCTCTGATAGAAAAATCTGGGCCAAGGCTTTGTCCGACTTGCACTCCCGAACTTCATCATTCACGTAAAATTGACGAGAACAGACATCTTACTAGATGCTAGGATGCGTGCGCCTTCCATCTACCCCCGGACCATTGAACTCGACCCCGGTCAATTGATATGAAGCTGCACCTTCGCAGCTCTCACCAAGAAAACCGAGAACCTTCCCGGATACTACGGCTTGGCAGAGGTCATTAATCTTCGTTGGTCAACGGTCGAAGGGATGTTGCTTCATCGACTATATTGTATGTTTACGTGTATGTCAACAGCATAAATGAATTAGCGTGTTAGGAGGATCTGAAGGTGGTCACTGCTACGAATCCGATGTATTGCGTTCTGAGAGGCTGCACTAAGGATTTACGAACCGTTGATTCATAGGGTCACAGATCACAATCCAGAACTTCCGAAGAATCGTGATGATCGGGACCGAATTGGCGTAGTATCGCGTTCGTTAAGTTTGCACAATTTGCACTGCCAAAGACCGTGGCCTGAGTGGATGGCGGGAATTCGCAATACTTTACGCGGCGCACGATCGCAAAGCACAAAGTAGGTACGCGAGGATGGCTCTATTGACGTGAAAAATCACATTGAATCCAAAGGGAGGTGGACCAACGTTAGATGAAGGCGAAAGTAATATTCATCCTGCGAGAGAATGAAGAGATAGGAGCCTTCTCCACAATAAACCTATTTTTGAAAGGTCAAGCATCAGAACCCGTTATTATTTTCGAGGAAGAGGGCAGACAAGAAAACAGGCGAAGCTGGATGGCGTGACTAGAAAAATTTCCTTTCTTTCCGAGTCCTGCCAGTGCCGAGATTGCGCGTACCGTGTTCCATCTCACGCGATCTCGTCGATACATAGATAGATGCCTTGCTTAATAAGGTTCTTACCTTCCTTTCCTTCCCTCCCTAGTCGCTTATATCCTTGTCCGAGCCTTGAGGAGGTCAGTCGCTCTATCGTTTTCCTGTCTCTGTACCATTACTCCATTTCTCGTTGGTGCAGGTGCCCTTGGTCAATCCGTGCTTTGTGGGATCCAGGATCCTTTGTGCCTGAGTCCCAGGCACTGTACCACATTGCACGGATCCAAAGCCAAAGCTTTGACAGGGAGGACAAGGGCTCGGTGAATTGCTAGAGTGCGGTTTTTCGGCATGGTATGATTACTTAGTGGCAACCCACTCCCAGGTCGCATCGTAACGCGTCCCACCTGGACCTGTCAAGACCAAAATGGCCCCGATCAAGAGCTCTAGGCACTGTTCCACCTGAGAAATCTCACTGCCGTCATAACCGGCTCGAAAATTCTATTCATGTTCACCACCCAAATAAGTAATGATAACATGTGACGATGATAAGGGTAGGTACATGCATGACAGCAAGCTGAGTGTAGTACTACTATACATACATGAGGAGTACAAGTACATAAGTAGGAATGAGTAAGTGGTAGTACAAAAGTTGGTACATAAATGAGAGGAAAACACATACAAAGGAGAGTGAAAAGATGAATAAAAGACATATGAGGGCAGTCATATAACATGGATGGCATATCATCCCTTCTGCCCCTTCTCCAGTGATGATGAAGCAAAGCACCATTGCTTCAAAAGGGTATTATAAAGGTCCTCAGGTGAGGATGAGGGAGTAGTAGATGATTTTTTCCCCAATCGCAGAGTAGGAGGGGGAATCAGAGAGACACCGGGTAGAAGTGGTGATGACAGCGATTCCAATTTGGGTTCAGGCACCATGGCATCAGAGGGAACTGGAAGACTTGCTGGCTCGGCATACAGCGGTGCTTCCAATGGATTCGCCCATTCCTCAATGGGCGAGTCCGGTGGGGAGTTGCTGCCTCTCGATAGAGCAGGCGTGACATCACTATCCCCATCGGAGTGCGCCGGAGAACCAGTACCCGTCTGTGGCTTGGACTCGGAACCCCCAAACCAAAACATGCCAGTGCCCTCCGCTTTGTCTGTGATAGGACTCAGTAGCGGAGGGACAGCGTTGTATTTGGCATAGTTGGCCAGCCTGAAGCCTTTCAGACAATGCCGAAGCGTCGCCTCCGACTGCGCACGGTTATGTCGCGGAGGAGGCGAAAGAGTTGGTGGTGATAGGGTGGGTCTCGAGGGGAAAGAGGAAGGAGCAATCGTTGGGAACGGAACCGAGCTCTCAGACGGAGCTTTTGTCAGAGGTACAGCCTGGGCACGGGCTTTCTTGATCATTGCAGGTGACGCGTCTAAAGTTAAATGGAGTGAACAAGTGGGAATGGACCTGGTAGGATAGGTACTTACGGTTAGGGCTCCGAATGAAGGCCACACGATAGTTTTTCCCGGCGTTATTGTCCCACCATTCACCTCCACGTGCGGAATATCGAGCGACCAGAAAGATGGTGCGATTGATAAGGTTCGAAGTGTAGTCTCCCAGTTTGATTATATATTCGAAGCGGTCCCAAGTGCCAGCCTGAGGTCCTCCAGTAGTAACACCTACGGCGACATCACCTACAGTAAGGTTCCTCTCGGGCGAAACAGCCTGGGGTAACGAAGGCAAAGACGTCTGATACCGAGCGGCTACTTCAGACGTCGTTTGCCATTCGTCAAGGGTGAACCTGACGTAGACCAGCTTCTCGTATGAAATATTGCGCACGAGAAGCGTGCCTTTGAGCGCCAGTGTTGATTGGGGGAGAGTCAAGGACTCTAGTATGATATTAGACCGCTCTCTTGGGGCTGTAGGGCTTGGCACGGGGTCGGTCAATGGAGACAGGGAGTACGAGGGGATAGCCAATGGAAATGGGAATCGTGGGGTCCTTGCAATACGAGAAGAGCCATCGTCGGTCTCGGTTTCGGTCTCCGCATCGGAAGAGGGAATAGATCGAAGGAGGGAAGCGGGTTTCGCAGACTTATTGAACACGCGAACCGTTTCGAGCTGGTGGCTAGGAAAGTGAACGCTTTTGTGGCAAGGATGCTCATGATAAGAATCAGCAGGTGTAGAGGGGGCAGACCGAGCACGATAATGATGAATAGGCACCAAGGGCATAGTATCAGGGACAGATGATGAACGTGACGATCCCTTGAGTGAGGGTTTGAGAGGCCGACCATTAGAGGCAGAATTGGTTCTCTGGGGCGAGGAAGGACTGCTGGGAACGTTTGGGCTGAGGCTTTGAGGCGAGGTTCGTGAAAAGGTTACGCCCAAGTGAGTATCGACCCGTAATGGACTTGCTTTTTTTCCAGCTGACTGGGGGCTGAGGAGACCATTATCGCTGTCAGAGGAATAGTCATTCTGGAAGCGAAAGATAGGGCGGTGTTGTGCAATCTGTGGCAACGAGCCGAGAGAGATAGTGGCGCCTGGAGAATGTGTATAAGAACGATGGTGAGTCAAACGTTTTGGGTTGGAATCAGGTAGCAAGGAGGCCATACCTCAGCCTGTGGTGATGGTTTAACGTTTATCGACGACCAGGCGGGTGTAGTTATTTCTTGATTTCAATATATGTATCTCCCCGATTTCATCTCAGCTCTTTACATAGCCATGTTCTTAGGTCTTCATTCCCATTTGTGAACATTCTATGCTATCCATTGCCTAGCGGTTTCGCGTGCATTTTCAACGTCTGCCGTTAATGTTCTTGCGTAAAGTTCGTCTTTGCCACAATCAAGTCCCGGGTTACATTACAGCCTGGATGTGAGGAAAGTTGCATTCCGAATCTCTGGCGCAGGACAGCAAGTCTGCGATGGTTCTCCCCTTGTGCCTGTCGACATGTCCTAATGCACATATCCTTGAGCTGGCAGGCTTCGACGTGCGCGAAAATGCTTGAATTTCCTCACCCACTATTCCAAAATGAAATGTTTAATTGTGAACACAACAAGAGAAAACTGAGCAACAAACCCGATAGATACTCGATGGTACGATGGACAAGTTACGAGGGGTAGAGAGTAAGAAACGTTTAGTTCGAGGAACGGGCGAGAATCATACGCAAAAATATTGAATGGAGTTGATTGCGGGTCAGAAACCATGATGAACACGATAAACTGCGTTAAGAGAACATGTCACAACAGGCGTTTGACAGCTAACCCTGCAACCATTACGTGTGCCCCGTGCGATCGCAGAGCTTTGAGATCCCGCCACTTTGATTGGTCCACATTCTCAGTCCCTCAGGCCCAAGCTTCTCGTGAGACTTGGGTTCGTATTAACCATGCATATGTTATTCAAAAGGGTAAAAAATTGTCACTGCACATGTCTGTTGATTCTGTGGATACGCATACTCGGCTACTAAATACCCTTACGGCGCTCTCGTAGTACGCACATCAGCACTCGTGTGATCTCTAGACACTAGTACTGTCAGGCAATCAGTAAGCATCTATTATTATCACTACATCCCTTGGGAATGAGCAAGTTTGTATTCGTCTTGAAAAGCACAGGTCTTTCCGTCTAACCATCTTAATGCATAGGCAGGCATTTTCAACGTACTAGGTGACGAGAACAACCAAAGACAGCGAAGACATGAACCTATGCCGCTGAGCTCAAACCTCAAAGTCATGGGGGGATCAACCTCAAAGTTCCTGACACCATTTCATCCTCGAGCCGGTAGAACGCACTATTCATCACTATTTTTGCAACCTCTGGATCGTTTGCCTAGACTGTTGAAATGAGAAACTACTACTTCCGCCTCCTTTGCCTCGACTCGAATGATTTTTATTTATCTATATATCGTCCATAGTCAGTACCATTATTTATAGCAGCAAAGCCCCTGATTCTACGACCGAAACTTTCCGCACCTCTCATCTTCTCCTTTCCGGCGGCCGGTATCCTTGAGGTCCGGATGACATACGAAACACACAAACCAGACGTATACATTACATAGAGTAGTATTTAGTATAACCTCTGTATCCAACTTCCCAAAATATGAATCAAAATCATACTTGGTCACTGGTGCTTTTTTAACGACATGCCTGAGCCTGCGGGAGGGCCCTAATTCTGCCAGAAAACCGACCAGAAGAAAATACGGCTAGGTCTAATTTTTTTCCTGTTGGCAACTCCGATTGTAGCTGTTGAAGAAAATAAAATATTGATGTAATACAGTAACGTAAGTAGCGTTTTTTGTCGAATTATAAGGATGTATTCTATGCATTCCTGCCTATATCCCATACATTGAACGATTCCAGCTCTATTCAAACCCGAACCCGCCCTACCCTAGTCACCACCGCGGCTCCTCCTCCATCTTCACAGCTTCCAGCTCCATAAGCTTCCTCTCCTCCAACAGTTGCACGTTCTGGAACGCTAACGGCGTCGGCGTGTGTATCACCGGCGACGGTGTCAAGGGCTGATCTGACTCGCAGGTCGATATCGGTGAGGTGTCCGTCGACCCGGAGAAAGACGATGAGGAAGAGCCGGACGTGGCGAGGGCAAGCTGCGGCGGGTATCCATCGCCGAGACTCAAGTTTTGGAAGCCGTATGTAGGCATGGGCTGGGAAGTGTTGTAGATTGCATCCAGGCTGCGATGGTGGTTGTGGTGATGCTGAGGCGGCATCGTTGAATTCGGGGGCTGATAATATCCATATCGTGAGAACACCTGCGAAGGATACGCCGGTTCCTCGACGTTATAGGGAAGTGAAGACTGGCTTTGAGCCCTCCGAATGGAGTGGCACTGGCCATTGCTAATAGGCTGTGAGTCCAAAGGCCGGTTGCCGCTTGGATATGGCGGGAGGGGAGGCAGCTGTAGCTGTGATTGCGGGAAAGACTCGATTACTGGCGAACCAGAGAGAGAAGCAGGCTGGGAACGAGATTGATATGGGACATATTGCTGGAGTGGCTGGCTCGTAAGCTGGAATGGTTGTGGCGGGAACTGCACGGAAGGAGATGCCGACAGATCGTAGGAGATCAGATTGTGACTTTGCTGTCGTAGGAAGTGGTGATATTCCCTTTCCCGCTGCTTCTCCTGGTGTATCTTGGAACCATGCAAATCGATACTGGAGACCGCACTCCGTAGCTTTGGAGTAGATACGTTTCCCCGTGCACGAGTTTCCCTGCTCGTGTACTGGCAAATTAAGCCGCGGGTAGTGCAACGTTTGCAGACCGGCTTTTCGCCGGAACACTACAGCATCAAGGGTTAGACGATCACAAGCCCAATTAGAGCAATTGATTGACCTTAGTTTTCCGTTCTCTACATTTGTCACAAGCTTGCTGTGTCCGTTGGCGCATGGAGGTGTTTGCAAAAGAAAAACTGGCTGGAGAGCTGAAAAAATCGTCGGCAGAGGTGGAGGTCATGGTGGTAACAACGAAAAGTAATCCGTAGCAAATCACCCCTAAGTTTTTTGAAGTTTTAATCCGGCTTTTCCGATTTCTGGCCATTTTGAGCTGATCGAAGATCGCAAAAGGGATATTTCTCATGATAATGCTGTACACGTCCACCTACGACCACTACTAATACACCCGACCACTCGGAGGAGGGAAAAAAGCTAAGACCTTGACTTGGCGAATTGAGCATTGAATTCTCGGCCTATGAGCATGCGTCGGATTTCTTGGGTACCAGCGCCAACAGTGTAAAGTCTTGAATCACGTAGAATTCGTCCCATAGGATAATCTAAAGGATTTGTCAATCAAGTGCCTGTACGATCAGGGCGAGGATGCGATTATCGCATGCAAAGGTACACACCATTCACATACCCGTTCCCACCAAGACATTGCATGCCCTCGAGCGCAACTTCAACGGCCTTCTCAGTGGAGTACAGAATAGCTCCGGCACAGTCCTATAGAAAAGATCATGTCAGATGTGGTGGAAGAACGTTCTAGCTCTGGAAAGGGGGAAATCCACGAGAGCTATCATAGGAGCCTCTGGAGGGATTGAAACCGATTACTCAATCCAGCGTTCGAGATGAAGAGCGTGCAACGGATGTGCAACTGCCATCGAAGACGTGCGAGATTCTCGGGGCAGAGTACTCAGCAAGTCTTAGTACTTACTGATCTGCTGACTTTTCCGGCGTCGCATGCCTTTGCCACGGCATAGACGTAAGCCCGGCTAGCATTGAGTTTGGTATACATGTCTGCTATCTTTCCTGTGAACGAGGACTATGAATTGAATACCATAAATAAGTGAAATAGATCCTGCCTTGCATTAGCTGGAACTCCCCTATGGGTTGTCCAAATTGCTTCCGCTCGTGAACATACTCGACTGCGTAGTCGAATGCGGCTTGCATGAGACTATAGTAAAGTTGAGTTCAGAGCAGAGGCCAGGCAGTTGGTACAGACCCAAGTGGTCCTCCACTCAAGACAAGTCTCTCGAGGTCCAGGCCCGACATCAAGACTTTGGCGCCCCTGTTGACCTCCCCGAGCACGTTTTCTGCACAGCATGGTAAATTAAAAGCTGGAACACATAATAGGCACATACCAACCTTCTGGTACAAAACAGTCCTCGAAAATTAATTCACAGGTGTCGCTCCCTCTCATTCCAAATTTGTCCAGCTTCTCATCAGTAGAGAAACCTTCAGAGTCACGCTCAACGATAAAGGCGGTAATTCCCTTTGAGGGGTTGGGATCGTCGAGAGGGACTGTCTTGGCATAGACAACAAAAGTGGATGCAATAGGACCATTGGTGATCCTAGACATCGTTACAGTCCAGAGCGTTGAATTGACACATAGAAACTGACCAAAACTTATTACCATTCAATTTGTAACCTCCAGACACTTTCTCCGCTTTGAGTCGCATGCTGACAACATCGCTTCCACTACCTGTTTCGCTCATCGCTAAGGAACCAATCTTTTGGCCTGTAATCAAATCCGGAAGATATTTCCCCTAGAGGAACAATCAGCTAGGGTGGAATTTCAAGTTTAATGCTTGCCTTTTGCGCATCTGTTCCCCACCGATGAATCTGGTTCACACAGAGGTTAGAATGAGCACCGTAGGACAGTGCAACGCTGCCGGAAGCCTCGGATAACGCTTCCATAGCCAAGAGATGGTGCATATATCCAAGTCCAAGACCAGAGTACTGTGGTGTGACCGTGATACCAAGAAGTCCCATAGATCCAAGAGCGGGGAATAGTTCCTGGACCACAGATTAGTTGTCCCTTCCAAGTCTCATACCAAACGCATCGTACGACAGGAAACTTGTTGGATTTATCAATTTCTGCAGCACGCGGGGCAATCTCTTTCAGTGCGAATTCTGTTACAGCAGATCTGAACTGAAGAAGATATATGTACTAGTTACGTGAACGAGGCAAATCACAGCGCACCTCTGCCTCATCATCGCTCAAGCCAGCCACATCTGTGTTGTAGTATGAAGATACTAATCGCCTTGAAACACGTGCACTAGTAGGCCAGGCAAGTCGACGGACAGGTCGTGATAGAAGAGAGAAGACAGCCATGTTCAAGTCCAACTGTTTACCCCGCACCTCCGCACTGACGGAAAGCGTGACATGATGTCACCGTTAGTCACACTGAGAGCCGATCAGTCACAAGTCGTCACGGTTCGCCTCGATCCCCATTTCTTCGCTCTCTTACTCATTTCTTGCCGCCTTGCACTCGAATGAAAAATAGAAACAGCTAAAAGCAAAAGCTATGGGGAAACCCGGGATCGAACCGGGGACCTTTAGAACTCAATTTCCTAATTAGGAAACCAACTTCAGTCTACTGCTCTCCCAGCTGAGCTATTCCCCCATGTCATTATTGCGGAAATAGAATGTATACAACATGAAAACTTCAAATACATTATAGACGCCTCCAATCTTTCACACTCCGATGCTATCTCGAAAATCCTGTCCATCCATCACTTCCAGAAACCAGTAGCAGTACAACTGCATTTGAAAAACAGTTCATGGAATCAAGTTACTCAGTATAAAACACTTAAGAGCGATAGAAGTGATCCTATGATGGCGATACCCTGAACACATATCCTCATTGTTTCACTGCACTGACAATACATTCGAAATTCAGTTGCAGCCGATAACTCAAACAAGATTGAAGACACAGATTATTATACAGAATATAGTAGCGGACAAAGGATATACAACAAGAAATATAACAACAAGATAACACAATAACAACACATCAAATGGAACCCTTAAGCTTGATTCCTGCATCGTCAGCCTCCTACTTTGGCAACGACAGTGACCCATCTTTCGTCGACAACAACGGCGACCCAAACAGACTTGTAAGGCCATCGTCCTGATCCTGCTCCCGGTCCTCTTTCTCGTTCCCGTTCCCGTTCTCATCCTCGTCCTCGTCGTTCACCATAAACTCTTTGAAGACACGCTCGTACTCCAAATCCTCTGCCCTTCCGTCACCGTCAGTCTTAGACTGATCTCCTCCAGACGTCTTCGAAGTAGACGTTCCTGCCTGCCCCTCGCTCAACGAAGGAAAAAACTCTGTGAACCATGGCATGTCCATGATCACAGCAGCCTGAGGCCCCTCCGAAGTACCACCACTTTGTTCTTCCTCTGTTTTCGCCTGGTCTTCAGCAGTGTCGGTCGGTTTCTCATCTAGAGTGGCAGGTTGATCGACGGGGGAGGGGTGAAGTGGAGGAAGCTCGAGTTCCTCGCCTGGTTCGCCGTCTCGGGTTCTGGGACTTTCAGGCAGTGAAGGAAGAGTGGACCAAGCCTCGTCGGTGGATAGAGAGTCCGTCGGACGCGTCTCTTCGACTCCAATGACAGGACCTGGAGGCGGTGCTTCGTCTCGAGATCTGGGACTTTCAGGCAGCTGTGGAAGAACAGACCAAAAATCGTCGAAGGGTACAGTGTCCGTCGGATACGTCTCTTCGACTGTAAGGACAGGAGCTGGAGGCGGTGCTTCGTCTCGGATTCTGGGACTTTCACGCAGCGGAGGAAGAGTAGACCAAAAATCGTCGAAGGATACAGTACCTGTCGAATACGTCTCTTCAACCGTAGGGGCAGGAGCCGCAGGCTGTGCTTCGTCTGGAGTTCTGGGACTTTCGGGCAGTGCAGGAAGAGTGAACCAAGCCTCGTCGGCGGGTAGAGAGTCTGTCGGACGCATCACTTCGACTGCAATGGCAGGAGCTGGAGGTGGTGCTTGTGTCGCGGCATTTAGCTGGACGGGAGTGCGTGCAGGCGTAGGGAGGGAATGCTCGGAAGGGCCGGGCAAGTTTCCCACCGAACGGTTTGGGCCGTTCTGCGCATACGACGTCCGTCCCATAAAGTGCTTTGAAGCGGCAATCCTCTTTTGCCTGTCGAGCACCTCGTTCAAGGCCATAACAACCCTTTCCTCAGTACGCTTTTTCTCATCGTTGGAGGTGATTTCTGTCAAACTGCTAGATTGAAGGCGAGCAACCAAAGCAGCAGTGGGGGATAAAAAGGCAGCTGGCCTTTGGGTATGCATATTCCAGAGAAGATATACTTCCCTTTCGCTGGTAAGAAACCATCTGCAAACGGGGGGAAAGTTACCGCGAATCCTTTCGGTAAACTTTAGCAGGGATTGTCCTCGTAAAAACGTCACGACGACACTGTTTCGAAACAACGATGCGATAGAAGCCATCACGTTGTTTTTGAATGCCAAATTGTATTGGCCTCGATTATTGTACTGACCAACGGCCGACCTGATATTGCTAATAAGGACATGGCTAAAAACTCGGTCGGAAAGGAAACTCACGGGTCTTGAGAGTACCGGTACATCGTTTGCGATGAACCATTTGCGCCATTAGGCTGGGAACAACAAATGAGCGATAGGAACATCAGGAGCAAAATGGAGCCTACCGCATGCCTGACGTGAGTTGAGGCACGATTTTGATTATAGTAGTGCTCCGGGTTCTGCGCAGACGGAGTATTACCACCTCCATTTTGAGGAAAGGTCCTGCCCAGCCGACGATCAGATGGGTACAACAATACAATGCGCAACATCTTACATGTATTGATTGGCCTGCACCCCTGATGCTTCGGACTGGACGCCTTGGTTGAATTGCATCCCCGTCATCTAAAACACAATGAGTGGCGATGACAAGAATGAACGTTGAAAGCTAACCACAATGGATTGGCCGTTGGATGGCCCGGTGACGGCGGGTGGCGCGCGCATACGCTATGAAAGACATCAGACAGTATATTTTGAAAAGCACCGGTACACATACACCAGTTGCACTGAATCCAGGTTGGGGAACGGGCGGCGGAGGCATGTACACTTGTCGACTACCCGCGTTCGGCCTGGCGCGCTTCACCGGCCCCGAAGACGATTCGCCTAAGCTGCTTGCATCGTCGTAGTCGACGGCCTTCCGTTTACCAGCGGCCTTGGCTGACAGACCACCGTATTGACCCTGCCCTTCAATCCGCTCCCCGGTCAAAACATTGTTACTACCAGGCGCCATCGTATGATTGGGTGCACCAAAAAACTGCTGGGGCACTTGATGACGGAAGTTGCGAGGAGTATTGTTCATCTGGGGGACGCCCCCACCGCGGTATATTTGCTGTTGGGGATGAGGTGTGACTTGCCAGTTGGATTGTGGAGCTTGACCTTGAAATCCGTAGGCGGGGTACGACTGCATAGGCTGCTGTGTTTGGTAGACCTGTTGAGGAGTTTGGAGTTGAGGGGGTGCGGCATATCGAGGATGAGCTGAAGTGGGAGTGGTCTGTGATAACTGTTGGTATGTGTTCGAAGGAGCGTTGGATTGGGGATAAGGAGCGTGGGGGGAAGTCCACTGGATATTTGCGTAGTGGTTGCCGCTTTGCTGTTGGTTATAGTGAGAGTGGAGAGCACCAGTCTGGAACTGGTACTGTTGGAGAGGCACGCCGTTTGCGTCCACAGAATGTGGTGGCTGGTATGGCATCGTGTGTCCGTCCTGGGGTATCCGCGGGAGCGGTGGGCCCGACATGGAGACAGTGAGAGAGGAGAGATAATGAAGAAAGACTGCAGGAGTGCGACAATTGTCTCTGGCGTTAAGCACAATGAATATAGGTCGCAGTAGCAGTGGTCTAGAGTAGAAAAGTGGCAGAGCGAAGAGTTATATAGAGCAAAGACATAGTTTACACAAGTTTGCCCGCTCTCGCGTCAAACATGTGACCTTGTTTTTCCCTTTGCCTCTTGGTGGCGGAACGTGGAAGCTTCGGTCCGTGCTTGTTGGATGAATGTTTGTTGGTAAAGACATCCCACAAAGCCCAATCCTGAGGCTGGCGCCTGGGAGCTCCTGCAAGAGTACCCGGATTTCATGATCGCAAGCCAGGGTAGAGACACCAGTAGCAATTTGCGAGCCCAATTACTATTGCAGCCTCTAGATTTATGTATACTTCAGCATCTATGCTGATCTGTGATCAAAACAAATCCCATCATGCCGCAAGCCCAACAACGCCTACAACGCGTCAGTATCCCGAAAGAAGACAAGTCGTGGCTGCATTCAAGGTCAGATCCAAAAACCAGAAACGAGGGGCTCTCCACAGTGAAGCTAGCGTATAGAGTGCAGACGGTTGAACAAGATGGTACGGGGCAATGACCAGGCGAGGAAACAAAGATGTCAACAGATGCGCTTGTCTTGACCGACTCTTGGACCGAAAGAGCACTGGATCAAGCGAGCAAGACAACAAGAGCTACTAAGCGGTTAATCGTCCTCGAAAGGCTGGATTCGGTACGTGACAGACGACTTTACTGCAAGGACTTGGAAGAGCGACTCAGAGCCGGTATCAATTACGGCACTATAGTCCAGGACATGCAGATTCAAGAGAAAACGTAGAGATTGAGGCGTTTTACCTGCTTGACGGAAAGCGAGCGCGAGCTTAAAAGTAGCGAAAAGCGATCCCGCTTCAAAAATGGGAGGGAAAGACGCGACAACGCTTCAACTATTTCCTTTCTAGAACGGTGACATCGGTGCGTTCGGTCCGAAACCTCCGAGCTCACTCAAGTTGCACTCAAGTTCAATGTTCAAACGTTCATCTTTCTACTTCGTGCTAGAATTCATGCGGATATTATCTGGATTCAACGTGAACCATGAATTCTAATTTATTGGAAAACGCTTCCTGAAACTCTCTCATTTGAACGACGGTATTTCTTTTGAACAGATGTACACCACCATAGAGTATTCAAGTTCTATATCCGGTCAAAGTAGTACCTCAAGACTTCCTAGCGTCTGAATGGCCTACATAATGCATTCTCGCACCCTTCACTCAAAAGTACTCAATTACTTTCGGAAATAACTCGGAGCATATGCACCCGCCAAGCCCTTCTCCAATCATTCCGTCATGTCGGAGTCGGCTGAGAGATCATGGTCAATGTTTTTTAACGCCGGACTGCGACGGGCGGTGAAGACTCTAAGCACAGCTCGAGAACAGCTCGGCATTATAGGGACGGAGACAGCATACGAGATATCTCCGAGGTCTCCATAATACCGCGTCGATACATATTGATTGGCGTTGTTCAGTAATGAACGTTTGAACATGGACATCTAGTTTCCAATGACAAAAAATTAGGGTGTACAAGTATGATACAGTTACGCGGTGGGCTACAATAAATTTACAGACCAGTCTGTCCAAGTGTCCAAAAAGAATAACGTACCCTCAAGTCAAGTGAACGCTTTCTCCAACCGCATCTGCCGCCGACACGTCGTCGGTTCTCCTCATCGACTTTGCCCAGCGCAGTCCACATGCATTGCAAAGCGTCTTCGGCCCTAGGGGACCTTTACGCCACTCGGGGGAATCCGTCCTCCCGCATGTTACACACACATACTGGTCAGACGTATGCGTTTTCTTCGCCTGAATCAACGAATTAACAGACAATTCCTACTGAAGCACATGAACAAACCTTTTTCTTCTTCCCTCCATCGTCGTCTTCACCAGCGGTATGTACATCAAGGCTACCCGTGGCGTAGAGACCGCTCCCGACCATACCACCATTACCGCCACCCCCATCAAACGTCTCCCCAGCCATCGAAGTAGACGTAAACAGCGGCAGAGGACCCTTGGTCATAACACTAGGCGACGAGCTCCCCGTAAGCTCACGCAACCGCGTCTGCAGGCGCTGGTTCTCCAACTTCAAATCCAAGAACGTATTCAGCCTAGGAGCTATGAGAAAAGCCACCCAGGACGAACAAAATAACACACATGGACGTATTCTTCCCCGGATACGGCCTCGCCATGGTATACCAGCAATCATCCTCAATACGGGATTTGATTTCGAATAGGACGTCATTAGTTTGATTGGAGCATTTCAGGCGCGCATAGGAGTGTAGATCCCGGTGGGTCCGCACGCTCTCGGAAAAAGTCGACCGGAAAGCGTCTTGGTCGCCAACTACGACGACCAAATTAGTAAGAAAAAAATGGAAATTTGTAGGCGGGAATACCAGAAACGATTTCTCCAAAATCACAATCCACGAGGTCCACCTCGCGCCAGCCCAACAGCTCGGTCACTGCCGTGCCAACGTACAGTACCTTGCATTCGCCTGACAAGACAAAAATGATGGTATCGGCAAGTTCTGATACCAAGAGATCTGCCCAGCGTTTTCTTTTGGTGAATTCATAGCCCGTTGCGGACACTGGCTCTTTCGTCGACATCAGTGCTCGTGGCAAGACGGACGACAACGAAGAAGCAGATGCAAGAAGCGAATAAGAAGCTTTTAGCGCCGTAGCGGCACCCCTATCTTGGCTAGTCTCACTTGTGTGGTCACTGAGCGTCAATGAAACCCAATGTATACCTCAAAAAAACCAAAAAAGTAGAATACCAAAAATACAGATTGAGAGCAAGAGTAACGACTTCAATAAAGAAAGATAAGCAAATGACGCCCAGTAAAATACCTCTATGTTGGATGGAAAAAAAAAAAGTTCGATGTCTGTACGCTCGTCTGAATTGGGTATACCCAAGAAATCACTCTAAATAATGCAGTATCCGCCGTCTACGCGAATTTCCGAGCCGGTCATAAACTTTGACGCGTCGCTAGACAGGTAGACAATCGCACCCTGAAACATGCATTAGTAACAGATATCGTATACAATATTCTCGACGAACCGAAAGATCTTCGGGGTCACCAATCTACACCATATTGTCAATATTGAATGGAAATTCAGAGATATGCCGGAGGGAACGTACCCGGCCCATAGGCGTCAAACTCTCCCATGTTTTCTACCCGACGGCAAATTAGCCTGAGATACCAATAGATAGCAACTAAATCAGCCAACCTTTAACGCTTGGTCATGATCCAGGATGGTCCGCGTCAGCTTGGTGGCCATATAACCGGGACTGTTGCGACGAAGTTCAATCATATGGTCAACGGGTAGCCTTATGCCCTAACAACTCACCTAAGACAGTTAACCCTTACGTTCTTCTTTGCCCATTCAACAGCCAAACTCGAGGTCATATGTTTGACAGCTACCGACACCATTGTATGAGATAGATGATAGCATACATCGGATAGAGTATGCTTACCAGCTTTGGACGCATTATATGGCGTTTGGGGCTGTAAAGAAGACCCCGTAAATGGTGTAGTCGAATGGTAAAAGCATCTCTAATGCTCACCTGGGGAATGTTCACAATCTGGATAGAGAAGGCATTCAGTAACTGTAAGAAAGGCAAAAAGATCGCGTAATACGCACGCTGGCACTCATACTGGCCACGAGAACGATGGACCCGCCGCCCTGCGGGATCATGTTACGGGCGGCTTCACGCGCCGTGAAGAAAGCTCCGTGGACATTGATATCGTACAAACGCTTTATACGATCAAAGGGGTAACTGAGGGGCATCAATATGTGGAGTATCCTTCACACGGAATACTGACTCGAAGGCAGAGTAATTCTCAACAATTCCTGGAGTTACACGTCAGCGACGACGATAAGATCGATGAGTAGGTAATTGGTTCACCTGCAGAGGCGACGACCGAGTCTAGCCGACCAAAGGTGTTCATTACCTCGGAGAAAGCCTTTTGGACAGAAATTTCAGATGAGACATCACACTCGACTCCGATAAATTTGAGGTCCTCTGGTTTCACGTCACCCGAAGCTTCATACCCGATTGTAAGTGACGCGCTCAAACATCGTGATAGATAAAAGGTACTAACCACAAGCATAAGTGGCGAGCTCTTCGGCGGCGCCCTTAGCCTCGGCTGCTTTTAAATCGACAATCGCGACGGACGTACAGCCCCTGCAAAAAAAAAAACCCGATGTATCATCTTGACACGAAGATCAAAGTAACGTTACTCACGATTGCACGAAGGCGCGGCAGAATTCATAGCCCAATCCGCGAGCTGCACCAGTGACCATGCAAACCTAACAACATTGAATATCCTTCTCGGCATCGTTCAAATGACGACTACTACACACTTTCCCCTCCATAGAAAAGGCCGGCAAGGTCCTGGGGTTTTTGGTCGCAGTGCTCGCCCATCGTATCGCGGAAGGACTGGACTTGAGACAACGAAGGGCAGGCGGGGCCTTGATGAGCAGGCGGGCAGCCATGAAAGAAAGAAAAAAAATAAGAGAAGAAAGTGGTGGTAGTAGTGGTTGTAAGGAAGAGAAAAAAAAGACGGGTTAAGGATAGAAGCGGAGTCAATATAACGGCGAGCTCCAAGTGTGGGGTACTATGTCCATATTACCGATCGCTCACGTGGCTCCGGGCCTATGACACGCCGCGCGCCACTGCCAGCGCACCCAGCGCAGACTGCAAGATCCGGATATGCCGACCCCGAGGACCAGAGCTGCTGGAATGGTTTCATGTCGACAACAGGGATTATAATCCGAGATTCCATTGATAGAATGAGGTCGTAACGTGTAACATATATACCCTACATATACGGGAAAGAGGAGGTATAAGAAAAACATATGGAATAGCTAAGTAAAACAGTATAACAGTGGGTATCCCAAGCAAGTAACCTAGTGAGAAGAGCGGGGAGAACGAATAAGGTTACGAATGAGTGGATAATGGACATGAGCGGGCCGTAAACGAATGTATGCAGAGAAGAATAGGGATGGCATGGCGGAAGGAACTGGAAGGAACAATCATAGACACGCGAACTTGGATTTACGTTTCGAAGCCAGCTCATCCATCCGTGAATCCAGCTGTTGACGCGCTCGTTCCTTCGCTTTGCGTTCTTCGTCTAATCGCTGCTCGTATGATTGTTTCTCTTCCACTATTGACCGGCGAACATTGACGACCTCTCGTTTGGCTTCCACAAGTTCATTGCGGAGACCTTCTAGTTTCGTATTAAGCGTGTCTCGTTCTCGGGCTAGTTCCGTGGCATGCATCCGGGCCTTGCGGACTAATTAAAAAAAACAGGGTCAGTAACTGCCAAATACCCGCTAACGGTGAAAGCGCTTACGATTTTTCTCTGAATCGCCGAGAGAAGTTTCCAGCGTGCTGACCAGATCCATGTGCGTCTGCAAGTCGCTTTCACAGTGCGTGAGTTGCTTATTCAATGTCTTAATCATCGCTTCCTGCTCATCGATCAATTTAGCTTGTTGCTCCAATTTTGCGCTCGGAACAATATTATTGACAGAACCCGGACCGATGGAAGTTGACGGAGAGTCTAGCTGCGACTCTCGGGATGATGAGGATGAAGTAACGGCAGAAGATGCTTGCGAAGAAACGCTACCGACAGCGTCATGTGATCGAGGAGCGGGAGGGGGAGGAACTGACGGCGGAGGCGTAGGAGGAGGAAGTTTCATAGGAGGAAGACCGTTGCCTCTATTGTACGACACAGTGCGGTCTGTGGGAGGTCGAGCGTTGGGAGGTGACCCGCTTCGAGCCAGCTGAGCTTGCAGTTCGCGTAGAAGAGTTTCGGAACGATTTTTTTCCACCTGCAGTGTGTCCTTTTCGTCCTTGACCTTCTGCAAATTCTCCTGCATCTCAGCAAGCACAGAACGATGTCGCTCAAGTTCACCCACAAGCGATTCGCGCTTTGAGGCCTCTTGAATAAGCTTCGACTGTTCGCTTTTTGTTTTGTCAAGTTCAGCGCGAAGCTTCGAAACCTCTACAGCTAGTTCGTCGCGCTCGTCCTGATAGATCGACATCTGCTGTTGCATCTCGGAAACAAGCGCCGTCTTCTCCTCCATAGCCTGCTCGTGGCTCTCTCTGGATTCTTCACGGAGTAGTGCGAACTCTTCAGCAGCGATTTTCTGCGCCTCAGCCTCCTCCGCGAGTAATTCATGATCTTTGCGCAAGACATCAAGTTCCGCATCATGTTGTGCTTTGAGATCGTCGAGAGTTGCGGCTAATCGCTCTCTCTCTTCCTCCAGTTCTTGCTCACTACGGACTCGAGCGTCTTCAAGAGCAGCTGTATAATGCTCCTCAAGGGCGACAATGCTCGCGTTGAGCTCGGTGATGGATCGTTGATGATCGGATTTGAGCTTGAGAATCTCTTCTGTGTGGGATTGAACAAGAGCGGCGTGCTTATCGGCAGCCCGGGCCTCGAGATCTTCAAGCGCCGAAGAATGAGCCGCGTTGAGACGTAAGATCTCAGCCTCGTGACCGCGCTCGAATTCCTGCAGCACCGTCGCCTGCTGCTCTTTCACCAATTTCACGGCAGCATCCAATTCAGTCGACGCATTTGCAGCCGCAACCGACGCTGATGACGCGGCTTCCTCCTTAATTGCGATGATAGTGGAGTTCAGACGCTCACCCTCCACCCGCCACTCTTCCTTCAATTTCATAAGGACTCCTTCCTGTTCAGAGCGAATCTTATCCATCTGCAATTGATAGTCCTCCTCCTGCGTAACAAGCGCTCGAGCATGTTCTGCCTTCAATAACTCCAGCTCCTCCGCAAACGAGGCCTGTTTCCTCGCCATGGCTGCAGAATGCTCCTCTTGGAGTCCCTGCAGCGCAATAGCACTAGAAGACTGTGATTCGGAAAGTGATCCTTCGCGGGCAATTTCGGCCATCCGAAGTTCCCCCGCGTGCGCCTCCTTCAAACGCTCCAGAGCAGCGGCTGCATCCGCAGATTGCTTCTCCATAGCTACCGCATGATCTCTACGCAGCTTTGTCAGAACATTGTAATAGTCCTCCTCCGTTTTGTGAAGAACGGAAGACGACTGGGCTTCATTCTGCTTGATAAGTTCTTCGTGTTCGGCGATGATCTTACGAATTGCCGCTTCGTGCTCGTCCTTGGTCCGGGAGAGAATCTCGTTCGCTTCCTGTAGACGAGACTCATGATCCCGGTGCACCTGTTCAAGCGTGGCGGAAACTGCTACAAGCTCGTTGCGAAGAGATGAGGAAGATGTCTCGTCTGTGTTGAAACGAGAAAGCAGATCATCGATTTCAGCTTGCTTGGCTTTCAATGCCTCAGCATATTGAACTCGTATCTCCTCTATAGCGGCGGCATGATCAATAATAGCTTGCTCCAGAGTTGCTGAGAGCTCGGCTTCGCGCTTTTGCACCTCGTCAAGCGTTCGAAGATCATGATCATATTGTGATCGAAGGTTTTCAATCTCAGAAGACATGTTCAGGGCCTTTTTAGGCCGTTAGCGAGTTAGATTTTCAGGGCACAGCACTCGTACCTGGTCCCTTGACAGCGTCGTGAGTTCATCGTGCTGCCGCCTTAGCTGGGTTAGCTGCTCATTCAAAGTATCAACTACTTCTCGATGATGGGATTCCTTTTGAGCCATAGACCTGCGTATACTGTCAGCTTGCTTCGCAGCAGGGAGAAGACGGAAAAACTTTACAGCATTAGCTCATTCAGGCGCTCCAACGATTCGTCGGACTCCGAAATGACCGACGAGCCATTTCTCTCAGACTCTGAGTCTTGGAGGTCCACAACAGGATGACCGTTCGCGTTCTCCATGCTCCTTCGTATGTGATCAAAGTGCCCCATCGTTTTCGGTGAAAGATGAACTGAAGAAGGACCGTTGACCTTTGGTAAGATCTCAGAAATCTCGTCCGCGGGTGTAGCGAGGGCTGAGGACGATGCTGCGCTTTGATCATCCCGACTCTGCTTCAGAGAATTTTCAAGGACCGAAATTTCTACCTCTCGTTCTTTTAAAACGTCCTGCAAGCGCATGATTTCCATTTCAAGACTCGACACAGAACGTTCCGCATGATTCGGGACCCCATTGGGCACAGAAATCGAAAGATTGGGTCGGGAACTCTGCAGCAAAGAATTTAGGGTAGAGGTCGAATTTGAATTGGATCGGGAATGTGAATGTGAATGCGAGCTAAGACTTGAAAAAGAGGTTTTGCGCGAGTGAACCGAGGAGAGCTCCTGTGAAAGCGATTGCGATTGCGAAAGCGACCTTGTTCAGCACATCAGCCATCAGGTCAGTAATGTACAAGAATAGAAGAAATACCTCGAGTGGAGCGATTCTGCTGAGGCCGCCTGCCTGAAAAAAAGCCGTCTCCCGGCGGCGTTGTACTGAGGCTCGCTTGCCTCTCTTGTTCGACTGGCTATACGCCTCCTCATGGGAGACAGTTCCATGGATTTGTCGGTTGTGGTGGGAGAGTCCAAAGATTCGCTTGACACGGAATTGCTGAGTTTCGCTTCCTGGATTTGTGCGGCGAGGTCCGAGATCTCACGCAAAGCATCTCGGTACTTGGCCGTCACTGATGAGAGGTCGGCCAAAGTCGCCGTGTGGGTCTGCTGCAGTGCGACGAACTGATTGTGAAGAGACTGATCGGTCTCTGCCGTTTCTGGAGGTGTTACAGGGGCCGAAGGGGAAGGCGATGCCTCAAGCGCTGCCAGAGATATGCCGTTCACATGGTCCGGATTCTCTTCTGATTCGCCGTTAACTTGAAGAGACGGTGCAGCATTTTTGAAGTCGATGTCAAGACTGTGTCGGGCAAGTGCAACTTCATCAACCACACTTCCCAGTCTTGCTCTGGTATCTCCAGCATCCTTCTTTTTCCTCTCCCATTCTTGCATCTTCGTCTCCAGCTCTCGTACTTTTCGCTCCCTCTCCTCTAAGTCATTACGCCAGCCCTCTCCGTCTTGACGAATGACCTGTAGCCGAGTTTGTAATGACTCGACTTCGTCTCTACGCCGTTCAACTTCTTGCTCTAAATTTTCGACTGTTTGCTGAAGGGCTAGAATCGACTCATCTGAGCGCGCGAGTCGCGCTTCCAGATCAGCGATGTATTTGGTCGAGTGGGATTCGGAATCTTTGAACCGAGCAACTTCGCGCTTCAAATCTGTCATTGACTCGCTTGAAGTGATGGACGTTTCGTCATAAGCCTTCATTTTCTCCTCCAGGTCGCGAACGTACGCCTAAACGCCACTAAGCACATTCCACAGGCAAAGATAGATTATTAAAAAACGTACCTCCGTAGAAGCTTCTCTTTCTGTCAGCTTTGCAACACGAGCCCTAAGCTCCTCCACATACAACTCGGTAGCAGCGTGCCTCTCCGTCACAGCGGACAACTCCTCCTCCTTCTCCTCGACCATTTCGTTGGTATGCCGCAACGCAGCTCGATTGAGATTAAGCTCTGCTTCCATAGCCGCAATAGTCTTCTCGTACTCCTCGATGACGGGGCCCACTATCTCCTCATATTTAGCGGTGCCCCCAATCGCACCTGCACTGCTACCTCGGTGTTTCTCTCCAAGCTCCCGTCTGAGTCTCGTCAGCTCCTCGGTACGCTCTACAAACTTTTCCCTAAGATCCTCGTAGTTGTTCTGGAGCTCCGTCATCTGAGCAAGGACTTTCCTGCCAGCACCTTCCAGCGCGTCAGGACCACCGACTTCACCAACGATGCCATTGCCGCCTTCCTTGATAGATTTCAGCTCTCTCCGTAGGCGAGTGACCGTACCCTGGAGCCATTCAATGTCATCCCATCCATCCTCCTTCTCATTGACCACTGCTCTATTCTTGATATTTCGAGCGCGATTAGCGTATTTGAGGGTATTGATAGTTTCGCCGACGTTGTACTCGGCTGCACTAACACATGCGATCATCAGTGTATGGGCATTACCGCCAAGCGAGTCTTGAAGAAGTCGAGTAAGTTTGGAGTCACGATAAGGAACGTGAGTTGCCGTATGCGACTTGGCACGAGAAGGGTCCCCAAGCGCGGATATGACATTTCCGAGGGCCAGAAGACCGCTGTTAATAGAGATACCCTCTTTAATGCGCTCTCCTGCGGCGGCGGTCCTCTTAAGCTATAGAATAATAGGCGTTAGTGCTGGAAGAAGTGACATGTGGCGTAGCTTACTCGTTCAGAACCCGCCAAATCGACGAAATGGAATTTGGACACAATGGTAACCCATTCTCCAGCTTCGTCATCATGGGAGATCATCGCCCTGTCTGCCGCATGCCCAAGAGCGCTGGTAGGCCGGAGTCCGCCGCCACGTCCCATCGCAGCTGCGAAGCTTGGAGTTGATGGGCGACCAAAAGTTGGAGAAGCAACCCTTGAGCCGCTGGGATTTGATGAATAAACAGACCCCGGACGCGCTAGGCGTGAGGGCGAACGACCACCCGGGGGTAAAGGAGAGGAAGAACGTGGTGGGGCTCCAGAGCCGGTGTACTTTTTCTGAGTTAAGGTGAGGGAAAAGATGGCATGAGAACGGGACGACTGGGCATTCATGTCGGTTTCATTTGTGCGCCTAATTGACGTCCCTTTACGGATAAGACTAGAAAAAGTAGTTCAATTAGGCGTTTAAGCGTAATTATCGCGGCGACTCACTTCATGACCTCGCCCGAGTTTTTCACGTTCACCTCGCGAAGCCCGCCCCAGATAATGTGACCATCTTTGTCTTCGCGAATCTGCACCTCGCGCCGACCGCCAGCCGTATCATCCATACTCAACAAATCGATGAGATCTTCGTTGTAAATTTCTATGAAGGATCCCTTGATGCTGTAATTCCAAGCGGTGCCACGCTCTTCTTTGAGTTGTCTTGCGCGCGAAAAAATCGTGGAAACCGCCCTCGGAATGATGCCCATGCCGTTGCCAGGATCAGAGGGGTCGGCATCCAGGTCCATGCCAGTCATGGTAAAAGTTTTTCCGCTGCTTGTCTGTCCGTATGCGAGAATAGTGCAATTGAAGCCTTCGATGAAGCGAGAGATTAAAGGTTGTGCAGTGGAGGTGAACATGGCATGCTGCGTTGTGGAAGGACCGTGGACTTGGTCAAAGGAGAAAACCTGCTTCTTCGACGCCGCGCTGGACGAAGCCGCAGGGACAGCTGATGATGAACCCGCATTAGGCGGCGCGCTCGACGTGCCTTCGACAGCGACGGAATTGGTGGAGGTGGCGTGAAGGACTGAGCGTTGGAAACGAGCGGGAATATTAGTGCTATCTTGAGCAGTCGTCGGCCGTATACGAAGGGCTAGGAACAGGATAAGCGTCAGAATCCACCGGCATCACGTACTGTAGCGACAACGTACCAACTTGGACCGAGGTCGTCGCTGACGACGACGACTGGGGGGCCATCGTTGCTGTTGCTCACAACGTTCAGGTCGAACTGACAAATCAGGCCTAGTTGTTGTTGCCGGACTCGGCAGGGCGTTTTGATGGCAAATTTCCCACCAAAACTTTAGGCGCTTGCTCGCGGTTACCGGATCTCGGTTCGAAGTCGAATTCAAAGATAGGCCCTCGTCTCTTTCAGGATCTCGAGGGGCTCAACCCAAGCCTGTGTGGAAAGTCGAATTCTACAACACTTCCAAAATGTTTTCCAATTTGTTCTGTAATATTGAAGGGTCTAGATTTCCAGGTACAGCGCTTTGTATGATGCGGCTATACATCTGATAACGGTAACATGACTTGTTCATCACTTCTTTTCGAAGTGCAAACTATTAAATACATGGCGCTCTGATACTGACTGAACTTTGGTGTGAAAATCGGGGGCGCGTCTCTTAGGAGTAGCGTAGTTATTGCTTGACGGATGACATTTCGAACCAGGCGCAGCGTCCAACAACCGGTTGTTTTAATAGTGAGTTGCACTTTGGAGAAAATTCACACTGAAGACGGGATCCCGTAATTTAGCGTTCCTATTGTCATCTGTGGCGTTAGAAGGCGGTAAGTGGAGGTTCGTGTCGACCGAGCTTGAAGTCAAGCAAAATTTTATGATGTACTGATTAAGAACAAAATTGAATATGAATAAAAGTTGACCAAACTATATACATTTTACTTCATTAAGCACCTATCCACGTCGTACAAACAGAACTGTACTGTATCCTGTATATCCGGCGTCGTGATACCTAGCTGGGAACTCCGGGATCAGTTCATCAAAACGGGCCCCTTCCAACTGGCAGAGTGAAACCCACGCCTCCAACAACGCTGACACTCCTCTCGCCGGTATCACCTTCGGATCATTCAGAGAAAACCCCGAAGAGAGATTCATCGTCATCGTCATCATCATCTTTCGTCTTCTTGCAAAGACTCTCAAACACATCTGAACCTTGAAAAACTTGAAACGGTCGAGGCACACCCTCAAAATGGCCATGATTCATTAAGACCGCAGTGTCATCACAGCTTGGCGACGTGATTAATGTTGGAGAACTTCCGTTAGGCCCGACGGCAAAGTTGCTGCCCTGATTCGCAAGATTAGAGGGGGGATAAGAAGCAGGTTCCTTCATAGCCCGTGGAATACAGTCTGACGTGGATTCCGCCATCCCATTGTATGGCGCGCGCGAGCCGGTATCCAAAAATCCGGAGGCGGCTGCGGGAGATTGGGATGACCCACCCGCTCCATGCATCATTATATCGCCAGGGATCGGTTCCCATTGAAGGGAAACTGGCTGCGCTTGATTCGGTAAAGCATTTTGCACAGCAGCATCGACGTATAGGTCCTGGTTGCGGTGACCGGGCTGTTGATGATGTACCTGGCTAAGCTGATGAGGAGTTGGAGCCGAATCGAATTGGTATTGATGTGAACGGCCAACCCGCTCCGAGGTGTGAGGCAAGACGTCGAGAGGAACATTGGTAGCTGGATTCCTACGAGTCTTACTGTGATAAGCTCCAATCAACCACTGGGTCTCCTCAGGAGTCAATGGTATGCCGGTAGTTCGATCTTTGTTACGGGCTTCCTCCTCTCGCTTGGCCCTCTCTTCTGCGGAAGGAAGCGGTTGGTTGATCTGAGCGACAATAGGACAGCCTCCGAGAAAGAATAGCCGGGAGTTCTGGGGTATCTGCTCCGGTGTCGACTTCAACTGCTCTCGGAGCTCGTCGTTACAGAGAACGACAGTTCTGTAGCCCAAACAAGGCGGTTTGGCTGTGCTTCCTGGCTGTACTTCAGTGTTCCTGCGTGGCACTGTCAGATCTTCTCACCTTCACATGAGAACACAAAGCCACTTACGGTCCCGATACGGCAGACGAATTATCCGTCGATGAATTACTCCTTGTCTTCTTAGAATCTGGCCATGATCCTGATGGGTCTTCAACTTCTTGTCTTGGACGCTTTCCCGAGCTACTGGACTCGAAAGTAGCTATCGAGCTTTGTGAGTCGCGTTTGGAACGTAGGATGTTGGTCGAAGGATTGACGGCAAATTCGTTGATAAAGGGATAGGAATTAAAAGTGGCTATGTGGGAAGAACTAGACGGCTGTGGCCAGACCGACACCGGGTTGGGGGCAAAATTCCCGAAAGTAGGGTTAAGCGGGTATGAAGACGAGCCATTCGAAGCTTGAACTTGATGTTGCTGGTAGAGATTGTTCGGAAGGACATAGAAAGCATTATTTTGATAAGAGTTGGGGAAAGTGGCGGGCTGCATGAAACCACCTATGGGTCTAGGAGGGTAGTAAAGTGGCGACAACTGAGTCTGTCCAGGGATAGAGACGTCCATTGAATGTGTTGAAAATAGTAGGGAAAAATCGTTTATAATTATGGCATCCTCTTATATTGCCGCAAATTCATTGGCTTTGCTGCGATCGATAGCTTTAGCACGGGAGCAAGGCGCTCCGCCCAGAACAAAGCTTTAACCACGTCAAAGCATGGCTTGCGCCACAATGTCCGGAGCAAGAGTAGGAGCTCCGTAGTATGATCTCTTTGTTCTTCATATCCAATATTCGATCATAAATAGCATTATTTGACCTACAGAGAGCAAGTCAATCGAGAATTATATTCGAGAGAAAATGGAGAGCACTAACATCGGCTGTTTGCCACTCTGAACAGCTTTGAACATCTATACAACATTGCCTATGACCATCGGACCATCGTTGCTGGTCACGACGGAGCCCGGAATCCCCTGGTATACATCTGCTGATAAGGCCATAGCTTCGAGTTGTCACAGCGCCGTAGCTTCAAACGTGGCGGAAACAGCATCGAAGTTGCCGTCGAGAATCTGTATGAGAAAAACTTGGAACACCATAGCGGCTTCTATCTCGCCGAGAACACCAGACTGTATGGATCGGGTGATACTTTGACCGCCAATGACACGCAGGAGTCCGCAAAAACAGATGTATCGAACATCTCCCACCCGATCGCAAAGCATATAGAGCGCCCAGATCGTCCTTCAATACTCTCCTAACCAAATGATAGGGATAGGTAAGAGATCAGTGGTATGCTACGAGGTGCGCTGGTCCTATCTCAAGGGTCAGTAGCCTTCAGGATGGAACAAGGAAAGTAGGTACCCGTGGACCGTTATAATACGATGAATGGTTAGCTGAGCATCGCGGGCTTGCACCAAACATTGTAAAGCCATAACCTTACCTAGCGACGCTCATCGTTCTACCAGTGAGCAAATAGGAGGAGAGTTCCATTCTATGGTATAACTGAGACATACCCAAATATTTCTGAGTATCGCTGGAATAGTGAACCCAAATGACCGTGAACAGGCAGCGTGGAATCAGGAACGAGGTGAGCTATTATCAAGTGTCAGTCGCATAGTTGCACCGAGACAGACAAACTACACACCCCGGTATGTAAGGTAGCGATCACCTCTTGTATCGAAGCGTACTAATAACCCCGATCGCAAATTCGAGAGGAGCTGATTCCTTCCACCCCTTTGGAGAAGGACGGAGAAACCCGTCTTATTGTTTATGCTGTCCAATCTGCGTGCAGGAATGTCGTCGCCACTTCAAGATCCCGTGGTCTTCCAAGAGATTCTCATCAAGGTCCAAGCGTCCTGAACTCAGGTCTTGAAGAGCGCAAAGCGCACGGCACCTAAGACGTGTTGACACTATTGGCAGAGTACGAAACCAATGTGTAGTCCTAGGACTAGTTTAGAGCCACGGCAAGCATTCTTTTGGAAACCTTGAAGAATACATCTCAAGGAAAGTTATGGTACCTTCCTTTCGGTAGTAGCCTAAAAGAATGAGCTTTTCCAACAGTTTGTCCAAAATTTGTAGTCGTCGTTATGAAGGATCACAATACGCCTCAAATTACACGCCAATGAGCCCCCTTCGAATTCAGGGACGTCGACTCTCCTAATACCTAGCAGATGATAGGAATTTTGTAATTCATCCATCAGAAAAATTCGATTTCGTCAGGTTCTGGAACTAACAAACTTACACATTCGTATTGTAATCTATCGCACACTCAACCCGCCAATTTTCCCGGCTAACGCGCTGACTTCATTGACATCCCAAATAACCAGATTCCCGTCGGCTCCAGAGGTGCTGACCCGCGTCACCAAACCGCCAGCAAATTCATATGGCCTGACACTCGTAATCGTATTCTGATGAACAGTTGGGAGCTTCGTATCGCTCGCGTCAGCGATGCTGGATTGACCCCGGCTATCTGCTGCTTGGAAAGTCGCGAATGCTCCGAACTTTAACCTCCCGGGTCCCCCAGCACCGGGCCGGGCAGCGGATTTGTGTACCGCAGATGTATCGTCGAGTGTCCCGACACCTTGCCACCCAGTTTCGGCAGATCCGCTGAACACAAACGGTTGGCAGTCGTGCCCGGCGGCGACGATGCAGTCCTCCGCAGTCCAGGTGAGGGTAACAACGGGGAGAGAAGTCATCTTGACGATGTGAATACCGCCGCCAGGGTAAACGACAGATATAGAACTATCGTGACCTATTGTGAACGTCAAATAAGCGACGGGGGAGAAAAGTGGAAGATAACTAACTGGCAAAAGCAAGGACATCACCAGATGGAGAAAATGCAACGGAGTGGACCCATCCGCCAGCAGGACTCGGGTATTCTCCGCAGATAGTATTGAAAGGAAGTTTGGAGCCCCAAACGGTTGGCGGAGGTCTACCAATTAGCAAATTTGGCGTTTGGGAGACTCAAAAGGTACCTACTTGGCGTCTACTTCCTTGATATATGCCGAGAATACTCTGGCCTTCGAATCCGCACTTCCAGCGGCAAGAAGAACATTGTTAGGATGCCAATCCACCGAGAGAACCGTCGACCGAATGGGCTTCTTCAAGAGCTTGCTTACCCACCAGTTGTTCTCAGGGTCGAAGTGACAAACTGCAATCGCACTACATATTGTGAGAATTATTCAGCACATAGTGCGGTTGTAACACACCGAGCACCACTCGCGACAGCAAATTTGTCCTCGTTGGGACTCCAGCGGACGTACGTCGCAGCGCGGTTGATGCGCAAAAGGACTAAGGTAGGCTTCCAGCCGCCATCGGGACTAGGCTGCCATACGTAGGCATTCCTATCCTGTGAAGCGGTAACAATACGGTTCGACGACGGCGCCCAATCGATGGAGGTGATCACTTTGTCGTGCTAACTTCTGTTAATCATCGAGGCTGACAAAACCGCTGCAATAGTCACCTCGGCGAGCGTTTCCGTTGGAATCCATTCAGATCCTTTACGAGAAAATATCTGGGCCTCATTGGAGTTCAAGCTTGCCGCGACCTCTGTTATAATCAGTAAAATGGAAGACAGTTTGCTGTACAGCAACATACGGGTTCGGTCTGCACTGAATGCATGGGCTGAAATGGCCGTCTGTCCAAGAGAGAATATTTCAGGCGCCATGAAAGTTCGTAAGTGAAGATTTATTTAACAGTAGGACCAGCAGTCTACTACTGTGAGATTGAGGATGATGATGTTCAAAGAGAGATCGATGCCGACTACCGGCTACTGCCGGTCAACGTGCCTGTCACGTCACATTTAGGCGCGAACTTAAGGTGCTGCGTCGGGTATTGTGGAGTGCGACGTCTGCGGGATGTGTTATCGTCTAGCCTATGGAACCGGATATAATTGAGCCTGGTACTCAAGCTGCTTAGATTTATGCGTCGGTCCCGACTACTTTTGTTACACCAACCAGTGACTTCTAGGACTCGATTTATTGTATAGCGGCTTCCAGACAACCAAGTATGCATAAGACCGCTTTCTGTTTAGGCTGGACTTACACCCTGACGGGTTCCGCATTTTCACGACTGACCGACTTTCTCGGAGAAAATGTAAGTAAGTTTACCTTGCATCGCTCTTTCATCTACATTCTTCAGTGACGCAGCAAGGGATTCTTCCATAGTACTCTTTCAACCTTCCAAATACTCTCCGTTTTTTTAAAGAGCACACCCTTATTTTTTTTTCACTTTGCAATGAACTTCAATTTAGGGTTTCCTGTCACTTTTCCATGTATAGAATACCCGACGTCGGTATGTCCAACTAAAGAAGTTTAGGGTTTCAATGTTGCTTGATTTTCACCTATAGGATTGGTTATAATCTTGAGATTCAGAGATCCAAGGACTGTCAATACGGATCTTATGAGTTTTCTACGTGTTATCAATGCGGGTCCTGTTTCACATATAATGTATACGGTCTTGCCCGTTTGTGCGCTTATTGGTCACTTATATTCTCTTATACTCTCGCTCATATTTTGTGTATATTACTTCGAAGTCGGGGTCTTATCAGTGGTCTTATCACGGTCTTGTGCCATATTCAGCGGTATAACTTTTCGGAGACACCTGATGATATCATATACGGGAGTAAACTAGTCACAAAATGGCAGGGGGAAACTAGATCCCGCGCTTTCCCGCGCCTATTTTCTGAGGCCGTGCTCTGCTGGTATTTCATTCTAAGCCTAGAATGGACACTCCGAAAAAGGCCACAATGCGACTCTCCTAAGCGCCAACCACATGTCCGCCATTGTTCCCTCAATATGTAGAACAGTAGCGCTGCATTGTCGTGGACAGTTCTACTCTAGACACGACATTACAGGTGGACAAACAAGATGCTAATGTGATGATACGAACGAGCAGCGCCGACTTTCCTAAAGCAACGACCTCTGATCCGCCAGCTGGATCTATAGTGATCATGATGGATCACGATCGAATTTAGAGAATTTCTTCCCTGTGTGACTTTGATCTGAGTCCGAAATTTGCCTCGAGGCAGGTGACGAGAATCTCAGATGGTTCTCTTGTGCTTTGACATGGATGACGACCACGATGTTCTTGCGGCTCAGTTGGTTGGGCGCACAGCCGCACCAGTCATTTGACAGCAGGAAACCGCGAGGCCGTAAGACAATAAGACTCGTAAGTTGATCAAATTTGGTAACCACCGAACAATTGGCCCCCGATCTCAACGAACTGTAGCGGATCGTAGTCAGGCCCCTTGCCACGGAGCCAAGGATGAAATACTCCATTTACCCTTTCGCGTGCTTACCTAGCTGTCCGTATATATCCTTGTCAATTCAAGCAAGTAGGTCCCCCTTCCCATCACGGAACTCTGCGCCCACCTCTTGCAGTATTCGTCCAACAAAAGGCCACAGACTCCGTTCTTCGTCCTTTCTTGCCTATTTTCGTCCTATTTCGCCTCTTCTCTGGGTCTCTTTCTCCTTTCTAGGCCTGACGTTCGTTTCGCATCCTCTTCCGTTCAACAATGTCCGATGACAATAGTCACGGTTTCTGTCCGGATATTAAAATGGTCGAGGTAGCATCTCCCATCCAAAACTGTTGCCGCGGGTCAGGCGAATCTCTGCCCCCCAGCACCAATCTTACCTGGGCGCCCACAACTCACTGCGATACCTCCCCTTCGCTCATGGAATCCCTAGATTCCTTTGAGCCTCGACCCTTCCCTCCCCCTTCACTGCTTGACGTCCCCGTCGAGTACATCATCGATCAGCTTCATAATTTGGCTCCGCATTATTGGGATAAACTCGAGACTGCAGATTGTACATTAGGTACGTTGCCTGGTATTGATTTCCTTCCCATCATCAACTAATGTTCCTTCTAGTTGTTCCCGTCCCGTATCCCGGCGGCAAGCACGCCTCGGAACCACTTGAATCCCCCTTACCCTCATACGATCCGTCCGGTCTTGGTCGACGCGCGACTGAGCCAACACTGACCGCTGTTCCGTTAATACGGATGCAGGTCCGTCTAAAGTTCTTTTCATGTTGTCGTGGCACTGATTCCGGCGTCTAATAACAGCTGCATACCGACTACCTCTCTGCCCACTCCAGTTTCCTACGCTCGCTCTTTAGTGGAGCATCTCCCATTGACCTAATAAACCCAACAAGCTCCCTACATCCACCAGGTCTGCGAACCTCTTCCGGAAAGTTCACAATACCGCCGAACCGCTTGCCCCGACTAATGCCCTCATCCACCCCGTCCCATCCTGTTCTCTATCTCCCCATACCAGACCCGGCGTCTTTGCATTACGTTGTACATTGGATGTACTTTGGCACAACCGACATGATAGAAGACGCCCTCGTCCATGGTGTTATACAATGGGAAGGTATCGCACGTAACGTCGAATACCTAGGCCTACCTACGGACATCAAAGTATTCTTGGGAAGATGGTTCGAGCGATGGCTGAATCCTGACCGGCATGGAATAGACGATGTCTACGCTTCTGATGAGGAGGAAGAATCGGATACGGCATGCAGTGATGATGATTATGATGATGACGACCTCATGAATGACTTGGATTCGGATAGGGAAGGAATGTGTTGGAAAGATGGCAGAGATGACGACGAGGAACCCTGTCGTGGGAGGACCCGGGCTACCAGGTGCTTGTCATGGGCGTCCACGGCATCGACATCAGCGGTGTCGTACGAGTCTGTTTGATGACCCTTCTTCTTCCCTTACGCATTGCTTTTTTTCGATTTCACCCGTGGATGCTTTTTTCGTTCGCACTTATCATTATTAGTTGCTCTTACTAGTCCTGCTTTCGACCGATTGTTCTTCGATTTCACTATTAACACGTTCCTTCACCGTCGCTCAGAGTCTCAAGAGAACTACTTGTATTACTACACATCCTATTAGTTGAGGTATACTCACAACAACAATAAAGAGCGAAAACATAATAAAGAACAGGAGCCGGACCCCTCTGGACCCATACAACAATGGTATAATGTCACATGTGAAATCTTATTGTTCACTGCCTCGCTTTGTGCTTGCTTCGGACGCGGAACTCACGGTCACTAACGCGGGGCTACGGAGTAAAACTGGCAACATGTGCACAGCCTATTATTTGGCGACGCAGCACCGTGGCATTTCCGTACAATGAGCTACGCATCCGCGTGATACAAAAATAGAAAAGGCGCGTTCTAAAATACAAAAAGAAATAAAACAGTCTGGGGCCTCGTAGAACAATAAGTTATTCCGTAGAAAGAAGGGCGGGTCCGACAGGAGGGTCATCGTCGTGACGATCATTTCGCAATGTAGAGATGGAAAGATACAGAGATGAGAGACATGCGCTCGGATCGGCAGGGTCCCCCAACCTACACGGGTGTCTTCTTGGCCTTGGGCGGCATATACGCCAAATGAACTGGCGGTGTCCATACCTCCATATCTGGTACCCGGATCTGCCTGGGAAGCGGATACAGGTGTGGTTGCTTCGTCTCTGGTACGGCAGTCATCATCAACGGAGCCTGATTGTTTCCCTCAGCAACGCGACCACATGAAAGCAGAATCGAGCTCACCAGATATTCCCTAGCGAAAACTTTATGCCAGATGATATTTTGCATCCAGGGATGTAATTTTATCTCTTGGAGACCGTGTCCATTAGCACCGATGCGTGCGTATGGGTCTGCGCGCAGGAATCTGGATATCAAGTCCTTGCAATTGGGTCCCGCAGGCAAGGAATCGATAGGCTGCACAAAGTCGCGGTTGACGACTCTTGCAATTACGGGTCCATCATGTTGGTCGCCGCTTGCGATGAAAGGCTAGAGATCTCTGAGCATCAGACATTGCCCGCGCGAGGAAACAGATAAAAACGTACAGAACGCCCCCCAATCAGACTAAAGAGAATACAACCGAGAGCCCACCAATCGATCATAGTAGGCGAGCATTTGGGCGGCGGCGTTTTGCTTTCTTTGTGTATCTCGGGACACATCCACGCGGATGTGCCCAGCACAAACCATTCCCTCTGATCCTTCTTTAGGGCGTCGACATCGCGGATGTTGCCGAAATCCGCTAGGACCGGGTATCCAGAAGTGCACATGAGGATGTTGTCCGGCTTGATATCGCAGTGGAGCACTCCGTTACGATGTAGGAAATCGACACCAAGGGCTATACAGGCAATGTAGAACCTTGCCTGCCTGGGTGATTGGGCACCATGGCCGTCCAAGATGTTTTGCAGTGAACCCCCCGAGAAGTACTCCAGGAGAGTGTAGAAATTGAAGTTGTCAGAGTCCGTACTGATCATTCCTGCGACAAAGGCATTCCAAGGGAGGGTGCCCAGACAAGTACGTTCGGTGTTCTTGACATTATGGTGATCTCCTTTTGGCGGCTGGGCATCGAGCTAATGAGGATTACACTTGGTAAGCGAAAAAGAAAAAGAAACTTACATCGTCTTCATTCACCCGCATAACGACTTTTCTCACGATTTTGACGGCGAATAAAGTGGCCGGCTTGTCTAGTGGGTGTTCATCGCGCATTGACTCTACTACTCCCACAGTGCAGGTGCTGCCTTGACCTAAAAAATATATAGGTAAAACGGTGAAGGGGAGCCAGAAAGATATTCCTCACCGATTGTTTTGATGTATAAACAATGGTCTACATAAAGCGGATCTGGCCTGCGGGACTTTGGTATTCTGAGTGATGGGGGTGGAACACTCTTGTACTACAGTAGAAGAGTTCAGAAAGAGAACAGAACTGAGCAGAAACTCGCGCACCTCAGGTTTGTCAGAATAAAAATGCAGGAAATTATCCAAAGCGCCCCGGACGTTCACGAGTCTTGATGATTGAACTTCGGTACGTATCCGCTTGCGAGCTGTCTCAGAGTGAGGTTCAGAGGGGGCTTTTCTTTTCGTAGTGCGAGCTGGAGCCATGGTAGTTGAAGATGGGAAGAGATTGTAAAGTGAAAGGACAAGCCTCACGGCAATTTAAGCAAAAGAAGTGGCACTAGTTTGTCAATGACAAAGGCCAACCACGGGACTATTGTACCACGTTTTGTGAATAAAGGAGTGCCACTGACGCTGGTCAAATCTTGCATTGTCCTTTGTGCGCTAAGAGAACAGCCTCGAGGGCCATGGCACCGCGAACAATGAATTTGCGCACGTAGCGACGCCCTCTGGGATACCATCAATTATTTTGTGAAGATGGCCTTCATAGGCGTCAAGATGGGATATTTTCCCGTAGAAGATAGACCAATTTCTGCAGGACTTTGCAACGACATTTTGGGAGGGACAAAGGAACCACCTCGGACTGATCCGGCATTTGATCGGAACAAGTGGTTGCCGAAGGTGCCGGCAGGCCATTGGCATATCGTTTGTTCTAATGTCAAATGGTATTATCGTTGCGCGAGCACAGATAAATTCCGGGGGATTAATATGCATGTCAAGGTCTCCTCAATGCAGAGGAATGACTCTTGACTACTCAGCCAGCGGTAGAATTCCTTCCCAGAGACATACAAACCCTGGATAGTTCGAGAGCACGAGTTTGATACCTCCCACCGTCAAAGTGGTCTGAACGAACGGGCGGTTAAAAGACTTGCAAAGTAATCACCGCTAGGGATCCGTACCGCTCTCCCAATTTTACTATCCCCGCGGAACAAGCGAAACGCAAGATGATAGCATAAATCCGTTCTCCATAACATACGTACGATAAAATATTCATAATCAAACCTCGTCAACCCAGTCATCCAAACATGTCTTCCTATCCGCAACAGGAACGGCCGAATACTCCCTGACAATAATCTCGTCCAACTTTTCCCACTTCGCCAGCCGAGCCATACTCTTTGGATCCAGATCAATAACAGTGACCTTGGACGGATCCACCTCCCCCTGCGGACGCCTCGGATCCAACAAGTCCATCCTAATCATAATGGAACAATCCTTAAACGTGGCGGAAAGGAGATACGCGAGGAGGTGGTACCGTAAGTCCTCCAAGTTGGGTGGCCGAGTGAGGTATTCATCAATGAAAGCGGACCAGTCAGCTAGAGAGGGATTAGGTCCGCCGACGCCAATAGCGCGCCCTAGAGGTGTATACCCATTTGTAGACTGCGGGGGGTTCGCTGGGCCCTGGGCTTCTCTCCATAATAGTGACAGCCCCTCGATGTCAAGCGAATCAAGGGTCCGTTGAAGCTTGTTGAGAATGCGAAGGACTGGTGTACCCACAAGAAGCGCGAGAATTGCCTCCGAGAATGTTTCTCGGACGTTCTCGTCGGATTCTTCGTATGCTTCGGAGGAGAACATCGAGAACCTCTACAGCAGAGCTATTTCTTGAGATATCTATCTCGGACATAACGAGAAATGCATACCTGGTCCACACCAATTTTCGTACCCTTGACGAATATCTTTAGATTGTTTACTGTTCCATCGCTCTGGAGCCAATTATCGTAAAGGGAATAGACCGCCTGCTTCATGCGGCCCCGATTACTGGAGAATAAATCTAGCGGGCAGTATCCGAGAGAGACGGTCTCTCCATCCCTTGACCTCATGTGAGAGTGCATGCAAAATCGGCAAGTAGTCGCCTTGATTGAATAATTAGCCGCCGAAAGGTATGTCTTGTTGGGAAGAAAAGACCATTTGGGCTAACAGAAATCTTTAGTGCCTGACTGAGCAAGAGAAAGGCGCGACATACTTTGATTTCTATAGCCAGTCCTGAGCCGCCCACAAGGTCGGTCGCCAACACAGCCTTGCCCTTCATTGTATCGATACCTCCGCTCACGGTCCTCTGCAACGGGCGATCGGGTTCGTGTAACCGAGAAAGCTCCTCTAGCCACGCCTTGTCCACAGGAACCGACTGTAGTTTTGGCAGATGAACCGAGGGTATCAGCCGTTTCATGCACGTCTCTTGGAACACAATGGATGAATCGTCTGGTTCCTCTTCCTCCGCAACCGTACCGAACGCCTGCTTCTCAAGCACGGGCGTCTGTACCCCAGACTTGCGCAAACGCAATACCATGCCATCGAAGCTAAGATTCGGGGGACCGACGTAGGAAAAGACAATGGTAGCGCCGCCTTCGGAGACGTATTTCCAGTGTGATGGAAGCGTGGCGGTAACGCTGGATATGGAAACTGCCATGATAATCGGGGTCCGTACTACGGACGTGGGGTTCGCTTGTCGTGGCTTGGCGGGAAGAGAGTCAAATTTCCGGCAATCAAACGGGGTTCTCTTCCTTCACGTCACGATACTGATTGGGAATAGAGTAAATATGGACTGTACAGTTTGCGAGTACAGACAACTACTTTACCGTTGACTGTCGGAAGACTTTGGATGCATCAAGCCAAAGTACCACAGGTAAGCGCAAACCGGAATACTAGGGCACCAGCGAGACAATAAAAAATAGATAACATACTCATTTTCCGCGTGTACATCGGCACACCCATCTTCTATACGTGTAAAAGTGATGTGTTTGATTTAGAGGGATATGGTGATGTGCCGGTCAACGACTAGTCGCAAAGTCACGGGCAAGTCGTTAGTCAACCAAAGGCAGGGCATTTTTTGCCCCGACCTCTTCCCACCCCTTAGCGTGACATCGAGGGCACGGTCCGAGACTCCGAGTCCGGTCTCGGCCCCAGCGTCGTCATACCTCACGTTAAGAGGTTCAAAGAGCGCCTCGGTGTGTGAGGACATCAGACGCTTAGTAATACTTGGTTGCGCCCTGAAAGCCGGGGCAGAAAATGACTTGACGACTAGTCGGTGACTAGTCACACGGGCCTTACTGCGACTTTCCACTTTGAGTCACTGCCCGTCCAACACTGATATGGTATGAAATGAATGTAATATTAGTGAGAGGACGAGATGAAGTGTATCGGGCCGAGATGCAGCCACCATCAATCGGCAGCAATCGGCCGGTCTGCCGAGCCCAAAGCGGATTGATTGGCTAAATGTATCCGAGAGGTTTCTGGCTCTCAAATTCTACATTGGAGTTTATTTTGCAAGTCAAATATCACATATATAATAAAATTTAGTATCTAAACTTTTTGTGCCCTCCCGGTAAGCGCTTATCTTGGTTCTAGTTTATCTTATCGGAGTTTGAATTTGCCGAACGGCATTTCTAAATTGGAAATGCCAGGCGCTCGACGCGTCCGTATTCCCTGTTTGTCTCAGAACTGAGACTAGCACGACAATTTGAATATGATTCTCAGCTCCCTATTCTCTTTGCTGCTGGTTATTTTCTTGTTCTTCACCCATGACAGAAGTCATGGCAGATTCTCAAATTCCTCCCCCGCCTCTCGAACCCAGTGACGTATTTATCACCCAGTCCGTCAATTCCCATTCTTCGTTCTTGGACGCCGCCAAAAGGTCATCGAAAACGACGTAGAACGCCTCGGCATCCCCCACTGGTTCATTCTCGACGCCTGTCTCGTTGTCGCAGGCAAGGGTTTCCTGTCATCGACACCGGAGTCCACTGGAAGAATTCGGGTAGACGAAGATGGATTTCTGACAGGACGGAAGTACTGGTTCTTCCTCGACAATGGCGCCGCTCATCTGGACTACCCTGTATGCTCGAACTTTTCGGAGTGGACGCCCCTTGCTCGGACGGAGGTACCAGAACGATGGCTTGCGATAGACAAACGCGACAGGCCTGTAATCAACCCACCTTACGAGGCCTCGTTCAGCGACATCAGCCTTGCTCTCCAATATGCCGATGGATATTGTGCAATATCTGGACTGAATGAAGAACTTCGAGGCGCACACTTGATTCCTGAAGCTTACGCGTCGTGGGTTCGCCATTTCTTGCTTTAATCTCTTTAACCTGTCTAATCTATCATCGTTGCGTAGTACAACTACCACCGTATCTTCGAATACTTCTCGGACGATGAAGACTACCTCAACATCGGCCTAGGACCCGGCGCCCGCCCCATAGATGACATTCGGCAAATCCTCATTCTGGAATCCGGCTTGAAGGAGTGCATGGATCGACCTTCCCTTGTACTTGCACCGTTCGGCGACAAATATGTGTCCTTCTTCTTCACGCCGTGGCACATCGGATTGGCGGAGAACTACCACATGCGCACTGCTAAACTCCCTACTCGTATTCAGGGATCTGCATTGTTCGTCCGCTTTGCTTGGGCAATGATACAGATGGTGCGATCGTTTCCATCACGCGAGACTCTTGTAAAGAAGAGAGGAGGGGAAGATCACGACACCGCGGATGGTTCTAAGCAGTCAACAACGAGTAAATCACGCAAGGTTGGACGTGAGCATGCTAGTGACAGTGCCGGACAGAGCTCTACTGGAGACAGCTGGACGGAAGCAAGCGCCGAGGGATTAAATACCAGCTCTGACATCAGTGACTGCTCCGATGCAACTCTTGACGATGCACGTTTCACAAGCGATGATAGCGTCTCTAACACTCATCATGAATCTGTTTTAAAGCCGTGGAATGTATGTAGCGTACTTTTTGGTGCATCGTCGATAACTTATGATTCACAGGACACTTTCATTGTTTATGGACGATGCCTTGGATCATCCGGGATACAGTGACACTGAAGAGCTCAAACAAAGACACGTAGCTACGGTCTCGGCTACGAGAGAACTTTGTATGCGGTTGTAATAATTAACTGCAGTTTTTCTCAAGGCCGTTTATACATAGGCGAATTGGTTCCTTTTTATGTGTGAGACGGTATAATCGTTTGCCCGAGAAGAGTTTTAAAAGAAATTAATATATGTCAGTGTTAACTCTCGATTTCGACTGTCTTCGCTTTACGTTTAGCGTCCACCAGTTCGCAACGACCAACAGGGTTTGAATGTATCTGTGGCATGCAACGTTGAATTCGACCGGCGTTTAACTCAACGAAGCCATCGAATACAATGTAGGACATTCTTACACTTAACAGCCTTCTTCCTAATGCTGATTGTCTTCTTTTCCTAGGCGAAAACAAAAACGAGGATGATTTTCACCCTGTCCTGTCCGACCTTCACAGAGCAAATGTGCATGAGCAAGCAGTCTCAAATACGGGGATTTTCCAAATACCATTGAACCAATTTTCTACGTTCCCGCCAGATCTCGAGGTTGTGCCAGGCCGAGCAAGTGGCCCAGTAGTGGCAGCCTATTTGTATACATTCTATATGCTTCCTATAGTGCCGACAATTCCGCGGCCTTCTTGGAGTTGGAGATCCTTCGTTGAAAATTTACACCCTCTCCTTCGTCTGCACGGCTTGGATACCCCTTCCCACCCGAACCAACTCCATCTTTTTTCCACCATGTCATCAGTGAAGGCGTCATCCTTTGCTGCCATAAAAACGCGCCGCTCGTTGGCCTTGCCCAAGGCAACAGCTACTTCAGCAATCACCATCTTGCAGTCGTCGTCCTCTTCGTTCCCCATATCTTGAAATCCACCCTTCCCCTCATCGATCGTGGTGGATTCAAGATGTATCTCTTCCTTTTCGTGTTGTCAGGTGTCCCATCGCTTGTCGCTTACTGGGCCTTGGCTTCTATGTATGGCGCATGCAAAAATCTGAAAGTAAGCATATCCAGGGGTATATCGAAATCAAGGACACGGAGCTCTCTAGGCTGTACAAGGGAAAGGACAAAATTCCCGTACAGGTCTTCCACGATGCGTACTATGACGGCAAGGATGAATTCAAGGGTTTGTCCTTCACTTTCATGCCCCATCTTAACGTTTGACTTTTGTACAGGCGATATGTTCGATATTTTGGAACAACGTCACGACTGGGCCAAGTTCTCGTTTACTCCAGAGCTCTTCAAGCATGTATTTACGAAGCTGATTCCCTCTCATTCTCGGGAGCAGGAGCAGGATCAAGTTCAAGACCATTACGACCGTAAGTTCACCTTTTATTTCGCCCATGCTCAGGCAGTTGACGCGTCATATAGGCGATGATGACTTTTACGGATGGTATATCTCACCGCACCTTGATCTTCTGACATCCTAATACACGTTCGTCTGGGGAGGTGCTTTCAAGAACGCTTCCAGGGTGTCGATGGCTGCACATATACCGCCCCTCTAGCTTTCTATGTGTATTTCTTCAACCTCTGATCCAACAAAACAGGTTGTATCCTCAGCCCATGCCCGAAGGCTCTGTGTGTTTCGTATATGTCATCCGTGCCTCAAGGATACCGGCCGCCGGAAACGAGAAGATGGGAGGTGCGGAAAGTTTCGGAAAAGCTCGTCGTAGAATCAGGAGCTTTGCTGCCATAAATAATAGTACTGACTTTGGACCATACAGGTAAATAAAAATCATTTGAGTCGAGGCAAAGGAGGCAGAAGTACGTAGTGGTTTCTCAATTCAAGCCTAGTCTAGGCAAACGATCCAGAACTGCAAAAATAGCGATGGATTGTCTTGAATTGTCGAGGTGAAATGGTGCCAGGAACGTGAGTGATCCCCATGACTTTGAGGTTTGAACTCAGCGGCATAGGTTCATGTCGTCCATCTCTTGTTATTCTCGTCACCTACGCCTCATCTACGTTGAAATGCCTGCCTATGCTCCTAGGCGCATTGAGATGGTTAGATGGAAAGACCTGTGTTCTTCAAGATGAGTACAAACTCGCTCGTTCCTAAGAGATTACTGATTGCCCGGCACTGGCAGTATCAATGTCTGGGGTTATACGATTGACGATGTGCGTACTACGAGAGTGCTGTAAGGGTACTTAGTGGCCGAGTACGCGTATCCACGGAATCGACAGACATGTGCAGCGACGATTTTTACCTTTTGAATAAAATATGCACAGTTGATACGAACCCATGTGGCTGAAGGTGAGTCTCACGAGAAGCTTGAGCCTGAGGGACTCGGAGTGTGGGCCAATCAAAATGGCACGGTATCAATGCTCTGCGAGAAGTCATGGCACGGGACACATGTAATGTTGTAGGGTTGTCAAGATCCTGAGCTGGCAGCTTCGACGTGTGCGAAAGTGCTTGAATATCCTCTCACACCCAATATTCCAAAATGAAATGTTTAATTGTGAATACAACAACAGAAAATTGAGCAACAAACCCGATGGATGTTCGATGGTAAGAATGGACAAGCCACAAGAGGTAGAGAGTAAGAAAGGTATAGTTCGAGTTGAAACGGGCGGGAGCAGAAGAATCATACGCAAGAATATCGAAAGGAGTTGACTGCAGTCACCAAGCCATGATGAACACGATAACTTTGCGATGAGAGAACATGTCGCAGCAGGCAGGTTGACTGGGTTTTTTGACAGATGTAATAAGGATATACGTATTTGTTTAAAAAGTGGTGAAGGACCGACACTGCGGCGGCCAGGCGTAGGGGGAGGACCGTTGCAGACTTGCAGTACTCCTGCGCCGAAGATTCGGAATGCGACTTTTCTCACATGTAGGCTGCAACGTAACTCGGGACTTCATTGTGGCGAAGACGAACTTTACGCAAGAACATTAACGGCAGCCTTGAGAGTGCAATGGATAGCCGTAGAATGTTCGCATATGGGCCCGGATTGAAGATCTAGAGCGTGGCTGAGGCTGTGCCAAAAGCTGAGTGATTAGATCGAGAAAGGCCGGTAGATAAGATGCGAGATGAAATCGGGGCAACCCAAAAATATTGGAGCATTATATATTTGAATCAAAAAATGACTACATCCGCCTGGTCGTCAATAAACCGCCACCCTCTTTGGAGGTATGCCCTACTTGTTGCCTGATTCCAACACAAAACGTTCGACTCGCCATCGTTCGTATACACATCCTTCAGGTGACATTACCTCTCTCGGCTCATTGCCACAGATTGAACAACACCGCTCTACCTTCCGCTTCCAGAACGAATATTCCTCTGACGACGAGCATGATCTCCCCAGCCCCCAGTCAGCCGGCTTGAATAATCCAAATACATTACGGGTCGATACTCACTTGGGCGTGACCTTTCCACGAACCTCGCCGCGAGGCCTCAGCCCAAACGTTCCCAGCAGTCCTTCCCCGCTCCAGAGAACCAATTCTGCCTCCAATGGTCGGCCTCTCAAACCTTCACTCAAGGGGTCATCACGTTCATCATCTGTCCCTGATATGCCCTCAGCGTCTATTCATCATTATCGTGCTCGGTTTGCCCCCTCTGTACCTGCTGTTTCTTATCACGAACATCCTTGCCACAAAAGCGTTCACTTCCCTGCCCACCAGCTCGAAACGGTCCGCATGTTCAACAAGTCTGCGAAACCCGCTTCCCTGCTTCGATCTATTCAATCTTCCGATGCGGAGACCGAAACCGAGACCGAGGACGGTTCTTCTCGTATTACAGCGACTCCACGATTCCCATTTCCATTGACTATCCCCTCGTACTCCCTGTCTCCATTGACCGACCCCGTGCCAAGCCCTACAGCCCCAAGGGAGGGATCTAATATCATACTAGAGTCCTTGAGTCTTCCCCAATCAACATTGGCGCTCAAAGGCACACTCCTCGTGCGCAATATTTCCTACGAGAAGCTGGTCTACGTCAGGTTCACCCTCGACGAATGGCAAACGACGTCTGAAGTAGCCGCTCGGTATCAGACGTCGTTGCCCTCGTTACCTCAGGCAGTTTTGCCCGAGAGGAACCTTACTGTAGGCGATGTCGCCGCAGGTGTTGCTACAGGAGGATCTGACACTTGGGACCGCTTCGAATACACAATCAAACTGGGAGACTACACTTCGAACCTTATCAATCGCACCATCTTTCTGGTCGCTCGATATTCCGCATGCGGGGGTGAATGGTGGGATAATAACGCTGGGAAAAACTATCGTGTGGCCTTCGTTCGGAGCCCTAGCCGTAAGTACCTACTATCCTACCAGGTCCATTCCCACTCGTTCACTCCATTGAACTTTAGAGGCATCACCTGCAATGGTCAAGAAAGCCCGTGCCCCTGTACCTCTGACAAAAGCTCCGTTTGAGAGCTCAGTTCCGTTCCCAACCATTGCTCCTTCCTCACCTACGAATCTATCAATTTCTGTTCCCTCGACACCCACCTTGTCACCTACTCTTTCGCCCCGTCCACAATATAACCGTGCACAGTCAGAGGCGACGCTTCGGCATCATCTGAAAGGCCTCAAGCTGGCTAACTATGCCAAACCCGATGCCGTCCCTCTACAACTGAGTCCTACTACAGACAAAGCAGAGGGCACTGGTGTGTTTTGGTCTGGGGCCTTCAAGCCGCAAACAGATACTTCCCCAGTGCATTCGGACGAAGATGGTGATGTCACACCTTCTCTATCGAGAGGCAGTAACTCCCCGCCAGACTCGCTCATCGATGAACCGGAACGGGTGAATGCATTGGAGGAAGTACTACCCATGTATGCTGAGCCAGCGAGTCTTTCAGTACCCTTCTCGATGCTCAATTCAAATGCCATGGTGCCTGAACGCGAGTTAGAATCGACGTCATCGTCACTGCCTTTACCAGATGTCTCTCCAACTCCCCCTCCTACTAGCTCAACACCCACTCCACGAGCGGGGAAAAAATTACCTACTCCCCCGTCTTCGCCTGAGGAGCTTTATAATGTTTTTCTGAAGCAATGGTGCTTTGCTTCATCATCACTGGGGAAGGAGCAGGAAGAATGATAGGTGCATGGATGAAGAACACCATCCACGTTATATGACCGTCCACCATATGACCGCCCTGATATATTCATGTCTTCTATTCATCTTTCCACTCTTGTTTATATCTTGTTTATACTACTAATGAAATTTCGCTAGACATTGTATCACTAACTGCAGCACAGCCCAAATGGATGCACGGTGTTATCAAGGTGCTGTGTTTTCCTCACTCAGATATGTACCAACTTTTACGGTACTACTATTTACACATTCCTATATAGTAAAAGTGCTACAATTGCGCATGTACCCACCCTTATCAGATTCTCCGTTGCTACCACGAACCAGGGGTTACCGTGCCGTCAAGCCGGTGCACCTGGTCGGTCGCTTTCACGAGGCCTTAAAAAAAATTCTATATCAATTTTTTTCCGCACTAATCAGCTCCAAAGTGCCATGCGGAAGCAATAATTGATGAAGAATAATATCTCACTGAGGTTCTTAACTCTGTGACTGTTAAGCATCTCCACAGTGATAGAGATGATGAAGGGATAGTCATACCAGGCGGGTTTTGGTATTCCGGCAATGTCCAGCCGCGAGATGCCGGTTATAACCGGTAACTGATGTTAACCGGGTGGCTGTGTGCTTACCAATACCATATGTTAGGCCTGCATCAGGTATGTTATACCCACGGCGGTCGGTCGGTCGGATCCACCAGGCCTTAAGAAAAATATCGAGTGGATGTAATTTTTTGACATCCTCGTAACCCCTTGACCACGAAGTCCCCATGGACACCTGCGAACCCTTATACTCAAAACCGCGCGTCCCCTTCCCAAATCCTGAGCAGTCCAGTTATCCATGGCACGACCAATTCTCCCCTGGAACAGCAAATCACCGTTTCGATACATCCCTTCCCTCGTAGAACTACGGAATACCCGTACTCAGCAGTGTAGTAGACACCCATACAAGCGTTGCAAGAAAGACAAACGCTCTACTAGATACAGAAATAACACCCAGCCATGCCACGTTCATTAATTCTTATCGTCATCGCGTTATCAACTTAGGCCGTGAACATGAATAGAATTTTTGAGCCATTTGAGCCGGTTACGATAGTCGATGACTGAGATTTTCTCAGTGCCCAGCTCTTGATCGATTTCGTTGCCGTTTCGGTCTCGACTGGTCCAGGTGGGACGTGTTGACGATCTACGAGTGGCTTGCCACTCTTCTCCTCCCTGTCAAAGTTTTGGTTTTTAGATCCGTGCAGCTTTGGACTTGGGCATGGCAAAAGGATTCTAAGTCCTGTTATGGCGGTGCAATCATCAAGTCCGAGACTTATCCGTGTCAAGGTCATTTGCATTACGCGCTAGCTCGGCTCATGTGACTTCGGCATGCTATCCGACGACATTAGCCGAATTAGAAAATGCGTCAACTTCTCTTTTTGTTTCCGTCGTTCTGTCTCATCCTTCGCTGTGGTGTCGTTATCTGGGCGACAATCGAACTTTTCACCTTAATTTTCCCTTTATTACTGCTTCCATGCGTTCCATGTATCTCAGTGATGCTTAGTCGTCGTTCTTGGTCTGGATGCGGCTTCTGCTACACGCAACGTACACGAATTCAGACTTGACTACGAGCTTCGGTGCTAGCAGTACTCACTAGAGTATTTCTTGATATGTAATGATACTGTCGCGATACGGTAGCTTCAGTGGGGGTGCTATCATCCACTACAGGCTGCTACGTACTCTGAGTGGTCCGCTACAGGCCACTACATATGGGGGACTGCGTACGTACCACAATGTAGCGAAGTGGGTTTTTCCTGCCGGGTCGCGTAAAGTATCGTGGATTCCCGCCATCCAGAGTCGCGGTCTTTGGCAGTCGTTAGTCTTTGCCTTTTATCAAGTTGTACAAACTCACAGTATATTATAGTACTTCCATGTTTCGTCTGTCAACATACCGAACACGATACTACGCCAATTCGGTCCCGGTCGTCACGGTTCTTCGGAAGTTCTAAAGAAAGCTGAATTGTGATTTGTGCATGAATTAACGGTTCGGAAACCCTCAGTGGAGCATCTCAGAACGCAATACATCGTAGCAGAAATGGCGAACTCTACGTGACCACCTTCAGATCCTTCTAATACGCTAGTTCTTTTATGTCACTGACATACACGTAAACATTCTCCGAACACAATACAGTCGATGAAGTGGCACCCCTTCGACCGTTGACCAACGAACGACTTAGAAGATTAATGACCATTGCTCCTTCGATCCGGAGACATAGCATCCAGGAAGGTTCTCGTTCAGGTTGCGGTTCTTCCGGCAGTGAGAGCCGCGAAGGCCTCGGTTCGGGATATTGATCGGGGTCAAGTTCAATGGTCCAGGGCCTAGCATCTAGTAAGATGTCTGCTCTCATTACTTTCAGGATCCGCGTGAATGATGAAAGCTTAGGAGTGCGAGTCGGATAAAGCCTTGGGCCAGATTTTCTATCAGAGATGTCCCTTGACAGAATGATACTGGAAATGAGTAACAAAGAGGCGTATCGTTTCCCAGCGTGTCGCGAGAAGGATTTCGCCTTGGGAAAAATGGCTTGTCGGACAAGCATGCAATATGATCTCCAGAGAGTAAACCGTTACACCTTGGAATTGATATCCTATTCAAAGCTGAAGATGATTCATGTCGAAGTAGGAGTCACCCCAAAGAAGAGAAGACCAAAGACGATTTTAGGAAAGAACTTGGAAGTAGGACTATTCAATTACGCTCGAAACCGGATGACGGGTCCATTGCTTTAAAATCAAAGTTCGAGCTGACATGAAATCCCTAATGGTAATCCAACCCTATTGTAAATATATCGTACAACTTTAAATCCTTCAATAGTCCCCCAAAAGGCCTATCCAATTCTTTTACAAAAAGGACATAAATTATACGACCAGACGTTACGCCCCATCATTGAGTGCCATGATAAATCCACCGCGTAGCACCTGGCACCAGAACACACTTGTGATTGTTCAATGTTTTGGCCATCGAAAAGAAGCGTCCGCAGGCTTCGCATGAGAACTCACACACCTTGCCATGCTGGGCAACCTCATGTCTGAGACGATCATGCTGCCTTGAGAAACGCCTACCACATCCTAGCGCACACAAAAACGAAACGCGGGGCTTCGGTTTATGTGCCTGCAGGTGCTTTCCGAGGGTATACTGGTTGGTGAAGCGCCGCTGACATCCAGGGATGAGACATGGGTGCCGCCGCCGCCGTGAAGAAGATTGATCGTCTCGAGAACGAATTGGCTTCTTTGACGTCATTGTTGGGCGAACAATCTCACGAGGGGTATACGGCTCCGGAGAATCAACAGAACTGGAGGAAAGGTTGCACCCGAGATCCTGAGATTGCAGCGAGTATCCGACCTGGGGGTCAAACATGTTCGTGAAGTCGTCCGTTATTGAGGGGGACGAAAAAAGAGCTATGTCAAGAGCGTAAATGTTCAAAATAATCTCGAAAAAAGAGCGAAAACCCTTACGGTCTGGGGACAATTCAGCTGTCGTTGGACTAGAAGGTGTCCATGATGAGGGCATTGAGGGCGGTGCCCCTGGCATGTTGTATTCCGGAGGCCAAGATGAAACGGCGGAGACGTTAGCTACAGATGTTTGTTAGACCTGAAAATTAGAAATCAGAGACGAATGCTTACTATATTCGTAGACCTGGTATTGTACTTGGGAGGGTGAGAAAGGTATTTGCAGAGGGGCTGATAAATGCCGTCGGATGGTCACGGTGAAGCGAGGGATGATAGTACGTACAGGTTGTATTGGGCTCTACAGAAGGGACGGGCTGTGAACTAGATATCCCGCACTCGTCGACATATCCTATTTAGATAGGTCAGCGGTAGCCGCGGTAGGTGCAAAGGAAAACATACCATTGGGAACATAGTAGCTCTCACGAGAGAGGAGCGGATCTGAAACGGGCGCGCATTTACCAGATGCGACGGCCATGGGGTATGTGCTGTAGTAGTATTCTGAACTGTTCAGTCAGCAAGCATGAAGACAATGTAGTAGAAAATGGGATGTACCATTACCAAAATGGTTGTAGTTCGACATGGCGAGAATTTGAACATACTGTCCAGTTATCTTGAAGATTTATAGCAGTAGGAACGGTGTGACTTTTCAGCATGATCGATTGGATATAGACGACCAGATGAAATGACTGAGAAGGCCCCTGGCCTGGGTCAGAATTCAACCACATCGGGAGAAATACAGCTTCGGAGAGTTGATCTGTAGATCGGCAGGCTCAGAGGCGATCAGGCAGTGCAGTTTACACGGTAGCCTGAGAGATCCGGGGCGGGGTAAACCGATAGGCTTGTTTATCAACCGATGTTTCGTCCATATGGCTGTGCTATCGGTACGTGTCTAAGAAGCCGGACCCCCTGCCGAGCCGGTGGCAGTGCATTTTCAAAGTCCGGGATTTCGCCGTCAGTATTATACAAGTACTCGCGGTTCTTTGGAATTCATACCCTCGGAGCTCACTCCTTTTCAAGCACTACAGCGGCACTGAATACTTGGCAGGCAATCAATGGTGCATCGTTAGCTGTGATTGCGGATACTCGGCCGTTTTCTTCTGCTCTTCCTAATACACTACATGTCTGCTAAAAGTACAGGCGCATTTGGCTTCGGGAATACTGGCTACTTTGGTAAGGTCATCTCTTAAGATCCACAGTGAAAAATAGTCTCATGGATATCAGGTGTCAAGGTAACTCAGGGAAATGTATACACCGCCCCTTTCTTCTACCGCTTTCCCACCGCAAGCTCTTCGAGGAAACATCAACGTTGGACACCAAACGACATTGGGTCAAATTCTCGCTAGCAGCTCAATTTTTATATCGGGTTCCCGAACATCTTGGGCTCAAGTGAGCGCCAGGTTAAGGCCGACTCTACACCGAATCGTAGATGGTACTGCAACTGCAGGCCAAGCCATCAACTTCGCGATGTTTTCGTTGTTTCCGCCGACGTTTAAGAACCGGGAGAACGGCATGCGCGTAGATACTGCTAAGATGGGTATTCCTAATATCGAATGGCGTTTCGGTAAACAGTGAGATGCGCAGGCTCTTCAAGACCTGGGCCCACCCTTTTTCAGATTTCCTAGTGGTAACAATCTCGTGAGATTCGCTGGTCTGTACAACAATATCTCTACTGACTCACGTATGAGGAGGTTTGGATTACGATGCTATCAAGCTATATGTATATCTAACGGATCATAGGGAGGAACTATCGCACAACGGTGGCAATGGAACGCAACATTAGGGCCTCTTGTCGATCGTCCAGGTATTTATATTACAAGTATAGTCTCAACTTATCTTGGCGTTAACATGAATCAGGACGTGTTGGTGACTAGGGCTCTCTTCCTTCACGTCACGATATTCATTGGGAATGAAATAAATATGTATGGTCTGTGGATTTGGCGAGTACAGACAACTACTTTACCTGGAATGACTGAAGACTTTAGGGCGCCGGCGAGAAAACAAAAAACAGATAATATACTCATTTTAACCGTGCACATCGGTACACCCATCCTCTATACGTGTAAAACCGATGTGTTTGAGTTCCAGAGTGATATGGTACGAAACGAAAGTAATATTATTGAGAGGACGAGATGAAGCGTATCGGGCCGAGACACAGCCACCATCAATCGGCAGCAATCGGCCGGTCTGCCGAGTGTAAAGGGGATTGATTGACTATATGGATGCGCGAAGTTTCTAGCTCTCAAATTCTGCAGTGGAACTCATTTTGCAAGTCAAATATGCTCTAAACTTTTTGTGCCCTCATGGTAAACGTTTATCTTGGTTCTAGTTTCTCTTCTACTTACCGGAGTTTGAACTTGCTTAGCGGCATCTCCAAATTGGAAATGCCAGCTGAAAACGGCATTCGACGCTGGTTTGGCACGACAATATGATTCTCAGCTCACCGTTCTCTTTGACTCCTGCTAAATATTTTATTGTTCTTCAACCATGACAGAGCTCACAGCAGATTCACAATTCCTCGCTGCCTCTCGAACCTAGTGACCACGTCGAACAGATAAGCGTCTATCACCCAGTCCGTCAATTCCCATTCTTCGTTCTTGGACGCCGCCAAAAGGTCATCGAAAACGACGTAGAACGCCTCGGCATCCCCCACTGGTTCATTCTCGATGCCTGCCTTATTGTCGCAGGCAAGGGCTTCTTGTCATCGACCCTGGAGTCCACTGGAAGAATTCGGATAGACGAAAATGGATTTCTGACAGGACGGAAGTACTGGTTCTTCCTCGACAATGGCGCCGCTCATCTGGACTACCCTGTATGCTCGAACTTTTCGGAGTGGACGCCCCTTGCTCGGACAGAGGTACCAGAACGATGGCTTGCGATAGACAAACGCGACAGGCCTGTAATCAACCCACCTTACGAGGCCTCGTTCAGCGACATCAGCCTTGCTCTCCAATATGCCGATGGATATTGTGCAATATCTGGACTGAATGAAGAGCCTCGAGGCGCGCACTTAGTTCCTAAAGCTTACGCGTCGTGGGTTCGCCGTTTCTTGCTTTAATCTCCTTAACCTGTCTAATATATTATGTTTCTCAGTACAACTACCACCGTATTTTCGAATACTTCTCGGACGATGAGAACGACCTCAACATCGCCTTAGGGCCCGACGCCCGCCCCATCGATGACATTCGGCAAATCCTCATCCTGGAGTCTGGCTTGAAAGAATGCATGAATCGACCTTCTTTTGTCTTTGCACCGTTTGGTGACAACTACGTATCATTCTTCTTCATGCCGTGGCACATTGGATTGACGCAGAGCTACCACATGAGCACCGCTAGACTCCCTACTCGTATTCAGGGATATGCATTGTTTGTCCGGTTTGCTTGGGCAATGATACAGATGGTGGGGCCGTTTCCATCGCGAGACTCTTGTAAAGAAGAGAGGAGGGGGAGATTACGAAACCGCGCATGGTTCTGAGCAGTCGACAACGAATAAATCGCGTAAAGTTGGACGTGAGCATGCTAGTGATCATGGTGCCCGACCGAGCTCTACTGGAGACAGCTGGACGGAAGCAAGCGCCGAGGGCTTAGATACTAGTTCTGACATCAGTGACTGCTCCGATGCAATTCTTGACGATGCACGTTTCGCAAGCGATGATAGCGTCTCTAATACTCATCATGAATCTGTTTTTAAGGCCGTGGAATGTAGGTAGCGTACTTTTGGGCGCATCGTCAGTAACTTATGATTCGCAGGACGCTTTCATTGTTTATGGACGATGCCTTGGAATATCCGGGATACAGTGACACTGAAGAGCTCAAACAAAGATACATAGCTCCAGTCTCGGCTACGAGAGAACCTTGTATGCGGTTTTAATAATTAACTGCAGTTTTCTTCAGGCAGTTTATGCATGGGCGGATTGGTTCCTTTGTATGTGTGAGACGATAGAATCACTTGCCAGAAGAGTTGTAAAGAAATTAATATATGTCAGTGTCAACTCTCGATTCCGACTGTCTTCGCTTTACGTTTAGTGTCCACCAGTTTGCAACGACCGACAGGGTTTGAATGTATCTGTGGCATGCAACGCTGGATTCGCCTAGCGTTCAACCCATCCAATACAATGTAGGATGTTATTCCACCCAACAGTATCCTTCCCAATGCTGATTTTGATCCTGTCCTCCCTTCACAGAACAAACGTGTACAGGCAAGCCGCCACAAATATCAGGATATGATTTTCCAAATTCCAAAATAAAACGTCGAACCAATGTTACTACCTTCCTGGATCTCGAGCTTGGGCCAGGCCGAGCAGATGACCCAGTAGTGGCAGCTTTTATAGGCATCTTGTAATACCGACAACTCCGCGGGCTTCTTGGAGATCCTCCATCTTTGAAATTTTACACCCTCTCCTTGGTCTGTGCAACTCAGATATCACCTTCCACCGGAACCAACCATATCTTCCTTCCACCATGTCATCAGTGAAAGTGTCGTCCTTTACTACCATTAAAAACGCGCCGCTCATTGGCCTTGCTGAAGGCAACAGCTACTTCAGCAACTACCATATTGGGGCCATCATCCTCATCGTTCCCTATATCTTGAAATCCATCCTTCCCCTCATCAATCGCGGTGGATTCAAGATGTATCTCTTCCTTCTCGTGTTGTCAGGCATCCCATCGCTTGTCGCTTACTGGGTCTCGACTTCTATGTATGGCGCGCGCAAAAACCAGAAGGTTACGCTTCCTGAGAAGGATATCGAGGAGTACAGCATAAGCACCTCCCTTTGGTCCATACCGATGAGAAATATTGGTAGAAATTGCATTTGAAAAGACGTCCATCAGACTCCCCCTAGTATCTCCCACTGAAAATCGGACGCATTTCCAGGGGGACCGCTGACGCTGTTTGTCTATCTAAGCTACTCTTTGAAATTATGTTGGTCCGTTGCTTGTGCGTTGGGGTACAGCAAGTACGCATCCATGTCTTTCGCCACCACGCTTTGCATCGTCACGCAACATTTTCCCTTCCTTCATGGCTCACAAGATATTCTACGCATCTGCTCACCTTGTGCGGTGTCCTATTTTGTCTCGTTTACCCCCATTACCGTCATTCTTCATGTTCGCAAGTGCCATCTGACACTTTTTAACACTCTTTTCTCAAGGGCACCTAACCAATTGATATATCAATGCTCTGGTTCTACAGTCAATATACCATATTAGTAGTAGACGGTGAGATTTAGTCCAAAAAACGGATGGTGCCAATGGTTTGAATCTGTAAACACAGGGTCGGAATGTTACAGTATCACCTTCTACACGACGACGACCTGGTATTCTCTTATTGTCTTGCAAAAGGAAGGAAAGAAACTGGAGTCGCGCCTACGATACCCATCTTTGACGACGACATCCTCTCTGCGATCTATTGAATACGACCCAATGAAGGTATTAATTTACCAACAAATTCCAGTTATACAATTGCATCATTCCTCTTCGCACCATCATCCCAGACCTCGGACTCTTCCTCCCTTTTCTTCAGCGAATTCTCATCTCCCACATCCTGCCCTTTGTTCATACCCTCAATAACGAACTTCGGCGTCAGATTTCCTTGCGGACGTAGATCCCTCAACTCGTGCTGTTCAACATGTACGAAGACCTCAGGACAGGTAAGGGTTCCTGTCCCTTTCCTCCCTCTGGACCTGGACCCCGACGTGCTCACCAGCCCACTCTGTGAATGAGAATCCTGGTTCGAGTTCGAGTACGACCATCCAACACGAGAGTTGAGCGAGCTCATTAGTGTGTTAGTGTATAGTTTTGCAAGCATTAAGTTGAACAGCAGATGCCTAAATGAATGTTATGAAAAAGAACGCATGATAACGATGGCGCACTCACAAGCCTGACGGATCGACCAAGTAGACAACCAGATCAATGATAGCCATGACACTTGTGATCAATCCAGTTTGAACCGTCGCTCTGATAATCCTATTGACCAATTCATCCGAAGCTTGGAAACCCGTCTTGTGCTTTCTCAGATACCGCACCAAAATAGCAGTGATAGTGAAATCCCCCACGCACGCAGAGACGAGCCATACGATTACAATCGACTGAAATTCTTGGAACTTTGTGAAAGTACCGGTGGATACGGACGCAGCGGCGGTTGCGATGGAGGCACCGGTACCCGCTAGGGCTAGGACAGCAACGAGGGAGCCAAGATACCAGTTCGATGTGAGAACTTTGACGCGCCATGCGAAGAATAGTTGTACAGTGCCAGCGATGATGCCCGTCATGGCGGGGTCAGTGGCAAATACTATAGATAAATGAGTGTTGGTACATTATTCACTATTGTCGAGAACTCACGCCAAGTTGCGTTGGACAGGTAAGGAACGTCATCTAGGGGCCCCTCCATTAGCAATGGTTTGCACAGGAACAATGTATGGTACAAACCAAAATGTTTGATCAGCGCGATGTATACGTACGCCATGAGAAGGATAGAATTGGTTAAATTGGTAAGGAATAGACAGACAACCTGAGCGCCACTAGTCAGCAATAATCGACTGTAGGCACTGAATAGCATACGAAAGCTTTCATCCATAGTCTGTCCCTTCTAGATAGATTGATACCCCCGTCAGATATGCTTAGTATATAAGAAAGAGTAGAAAACACACTTTTGATACGTCGTCATGTAGATATACACCTGTGCCATCACTACTCCAAGCAGCGTGGTATTGATCATCAAGCCTATGAGCATTGGCCCGTGGCTGAAGCAGATTCGTCAGACCGTTTCAAGGAAAAGAGAAAAAAAAGTGCTTACGCGATTTCGGCAGGGCCAGTCATTTCAGCAGAGGATGAGGGAATGGTTTTGCACAGAAGAGAGTTGGACCAAAGCACAGGAAGATCAAGCCTCGTGAACTACGTTATAAGTGTTATTTATTGCATAGGGGGGCGCCTGGAGTACGGAGCAAAGTCGGTCTTTGATCGACCTCCTGTAAAGAATCGATCAAGCCATAGGAGTACTCTTAGCTGGAAGCTTCAGCTCTAGCATACCATAAAAATCTGCCGTGGAAGCAGAAACGAGAATCTTTCAAACGGAACTCAAAGGATACAAACTCTGAGTCCGAGCCAGACTTGAGCAGACTTTCAGCCTCTGGACTAGATCATTCTGTCATGGGCGAACACAGGAGACCTAAATAAGTCGCAAAGAGAAAACAGACAGCGGAATATACGCCATAGTGAGGGAGGGATCATCTCAGAGTCGGCGTCAGTGGGAAAGAAGCGGGGTCGGATAAGTTTAGAAACCAATCGAGGCCGAGGTGAATTTCAATTTGCCGCAGGATGTGGCTGTGCTGTTGCTTTTTATCTTCATTCTCGCTGGAAGATATATACATATATCATATCACGAGCGAGTCTCTACCGTTCAATCCCGCAGAATGGATTAGCATCTGATAAAGATGGCTGATGATGATTGACGGCCATATTAGACACATGAAAAGCGGTAATCAATATTCTACGCATTTTCAGACATTTTTGGGTCTTCATGAACTTCACAGAACGAAATTTCGGACATGAAAGAAATTTTTGCATGAACCTAGGTAGATTTCAGTCATTTTCAGAGCAGATATTTGGACATTTTCTGATCCAGGTTATTGGGGTATTATCAGGGCTCCTGCCCGAAGGGACGGCTGATTTGCATCGTAGTAGCCGATCAGAATTGATTTGCTCTTACGCCCGGTATGGTCGCTACAGCTACTCAGGCAGGGAAAGGCTCACATAGGGTATGTCGCTTCGTCAATGTTTCATACACGGGCATCCGCCCGACGCTGAAAGCACCGGGGCGTCCAAGTCATATTGAATGCGTGCCTCCTCTCTGCGATCAGGCTAGCCCTCTTGATCGTATTTCACGTCGGGTTCACGGCGGACCGTGATCACCGTGATCGACAAAGGATGTCACCGTCATCTTCTCAGTGGTAGTTACTCTCGTATGTACTAGTAGGCGATCCTACTTATATTAAACTGCTCAAAGACATTCAAAACTTTTTTCGGGCTTGTCAGCGACACTCCTTGCGCCTGTCTTCCCGTTGTTAGCAATCAATCCTCCTGCTGCCTATCTTGCCACATTCCCGGCCAGCCGTGAGATCGCATACGCGGCGATTCCCAACATCCCTTCATTAGCTGAACCTCTGCAAACAGAGGTGAGGGTTGCCTTCGCTGAAAGTATGAAGGTTGTATAGCAGACCATAGTCGGGATTGCCGGTGCTGGGTTTTTGTTCAGCCTGCTTATGAAGGAAGTGGAGATGGTTGGGGTTGTTGACGAGACCTACGCTCTCCAAGCGCCTACGGAGAAGAACAATACTGAAAATCGGGACGTAGAAAAGGCTAGTCACCCAGCTACTTCGTAAGCTTGAGAGTCATTGGAACGAGCGGCACCCCTCTTTCCCTCATGAATTAATCATACAGACATACTAATATCATCGGTAACGACACGGTCAGCTCCTACGCAAATTTTACCATTCGCATCGTTCTAATGTCAATGTACACGTATTGTCTATATACCATCGCAATCACAGAGGTTGAGATTGCCGGCCCGCAGTAGCATCAACTTTCCCACGTGCCTTCTTCCCTCACATCCATCTTCGTTTTTTGAACTACCTGCCTGACAGCAGAGTCCTCCCGGAAAGTTGGATATCTAATAAACCGCGTGCCTATCATGCCAATAAAAATCATAGCGTCTAATTTTACTTTGATACATACCGATAGGCGATTCAGATCACTGTAGGCCTGCGGCGATGCGGCACCCAAAGCATTTTCTGCATGCTCACTTCCCGGGTGTATCTATAAATCGGTCCGTACATTCAGAGTGCCAACCAATGCACATCATGGGTCTCAGTGTCATGACACTCGGTAGATCTTTTTCGGAATCGAGCTGAAGAAGACGTGAAGTCATGTTCTTTCTCTACGTTGTAGTAGCAGCGGTTCTGCCATATTGTTGCATTTTCCCCCTCGTTTCTACCCTGCCAAGCGCAGAAGCCTTCAACCTGTCCGGCTGTCCCCCCGGAACTATATTGGTACCAAACGACGATTTTAATCCCTTATGCATCGTTCACTGCAGTATCCAAGATGCGATTTTGTCTTTGCATGTATTGCCGCTCGTGATCAGTACCATAGTACGAGCTTAGCTGACTGTCAACTCGGACCAGATCTAGGTCACTCCACAATCTTAATTACGGTGGGACAGTACCAAGAGACTCAACATCACTCGCAAGGGCCTCTAACGCTTTTGGTCCGTCTATGTCGTTTAGACGAACTGCGCATCTCATTCTTCGCCTAGGGTCAACTGCCAGCAGGGTCTACCATAGCATCGTTCGCCAACGGGTCCGCTTCGAACCTTGTCCAAGTATTGGAACAACAAATTCGTCCATACTGGAATGGATGACGCCGACTCTGTTGTGCTGAACGTTGCGGCCTCGTACGAGGCTGCCTTGATTGGTTCCGGCCCTACCAGCGTTCATTTGCAGTCGCTTTTCAGGAACACAGACTTCAGGGCATATACTTAATATCGATTTTCAGAACCGCGCAGTTAGTCATGTTCTTTTGCTTCTTTGCTTGCGTTTGACATATAGGCATTAAGCGAAGTGTGCTATTTCGCAAGCGCTAGTAACAGATATTTCCTACGCAAATGCCTCTTTCTATGGATGCTCGTTCGCCAGCTACCAGGATACGTGGTACACCAGTCGAAATGGAAGCACGTACGTCTTTGATAGTGTCATATATGGTCAAACAGATTGTGAGTGCTATTGTTAGTACTGTGTAATACTTTTTTCCGACATCAGGGGACGGATCTTTTCGGATTCGGCACTGCGGTTTCGTCTACTCCTCTCAACCCTCGCGTCGAGATAGTTTCATTCAGAACGTCGTTCTTGCCAATGGCGCGTGCGGTGGTGGTATCGTCGCGTGGAAGGGTACTAATTTAACAGACGCACCCGGTAACCGGTACAGTGCATACATTTTTGACTCTCGAATCATTCGAGTAAGATGTCGAGTTCGCTCCTTGTATTCAGTATTTCCTGACCATGATCCATAGTCCCCCGATGCGAATGCGACTACCGACATAATTGAGAAGTGTTACCTTGGTACGTGTGCCATTTGATGCCCCCCACCTTGGAACCTTACTCTGAACCGAAGGTCGGCCTTGGAATGACCGCTACCACTGTATTTCTGCGTACCTACATGGAGAACGTCATCCGACCCACATTGATTCTTGCTGACGGCCACCACGATCTCAGATCCGAGATTCTGAACACAACATTTTATGCGGAATTCAATTCCTCAGGTCAGCCGTTTCTTTTCGCATCGTTTACCTGTATCTCAAGCATCTATACAGGGTTTGGGGGCAACACTTCTTCTCGCATTTCGCTGGAGCATATTTTAACCACTGACGAAGCGCAAAATTTCACAGTTGATAGGGTCTTCTTGGAGCATCCATCCTGGATCAATCTTTGTACCTGTTGTTCTTCGAGCAGTAAATGGGCAGGTCCTGTCCCCTGAATGGAGGACGTTTTGCTGATATTTATACCCAGTACATCCCTATGGTCACCAAGGGAGCGTTCACGAAGCATTTTCCTCTATTATTTTTCACAGCTACACCTACTTATTGCGACTTACTACGCCGCTTTTCTGTCTGTTCAGGCTATGCAATGCTCTTTTCTTTGAAGTACAAGTAAAGAATATTGATAACATACCAGTGGATCCACTCTCATTACGACTCTTCAAAACAATTTCGCACTACAAACTGCGACCCTATATCTAGCAATAGAAATGGGCACAAGTAAGAAAACCAATACTTCATCTCTGGGCAGACACACTGATGCATCATTACAAGGTTGCGGAAATTTGGCTCGTGGAGGGTTCGAGCAGATATAAGAATTCTCACGCCTTCCAAGCAAGGAGAGACAATACAATATTCCGCCCCCAGGCAACGCAGATGTATTTTCACGGCCTCGCAGAATTGCGTATCCTGGGGAGGAGTGCATTCTCAGAGAAACGAATTTTGGACATACTCAATCGCATTGTACCCCAAGTGATAGCAGTGCATATGGTCTACTTCCAGTGGGGTGTGGGTGTGCCACTGACATAAATGACAATTGACAATTGCAGGTATCTCGCATAGAGTCTTGAGGAAAAATAATCGCAAAAGAAATTATCCAGTAGATTGAGCTGCGCAGAATCTATCCACCTTGCGATTATTAGCACCCGTCGGATTGCTGCGCACAAAATATTACCTGTTATATAAATGTTTGCGTCAGCTTTCGTATAAGACTGACTAAGAGTATATATTTCGTACTTATTTTCTGCTCTATTCATTTGCTGCGGGCCGTTCCGGCTGCAATCCAGGACTCGAAGACATACTTTCAGGCAGAAAGTAAAGACGAGGGGTGACAACAGCCTGCGCCTATTAAAAGACTGCAGGATCTTTCTCGCTTCATTCAAAATGAGGAAGATTCACGGTATCGCCGTCGGCTGAGGCGATGTCGCACGACAACCAGTTTAGTGGTACTCGACTGCTCATCTGGGACGTTGTTAATGAATCATGCTTACCGAAATAGCCGAGTAGAGTCCCTCCGGTTAAAGACATACATAGCTTCTTGACAACTTCTTGATGAAGGTCCATGTGGTCCTCATACTGGACAGAATTAGGGCGCGTTTTTTTCATTATGCCAGTACAAATTCAATGGATTGCTCTGCGTTGAGATAGTTGACGCGTAGAGCAATTGAAAGAACACTGGTACAAGCGGTACTCACTTTGAAGAGGATATTCTTCGGGGGAACGGCTGTAGACTGCGTGTGATGGTAACATGGCGGGTGCATTGATTGACGTTGATCGCCAGATGAGGAAAAGGCGGGCATGGCACGTGATTATTGACAGCTTTTCTCGGTAACTCCATGTTGCTATTGAACGCCTTCCTCCATTTGAGGGTTCGTATAATTTCTGTTATATAGCTTTCACTTCCTTCCTTCATTCTTTTTCTTCTCCTGGCAATATTTCCTGCCCAGCCTCTGCATCACTCTCCTTTTATAATGCCCTCCAGCCCTCAACATCTTCCCGCTGAGCGGGTTCGTCATCGAAAACGGGCGTCGGTACCAGTTGAACAGCGAGACGATGAGCAAGAGGAATACAGCACCAGTACTGGTCCAATCACTACTATTACCATAACCAAGGGGTTGTCCTCCACAGCATCCAGTGATGCATCTCTATCGACAACAGCAACGACGACCAGATCGTCTGCATCTTCGTTATCTTCTACATCTGCCACTACATCGTCTTCGTCTTCTCTCGTCAGCTCATCGACTGCGGAATCAACCTCAGCGGGGTCATCCTCATTAGCGATGTCGACAACCTCGACACCGCCGTTACCATCAGCGTCAGCCATTGCTCCCGCCCCTACTTCTGCTTCCGACGTACAGCAAAATGGCGCCGTGTCGAAGCAGACCTTGCCAGCAGGCGCCATTGCTGGCATTGTCATTGCCGTTGTTCTGGTCCTCGTCGCAGTCGCACTAGTCCTGCTGCGGAATCGTTTCATGCAGCGCCGGCGCTCTCGCATGTCGACGTGGATTAGCAAGCCGCGACTTGCCAATACCGGTCTCGCCTTTGAATCAGTTACCAGTACGACTCACGACGCTTCCCAGTCACCGGGCATGCAATTCGCCCAATCTGGAGCCCCAGCCACTTCACTCACTATGCCTAGCGCATCGTGGAACAATGCTGCAAGCCCTGGTATTAACCCAAGTACAGCTCCTCCGTCCGGCGGCAGTGCAATCGTAAAATCCAGATTCATTCCTTCGTTACCCGATGAGCTGCCTATTTCAAACGGGGAGACTGTCCGAATCATGCAAGAATTTGACGACGGGTGGGCTTTGTGCGTCAATGGCAGAGAAGAGCAGGGCATGGTTCCTCTCGAATGTTTGGAGCGCCTGACACCGACTTCGGGTGCTCCTGCCACTGCTCCTGATTTGAGGAAGTCGGCTAGAGAGAGTTCGCTATACGGCATGAACACTGTTAGGCGTTAGGTGAGTTCTCTGCTACCTTATGCGTCCTGATGGTATACTAAGTATCAGCGACAGTGAACAGGTGATCCTTCAAATTCACTCTCTTTCTTTCTATTTCTATTCATATCCGATATCTTGGACTGGTGTATTGCAATGACTGGTTCATGCGTTTCTTATTTTTACTCTTTATTATACTCCCGCCGCAGCTAGACGGCCTTATTTAGATCTTGTACGTACTATTCAACGATACCCCCAGCGTTGTACCCTGTATTCTGGACTTCTGTATTCTTCTTCCCTATCACTTAGCAGAATCTCTGCAAGGGAGGTAGAACTCCTACGCTGACCGTAGTCTACAAATAAAATGGTGATAGTCGGCAAAAAAAATGTAGAACACCACGTCGCGTCTATAATGCGCAACGATGTGTTTGAAATTCAAATTGTGGCGACCGTTGTTTGTGCTTGTTGTATTCCAAGCTAGAAGTCCCTTCGAAGAGTCGTGCGTTTCTTCGCCGTTGACCTCGTCCACCAGTCTTTTCTCTGCCTCGCAACTCACTAAACAATGGCTACTGAAGAAATACGCGCCGACTCCTATGTCGGTTTTGACTCCATCACCCAGCAGATTGAACACAAATTGTTGAAGAGAGGCTTCCAATTCAATGTCATTGTTGTCGGTGCGTATTTTGTTCCCTGTAGCTTCTTCAGTACTACCACCATGACTGTAATGCGTCGTTGGGTAGCTGAAGGATATTTCTGGTAACTAAAGTGACATATTGTAGGACAAACTGGTCTGGGAAAGTCGACGCTCATCAACACAATTTTTGCGTCACACTTGATTGACTCGAAAGGACGGTTCCAAGCGGACGAACCTGTCAGGCAGACAACAGAGATACAGGCTGTTTCTCATGGTGCGTTGGTGTTCGGCTCATCTATATGCGATTAAAATCCGTGTCTGGCACGTATACTAACAACTTTTTACGTCCGGCATACAGTCATCGTGGAAAACGGTGTCAAACTTCGCTTGAACATTGTCGACACTCCCGGGTATGGTGACCAGATTAACAACGAAAACTGGTGCGTAACCCTCTTGCTCCTCTCTTATCGTGCGATTCATGGTTACGTTGTAGCTGGGACCCTATCATCAAATACATCAAGGACCAGCACAGTGCTTACCTCCGCAAGGAGCTCACTGCTATGCGAGACCGGTACATCCAGGACACGCGAATTCACTGCTGCCTCTACTTCATCAACCCAACTGGCCACGCCCTCCGCCCCATTGATGTCATTGTTATGAAGAAGCTCAGTGAAGTTGTCAATGTTGTCCCCGTTATCGCCAAATCAGACAGCTTGACTGCGGACGAGCGGGACGCGTTCAAAGTGAAGGTTAGATTGCATCTTCTTTCTCCAGAAGGCGGTCACCTTACGAGGATACCATAAATAGATCCGGGAGGAATTGGTATACCATAACATCCGGCTGTATCCTTTCGATACGGATGAGGATGATGAAGAAGAGGTTCAGTTGAACGAGACGATTCGGGTATGCCTATTGTTTTTCTATCTTGGACTCACAGCTCAACCTGTTGCTAGGACATTATTCCTTTCGCCATCGTTGGTTCAGAAAGCGCCGTAATCATCGACGGAAAGTCCGTTCGTGGCCGCAAGAACAGATGGGGTGTTGTCAACGTCGAGGATCCCAACCATTGCGAGTTTGTCAACTTGCGTAATTTCCTTACAAGGTGCGGCGCTCCATTTTGGATTTGTGTCATTAGGACTGAATGGTACCTCCAAATAGGACTCACTTGCAAGACTTGATCGAAACAACCGCTCAAATCCACTACGAGGCATTCCGTTCAAAACAATTGTTAGCGTTGAAGGAAGGTGTCAACCAGCGCCCACCTGCCGATCGCTAAGCTCGTCTGATGGTGAGCCGAACGATGTCTGCATTCCGCCTTGTCTTATCCACTGTCGTTACAGTAGTAGAGAATTGATGATACCCTTGCCTTTCGCTTGCTATCTGGATGGAGGCACGAACGTCGAACACTCCTTCAGCTTTTGACCTGGATATATTCTCTGCCTCTTACTTTTGTTTTTTTATCTTTCCTGAATGCTTTCTGGTTGACCTTATCTCGTTTTCACACACTCTTTCCTTCGGACTACTACAGGTATCTTACGTTGCAATGCAAGACATACCCCACATATGTTGGCTCTGCTTAGCGGGCTCGGGACTGAGTGTTATAAAGAGGTCAAGTAGTCTTTTCAACGCTCCAGCCCTTGACAGAGATCAGAACTGGGTTTGAAAACCGAATGCGGATCTTTCTACTACAAAATTTTCAATCAAGCCATCAGCGGCGTCCATCGCCGTCAAAGAACTGAGCGAATGACATCGTAAATGATGTTTTGTACCCCTTTGACCTTCGGTTATACTCTGCCATATCTCTGTACCACCACCGGTGGCTAGAAATCCGCCCAAAGGATTTTTTTCCTGTCTACGTTTCATACGCTGAACGTTGAACGTCCAACGAACTGAAGCATAAACATTTAGAAGCATGGCGCATGTCGACCCTCGTGTTCAAGGCGTTGGTATCATCGGGTCAGGCGCCGCAGGGTTGATTACTGCCCACACTTTGATACGAGATGGATTTTCGGACGTCCAGATTATTACTAGGGACTGTACCCCAGGCGGTGTTTGGAGCGAGGAGAGAGTCTATCCGGGGTTGACGCTCAACAAGTAAGTAGAAACTCGTAGCACGATTCCATGGCTGAAAATAATTTGCTTTAGTGTCCACGGAGAGTTCAGGTTCTCCGGCATGCCAATGCTGCCTCCCTCGGACTCTACCCAGAACGGCGGTCGACTAGGCGGCGAAGACATGCGGCGGTATATGCAGAAATTTACTGATAAATTTCTGGCAGGAAAAATCAGATACGGAACCAACGTTCTAAACATGGAGCGAACAGAAGAACCTGACCCCGTTTGGAATGTTACAGTTAGTAACGTAAAGGGTGGAGATCTTGAGATCCTAAAGTTTTCTCGGATTGTTTTATGCACAGGGGTGAGTACATGTTTTCCTCGATACATGCGCCGATGGTCTTTGTTGACTAGTATCTATTCTATGTAGGGCTGCAGTACACCCAAAACGCCTGCTTATTTGTCGCAGGAAGCCGCGAACAAAGCCGGTTTCCAGGGACTCGTGGTACATTCAATTGATTTTGGTCCGCGTTTGGATGACATACTTGCTGCTGTGCCTTCGGGCGGAACCGGTGATTCTAGTCCCACCGTTGTTGTTGTTGGGGGTGGAAAATCAGCGCAAGAGTCGGTGTTCCACTTAAAGTTAGTGTGCCTCCGAACACTTGCTAACGGGCGACGTTAGCATTTCATCACATCTCGCAAATGAAGGGCGAAAAGTTACTGTTGTCTTTGAGACTGCCGACGCTTTCTTAGGCAGTGTGAAGCCGCTCCCAGATTCTCTGAGGAAAAGCCGGTGAGCTTATCTGCTGGTTATGGGTATGAGCTGAGATTGAATGGTTACTTTGTAGTCTTCTGGCTATACTTTCTCCCCACATCGAACTGCGGACCAAGCTGGAGTACGCAATATTAATCATTAAAGTGGTTTCCTGTATCTCATCTTCAAATTAATAGGCGTTTCCTCCACGGGACATGGATTGGCAGCAAGATTGTCCATGCCGCCTGGAATTTCCTGCAACAAGATTCTGTTTGTTCATTTCTTGATTATGCGTCCAGGCCTTGAATAATCATCCTTTTTAGTACGCTGCCTTCGATGTACCGGCTAACTCTCCGCTGCGACGAGGACATTCTCCGTTCTGGAGTGTGCGATTGAATGACGAAGGGGTAAAGCGCGACGACAGTTTCTTCTCGCTCGTTAATAGAGGGAAAATCAGTCTTATCGCCCCTGCTCAAGTTACAGGATTTGATCTTGACGGTCGGTCGCTGACTCTCAACAACGGGACTTCGGTTAGGGCGGATGTGGTCATTCTTGCTACGGGATACAACTCTTCATGGGAAAATCTATTTGATGGTATGTATTCTGTTCACTCGTACTTGTCCAGAGCTGGGCCTTCTGTTGACTCTACCTTTATAGACCGCACCCGAATAGAGCTGGGTATACAAAGGCACGCGCCTGATCAGCATGTCAAGGATGAATGGGACTATGCCTCGCTTACCAATCCACCCTCTGCACATCCCGAAAATGAACAATGGGCCTCTTCTATCTACCGCGGCATTGTTCCAGCCAAGAATATATTACGCAGGGACTTCGCGATTAATGGAGCTGTCGTACGTAGCACTGCTGTGTCAATGAGCTTTAATTAACGGGAATTACTAGTTCACGACAAATAACGGGTATGCTTTTGAAGTCATGTCACATTGGATATCATCGTACTTCTTGAATGATGCGATGCGTTTGCCTTCTACGCCAGAGGAGGCTTTGAGGCATGCTGATCAAAATGCTAAATGGATGAGGAAACGATATCCCGATCAGCTGCTGTGGTTAAATGAAAGCTACAGTAGTGCCGTATACTTTTTGGCGTGAGTTAACTATTACGTTTCCGTCGACCAAGCTTATTAGCTGTACTTTTAGGTGGCCGCAATATGTTGATGACCTACTAGAAGATATGGGCCTCAAGAGTATGCGAAGCGGCGGAAACTGGCTGACATGGCCATTTAAAGTGATTGATGTGCAAGAGATCGCGACACTTAAGGAAGAGCGGGATGCACAAAGGAACGGATTAAAAGGTTAATGTATTCGCTTTCACTGTACCGATGTATCAGTGCGAATTTGAAAAATGCCTTTCCTCCACGGTGTCATCCCCCTCCTGCCATCTTGCCATATCTTCCCGAAGCTCCTTCCTCACGTATGCCTGGTTAACGGCCTTGAACGTGATACCATCCTCCTTCAACAACCTGAGCGCTTCCAACACCCAATCCTGGCAATCCCAGCTCAGATCGAGCCTGATCACAGCAACATCTCTCTTCAGGCGCTCATCCAACCGACCAATAAACGTAGATGGCACTTCGCCGACGTGACAGCCGCCGCGATATGTCGGGATGGACCCAATCGGAGCCGATACAGTATCGTGCACATACGTGAACGTGTCTGAGTTTCCCCGCACTTCGAAAGTGTGTGATACGTTGGGTGATACAAGAACCGCAAGGTTCCAGTGCTCGGTACGTCGGTGATGGCCCGTGATCTCGTACTGCGCTACGATAAGGGGGTACGTCTGGTCTAGATTCATCGCGGCTCTGGCTAAACCGGCGGTCGGGGCTCAGAAGACCAAAAAGCACTGACTTGTAACTCCGACGCCTTGTTTAATAGGATACAATGCTATTTTTACTAATTCAGGCTACAGAAAACTAGACGAAGGTACTAAGCTGATCCGTCTTCACAGTAAGTCCTTTACTTAGATTTGAGCCAACTGCCGAGGCCAAGACTAACATAGATTTTATCAAGGCCCTGACAGTTCAATGTAAGAATTGATCAACCAAGCGCCAAAAAGGAGGACTTACTGTGGCAGCTACTATCCCTTTGAGTAGACTATCGAGACCGAGGCCGCTCAAGAGACGACCGACTAGGTTGAGCACGCCGGCAAGCAAAAGCCCGACTCCACCGACAATTTGAGTTAAGGGCTCTGGCGGAAAGTGCGGCAGATTAGCGAAAATTCCTAGGTTTAAAGGCGCTCTTACGGCCTAAAGCATCAAGAAGGGGACCTAGATCCCTTTTCGCTTTGGGGAAGGAATCGAGCTTGTTCTTCGCCCACTCAATCGTACCACCCACTTCTTCCACGAGCTAAGAATGAATGACATCTCGCTTAGGAATTACCTCGAGAAGGAACGCGAAAAACTTACGACTTTTACGGCCTCTGCGAGGCGCTGTTCTTCGGGGGTCGCTTGGTGATCTTGCTGCTGACGCTTGGCCTTGTTGGTCAGACGATTGTCGGGGTCGGCACCTTTGATGGCGCCTTCGGTCTGGTGCAAGATCTGCTCGACTTGCTCAAGCAACGGCTTTACTTGCTTGACAAGCTCGCCTTCATCCCTATCTTCCTCTTTTCGAGCGTCCATGTTTTCAATATGCTAATAGAAAGGATCAGCAAACAGTTGAATGTCCAGCCAAGGTCGTAATTACCTTGTGAATCATCTTACACAGAGGAACTACACGCGAGTTCGCATCCTCAATAAGGGCTGACAAACGCTCAGCCAGCTGCTTGTCGGCTTCTTTTTGAGCATCACTACGATCGTCCGTCACGGTAGTATCGGAACCAAAGTTGCGTTCGACGTCAATTCGAGGCTGCTGCCTCTCATGAAGATCTTGTACGTCGGCCTGAGACATGATGGAGTAGATTTTTCTTCAGAATAGAGAAAGGTAAGAAGTTCTTGTTCAATAATTTTTGCTGGTGCGTGTGAGGATTTTAAGTCCTCATCGTGAATGGAGCACCACAGTTGCCTAGCATTGATACTGACATCATGGTGATGTTAAAAGGATGTCATTGTTGAAGAGCATCATCGTATCCAACAGATAAAAGAGGCGTAAAGAGGAGCAATAATTGAATCGACTACTTGATTTGCCACAAAGTTACGAAAAGCACAGACCTCATTCTCCAACACGACGTCGTAGGTGATGAAGGGTAGAAATTTATATCCTGGACGCCCAGATTTACAGAGGTGTGGAGCTAACGACAATTTGGAGAAGTGCGTAAGAGAGATGAAGTAAATTGTCCACAGAGCGAAGTTGGAGGCTGATCCGATCAATCCTGCTTCGGCCGTTGCCGGAAGTGCTTCCTCTCTGACCGTGACCTCTCATAGTTTTGGATTCTGATTCAATGTTCGGTGGACATCATGAAATCCTACAGACTGTCGACAGTAACTCTTGTCCAATGATATTCCGCATTTTCTGCCAAAATATATCGGGTCATAACAGTATTCTTTCCAAACTACATTCCAACGCCTTTCTCTCGCCTCTTATACCACTCAGACGGTCATCATCCTGGTCATAATACAGAACCCACGAGCATTTGGTCTCTTCTAGCGCTACAAACCCTTCCCAGTCCTCAAATGTTACCCGTTCTTCGTCATCAGTCCAATTCCAAGGGCCCGCAAGGTGAAGAAGGCTTTGGGACCTTCCTCCATACTCCAATGCCATCGTGTCTTCGTTAACATATATCCAGTTGAGCTCTGGCGGGTTGCTCTTGATTGTGCTCACGAGCCCCAGTGGCTTGGCCTTCCATGGATATTCGACATAGAAACCGCTGAACTCATGTCCATCCTCGAATTTCCTTCGCGACGGGTCTGGGTCATCGAGATAAAGCTGCGGAAAGTTAAGCAGGACATGGAAAAGAATATTTGCTCCTATACCTTGCCGTTCCGCAGAATCACCTGCTTGTCTTCTATCTCTTCCCTGAATGGGGAATCTTCCTCGTCACTACAGTGCGCTCTGAGCGTGAACTTCGCCAATCGGGGATCGTTTGGATCAGCGCTTGATGAGTCTCCTTGTGATCCGCTGTTCTGTTGCTGAGCTCCAACGCCCTGCGAAAGACTGGCTACGGAAGTAGCTGTTGATACCGCAGTAAGAGGTATAGCGATACTGCCCGCAGCGACACCGATCGCACCAAGAACCATGGTTTACTATCGCAGGTGGGTGGTTTTGAAAATATAAAAGATCATAGCTAACACTATAGCAGACAAATAACTCCACAGGTCTATATGGGTGATGCAATTAGTTTCACGGACTCAATAGCCTAAAATAACATCGCATGACATACATGCAGGTCATTCCCCCCAGAAAACTTGATGAGGATGAGGATTATACTTTTGTGCCGAAGAAAAACTAGCAGACCACTTTTCCTATCTGAAGGCCGTTGGCTAGGAGCGAGCTCTTCGAAACGCTTTCTAGAACACGGTCCTACTTTGACGTCAGCATCACACGCTTTGATAACACTCAGGAATATACCAAATGCAACCAGATTAACTTCTATATGCCGCTAGGGTGACGTTCCGAATGAATCATTACTCCAAAATCTATTCATCAACTGCAGGTCCTGAGGAATCCGGAATACACTGGGTATACTTTGCTATCGCACGCACTCCAAATTCTGATTGCACGGATACATTTATTTTAGCGTTCACATCAATGTGACGCACATACTACTGTGTTGCTCTCACGGGAGCTGCTCCAACTGATGGCACTCAATACGTATTAAAGGATAACTGGGAATTCTCAGGACATACAATTCAGACCCTCTCAAGCATCTATGTCACAAGAATCTGCTAGCCGATCTCCCTCTCGCGCTCCTTCTCCTTCTCCTGCACTGCAGCCAAAGCAGGAACGTGGCCATACCCGCAGCCGTTCCATCGACGAATCAGACAACAACTACGACGCTGGTACTTCATATCGTCGTAACCGACGTCAAGGCGGCGGGGGACTTCCCCTTGGTGGAGAGGACCCTGCGCGTGCCGTCTCAGGTACTGTCAACCAACTTGGCCAAACCGCGAGGGGGGTAGCAAACGTCGGCGGAGGTGGGAGCCGAAGTGGGGGCCAAAAGGACACACTAAAGCTTAGACTGGACCTTAACCTCGACGTTGAAATCACGATCAAGGCGAGGGTGCATGGCGACGTTACTCTATCTCTTCTGTGTGTCCATCCATTCTGTGTTACAGTCACGATTTTCTGAAGCTGATCCCCAGTGATTGATTTTGCCCTCAGTAACTAAATACGTTATTATTCGACTGGTTCACTCATCCGCCGTCGAAGTTGAAAGGAGGGATATCGCTGATACACGTGTACGACTCAAGTTGTAGATTTCTGGACTTTCGAGTTATAGTTCCATAGTCAGGACTAGGGTTCATATCGAACTTTTTTGAACAGTTTATTGCATACGCAATATTAGGCACGAAGAAAGATCATGTAATGAAAATAAGTTGCTGAGCTTGGAGCACCAGCTGGAGAACCACCTTGAATAGATGGCCGTCCCCGAAGCAAAGACTTGTAAATTGTGGCTGTGATGACCGCAATATATTCAATCGCGACGTGATACTTCATCAAGGAAAACTGCTTCCTCTATCCATCGTTAAGGTTTAAGTCTGGTAGCCAGATTCATTTGGAAGAGTTACGCACCGGTGGCTGACAAGAGGTACTTAGCTTTCAATGTGTACTTGAGGAGTCGGAATCGAAGTCAAGTGTATAAATAGCACTTTCCCACGTCCCGGAACACGGTCCAGATATTTTTGGCTCCCTTTTCTTTTTCACTTCCAGTAAGTGAGCGTCCACTGATACGAGGGCTTCTTCCTAATGGTTGGCCGTAATGGTCCAGTCGCAGGTGATACCTAAAACCCTGTTGTCTTCAACTGCAACATCCATCAACAGCTCAGCTCAACGCTTGCTATGCAGTACGCAATGTCACGAATTTGAAGTGGCTTGAACAACACGCATGAAATTGGTCAAGGCTACGCAAAAAAACTATTACGGACTATTCAGCTCTCCATCAAGCTCCGTGATGCTGCTACGTCAGTTGGTGACACAAACGAGCACTTTGTCGCTGTCAAGCTGGCAAGCTGCGAAAATCATGAGCTTCACTGGCAGAATGTACGTGTTATAGACCGTCACTTACTGCCTTCGGCTTTGCCACTGCTAGTCTTGAAGGCGCAAGAGTGTCCGACACCGTAGTGGTTGGAACCGTTGCACGCGTCGACTGCGACAGCATCGTGGTCAGCGAAAAACGCCATAGTCACGGAGGAGTACGATGCATACCATCGTTATCTGCGAGAGCGTTTGCCTGTCCTGCCAGCAGGAACACGGCGGCCAATGCCATGACGGTCAACTTGATTTGGAACATCATCTTTGGGTGAGAGTGGGTGATTTGGTTGGAATGCAAGTAGTTGCTTGTAAATGTGTGAGTATGGTTTGTTGGATGTCATGACCAGAAAATTGACTGGCTTTTATAGTCGATGCATGTAACCTGTGCCTTCCAAGTCGTAAAATATGAAGGTCGAGCCCTTGCATGAATGTTTCGAGGGTAACTAACCCGTCCCGAAATACCTTCTCAGTTCCCGCCGACAGTGAGTTATAATGAGTTTCAACATCAGAATTTGATGGTGTAGCGTTCGGCGCATGTCCCACGAGCGTTCAAAACAGAATTGTTGAACTGTCAGAATAAGCGGGAGATGTGCTGATTGAGTCTATCAAAATAGGCCAGGTATGTTGAACATCCTGAAGCCCTGGGACCAGAATCAGCTTTTGATACTTTGTGTCAGGAATTATGGGGCGATGGCGACTGGCACTTCTGTAGGGATGTGTAGGGATGCCGCCGTAGCAGGTGGCTCTGTTTGCACGTACTGCGCGAAAAGTTTAAGCTCAAGCCCGGCGCGTTTCAACGGGACCGATTCTGCTGTGTTTTCATCGTGGCCCGTCCGTCAGAGCTACTGCTAGTAACTAGTAGGAAGCATTACAATCAATACGTTTGCTGCTGTAGAAACTTTATGAAACCACACCACTGTATCGTTTCGAAGTATTCCTTTTTATGCAATACCGCTATGATGTGTGGCAGATGGTAGGTACTATCAGCACTAATTTCCGGAAATCCATGGTAACCTGTACGAGCTTGGGTTGGTGTCGCAACAGCCTGGCCATCATCGGGTGAATAATTACACGGTAACTTCTGTCCGCTCCGAGTCAATCATTATAGAGTAATATCTGTTCATTAAGAACTCTATATAGACAAAAATATATCTGCCATCGGGCATTGCTATGACTCTGACATTGAGTTATTTTGTTTTGGGGTCCACAATACGGTCGGTATTCATGCGCCTCGTCGCAACCCATACAGGTCATGCCCATTCGGTCAGATCAGTCGGCTATGATTCGCCTTGAAACCTTCTATGAAAATAGATTTCTTCGGTGTGAAAACTCCGAGCAGTGTAAATGTATAACCACAATCATAGCGAGTCTAAAGATAGCATCATTCGCTTGCACAAATCATGTTTCTCTACTATCCAACAACTCATCCACACAGACATCGCTGCTTACATTCAGCCACTGCAATTTTGTTCATCCTTTATTGAAAACGATGCTGAATTTTACCTCGATCGCCTTAGCGGCCGTGTTCAGGCTCTCGCCGCAAACTTTCACACTGCCGTGGAGAAACCATCCAAAGCCATTAGCTATTCACTGGCTTTTTGATAGCGCTCGAAATCGGCATCATGCTAGTGCGTAGTGAGCAAAACTTCCTGTACGCCGATATCAGTCCAATCCTTTGTGAAATTACTATAGAAACTTTACCGATGGTAATCCCAGAGTCCCTTCCGCAGACAGGACTCAAAGCGTTCGGACGTAAGGAGACCCTTCTTCATTTCCAATGCCGAGCTCTTTGAAGCGTCTATTCGACAAGGGACTAAAAATATCGGTTGAGGGACTGAAGATGACCTGTTCCTTCATCCCCGGGATGCAAGATTTGCGAGTGATATCTTCTATTACAGCTTCCTTGCGCTCTTCAATGAACTGCGACAAAGTCAGCGACGTTATTTCTGCAAGGTCGTCTACGCTGTTGATGCATCCTCTTGAGTCAACTCTGGAAATTCCTGAGAGTGGTCACCGAAGCAAAAGCCACGATTAAGCCGTGATGTTGACAACGAGAAATTGAACTTGACTGAGACAAAGGAGAGCGGCATGTTCCCGGCAAGCTGACCGTGAGTACGTGAAGTGAATGGTGCCGGTAACGGCCATCACTTTACATCAGCAGACATCATCGATCATCCACCGTTTATTGCTTTTTTGGGCTCGCATTCTCGTCCACCACCATTTTTACGATGTCAATAGACCTCGAATGGGACAAACTGGATTCCTCTCTATCAACGAAACTTGTCGAGATACTCAACAGGCAGCTATCCTCAACATCTCGCCCGTCTTTCATCGGTCCAGTAGAAGTCACGTCCCTTGAATTCGGCTCTACGGCACCTGACGTTGAGCTGGTCGACTTACGAGATATTTATCGCGATTTTCTCGAAGATAACGAGGAAGAAAAGGACCCGGTGAAGGTGACTGAGGGCGGAGACGACGATGACGAGTTTGAATGGGTGTCAGCGACGGGCAGCGCACAAGGAGGAACGGCTGGCCTTACCAGCAATCCTCACGTTACGCGCCTCGGGCGGGTTCCGCCGATATGTACTGCCTCTGCACCGTCGCTGCGCTTGCCGGGAGATATGTGGAGTCTGGGATACCAGAGCATGGTCGATTATCCGGCCAGGAGTCACAACGTGGCCCAATACGCCAGGATATCGCAGTCCGACCAAAGCAGCTGCGCCCGTGTCCGTTGGCCTTGATCATAGCAACATAAACGGATTCAGCTCACTCGACTCGCAAGAACAATCAACGAGCAATCCCTTTCTGCAGAGTGACCTGCCAGTTGAACCGGAAGCCGGAACCGCCCGCCCCTTCTACCCAACATCCGAACCTTCAGCTTCATTTTAACATCAACTGGAATTCGGACTTGCGAATAACATTGACGACTTCTTTACTTATTAACTATCCCTCTCCCATGTTCATGTCAGCTTCCGAATCAAGCTCTCTGTTACTGGGCTCATTTTCACAGGCGAGATTGCTGTCGCGTATGAAGGGGAACGTCGGCGGGTGCATCTCTGCATACTGGATGAGTTGGATCCCTATGGTCCAGCTGGAGATCGGCCAAAACGTGACCCAGTTAGCACCACCCCACCAGACCTCGACGATGACTCTGCTGTCAGCGGAAACAGACAGTCCTAAACCCCTTCCTATAGGACAACGTCTCCTTCCATCCATATATATCGAGAGCGAAATAGGACAGGCAGATAAACACGTACTCAAAAATGTGACGCGTGTGGAAAGATTTATCCAAGATGTGATTAGGAAGACCGTCGAGGAGGAGCTTGTGTTCCCTAATTTCCACACGCTGATCATGAGCGATCCATAAAATACTCATGTGTTCCGGAGAGATAACGAGGGATTAAAGAGGCACCACAGTATGCGCACACTTGTGCTCTAAAATATACAGGTACAGGTACACTCTGCTCTATCATAGAAGAAGTTTACTCATGTATGGCCCATCAAGCTCATAGCCAAGTTTTCGATAGTAGTCTCGTGTCCCGACGCCTTGGGAAGAGTAATTCAGTGCCTCGGAAACGGAACCAAGTGCATGTCACCCACCAGAAATAACCGCCAATTTAATGCTCCCATGCTCCTCACGCGCAATCCGCTCGGCCTCCTCCATTAACAAAGTTCCAAAGCCCTAGAAATGGATCATCAGAAGTCTAATTTCACACGGTGAAGCCCATAGCTCTGACCTGGTGTTGGAATTTTGTCGGATCCCTCCCGTGTACAGGGACTGCTGTACCATACACGTGCAACTCTCGCACAATGCTACTGCCTCCTTCGTCACCTCCCTTACGCACTAGCTCCGGTCTAAAGGTGCCTTCGTCGGAGCATTTTCGCAGTCGGAGCAGCCCGACGAGGATGTCCCTCTCCGGGTCTTCATACGACAGAAATGTTTCCCACCCGCCGTTCGCAGTGTAATCTCGCCGCAGAAGCTCAACAGATTCGGGTCTTACTTTATGATGTATTTCGTGGATCTGGAAAGCATTAGGTTTGAGATTCGGTGGTGAGAATGGTCAAACTTACTCCGACTTCACGGAAGCGCACATCACGGCACTCGGCGCCAAAGTCTTTCATGCGGTTAAGCGCCAGTTCTCTGAGGTTGCCCGAGTTGTCACAACCACTTGTCACCAAGGGAAGCGGGATGTCTCTGCCAAGTGCAAGAGGTAAGCGCATCATTTCGGACGCGTCAATAAGGTTTCATACCTTTGGACACGATAAACTCTTGTCCAAGGTGGAACCAGTGCGAGAATTCTCGCGACCACATCTACTAATACATTTGGCGTATAATTCTTGTACCTGCCTGTTCGCCAAAGCTCGTATAGACCGGTTCCGCGGATGACCAGGGTCGGGTATATTTTGAGACCATCGCTGCGAAAAGCCGGATTCTCGAAATATTCTTTGAATTGTTCCAAATCCCTCTCAACGCCGACATTAGGAAGGTCGGGCATCATGTGGGCGACTACTTTGAACCCGGCGTCTTTGGCGAGGTGGAAGGATTCGGAGACCGCACGGACGGTGTGCCCACGATTGGTGTCACGAGCGACGTCCTCGTAAACCGATTGCACACCAATTTCGAGACGGGTACATCCGTACCGAAGCATTTGACTATAAGGTTGGGTGAGAGATAATAAATTAATTGAGAACAAGGAAATCACCTCAAGTGTGGTCGGAGGCAATAATCGGGGCGTGTTTCGATGGTTATACCAATTGCTTTTGCTTTGCTCTGTTCAGAGTACCTGGGGGATGCGTTCAATTATAGTGGATGATTTACAGACGACGGAGGCATTATCAGACATACCGAACGGCTTCATCGACGTCTGTGCCCGTAAATCCTGACAAAGCATTATGTAGCTGTGCGATAAATTTGCCTCGGTAGTCTTCTGGCATGCTCATAAAGGTGCCCCCCATGATGATGAATTCGACCTTCGAAGGATTGAGCACAAAACACGACGAGAAAAAATTTCCATACTTTGTCGACGTTGTGGACCCAGACTTTTTAGTTGTTCCACGCGACCACGGGTTTGCTCATAGGGATCATATCGTGCTCGTATAGCTCGCATACTCGTGGGCTCGTAGCCGGTGTAACTTTGAGTACTGTAGTCAAAATCTGAGTCAGGACCACCGGGACAGTACCTATTTTGAGCCATCAGAAGCAGTGGAGACAGGACATGAGAGAACCCACACGCAAATATTTCCTGTCATGGCAATGTGAGGGCACCGATGGGGTTTGCACATGACTGCTACGACAGCGATCTACTGAGACATCTACCAGTCAGAGAAAAGGTCACTTGGTGTGAAGGGAACATACCCCGCTGGCAGTACGGATAGGTCTTGCTTTTAGCTTTGGGAGTAGGGCTTTTTTGTACTCGTCTGGGATGGCACTGATGATATCCACAAGGCGGGGGTACGCCTCCATAACCGAACTTTTTACTGATCTTGGCTCGGATGACGTTCAGGGATACGGTTTCGTTGGAGTCATGAGCCTTGATGAGTTCTGCTGCAATTCCGGATGTTACACGAAGCAATTGCTCTGCCTGAGACGGTCCTGTGTACAGTTAGATTCATTTTCCGGTTACAATAAGGTGGACGATACCTTCTGTTCGTGACACCTGCACCATTATCAACACTCAATAGTGTAGCTATAAAATACGATTGCTTGGTAGTGTAGCGGCGTCGTCGACAGCCGGGTAAGAGAATTGAGTGGGCGTCCAGTCGGGAGTTAGATGTGTAACCCTAACCTCAGTGCGGAGCAGCAGTATCACGTGTGCAAGCTCGAGTGCAAATTTCAAATTTAGCATCTTGTTTACCTTCACGCGCGTCGACGTCGCGTCCATTGTTCGTGAATCATTTCATGGCTGACGACGACCGTGAATGGCTAGAAGACGAGCCTGACGAACAGAAGGAGCTACTTTTTGCACCCAAAGGGGTCACTCATACGTTCTACCTACACCGGTCCATCAGGCAGCCGGGCGCGCGCGATGCATTAATTGAGAACATCCAGGTATGTCTATTTCTTTTATAGGTTTTTGGACTGCTTTTCTGAATACTTTCTTAGGCCAATGGCGGGGAGGTCGTCGACAACGATATCTTCGAGATCGAGGCTGCAAACGTCCTACTCTTTGACCCGAGGCATATTGGACATCCGGAGGATGTCTTCGTCGATGCATATAAGACGCACTCGGATGTCAAGCTGCGTGAAATGCACGTCAAAAAGTCGAACTTTATTGGTCATTGCATCGACGTTGGGAGATTTGTGTTGCATGTACCTAGGCGGAGGAAGCCGATGCCAGGGATACCACCCGGTCGCAGACCGTGCGTACCTCTCCTATTCACCTAGAGACTCGCTGACCTTCTACCGTTTTCAGCCACCGCGTAGGATTCACAGAGGAGGATAGGGAGAACCTTGCGAGATACTTGGCATACAAGGTTCCGTATCGCGATGCTGGAGGTCTTCTCGGCAATACGATCTACAATCGAATGTGCGCGAAGATTCACGTTCTACCGGATGAGTACGCATGGACCGCTCGCCACACCCCATCGTCCTGGCGTGAGCATTACAAGAAAAACAAGGCTGTTATGAATGAGATGATGGACGAGATTGTGAGGGAAGAAGGCATTATCCTCAAAAATATAGATGAGAGGGATCGACGGCTGAATCGTGCACGTCCTCGTGTGGACCCGGGTCTGATCCGCGAGGAGGAGGAGCGGCAGGAGGAGGAAGAGATAACGGCTGGCCTAGCACGAGTCACTGAGGAGTCGGCCACCGACGATGTGCGGCGACAAGCCGCGAGCAACCATCGCTCCAGGAGCAGAAGGAATGAACCAAGTCCTGAAGCTGAAGAGCAGGGACGGCAGGAGGAGGTCCGACCAGTCAGCCCGTAAGTCTATTCTGGTCGTTTGGTAGCTATACTAATTGTTCCCTAAGATCACTTTTCTCTGAAGATGAAGAGCCTATGCAAGGAGATGTATTCAATGATCCTGGGCCTTCTCTCAGTCAGCACAGTCCGGAGCCTGCTGATGATTATGTTCCTCCATCTGCGGGCCGACCAACACCGACGCACGCCACCCTCGTTGACACCCTGTCATCTCCTCGTGCTTCGACCTCGGTAAAGGGTCGAGCTCTTGAAAAGCTCACATCATCTCCCCGTCACTCCCGTCACTCTCAGGCTCCCATTGACATTATCGAGATCACCGACCACGACTCGGTCGACGATGACTTGCCGAGAATCGAATCACTGCACGAAGAAACACCCTCGCCCAAGAGGCGTAGAGTGAAATCCTCTATGCGTTCACGGCCGGTCGCCTCGTCATCTCAACCCCGACCCCGACCTCGACCTATTGTCAGAAAGGTCACTGCACCCCAAGAAGATGCCCCTTATCGTAATTTGCGCTCGCGTTCGCGATCTGTCGAGCCAAGGCAACAGCCGATTATTAGGAAGGGAAGGAAGAAGGTTACCACGCCTTCAGTGGATCTTGGCCCTGTTTTGGAAGAGGAAGTCAGCGGAGTAAGCGCTTTCGACGAACACGATATCCCGGACGTGATATCTGTGGAGGCGCGTCCTATATCTGTATCAGAACCGGAGCTTGCGGCGGTGGAGTCAGAGTCAGAGTCAGAGTGGGAACCAGACCCACAGCTGGAAGTCGAACCAAAGTTGGAGTCGGTTGAACCAGAGCTACATTCAGATCTCGAAGCAAAGCCAGAACCGGAGCTGGACTTGGACTCGGATTTTTGGCTGCAGCCGCCTAAACGTACAAGGTCGATGATTGATTCGGACGATGAACAGACAGCGAGGGACCTTGGTCTTCAGGGGAGTGCCAAGGCACTGACACCACTTGGGCAAACCGTCCGACCCTCTGCTCGGCGGCGGTGGTCCACATCGAGTGAGGAGCCGTTCCCGGTGCCTAATACCAAGGCGAGTGCGAGGAAAGAACGCCTTATCGAGGAGGCGAAGCGGATGCCCTACGTTCCTCCTCCCGGGACGAGGGCTGCTATGATATTGGCGCAAGGTAGCCAGTAATTTATCTATTTGTGAATCTCGACGTATACCACAATGTACTACTCTGCTTTTTATTTGTAACAATATAAAATTTTCATTCAAAATCGTATTTAGATAAGTAATGCAACGTGTAATAAATAGTCTGTCCTAGTGTTAACGAGTATGTACACATCGTCCACGGTCATAATACATACTCATACATAACGCTATCATGTCCGACATAAAAGCGATCAAGTACTCTCGATTCCTCAAATACCCGCATTCGTTCTCTCCCATGGAGAGCCCTCCTTTTCCGCACACCACAGATAGAGATCTGGGTGTGGGCCTGTAGTGACCGTAAGAGTAGAGAATATGCAAGAGAAACGACAGCATATATAGAAAGAAGGTACCCATACGTGGCTCCTACTCATCCATGTGCATGTCAGTGATATGATGCATGCTGTTAATCCTCGATATGGCTCCCGGTCGTGGGATGATACCACTGCCAGACAAGTTCAGCTGAGAGGTATTCAACGACCTTGAATACAGGCCATTCGAGAAGTAATTATCGTCGACAAGGCCCGGTGAGGGTGAGGGAGAACGAGAGATGCTCGCCGCAGACGTCAGTCCATTCGGCATCGAAAACGAGCGAGTGGGCGATATGCGTGGTGGTGAGACACGCAGATTCGAGTTGGACGGTGGTAAGGAGATGATTGAATGGTTGGCGGGTCGGCGGACGGAAGGAAGTAAGCCTCGCAGCGGCTGTAACCATTTCTGTGTCGGAGAAGGTGGCCGTGAACCGGAGGTAAGTGGCTTTCCTTCCTCTCCCATGCTATATGCTTCCGCATCACGTTGTTTCGCCCTGTTCCTCCTTAAACGTAGGCAAGACGAACGGATCCTTCGCCGGATAACGAACAAGAGCATAAACAGCAACAGGGGGTAGAACAGTAAGAGTACAGGTGAGAACCCAAGAGATGATCGTGTCAATGAAGTTGGTAGATGTGGTGAGATCTTGTCTTCGATGAGATCGAGGAATGGCGGTCGTATAGGTTTTATAGGGAAGGTTTCTGGGTTCGGTATATCATCTAGAGGATCAACAAGAGGCTTGTCGGCTTTTGAGAGAAGCGGGACTTCTTTGCTAGCCTCTAGTACCATCTTCCCAAGAGTCCAGCTGATAGCAATGTCCCCGACGGTGTCAACAGACTGGAAAGTCGGTCTTCCTAGTCCTTTGCTCTCGGCCTGCTCCGCAACCCTTTCTCCGTCCGTCGTCCCGTTCCCGTCTGGATCCACTATCCGCGGCATTCCAATCCCATCGTGAAGTACGTTAGCTATCCAAGCAGCCTTGAAGCATTGCATCTGCAACCGTGGAATCTCCACCTTCTCCCCCCACTTTCCAACGTCAACAATACGACCACCATCTTCTACTTCGCCGTCACCTGTAGGTCGACTGTACTGACGAGATTGTTCGTGTTCTTCAACAATATTTGACCAGTCTCTCGAACAAAATTGGGATGCTGCGCGTTCGTACTGCACAAAGTCATAGGGACCGCCGAGCCCAAAGACGTGTTCAGAAGAGTACCAGTATTCTGATACTCCAATGAAATGGGAGACGGAGAAGTCGATTGGGGGGACATATACACCGTTCATCAGACATGGGGTATCGGGACAAGGCGCGTGCTTGTTCAAAAGCGAGGCCGTCTTTTGCATGCACTGCTCAAAGGAGCCCGTGCCAATCAAACGATGAGTTTTCTTAGAGTGGTCTGACGCGAGTCCAAGATGTACAGGGGTTTCTGTGAGTTCGAGATCCTTCGGTAAACAAGGGTCAGGAACAACATCCCTGTCATGTGGGGACGTCCGTTGAGCCTCGAAGTCATTAATCGCTTGGCCGACATAACGCTCCCTGGCCTGGTTCGTACCATATCCCAGCCAAGTAGTCACGAAGACTTTATGAAGTATTTCCTCGCCATCCAAAAGACGGAGGCGTACTTCAATAAGGCTTTTGGCCTCGTCCTGGTGTTCCCTGCTAGGTTCGAATGCAATTTGTGTCGAAGCGCCACCCATATCCAAAAATCCATAGGTTGTAGGGTTGCTGGTCCCCGTGAACCCGTCCATTAAATAATTAACCGCGATCCACCCAAACAGACCCTCTTCTTCGCCAGTGATGATTCGTACACTGGAACCACAAGGTCCTGCTGCTGTCGGTCCGTCTAACCGAAAGTGAGAGTGATGCACAAAGAAATGACATGTCTCCGATAGGATTTCGGCTTGTTTCTCCGGCGACAATAGCCGCATTCCAGCGGTAGCGAGTAGAAATAAGGGCGTTTCGGCGTGTAGAGAAGGAGGAATATGTTCGCGAGCGTGGTTCAGCAGTGGCCGTAAGTGACCTGGGAGGTCTTCCAGGCTATCTGCAAAGGACGATATACCTGCATTTGATGCATTAGTGTACGTTTCGGAACGACGGTTGCCATAATGCACCTGGCTCAACCTTGCTAACCCATTCCTCGCCCAACTTCGTTCCTTTCTCAACTCGAGGCAACATGTGCGAGTTGTGGAACTCGCTAGTCTTGTCCAGCCTAATGGCCTTGGGATCCTTCCAGCTATATATCTGGAGTCGAGAGCCAGATGAGCCAGCATCAATGACTGCTCCAAAGTGACGGCCAGCTAGCCACGGGTCACCAGCCGTTGGTGGAGGCATTTGTTCTTCACGGACAGCTCGACAACGAGGTCCTCAACAGCGGCGGCCACTATCGAATCGAAGTCGGGAAGCAAACCGCGGATACAGGCACGGAATTGCTGAAAATGTGCCACGTGCTGTCTGTAAATGGCTGATGTCATGGTTAACTTTATCTTTTGCCTCCATACAGCTCGCACAGTTCTAGGGCCTTGTAAGGAACTGATACTAGTATCGAATGCCCTAATATCAAATATTAGCGTTATTGAGACTCAGTTATCAACCCATCCGCAATTCTCACTGAAATCATCATTCCGAAAACAGAGACGGAAATATTGTTCAAAGCGCGGAGCAGCTAGACCTGCGACAGCTTCCAGGCGGCAAGTCGACATATACTGAGACTACGGGACCACTGAATCTTGGGCGATACGTATGTACAAGGATCTTTTCTGTGAATTTACTGTCCTCATTTTCTCCCTGCTAGGATGACTCCGAATGGAGGCTCATCACGCAAGAACATTGTTTTCAGTATATCATTCTTCGATCCCGCCTTTTTCCGCATCTCTGGATCCAACGACACCGTTGAACCCACTGTGGTAATCGTCGGGGATCCTTATGGCCCAACCAAACCTGAATGGAAATGTTCTTCAACAAAACCGAGAATGGAGATCCAATTGCGATGACTGGGGAAACTCCCGCAGACCTGCTAGTCGAGTCTTTACCAGCTGGCCTTGGTTATTTGCTTTCGCTCATCTGATTTTGCAGGTCCTGGGCGAGTACATCAACCGAGTGACTCGAGCCTGGCCAGTGATAATACGGACAGCTCTATTTACTGCTTAATGCCACACATATATTCATCAGGTCATCTGTCTCCACAGAGGACAGCATTTTTTTAAAAACCTCACCAACGCGGGGGAATCTTGACACAGAAAACGGTATGTCTGAGTTCCAGCGGAAGCACGTCTAACAATAGAGAATGCTCAAGTTGTTCGCGGTTAAATTTCGGAACATTAGAAGCCGTCGACGCGTCACGCGTTTTGCATCGTTATTTCTTCAAAGCGTCGGACCGGCAAGCGCGACTTGAAAGCTTCTTTACTTCTGAGTCTCACTGCTCAACGAATGCATCGCTCTGCATTGTTATGAGCCTAGACTCTCCTCATACCAATTACCTCTATGCATCACCGGCACAACCTCTAGTTGTCGTCCATTAACGGCTGTGATAAGGACACGTACAGGTTTCGCCGCGACGAATATCTGCCAAACGCTAAGATGAAAAGGCCCCGAACTCCTCCTTCGGACCGAATGGGACACAGACTTGCAGATTTATAACGACTCATCGAAGTCCCTTGTCAGCAGACAAATGGCATGACCTGTTGCTCTGGGATCTGCTCTGCATATATAGTTAAAGACGTAGCACAAAACACCTCGTCTTCCCCCAACTGTCACCACAATGCTATTTCCAGCTCTTCTCGTCGTTCTTGCCTCAGTTCTTCAACCCTGTGGTGCGCAATCGGCTCCAGTCGTTGACCTCGGATACGCCAGGTATCGTGGAACGTTGGATCCTGCTGGGTCCAACGACACTCAATTTCTCGGGATACGATTCGCGGCACCACCTACTGGTACGTGACCTAAGCCCTCTACCTTTGTAGCACCGTTTCCAGCATACGTCTGTTTAGGCTCGTTGAGGTGGCAAGCACCGAGAACGCCGGGCTTCGTCCCAGGCATACAGAACGCTACTGCAGAACCTCCCAGATGTCTTCAGGCCGGAACCGGCGCGGCTCCTAGCAACCCTTTTCCTGCCGACAAAAGGGACACCCTTGATGTTCCGAATTCCGAAGACTGTCTCTTCTTGAAGTAGGTCACGACTGGCGTCTATTGTAGCTGTAATTTATCTGTTTTGCAGCGTGTATGTTCCCGGGCAGCTTGGATCTCGCAAAAATCTACCTGTCGTGGTATGGATACATGGAGGAGGGTATGGTGTTTCATTCGTTGTCGAGGAGTCTATCTAATTGTTGTAACAGTTACGTTGCCGGCGGCGCCAATGGGTTCTCTGGCCCTGATGCTTACAATGGGAACGACTTAGTCCGTGAATCTGGCGGCGGAGTCGTTGCCGTGGTTATCCAGTATCGTTTAGGCTTATTTGGATTCCTTGCCGGAGAGGAGGTAAAAGCAAATGGTGTATTGAATGCTGGCCTTCGTAGGTTCTGTGTCTCTGCGATTAGGCTCTCATTGATATTTGTGGCACAGTGGATCAACAATTTGCGCTTCAATGGGTACAGACGCACGTACGCTGTATTTTTTCTGCATTTGTCTTGTCCTTGTACTTACCGACCGCTCGAAGATCACCAAGTTCGGTGGGGATCCAAGCCGAGTTACTATCTGGGGCGAATCGGCCGGTGAGGATTTTACATGTCCTACAACCTATTATTTTCCGATTTAATCGTGTTCTAGGTGCTGGTTCTGTTCTTCAGCAAGTTATTGCCAACGATGGGCGAACATTCCCGCCTTTGTTCAGAGCGGCAATAACAAGTTCCAGCTTCCTGCCTTCGCAGTATGCATTCAACGATGTCATTCCGGAGGTTCAGTATCTCTGTCAATAGCGCTTATACGACGTGCTGATATGTATGATCTAGTTTCTGTACAACGCCGTGGTGTCTGGGACGAAGTACGTGCTCTTAATTTTCATCCGCTACAGTGATCTCTAAAATGTTAGATAAGCTGTACCTCAGCGGCCAACACGCTGACATGCCTGAGAAACGCTGACGTAAATCTTCTTGAACAAATCAACGTTCAGCTTTGTATTAGCGGATTTTTTGGCACCTTTGTATTTGTGCCCGTTGTTGATGGAACTTTTATAAAGCAAAGGCCAGCGCTAGCTTTACAGGAAGGTAAAGTCAATGGCGTAAGTTGGTGGTCATTTTTTTGGGTTAGGTTTTTGATATCTAATCATCTTTAAAGGAGGTTCTCATGTCAGTTACAAATTCGGACGAAGGATTAATCTTCGTCGACACAAGCACTGCAGCTACCGTTCAGGTTCCTGAATATCTGACACAACTATTCCCGAACCTGAGCGCTCAGAATATCGATGTCGCTGTTGCGAAATATTCCAGTCTTGGAACCCCAATCGAGCAGGTCACCGCCATAATGGGAGAATGTACGTGTAGTATCTGCAATAGCTAATAGTATTGTCTCACCTTGTTGCGGCAGCTATATTCGTCTGCCCAACTTATTTCTTGCTGCGCGCTTTCCAAGGAAAAGGATTCAAGGTAAGTTGAACGATGCTCCCACTGCAATGATATTGAATATCATCTGCTCAGGGCCAATTCGCGATCCCACCCGGCACCCACGGGAGTGACGTTGCATATTATTTCCCCTCGTACGTTCTTTGCCATAGCATATCAAACTGTAATCTCATTTATTCTCTAGTATGAATGCAAATGGAATTCCTGCCTTCGGTAATACCGACTTCGACAAGGCGTTCTCGGAGTCTTTCCTAGCTTTCGTCATGTCTCTGGATCCGAATGAGACGTTCGAGAAGACTATCACACCAGCGTGGAAGCCTTTTTCATTCCAGCCGGGTGGTCAAGTAGAAATGCGATTCAACAGAACAGAAACCGGCCAACCCGCGATATTGCCCTTTACCACGCCGGCAGATCTGCTTGACCGATGCTCGTGAGTGCACCTACTCGATTTCTTAATATCTCCCTCACTTTTTTTAGATTTTGGGAAAGCGTTGGGCCTGAAATAGGACAATGAATATCATCGTTATTTTAGTTAGACGTATCTGTGATTTGTCTAACTACGGGACGTTGTAAAAGTCACACTCGATTTACCGAGAAACCTAAAGACAGAGATGCCACATTCTGTCAACCCTCTAGAGTATATTTCAACCACCCACGGTAAGCTGCGGAGGCCTTCGAATGGAGTCCCTAATCTCCCTCCTGACCAGTATACCATGCCTCGGGACTTCGCCATCAAAAACATCCAGATGGTGGAGGTATAAGTGAGGCACGAGGGGTGATCGGGGAAGAAGACTGAATCATGGAGGATGGAAAATTGATTGGACGAGAATAAAATTTAACAAGGTCATGCTGGAAGAGGTTCCGTTCCGTTCATTTTCATCTGTTGTATAAAAGTGGATGACGCGCAAAAATAGATTTGATCATGGAAAAGAAATCATGCTGCGAAAGAAGCTGGGGAACGACAGAGCGTGCATGCTAGGTCTTCATAGTCAGATAAGGGAACAGCAGACGCAAGACGCACTCAAGCCCCACATGGAGACTTTTGACAGATCTAGGAGAAAGCATGATGGTCCCTGCCGCAGGGGGCATGGCAGGGCATCGGTATCATGTCGACAGAAGCTTCGACGGTCCTACAATTTGCGCTGTCTGGGTAGGGAATGTCGCCGTCACGAACACGTAACCAGAGTGGTTCCGTGAAATTTCCCTCAGAGTGGTGATCGCGAAGGTGATCTCGCTCGACATATACGAGGCAGTAGAAGGCGGTTTCAATTTGTTTGGGCTTGAATCTGATGGAAAGGACGACTGCGATTGTGGGCGACTTTTGCGTCTAGTATTTTTCCATACAGAAAGGTTTGCTGAACGAAGTGGCCTGACTGTAAACCTTACGCCTTTCCTAGCAAATGGGAGGTTGCAGTTGAACGGGCGAGCTCCCTGCAAAGGTTTTTCTGCAAATTTTCACATTTCAGGCTAAAATATTTGCAAAAGCTCCTGCCTATGCCTTATGGGGGAATATTTTGACCTGATTGAGGCTATTTTTCCGGACAAACTTTGGCAGGAACCTGACAAGTTACTGTTTGCACAAGGACGATATCTTCTCATACCTCGGAAGTTCTGATGACTCCGCAGACTCTCTATTGAAATTGTCACACCGTTTTGCAGGAATTTCACATTCGCCTCACCTTCACGGTTACTATTCCCAGTGTTTGGGTTAGTTCATCTCGTCTTCAGCTCAGGTCGTCTTCAGCTGTCGGTACTTGTTCGATAGTCATCAACTTCCTGAACATCTCGGTTCTCTGCCCGTTGGCTGGTAACATCTCAGCTCTTTTGACTTCCATTCCATCATGCCATTGGGTTTTTTATCTCTCCCTCAGCCAGAAGTCATTTCCTCGCAAGCAAGAAACTTGCCTCTCAAACATGAAGGTACAAAAGTATCCTGCTGCTCCCTTTGCCCATTCATTCCGCGTAGTAATATCTATTCATTCCGTCAGTTTATCTACATCCGCTATAATTTGCCACGTCTGCTGTCCCACCTAACTTGGCCTGACACTCCCTTTGCATCTGGAGTCCCAAACTACCTCTGCAGATGCTATTAGCCCGAACCAGTCTTCACACACCGATTACCTTTACTGGATCACTGGCACGGCTGGTGGTCGATGTGAGTCAGCTGCTTCGTAAAGTTTTCCCTGCAACATGTATCTGCCAAGAGCTGAGATGAGAAGCCCCGGACGCCTTCTGATCGTGAACAGCAGAGGAATATAGATTTCTACGATGCTTGGAAGCTTCTTGTCGACAGGGAGATGACATGACGAATGGTTCTCGAATGCACGCTGCATATATAATCAAAGACGTCGGACAAACCGTCTCGTCGTCTCCCCAGCTCCCACCAGAATGCTACTTCCAGTTCTTCTCCTCATTGTTGCCTCAGTTCTCCAACCCTGTGGGGCGCAGTCTACTCCGGTGATTGACCTTGGATACGCCAAATATCGTGGAACATTTGACCCGGCTCGATCCAACAACACCGAATTTCTTGGGATACGATTCGCGGCACCTCCTACTGGTGCGCGATCTGACGGCCCTTCCTATGTGGTGCCGTTACCGATGTACTTCTATTTAGGTTCTTTAAGGTGGCAGGCACCCCGAACGCCAGACTTTGTAGCGGGGATACAGAACGCTACCGTAGAACCACCCACATGTCTTCAAGCCACAGAAGGCAGAGGGTCGAGCAATACTTTTCCTGCCGATAAAAGAGACGCCCCTGCTTCAGATCCTGAAGATTGTCTTTTCTTGAAGTGAGTTACGGACATGTTCTGGTATATATTGTAGCTGTTATTTATCTTGTTCTCAGCATATATGTTCCTGGCCAGCCAAATCCTCGCAAGAACCTACCTGTCGTGGTATGGATACATGGAGGAGGGTATGGTACTTTATTCTTTATTGAGGAGTCTATTGAGTACTACAACAGGTACATTTCTGGTGGCGCCAATGGGTTTTCTGGGAACGACCTAATCCGCGAAGCCGGCGGCGGCGTCATTGCTGTAGTAATCCAGTATCGCTTAGGTCTGTTTGGATTCCTAGCTGGAAAGACAGTGAAATCACATGGCGCGTTGAATGCCGGTCTTCGTAAGTTCTGTATCTCTGCGATTGGGCTCTCACTGATATTTATGAGGCAGTCGATCAACAATTTGCACTTCAATGGGTCCAGAAACATGTGAGCTGCCTTCTTCCTAGCGTTTGTTATGCAGTCGTACTTACCTACCGCTCGAAGATCGCCAAATTTGGTGGGGATCCCAGTCGAGTCACTATCTGGGGTGTATCTGCTGGCGAGAATTCTGTGCTATAAACTATCACGTCCCAGTCCAATCGTGTTTCAGGTGCTGGCTCTGTGATTCAGCAAGTTATTGCCAATGATGGGAGAACTTTCCCGTCCTTGTTCAGAGCTGCGATAACAAGCTCCAGTTTTCTGCCTTCGCAGTATGCGTATAATAATGCCGTCCCGGAGGTTCTGCGTCTCTCTCAGTTAGAATTATACGAGGTGCTAACATGTATGTTCCAGTTTCTGTACAATGCCGTGGTGTCAAGGACGAAGTAAGTGGTCGAAATTGTAACCTGTGAAATTGGTCTTTAAATTTTCGCACAAGTTGTACCTCTGCAGCCAATTTGCTGACATGCCTAAGAGATGCAGACGTAAATCTTCTTGAACAAATCAATAACGACCTTTCTTTGAGCGCGTTTTATGGTACCTTCGTATTTGTACCAGTTGTTGATGGTCATTTCATAAAGCAAAGGCCAACGCTAGCTTTTCTGGAAGGAAAGGTGAACGGTGTAAGTTTGTGGCCTTTTGTGGAGTTCGGTTAATTTCTGATCATCTTTAAAGGAGGTTCTCATGTCTATAACAAACACAAATGAGGGGGGACCATTCGTCGACACCAGTACCGCAGGCACCGTTCAGGTTTCTGAATACCTGACACAATTATTTCCGAATTTGAGCGATCAGAATCGTGCCGTTGCCGTTACAAAGTATTCTGGTCTCGGAGCTCCCATCGAGCAGGTCGCCGCCATAATGGGAGAGAGTATGTGCGGTACTTGTATACTTAACGTTATTTTCTAACAATCGATGTGGCAGCCATATTTGTTTGTCCTACGTATTTCTTGCTTCGCGCTTTCAAAGGGAAAGCATTCAAGGTAAGTTTAGCGATGCTCCGACCGCAGTGATGTTGAGTACTCATATGCTTAGGGTCAATTTGCAATTCCCACCCGGCACACACGGAAGTGATCAGGCTTACTACTTTCCCTCGTATGTTTATTTCCGAAACATGCGGCATTATTTACGTTCTCATTCATTCTGCAGTAGGAATACAAATGGTGTTCCCCCCTTCAGCAATACCTGATTTCGATAGAGCGTTCGCCGAGTCTTTCCTTGCCTTCGTCATGTCTCTGGATCCCAATGAGACGTTCGAGCCTACTATTACACCTGCCTGGAAGCCAGTTTTCATTCCAGAAAGGACATCAGGTAGAAATGCGCTTCAACAGAACGGAGACCGGTGATCCCGTGGTATCGCCCTTTAACACGCCGGAAGATTTGCTTGATCGATGCTCGTAAGTACCTGCACCTGTTCCGTTTCTTGGTCTTTTTCACATTTCTCTTAGGTTTTGGCAAAGTGTAGGGTCCGAAACAGGGCAGTGAATGTCATCGGTAAAGGTCGTTATTTAGTTAGTCGTACCTATGGTGCGATGCCATAAGCGATCTGTTCTAATTAAACATCACCAATATCCCTCCTGGACCGTACTCTGAACGCAGGGGAGCACACCTGGAATGCATAGGGTATCATGTCGGCAGGACTTTCGAGGTCTAGTATAGATGAGTGCCATTTTGCAGACGATGCATATCAGTTTTGCGCTGTATGGGTAGAGAATCTTGTCGTCTCGTGCACGCAGCGAGAGTGGTTGACTGTGGACTGCGGCTTTCTCCCAAGTAGTGATCACAAAAGTGATCCCGCTCGGCACATTGTCATACAAGGTAAGTAGCAGGAAGGCGACATCAACAGTTCGTTGCTACCCGATGGAAAAGGTGAGCGAACGTGGGTCTTGTGATGCAGAACCGTCTACGCGGGCCGGCCCGAGGCAATATTAATAGCTCTCCGACTAAATTGTTCCGGCTATTTGGCTGAACAACCCTTGACAACTTGTAAGAGCTTCCGGACACGAATACTTTAGGATCTTGTTGATTGACCTTCACTGCTTTCATATAGTATTAGAAATGATATCTCTTCATGCCTCGGTTGCTCCGATGACTTCGTGGACTCTCCTTTGAAATTTTCACCGTACTTCTCGGTCTGGCGTCTACAAGACTCGCGTTTCGCGCCCCACCCGCTTTTACCCTTGTAATTCATAGCTGTTTAGGTGCGTTCATCTGCCACATCGCATCTCTAAGCTGATACTAGTGTAGTAGTCGTCAACCTTCCGAACACCTGGCATATTGGTTGGTGACGCTTCAGTCTCCCTTTAAGCCTCCCTTTTATCAGGTTTTGTCTCTCTCTCTCTCAGCAGGAAGTAGGCTCGCAAACAAGAAACCCACCCTTTGAACCCGAAGATATAAAGTGTCTTGGCATTTCTCTTCTTGGCTTAAAATTTTCTTTACATCCCGAGTCTCACTGCCTCTGTAGGTATAATCAGCCTGAACCAGTGCACACATCATATCGATTACCATTACCTGGGTCGCTGGTGCCACTGCTGGTTGATGTGGATCAGCAGCTGTGGCGGGACACGTAAACTCTTTACTGCGACTTATATCTGGCAAAAGCTAAGGTGAAAAGCCCCGAACTCCTACTCCATACCAAGAACAATATAGATCTATGAGGCTTCGAAGTTCCTTGTCAGAAGGTAGATGGCATGACAAACGGTTCTGGAATGCGCGCTCCATATATAATCCGATCCAAAGACGTCGGACAAAACGTCTCGTCTTCCCAACTACCACCACAATGCTACTTCCGGCCCTTCTGCTTATTATTGCCTCAGTATTCCAACTCTGTGCGGCGCAGTCTACTGCAGTGATCGACCTCGGATACGCCAAATATCAAGGAGCATGGGATTCCGCTGGATCCAACAACACTCAATTTCTCGGAATACGATTTGCGGCACCTCCCACTGGTGTGTAATTTGACGGTTCTTCCTGTGTAGCGCTGTTCCTGAAGTGCCTTTGTTTAGGCTCATTGAGGTGGCAAGCGCCGCGAACACCGGACTTCGTTGCGGACATACAGAACGCTACCGCGGAACCCTCCGGATGTCTTCAAGCGGGATTCGGCAGGGCTTCGAGTAATCCTTTTCCTACCAGTAAAAGGGCCGCCTCTGCTGCAGATTCCGAAGACTGTCTTTTCTTGAAGTGGGTAACGGACATGCTTTGGCGTCTATCTTAGTTGGTATTAATCAGTTCCCAGCGTATACGTTCCTGGACAGCTCGACCCTCGCAAAAGCCTACCTGTCGTGGTATGGATACATGGAGGAGGGTATGATGCCTTATTCGTTATTTGAACAGTCTATTGAGCGCCGCAACAGTTACGTTTCTGGAAGTGCCAATGGATTTTCTGGGAACGACCTAATACATGAAGCTGGCGGCGGCGTCATTGCCGTAGTCATCCAATATCGCTTAGGCTTATTTGGATTTCCTAGCTGGGGAGTCAGTGAAAGCGTATGGCGCATTAAATGCTGGCCTTCGTAAGTTCTCTGTCATTGCGATTGGGGCTGTCGCTGAGATTTATGAGGAAGTGGATCAGCAATTTGCACTTCAGTGGATCCAGAAATACGTGGGCTGCATTTATTCTGACGTTTGTCGCGCAATTTTTACTTACCGATTGCTTGAAGATCGCCAAGTTCGGTGGGGATCCAAGTCGAGTTACCATCTGGGGCGTGTCTGCTGGTGGGAACTCTCCTTATTCTATTCGTATTCTTACTTAATTGAGTTCTAGGTGCTGGATCTGTTATTCAGCACATCATTGCTAATGATGGACAAACTTCCCCGCCTTTGTTCAGAGCTGCAATAACAAGCTCCAGTTTTCTCCCTTCGCAATATGCGTATAATGATGTCATTCCAGAGGTTCAGTCTCTCCGCCAGTTAGACTTATACGAGGTACTGATATATATATTCTAGTTCTTATACGATTCCGTAGTGTCAAGGACGAAGTAAGCGTTCCCAATTGTAGTGACATCGATTTCTCAAGTCTTAGACAAGCTGTACCTCGGCGGCCAATTCACTGGCATGCCTGAGAAACGTCGACGCTGACGTTCTTGAACAGATCAACACTGACCTTTGTAATAGCGGTTTTTTTGGCACTTTCGTATTTGTACCAGTTGTCGACGGTGATTTCATAAAGCAAAGACCGACGTTAGCCTTGCGTGATGGAAAAGTCAATGGCGTAAGTTGGCTGCGATGTTTTGGGGGCTTCAGCTGATACTTGATCATCTTTCAAGGAGGTTGTCATGTCAGTTACAAACACTGATGAAGGGGGGATATTTGTCGACTCAAGTACTGCTGGCACCGTTCAAGTTCCTGAGTATCTGGCACAGCTATTTCCGAACCTGAGTTCTCAGCATCGCGATATCGCCGTTACAAAGTATTCAGGTCTTGGAACTCCAATCGAGCAGGTCACCGCCATAATGGGAGAGGGTACGTGCGGTACTTATATACTTAACGTTATTTTCTGACAATCACCGTGGCAGCCATATTTGTTTGCCCTACGTATTTCTTGCTTCGTGCTTTCAAAGGAAAAACATTCAAGGCAAGTTCGACGATGGTCTGACCGCAGTAATACTGAGTGTCAGATACTTAGGGTCAATTCGCAATCCCACCTGGCAGTCATGGGAGCGACGTTGCCTATTACTTTCCTTCGTACGTTTGTTGATACAGCACATTTAGTTCTGGGCTTATTCATTCACCAGTACGAATGCGAACGGCGTCCCCCCCTTCAACAATACCGACTTCGATAAAGCGTTCGCCGAGTCCTTCCTAGCCTTTATCATGTCTCTAGATCCGAATGAGACGTTCGAGCCAACTATTACACCGTCCTGGGAGCCATTTTCGTTCCAGCAAAGTCATCAAGTAGAAATGCGTTTTAACCGAACAGAAGCTGGCGATCCCGCCATAATGCCTTTTACCACACCGGAAGATCTGCTTGATCGATGCTCGCAAGTACCTGCACCTACTCCGTTTCTTGGTCTTTCTCACGGTTCTTTAGGTTTTGGGAAAGTGTAGGGTCCGAAATAGGACAGTGAATATCATCGTCAAAGGCCGCTATTTAGTTGGGTATGTCTGTAATCTTTTGTCTGCAGACATCAGCCTTTCCTGCTCCCCGTCGAGATATATTCTACATGGTCGATGTCTCTTCTATGTAATGAATACGCGCTATAGTGGACAACAACATTCGACGCGTCAGGAAAACGGTACTCGCATTGTCACGCACATTATACAGGAATTACTGCAAACGACTGGCAATATTGCAAGATAATCGGGTTCTCAGCTAAATTTCGGGAAATAACCCGGTCTTTGGTGACATTACAGGGAATTACCAGGTAATACCGAGCCCACCTTACATGCCATAGCGAATACTGCTCTTCTAACGACATGTACGAAAGACGTTTCGAGTATAGCCAGGTGGTCTTTCATTTAAGAACTACCACGGGACAAGGGATATGTAGAATCCTCTACATTACGGTTCTACACAGCAGACTTATTCCACGAAGATACGCTACCACTACGCGGCCACATGAGTAAAATGTAACACTAAAGAAAAGTCGAAACAACGTATAACGGGTGGTAATAAAGACCGGATTGAATCTTCATACGGTCACTACGCGTTCCTGATGACTGGCCAGACCAGCAGAAGTGATCCATACGGTATGCACGCTTAGCGCGACGACCCGAGAAAAATTTGCGGCGTTAGTCAGATCGGAGTAAGAACTTACCATGGAGCCGGGAGATAAAAGTAGGATGGCTTTGCTACGTACGCGCCGAAAGTTGATTTGCTAGTACATTGCAGAAACGGGAGCGACCTTATCGACAGTTAGGGCCATCCTAAATATGGTCCAACTTGAAGGGGGCTGTATGATGGCCGTACGTGCAAATGCGGTAGGAAGGAAGACGTTGAAGAAGCTGAATCCCTCTACGCTTGAAGTTAACACGCTTGCCAGTTGACCTTTACGTGATGCGCCGCGGCACGGCTCTCCATTTATAGCTGCGGAGTTTAAAATGGACGGCCTGGCGTAAACTACGGTTGGCCCACTGCATTGATAATATTATACTCGAGCATAAATAACTTCTTCCACCACCATCGCATCCCATTCCCGGCTTCAGGAGTTCCCAAATCGACATAGTGTACAGCAGCAGCGTCCACATTCTCTGAGCTCAGGCTCAGCTTGGAAAATAGCTACAGCGTTGCAAGCAAGTCCTTGTCCGTCCTAGGTTTTTTGCTTGTACTCATCTGATTTGACAGTTTCTGGGAGGTATCAGCCGAGACTTGTCAGTGATATGGGTGCCATTCAATAGCAGACCTGAGGAAGTGTTATCACCTCACATATGTCAAGTCAGTATTCCCAAAATGACAGAATTTCAAAACATTGGTTTTACAGAAAATACCATTCCCAAGCTCCAGCGGAAGCTCTTTAACAATATGAAGTAATAGACAATGTCCAGGATGCAATACTGCAAGAGTTGTTCCCGGCCGAATTCCGGAACTTTTGGAAGCCGTTGGTTGAAGCGTCAGGCTTGGGATTGTCGCTTTGTCAAACATATTTCAAAGCGGGCCGGACGGCGAACGCGACTCAAAAAACCTCCTTCACCTCTCACTGCTCTGTGGATTCGACGTCAAGTACCGTTATCAGCCTAGACTGGTGCTCATACTGATTGCCATTACTGCTTCACTCGTGTGGCGACTGGTTGCCGTGAATCAGCGGCCATGGCGGGGATATGTCGACTTTGCCTCGCGGCGATGCATGTCCGCCCAGGGCTAAGATGAAAAACTTCAGGGACATAGATTTCTAACAATGATTCGACTTGTCAGCAGTTGATGTCATGACCGTTACTCTGAGATCTGCTCCGCATAAATAGTCAAAGCCGTAACACAGAGCACGTCGTCTTTACCCCAACTACCACTACAATAGTGGGAGTCAGAGTGACCGATTATGAGTCGTAATCGTCATCATAATCGCTCTGGCTCTGACCGTGTACCGATTACGGGTAACGATTACATTGACCCGAGAATTATGTAAAGGGGAGGATCCATAATCGCCGTTCATAATCGGTGCCATAATCGTTTTCATAATCGTCCCATAATCGTTTACTCTGACTCCTACTAATGCTATTTACGGCTCTTCTCATCATTTTTGCTTTGGTGCTGCCTCCCTGTGGGGCACAGTCAACTCCGGTAATCGACCTCGGTTATGCTAAATATCGAGGAACGTTCAATCCCGCTGGATCCAACAACACTCAGTTTCTCGGGATACGATTTGCGGCACCCCCTACTGGTACGTGATCTGAGGACTCTTCCTATGTAGAGCCGTTCCCAATGCATGCATCTCTATTTAGGATCTTTGAGGTGGCAAGCACCCAGAACACCAGACTTTGTGGCAGGCATACAGAACGCAACTGTAGAACCCTCCGAATGTCTTCAGGGTGGAGTGGGTGCAGCTTCGAGTAATCCTTTTCCTGTCGGCAAAAGAGCCGCCCCCGCACAAAATTCTGAAGACTGTCTCTTCCTGAAGTGGGTAACGGACAGATTATGGCGGTTAACTGTAACTGTTACTCATCTGTTCTCAGCGTGTATATTCCCGGGCAACTCGATTGTCGCAAGAACCTACCTGTCGTGGTATGGATACATGGAGGAGGGTATGATGCATTGTTCTTTGTCGAGGAGTCTATCTGACCCTGATTACAGTTACGTTATCGGCAATGCCAGTGCATATGGTACTGGGAATGACTTCGTCCGTGAATCTGGCGAAGGAGTTATTGCTGTGACTATCCAGTATCGTTTAGGCTTATTTGGATTCTTTGCTGGAGAGTCAGTAAAAGCAAATGGCATATTGAATGCTGGCCTTCGTAGGTTCTGTTTCTCTGTGATCGGGTTCCCATTGATATTTCTGGGGTAGTGGATCAACAATTTGCACTTCAGTGGGTCCAGAAACATGTGAGTCGCCTTTTTTCCAGCTCCCGTTTTGAACGCGTACTTATCGCTGATTCGCTCGAAGATCGCCAAGTTCGGCGGGGATCCAAGCCGAGTAACTATCTGGGGCGTATCTGCTGGTGAGGATTTCATGCATTCTATAAACTGTCGCATCCCAATTCAACCGTGTTCTAGGTGCTGGCTCTGTGATTCAGCACGTCATTGCCAATGATGGACAAACCTCCCCGCCGTTGTTCAGAGCTGCAATAACAAGTTCCAGTTTCCTCCCTTCGCAGTATGCCTATAACGATGTGCTTCCCGAGGTACGGTCTCTCCACCAGTTATAAATGTACGAGGTGCTGATATGTATTTTCTAGTTCCTATACAATTCCGTAGTGTCAAGGACGAAGTAAGCATTCCCAATTGTAGCATGACACTGATTTCTCAAGCCTTAGACCAGCTGTACCTCGGCAGCCAATTCACTGATATGCCTGAGAAACGTCGACGCAGACGTTCTTGAACAGATTAACATTGACCTTTGTAATAGCGGGTTTTTTGGCACCTTCGTATTCGTACCAGTTGTTGATGGTGATTTTATAAAACAAAGGCCGACAATAGCTATGCGTGAAGGAAAAGTTAACGGGGTAAGCTGACGGCCCATCTTTGGTCCTACTTCTGTCTGATTATCTTTCAAGGAGGTTGTCATGTCCGTTACCAACACAAATGAGGGAGGACTATTTGTCGACTCGGGTACTGCAGGCACTGTCCAGGTTCCTGAATATCTGACACAGCTATTTCCGAACCTGAGCGACCGCAATCTAGCCGTTGCCGTTGCGAAGTATTCTGGTCTTGGAACTCCAATAGAACAGGTCACCGCTATAATGGGAGAAGGTATGTGTCTTGTACCGATATGATTAACGCTGTTTCCTAAGTCTCGTTGCGGCAGCCATATTCGATTGCCCCACTTACTTCTTGCTTCGCGCTTTCAAAGGGAGAGCATTCAAGGCAAGTTCCACACTATTTAGATGCCGTGATCCTGATTCGGTACTCAGGGTCAATTCGCAATCCCACCTGCCAACCATGGGAGCGACATTCCTTATTACTTTCCCTCGTACGATCACTTACAAACGCGTTCAATTCAGTTCTCATTCATTCTCTAGTATAAATGCGAACGGCATTCCTCCCTTCAACAATACCGACTTCGATAAAGCATTTGCCGAGTCTTTCCTTGCCTTCGTCATGTCTCTGGATCCAAACGGGACATTCGAGCCGACTATTACGCCTTCCTGGGAGCCGTTTTCATTCCAGCAAGGTCATCAGGTAGAAATGCGATTCAACAAGACAGAAAGTGACGATCCTGCGGTATTTCCCTTTACTACGCCGGAAGATTTGCTCGATCGATGCTCGTAAGTGCACCTACTTTATTCTTTGTTTTTTTCCTCATTTTTCTTTAGGTTTTGGGAAAGTGTTGGGCCTGAAATAGGGCAATGAATATCTTCGTAAAAGGCTGTTAGTTAGTTAGACATGTCTGTCATTTGTTGCCCAAACATATCACCTTCAAGATGTAATGCCAGTGAATACGTGTCGTGGTAGCTACTATGAACAGTGATCTGGAAAAAGGTGCCGAAGTCAGATGTAAATGCTGGCCCCCATAGTCGGACGTCCCTACATAGGTGGCCGTACTGGCATATGAATGAAGTAAATTGATAGAGGGAGGTGTAAGTACACCTGGTGCACTGTCTCGTCATAAAAAGTGTTTTCAACGACACTGACACCTGTATCTTTAATGAAGTGCGAGAGTTTAAAATTCACGGATGACCCGCGCCGTCGAAATATTCTCACGGAATGTTAGCCACGAACAGTCGATGACCCACAGAAAACGCCTGAGGATGGTAGGCCTAGGGCTTGTAGTTGAGCAAGACCCGGGTTGATTTTGTTCGGGATTCACGGTCACACCGGCCCGATTTTTCCGAGCACCGTTTCTCGACGACGACGACGACGTGCTGTAGTGAGCATCTTTTCAGGGATTGTGGTCTCCAAGGTGGGTGCGAATATTATTATTGCACCCTCGGTATAGCTCAGAGACACATTTCAGGCAACGTCCCCTTCAAGTTCGCCCGTCGCAGCATCTTCCAAATCTGATTGGATGTCCAGCTTTCACAAGCTATTACGCTGGAAGAACATGTTCGTGGGAGCCGTGTTGGGCCAGAACAAATGGTTAGCATGGGGGGACTGAACTCATGGCATGATGGTGAGTATTTCACTACCGTAGTGGTAAGTAAGGCTACCGGTGTCCAACGGAGGGAATGTTTTCTTGGTTTACAATATGATAAGCTAATACATTGCATAGATAATTGCGCAAGGCATCGGTATGCGACCAATGCTCATCGTTTTTGGGACGGTATTGTTTGACAGCTGTTTGCATTCTTCATGAGCTTATTATGGGTACCAACCCCGGAATACGATACTACGATGGTTGTTCCCGGCCCAACTTCGGAACTTTTGGAAGCTATTGTTTTTTCTTTTAATTCAAAGGGGACGGCAGACGCGACATGAAACTTCACCTCTCACTAAGTACTCTGCGGGATTCGGCATCCAGTACTGCTATTAGCCTCAGCCAATGCTCACAGCGATTACCATCACTCCTTCACTAGTGGACTGCTGGTTGCTGTGATCTGTTCTGGTGGGGATCGTGGCCTCTTAGAATTTTCCTTGTGACGTATATCTGCCAGGGCTAAGATGAAAAGGCCCTGAACTTCTACTTCGGACCGAATCCGAATCCGAGACCGAGAAAGACAGAGCGATATAGATTTCTGAGGACGCTTCGAAACTCCTTGTCAGCAGACAAATGGGATCTTGCATATATGCATATATAGTCAAAGACTCTTGTCTTCACCCCAACTAGCGCTGCAATGCTATTTCCAACTCTTCTCATTATTCTTGCCTCAGTTCTCCGACCTTGTGATGCACAGTTGACTCCGGTCGTTGACCTCGGATACGCTAAATATCGGGGAACGCTAGACCCCGCTGGATCCAACAATACTCAGTTTCTAGGGATACGATTCGCTGCACCCCCTACTGGTACGTGATTTGAGAAAATTTCCCATGTAGCGCTGTTCCTAAGGCACCTCTGTTTAGGCTCGTTGAGGTGGCAAGCACCCCGAACACCGGACTTCATTGCGGGCATACAGGACGCTATTGCTAACCCCTCCGGATGTCTTCAGGGTGGAACTGGTGCAGCTTCGAGCAATCCTTTTCCTGCTAACAAAAGAGACACCTTTGCGGCAAATTCTGAAGATTGTCTTTTCTTGAAGTGGGTCACGGACATATTCTTGTGTCTACTGCAACTAGTATTTATCTGTTCTCAGCGTGTTTGTTCCCAGGCAGCTCAGTTCTCGCAGGAACCTACCTGTCGTGGTATGGATACATGGAGGAGGGTATGATGCATTGTTCTTTGTCGAGGAGCCTATCTGACCCTGGTTACAGTTATGTTACTGGCAGCGCCCTCGGGGCCTTCGGGAATGACCTAATCCGTGAAGCTGGCGGCGGAGTCGTCGCTGTGGCTATCCAGTATCACCTAGGCTTATTTGGATTCCTGTCCGGAGAGTCAGTAAAAGCACATGGCACATTAAATGCTGGCCTTCGTAAGTTCTGCATCTCTGTGGTGGGCCCCACTGATATTTATGAGGCAGTTGATCAGCAATTTGCGCTTCAGTGGGTCCAGACACATGTACGCACCTTGCGTTTGTTTTGCCATAGTACTTACCTGCCGCTCGAAGATCGCCAAATTCGGTGGTGATCCAAGCCGAGTTACGATCTGGGGCGAATCAGCTGGTGAACCCTATGTGTTCTATGAACCATCATAATCTAATTCAGTCTTGGTTTAGGTGCTGGCTCTGTTCTTCAGCAAGTTATTGCAAACGATGGGCACACTTCCCCGCCTTTGTTCAGAGCTGCAATAACAAGCTCCACTTTCCTCCCTTCGCAGTATGCGTTTAATGATGTCGTTCCAGAAGTTCGGTGTCTCTCTTAGAATTACGCGAAGTGCTGACATGTATATTCTAGTTTCTGTACAACACCATCGTATCAAGGACGAAGTAAGTCCCCCGATTATAGTCCATGACATTGATCTCTGAAATTTTATGCAAGCTGTACCTCGGCAGCCAATTTGCTCACATGTCTGAGAAATGCGGACGTAAATGTTCTTGAACAGATCAATGTTGACCTTTGTAGCAGCGGGTTTTTCGGCACCTTCGTATTTGTGCCAGTCGTTGATGGTGATTTCATAAAACAAAGGCCGACAGTGGCCATGCGTGAAGGGAAAGTTAACGGTGTAAGCAGATGGCTAATGTTTGGTTCTACAGTTGTCTGATTATCTTTCAAGGAGGTTCTCTTGTCCGTAACAAACACAAATGAGGGGGCACCATTCATCAACCCGGGTACTGTGAACACCGTTCAAGTTCCAGAGTATTTGACCCAGCTATTTCCGAACCTGAGCATTCAGAATCGTGACATAGCCGTGACAAAGTATTCTGGTCTTGGAATTCCAATCCAGCAGGTCGCCGCCATAATGGGAGAATGTATGTCTTGTACCTATCTAATTAATGCTCTTTCCTGATTCTTGTTGTGGCAGCCATATTCGTTTGCCCCACTTACTACTTGCTTCGCGCTTTCAAAGGGAGAGCATTCAAGGCAAGTTCAACGGTGCTCTGACCGCATTGATATTGAATACCATATACTCATTGGCAGGGTGAATTCGCGATTCCACCTGCCACTCATGGAGCAGACGTCCATTATTACTTTCCCTCGTACGGTCACTTACGAACACGGTCAATTCAATTCTCATTCATTCTCTAGTATAAATGTGCCAGACGGCGTTCCCCCCTTCAACAATACTGACTTCTATAAAGCGTTTTCCGAGTCTTTCCTTGCCTTCGTCATGTCTTTGGATCCAAATGAGACATTCGAGCCAACTATTACGCCTTCCTGGGAGCCATTTTCGTTCCAGCAAGGTCATCAGGTAGAAATGCGATTCAACAAGACAGAAAGTGACGATCCTGCGGTATTTCCCTTTACCACGCCGGAAGATTTGCTTGATCGATGCTCGTGAGTGCTCGTACTCCATTCCTTGATCGTTCTCACCTTTTTTCAGGTTTTGGGAAAGTGTTGGGCCTGAAATAGGACAATGAATATCTTGGTTGAATATCATTAGTTAAACGTAGCTGTAGCTTATTGCCTAAGCACCTTCAAGATTTCTGCCCCCACCGAAGCACTCCTCTACGCCATGAATATAGTACTCATTATGGTAGAAAACGACATCTGAGCAATGAGCACTGAAAATCAACTGCGGCAGATCATCCTCAAGTATCTGATCGTTAACTGTTCGTTGCTGACATGCTTTGGGAACAATTCTGAGACATAGAGTAGCAGTGGATTTAAAACTCCATGCTTCACTAGAAAAGACAGGCGTCACATTGAAGACGCATTTTATGACAATTAGGCGCCAAGTCCTTCCACCAGATGTTTATACACTCGTCCTAATTAATTTAAGTTATTCATATACAAGTACAGCTTCGTGTGTAGTGACGTCCGACTGTGGAACCGGCATATATCTGGCTTCTGCATCTTTTTCCAGTCGCTTGGATCACTTACCCGTTCGTAGTAGAGCAGGCCCCGGAGATGGTCACATGCCCGGTCGCATCGGCCCGATTGTTCCAAGCGCCGCTTGTCTTCGACAACACAGCGCTGTAATGTACATCCTTGGTACATCCTGTATGGGCCAGTGAGATGGGATCTGGTGAGACAGGCTGCCAGAGCCTGTATAATTTTGGCGTCTCACTGGTCAAATCTACGTTTCCAGGTAGTCTCCCCTTCGCCTGCTGCTGTATCTTCAAATTCTGATTGGATGCCTAGCTTTCAAAATTCACAGATTATTACACTGGAAGGTGGGAGTCATGTCGGGCTAGAATAGGCGTTTAGCACGGAGGGAGAACTCACTGGAATTTTTGCGAGTATTTCGCTACCGCAGTGGCAAGTAAAGCTGTCGGTGTCCCACGGCTGGGACATTTTCTTGTTTTACATTATGATAAGCTAATACATTGCACAGGGCAGAGATATTAGACAGCCAATGCTCGTCACTTTTTAGACGGTGTTTGCGTTCTTCAGCTTACAAGGCCCAACCAACCACAGAATACGATACTACGAGGGTTGTTCCCGGCCAAATTTCGGAACTTTTGGAAGCCATTGACGCGTCACGCGTTAGGATCATCATTTTTTCGAACTTGATTCTAAGCGGGCCGAACAGCAGACGCGACGTGAAACTTCACCTCTCATCCAGCATCCAGTACTATTACCCTCGGCCAATGCGCACGGTGATTACTATCACTCTATCTTTCGCCGGTGGACTGCTGGTTGTTGGGGATCAATTTCGGTGGGGTCTCATAGGATTTTCATTGCGACGTATATCTAACGAAGGCTAAGATGAAAAGGTCCCGAACCCCTACTCCGGACCGAGAATGACAGAGAGATGTAGATTTCTGAGGACGCTTCGAAACTCCTTGTCAGCAGACAAATGGCATGACCGGCTACCCTGGGATCGGCTCTGCATATATAGTCGAAGACATAGCACAAAACACCTGGTCTTCGCCCCAACTGCCACTACAATGTTGCTGCTAACTCCTGTTCTCATTCTTGCTTCAGTTCTCCTATCTTGTTGGGCCCAGTCGACTCCGGTCGTTGACCTCGGATACGCCAAGTATCGAGGAACATTGGATCCCGCTGGATCCAACAATACTCAATTTCTCGGGATACGATACGCTGCACCCCCCACTGGTGATTTGAGGGCTCTTCCTATGTAGCACCATTCCCAATGTACCTCTGTTTAGGCTCCTCGAGGTGGCAAGCGCCCCGAACTCCGGACTTCGTGGCAGGCATACAGAATGCTACTGCCGAACCCTCCGGATGTCTCCAGGCAGGGTCGGGTGCAGCTTCGAGCAATCCTTTTCCTGCTAACAAAAGAGACACCCTTGTTGCTCCAAATTCTGAAGACTGTCTGTTCTTGAAGTAAGTCACGGACATATTCTCGCGTCTATTGTTGCTGTTAATAACACTGTAATTTATTGGTTCTCAGCGTATATGTTCCCGGGCAGCTCGGTTCTCGCAAGAACCTACCTGTCGTGGTATGGATACATGGCGGAGGGTATGGTGCCTTGTTCGGTGTCGAACACTCCATCTGACCCTGATTTCAGTTACGTTGCCGGCAGCGCCAGTGGGTCTACTGGGAACGACCTAATCCGTGAAGCTGGCGGCGGAGTCGTCGCCGTGCTTATCCAGTATCGCCTAGGCTTGTTTGGATTCCTGGCGGGAGAGTCAGTAAAAGCAAATGGCGTGTTGAATGCTGGCCTTCGTAAGTTCTGTCTGCGGTTAGGCACACGCTGATGTGTATGAGGTAGTGGATCAACAGTTTGCGCTTCAATGGGTCCAGACACATGTACGCACCTCGCGTTTGTTTTGCCATAGTACTTACCTGCCGCTCGAAGATCGCCAAGTTTGGTGGTGATCCAAGCCGAGTTACGATCTGGGGCGAATCAGCTGGTGAACCCTACGTGTTCTATAAACCATCATAATCTAATTCAGTCTTGGTTTAGGTGCTGGCTCTGTTCTTCAGCAAGTTATTGCCAATGATGGGCACACTTCCCCGCCTTTGTTCAGAGCTGCAATAACAAGCTCCACTTTCCTCCCTTCGCAGTATGCGTTTAATGATGTCGTTCCAGAGGTTCGGTATCTCTCTTTGAATTACACGAAGTGCTGACATGTATGTTCCAGTTTCTGTACAACACCGTGGTATCAAGGACGAAGTAAGTCCCCCGATTATAGTGCGTGGCATTGATCTCTGAAATTTTATGCAAGCTGTACCTCGGCGGCTAATTCACTGACGTGCCTGCAAAATTCTGACGCAAGTCTTCTTGAACAGATCAATGTTGACCTTTGTAGCAGCGGGTTTTTCGGCACCTTCGTATTTGTGCCAGTCGTTGATGGTGAATTCATAACACAAAGACCGACAATAGCTATGCGCCAAGGAAAAGTTAACGGCGTAAGCTGATGGCCCATCTTTGGTCCGACTTCTGTCTGATTATCTTTCAAGGAGGTTCTCATGTCTGTAACAAATACAGACGAGGGTGGACCATTCGTCGATTCGAGTACGGCAGGCACCGTTCAAGTACCAGATTATTTGACGCAGCTTTTCCCGAGCCTGAGCGTTCAGAATCGTGACATAGCCGTTGCAAAGTATTCTGGTCTTGGAGCTCCAATCGAGCAAGTCGCCGCTATAATGGGAGAGTGTATGTGCTACTAGCACCTGTGTATTCAGCGCTGGTAGCTGTTTCCTGACGCACCTTGTGACAGCCATATTCGTTTGTCCGACTTACTTCTTGCTTCGTGGCTTCAATGGTAGAGCATTCAAGGCAAGTTCAGCGACACTCTGATCGCACAGATATTGAGTATCGTATACTTAGGGTCAATTCGCAATTCCACCTGCCACCCACGGAAGCGACGTTCCTTATTATTTCCCCTCGTACGTTCATTGACAAACGTGTTCAGTTGTATGCTCATCCATTCTCCAGTATAAATGCGAACGGCGTTCCCCCCTTTAACAATACCGACTTCGACAAGGCGTTTTCCGAGTCTTTCCTTGCCTTCGTCATGTCTCTGGATCCAAATGAGACGTTCGAGCCTACGATTACACCTTCCTGGAAGCCATTTTCGTTCCAGCAAGGTCATCAGGTAGAAATGCGTTTCAACAGAACGGAAACCGGCCAACCTGCAGTATTGCCCTTTACCACGCCGGAAGATCTGCTTGATCGATGCTCGTGAGTGCACGTACTCCATTGCCTGATCTTTCTCATGTTTTTTTTTTCAGGTTTTGGGAAAGCGTTGGATCTGAAATAGGACAATGAATATCTTCGTTATTTAGTTGGACGTGTCTGTAATTTGTTGCCAAACGTCATTTATTCAAATCAAACGTCGACCTTCTCTTCTACCTGTCGAAGCACATTCTAGTCGGCCGACGTTTCTTCTACATGGATACACACTGTAGTGGAAGACGGACCGACTGTGTGATCCACCATACCACCTGGACCGTACGCTGAACACGACAGTAATGAAACACTATAAAAGTCAAATCAGGCAATGCAAAGCACGTTTTCCCGGCTGGCAGGGTTGCGGTTCCTCGCGTCGAATCCAGCATACACGGCAGGATAGTCGTGTGCCTGAAGGTGAGCGAGGATAGGAATGATGAGGTAGGATGATTTTCTGTTCCTGGTAACCGTGCTTACGAGCAGATTGTCGCCGTCAAGAGTGTAGGTATGATAATGTAGGGGATGGATTCTTCCATCCTTCCAGTACGTACGGCGAGATACAGCATGTTTGAAGATGTATTACCCTTCAGAGGTCTCCACGAATTAATGGAAGGTGTAATGAGAATATATTGACAGCGTCGCCGGACGTGGACGTAGATGATGGAGAAAGACAAGGAATTTGTTTTAGGATGTGACGTAATTGTTAGAAAATTACATAATGGGCGTAGTAGCGGTTGACTCGGACCGACGGACTTCAGCACCAATTCAGCACGACAACTTGCCAGCTAACCTTGGAGGTGACTCATCCCATTAACATGGCGAACCAGAGTTTTCCCCTTTGACGCAACAATAGCTGGTTTGCCGTCTTCCAGATGCCGGATCCATTCTAATTTCTACAGCAAATAATCGCAAATGACGCAGAAACCGAACAGCCCTTATTCAGGACCTCCATCGCTAGTTCAAGTTTCTTGCGTCTTAGTACCTGGTACGCATATAATGATGCTATTCTTGAGATCTGTCTGTTTCCACCGGTACCCCCGCCCGAACACCGACGATGCTCTAGTCATTATCGGTATGCTTCACATCGATACTCCGAGACTATGAAGCAATAGATGATCCCAGGACACAACACTACAAAGGTAGTTTCCGGCCAAATTTCGGAACTTTTCGAAGTCGTAGACGCGTTACGCGTTAGGGTTGTCAGGACATGAAAACTTCACCTCTTCGCCTCTCACTGCTCTGCGGATTTAGCTTCCAGTGCTGTTACTACCTGGACCAGCGCTCACATCGATTACTATTGCAGTTTCACTGGTACGACTACTGGGTATGTGGGATCAGCGGCTGTGGTGGAGACTCGTAGACTTTTCCCGCGACATATATCTTTCAAAGGCTAAGATGAAAAAGCCCCGAGCTCCTACTTCGGACCGACTTAAACGACGCTTCAAAGCCCCTTGTCAGCAGACAAATGTCATGACCAACGGTTCCGGGATCTGCGCTGCATATATAGTCAGAGACGTAGGACATAACACGTCGTCTTCGCCCAAACTGCTACCACAATGTTATTTCAAGCTTTTCTCCCTATTCTTGCTTCAATTCTCCAACCTTGCGGGGTACAGTCGGCTCCGGTAATTGACCTCGGATACGCCAAATATCGAGGAACGTTGGATCCCGCTGGATCTAATAACACCCAATTTCTCGGTATACGCTTCACGGCACCTCCTACTGGTGCGTGATTTAAGGACTCTTCCTGTATAGCGCTTTTCCCGACATACCTCTGTCTAGGCTCGTTGAGGTGGCAGGCACCCCGAACACCGAGCTTCGTCCCAGGTATACAGAACGCTACTGCAGAACCCGCCAGATGTCTTCAAGGCGAGACAGGCCAAGGACCCAGTAATACTTTTCCTGCGGACAAAAGAGACACCCCCGTTGCAGATTCTGAAGACTGCTTGTTCTTGAAGTAAGTCACAGGAATATTCTGGTGTTTATTGTGGCTGTTATTTATCAGTTCTCAGCGTATATGTTCCCGGGCAGCTCGATTCTCGCAAAAACCTACCTGTCGTGGTATGGATACATGGAGGAGGGTATGTTGTTTTATTCTCTATCGAAGAGCCTCTCTGAGTGTGGCTACAGTTATGATGTCGGCGGCGCGAATGGATTCTCCCGTGGACCCGACGCTTTCAACGGAAACGACCTAGTCCGTGAATCCGGCGGGGGAGTCATTGCCGTGGTTACACAATATCGTTTAGGTATGTTTGGATTTCTGGCCGGAGAGTCCGTGAAAGCACATGGCGCGTTGAATGCTGGTCTTCGTAGGTTCTATGTCTCTGCTTAGGCTTGCATTGATATGTATGAAACAGTGGATCAACAATTTGCCTTTCAGTGGGTCCAGAAACACGTGAGCTGTTCTCCCTTAGGCGTTTGCTTTGAACTCGTACTTACCGATTACTCGTAGATCACCAAGTTCGATGGGGATCCAAGCCGAGTCACTATCTGGGGCGAATCAGCCGGTGAGAATTCCGTGTGTTTTATAAACTATCATAGTCTGATTCAATCGTGTTCTAGGTGCTGGCTCTGTTCTTCAACAAGTTATTGCCAACGATGGCAGGACTTTCCCGCCCTTGTTCAGGGCTGCAATAACAAGCTCTAGTTTCCTCCCTTTGCAGTATGCTTACAACGACGTAATTCCGGAGGTTCGGTATCTCTCACTTAGAATCATACAAGGTATTAACACGTGTGTTTAGTTTCTGTACAACACCGTGGTGTCAAGGACGAAGTAAGCGCTCCGCATTGTAGTCCATGACATTGGTCTCTAAAATTCTATGCAAGCTGTACCTCGGCAGCCAATTCGCTGACATGCCTAAGAAACGCCAACGTAAATGTCCTTGAACAGATCAACATTGACCTTTGCGTCAGCGGATTTTTTGGCACCTTCGTATTTGTGCCAGTTGTTGACGGGGAATTCATAAGGCAAAGACCGACAATAGCTATGCGCGAAGGAAAAGTTAACGGGGTAAGCTGAGGGCCTATCTTTGGTCCGACTTCTGTCTGATTATCTTTCAAGGAGGTTCTCATGTCTGTAACAAATACAGACGAGGGTGGACCATTCGTCGATTCGAGTACGGCAGGCACCGTTCAAGTATCAGATTATTTGACGCAACTTTTCCCGAGCCTGAGCATTCAGAATCGTGACACAGCCGTTGCAAAGTATTCTGGTCTTGATTCTCATGTCCGTTACAAATACAAATGAGGGAGGACTGTTCGTCGACTCGAGTATTGCCGGCACTGTTCAAGTTTCTCAGTATCTGACACAGCTATTTCCGAACCTGAGTTCTCAGCATCGTGATGTCGCCGTTACAAAGTATTCTAGTCTTGGAACACCAATCGAGCAGGTCACCGCCATTATGGGAGAGTGTACGTATGGTACAGGCTTTATCATCAACATTGTTTTCTGACTCTGGTCGCGGCAGCGATATTCGTCTGTCCCACGTACTTCTTGCTTCGCGGTTTCCTAGGGAGCTCATTCAAGGTTGTTCAAAGTTCAACCACTTTATATATATACTGACATTCAGCAGGGTCAATTCGCCATCCCACCCGCCGGCCACGGAGACGACGTTGCCTATTACTTTCCCTCGTACGTCCGTTCCCATAACCTGTTTAGTTGTGTGCTTATCCATTTTCTAGTATGAATGCGAACGGCGTTCCCCCTTTCAACAATACGGACTTTGACAAGGCATTTGCCGAGTATTTCCTTGCCTTCGTTATGCCTTTAGATCCGAATGAGACATTTGAGCCGACTATCACACCTGCCTGGAAGCCATTTTCGTTCGAGCAGGGTCATCACGTAGAGATGCGGTTCAACAAGACTGCAACCGACCATCCCGCCATATTTCCCTTTACCACGCCAGAAGATCTGCTCGATCGATGCTCGTGAGCACTTGTACCTGCTCCGCACCTTGATCTTTCTCACATTTTTTTTAGCTTCTGGGAAAGTGTTAGTCCTGAAATAAGGCAATGAATATCTTCGTCAAGGGGCGTTAATTAGTTAGGAGTGTCTATCATTTGTTGCCCAAACGTATCGACCGTTCCTGCCCTCTATCGAATCATTTTCTAGACGGTCGACGCCTCTTCTACATAATGAATACGCGCTGCCGTGGGAAACATCATCCGCTCTACTACGAATCGACAGTGATCTAACATGCCTCCTGGACCGCATGCTGAACGCCAGAGTAAGCACACATAGGACCCTGTAGAAGCTTAAGTCAAATTACCTAGAAGACCCAGAGATGGAGATTCAATCTCGCCAACATTTAGAGCTTGAGAGGTAAGCTCCTCCATGCGTGGTCGCCCAAAGCGTACTCTAGGTATCCACGGTACCCACAGAGACGGAGCAGCGGAGGCTTCCGCATGGGCTTCCAAATCTTCCTCCTGACCAGTATACCATATCTCGACTGATTCTTTGGCCTCGCCATCAAGGCTCTCCAGGAGGTCCAAAACACTATCTACCTCCATCAGAGACCTGACAATCCACACTGCACGTAATTTTGGCTTGTTTTCTCGCAACGCGACAATGGTAGACCAATTTAAGAGGTAAGGCAGTGTGAAGCTGATCCCAACGCCCCCAGCCAGTAACAAAACAGAAGTATGTTCTTTAAGGTCGTGCTCGTGTCCATATGGACCTTCCATGTAAACCTTAACGGAAATCGATCTATTGACGCTCTCCTTCGCTGCCAAGAGTTCGTACAGCGGCCGAGTCATTCCATCATAAGGGCGAATGATGAACGAAACGGCTTTGTGCGACGAACACTCGGTTCGTTCTTCCGACGGAATAAGGGGACTCCATTCCGTATCATGAGTCCTGTTTCCATGTTTATAACCGGAGACTTTGCCCTCGACGCTATCACAATGATTATTTGCAGCGATGGAAAAGGGATGACTTTCCATGTACCTCACTTCTGGGAAGCGGAGGTGCGCGAATTGTCCTGGGCGAATTCTGACATCCTTTGGAAGGTAGACATCTAGTCTCATGACGGTTCCATAATCCGTTAGAGTTCCGGAGAGAGGGAGTAAGCTGGTAACCTTGAATGCGCGGGAGAGTCTGTCGATGGCCCAATAGAGGATAGTGATGTACAGCCATTCATTGGCGAATCGCCAGAGCGTGTGGTAGAACAGAACGACCAAACATACGACTGTGGACAATACGTGACCCACGAGGAAAACCTCGTAGGACATACGGCGGATGAACCTCGCGGAAGGGAAAGACGACAGGACGAGATACATTGCGAGGGCAACAAAACCACAATTCCAATATAGTTTCGAGAAGTTCACCCATAATCGTCCTACGTCAAGCAAGTTAACATTGCCAGGCCTCGAAAGTACAAGGATATTATACGACTCACCAACTAGATGAGCATATACGAGATAGAGAACCGTGTGGAGGACTGCAAATACCAATGCAAGTCTTCCTATCCACCGATGAAAAATATTCCACGAATCGTAGGACCAATGGGTCATCCAGACTAAGAAGTTCATCCGGCCCGCGGTCAACATGAGCAACGGCATGAGGACAAAAGACATCACCCCAAGCCGCGTTGCGATATAGCGAATAAACCACGCAGTGGGTGGAACGTACTCCGGGTTACTTGGGTGTCTGAAGCCATAACCAAAGACCGAGAAGAATGTCAATAAGAGGGTGAAGGAGGAAAGGGCGACGAGTTGGCTGAAAGTTGGTATGGTGACTCCGAGTTTCTTGAAGATATTATATGCTTGTATATGATGTCGTGGATATTGGGAAGGTCGTAGTTGGGATATTAGTCGTGAGGAGGATATGTATTGTCGAAGTGGTGTCCGGATGATGATGCCACGTAGAAATACGACGAGGAAAAAGATCGCATGAATTATAAGTCTGCTATCTTTGAGCCGACGTTGCCTGCAGAATATTGGATGGACATACCCAATCAATAGGTTCAAGTGCCTCTGGTAACGTAGCTGAAGGATTATCTCCTTGACGCCATCCCTGGGAGCTTTCGCATCGGGTCGAAAAATCTCAGCGTCCAAGGCGGACATCAAGTCATGGAATCTTGGAATAAAGCCAACGGTTCTACGAGGGAGAATAAAGAGTCGAGTTGGTCGAAGAATGGCCAGTCTTTATCTGATAAGATGCTCCTACCAGGTAAGTAGGATCGTATCAGATTAAGTTCCCGACAATCTCCGATAGCCGCCAACTCATCCGAGATGTCCCTTTTAGTCCCAACCTCGAGTAAACTCCCTGGACATGGCCTTTTCGCTGGGCTGAGAACAAGTATTTCAGATCATATTGAGGGTTTTAAAGTCCTTCCAGTGGCCTTTGGGCCTGGGCTTTGTACCAGAGTTGTCCTGTTTCAGCTCTTGCAGTCAGCTGTAGCGTGTGAAAACACTTTTTGCAGTGCAAAATGGACCTGGCTACGGTATGCCTTTTTTCCTCTAGAATAACATCTCATTATTGTCTGAACGAAATCTGTCATAGCAACGTGAACCGTGAAACCCACGTAACGCGTGGTCTGGTCTGATCAAACGGGACCAATAATGATCGATATCAACCCTCCAGATTCGATCGTCCACAAAAGTAGACTTGGAATTCTATCTCTAGAAGACCGAATGAAATTCAGAGCTGCCAGTGTGAAAGTTTTTAGCTCCCTGGACCGCTAATTCCTTGACTTGTGTATAAACTCGCGTCGTTCTTGGGTCTATTGACCTTATGATCTTAGAAGGTCTTTACTGGTCTTGCAGCCGCAGTGACTGCACGAACATCATAAGGGCAAATCTTCCGCAGTCATTCCAACTTCTGCGTCGATCAAATATCAAGGTTCAACATTGGTAAGATTAGACGCCTTGCTTTCCTGGTATATATTTACGAGGAAGGATATGTATTTTGGACATTAAATAAAGGGGTCAGGGTATTGGCGCTCGTTCCTGAATGCGGTATATATAAACCTTGTGTTGGTCGTCAAAGGAGGGCATCTCCTTTCTTTCCGACCTCCCCCGTCTTTCGCTGTTGAAAAAAATGCAACGTTTATCACTCTTTTTTGTCACTGTCGCTGGCCTCCAAGGTAAGGCAATAAATTTATTCGGACTTCACATCTTTATCATTGATCATACAGGGGCACTCGGACAAACCTCTCTTTATGTTCCCGGCTTTGACTCTCAGGCTTTGAGTGTCGAAGTTGCTGGTGTGGCTGACGGCCACACTACATTTCTCATTCAGCCCGGGTCGGATGCCACTGATGGATTTGTCGGCACAGGTATTCGTTCCGCTGTTTTTTTGTTGATATTGTTACTCATGCTTCCAAAGCCACCCTCGTCGAAGGCTCAGATTACGCTTCTTTGACCTATGTCGCCCCAGACGCGACTTCAGGCTTCACAGTCGGCTACGAATGTTCCATCGCTGCCGGCGTCGCCGTTTGCTCAGGTGTAGCTGATGGTGTTACAATCTTGGAAACGGAGACTGTGTCTGCGTTTTCGGTTGAAGGTGGAGCCACCTCTACGGCCGCTGGTACCGTAGCCACCGGGTCCTCTCATTCTGGATCATCCTCAGCGACAGCTAAGGCCGGATCTGGCAGCTCCAGCGGTACTGCTACGTCGACCGGTACCTCTGCCGCCGCCTCGTCGACCCATTCGAACTCCAGCAGCGCTATCTCTGCATCGTCGCAGACCGTTATGGGAGCAATGGGAGTGCTTTTGGGTCTTATGTCGATGTTGTAATTGAACGATGTTCTGATTCATCGTAACTCATCGTCCCTCGTTACCGACGTCGTTCGTTTATCCTATTGGTTTTCATATGTTACGCGCTCTTTGGAACCGTAATAGCTCATTGCAACTTTTTCGTACAAAATTTTGAAGCTCCTTTTCAGATCGGTCTTCCGGCCGAGTGCACGACGATCGCGACGTCGCGTCTTTAATTACGCACTTGGCTGACAAGGCCCCCATTCTTGGCCTGGGCAAGTGGGCACATGCACTTGAATGTTTCATGCTTGGGCAAGGCAAAAGGGTAGCCGATGTCTTTCAAGCTGACGTTGAGCGCTTGAACTATAAGCGTAAGTAAAGCGACGTATTAAAAATATCCGATGATGCCGTCAGCAAGTCTATTTTTAGTTAAAGGTAAGCCAAAATGTCGCGGAAGGAAAAAAAAGAATTGACGATCTTCTGAGTGTGATAACTCTGTCTTCTGAGGCCTTCTGTCACCAGTGTGCTAGAACTATCCCTGAGTGGAAACATTTCGAAATCGTCCGAAAGGTCCGAATCACCGGCGACGTCCGCCGAACGGTGATGTGGCTTGGAGCTGTGCAGCCGTGATGCCAGTTGAGCAGAACAGCACCTTTCTGCACTTGACCACCATCAAGAATTACTTGCATTCCCGTGGCCAAGGTACAGTATGCTTCTCAGTTTCTGCGGTGTACGGCGCGAATATTCGGGCCCGTGGACGGCGAATCTGGCTTGTTCTGGGGTCTGCCTCGAGGAAAACACGTTCTGATCTATTGATAACCCGGTGATTACTCAGGAAAAAAGCTCGATCGCTGTCCAATCTCCCTCTGCAACCCAATCAACAGTCCACCGTGGATCTCCGGCCAGTCGATATAAGCTGTTAGGCAGGGAAAAAACTTCTCTTTCTCTCGTCGTGAATTCTACACATCCTTACTGTCTTCATTTCCGCCAAGGCCGGCAGACGCTTCTTTACCGCTTATAAAAGGCCCCTACCGTTAACAGCTTGTTCATCGATCTTTGTCTCTTCACGTCTTTGTCGCTGCATGCGACGTTCCCGACATTTCTAGCATGTCACACTACACCGCGGACCCAGTGGTTGTACAAGAGTACAAGAATTCGCAAACTCGGGTCTTGGGTTGGGTGACGGGAACTGCAGGTGCTGAATTTTACTCGCCCAACGCACCACCAACCGAGTTGGATGAGGACGAGAGAATTCCGGGGTCGCCTGTTTCCGATGCTTGGAGCTCTATCTCAGTACCTCCGAGATTGAAGCTACGCTTTACAGACGGTCGCCCGGACCAACCTATTCCCAATCCCCAACGTGATGCTGCGAAAGGACGCAAATCTAGCACAAGGCATGGTGGAAATCATGACGGTACAAAGTCGTTCTCGGGGCGAAGTCGACATGGACAAATAGAGCAGCTGCCCTCTCAATCCCCCGAAGAGATTCAAATCCTGCCTTCGCAGTACACTGCTGACCCAGTACCAACACGTCCCGTTTCGCATCAATCGCGATCGCGTTCTCTTCCTAGGAATACATTTTCCCAAACGCATACCGACGCTCCTCCTCCACCAATTCCGAATCCTCAGGTGCCCTTCTATCCTCCATCGATGGCATCTTTCCATGGTCCGCAGGTCAAATTTACGCAGTCTCAGCCGGTTCCTTCCAGGCATGGGTCTGCTATCCACCATAAGCGCACTCCCCCCGCTATTGTTTACGCCCCCTCTGGTCCCTTTCACGCCAATTATCAGCCACCTGTCATCTACAACTACATGCCGAATGTCGGTCCGAACGGAATGGTATATAGCCATTCGGCTCCCGTTAAGCACCAGGCCCCCCACTATCCTCCCTCTAATGCGACTCCTTATCCGTACTGATGATCACCTTTCTCAAGTTAGTCGAGAACGAAGTCATCATCGGAACAGGATCCGCGCCTCTGAGGCGCACGGCATCCTTTGCGGCGAGTGATGAGTCCGGGAGCACATATTATGTGATCCCAACGGGGAAGCAAAAAGTGCATGTTATCGTGAGTCATTCCCATCCTCCACATGATGTGTGATCCTGACCCATCCGCCTATAGCGTCCGGGGGATACCACCGTTTATGGCTCCTCGCGATCACCTCCGTCTTCTAGATCTCCTACGTCCACCAAATCACCTGCATCTTCTAAATCCCCCGTGTCCCCCATGTATCCCAGTCCGATTCAGAAGAAACCATTTCTTCAACGGCTGTTCAGCCTGGCGCCACGGCTGTCGTTCTCATCCGCCAGCTCTGGCAAAGGCTCTACTCATACCAGTCGGCGCCTTCAACGGCGCCATTCCACAGGTACCCGATCCCAACGATCGAACAACACCAGATGACATTTTTCATCTTCTTATACATGAGGTTATCTATTCTATAAAGTTTTATAATGTTCGTTCAAATCTCTTTATCATCTTTGGATTTCTTCCGTTTCACTTCCGGCACGTTTCCTTCTTGCATGAAAACTTTCTTCACCCCCTCGGCATTTCTCATGTAGCGCTCCACTCGACATCATCAAAAAGTGTATGAATCCTCAGTTACGACTGTACCGGTTGTCCTATTATCTATTCCTTACTTAATATGCCTGCCTCCGAATATCACGATACACATCTTTTTGACATTAGAATCTGCCACGGCGTACTATAATTTCGGATGTGGCAAATGTTTAGGCCCTTCAATGAAGGGCTCGACCGCGACGTACATAATTCCCTCACTCTTGTTCGGGCGGAGAGAAAACCTGCACGTGTTGTTAATGAAGAGACCCTACTACTGCCAGAGCGACCACCATCATTCTCAGCTGTGACAGGGCAGAAGGCTGTCTCGCAGGCACAGGTTCTTGCCGGCTAGGATTTTCACTCGCCACGGTACGTATACTCGAACGTTTTTCATCGAGAGTGGAAGGGCCAAGCCCAGTCCGGAGGCGGCAGAGCACTGAATGATTGCTTGCGATCAGACTCTGATGACGTGCTCCCTCTCGAGGTGATAAAAGTCTTAAAGACCAGGTGACAGACCTTGAAATTTTGATGGCAATGCGACTCTGCGAGACGATCCAGGGGACGTAGTATGTACCATTGGTGAGAAACTCTTCCTTCACGAACCTTCTGACTCAAAAGTTCAACCAATGTACTATAGGGAATTCCATTGCTACCGCGGATAGCCAATCTCGTGCTCTGATGGGCGTCTGAACTCATCTTTGCGCAATACAATTTTTTCCCGTGGAATGTGGTTCGCGAAGCTTGATATTGCGTGCTTTGCGGAGAATGTTGCGCGAGACACGCAATAGTAAGTCGCCGATTGGCATTTCAAACTGGTTTAGTATAATACAACTGAGACGCTGAGAAAGAAGGATAGACAATTGCTCCTATTCATCACCTTGTTCGTAGAATGTCCGCCACGCTCACTGTCACTGATACCGCCCCTGCCTCGCCGCCTCCGCTTCCTAGATGGGAAGCACCGAAAGTGACTGAGGCGGAGGTGGAATGGGCCGACATACTTACAGTTGATCTCTCGCTGTATGATACGAATAAGAGCGAGCTTGTCAAGACTGTTGAGAAGGCACTCAGTCGCGACGGTTTCTTCTATGTTGTTGGCCATGGCATTTCACCTGAAACTGTGAGTACTGTTGCTCTCGTGTTTTCATGATCGGTTGCTCACTAGCTGCGTTACTGATCGTTTTGTTAGTTGAATCGTCAGTTCTCCATTGGCCAATTGACTTTTGACGGAGTGTCCCGAGAGGCGAAGGAACGACACAGGGCTCCGATCAAGGAGGAAGGCTCGTTTATTGGCTATAAGGTTCGTTCTATTCATCAGTGGAAGACCTGATCGTCCGTTGTTCACCATCATCACAGTTACAAAATTACTGGGAGATTAAAGATGGTGTACGAGACAGAATAGAGCATTACAACTTTTACCTGGGCCAGTAAGTCTGTTTTGCTACTTGGCTCTGCACATGATCTCTGAATCTTTTTTTCTTAGGATAGACCCGACGAGTCGACACCCGAAGCCTTTACAGCCTTACGTCCCAGAAATTAAGGCCTATCTAGATGTACGTTACTTTCTCTTCTCGTAAACTTCACCGTTTGTCTCACATACACTCATCTCATCTTACAGGAAACCCGGGAAAAGGTGTTGCGACGTGTCCTTAATCTCATCGACGGTGTTCTCGGTCTAGAAGAAGGTTATTTGTGGAAGCTCCACAAGGATACCGACGGGAATACTGGTCATGATGTACGTCATTTTATCTCAAAGGTCGTTTTTTGGCTTATGATTCTCGAAATTCAGCTTCTCCGATATATGATTTATGACCCTCTGACGAAGGATGAGTCCGCAAAGACAAACGGCGTGATGCTGAACGGGCATACCGATTTCAACAGCATCTCCACGCTCGTGTCCCAACCTATCACCGCACTCCAAGTCCTCATGCCTGACAATGTTTGGCGATACGTCAAACACAAAGACAATGCGCTTGTCATCAATATTGGCGATCAGCTATCCTTCATGAGCGGCGGTATCCTCAAGGGAACAATGCATCGAGGTTTGCTGTGTTCGTAATTGCCTCACCCATCGTTATACTTATCCGTGGTATAGTGGTCAGTCCTCCCGAGGATCAGCAACAGAAACGCAGGCTCGGTGTCTTCCATTTCGCCCACTTCCTTAATGACATCCCTCTCGACCTGCTGCCATCGAAGAAGGTCCACGAGGAGGGTCATGTCATTTTCCACGACCAAATTCCCACCACTGACGGGTAGGCTTTTCATTTTGGTGCGCAGCAATGTCGTCTGACATCTTGCAGGTGGGAGACGGCCCGTATCAAAAGCTACGGCACCGGTACGTTCATCAAGGGAGAAGAATATGATGTGGAACTTCTAGCAGGTATCAAGGTATGTTGGATGCTTCTTTCCTTCACGGAAAATATTCACCGCTTTTCATTAGATTCGTCACTATCACTGAACGGACCCCGATCAAAAATATACCCTGCAACGTTCCCGGTTGTCTTGCTAGCATAGAAGTGTACTTATCCAGACTCGTGTACTTTTTATTTTGTACTATCCGTAACAAGTAAATCATCAAAAGTCTTGGTGCGATGTCATCACGCGTGAAGCTTGGAAGGCTTGGCGTATCCCAAGCCATACGGAGCGTATATGTAATTTCCTGCCTTCAGCCTCCTCCGGCTTTGCTTAGTTTTGCTTCCGTTTTGGCTGTTCGTCGCACCTCTAGGTCACAAATCACACTTTTGTGACCCGACGTGTGCTCATCCGCCGGCAGTTCCCTTTGTACTCTTCTGCCCGAATCCAGAACAACTGCTGCCAGCGACGCGGTCTGTCGACGAATCCTCGGGCTTTGCTGTGATTTTGTATCTCCTCGCTTCCTAGCTCTCCTCACCACCGGGGCCTCTGAATATCTGGAGGTTAAATGGTGGCGAGTTGTACACATACCGCCCAAGGTCAAGATGAATGCTGATGGTAGCCCTTTAAAGAGCAAGATTATCCCAACACGAAATGCTGCAAAGAAAGCCAGCTCGAGTTTCTCTAGCCAACTGGATGACTCTCCAGTGAACTCCGAGGACGAATATGAACGGCCGGCGCGACAGCGAAGAGGTACGGGACGAGGAAAGGGAAGAGGCGGTGGAAGTCGAAGAGGTCGCGGCAAATCCACTGTGCCTACAGCATCGACATCGACTCGTATACAGACTCAGGGAGCGGCCGGTCCCGAATCGTCAGACGCTCATCACTCATCTACGTTGTCGACGTCAAAGAAAAAACGTTCGTTCGCGTTCTCTGACCTGTCGGATGCTGATGAGTCTCCGCTATCTTCTGTTCCCACCACACCTGTGAAGCGGTCCACGTCGTTTCACAAGGCAAGCCGTTCAAAGGCAGCCTTGACCAGGTCTTTGTCGTCAGTGAGCAGGCTTTCCACCTCGTTCGAGATGCCGTGGTCTCTCGATGGCCTTGGAAATTACGTATGGGTTCTTGTCAGTAGTGCGGGAAGCGTCTTCCAGGAAGAAAATGAGAAGGAATACATCTGGTGGCCAGCAAAGGTATGTCAAATTACTCCTTGCCGATATACAGACAAACTTTGATGCCGTATATAGAAGCATCGCTTAATAGGACATCAACTCACACTAATACCCTTTGGCAACCTTAATCCGCGTTTTAATCGAATCACCATAGAGCATCCTTGCTCCGAGAACGTTCTGTCCTTGACTGACTCCTTGGGACGTAACAGGTTTAACGAACCTGTGTTCTCACCTCCTTCAGCTGTCGATGACCTTGAAGGGTCCCCAAAAAAGAAACGGAAAACCGATAGAGATGATATGAGGTTACGGTGGCACGATGCCTTGCGTTTAATGTTGCAAGCGAAAGAGGAGGAGGAAGACCAACAAGACGACCTACCAGACATCGCCTTTGCGCTAAGCGTTCGCAGTGCACATGCCTCAGCGCCCGTCTCTCCTAGCAAAAGGAAGCAACAAACAGGATATTCAGTATCCGATACCGATGAAGCAGAAGATCTGGAATCATGGGAGGACCCCGGTGCTGATCCGGAACTCCAAATTCCAGGCGAATTGGTGCTTGCGAGAGAAAAAGCGGATTCGCATTTGTCATATTGGCCTGCCAAAGTCCTGGAGTATGTCCCGCCCGTTTCGAGAAACCAAAAAGCGGGAAAGTACAAGGTATTATATCTCGATGGAGCAATGCGGACAATTCCGAGGACGTGGTTCAAATGTCTGGGCGATGAGGCGTTTGGCACATGTAAGGTACGCGCTTTATTTGCCTTGAAGATGTTTTGGCGTTCTCATTATTTCTTAGCTCGGGGAATTCGAAAGCACTGCGGTTAACGATGATCCTAATAATAACGACGATGACTCCATGATGGGCCAACCACACGATAGAGAACCTAGTCCAGTCCCTTCCATTCCACCGCCTTCTTCCTCTGACTTCATCTACCTCTCGATACGTGAACAATTCTGCTATACCAAACCCGTCCTGCGAGCCGTCCTAAACGAAACATACCCTCCTGCGATGCAGGCACATGACATGTTCATGGCGGGAGGGAAGGCTAGGAAAGTCCTAAACCAGAATGCAGGGGAGAGAGGGACAGTGACTCCCAATGATGTTGAGAGATTGACGCGTTTTCTCCTCTCTTGGGTCCTGCGGGACGAGATGGTGGCGAGGAGGATAGCAGACGACGGAGGTGAGGAGACGCTGCCTGATAACGCTGCAGCGCCGCAAAACACTGCAGAAGTTGTCGGTGGAGCAACTCGAGATACAGGTACAACCGCTAATGGTACCGCCAACGGAACACCTCACAATATTGATGGCGACAGAACACCGATAGTAGATCACGAAGTGGTAAGTGTCATTACTACTCTAGCTCTTCGGCAAGTCCTCACGTCAACTTAGGAAGCAAAAGCATCGATCTCACAAACAGAAGGAGAGCCTCCCACATCTCCCTCGACTTTGCCTGTTATTGTGCAAGAGGGCGAGGTACTGTCAACGTCTTCACAGCCGGCTTCTGAAGCACCCACAGTCAGGGTAAGCGATGCAATGCTCGGTGTCAGACATGTTACCCATGTGCCTAGGCTAAGTCTCCAGGAACTATTGCTGAGCCCTTCGTTTCATCGCCGTCGGAAGAGCCTCCACCATCATCCTTGGCGCCTTCGGTCAATGATGTCGATATGGAGGTCAGTCATGATTATACACAGTACGCAATTTGCTCACTCTGCTATCGTAGGAACCTGAAGAGGACTTGGAAGGCAGACAAACACCGCGTCTTGACAGTTCCCAACATACAGACGTTGAGGTACCGTCGACAGATGTGATTGATCAGGTTTTTTCTTCTTGAATCGTTCCGGAAAGTTTCTCACTGTATATCAGAACACGAGTCAGCCTATACTTCATACGGTAGAGGAGACATCTGTAGGCCTTCTTACTACAGTGCTTAGAAACCCTAACCCTCGCATAGAATGCAGATACCGCTGTAGAAGGTAATGACGGGTCTACACCAGCAAATGCGGTTATCGAATCATATGAAGGCCCTCCTCGTCAAATTGGGTGCGAGAGATACGAATCGCTCTCCCCACTGGAGAAAATCGAGGCAAGCCTTACATGCACCGCCAGTTATTCTAATCCTCATCTGATTTTTGACACATGACAGTATTGTCAAAATGTATTACTGCCTGAAGCCATTCTACAGATTCTTTTGTGGAAAGAGGGTGCCCGTACATCCATGGAGCTACTATCTGACGATGAAGAACAAAGGCTGCATGACCAGGGAAGGGAGTTGCGTAAAAGGACTGACTGGGTCTTTGATGTGATGTACCTAAGGAGCCACAAAGTCAGGGCATTGGAGCGTAAGGCTGGGAAGGCGAAATTGGAGAAGGTCGGTGGAACAAGGACGAGACCTTTGTTCAAGATGGTTTGAATTTTTGATTGTTGTTGCTTTTGTTATTTCACCACTGTCATTGGATAGCTGTATAACACCGTTTCAATCGTGAACTGGTGACCCTCCCCGCAGCCCCCGCCCAGGTACTCTTGTCAAGGAACAGGTCTAGTATCGCAAATTCAAGTTCTGGACCAGTCACAAGTCTCGTCTAACATCTCTCGCAGGTTCAGTAAATCGCGGCAAAACAAGATGTAAACTGGACTAATACAGGATACGATACAGTACATGCTTGATAAATGACTATAGCTAATGTACACACAAGAATACAAGCGACGACATTGCGAGACAGCATAATAATACGACTAGATATGCAAACATAAATGGCTACGAGTCAAGCTTGACCGTTATGCCGTCAGATTGCTGGTCAAACGCAGCATTGATCGACATTTGTGTCAAATCACCGTGTCCATTCATCAAAGGAGTGTTGGCACCTGAATGATAGGGCGATAGACCAATTCGAGGGGTAATCAGTCCGCTCCCATTGGCACCAAAGACGAAGCCGCCACTGAGGCCATCCATGCGATTGAACCCTGTCCAAGGCGTGAGACCGGTGGGACAAAAGAAACCAGAAGAGGAGCCTTACCTGGTACCAACACACTATCCCAGAAGTTGCTGCTCAGGATGCTATCCATAGTCATGCCATTCGCATTGTGGATGTCCTCCTCCGATGGATTAGGCGCCATCGTTGGGGGGAAAGTGGATATATCCATAGGCAGGACCCATCTCGCCGTCGAAGCGGAATTCACCGAGCAAAGAAGACGGGTCAGAGTAACTCGGTGGAGGACAGTTGTTCTGCGCCTGTTGTTGCTGCTGCTGCTTCACGGAAACGGCAGAAACCGAATGATGACCTTCGCCATGAGGCTTCCATTTTTGCCGTGATGAGTGCTTTCAGAAATCCGCCGTATAGCGCAGTGGTGTGATGGGGACTGACGGAAACCTTCTCCAGCACATCTGCGACGTCATGGCATAGAGTGAGAGTCTTTTGCTCGTCCTCCAGATATGCGGAGAATTCTGGGCGGACCAACTACAGCGTTGCGGTCAGTTTGATGATTGGAAGGTGCGAGAAGAAAGGACAGACCTTGAGCAAGCTGAGTACCGCGTACGACGTTTGAACACTATGAGAATCGGGGGAATATTTCATGAAACCGTTCGGACCCAAGTGATCGCGGACGATTGTAGCGCAGTTGATGGCAGACGTATGGACTCTTGCGAAGAAATGGCCGACATTGAGAGGCGCAGATTCAATAGCGTTTTGCAAGCCGAACGAATTCAGGACGAGTAGAGTGTAATTGAAGTAAAACTCGGATATTCTGGCTTTGTATTCATGTTCAATGGAAACCTTGTCTATCGGACGGGATGATCAGTATGTCGTCGTGGTTCTTTGAAGAGACGAAGCCTACCGTTGGTCGTTTCAGAACTGGCGATCCATTTACGCCTGAAAGTAAATATTTGGTCCTCGAACGTCCTGATGATCAACAAGTAGTCCAAAGTTGTATGCAGTCCATTACCGGACTCGGTATTAGAATAAAGGAAATCAAGACTGCGTGACAGTATTGCTTGTAGTTCCTGTACACAACTAACGTTAGCGATTCTTCGAAGTGATAGAAAAAAGAAGAACGAACAGCATATGCGGCTAATGCCGCATCGGACGGCGCGGCACACGGGAGACTACACCATTTATCGACGTTCCGAATAATAAAACTACATGAGACGGAAACTGTTAGGAACCTGAGTCGACCCCTTATCACTGACACTCACTCTTCTTTGATTGAATAAGGTTTACCCATCTGCGCACTGAAGCTTCTGTCAAGACAAAAGCAGAATATCCACGTTCGTTCTCGGTTATGAACCTCGATTTCGCGTGCCCGAGCATCCTGGCCATCTTGCGCGGAAACAGTGGTTTTTCTATGCAAGTTTAAATCTGTCGCCATCCTGATGCGAGGTGAGTGTACCAAAAATACGACATGTCCATGAGAGACGAACCTGATGGCCATGCCCAAAAGAAGCCAGGTCTTATCTTGTTCGAAACGTTCAACGGCACCACACCCCCAAAGGGTGAGAAGCAAGTACGCTTGAACAATCTCCAGAGACTTGTATCCACGCGCTGGAACGCTGAATGCGAGTTTCTTGGCGAGCTCATTAAGCCGCGGGTGTAAGTCCGGCTTCTCGGTATAGAATTTGCTGGATATAGCACAGACTGTACGCGCCTCAGTGCATGTTGTGGTGTGATCAAGTAAAAACTCACTGGTAGTCAATAAGAATGGCGATCGAGAACACACGAGGGAAGGGGTATGGAAATTCTTATCCAAGAGATTTGAATGCATCTAAATGCAATGTTGAGTTGGATCACGCTTACGAACTACTGCAGAGCACACTCACGTTCATATGGTCGAAGTAACTAAGGCCAACAAGAAAACAGCATGAGAAATGACGCATCCAAATGTGATGAAAGAACAAACATTTTAAACAGTTTGACCACCTCATTTGTAGAGACAAAACTAAGCATTTCGGGTTGCACTTGGCGTTCAATGTAGAGACGACGTAGTGGCAGAATCGTCATAGGACCTGTTAAACCGTAAGTATCCGGGCAAAAAAGTTAAGGTTATTCATACCGGGCTTAAAGTAATTGTCGCTAGCAACGCCAAGCACCGGCGTTCCGTTCGCTTCGGCGCCCCTTGCAAGCATACCACTTGCAGTGCCCTTGGGCGCGACGATTGGCGAGACTGGCCTTCTGCCAATAGACCCAGAGGATTCAGGGCATTGTCAGGGAGAGAATGAAGTTTCGGTGAACCCGGCGTTTGACGATGGTATGATCCAGGAGAGTGGGAAGAAGGCGATGCTGCAATTAATGCCTGCGTGGTTGCTGTTGCAGGACTAGGCGAGGGAGAACGCGACAACATCCCAGAAGCAATAGACGGGTTGCCAATCGACTTGAGAACAGTGTCTAACGTCCGTTCCATTTTCCTGATTGACCTCGTCAGCAGTTCGTGTTTTCTGCGGGGATAATGAGTCGATTGCAAGAATATCGATGAGTAATACACACTTGGAAGATCTTTTACCCCTGTTAGATTCTTCGAAGATACATTCATGATTTCCGGCTTGACAGCGCTTGCACGGAGGACCTTGCTCCGCACCGACGCACTTCATTTTCAGTCGGCGACATACAGTGCAAGCACTGAACGAGAGTCAGAGAGGGAGGTTCGAAACACTAGAAGATCCATACCGAGATCCTCTCGTCGGCTTTGCCTTCTCTTCCTTCTCCGCAGTTGGGCTACGAACGTCGGAATCATCATCCTTACGTGCTTTTTTCCTGGAATCATTGCCAGAGGGTGCCGGTCTCTTGCCATTGGCGTTGGACGATGTCGGAAACATGTGTTCGGTTGGGGGGGTTCCAATAGTGTCAGAACCCTGCGACGAAGGCGAAGAGTAGTTTGAAGGTAGAGAAAGGTGAGGTGGAAGGTGCTGGGGCGGCTGGGAATAATTTGTGTAGTATGGAGGGTACAAGGCTAAAGCAGGATCGATTGGTATCGACGGTGAAGGGGGTGGTTGCATGGACAGCGACTGCTCAGGCGAGGACATTGAATAATCCTGTGGTGACAAGGGGACATGGTCAGAATACGGTCAAGGAATACTGGTGAGGTGAATGGTAGTAAGACGAGTACGAGTAAGTCTGTACCGGCATTGTGAGGAAAAGGAGGTCCGTTGAAAAGTAACCTGAAGAGAATTATAAAAGAGAAATGGAATACTCACGTGTGGAGATGACTATTGGACCTTGTCAAGGTTGATGGGAGGTCAGTTGGGTGCGCGTGGCGCTGGAATAGACTGAGAACCAGCAACCCGTAATGGAGGTATCTGAAAAGGAGAAGCGTGTCCTTCAGGATCCGTCGTATCTTCCACGTTTAGAGCAACTCGTACACGGTACCCAGAAGGAAGATCCCCAGTACAGATTGAGGCCTTTGATAGTACCGCAACTCTATACGGCTGTGTGAGAACAGATATCAGCAATCTACCGGCTATCCTCAGGAAATAAACGATTACAGTGGCCTCGCAGTGCCCGATAATGGTGTTCACCGTATACAGGCAGAGTGTGGGGTTCCTCAAAGTTATCCCTGTCACACTGTCACGCATGACCCATTTTTCTTCTGATCGAATGGTCAGCTGGTCGCGGTCCTTCAAATTCCAAAACTAAGTAACAAAAATGAACGACCAGGAGGCTCTCAGCTCAGGTGTATACTAACTAGTACGGACCAGGCTACAAAATCTGTCCTGGTCTTCCACGGACCTTATCCTTGGCATAATTACGGTAGTACTGATGACCATCTTTGCTTCTTTGTCATTATAGCTTACGGTACCATTACCATCAGTCCCCGGCCAATTTGGTTCACCAAGGCACACCACTTTTTGACGCTAAAGGCTGTACAGAACGTACCTTTTACCTACAAAATCTCTACCGGTTCTCTATTTAGTCTCTGGGATCACCTTTCCACGTCTATTTGTGCCGTCTCGGGTGTCGACATCAAGCACGCTGCTTTAAGCAAAACAGCACCCAGGAACAAGCTCCGTCTCGAAGAATAACAGCCCCAGATATCTCATGTACGCGCACGTATAAGCTACGTGCCATGTTTCTTAGAGTCCCCGCTCTTTCGGACTGATGGGAGTGGAGCTCCTTACCTGTTCTCTGGGTTCCCACTGACTGGCTCCAAATATTGCCCCCTCCGTGGGTCGGCCATCTTACTCGTCACCCTATGGTCTGAAAACTTTTACACAAGGTACCAGCAAAGTCTGCTTACTATACTGTGTCCACCGTGGCTTTGCTTTGTCTCGGTATCAGGTTACCGTGGTTTAGTTTTCCGTCTCTGTATCCCAATACTCTGGTACACAACTCTAGTGAAACCTTCCAGAGTTCGTCAGATTGCCCTGGTGGACCCCGGCCTCTGCTATACAGGAACTCTGTGTTCATGGCTCCCGTGAGCCCTCATTTCTCCGCTACAAAAGACCAGTTCGAATTGATTTCCCCGCTGAATTTGCTTTTCAGTATAGCTCACATAGGCACTTCCCTTTCAGGCGTTAATTTTATCCACGGCTCCGTATTCAGTTTAACGGCCTGTGACGAGCATCGCGTACTTCGTACAGTTGTTTCGGTCAACGCCGTGCATTTAGATGCCGTCACTATGCCCTGATCTTCAAGCGATTTGGACCTTCCCCAGTTGCAGCAGATGAATCAAATACTCCATCCGCTGTTGACCTGTTGGTTGCCTGCCCCGCAACCGAGACGCAAAAAAGAGTGGTCCATATATGATCGTCTCCATAGTGTCCTATTTTTACGATTTTCCAGGTTTTTTCTAGGAACTTATGCCCATGATCACAGCACTGCTGCGGTAAGGCAATCCGCATATCCGAAAGGCGCATTCGTCATACTGACGAGAAATTGCTTTCACAGCCTATCAGCCTTGACATTATCCTCCACGCGTGTTTCTTCACTTCGGAACTACTTTCTTGGTGATACGGTACCTTTCATTGAAACCTTTCAATGTTGAGTGCACTGCCCGCTAAAAAGGGGTCTTTAACGCCCAATTATTCTCTCTACAAGGCCATATATCCCCGACGCTCGACTTCTGATTGACCTGTGAACTATTTACCCTCGGCCAGAATTTCTGAAGGAGTTTTTATGATCCCGCGAAGACTCAACTGAACTACCTGGATTACAAAGACCGTAGATCTGAAGCTTCTCATGTACATGCGGTATTTCATGGTACGCTGATGCCGCTCTGTCTCTCGATCAAAAACAATGATCCTTGGCACCTGGCAGAGGCTCGGCTTGAACAGCCATCGCATTATATCCTCTTTACTATCTTCTTTCACTTAGTTCCAAGATGACGTCTCTCATGTCAACCGGATGATAAGAATACAAGTGTCTTGGGACCCTTTGCTTCCTTGTCAGTACTGTGGCACCTATAATTGTTGCTGGGACATGCGCCTCCTTCTTTATCGCTCAATGGTAGACCAGAGTGTTTCTCCTGTGTTCGTCAAAGTACAAGCGGTGGGGAAAACATTTGTTTCTCTCACGAATCGATATCTAACTCGCCTCCTCCATGTGGTGCCTTAACGTTAACTTTCTTATTCAACTGCACCCAACGTAGGGATATATATTGGTATGAAATGCGACCACCTGTCTTCATTCATAGACTTGTCATTGGGATTCGAGGTTGGTCTAAAGACCCAAGTCACAAACTTTCGAACCGCGCACCAATAGCGGATATTTAGGCTTCGCAGGACCAATACCAAAAGTGGGTCCTTCGCAATCTCGGCTGCGTATCTCTGTATGACTCCTGACTTCTTCTGGGACACCAACGACGATGGGGTTCCTTGCCTTGTGCTCCTGATATCAGCTCGTAGTGTTATTTTCGAATCAGCATTACAGAGTCTCACGGCCTCAATCCCTGCTTGGTCCAGTCACATACAGGCGTTCCACAAGCTCTTACAGAGTCTCATGGAACGTCCAATAACGCCGCAGGTGCCTGGAGTGAGCCCCTTTATGGTGTCGCCATCCAATGACTATCTTTCATGGTAAGCCGTTCGATTCAGTTCGATTTTTTTGCCGAGCATCATCTAACACCCAGGCCATTTTCCGATCGCGGAGGGCTCTTATGTGTACCAGGTAATCCCATCGCCCAAGACACATACTAATCTCGGCATCGCCAGCGCGTAACCAGTTTGAATGTGATTTACCAGACCCTGCATCCCGTCGCTACAGTCCTTTTCTCATGACGGTCATACCCTGCCACAAAAATTTCGAGTATTTTCCGGCGCTTCTTACGCTCTCATGCGCGCTTCGCTGAAGGGTGTTGGTGAGTTTTGCAGTATTTTTGTCGCGAAGGATTAACTGCGCCGCCTGTAGAGCGCTCGCGCTCTATATGGGAGCCCTTGGGGAACTCGGGCTCATCTAAAACGGCCATATGCACGCCGTGTCCAATTCAGTGTATATCTAATGTTTCCGAGCATCCACGTCGAAATGCCTTCAAACAGTTCTCGGAACTAGGTTTTCCTTGATAAGAATTATAATGAGCAAATGATTCGAGCTCACGAGAATCCTCCGGTGCCTGGCCCTTCCCAGTACTCAGCGAGTGACTGTCTGCCGCCGATCATTGTCCTTGCCGCGGCTTCAGAGGCACCTTCATGAGAGGCTGATTTTTTGACGAGGAGTACCTTTCATTTCTTGTCGCCATTATCTCGTCATGTGGTGAGTTTTAGTGGTGGGATAGGACAGGATTTTTCGTGATGAACGTTCGGTGTTTATCACTTTTTCCCTAGGTTGGAAAGCCTCCTTGGAGTGGCATTCTGTTGTCATCACTGAGTAGCCAATGAATGTCGGTGTCACAGGTCCATCAAATACGGCTTGTCCCGCGTCTCGCGTGAACACCAAAATGGTCAATATCTTCGATCTCATAAAATCCTTTCCTCGGCCGTGATGACGTCTGTTTTCCGCACTTTCTACTCTCGGCCGTGGAACATTTGAGCGTGGGTACGTCGCTCTATGTCTGCATGAGACTACGATATCCCAGGCCGGTGAAAGTGCTACTTATAGTTCCTATCGGAGAGGTCCGATTCGTTAAACGGCCTTCTAAACAGCATGTGTATCCTAATAGTGAGGGCACCGTATGTAGCACCTTCGAGTCAACTCTTCGGAATCATATTATACTACTGTATTCCAAACGGAACACTGCAACATGCGCTCCTTCGAAAAGGCGCCTTTGCTTCTCACCTTCAGCTCGCAGCCTCGGGGACAGGATGACTGTGGTCGGCGTCATTTGTAAGGACTTGGACTTGGTATATTCAAACTCCACTCCCTCATCGAATGGACATGCATAATTTTCCTGAGATACCTCCTTCTATCCATCCAGCGCCCAGCGGTGAGACAAATCTGGTACAAATACCGAGGGCCTGACGCCCTTACGTCTAAATTGGTGGCAACCATCCAGTCCAACTGAATTCATTGGTCTTGCACATGATTGAGAAGGACATCGCGTCAGCCATGCAGATGTCACGTTGCTCAGCGAGGGAATAACTTCGAAAGCAGGCACAAAAGTGGTTTCCTCCGAGGAAAAAGGATGGTCAGAAGGTTTAGGATCTCTGTTTTGGGGAACGGCAGCGTTGCATCGAGTTAAATTTACTCTTTCCTGTATTGAGATGAGTGCGCTTGAGCCGGGTTACGCTTGGTTAATTACTTACCTAAATCTATATATGTAGGGTTTTTTTCCGGCAATGATCCGTCTTGAAGAGTCAAAAGCGTCCAGTCGAACGGATCGTGAGTACATCATACCAGAATTGACTGCGCACAAGAGAAGGCAGCTTCCGGTGGCGGTCCGATGACGATTGTTTCATTGGTGGGATCTGTCTGCCAAGTAAAGACTGCTATTGATGCCACCAATTCTAAACACTGAAAACCCTTGAGACCTTTGAAGATAGGGAAGATCATGCTGAGAAGTACATCCCTTTCAGATGATCAGGAAGTGCCAAGACAAAAGATCAAAGGAACAGTAGTAAGCAGACGCCGCAGCGATAAGGGTGATATCTCAAGGTTGTTGGACGGGACCTAGGTCTTTAATAGCACGCAAATGAAAGACAAATACTTTGACATGGCAGTGGGAAAATGCACGATTGTATAAGTCGATAGCCAGTAAGGAAAGAGTAACTTTAAGAGCAGACAACGAGGTCTCTTGAGGAAATTCCCCAAAGCCTTCTAGGTTTAATTAATCGAATCACGAATGATGGAACGTTAACATTTAGAGTTGCTCTTTGATTGGGCAGAGGTAAGCCACATCTGTGTCCCTGTTCACAGATTCATGAGAGAGTGAGTGGCGTAGGTAAAGACCAGACTACCGTGTCCTCAGGTACCATGACGATGGCCAAGCATGCTGGAAATTTGACCATTAAAAGCCTAGAGAATTCGGCACCGAGGGTTTCCACGCGTCACCACAAGGCGGAACCGAGGTCAATAGCAAGACGCGCCAAGGGCAGATAGCGCTCAATGATGCATTGAAAACGACGTGGTCTCATTCGTCACCTGGTAATTGGCCAAGACGCACTCTTTGGAAAGACCAATGAGGAAGCGCAGTTGAATTCATGTTATAACATCCGCGGCATGGAATACGGCTCCAGTATCTGCCAGAAAAGAAAAAGCATGTCAACAGAAAGGGTCAGGTGCCTCAGGGCCATAGACTACACACCAAAGATTGGCCGAAGATACTACAGACTATGCTGAACTGGATAGATTTTACCACTAGCACTCAGGCTAACCAGAGGTAGTAAAATACGAACGTGAGAATAGCCCCCCACTGAGAGGAGTAAAGCAGAGCACTGTCATAAGATATAAACTGTAGGAGATGTCATGGCACTAGATGTGAACCTAATGTAAACCGCAAACTTGACTTCGAACTTGCCGCTGTGTCGCCATGAATAAGGGCTATAATGACAGGTTCTGCTGTTGATTTCAGAAATAATGAGGTGGATAAGGACCCTACATCAAGTAGATATTCGAAAGCACAGGCATAACAAGGTCGTATAGTCGTAATGAAAGAGTGTTCATTCGGAGGTCTTATGTCCGAATGTTCGGAGCATTTCGGGCTTGGTTACCGGTCGGACAACCAACAATGCGCCGGTCATGTGATCAAGGATTCAAACTCCGCCTCTACATTTGGAACTTCCAAGCTTGTACTGTACTTCTGTGCTCTTTCGGCGTTTGGATTCTTACCACCATTCTTCTCCGCGATGAGCCCTCCACAACGTCCTTTACTCGTTCTTCAGCCGTCTGTGAACACGACGACGTATGTATATTTTCAATTGAGCGCATCGAAGCCTACTGACAGCTTGCTAGCGTGGTGACAACGACCACGACCACGACGACGTACGCGCCAATACATTTGCCTCCGCTGCCGCCTCCGTCTTCACCCAAAGATCCAAAGAACTACCCTTTACTTCATGCAACTCTCCCTCAATCCCTACGACACTTTCCCTTGACGTTTCCTGGTGGCGCACGCGCGACTTTTCGCGACGGTGATGACGGAGATCATGAGATGCAGGAGGAGCAGGAGCTCGCTTCAGGTAACGGGTGGCGTATGCTGAGACGCGATGAAGACGCAGAACAGTCCACCGTCGTCGGTCTTGCAGAAGCTCTTGAGCGTTATGGCAAAAAGCGTTCGCATGCTGGTGAAGGCATGATGGAGGGTGTAGAATCTACTGCGGACATGGATTCAAGTCCGCCGCCACCAAGGAAAAAGGCGAGGTCAGGCGGGTTGCCTCCCATCTCGACAATGAATGCTGCCGCGCCGCCTTCGCCCCTACCTTCACCTCATGGTTCACCTCCCCCAGAGACAATATGGCCATCAGCGCCACCAAGTGGCACATCTTCACCGTTACCGCAGGCGCCTCTTCAGCCAGACCTATCGTTAACGACTCTCCTGACTCTGCCCTCTCTAGTGACACATTTCACAAGTCTACCTGCCCCCTTACAGTCTCATTTCCTGTTGACCCTCCTCCGCCACTCACCCCTACCTGTTTTGCGCACCTTGCATTCCGTTTTGACTCCCACATTGGCTCGCGATTTCCTGACTCTTCTACCCGCAGAGCTTGTCTCTCTAATTCTGAGTTTCCTCCCTTATGAGGCGCTGGCTCGTGCCTCACGCGTATCCAGAACCTGGCAGGCTATAATAGATTCCGACCCTGTGCTTTGGCGCGACCTTCTCAAAACTACGAATATATGGTTCGGCGGGGAGTCTGAAAATGCATTCGCAAAGGCTATTACTACTCGCCGACAGCGAGAATATAATGGCATACCCCCTGCATTACCCCTCCCCCATCCTTACAAAATACTATTTAAGTCTCGCCATTTAACCCGTACGCGATGGGTCCAAAACTCTGAACCCAAACACAGGTCTTTCTTCGCGCACGGTTCATCTGTTGTCACATGCTTAATATTTTCCCATGGTCGTATCATATCTGCTTCGGACGACCATTCTATTCACGTGTATTGCCCTATGACTGGTGATCTACTACGTTCGCTTGACGGTCATGAAGGGGGTGTATGGGCGCTTGCCGCAACTAAAGACATCCTTGTCAGTGGATCAACGGATCGTACAGTGAGGATTTGGGACCTGACGACTGGTCGTTGTACCCATGTTTTTGGCGGTCATACCAGCACTGTACGGTGCCTTGCCATAGTAAAACCGGAGTGGGTAGATGTGGAACAAGAATCTGGAGTCATAACAAAGGAGAAGTGGCCCAAACGTCCGGTCATTGTGACAGGAAGTAGAGATCACTCTTTGAGGGTTTGGACGCTTCCGAAACCAGGTGAACCGGAATATCGTTGCTACGGCTCAGAAGATGCGGATCTGGATCCCGCAGATGTCTGTGTAAGTCGTAAGGGTTGAATGTCATCCTTCTATGTCCTGACGCAATTTAACGACAGGACGCCGAAGAAAATCCATACCATAGATTACACCTCGAAGGTCATGACCAAGCCGTACGAGCACTGGCAGCCAGGGGACGTACCCTTGTTTCCGGAAGCTATGATTGCAGTGTTCGTATCTGGGATATAGTCACTGGACAGTGTAAATTCATCCTGACAGGTCACACTCAGAAAGGTTCGTATATTTATATTTCTCTATTCATTGTACTTATCACAAGCTTCTGCAGTGTACAGCGTCGTCCTTGACCCGACACGTAACCAAGCGTGCTCCGGTTCTATGGACGGAACCGTCCGCGTGTGGAATCTGCAGACCGGACAATGCCAACATACCCTGACCGGACATACTTCGCTGGTCGGTCTTTTGGGGTTATCACCTTCGTATCTTGTATCTGCAGCCGCCGATTCGACGCTGCGTATCTGGGACCCGGACACTGGCGAGCTGAAGTACACTCTTGCCGCTCATACGGGAGCAATCACTTGCTTCCAGCATGACGAGTTCAAGGTCCTTAGCGGGTCTGATGGAACGCTAAAGATGTGGAACGTTCGCGACGGCACCGTTGTAAGAGACCTACTGACGGGGATTACAGGTGTATGGCAGGTGGTGTTCGAAGGCCGATGGTGCGTTGCTGCAAGCAATAGAAACGATACCACAGTGCTCGATGTTTGGGACTTTGGGAGGCCCGATGATGAAGACTGGATCGGGGAGCCTCCCAACTGGACGTATGATGAAGACTTCACTGACGATGAAGAAGACGACGGCGAAGGGATGTTCAGGCGTGCGGGGGGCCAGCGAGATGGATGATGAAGATGACGAGCAAGAGCAAGCTGATGTAGATGCTATGGACCAGGATTTGATACCCTCGGAGAGCGAGTCTGTCGGGGACATTGAGATTGACGACGAGCCGGACACTCACGTTACATTCACCCGACATCACCGTCGAGGTGCTACTAAAGAGGCTGAAGGAGACCTCGCACATGTATCGGATGATGATGAAGTGGACGGGGTCAAAGCGTCGAGGTGGGCGTCGGTGGCTGAGACGAGCTCTTCTAGTAAAGGGCGCCAGTCGTCTCGTCGAAGCGCGACCTCTTCTATGGCTGCGAACCACACGAACCTGTCGAACGAGGGACCAAGCCGCCCTCGGGCACGAACTCATGGAACGCGACGACGATAATGACATGACATGCAGTCAATTGGTACTCTCTCTTTTCGTATTCCTTAGGGTACTTTTGACTCCCGACATGGTAGTTTTACCGGCTTGTCCATATAATTTTGATACATATATAGTCTAGTTGGGATTGTAGGTTCTATCCGTTACCCCATTGCTTTTCACGTAATGTACTGCTACCATTGACCAGGATCTCTCTTTGTGTTTTCTATGTTTCAATACCACGGATAATTCATGAATGTCGTTATTAGAACGATCTGCTAAAATTGGACTACGAGATCTTGGGATTGATCACTCGTATACACGTGTACAATGCTCGAATACACGGCAATGCAGGGTGGAAGGAAGCGGTGTGCCCGAAAGGCCAACCCTGGAAGCAGCTAATCATGGCCAAGATCATCAGTATTGAGTCCTTTAAACGACCCGGGCTTTGTGAATTTTCACGTCTTCTCGTGGCCTAAGGTTGACATATTCAGCAAACGAAGCTTCGTGACCTGCAAAGAGAAAACATACCGATCTTGCGCATCAACTGCTACTGCCCCCAGACGTTGAACTACCCTCATGCCGGAGCTAACCCTTCCAAAGATAGTATGTTTATTATCCAAGTACGGAGTGGGCCCTAATGTTATGAAAAACTGAGAACCTGCAGACAAGGTCAGCACTCCCAACTTGAAAGACATGTCCCACAATGCCCAACCATTAGTATTCGGTCCTGAATTCGCCATGGCGAGTATTCCGGCACCAGTAAACCTCAGTTCCGGATGTATTTCGTCCTCACTGCTGCTTAATCAGACGGAACTCCGCGGTGATACAACATTTCGCACGTACAACTTTTGCCCGTAGATGCTCGTTCCGCCGCGTCCTGTTCCCGTCGGATCTCCTCCTTGAATCATGAAATCCTACAGGGTAGGATAGGGTAAGCTAATCACCAGCCAAACATATCCTGGACCACGCACGGAGACGATTCGGTGGAATGTGACCCCATTGTAGTACCCACGCCTAGTGAGCTCTGCAAAGTTTTTGCATGTCTAGAAGCTGGGAAGAAAAGCAGCTGAGCAGAAGAAAAGAACGAGAGAGGTACCTTGGGCGCATGATCAAAGTACAGTTCGAACTGTATGTCTCCTAAGCTTGTTTCGAATACAACTGTATCGGACATCTTCGAGTTCTGACGGAAAGCAAGCGAGGTCAGGCACAGCCACTGACGCGTTCTGTTTAATCTGGAATTGGCAATTCCACATTGGCACTTTTTCCTTCAAAACAACACCTCTTCATTGGCTGCTATTCGCTAAGAAGACAATGCGGGCCGTCATACAGCGTGTGTCTTCGGCGTCGGTTACAGGTAATCATTTCCTTCCGAGTGTAAGACCCTTTTCTTGTCACGTTCCTTCTAGTTGACGACGTCGTTGTATCTAAAATATCTCGAGGTTTGATGGTCCTAGTCGGTATAGGCTCAGGTCTGTTACCCACCGTTGTTTGCCACCCTTGATTCAACGTTGAACAGATGATACTGCCTCCGACGTCTCTTCCACGATTAAAAAAATGTGTGTGCACTTCCTGATTGTTCTTCGGTATACATTCACGAATCGATAAATTCCGAAATTGCGCCGTTCGCTCAATTTTTCCCTCGAAGGTCTGCCACAAGTCCTCGTCTTGTGATCATTTTTTATAATGACCTCGGACTTGCCCAGTTTGTCGCTACGCGTTTTTTCAGATCCGACAGATCCAAAGAAGATGTGGAAGGCCAGCGTGAAAGACATCGAAGGGGAAATTTTGTGTGTTTCGCAGTTTACTTTGCTGGCCAATACCACCAAAGATAAACCAGATTTCCATCTTGCGATGGTTCGTGATGCATCGCGTGCAGATCCCCGAGACTCTTGTTGACCCTTTTTCTTTGTTTAGTCTGCAGATCCGGCTCGTGAATTGTACGGTACTTTTTTGGATATGCTTCGAGAGGCCTATGTTCCAGAAAGAGTTAAAGGTACCCCCCTCCCTTCCATCTATTGAACCAATATTACAATATTCCGATTTTGACCCATTTATTTCAGATGGGAAATTTGGGGCAATGATGAACGTCAGCCTGACAAACGACGTAAGATCTCCTGCACCAATTCTTAACATTCGGAGGTGTTAAACTTTGTATCTAGGGCCCTGTCACGTTCACCGTTGATTCGCGGAAATACCAGTACGTTGGCGACGCTGGTGGGAATGGTATTGGAAATGCGAATGCGAGGGGGGCAAAATCGAAGAAGGGACCCGCGCCTTCGACTCCTGCGGAGACTCTATAGGGATTTTTAGTGGTCAAACCTTGTAAACATACATACCCGAGGCTCTAGAGAAATTAGAAGCTGAATACCGTGTCCATGATGTGCTGGGTTCGGTTTAGAGGGCGCTAAGTAGTCAGCGACCTATTATCTGACAAATATGAAGAAGATTTTTTGCAGCATCGGAGTCTTGAGTATGCTCTTGTGATCTACAAGTGCATTAAGCGTACCGTCAACCTGGCCCACGTTAGTCAGAAGCCCACCCAAGTTCTCATCCAGAAATATCACTATTGTTCTACGACGCCACTAAGGCGCAGGACTACCAGTTGGTATCCGGTTGCTGGCTTCCTGACTCTTCAAAGATCGAACTCAGACGAATTTCGAAACGTAAATCGGAACGATACATAGCATCAAAATTCTGCCGATGCACAGGTCCTCAGCCTCGTAAGTAGCCATTGTTCATCCCGGATGCTGACGAGTGACTGCTGCACGCGTTGTATATTCTTTCTCAGCTTCTTTCCCGGAGCGAGGCGGGACGGTATCTACACATTCATCCGAAGCTTAGATATCGCGGCGTTCGCTGTCCGAGTAAAACGGGCCTTCCCAAACCAGGCTGCGAACAGAGAGATCACCGTCGATGTCTTCCTCCACATCAGAATAGAATAAAGGGTCCCAAGTCGTAAGCCACGCCCTCGAAATAAAATAGACTTCATTCCGTACCAAACCCCATTCAGCAGATAAAACGCCAATTATCATCATCCGAAACCACAATCATGCCGTTAGTAGACTAGCATATATAAGGAGTATAAGCCGCGTTTGATACATGGTAATCATATTCCAGTCTTTAATATCACACTCAACTTTCAAGAGTAGCACAAAACTGCGAAACCGCTCCATGCCATAAACCTGGCATGGATCGGTAGGAGGGAAGAAATCTGATATCATATAGAGACGAGCTCTCGAATTATCGTCCAGAGTCTAAATCCATGAACACCCGAAGAGAATATGAAAACAAAAACATAAACAGACCCAGAATTCCATCTTCACAATGCAGAGATCTCTCGAATTATATTCAAAACCCGCTCCTCCGGATACTTGCTTTGCAGGGAAGCGAGAATTGGCGGAATGTCGTTCACCTGAGAGGTAGTCGAGCCCTGTCTTTTCAGTGCAACCAGCTGCCATTGGCGCGTTTGAGAGTGTTTCCAACAGGAATCATTTCAAATGCTCACCACGTTGCCAAGCCCGACGAGCCCACGGTAAACAGCTTCCGACTCATTAACCTCGAGCCGTAGAAGCTAAAAAAAAAGAACGATCAACGCTTATCCCTACGGAACTGCGGAGCACATACCCGAAGTGCCAATGTGATGTGGAGCTCACGCTGGTCTGGGGGTAGTTGTGCGCGAAGGGCTAGACATGAGATGCTACGAACTCATCAGAAAAACCAATAATAGGATAGAGTACGAAGGTATTACGCACTTGAACAAAAGGGAAGCCAACGGGAGCCGGTTTCTCTTATCCAACGTAGGGAAATCGACCGCGTCCAAAGCTTGTAATATCTAAAACAAGGGTCATGTCAAAGAAAGCACATCGCAGCATCAGACATTGCGCCATACCTCGTTGGGCCACGTCTCGTCTGTCTGGGCCGTCTCCTGAAGCGTATTCGCCAATGTCCTCAAAACAAGTGACACGTTTGTCTGTCGGCTCCTGCTTAAAGGAGACTCCCAAGGAGCCTCCCATTCCCCGGCCTTGAGTAGGGCTTTTAGGAACTGGCTCCTCACATCGGGAGATGCGAAAACGTCCGGGCAGAACCCGGCCATGAGGCGAGCTAAGTCAAGAACTAAAAGGAGCAAGACAACGTATCAGTGCGGGAATGGAGGGGGTGGTAGTAAGCCAGAAACAAACCAGGGAACAACTGGGACTGAGGCCATCTTTCTAGGACGCGTGAGATAGCATCGACATGTGAAGCAGACATCAATGAGGGTCCTGATGACGTCGGCGAGACGCTTGACAAATAGACAAAGAGCTCATCGACAGCGGTGATTTCCTGAGGGTACATGGCCAACGTGGCAGTCGACTAAAAATCGTCAGTTGAAAGCAGGAAGTTGCGGAGTAGTGTACACTAACAATTTCATGGCTCAGGCTATCATTAAACTCAAAGAGCTTGCTTTGCATGGCAGAAACATTGGCCTGCTTGAACGACAGAGGAATCGGCTGATAGATGATGAGCAGTTGAGCGTAATCACCTCATCCGCGTACTTACAACTGGCAGAATTGACGGTTTGGGCGGCGGGGGTGCGCTTTGGGCTGGTGCACCGGAGTACCTTGACGCGCCAGTGAAGGGATCCATGTAGGCAGAGGAGGAAGCAGGTTGAGCCGTCGCGGGAGTGGAAGAACTCGCCATATACCGAGAAGCGCCGGTATAAGGATCGACGTAGGCTGATGGAGGCCCTGAAGCGGGAACAGAAGCTGCAGAACTTCTATACCGGGACGCGCCTGGTAACGAGGTGAGTTTTCTTGGTCCTGGGACATGAGGAAATATGATATTACCCGTAAATGGGTCCACATAGTCCTCTCCACCGGACCCCAGATTCACGCCGGAAGTATTCTTCTCGATGAACTGTACGACTTGATCGATATAGCTTAGCGGTAGGTCGTTCTTTTCAAGGAACCGTTGTGCAGCAGCATATGGGTTTTCTATGCGGAAAGTCGGTCCGGTGATTTCTATCAAAAAAATTGTGCGCACCGGAGGCGTTATAAGGGAGCTTCAAAGGAGGCACCCCGTCTTGAATGTCAACGTCAAATACATAGTCATATTCCTTGCCTTCATGAAGCTGTCGCCGGCCCTGACCCACTGCATCAACAACATCTCCAATCTTCTTCCATGTGGAACTGGTGGCATCCCACTAGGCTAGCTTAGAACCAAGAAACACCAATACGTCCAATAGAAAGCGTACCTCGTGCGCTTCCACAACATCACCATTTCGGATCATCTTGACCTTACCGGGCGCATCACCTTATCGACGGGGTTATAAAGAGTAAACTTCAAAAAGACTGCGCTCACCTGGAGTATTCAGAGCCTCTGGGCCGGGAAGGTCGCTCTTCTTCACGTCGCCTACCTGCTGGGAGGGAAGCGTTTGACTAGCTACAGCACTATCGTATGCTTTCAAGTCTGCTTCCGATGCCCAACGCTCTTCGGAGGCACTGAAGACGCGTACTACTCCGTCACTACAGCCGCTAACAATATCACTATTGGGCATTGAGGACACAGCCCATACGGATATAGCAGGGTGTGTGATGACTTGGGCGCATTCTCCATCTTGAAAGGATAAATAGGGATAAGTTTAACGACTCAAAAAGAGGAAGGATAAAATGGTACCTTTCCAAACGCGAACAGATCGGTCCTCGCCGCCAGAAACGATATCACCATTGGGTAGTACGGATAGGCTGTAAACAAAGGATGTATGGCCCGATAATGAATGGATGAGGTCGCCACCAAGTGTCCAAACACGAATTTCGCTGTTACAGACGTCAATAACGGGACACCCACGGGCTTAAAGAGACGACTATACCTATCATTGGAGCAAGAAGCGAAGCCAATGTCAGGAACCAGGGCCAAGCCGCGAACGGCGTCACGGTGACCGGTGTAGGTGGAGACGCATTTATGCTGTTGCCACAGTTTGATGGTTTTATCGGCGGACGCTATTTGGAGGCATGAGAAGGATGAGCCAGAGTATTTGAAACGAACGCACCTGTCAGGAACTGCTCTTCATCTACAGCCAGGACTGCCCACACAGACTGGCTGTGTCCCTTCAAGTCGTACGCCAACTGGAAGGATTTCCATACTTTTGCTGTCCTAATTCAAGGTGAGATTCATTTCCTTTCGTGAAACCAAATGTAGCGCACCTGTCCCACGACCCCGATATAATAGTACCACCAGGCGACACATCCAATGTACAAACATTCTCCGAATGACCTAACAATGTGTAATCGGGATCGTCCTTGGGAGAATCCAGCGAGAAGACGTTAATCACGGTGTCTTGTCCACCAGTAACCGCATATCCTTGTGAGGAACCTTAGCATATGGCCTCCGGGCAGAACTAACAAGGAGTTACCCTTTGAATTTTGAACGGATGGTGAGATATATGCCACCGCGTTTACGTATCGCGACCCCGCACGCAACACCGACTCGGGAGCAAAGGGCGACGACGATGAAGAACGTTGCCACAAAATCGCGGTAGAATCTCTTGATGCCGACAAGACGAGGTCGTTGGTCGGTGACACTACTCCGCGCACCTGCGAATAATCAGTTGGCCTGTCAAGCCCAATGAAAGGTAACGAACGTCTGAAGTGTGAGCGGCGAGGGTAGCAGAAAGTTTGTAGGGCATATTGCCGAGACTTGTCTAGATGAAAGTAGAAGGAAAGAGCAATGAGGGTGCCGGTCCGAAGTTGGTAAGTGGGGAAAAGAAACGGGGTGCGCCGCGTATCAACACTTTTCAAAACATATACAGAGTCTCCGTTTACCCTTACCTGGTTTCTTATTCCCGTAATTATTGCAAAAGCATCTATGTTCGTAGCATGAGTACAAATTTGCCGAATAATGTGCACCACTCTAACGAGCCCTAATTGGTGTGAACAGTCACCAAAAGGGAGATACGGAGGTGTAGTCTATGCCTTGCACCATTACTTCATCTCCTGCGAGGTCCCCACTCTGTACCACATCGCGCAACGACCAAACGCGACGCGTAGAAAAAAAAGTGGGGGGATAAACGTAAAAGGCCGGCTTGTTCTGCCTTTTCATCTACCTCTTTAGGGCAGGCCCCATCTGTCCCGCCGAATACCCGGTTCTCGGTTCTCGGTTTGCCGAGCGCAGCCTCCAGCGACTCAGCATTCTACTTACCGCCGCTGTGTCGATAACAATTTATCACTATTCTCTTGATGAATCACATCCAATCTGTACCCACAATGCTGTCAAAATTCTGAGGCATTTGGGCAAATCCATGGGGTAAAAATCTGGGGTGAATAACCATCAAGCGAGCGATATATCCGAATGATCCTGCCCTGGAACTTTGATTCGATGATATATAAACGACATGCAAAATAAGGCTGTCACCGCGTTTGTTCGGGATGCTCGGGATATTCTCTAGTACCCTGTTTCAGAAATCTTGTTCCGAGATCTGAAAAATTGGGGACGGTTTTCAATTCTTACCCCGCTTGTTAGATGAAAACCAGCACCAGAACCTCTGTCCTTTGGCTTTCTGGCAGACGGAAAAGAAACGTGTAGACTCTGAGAATGAACGTCGTTGTCTCATGTGCAGTGTGTGCCGACAATCTTCAGTCCTCTTACTGAAGGATCGAACGTACAGTAGACAGGCATCGCGACAGTTTCTGTTTACGCTTTGAAAGGAACAAAGAAAACACACATGCACTGGCTGTGAGTGTCCACCTGCTACTGGAGTATTCCCATCATTCCTTACCCATGAGATTCAGCTAGGTGGGAAAGCCTGCATCTGAGCAGAGAAAAAAAGGACCGTCGACCGAGACATTAGCATCTGGGAGGCGCTGTCCCATCTGCAAGACTCAATTAAACTGTATGCACTCGACCGCTGAGTATGCCATACCTAATGCTGAATACATATATTATTATGATATAACAGCTCTCAAGAACCGCCCACGAATAGCATTACTCTAAAATTCTATCCTTGTCTTATCTATGTACCTTGCCCAACACATGGTGAGTCAAAATCCTAATTTCCCTACTTAATCTAGGTCCCAACGACTACTCCACAGATAAGCCCTGTTCCCAGAACTGCACGCTCTTCACAAACCAATCCGTTCAAGCAAAGATAGAGTTCACCATCGTATCGGCCAATTAGACCTTTGAGAAATTCGAAGAAGTTCGAACATCGACACGGCTACTATGCCTATTTTAAGGTCTTCGACCACAAGGCGCGAGGATAGGCTGTACCGTGTACGGCAAACTTTACTCCCCTATCAAGGTCAGCGGGTACATGTACACGAATGATCGACCAGCAAAATTGGCACTGGGTCTTACCAAGACAGTCAATATCAACAGCTTGATGTTCCTACGAAACGCGGTCCCAGGTTCAAGGCACGTTAGTAGATACAGCGGCCCCTCCATGTAAGAATTTCAGCCATTTATGTCAGTACGTAGGTTACTGATTCTCAGGACTAGTCAGGCACCTACTTATCATCGGCTGGATCTACGCTTGTGCACCGGAGCAGAAGAACAGGTACTAGTGCTCAAGAGGATGGTGGGAACTAACATCTCAGCGACTTAAGTTATAGATTATATTGAAAATTCGACATGAAATTGGATGGTAGTCATATATACAATGCAGTTATGAGAGTATAAACATTAAAGATATGCATGCAGGCACCGGCATTTCGAACGCCGTAAAGATAATACACAGATTGAACACCCCGACACCATCCCAAGACTCAAGCTCGAGCATTAAGATTTACACACTTTGAGATAGTTCGTCGCCACTACCTCTATTTCCTCTTCAGTAAGCCGTTCTGCAGGGTCCGGGAAAAGCTTATCCGAAATCATGTCATCGACGATTTCATTGACGTTGAACTTGTAGCACGTCTTAGGTAGTGGCGGGACCGTCCAACGGTTGAGCGAAGGCCAAAACGGCTCGTCTATAGGTGGATACGAGTTTAGGTCGTACTCTCGGCCTTCGCGAATCAGGAGCAGAGCCATGAGCTCGCCTTGGTCCATAACTGCAGGCGCGTCGAGGGGAACGGTCGTCCGGGGCTGTTGCTGAGACTCATCAACTGGGGGTACCGTGCCAGGAGCGTATTTGTCGAGGAAGTCAGTCAAAGAAGGGAATGTCCGTAGCCCACGATTCCGATGGCATTGGAGGCAACTTTGAAGGGATAGGAGCGCATTCCTGGGTCCTTGTAGCCGTCTGGGAGCTCTGGGTGGACGCTTGAGAGGTTCCCGGGAGTATTTATTTGTTGAGGCGTAGGAGTTGCCTGAGGAGAGTCCTTTTTTATGTTGAACTGAGAACAGTTTAATAACTCGCGCGGGAAGGAGCTTAGGCATGTAACTTACTTTGAAAGGAATCGGCCGGATTCCAGGAATTATGGGCGAAGCGTTGGCGGCTTGCCTAGAAGCGTCACTTGTAGAGGGTTCCTGAACATGGCTGGAACTTCTACACCATTCCGTCAGCTGGGATATTGACGGCGGCAATGAAAGAATACATACGCCTCTAATGAAGCAGCTGCGGCTAGCTCCTCCACTGAAGCCTTCTTCCTGGCATCGCTTTCCGCCTTTGTAGGCCTCTGTGAAAATACCAGGTATCAGAGCATAGTTAATAGTCGAAGGTGGAAAAAAACTTACCCCAGGTCCTCGACGCTTCGGAAAGGGACTTAGGGATTGAGGCATAGGGACTTTCCGTACCCTTGCGTTCTTCCGTGCTGGTTCCTTGGACTCTGGCAGCCTTCCGTTTGTTTCTTCGACTAGGCTGGACTGATTCCGGGGCCTGTGTGCCGCGCTCTTATATGAGGGGGCACATACGGAGGGTCATCTTGATCCTGCTGACCGGTATACAGCGGTGGGGCTGAAGTATAATGTGGAAGCGACACTTGTTGGTGATCGCGAACTTGGTTGACCGGTGGGTAAGGCTGGTGTGGCAAAGGGACGGGGTGTATGTGCTGTGGACGCACGACAGGAGGATATGGGTTTAATGTTCTAGGGTGGTCATGAGGTAGAACATGTCCTTGAGGCAGCGAGTAGGGCCCATTCGACGATCCGCGGGGTGGTAAGCGCTGGGGCTCCGGTCTTTGCGATGGTGGATAAGCTACGCCTTGGTGGGGATAAGTCCCAGCGAGTGGAGCATCCCCCATCCGTCGTTCAAATCGTTGCACGTCGAAGCCGGTCGGCGGATGATAAATTCCTAGTGGCGGCGCCTGAGTGATGTCGTAGGCGGCGTTATGCAATGGCTGAGGAGGCCCATATAAAATGTTTGGTAGGGGCTGAGAATGCGAACGCGGCTGGGGAACCATTCCCTGAAATTGTTGAGGGTGAGTGTGCAAGTTGGGCGCGGGGATGATATCGTTCGTGTAGTCCCCTGGTAGGTGGGGGTGGAAATTCCCGTGAGAATAATCGGAGGGGGGGCCAATGGCATTAGCAAGAGAGCTGCTAGCGGGGGAAGAAATCGGGGGAAGATAGAGCTCTGTCATCGTGAAGATGGGCAGAAATCAAAGGCGAGGCGATGGAGATGTGGCAAGTGAGAGGTTTGCCTTGACTTTATACCGCGACGCGACACGCCAAAACGTGACTTGGGAGCTACCACTTTAGGTCACACTGCTTTGACCGAACGAGTGGCGGGATTTCCAAGTCAAGATGACAAGTCAAAATGAAGCATTGACTGCTTTCGAGCAAAGGCAAGACTAGTCGTTTGGTCAAGACAAGTTCGGTTCAGCACAGATCAAAAACTCACGGCAGAAATTATGAACGCCTCTAGTGGTTGTTTAAAGGCGGGAGGATCAGGATTCAGCATCCTGTTGTTTCTCTATTTAAAACACTCCCAATTGATACTCGCGTTGCTCACCTATCAGACAAGGGGAAATCTACTGGCACAGACACAGATAAATCTGTGCTTGCCGCCATAGTATGTATTTAACATGAGCACAAGGACATACGTCCTTGTCCCGTTGCCTACCGCGGGGCTAGGGGGACATTGCGAACACTTCATCGTTTTGATCTGCGCCAACTACAGGAGAGCAATTGGCGGATAACCATGACAGAAGAATCAAAACGAAGGTATTGGTGCCTAGTTCCCGTTGAATGCAGGTCCGTTGTTCTTGGGCAGCGGTCAAAGGGCTTCAATAATTTGCTTCCGTTCGACAAAGACCAGCTTTGAAGAGGCAAAGCCGGCATCGCCTATGTTTTGGACAACCAGAACAAAGACACGCCTTCTGTACCTGTTCAACGGAGGAATGCTATCAAGCATCAGAAATCCACAGAACAGTACATACACTGGATGATGGGTTTCGATGGACGGCCAGTACTGGCTTCTAGGTAAGAGTCAGATAGCCCTGTCCCATTCACCCTTAAAAGCGACCATAGTAGACGCAGTTTCTGAGGCATAGTCTTCGAATACCTCGCTCTTGTCCAGACGAGACCATGACAAGCGCTGAAGAGCATGACCTGTGACGAGTCTACCAGGGGTAGTAGGAGCTTAGGAAAGGGCCATAACAGCACGGATAGTAGTATTGATGATGAACAATTAGATTGGTCGTAGCGCGACTTTGGAACCGTACGCAGACAAATGAAGAGAGTGCTTGCAAAGCACGAAAATTGAAAAGAAGTCGGATCCTTCGGCTAATTATCGGCAGCTTGAGCGGCCCGGGAGTGCCGGAGGACGACGCGATCCAGTTTTTCTTTTTCGTCCTTCGTTCAACATTGCACTCACCTCAACCTCAAGCTCATCCTGATTTCTGCGCTTACCTTGGCCCATAATTTTGAAACCCAATGATTTGTGTAAGAACCTGCCTACTAAAATATCTCTTCCTTCCCACTGGCCCCGACCGAAGCATGAATAACCTAACTCGCGAATCTGCTTTTTTTGTCGCTTTCTCCCCACGATCCATTCGGGGTACGTCTCTTCGTTTTTGCGGGATTTCTCCAGAAGATATATATGTCTGACATGAGGTCTCGAAAATTAGATTGGCTCTCTCAAGCTTTGTCTGCAGGTTAGCTGTCTTCACGCCACCATAATCTATGAAAGCCTCTTTGCTTCGCGATTCGTATCGTTCCTATTCCACTACGCGCTTCGTTCTATTCTTTCCAAGTTCTTTGTCCTCGCTGCCAGAGCTTCCCATGACATTGGGCCTGATTCATGGTCATGGTGGACTTTGATCGTCTCTTCCAAATTATAATCGATACCGATAACGCTTCTAGCCCAAGCGCCAAGCGTTATGAAGAACTGAGCCAACTGAAACTTTGAACGTACAGTGACGCCTGTCTAACTCTCCAATGGCAGGAGCCCTGACGCCTGCACTGATATTTGATAAGTATACTTACTCTCTGTTGTGGACGCGCCCCTTGAAGTCCTAGTAGGCACCAGCACGACAACATCTAACGACGCATATATTCCACTGGCTTCCAAAATCCATAACGGTCCTACACCTGACCGTAGAATCCTGGCCAGTGATCTGGGGCATGAGTATCAGGACGCGGCGATCTCTTCTACGATTGGTACGTCAAATTGACGGTGGGTTCGAGGGTTTTGACGACCAAGTCATATGCCTTCAAACTTTTCGCGTTCTCTGCTTCCTATGTCATTGGGTCTTGTGCAAGACCACGATATACTTCGGTCGCGGTCCCTCAAGGATGTAATCGATGCCGATAACACGTTCAGCCAATCCCAAGGTTTACCGGCTGAACTTTCGAAAGCTTGAACAGGCTGGGGGTGCTTCATAGATGCCCATCTTCTCAATGATACAAATCCCAGCAATTTTAAGATTTCCGTGCCCTGCTTCCATCGAAGTAGTTAGCTGGACAATATCTACCAATCGGATGACGTTTGTACAGGGTCTACCTCAGGACAAATCAGATAAATGTTATCAACCTTTGTGCCTGCCCTAAACTGAGCACGTGGGGAACGCGAAACTGTAGATAAAGCCTCAGTTTCAGCGCAGGGTTCAACTAAACCCCCAACCTCTCCCACTCGTATACTCACTGCTACCACCGTCGCGACAATGGCCGATTTCAAGAAGAAGGTATGGCTCGACGTCGATCCAGTGAGTGTTTCTCCATCAATTTCACCGCCACGATTACTCAATTACTCCTTAAAGGGTCACGATGATGCAACTGCCATCCTCCTCGCCCTTCACAGTCCCAAAATTGAATTACTGGGAATCTCCACGGTACGTGTTTAAATTTCGCTATTATTTGAAGTCGACTCTAAAATCTCGGTTTCCAGACCCACGGTAACGCACCCAGTGATCTGACTGCCATCAACGCTGCAAGGTGTTTGTTGGCATTCGGCGCGAAGCCTAATATTCGTGTATACCCTGGCGCACCGAAGCCTCTTTTGAAGAATGTGCAGCATGACGTAGAGATCCACGGTCCTGATGGCTTGGGAGGCGTCGAAGGATTGCCGTCTGGGACCGATCCTGCCGTGTTGTCCTTGATCGCCAAGAATCCTGATGGTTCTGTCGCTCGCGCCCTCGAGGGTATGTCCCAGGACGTCAAGAGGGTGTGGATCGAAGGGTCCGGTTCGGAGAAAGTGACCATCATCTCGAGCGGTCCCATGACCAACATCGCGTTGTTCATCTCGGTATATCCTGACCTGTTGGACGCCGTCGAAGAATTCGTGTTCATGGGCGGAGGTGTCGGCCTCGGAAATCGCGGCGCTGTTGCTGGTAAGTGTGATTTGGTGCACATCATACACCAGCGTTTCTAACTGAGTCTGGTGGAATAGAATATAATGTCATGTGCGATCGTAAGCGCTTTTCAATTCGACGCATTTGTTCTATCTAACATACTTCATTTGCAGCTCATGCGGCTCAGATCGTCTTGAACGCACCTGTTCGCGCCGTCATGATCCCCATCAATGTCACCCACACCGGCTATTGCGACCAAGGATGTTATCAAAAAACTCCTGTCGCCTTCCGCAATCGTAGGATCGAACGCGCCGCTGCCCAAGCCTGAAACAAACCTCAGGTACACCCTTTCGACTCTCATTGGATATTTTGCAGAGTCGTACAAGTCGACCTTTGGTTTTATGGACGGCCCCCCGATGCACGATGCGCTGACGATTGCGTATGCTGCGCACCCCGAGCTCTTCACTGCGAAACGATTCCGAGTTGACGTAGAGCTCGCCGGTGCCTATTCCAGTGGTCAGACCGTTGTCGATACATGGAAATACCAGAAGACCGACGATTCGTGGGGCGCCAGCGGGAAAAATTGCTTGGTTGCTGAAACAGTCAAGGTGAGCAATGAAAAATTCTCCTCAAACAGAGCGCTGAACGCATTGCTTATAGGCCGATGGTTTCTTCGACATGTTCTTGGACTGCGTTTCCCGTTGCGACAAGGTCTCGCCGTTGAACCTCCAGGCTTGAAGATATAATTGGATAGATGACAGCGCGAATGATGTATAATTGTGGAAAGTAGAGAGAAGTCGATTTGAATGTACTACTACGTGGTGTCCAATTGCAAGATCTGACCGAATCAAGACCGAATTACTAGTCTCCCCAGGCAGACTCTCAAATCAAGACAGTCGACCGAATTACACGAAAACGGCTATTTTAGTATCCAACAGTACCCAGCCGGACCGAACCGCCGGGGGAATACCACGGAGTGATGTCATTGCTGAGTAAGGACGAGTTTGAAGGCCGACGGCAGAAATATTAGCACTTTGCAGTCGGCATCCAACCGCAGATACGAAGCAGGACATCCAACTCAAAGTCTAACGTGATGGCAGTGTTTTTCGTTGACTCTGAATTCAGTCCCACGATGCATAAGGACGTTTCTATGCCTATTCAAGACTCGAACTTCCATAAATCGTCCGTTGACACCACCGCCAACGACGACCCTAGTACCCCTCGCCTGGTCGCCGTTGAACGTGACATGGACAGCGCGACATTGGACTCTTACATAGCTGAAGATCTGAAGAATCGCGCTTTTGTCTTTCCTGAAGTCTTCCTGACCAAAATTCTTCACCTTACTTCCGACTGGCGGACAGCGTATCAAGCGGAGATAGAGAAAGTTCGAGGCTCTAAGACTTTCAAATCTCTCCTTAAAGCATACATTGACACCTGCGACTCTACGCAAGACGAAAATATGCTATACAATCCGTTCAACAGGGCTTGGAAAGCTGGAACTCGAGCACTCTATGATAAGAAAGGTAAGAATGACAAGGCGTCGCAGCCCCTACGGCTCGATCCCTATCGACAGGACTCTCAGCAGATCTGGGATGAAAAGGCTGCGCCGAGTTCTGATTCTTTGGAGCTGTTGAAATCCACGCCTGAAAGTTCAGGAAACACGCTCCGAGGTATCAAGAACAATGATTCTCGCGAAAACTTCGCATCGGCTCAGACGCTGCATTGGTTTGAGTTTAAACTACAATCCAAGGTTCTTAGATCAAGGCGCTGAGTGTCAGTATCGCATACTCTCAGAAGGGCGGTCTCAGTTTTCATATTTATCTCTGCTCTCTAACAGAGGCACAACAGACGGTATAGATCCAGCTGCTCCTACCATTACAACACCGGTTTCTTCCTCAAATCCACAAAATGGCATACAATTCAGGACTTCTGCTGCACAGAAGAGACCCTCAATCTGGCAGTACACGGGCTTGTGGTTCATCTAAATACTCTCGGTTGGCATCCACGCCTCACATTTTGGCGGCAAGGGCCAAATACCTAAAGGAAGCGGAAGAGAAACAGTCTATGACTATGGAACAAGAAGCTGCCGATTCTAACGAGCGCAAGAAAGTGCGTCTCCAGTGTGCTCGCTATGCCACGGAGATGCTGTCGAATGCCGGATTTCGAACGCACTGCATCGGTGCTCTCATCGCCTCGAAACAAATGCAGCTCCTCTATTACGATCGATCTTCTATCTTTGTCTGCAAAGACTTTCACATCGTCGACGCAAATGGTGACGCTACAGACCTTTTCATTGGCGCAATCATTAGCTTTTCCAGACTTACTGAAAAGCAACGCGGTATCCAGAGGTCCCTTTGTGACGACTCGGCCATGATCAAGACGTACACCATGAGGTGCAGAGATGATCCAAAATCCCTATTTCAAGGGGTGAAACTGAACCTGACCGTTTCGGAGGACGGGGCACAGGTAGTGCTTACACTTGGTCGTATCATCTCCCGCCAGCCCGGTATCATTGGGCGGGATACCTGTGTGACGGAGGCGACGGCAAGTGAGTATGAACCATGGAAGGAGAAGGAACTGGTTGCGAAAATAAGCTGGCCGGCTGCTTCGCGTGTCTCTGAGGTCGAGTTTGTGATCAAGGCTCGGAAAATGGCTCGGGAAATGCCCCAACCACTTGTCGATGGGGTTCAAAGTGATTGGGCTTTAGACCATCTTCCGGATATCATTCACTCGCAAGATTTCGATTTTGACGCCGATTCTCCTCAGGCAGCACTTCGGGAGTTTTTTCTGAAAGCCAAATGGGCTAATAATCAGATTTTCCTACATGAAGATCGCGTTTGTCGTGTTACAGTGCAGGAGAGACTGCATCGACTAGAGGAGTTGAAGACGCCCCAAGAGTATGCTCAAGTAATAGTGGACATCACCCAAAGTATGTCGGGCTTTTTCCTGCTGTATTCTTTTGAACTAATGGGTTGTAGTTCACAAATGGGTCTATGACCATCCATGTATCATTCATCGGGATATTAGCATGGGGAACATCATGTGGCGACGAAATCTCGCAGGAATTATATGTGGTGTTCTGAACGATTTTGACCTGGCTTCGTACCGAAGTGAGTCGGGAGCTACTTCCCGTCATCGGACTGGCACGCGGCCGTATATGGCCTTCGAGCTCCTCAAGAATGATAAAGAAGGCAGACCGCCGAAGCATCTTTATCGACACGACCTGGAGTCCATCTTATATGCCATCCTCCATCTCTCACGATGTCATGAACTGGACGGGTCCTTACCCGAGGGCGAATCCCAATTAGTTCGTGTTCCGTATCCCACACTCGATGAATGGGTGCATCTACCGTACGACAAATTACAGGCGTCGAAGCAGTTCTTTTTTTTCACCTCCGATCCGGGCGATCCTGAAATCGAGCCGACATCTAGTTTTGAAGGGTTCAGGCCGTGGCTTGAGAGACTCTACAATATGTTCAGGACTGGATTCAAGGCCCAGTCGACGTTCTATGATCTGTCAAAGGCTGCAGCGCAGAAAGCCTTGGCACCGGAACCAGTCGACCTGTTCATCCCGATGACAGATGAAGTCGCGCCATTTCAAGATCCTGCCCCATTCAACCACCACACTTTGGCTGGGAGTGTTGATTACTTGAAGTTTCTCCGTGTGTGTCGCTACTTTGGTGGTGAACGGCTTCGCCTGCGGAATTACCAGCTCGTACTAGAGGAGGAAACCTAGTGCTTTATGAGGCTTTATGCTAAAGGAAACTCCTCTCCTGGTCTTATGTTAAATTATTTGCATCGTTAGTCACCTCGTCTTGTAGCAACATTTTGTAATGTCAAATCCCCAGTAACATTTTCATATTTTATCGACACACCGAGACCTATCAATTCTCGGAAAGGATGAAGATTTACGAGTCTCTGTAATACCCTTTGTTCTTCTTGCTCTCCTCAAGCGACCGGTGATACGAATTCCTCGGCGTCACTTAATTTTGTCTTTGGCGCATATGGGTTGCGCCTGCCGCCGACTCAGGTACGGGAGGAGGAGGGAGAAGCAGCGGCCGCTGAATTTATAGTATTGCTCGGCTCCATATAGTGGTATGCAATTCTGTCTTCAAAGGTATATACCCAAGGCAGACACAGCGATGCGTCTTCCTCCTGAGCTTACCGACATCATTATCGACGAGCTCAGTCACGACCGTGGGGCACTGAGGTCATGTTCTTTCGCATGCAAAGCCTTCCTCCCTCGGTCACGGGTTCATTTGTTCCATCATGTTACGTTGACGCTGTCTTCCGATAGCAGACGCTTTTGTGACCTTCTCTCGGCCGTGTCGCTCATTGCTCCACTTGTGAAGTCATTGAAGATCGAGGAAGGCAAAAATGACAGAGATTGGTCGTTCTGGTCAGCCGCTCATGACTGCCAATGGGTGTGTGATGACCCTGTCCTCCCTATCATCATATCCTCTCTGCCAAACCTCGTCTCCTTCACCATCAGCGCAATATACCTCCGTGCCACCAGCCGTCTATCGTTCTCGCACACGCTTTCCACCAGAACAACCGGTCTGACCACTCTCAACATTGATTGCATGCACTTTGACAATCTCCTCGATTTGCTCGATATGCTCGCGGCGTTTGTCAACCTCAAAACTCTTCGCCTAGGGACCATCAGCACCACGGCTCCTTTCTTTTCGAATGCAGACCGCCTGCCACTAGGTATCGAGGAAATCGAAGTCGACATGGAAGGGAGTTCGGAAGTGATTGAGATGTTTTTGCTCCGCGTTCGGCTAAAGAGGCTGAAAAGGTTGAGCGTGACGAATGTGCAGAACATGGAGGTTCTCAGCTTGCTCATAGAGTTGACCCGCGACTCTCTGGAAGCTTTGAAAATGGAGTTACCAATAGAATATGGTTCGTGTGGCCATGTATTCCTTCTGTATTCTGGCATTGATGATTGTCTACGAAGCAAATCGGTATTCCTTGCTAGATACGAGCCATCTCGAGTCGTTGTCAATCAAATTATCGACATGTTCGGTGATGGATTGGTGGGTAAAGGGATTCAAGACGGAAACTCTGGGTTTGATCATGCTGGTTGCGGAGAATTGCGACCTTTTGTTGAACTCGGGGTGACGCGGTAGTCATCCCATGGACTTGATGCTATTACTGTATTTATCTCTGCTACCATTTGCAAGAGGCTTCGTCTGCTGAATCGCGGTATTTCGGTGGTTTCCACGATTTTTCAGCTCTCGTGATTTACGATACTTCGGGTGGTGTATCTAGCAATAGAATATAGTACCTTGTAGGTGAAATCAATATATAATTACAACAAATTTTTGCATGAACTAAGAAACTTACTACGGGTTTGCTGGCTGAGCAGCTTGAGCAGCTTGGGATTTCGAAGGCAAGAGGAGGGCCAGAGGCTGCCGGCATTGTCCGCTATGAATTACCTAAATGAGCGGTTGCCTTCGGCATCTCATCGGCTACATTGACCCTCTAATCTGCTTCCAGGATGTCTACGACGCCTGTAAAGGTGTAAGTCCCTCTGCTTTTTACTGTACTCACCGTTCATACCAACATTGACAGTCTAACAGTTGGTGCAGCAGCAGGCTCCATTCGCGACCTCTTCGGCAAAGTGAAATCAATCGACTCGAAACATGGCAAGTTCGACTTTGTCCTCTGCGTTGGCGACTTTTTCGGGCCACCGAAGGATGCTCCTGACGATGAGGATGAAATGGTGCAGCTGCTGGATGGGAAGATTGAAGGTACGTTGTCCGACAACATGAACATCGCTTGGGGTCTGACACGCGTACTAGTTCCCATCGAATGTTACATTATGCAAGGAGGCAACCCTTTACCAGACGCTGTAATTCAAAAATATTCGAAGACTGGGGGAGAACTCTGCAAAAATGTGTTCATGTTGAGTGAGCAGCGCGTTCATCTGAGGCGTCAACATTCACTCACGCGGTCTTCAAGCGAAATCCGGGCTCGTCACGACGGCACACGGTCTCAGAATCGCTTGTCTCGGTGGAATATACGATGTTGAGGTCTACTCAACGTCAGAGGCCGCTCCTGTACGTCCAATCTATTTACCAACGTTATTCATTCTAATTCAGCGTAGGGTTTCGCGTCGCCTTTCTTTTCCTCTCAAACAACAGAGAGGCTGCTTTCAAACACACTCAGCACCTCAAATAAGAACCAAAATTATAAGTCTCTAAATGCTATTCAAGCCGGATCGTCTTCTTCGCAGCTTGTCGATATATTCATCAGCAATGTCTGGCCAGCCTCAGTAACAGAAATGTCTGCAGTGCCTTTACCTTTTCCAGAACTCGCGTCTATCGGTGTGTCCGCTTTGGATGACACGATTCGTCGGTTAAAGCCTCGCTACCACTTTGCTGCAAGTGGAGGCCAGCCACCTATGTTCTGGGAACGGGAACCCTTCGTTTGGAATGATGAAGAGGGTCGCATCTCGCGATTTGTGAGCTTGGGTGCTTTTGGAGGATCCCCAGTGACTGGTAAAAAACAGAGGGTACGTTGCTATGGTATTTCTATACCGTGTCCTCTGATGTCCTATCTAGTGGTTTTACGCGTTCTCTATATCTCCCAATACGCCAACGACGGCGCCTGCCGCTCGTCCTGCAAATGCCAGCAAAAATCCTTTCACAGAGGCGACGCACCGCTCTCAAAAACGCGGCATTGAGGAATCAGATGGTCAGAACTTCATTTTTGGAGATGTCAAAAAACCGATGAAGCGCAGTCGCGTGGGTAAGTGGTTGCTTCAATCGCATGCACGGTTTTCATAATTAAAATACTCAGATCATGGGGATAAGCCACCGCCAGGATACAAATGTCGACGATGCGAGGGAACCGACGTGAGTTCTCCATTGCAGTTCGTTTATGTTCAACTAAGCTTCAAGAGCAGCACTTCATTGATCAATGCCCGGAACGGACCAAACCCCCTGAAGGTTATGTTTGCAAGATCTGTAACACGGTGAACCTCATTGGTCTGTTTATTTCCGCATCGTTGATTGAAGCCTTTTGCAGCCAGGACACCTTGTGCGTGACTGTCCAACCAGACACGCTGTGGGTGACACCGGTGGTCGCAAGCCCCGAGAAGGATATGTCTGCCGTGCATGTGGAAGCGAAAATCATTATATCGAAGATTGTCCTGTCGCCAACGAGCGCCCAAGTCGCGGCCGGGGAGGAAAGAGGGGACATCCTCCCAGAGAGCTTGCTCGTACGCCCTTCACCATTGTCAATGATGTGAATCTGGAAGCTGAATTTGTTCTCTAGCCGATGAGTGTTGGTTCTGCTTGTCGAATCCCAACTTGGCGTACGTTCCTTCTCTCCTTATACCAGGATGGGTGTTGAGTGTCACTCTAGAAAGCACTTAATCGTCTCCATTGGCACCGAATGCTATGTGACGCTCCCAAAGGGACAAATAATACCAACCCAATCGGCAGCAGATCACGTTGACATACCGGGCGGAGGACACGTTCTCATCGTCCCCATCACACATTATCCAACATTCAACACGATACCTCATGATCTGGCGGTACCCATCATTGATGAAACTGAAAGGTGTGTTCCCCAGAAACGCAGACGACATTGCCTCATACACGCACTCTTTAAGGTACAAAACAGCCATTCGAGCCATGTTTGGAAAACATAAAATGGCAGCTACGTTTTTCGAAGTAGCGCGGTTGCGTCAAAAGGGCGGGCATGGGCATGTACAGGCTGTACCAGTGCCGTTTAAGCTTCAGAACAAGATCGAGGAGACGTTTGTGAATGAGGGCCGGTCGTTGGGCATTGAGTTTGAAGAGAATCCGGACGAGGCCTTGGCCTCCTGCTCAAACGGTCGAGGGAGCTATTTCAGAGTGGACCTACCGGATGGTCGGAAGATGGTCCATGTGATGAAAGATCACATACCATTCAGTATACAATTCGGAAGGTGTGTACAGTCGTCATATGAACACTAAGTTACTGATGAATATTCATCAACAGACAGGTACTGGTCAATCTTTTGAATACTCCGAGCCGTGCAGACTGGAAAGCTTGCATGCTTTCAGAAGACGAGGATAGGTCTGACGCTCAGGCCTTCAAAGCGGCATTTGCGCCATTCGATCCTAGTGCATGATGATTAATTATCGTAAAGCTGTATGTAACCTAAGGTGCTATATTTTCTTTTCCCAAAGAGTTCTTCATCCATTCGGCAGCAGTAGCTTAATTTAGAGCTGCAGGTGTTGAAGTGTCACCGGCGAGCTTCTATCATCGATGCTTTTCTTGTAACTGCAACAGACGATAAGCACCGAATTTGAGATAAAGTTTGTTTCAGAGGCTTACCTATGGCCAAAGGCATGCATGCCTTCCTTCTTAGCTTTCTTCAACACCCGCGCCATCGCGTCGAGACCTAGACAAAGAAATCCTCAGTACTTAACAAAAACGGATTTGGTGGACAACGGACCCTTGTCCAAGTCTTCAATCGGGGGACCGAAGGAGAGACGAACGAACGAATGACAGGGCGAGTTGAAGAGATTGCGCCGGTGCGCAGGGTTGATGTCAAAGAAGATGCCGGGAATGACAATCGTTTGTTCCTTGAGCAACTCCTCGAAGAACGTCTAGATGGCGATCAAGTCAAAAGTCAAACAGCATCCGAGCTGTACTTACCAAACCATTGTTCAATGGCTCCGGGAGCTTCTCGAGATTAAGCCAGATGTAGAAGGTGCTCGTAGGGGGGACCGCGACAGTCTAGATGAAGTTCGTGTAGCCGAGCAAGGACGTGGTCGCGTTTCATCTTGAAATGTTTTTGGAGCGCGATCTATCCGCAATTGTGATTAGAGAAAGTGGAAAAAGCGAATGCTATGGCGGACCTTCTCTTCTCTGACGCGGATGGGGTCGAGGAGTGGGATAGCAGCCAGCTGCATTCTGTGTGCGTCGTCATTAGCGACTTTAAGAGACAATAGAACTATTAGGCATACGGGTGGTTGGCGCCTCCGTCCAGGAAAGAGCCGGACTGGGAGAGCGCCGTTATCAAGTTCTTTGGTCCGAGGACCCAGCACACTCGCCAACCAGGAAGACGCCAGTTCTATGGATACACACTCAAATCAGACCCAAAATAGCTGTAACAATTATCCCACAAACCTTCGTGAGACCATCCACGATGACAATCGAGTCCTGTTATTGACATTAGCAGTGAGATCCTCAATTCAGAGTGGCCTCCGGGTAATTACTTCATTGACATCTTCAATGTACTCCGCGGAAGAGATGGACTTTCCCAGATCTTTTTCGTTATCAGAATAGATGTACCAAGAATAAAACTGCATCAGAGGTAAGAATAGAGCTTTGGGGCACCGCAAATAGAATGCTTACTTCGTCGAGAATAAGGGTAGTCCCTTCGTGGCTGAGAGCAACAAGCTCCTTCAACTCGTGTCCCCTAAAAGTAGGTGAACCTTCCCGTGCGCACCAGGCAATTGTAATAGCGCTTACTTGATGACCTAAAAAGACATGAATGAGCAATTGAATACATGAAACTGTGTGAAATGGCATGCTACCTGTCCAGTGGGATTGCGAGGGTTTGACGCCAATATTACGGCCAGGCCCTGCGTCCGGATATCTTTCTAGATTCAGGAACACGCCGTCAATATTGTTATTTGTTTAGAGCACTCTGGCAACTTTACCCTTGTTTGTTCGATATCAAGCCTATACTTGTTCTATAGAGACGAGATGTCATGAGTACAGATAGCACCAGGACCAACGGAAGCCATACCGACGATTCGAGACTAGAATACATTTCAAGATATGCATTAGCACGTCGCCCTGATCGAGAGTGCTCATAGGTCGAGAGTTAACCAGATGCGCCACTCACGCTGTAGGTACGGGTACTAGTCTCTTGAATGCAGTCAAAACTTGATCGTACGCGGTGTAGTCCGGTATTTGATAAGACTGTTTATTCAAAGCGGGATCAACATTGATGACGAATATCAAAGAGGAAATAACCGACTGTATAGACGTCACCGACGACCGCCGCGATACGAGAGAGACCGGCGCGACCACCCGGAACGATGCAGACGTTCTCGTAAGTGTATTGACTAGCCTTGCCTTTCCTGTATGTAACATTGTATAGGTTAGCAACGGCTTCTCGAAGAGCTGATTGAATGAATCAGACGGGATAACCTAACAACTACACAGCCGAGACACCCACCTTTCACACCCGTAGTCGGGGCGTATTCTAGAGAATCTATAGGGAGCGGAATAGAAGTCGGTCGAGGCGGCGCGTCTGGAATCGGCCCGACTTCGGGGGCTCCTTGGCCAAGGTTTGCCCAGTCATGCGAATTGGCGTAGTTGAACCCGTTCGCGATAGCACGATCGGAGCAATAGATGACCCCAGTACTACCTGGATGCTCGATTCCAGGCACAGTCTCCTCATCCTATCACGGAATGAGGGGACTAGGACTCGGGAAATGCAAAAGGCGTACTGGGTTAATGGTCTGAGGCAAGACACCCTTCACCTTGTGTCCAGCCGACTGCCGGAAGATCTGAAGGCAACGTTAACAATGGACAGCGCTGAGACTCGGTGAAGACAAAGTCACGTACTCTATGAGCCTCCGACTCCTTCTCGTGCTTGTAGTGCTTCATAACATCGCGAACCTGGTCCATGACATTAGAAAAGGATTGAACACGGGGGAGGTGAAAATGCATAGGCATGGTGGGCGATTTTTGGGAATCCGAGGGTAACCTACAATGTCTTTAAAGTGTCGAGGGGTACCCGGTCGGGAAGGCTCTGCACTGACGGACATACTGCACGGTGAAATTTAGAGTAAAAGGTGGCTGAGGGGTTTGCGCTAAGTTAATGAACAGGGACGCCGCCAGCGTGGAGACTATTATATCATGAGTCTATTTTAAGTACAAGGTAACGCGCGAAACACGCCTTTTGATCTATGCTAACCCATGACAGGTATATCGCGGGCCACGGCAGGACTCGGTGGAATTCGACCTAGAGCAGGCCAGCGCAGCGTGTATTGCCCTGGACTTCCCGTGAATTCACTTGCCATACATGTGCCTGCTCAGGATTGGCCGACGAACCTGTCTTCAGAGCGCGGCGAGGCGTCACCGGCGCAGTTTACCTCGTGATCTTGGGTGTTCCAGTGCGTCGTCATGCATACAAGGATCAGTCTTCAGCCAAAGATATGTGCAGTCGCTAGTGGCGGGAAGAAATGTTACCCAGAAAATGCCCTTGGACCTTGGAAACCCATCGTGCTGAGTACCACCAAGTCTGAAACTGCTGAAAATTTTCCAGGGTCCGAAATATTTCCCCCCCCGCTGTTGACACTGGATGATCGCTTGTTGATTGTGATACTGTGCTCTGATCATCGATGTTCCAAAAATGCTGAGGACGCTACTGACATGGAAACCTATGGTGAAACTGTGAAACACCGATTTCACTGATTATCAATTACTATTGTGAGAAAATGAGATACTTTTCCTAGTGGGCAATCAGCGGGAAGACGTACTGTGCATCGAAGTAGGCATTGACCAGAGTTTTATGAATGCTTCGAACATCGTGACGAGCTGCAGTTTTACCAGACCAGGGCACCATAAACATCATCGATGGTTGCATAAACGCAGTATGAGTGAATTAGGGAACCTCATTAGGCGCCGCAACTACAGAGCTACACACATGAAAACGCAACTGCATACGTGCGTCGGCACCAGAAAGACTATGTGACACATGGTCATAGTTTCATTGGTCAATGATGATTAAGTGGCCCCGTGAGCAACCGGGAAGTCAAAAATTATTGAGAAGAGAATAAACCGAGCCATGAGAGAGAAGAACCACCGAGGACGGTGCCGCTTGCTTTGAAAACAAGCGAGCGGAGTTTCAACTAAGTAGGATTGCCACCGACGCAGATAGATCGCCTAAAGATCACTGGGCTACTAGTCGGCACCGTTAGATCAGGACTTTTTTTTAGAACCGCCGACTGAACATAACGATGAAGACTCGTGGAACTATCCCAGAAAACTGGGAGGCAGATAGCGAATGACATTACTTGAAGAGTTCCTGCCTCCGAGTGCAGCGCATAATTCCAAAGAGGAATCTAATGTGAAGTTTAGTTCTAATTTAAGCAAAGTGTCTTCTAAAGCCTGGGGCTCACCTTCACCCTAATTTTGATCTATGATTGAGCATAGCGAAGTTTGCCGCTCACTTAGCATTTGCATTTACCAACATAGTCAGAAACACTGTTTAAATGAATGCTTTGATGGTGTTTATGAACAGACGCACATGCTGTCGAATAAAGGTACAGAGGGGCTAGTCGTAAGGCGTCTACTTCTACATTCATTATGTCTTCACAATAACGTCTCGCCTGAAACAGCGGGTCAGCTCGAATTATATGAAAGGAAGGAGTGACTCACCAAGGGCTGCGCGGACTAGGGAGCAACCGACTGTCACAGTCTTGTTCACGCTAGATTCGTCCTCGAGATGCGGGTTTACCTCCTTCAGTAGCCGTCAATTTTTTATTTCAAAAGGGCGTTGCAATAGAAAGCTCACCACCAAATCAAAGGCCACAAGTAATCCCGTTTCATAGACAGCCTCGCAGATGTAATGTCCTTCTCTGAAGGTAAGTCCTCCACGAACCTAAGCAGGCGCTAAGCAATTATTCCATTCAAAGGAGCTCTCGTCTTACCGGAGTTCCGGTGGAGGGGGCGACCGAAGGATCCAAAGCGTCTATATCGAAGCTGAGATGGATCGGTAGATCCCTGTTTGGATTAACGTGGTCCAGCGCCATCTCAACAACTTTCCCAATCCCATACTTATCCACCTCATGCATACTGAACGCCTTGATCTTGTTCTCTTTCAAGATGCGTTTCTCTCCGGCATCGATGTCGCGCAGACCGATGTATACCAAGCGCTCGGCCTTCAACAGAGGTTTGATCCAGCCGAACTCGGGGACCTTGGCACCCAAGCCGAGGAGGAAAGACACGGGCATACCGTGGATGTTACCTTGAGAGACTCCATGAGGTGGTATCACATTTTCGACGAGCTAACTACGCACCCGAATCTGTGGTTTCGGGAGTGTTGATGTCGGTATGAGCGTCAATCCAGATAACGCATGCGTTCGGATAGGTACTAAAACGACTATGAGAATAACCGTCATTGTGATAGCACCGGTAACGCACCCCAACGTTCCGGAAATCGTACCCATAGCCTATCGCGTCATGCATGAGAAATCGGAACTAGCGCGAAGAAGAAAAACATACGAGCGAATGGTCACCACCAAGGGTAAGTGGTAACTCACCCCGCGCGGCGTGCCCACCGACAACTTTGGCCACAGATTCATTGACGCGTGAAACGAACCTGGGGTTGCGCAATTTTCCGATGGGTGGATCATCTGTCACGCTGAGCTCTTCGAACTGATGGTGGCCATCAAAAGTAACTCGCCAGCCTAGCTCAGCTAGCTGGTCCGTAAGCCCGGCCTCAACCAAGTGAATGGGGCCCTTGTCAACACCCAGTCTTTGCTGTGGCGGGAATTCAGAGCCGGATCAATGTTTATTAATTGAATCTCACCTGTCCAGCACTATAGAATGAATCAATTAGCGTTCAATCTCTATCGGATAACAAAATTTTCATACCTGAATGGACATCCGATTATCTACAAGATTACCACGTCAGGATCACGGAAATTTTGGTAGAGCCCCTAGCACGTACCGCAACCGTCTGAGGCTCCTTGAGAAAAGGCGACTTGATTGGGGACATGCTTGATGAAGAAATAAAAGATATTAACAAAATCGGCAAGTTCTGAAGGAAGGAAGGGAGAGAAACCGCCTGGGTGTTTTATACGGAAGTGATGGAGGGAAAGATTCGGGGTTGGGTTCGGACCCCTCTGCCGGAAGATACCATCATTCGGCCCGAATTCGGATCTCACCTTTTCACCGCTTTGATCGAAAGATAATCATATCTTCGGAATCGAGCGAAGTCTCATGCTGTGGCGTTGAAACGCAGTTTTTGCGATGGCCACCATCCTGGAGGTCCTTGGGGCGAAGCCAGGCTCCATTGTCACCCCGTACGTTGCAGGGAACGGACTATCTTTTACCTCAGAAACATCGAGAAATTTAAACGCTGCCAAGTTTTTAACCATCTTGCATACCGGACCTATGACCCGCCGAATCACATTGAATAAAAGTCAGGCGACCGCCACGTTCTTCTGCAATGTCTAGGACGTGTTTCTTTTTACAAAAATACATTTGAAATCTATGGTGTCCAAGGACAGTTTGTACGAGAGGACAGCACATTGTGTTACGCAACAAGATCCGCGAAGTGGACCACATGAGCGAGGACTGTTGGTTTGTTACACGAGAGGTGTATGGATGGAGCAACAAATATACTGCGGCACGAATTATTTTAGAAATCTCCTGACCGGTCAGCTCCACAACTTTCTCCGCTTTGGCCGGGTTGTTACAAGCATAAGGCGTAAACTCGTCCAAGCATTATAGGAATTTCCTCTCCGATTTCTTAACAGCGTGACTAGTCAAAAACGAATTGAATTAAGTTCATTATTCTATATGTACGTGTCTAGTTTCTCTTCTAACATTTGCACAAATAAATATTTACACAGTCAAAGCTTTCAGCGACGACGCCAGTTTCTCTGCATCTGGGGAAAACACCGCGTCAAAGTAAGCCTTCAGACCAGCTACAGCCATTGACAAGAGCACCAATAACACCATCAGGTCGAACGACTATGGTGTCCAAATCCCTGCTCTTGACCACATAGTTCTGGTATGCATATCCGTCTTTGTCTTTGAAAACAAGTTCGGCAGGAAGATCACTGGACTTGACTTCAGTGTTCTCAGGAAGAACGACGACGCGCTTTAATATATGCGCCGGATACTGCTTGACAGAGTCAAGGATAGCCGTCTGCTTCTCTTTGTCGTCAGAGAAATGAAGGAGAGTGTGATGAGTAGGTCCAAACACATCGAACAGTGTGGACGAGTACTTGTCTGCTGGCTGTCCGAGTGAGATCAATCCAGGAGCGTCGGGGGCACGATCTCCACCTCGAACGGTACCGTCGTTTCCGGAACGGTAAGGATCAACCTCTTCGCTACAGTCGGTCTGCGTTTCATCGACAATAACGGGGCTTCCGCGGTAATTGACACCGAATTGGCGCAACTCGTAGCCTCGCTTCCAGCCGTCAAAGTTATCGGGGGTGCGCGCGAATGTCTTGTTGAGAAGCGCAGTGGTCTTGTCGAGCATGGAAGCAACAACAGGGTAGGCGCTCAGTGAGTGTAAGAGTCGAGAAGTGCCTTTGAAGCGAGGCCTTTCTCTGCCAGGACCAACTTCCACGCCAAGTTCAACTCCAGATGGTGTTAGTAGGGAATTTAATTGAAAATCATTAGGATGGCTCACACAGTCTTGTACACCCGTGTTCATGCCCTGGCGAACGAAGGATATATCAGGGGTTTATTCTTAGATGGTTGTAGAAACGTACTTGAGCTCCGGTGGGGCTGTGGACATGCGAAGCATCTACGAACTGTAAGTCAAGGGAACCTATCCAAGCGAGTTTCAATAAACGTACCTCCAGCAACATAGACTCGTCCATAGCCGAATTTATCTACCATACGGACATTTGGTCTGGCTCATTAGTTAGTGACTGTTGACCGTGTTCAAGACGCGTTTACGGTCTTACCTATAGGGTCGTAAATAGATGAGTTCACCAAAATCGATATCTGTGCGTCCACTGATTTCGTAGAAAGACTTGATAAACTCTTCTCGACTTGATACCATTAAATCGGGATCGGCTTCAACGCCACCACCGAGATAGTAGCACCGATCGTCATTAGGGATCTCGTAGGGCCGCAGACTCGCCCTAAGACAGCGGTAATCAATAACAAAGCCATGAGAATGTTTTAAAAATGGACATACATCTTTTTCGAAGCGTCACCCCATACGTGCCAGATCTAAAAGGAGGAGACACAACCAGTCAATAACCGGTATATATAACGAGGACTGAAGATTTCACCTTCCGGTTCAACTTCTTCTCCAGGTCCTTGATGTAGATATCACCGATGACAAAGTTCTCTGCTTGTCGAGATTCGCCAAGGAAACTTAAGCCCAGTGTCTTTCGCACCATGCTAGAAGCACCGTCGGCACCGACTAGCCATTTGAATTCCGCTGTCTCTTCTACCTGTTTTCCGTCCACCGTCTTGGAGAGAGTTGCTGAGATATGATCTTCCGTTTGCTCAAACGATATAAGCTCAGTACTGAGCTCAACGTGGACATTGTACTTCGCCAAGTGTTGCCGGAGAATGGCTTCATGCCGGTCCTGGCCCAGGATAAGAACGTTACCCTAGTACAACATTAGTCAACCGGATATTCGATGAAGAGGAGGAATCTACATATGGATTGGCCGGCGTATTGTCTTCAACCGGGAACATGGGCATTTCCCTCTTGTGCGTAACCCCGTCTTCGTCATATAAAATCAATGAATGCATTATAGGGCTGGCCTTCTGTATGTCTTCCAACACCCCCAAAAGTTTGTAGTGCTCCAATGTTCGTGGCTGAATCAAAGTGAGTGCAAAATCTGAATAAATTGCTGGACTACTTACAGAGAGAGCTGCACCCCGTTGCCCTACTTGAAATTTGGAGATCCTATCTACCACTCGCACAGAAATCCCATTTTGTGCGAGGGCAAGGGCTGTGACGAGACCACAAGGTCCAGCACCCGACTAAGATGATGGCATGAGAACAAGGCAAACAACTATCAAAGATGAGTACATACGATAAGCACCGTCTGTGATTCGTTCTTGGACATTGCAGAATGTGTAGAAAGGGAATACCGGAAAACTCGATGAATGAGGAATATCCAATCCTCCTAGGTGTCTTATAACGTTCTAGCGGGAGAAGGTGGGGGCGGAGGAAGTTAGAACGTCTCCTGAAAGTTGGGTTCGAATCGTCCAGGCTTACTCTGTCCCGTTTGTAGAAAAGAAAGATTGTTGACACGGAGGTGGAGGCCCGCGGCCGCAATGTTGGGACCTGCAGGAGTGAGGCGGGATCGCGCCACCAAGTAAACACCTGATTGACATATCTGACACCGTCAAGAGTAGCCAATATCTGAGCAGATATGAAGACCTGCGTAGAGTCCCGAAAATTTGCTCCCGAACATCTTTAGCTATTCACCAAAGAAAAACGAGTACCCGAGCCAGAAGAGATAGTGACAGTGACCATAGTTTCCAGAATTGCTGGTCCTGTGTAGCTGAGAAGCAAAAAGTTTGCGCCGATCGACTTGCCCAAGCATCAGATCATCAAAGCGTCCCGATAGCATTGTTAGAGATTGAATACCCCGGGTGACGGTGGCCCACTAAAACCCTGTATAATGAAAGATTTTGGCGAACTAACTCGAAATCAACATACCCATTATGAACAGCGGTTCAAGGGCCAAGACTTGATATTCATAGCACATCGCCACAGTAGGGGCCCATGAAAATCAGAGCCCTAGTTGTAAAACCTGATACATGATTGGGTCTGCCGCATAGGAAAGTTTGCTCGTATACTCGTGAAAGTCAAAGCATTGTCATTGTCTGTAGTCATTCTGATAAGGATCCGGCGGTTGACCGACGTCGGAGTAACGAAAGCTGGCAGGCTGTACCATTAGATGCAGTGGGAAGGCTTCGAGAGCTCTTTCCTTCATGCTTTGTACGCAACTGGAGGCTCGGCGAAGGCTTAGGATTGATCGATTGCCTGCCGAGTCGAGGACAGAGACGTACGAAGTCAAAATCAAAACGATAATGACAGATTTTCGGTCCCGGTCCGGAAAGTATTCCGAGTCGGACCGGCGGTAAAATTTCATCCACCAGCACTGGTACCTTGCCTATTTCCTACACACGTTGTTTCGTAACTGTGAATCTAATAATCCTTGCCATCTCTTTTTTTTGGATGAGGTACATGTTACAAAGATCTACTCGGCTCTGACAACTGTACTGTACTCTTGCAAGCGATGTCTGCCACTGAGTCGCAGCAGCGGCCTCGCTCTTTCGTGTGAGTAACTAGTTTTCTACAATAGTGCGCTATCATGAAAATTTATAGTTTAGCCTCATATCTAGACGCATCAGTCATTGTCGAACTAGGTCAGGTCATACTGAGGGCCTCTAAGCGAAGCACTGCTAGTACTATATCGTATCTGGTACCTCTCCATCAGTTACCAAAGAATGGGTAACGTAGCTAAGCGACCCGACAATTCAAAAGAAGCACCGGCTGCCAGGTAAGGTGGCAACCCCGGGTAGTGTCGCTAAAATCCTATTCACCAGAAATTAACAGGATTCGGACTCCGAGTCGGTATGCTGCCAAGGGCAGCCCCGAGGTTATAACATCCTCGATGATTGACGTCTTATTTTATCGTCACTCCCCAGCCTAGCCATGTCCTCAGCCACGATATCTCACCGGGACGATTTGGCGCTGTATGCGCGTCCTTCTCCTCCGGAGTCGGTAACAGAGACTCTACAGGTCCCCGAGAGTGTCAGCGAGAAGAGACCCGAGGAACCGAAGGGAATCGAAGCGGTCAAGAAAGGTCGAGAGTTTTGGCTTAGTTTCGCAGCCATGATTGTTTCAATTTTCTTGAGTGCTCTGGATTTGACATCTGTGGGAACGGCGCTACCAACGATTGCCGATGCTTTGAACGATGACAAAGGCAATTATGTTTGGGTAAGTGCTATGATGTTTTCCAGTGTTCCATGCTGTCCAATATCTGATCCTTTCCGGAATTTTCAGGTCGGGTCTGCTTATGCTCTTTCTAGTACAGCCATCATGCCTCTGAGTGGCAGTTTGTCGGATGCCTTTGGCAGGTGAGCAGTATCTTACTCTCCATCTCAAAACACGCTCTGATGTATCGTGCGCAGAAAACCTGTCATGTTGGTTTCAATTGCGCTTTTCGCTTTGGGTAGCGCTTTAGCTGGAGCGGCTCAAGATATGGTCTGTGAAAATCTGTAGATCACCGCTGTTTACTTACTTTGTATATTTCAGAACATGATGATCGGCGCACGAAGTACGTCTATTCAATTGATAAGTCATTATCACTTTACTAACAACTCGACAGCGGTCCAGGGACTTGGGGGCGGTGGAATCATCAATCTTGTAGAGATCTTGATTTCTGATCTGGTTGCCCTCTCGGAACGGGGAACATACCAAGGTATGATCGGTCTAACGTGGTCATTTGCATCGGTAAGTTCTATTGGCGGTATGAACGTGGCATGCAGACTTATGCAGTATTTTCATAGGCTATTGCTCCACCTATCGTATGTCATGCGATGAAGACTCCATCAATACCTCTCTAATTGCAATCATAGGGTGGTGCTCTTGCCTCAAAGGGAAAGACGGCCTGGAGATGGCTCTTCTGTGAGTGCAAACCATGTATGAAAGGATACGTTCTTACACGTCAATACGCAGACCTCAATTTGCCCCTCACTGGTGGTGCCTTTATCCTCGTCCTTTTTTTCTTGAACGTGCGCACTCCCCCGGGTACGGTCAAAGAAAAGCTAAACAAGGTTGATTGGTTGTAAGTATTTCACATGCGGTAGGTTCAATTACTCACGGGCAAACGACTTACAGCGGAAACGTCATTGTCATCTGCGGCACTACTTTGGCTATTATTGGCTTGACATGGGGAGGCATTCGTTACAAGTGGACTGATAAGCATGTGTTGGCACCCCTTATTATCGGTTTCGCTCTTCTTGTTGCTTTCGCCTGGTACGAAGTTAAGGTTCCGGCCAAACCTACCGTTCCTTCAGACCTTCTCAAGAACCGTACCACCCTCAGCGCGTTAGTACCATTTTCCCTCTATGAAGCGCTTGGACTTAATTTTATAATTAGCATTTTAATGACTGCCATGCATGGCATCACGAGTATCTGTGGGTGTTAACATTTTTGTGCTATATCGGTCACTCGCTAAACATCAATCCTTTAACAGCTATCCTTTACTACTTACCAGTATTCTTCCAATCAGCATTTGCTGCCTCTCCTATCCGTTCCGCGGTCCAATTCCTGCCCAGCGCGTTGATCATAGCGCCGTTTGCTCTTTCGTCTGGTTTCATTGTTGCCATTACAGGAAAATACCGACCGGTCAACTGGGTCGGGTGGGCATTGACCATGATTGGTTTCGGTCTGCTCAGTTTACTCAAAGAGGACTCTTCGACAGGAAAGTGGGTCGGCTATCAATTAGTCGTCAGTGCTGGAAGTGGTCTAGTGGTATGTTTAGTGGCGCTGCTACTCTTGTTAGCCACATACTGAACGCTTGACAGTTCTCTGCGCCTGTCTTCCCGCTGCTCGCACCTCAACCTATCAGTCGAACAGCTTCGGCCTTGGCACTTTTCGCGTTCACCCGTGCATTTACCCAGACCTGGGGTATCACTATCGGAAGCACCATCCTCCAGGTAAATGCCTATCACCGAGTCCCTGTTTGCCGTTGTGCTAATTCGTCATTGCTGTAGAACAAACTTAAGATCAATCTTCCTGCCGCCTACCTTGCCACGTTCCCGGCTGGTCGTGAGATCGCATACGCGGCGATTCCCAACATCCCTTCATTAGCGGAGCCTCTGCAAACAGAGGTGAGGGTCGCCTTTGCTGAAAGTATGAAGGTTGTATGGCAGACCATGGTCGGGATCGCTGGTGCTGGGTTTTTGTTCAGCTTGCTCATGAAGGAAGTGGAGATGGTCGGGGTTGTTGACGAAACTTATGCTCTCCAGGCGCCTACGGAGAAGAACAAGATTGAAAACCGAGACGTAGAAAAGGCTACTCCACCGGCTACCTCGTAAGCTCGAGAGCCCTTGGAACGAACGGCACCACTCTTTCTCTCATGAATGAATTATACAGACACACTAATATCATCAATAACGACACGATCAGCTCCTACACCAATTTTATCATTCGCATCGTTGTAATGTTAATGTACACGTATTGTCTATATACCATCGCAATTATAGAGTGATCCTTACAAGTTGCAAACCGTGACCAAAGTTGAAGATCGCCGGCCCGCAGTGCCAATAGATTTCCCACGCTCTTTCTTCCCCTACTTCCATCTCCGTTTGTTGAACTACCTGCTTGACAGTTGAACGTTGAGTGCTCCCGGATATTGAATATTTGAAGGCATCTGGACTATGTGCCTATGACGCCCAAAGTGACCATAGCTTCTGATTTACTCTGATACATCGCGATGGGCTATCAAATCTTTGTAGTCCTCACACGGCACCCGAAGCATTTTCTGCATGCTCACTTCCCGGGTGTATTCATCAATCGGCCCGTATAATTAGCGGGCCGACCAGTACGCGTCATGAGTCTTCACATCATGACACTTAGTAGCTCTTCTTCGGAATCAAGCTGAAGAATACGTGAAGTCATGTTCTTTCTCTACATTGTGGTAGCAGCGGTTCTGCGGTATACGCTGGCATTTTCCCCTTCGTTTCTACCCTGCCAAGTGAAGAAGCCTGCATCCCAATCAACACTTACCGGTTGTCCTCCCGGGACTATATTGGTGTCGAACGATGATTTTGATCCCGATGCATCGTTCAGCAGTATCCAAGATGCGATTTTGTCACTGTATGTATTTCTGATCTAAATCACCACTCTAGTGCGAGCTTCAGCTGACTGTCAACTCAGACCGGATCTGGGACACGCTACAATCTTAATTGCAGAAGGACAGTACCAAGAGACTCTCAACGTCACTCGTAAAGGGCCTCTAACACTTTTGGTCCGTCTATGCCGTTTGGCCGAAATGCGCATCTCATTCTTCGCTTAGGGCCAACTGCCAGCGGGGTCTACGATAGCATCATTCGCCAACGGGTCGGCTTCGAACCTTGTCCAGGTATGGAACAACCAGTTCGTGCACACTGGAATGGATGACGCCGACTCCGCAGTGCTGACCGTCGCGCCCTCGTACGAGGCTGCGTTGATTGGTTCCGGTCCTACCGGCGCTCCTTTACAGCCGCTCTTTGGAAACACAGACTTCAGGGCATATAATATCGATTTTCAGAACCGTGCAGTTAGTCGTGTCCTGTCGTTTCCTTGTTTGCGTTTGACATATGGGTATCTAGGCGAACTTTGCTATTTCGCAAGCGCTGGTGACAGATATTTCCTACGCAAACGCTTCTTTCTATGGATGCTCGTTTGCCAGCTATCAGGATACGTGGTATACCGGCAGAAATGGAAGCACGTACGTCTTCGATAGCGTCATATACGGACAAACGGATTGTGAGTGCTATTGTTAGTGCTACGTACTTCTTTTTTCCGATATCGTGGGATAGATCTTTTCGGGTTCGGCACTGCGTGAGTCTAGGTGCTTGGGTTCGTCTACTTCTCTTGATTCCTCGCGTCTAGCTGGTTTCAGAATGTTGTTCTTGCCAATCGCGCGTGCGGTGGCGGTATTGTCGCGTGGAAGGGTACTAATTTAACAGATGCACCCGGAAACCGGTATGGTGCATACATTTCTGACTCTCGGATCATTCGAGTAAGATGTCAAGCTCATTCCACGCTGTTCAGTCTTTACTGACTATGATTCATAGTCTCCCGATGCGAATGCGACTACCGACATAACCGAGAGGTGTTACCTTGGTACGTAGGCCATTTGATGCCCCCTAGTTTGGAACCTTACTCTTAACCAAGGGCGGCCTTGGAATGACCTCGCCACTACTGTGTTTCTGAGTACCTTCATGGAGAACGTCATCCAGCCCGCTGGATGGACTCCCTTCAGTTCGGACAGGTACGATCGGATAGTCCCATTGATCTTTGCTGACGAGCAACGCGATCGCAGACCCGAGATTCTGAATACAACGTTCTATGCGGAATTCAACTCTTCAGGCGAGCCGTCTCTTTCCCTCTCGCTTGCCTGTATCTCAATCATCTATACAGGACCCGGGGGCAATACTTCTGCTCGCATTTCCCTGGAACATATTTTGACCGCTGATGAAGCACGAAACTTCACGGGTGATAAGGTCTTCTTGGAGCGTCCATCCTGGATCGATCACTCGTACCTGTCGTCCTTTGAGCAGTAGGTGAGCGTGTGCGGTTCGCTGAATGAAGGTCCTATTGCTACATTATATCCAGGATGTCCTCTAGTCGCAGTCCAAAATTAAGGAAGTATCCACGAAGCATTTCTTTTACTATCTTCGAAACTATACCTGCCGATGCAATTTACTACATTGCTTCTAGTCTGTTCAGGTCATGCAATGCCCTTGTTCTTGAGGCACAATTAAAGCATATCGATTCCATACCAGTGCAGATCTACTCTCACTATCTGAAATTCCGACTCTTCGAAATGATTCCCACTGCAAACAGCCATCCAACCAGCTGGTAATAGAAATCCGGTGCCAGCAATCAAAGACGCCTAAGGTTATTCACCCCGAACCAACGGGAAACCCAGCGCTTCGTCTCTGGGCAGACAACCTCATTACAGAGGTTTGTCCCAGAGATACATATAGTTCGAGCCGATACGAGAACTATAGTCCCTAAGCAAGACGGGACAAACTGGTTCATCTCAGTGTTTCCGAATTCGTTAAACGGGAAAAGAAGCCTTGAGGCCTCAGTGTAAGCAGCCATTGTCGGACTGGTCGATGCTGATCAAGGAGGGAACCGCTAGGGCAATTCGAGCTTAAAGATCTACGTAGCTGCCACCACTTTGAGGTCATTGTTCATGTCGTGATCCAGCGACTGCTGAAAGCCGTAGGAACAAGGAAAACAATTCCTTTCAGCGTCGAGCACTTTGACTGTTTCGGGACGGCCTTTAAAACGAGCACCATGGCCCATGGAAAGATAAGTAGCTATTGGGATCCTGGGGCAGGACATAGGTACTCGTCCCGGATGAGGAGCAACTTGTCGGAAGTGTATTCTTTGGAGTACAAAGAGCTGTGGAGGCTACGGGATGATGGGGTAACAGGAGAGGTGTAAGGTGGAGATCGTGCCTCTACGCCCCCCACCACTGCCACTCCCGCACAAAAGCTGGTATGTATATTCCGACACTTGAATCAGGCGCTACTATTATACAAGAATCGTAATCTGGACTGCCAAATCTATATATTGAGTCTTGACCCAAGTATTCAGTGTCCAGCGGGAAGTAGACTGTAGACAGCATTTTTTACTCGAGCACAGCAAAACTTGTCGGTTTAACTGTAATCCCGAAGTAGTTTGTTCTGGTCAAATCACACGCTGTCTATATATTTACAATGATTCTCCCTTTCATTTTGACCGGTATGAACTGCTCCGGGCTGTCAATGATACCGCTTCTGAGGTACCAACTCGAATAGCCCCTCGTGCTCTACAGGTCCCGGTACATAGCCTAGAAGGTAAAGTTTGGATGGATAACTCTTAGACCGCGTTCCCTCATCGCATTCTTCAACTTGTTTAAACTTCCGAGAAGATGGAAGAAAGGCTACACAGACTCAGTCCGGTCCTAGCCGACTCGACGTGATTATAGCTTACTTAGCAGCGTCTAACTCATGATCGGCGATCACCTTGCGATTCTTCTTAGGACATCCCACATTAATGATTGATTTGTATCATTCTGTCCAAGCTCACAACAAACGTGAGTACATTTCAGCTCGGCAAAAATGAAACCTTAAGAGGTTGTGCTGTAGCAAGGCCATCAGTAAAACGGTATGAAAAATTTCCCCAGTAGACAGATGACGGTACAACCTAGTGATGTGGGAAGGAGGGACGGTCTGTATGATTATATCCTGTTCCGTTGAAAGACCTTTCGCGCAGTTGCTACGTAGGCTAAGTCTCAGATAACGACGTTGTCTTCCACTTGTCAGAATTCCCGACAAGATGGAAGAAAAGTTACGCACAACTAGAAGACAGTCGATCAAGCGCACCCTGACTATTTATACTAGCAGCATCTAATTCATGAACATATGTACAGTGACCACTTTGCAGTACTTCTTTCTAGGACATTGATGATTAATTCAGTGTATCATCCAATGGTAGGCACAGGCAGAGGCCGGCGCATTTGAGCTCGGGAAGAAACCATCCTTTTCAAGATCCCATTCTAGGCCACCAAAAATGCACCAGCTTCTTCATTGCTTAGGCTACTGCGCTACGCCGAAGGAGGTAAGCAACTGTTTCAAACCGGACGAAAACTGGAAAAATGGGCGGACAACAGATCAAATTCTGATCAAGGGTTTTGGTCTTAGCAAAATGAGTCGGGATTCCCTGTAATGGTAAAGCCGACGCATTTTGCTGTGGTTAAAAGCATGGGTCGAAAAGTTATCTGTGTTCAAATTGTTTCCCTTGAATTTTGACCAGCACTAATTTGTTGCCTGCAAGAGGCCGGGGGGAACTGTCAAAAGTCCTCTATTAAGTAGTTTCCCGCAGATAAGGGAGGGACATTCTGTATGACCATATCCTGTTCCATTGAAAAGCAGTTCGTGCTATGATTACCCTCTCTGACTTGAAGTCAACCCTGTTTTCTGCCGTTCGGAGAGGTGATTATAGCATATACCTATATCATTGTGTGAATCAAAGCACCGGTTACATAGCCTCTTTCCCAGGGACACAAACATCCTCTCTCCTTCAAGGAATTCTGGGTCATGGATCGATCGACACGAGGTTGTCACCGTCTAGGTCCTTGCCGGGATGTTTTTTCTCATTTGTTTCCCCCTTCATCTCAGGCTGGTTAGAATTCCTTCGGCCGGTTGTCGTTTTACCTGGGCATCACGAGAGTCGGACTGTTTGATTCGGAAGTCGCGCTGGCCGCGGACATTTGAAAATCGTCAACGTTCAGCTGTATGATGGACATGTTTTACGGTTGCAAGCCTATGTAGACCCGTGTCGACTATGGGAAAAATCTAGAATCTTATCGATTGTCGTGATAGAGACTAGGAACGACCGGGATCCGGTTCTTCGCACGAGGCAGATCTTCCCACAATGAATGCCTGCTTATTGCAAGAGAATTGAAAGGCCATCATGTATGAAACGTTTTTAAAAAAAACCAAGGCAATGCAAGCGCTGCACAGGATGAGCGCAGAGTAGGTATGAATCGAGTAGATCATCCAAAAGGGTTACCTTGAGAGACAAAAGCGTCATCAGGATCAGAAGTTTGTGACCGTTTTCCGTCTAAGATCTTGCCTTCACTCCACGCTCTTGCTTTGATCTGCTCAGCGTTTGCCAACCGGCGCTGGCTGTTCCTTCGTAACCACCATGTCTTCACCCACTAATCCGCCTGTGCCAGCGGATCCTCCAGCCTCGACCACAAATTCAGGCGGGGTACGACGACACCATACGATTACGGCTGCGTCTCGCTCTACCCGCAGCGCTGCCAGGGAAACGATCTCGGAGGAATCGCAGAACCCGGATCTCTGGAATGAGGATGAGTTCGTTGGCGAAGAATGGGTTGGCGGTGTGGGTGCTGTCGGGGAAAAGAGCTCGCTGCATCGACAAAGCTCGTTGCCTACTCGATATCATCGAGGTATGTCTCAGTACCTGTTATCTGGGGGGTCTATCTAACGATACATTACATTACAGCCTTCCAAAGCTCCAGTGCCAAGTCAGGTACTTTGACGCCGAAGACACTGAACAGTCTCACCGCCATTGCTGGTCACGAAGGCGATGAGGAAGAATGGGAACGGGAAATCGGTGGTTATTCTGCTCACGAAGAGGAGGTACGTCTATTTTCTACACTGTGTTTAGTGTCTGTCTCACTGCCAGCGCAGGCGGCTCCTGGTGATGTTTCGCAGACTGTAGATGCATACAGTAGCGGCAACACGAGCGTCCCTTCACCTCCTCTTGCCGCTTCCAGTGTCCGTCGACATGTTTCTCTCACGTATGGTGCCCAAGGCGCGGGCGGCACCCGCCCAAAAATGGCTTCATCCACTCTGAAACGTTCCGGTACACTGCAAACGCCAGTGCCCACTCATCCTCCTCCTTCGCAAGACAACATCGTTGCTGCTGCTGAGGAAGAGGAATACTCTTACTCGGAGGACCCGGCTGGTTACGAAGAGGACTATTACGGCAAGCAGTACGGTGGACCCACAAGTCCTGTTGGCCGTTCTTCTCCTTGGTCTTCAAACAACGAATGGAGAGCCTCTGGTGGATCTGGGCTGTCCACCAGTAGCAGCGGAAGTTTGAACAACAATTTGCCTATTGATGATGTCCAACGCGCCCTCTCGGCTTTGGATATCTCTAGCAATGGAGGCAACGGTCAAAACATGTACGGTGGTAACTATCAACCCGGAGGACAGAGCAACCATCCCCCACGGTTCAATCCTGCTCATCCACAGCCAAATCAGTCGCTTAGTGGCCGTAACAGCTCGAACAGTAATAACGGTAATGGCCGGAAACTACAACTCATGACCGATAATGATGGAAGAAAGACACCAGCTTTCTCAGCCTACGACCGGGAGCGGTTTCCAACAATACCAACAACAGGGACAGCAGTCTCAGTCTGCTAATGCCGCGAACTGGGAACAAAAAGATCGGGGTCTCACTGGACGCTCGTCTAACCCCAATTTACAGTATGGTTATCAGCAAGGTCACGGCAAATCCGCGAGCGGTTCCAGCAACAGTGGCACTGGCATTCCCAGCGTACCTGCGATTCCAGCACAGTATCTTCAGCAGCAGCAACAACAACAACAGCGACCAGGTTTGGGTGTCGCCACGAACTTCTCACAGAGTCAAAGCAGTGGAAGTGGACAGACTCCCACCCAAGGTCCATTCGCCAATACGCCCATCGATGTCCCCTCGTTGATTGCGACGAAAAGGATACAATCCAACTAACTTTGAGACTAGGCCCCAATTTGTGATTTACCCTTCTTGATATGCCTAGCGCTTGTGACTGATTATTTTTAGGCACGGTTTTTCGTTATCAAATCGTACACCGAGGATGACGTTCACAAATCTCTGAAATATGAGATTTGGAGCTCGACGGATCCGGGGAACAAGCGGCTCGACAAGGCATTCAAGGAATGTGCCGGACGTGGTCCCATTTATTTGTTCTTTAGTGTCAATGCGAGGTTAGTTTGGTCTCTGTTCTTCATTAGACTCATCAATCTCATCTCAATGACAGCGGGCATTTCTGCGGCATGGCTGAAATGCTGACTCCGGTAGGATATTTTGATGCAGCATTGTCTTGTTCTCTCACACATGAGCATGTGATAGGTCGATTACACCCGAAGCAGCACGGTTTGGGCTTCTGATAAATGGAAGGGTGTATTCAAAGTGCGGTGGATCTTCGTTCGTGATATTCCCAATTTCAATTTGCGGCATATCAAGTTAAAGTATGTCCAAGTCGTTGATAGTGGTTTATACTAAACCTTTTATTCTCTAGCAATACGCAAGAACGCAAGCCCGTCACCAATTCTAGGGATACCCAAGAGCTTCTCCCTGATGCTGGACACGAGATGCTGAGAATATTCCACTCACATCCCGCGAGAACATCGCTGTTGCAAGACTTTGCCTTCTACGAGGTGAGATCCCCGGACTCAATTTTAATGATCAAGGCTGATCCTTGGCGCCGTCACAGCTTCAGGCGATGCAGAAGATGCAAGCACAGTCTGGACCTTCTTCTCCCAGCATCAGCAGCTCGAGCGGAGGGATGCATTCACCGCCTCTGCAAAGCGTATCCCCGATTCCTCAGCCTCAACAAGCTCAACAGCAAACTATGTTCGCGGGGAATCCCAACGCTATGGCGTATCAAATGCCTCAGATGACTCCGATGATGCAGATGCAAATGATGGGAATGAACATCGGGAGCCAATTTGGCATGCCGCAAGTGATGCACCAGAGCGTGATGAGGAACCCTTCTCCTGGTCCCCAAGGACAAGGACAAGGATTCATAGGAATGCCTGGTTTCTGATGAGACAGAAACGGGACAAGGTCACTGCCGATATCGTCGCGTGTGATGCGTGTGTGTATAGAAACTAACGACGTCAGCGCCTTACCCATCCCCTCCTTCATATCTCTCCAATATCTGTCCCTGGCTTCTTAACTTCTCTTTTGTATGTTTGCTAGCTCTTTCAATCCGTAATCTATGGTTGTACGTACATTTCTTCTTGCTTTTCAAAGCTCTGTCCAAACTATATCTGCCAAAAGCCTCTTTCTGGCGTTTCCTCATGTCATTACGATCTATAAATCTCCTCTGTTTCAATTTTTGCACGCTGTTTTACATACTCACGGACTAGTGCATGGGACGGTGAATGGACGATGGACCTTCCGCTTGTTCGCTATCTTGCAATGTACTTGCTCTACAGTTTCGTATTGTATACATCCATGTGTGTTTTTACTGCATAATTAAAAACTGCTTATTTTGTATCTGACTAGTGAAGCTCGTGGATAGGCTAAGGTTTGGGAAAAGATAAAAACGGAGAGAAGAAAGATGGTGAATACAGTCGTTTATTTCCAGGTTGACCCACCAGACCGATCCACAAGCTTCGGTCCGATTTCAGCCGAGCGACTTCATATTTGGCATTGACCTCCCAAACAAATATCGCGCCCTTCTCGTTTCGTCCACTACATGCAGCGGAATGCGTACACCTTTGCGCAGAAGACGCTCCCTGTATCGCGGGAAGAGTTCGCTCACGCTTTTTTACGATGTATGCCACCGTCTGGATGGTGTAGGACCATAGGTAACGGTGCCAAGTGTACTTTTTAGTGCTGAACTAACTTTTTATCCACCAGCTGTCGCCAATTCTGGTGGCCCGGATTCGACAGCACTAGTGTTCATGCTCAAGCGATACGTTGACGACCTCGCGAGGAAAAATGAAGGAAATCCTGGGACTTCGTATCCTATGCGCGTCGTCTCGATAACTGTCGACCACGGTCTACAAGAGAGTTCCGCGAGCATGGCGGAGCTCTGTGCTCAGCGTGCAGTGGCCATGGGTGTTGGGCATTATGGCATGTCGATCCCTTGGAATCTGGAAAAATATCCCGACCTGCCGAAGACTGGTGTCGAGGGTGTCGCTAGATTGGCGCGGTATGAGTTACTGCATAGAGGAATGGAGCAGTCGGGGTCGGATATCATTGCTTTTGGACATCATAGGGACGACCAGGTCGAAACGTCTTTGATGCGTCTTGCGAGAGGGTCAAAATGCGTATGGGGCTGCTGGGATGAAGCCCTTTCGGAGGTGGGGTATGGGTGTTAGCGAGAAACTGGGACATATAGGCTGGACGGGTCTCGCTGGGATGCATAAGTGGATTGTGCGGCCTCTGCTTGATATACCGAAGGTATCTCCGTCCTCTAATATTAGTCGCCTGGTAAATGTTGATCGCTTTGTCAAGGATAGATTATTGGCCACTTGCGAATCCAACCAGCTTGAATACGTGGTTGACCCGACGAATTTCCGGCCATCATTGACCTTGCGCAACGCCATTCGCGGATTCTTGGCTTCCGGTGAAACGGACGTGAAGGTGTGATGATTTCTGCTAGTCTCGTTATGTATGTCAGTTTACCTTTCATTATTAGGTATATGCCAAGGGAGCAAATCTCTCCGATGAACATGTGGTTGAATTGGAAAAAGTTGGCGAGGAGCTCTCAAAAACGGCTATGATCAACGTCACCTCAATAGGTCCCGAGCAGCTACGCGGGTCTGTGAAGTCACTGGGAACCATGGTTCGTAATATGGACCTTGAAGGTCGGTATTATATCTGAAGAATGTCGATTATACTCTGACTTCTTCCATGCAGTGGAAGCTTTGCTCAGCGAAATGAAGCAACCCTCACCTATCGGCACGTTTGCGATCACCGAGCACAACTATCAACGTATCCAGCCTAGGCTACAGCTCTATGTCGTTTTGCGTATTTTGCGGTATGTATCTCCTCATCCTTGGGGGTCTCTACGTTCCACAAATATGCGACGAACGCGGAGTCTGGAGCGCATTCTGGCCAAACTAAATTCGGACCCGTATGTCACACAAAATTTCGTTGCTGGTTCAGGCGTCAAGTGGTCTTCAGTCATTTTCGACCGGGACGGCGTCAAAGCGCTTCCAAAGATGTCGAAGCGGGAACCGGGACAGCTCGTTGGATGGATAGCTTCCCGACAGCCTCCGACACAGAAACAGCTGGATTTCCTCGAACCTAACCCTCTATATTATGATGTCACAGCCTCGCTGCGGAAAGCGTTTAGTTCAGGGAAACCTTCATGGACTCTCTTGTATGACTGTCGGTTTGCCGTCCGTTTTGATATCACCGCCATGCCACCTTCGATGATGGAGCTGCTCAGGTTCCCGGATACGCAGATAGTGGTTATTCCCACAGATCTGTTTCATCCCCGAGTAGTGTTCAAGAGGGCGGATGTAGATGACGAGGTTCTTCATAGCTTGGTAACGCTTGACGAAAGGACTAAACTCCCTGGACACGAGCACCCCGTGCCACCCACCTCCGCTATAGTATCGTCTTGGATTTCAATACAATGGATACGACCGTTCACCGGATAACATGGGGTGCCTTTGTTGCATAAATCATCAGTCAGTGAATCTATAGTCGAATAAATGATTAGTGTCTGATCTAGTTATCAGTGGCCGTAAGCGATAAGCCATATCTGGAGAACGCAGCCGGTGTAGTGTTAATAACAGCATGCTTGCCTGCGGATACTCTCAGGTCCGACGCTATTCAGTGTCGCTCACATCACTTCACGTACGATGAAAGTGTCATAAATAATCCAATTACAATATGTACGGTATAATGGCATACATGTGGCGTCTGGCATTGATTCATTTATAGTGTGTCTCGTCACTTCTTTAAGAATTTCTCTACGACATCTACCCAGACTTGTATATCAAAGTATTCATACCAATAGTGCCCGAAGTCGTAAGAGGGGACCTGGCCGGGTTTTGAGCCCACCGAGACCATTGTTGCCCACGGTATCATATGAGTAATGTCCTACGAAGATACACTGTCAAGCAGAACGACGCAAAATTGTCCAATTCACCTTTCCGAATGAAAATGGTATAATTTGGTCAAGACGCCCATGAACTACCAAAATTCTAGTATTGCGAGGCATATCGACAAGTTGATGTTCAAAATCGAACGACTTTAACTTCGATGGAGTTAATTTCTGTGTACTTGTGACATGTCATAGGAACTCACTGCAACACCTTGCTGCGCTGAGACCAGCGAGTTTAGTCTAGTTCTAACAAACATAATTCTCTCGTAACTCACCTATTGATTCTGGCGGTCTAGCCCTGAAATTACGCGTAAAATTAGCCCGTAATTTAAAAGCGATGGGATGAAAATACCCCTACCCGCCAGATAAGGTCCTCTTAAGAATAGCCGCGAAACGCGATGGATTTTCCTGAAGCCACACGGGGTCCAACGTGGCCTGAATCATCCTTTTGGCTATCTCAAGTTTCTCCGCCGGCGTGCGCGTCATGTTACACGGTGGCTTAGAATACTGAAGGCCAAGACGGTGGTCATGGAGAATCACTGATCGAGTTCCAGCCAGGAACAAATGCGTACATCGGAAATGAATCGGTGTAGGTTGGTTTGGGTGAAAAGGTAACAACAGAAGTTGTTGGGCGATGACACCTGAAAGAAATGCGCCATCAGTTCGACAAAGGGCTGATAGCGCAGCACAGCAACCGACCCCCCATGGAAAATCCACAGATTGACACGTCTTTCCATCGCAAAGATTCGATAAGGAAGAGAAGGTCGCGACTGAGGATTTCGATAGTGATCTCGTCGTCGCTCCGGTAGGATGAGTCGCCCATTCCCCTGAATTGACGGATAAAAGACACGTCAAACGTGCTCGGAGACATATGTGGGATAGGCATCATACCGATGATCATAAACCAACACTGGCATGCCGTGATCAGTCAAAACTCCCAAAGTTAAGTTCAGTTCAGTCAACGAACCTGGACGTTTTTCAGCGAGACGAGTGCTCAGCCTCTCCCAATCGGTCCTTATGGAGCCCATCCCACATACGAGCACCACGGGCCTGTGGTGCCCGAGATGATGTGAGCCCAGCACTTCAAAGGCGAGTACGGCACCGTCTGGGAGGAGAACTGTAGAATACGAGGTAGCCATGGAGAAGAAACTGATGAGTAAACATCTCGCGCGACCTGAAAGCCTTTAAGGAAACCGACGAGAGGGCTGTTATTCCTACCGGAACCCGACGGTGTACAGACAAGAACACGCCCCTATGTTCATACTGCACCCGATTGTAGCCGTGGTGTTTGGATTGCAACCGCTCGAAGCGAGAGCATGTGCTACGGAGGCTCCTGCTTTGCACCAACGCGTTTCCGGATGATCGGACGGGTGATACGCGTCCATGGGCGCATGAAAATGAATCAAAATAATTGAATTTTTTGATTCGCTGCTACGGGAAAAAAATCTAGGTCTAGGTAAATTTATAGCTGTGACTTTGCATCTAAATTTGTTTAATTAGTGAAGAGTGCGACACATGCCAGTGGTCAAAGGGTGAACGAACCGTTATCTCTCCTCCTCGGTAACTCCCCCTCTTCTTCTTGTTCTTTTCCTTCCGAAAGCTAGCTCCGCGAGTAACGATAAGATCAGCATGAGCTTTCGCTCCGTAGTCGTTTTGAGGCGCAGCCTAGTAGGAAAAAAAAAAGATGGGAATCAATACTATTCGCCACATTCAATTTAAGTCATGATGGCACCTTGTTCTCATACCGGTTGTCCATTATTAAATGTGCAGGTACCTTATCCATCTTTATTCTCTGAAACGGAGTGTTCGTTTTCCGCCCACCACGCTTGCTATTACTATCATGAGTCGTGACCTGCAGGGACTCTGTGTCTACTGTCGCGGTTACAATTGCCGTACCACTCTCGGACGTGCGGCGCTTTTTGGTGATCTTGGCTTCGGAAGGAACTGGAGGCGATACCTCTTCTCCGCGATGTACTGTTTTCGTTTCCGTGTCCGAGTCTGAATCCGAATCAGACTCTGAGTCTGACGAACTCGAGGATGATGAATTGGACGATGAAGATTCGGAGGAGGACGAATCCTTCGCCTTGGATTTCTTGGACTTTACCGCAGCGGGTTTGCTAGACTCGGGAGAATTTCTTTGCCGCGGAAGCTGGAAGCTTCTTGGCGATGACCTTAGTCTTCACAGGCTCTTCATCTGAGCTGCTATCTGCTGCTAATTCCGTTATCATGTTTACATGATTTTGACCACCGGACTTACCGTCACTGGAGGAATCACTCCCGGACGACAACGTCTTACTTGTGTCTCTTTTCGCGGGGTCATTTGATTCCTTGTCCTTCACATCTGCCGAATCTGTATCAGTTTATAGGAACGGTAACGGGTGCTTTGGGTACGGGTGTAATAGCTCATTAGCGACCAGGGAGGGAGCACTAACCTGGCTCCGAACTTGACGAGTCGTCTATATGGGGATTCCCATAAATATCACCAGTCAGGATACGTTATTGAGCTTACCATCGGAATCCTCGGAGCTGGAGCTTGAGGATGGAGAAGGTGCCTTTGATTTTGGGGCGGCAAGCTTGGAAAGCTTTGCATCAGATACTGGCTTGACAACAGAGGTATCAGACTCAGAATCGGAGGATTCAGAGTCGGAAGAGGACGAGGAGGACGAGGAAGGAGCTGCCTTCTTCTTTTTGGCGTCTTTTGAGGGTTCCGGCACTTTGGGATTTGAGGTTGAAGTCTTGGACGCGAGCCTTTTCTTCGTCTCTTTAGAACTTGAGTCGGCAGAGGCTGAATAGCAGCCGGGTTCAGTACTTCTCGGAGAGGGTTAAAAGATAGAAAACACACAGTCAGAATCTGAATCAGAGGTGTCCGAAGCTGTTATGCAATCCGCTATGTCAATACCTCCGTCAGCACATGGTGAGATAGACGTACAGTCAGAAGAGTCGGAGTCCGCTTCCGAAGATGCTATAGTTGATAAATCAGCATTGCGTGAAATACGACGGAGTGACATACAGTCATCATCTGAGCTGGAGTCCGAGTCTGAACTGTAAATTACAATTTCATGAGAAATATTTGCTTCCATAAAGGCGAGTACACGCACGAGTCACCGCTAGTTGCCTTTTTGTACCGTTCGACTATCACGTCCAGGCTGGGGCCAGCCACGGTAACCTCGTCCTTGAGGACAACGACATCCTTGACGGAATTTTTCAAAACGGAGGCTGCTTTGGTATGTTTATTCTTGACCAAGAAAGCATGAATTAGGGTATAGGTCGCTAAAGAGCAGGCAATGGTCAGAAAAGGTTAATCGGTATCCGGGACACCTACTAGCAAGGTTCCTGGCCATAGCAGCTGCAATTGAGGGAGACGAGAGGACAGCAAAGTTCGCTTTCAAAATTTCTGCATTATTTTTGCAAAATGATCGCTGTCACGTGCTGTCCCGGCGGCATCCCGAACAGGAAATTCTTTCCAAGGATGAGGGACGAGTATTCCACTTCCTTACTCCTCACCATGGCCAGCATTAAAGGTCTCTTACCATCAGAAACGAAATACGATGGCTCTGCACTCAGAATTGCCATTGTCCACGCGCGATGGAATAGGGAGGTCATCGATGCACTGGTAGCAGGTGCAATCCAGAAGCTGAAGGAGTCTGGCGTCAAGGAGAGCAACATTGTCGTGCAGTCTGTTCCAGGGAGCTTTGAGCTACCTTTGGCGTGCTCTAGGTTTGTTTCTAGTTTGCTGTATTTTTCATTTACTTATGTATCTGTACTAGGATGATTGCAGGCTCTCACATCCAACCCGCCTCCAACGATACTGATCTCCTTGGTGGAACTCAACTTTGGCACGTCTCCCAAGGTACCTTCCCGGACAGGAACTCCCGCACCAATTGCTGCTGTTACCATGCCCAACGAACCCTTCGATGCCGTCATCGCCATTGGTGTACTGATCAAGGGATCTACCATGCATTTCGAGTACATCTGCGACAGCGTTTCGCACGCGCTGATGAAAATTCAAGTGGACACTGGCGTTCCGGTCATCTTCGGCGTGTTGACCGCGCTGACGGATGACCAAGCTCTGGAGCGAGCAGGTCTCGGGCGAGGAGACAACAAAGGTCACAATCACGGCGAAGATTGGGGTCTGGCGGCTGTAGAAATGGGCTCGCACTGTCGGAGATGGGGCCAAGGCAAGTTTGCATAGATCAAATCTGACGGAAAATGGGAGAGAAGGACTCGAAAATTCGAATATTGTATGACATCAATATGTATAGAGAACGGCCAAGGAAAATGTTGAAATGTACTATTTCACCATCAAGCATATTGTTGTTCTAGTTACTTAGTGTTGATGGAACGCATGATCACCGTGGAGTGGGTGCTTGTGGGTGTCAGTAATTTGTGACTCGGTCGTGACGATTGGTCCTTGAGCTGGCTTGAGCTTGACCGTCGACCTCCACCTGCTTATCCTCCTTCAGCGACGAAGGACCGTACTTCGAAATGAAGAAAAAGGTATGCTACGCCTCGCCAGTATCTGTTCGTTGTAATGTCAAGTTTTCCAGGTTCTTCTCATGGGCGCTTCCGGCAGCGGAAAGACATCGATGCGGTCTCTAATCTTGTGCGTCCTTACGATAGATAAACAGATATCTTTTGACAACGGTTCATTAGCTCAAACAATCCAGCATCCATGACAGCTCGTCTAGGCGCAACAATCGACGTCGAGCAAAACCATGTCCGTTTCCTCGGTGACCTTATTCTCAACCTCTGGGACTGTGGCGGTCAAGACGCATTCATGGACTCTTATCTCACCACCCAACGATCAACCATCTTCCAGCACGTCGGTGTCATGATCTACGTATTCGACGTCGAGACGCGTGAGATGAACAAGGACCTCGAATATTACCGTGACTGCCTAGAAGGACTGCGGCAGTATAGTCCAGGCGCGGCTATCTTCTTATTGGTGCATAAAATGGATTTAGTAAGGGAGAACAAGCCGGTGACGTTCGGTAAAAAGCACAAGGAGCTCCAGGTGGCAAGTGGTGATGCCGACATAACCGTGTTCGGGACAAGCATATATGACGAGAGCCTTTACAAGGTCCGCTCTTCCCTTCTGTCTCTCGCCTCGCCTCTCTCTCACCACATACGTGACAGGCCTGGTCCAGTATCGTACATACATTAATCCCCAACGCCGCCGTCCTGTCGAAACACCTCACCACCTTCGCAGAGGTATGTTCGGCAACTGAAGTCATCCTCTTTGAGCGCACGACTTTTCTCGTAATCGCCACGTCCAACACTGCTACCGAAGACGTACATAAACTCGACGGCACCCGGTATGAACGAACGTCGGAGCTTATCAAGGCATTCAAACACTCGTGTTCCCGCGTCCGAGAGGAGTTTCATTGCTTAGAAATGGAGTTGCCAGACTTCACCGCCGTACTGGACGAAATGACAAGGAATACATATGTTATGGTCATCGCACATGATCCTTCAATAGGTACCTTTTTTCCTTACTCATGGATGAATGTCAGTCTCTTAACGATTGTGTGTAGAAACCGGTGCACTAAAGCTCAACATCCGTATGGCTCGGCGCAAATTTGAGCAGCTCCAAGGAGATGGGCAGGTTCTATGATTCAACTCGATAACGAACTAGATAGAACACATGACGACACCATGATAATTTATATTCCCTAAATCTGTATTTACAATCTTTATGCACCGCATCTCTTGGCGACAAGCCTTTTCTTATTTACGCCATTGGCTGAGAGTAGCTGGAACGATCTAAGCTATGGAGGAACCGTCATCTCATCTATAGTTTATGATCCGCTATAGGTACACAAGACAAGAATACCAAGAATACAGATAATAGATATCAGGGACGTGAGATAGATAGACTGCGGAAGGGCGCTATAGAACGCTATTAAATAAAATTTACTATGCTACAGCGAGCGGACAGGTTAGAACCAAAGGTTGTTGAGTAGTTTGTACGTTTGCACGTAATTTTCCGACCGAGGATGTGTGAGATAGGATGTGTGACAGGCATAATCAACAGTTTGTACGAGATACTCCAGCTCTTTGTATTTAGGAGACCCAAACTGTCAAACAACAAGAATGAGCAAGCAATTGACAGAAGGAAACAGCTATACGGACAAGCCAGAGCGATGACGAAGTACAATGTGACGAGCCTGAAGGAGTAAAATAAGCAACGAGCACGGTATTGCAATGTACTGATCCTTACATGAGACCTTCCATGTAGTTGGACTTGCCATCCCTATAAAATATGATTATGAAGGTTCCTAGAGCGGAGCTGACTTGGGCTTACTGAATAAGTGTGTTGACGAGGAACACAGAAACGAAAAAACAGATTGTCTGCGCAGAAATGATTAATTCCTGGAACACTGCGTCGAGATTACAACATACCTCGAAGTTATCGAAGAAGAGAGTCAACTCATGATTAGAACTGGGAGACGACGTTAGTAGGTGTCTCGGTCATCTTCTTTGACACTCACATCCATCCAACGATGACCAAGAGCGGTACAACAAAGGTTGCAATTTGCTGTACGGGTCTTTAATTACCAGGAACGTATGAAGTAATGAAGGGCTTACGATTGAGCTTCCCACACAGATGCCAATCGTGAGTTCCATTTGACCCTTCATAGCCATCCATATCGAAGTGACATGCTCAGCAGCATTCGCCTGAAAGATGTGAATTCCGTGGCGTATCACAACGAAGTGGGGTACTCACGACGATGGGAAGAAGAATCAAACCAATAAACGCTTTAGGAATGTTATACATCTTTGCAAATTCCTCGATGGAAGCAACAACTGGCACACGCTGATCTCAGCATATACAGCTTTGACGGAGGCAGTCCTCTTACGATAATCAGCGCAGAACGATGTCACAACTGTGACAATGATAAGGCTGGCAATGCAGGTTATTCGGAAATCAGATGCGAAGTCAACGCTGTACTCACGCTGTACCAGCAGATACGACGCTCATATTAGCAATTTCAGGCTCTTCCTCGGATTCCGGTGCTTGGAAAAGATAATGATGTGATTTCAACTGCAACAAATACGCCATGTCAGTAGATGCCCGTCAGATGGTAGTCTTGACAGACCTGGAAATATAGATATGCGATGTAAACACCCAATAACAATATTGCGGTTCCTCTTGAGATGATCAGTAGACCATTCCTGCCAGCAGGATCTAAATCGATCCGATCATCAATAAACGAAACAGTCGCCGACTCGCTAGCGCTGCCACCTATGCTAAACAAGTCCGTCGACTTGACGGAGTGGTAGGCCGCCGGAATGATGAGAGCTGTTGGTTGTTGAGCGTCTGAATTTCAAAATATCAGTGAAAGGAACTGACTAATACATGCAAGTGTCATTAACTGAGATAGGATGAGTGTAAACGCCGAGTGAGACCGTAAGGAACACATACTGAGCTGGAACTGAAGTAGGACTAATATTAGTACCATGGGCGCAACACGGGTTATCACTTACGCCTGAGCGGCCGTAACCTGGAAAGTTGCTTTCGTTGTACCGAGTGCCAGCTGGCGTTCATGACGATATTAGGAGACCAGAAGTGTATGGCTACGTATAACTTACCGGCCAAGAAAGAACAACCCAGCACCAACAGCAGATTTGACAGGATAGAACCAAGCATCTAAGAAACGAATTCAGTAAAATGCTAAAAAGGAGCGATAAAAACCATACAGAATTCTGGACAATGATCAGTTCATCTGCACCTCTAAGTGAGTTTATACAAGCGAATGGTGCAATAAAATTGACCTTGGAGCAACGCCGCAATTCCAACAATGATTTCGACAGCATTTCCGAAAGACGCATTCAAGAGACCGGCCAAAGTTTGTCCCAACTTGAACGACATCTGTTCAGTCGCCTCACCAAGGAGCTGTCCGCAATTTGATTAAACCGACTCGGCGTTGACTACGGATTTCAATAGTGGCGTACCTTTGCCAGCGGAACGATAGCAATGAAGCTGAAAGCGAAGCGCAAGCCAGCATCCCAGTTCAGATAATGTGCCGTAGCGCAAAGAGGAACGAATAAGAGAAGGATATTAAGATAACTTCCAAATAGGAAGAACTTGTAAGAATCAAGCCACGAAGGTTCGCCTTCCGCTTTGAAGACCGCCGAGCAACGCTTGATAAAAGTTGGGTGAATACCATTCGCAGTACCGTTGGTGGTGGGCAGCAGTGGCGTCTGCTCTGATGTTGGAGAAGACATGACGGGAGTTGTAAAGGACAGGAGTAGTTGGAGAAGACCAAGATAAAAAGTGATTCCTAAAATAGTATGTTGATCTAAGGCTGTGGATGTTTTGGAGCTCCGCGAATCTATTGAGTTTCTGGAATTCTAAGAATAAAGCACACAAAACAAAAACCTCTATTATTTATCCTCCGTGTCGGCGTTGCTTTCCACCACCTTGCTACTCCCCAAGTGAGAAATATCGCTATACTGGACAATCTCGGCCTTGTCCTTTCGTATGTCGATGATTGAAACAGAGCAATTGTAGCACCTCCAATCATTTACATTAACAGCTTTAGCGATACACTTCTTGGCCAGCAAGTTCTTGATCAAAGTGCTGATAAATCCGCCATGGGAAACAACGAGAATGCGGTATGGCGTCGCTCTGTCTGGAAGTGTTTCTAGGTGATGACGGATCGAATCGTCCCACCAAGACAAACTTCGTGTGATGAACGCGTCTGAACTTTCCGCTGTCGGGTCCGAGTTGATGTCCCCAAAGGCTCGTTTCTGTGCTTGGGTCTGGCCTTGGAGTCTTCCGAGATGCTGTACATGGTATTGTTAGCCTCACACAAACGTGCCCGAACATGCTGCACACCCTTTCACGCAGTTCAGATTGTTTGCGGAGCTTAACATGAGGATGGCATTCTAGGATCATTTCTGCCGTCTAAAGAGCCCCAATTAGTACTAGTGCCTAAAGGCAAAAGCGGTATGACCTTCGATGCCCTGCTCAAGTCTGAGCTGTAACCTTCGTCGAAGGAAATCTTCTGCAGTGCCGAGGATACCAGCACCGCTTGTTCTACACCTGACTTGTTCAGGTGGGTATCAAGTTGCCCTTGAACGATTTCCCGCCTATTAGCTTCGGTCTCCCCATGTCGTACGAGGTATATCCTTGCTGTAATCATGATCGATAACGATCGAGGGCGCTAGTCAGTCATTTGAGGAAAATATCTCTTTCGGGCTCTTTCGGGGACCCTTGCCGGTCGCGCTTGGCGTTAACGTCATCGATCTGCTTATCTGACACTACTCTAGGCTCGTGACCAGCCATGCATCTTCGCAGTAGGGCTGAGCAAAAAAGTACCTCTTTTTTACAAAAATAGTTTTTTACTGTAATTTACATGTGAGCTCTCGGACCAGATTTTCCTGGTCATTACAAGTCACGTGCATAGCTAGAACACTAGAGTGCACTATAGACTCACATGAGTCTCTTGTGCCCATGAGCAAGATTGAGCGTCAAGAACTCTGGAACGAGAAATATACTGGCTGCCACTTTCCGGCATGTCGTGCGATGAGCGGGGGAAATTTTGTCTTTGCCTGCTAAAAAGCCACGTGATTTATTTACATGTAATACCTGCAAAAAACTCTCAGCCGAGTGTCGACGTAATTTCCGCAGAAGTCGGATGATTTTTGCGCAGCCTACTTCGCAGACTCAAGCCCTTGATCTCGTGACGTGAGCCGAAGAGGAACGCGAGTGTTATTATTAAAATCAACGTGATGACCGCGTCGCGTTTTTATCACATGATACCCAAAAAATTCGAAGCCAATTATCCAGCTTGTCCAACGACGACGACCACTCATTTGCTGTCCATATCTTTTCGGTCTCTTCATTTATGCAGAATCAGCTTAACAAGACCGAAACGCAAGCCATCTCGTCTGCACAGAGTCTGGCATCGGTACAGACGTTGTTAAAGGCAGGATTAGGATGCATAACTTTCATGAGGTGAATAGGATTTTTTCCTCACACAATACGTTTATTTATGACCACCCAGGGATCTTCTTCCTCATGACAACTTTTCAGAAAGTGAGTGTCACTGTTCGCTGTTGTCGGCACGAGACCGATGGGCGACAGGTCATTTCGTCACGTCGGAAGAGAGCGCCTCACAAGACTCGTCGGGAAGTTTCTCGTCGCTTGACCTGCAGAAGAAACGAAATGTCAACAGTTTCAAAATTATGGTACGGCGCTTCAAGGGTCATCTGGGCTGTAACTATATCTGACGCACAAATCTAGACAATGACAAGAGGGTATACCGATGAGGCTGATAGATTGCTGAACTATTTAGTGGGTGCCATTTTCTATGCTAAATGTAACACTATCTCATCTCTTTGTAGGAATACGGAGTGTTCGATGCCCTTCAGAAGCAGTACCTGCGTACTTTCATCTTTGCTGTTTACCTCGTAAGTTCCTTCCAACTTCATCCTAACATTGGTGCTGAAACACGCTCAGGATAATAAGGATCCCAACAAGTATGTGCGCATATATGGAGCTCTTCATGCGTATGACTGACATTCGTACCGAAAGTATCATCGAAGCATACACGTTCAACTTTCAGGTAAGCAAATCCTAGTCGACTAACTTAATTTTCTTACGATTTTTAGTACCATAAACTTCCCGGAACCGATACCACTGTTCCCGTCATGACGCTTGGCGACGATACAAAGCGCACACCACTCAGAGGGTTTAATACTAGAAAGAAAGATCCTGTTGCCGAGGCAGTGAGTAAAGGGAAGTTACCCACCCTCAGAGACGTTAAACGGAGTGTCAAGGTGCGTAGTGATCACCCCATCCTATTTTTTACTGAATATACACCTACTGTCCAGACCCTGTTGAAGACCTTAATTACGTCGATGACACAAATGGATGTTCTCCCAAGTGAGCGAGTCCACAACTATCCGAATCTCATTGTATTGACCTTCCAGAGCGCCGTTTCGCTTCTTTCAAAATGTTTTACACAGACGACACCCCTTCCGAATACGAGCCTCCTCATTTCATAGCTGCGGACGCGGAGAAGGATAAGTGGTTTTTCATGACTCATGACATGGACGAGATACCAGATAAATGGAGCGTTGGAAAGGTCGATACTGGTCACCATGCGTACGTTTTGATATCATTGCTCTTCATCACGTCGCTCAACTTTACCACCTTCAGTGTGAATGTCAGCGTAACTTCTATTGCCACCTACCTTCCTTCTTCGACCGAATACGACAATGCACCGTTTACTGGAACTACAACGCGCTGCGCGACTGCGCCTAGCCTGTCTCCCATTGAAGAGGCATCACTACGTATGGAGCAGGCAGCAAAGCAGAAAGAGGACGCTGAAAATAGGAACATTGTTTGGTCGACGGAGGATGTAATGTGTGAGGAAGACGCAGACGGAGAGAACGAGGCTGATTTCGTGCAGCAGCCTGATGGTACATATGTGCTCGCTGGAATGGCCCAACAAGACGCGAAGCCTGTACCAATAGGTCTCAGAACGGAAGACGGCTGCATTGAGCCGATACCAGCGGAGATGATGCCTGTTGATGAGGAAATATTTGGTGGATCAACCCAGACTGTGCCGACGCGTCTGAATGATATGGTAAGAGTGTTAGAATTTAGGATTGCTTGTCAGCATTTAACAATGTTTTGTAGCTCACGAAGAAAACTACGGACGTCGTTATGATCGATGAGACGCAGCCTGTGGACGACCACACCCCCAAATCTGGATGTCACTCTTTGAGCAGGGATGGATCTACCTCCATTCGGCCCCGGGACGGTTTACTTGACTTCTCCCCAACACAGCCTTGTCTCGTTTCAAGATTAACGACACCTTCTCCTGAGTCGCCACTGCCCGGCGCCTCTGATAACGACGATATAGACACACAACTGTTGCAAAAGTTGGTCTTGAGTGCCAATAACGGGGACGATACCGAGATGCTAGGTGCGACAATCAGATATGACTTGTTACCCTTACCTATTATCTCTCTTAGATATGGAGACCCAGGCGATGGACTATTGCCATCCCTCGGAGAGTATACAATCATACGGGATAAGTAATCAAAGCGTCCCCGAGATTATCGATGCCGATATTGCAACACCAAGGCAGGAGAGAAAGGTTAAACACGATACCGACGTTGTTGAATGCGAATGTGGCGTTTCTGTGCGTGTGCTTCGGAATTTTTTTGCAGTTACTCATACCGAAGCCGCAGCTCGAGGATGGTTGTTGCTTCTGTGAAGGCGGATGTGAGCGCTGGTACCATGTTTGGTAAGTGCAGGACCATGGACACATACTCTCTGACCACCTTCTGCTTAGGTGTATGGGGTATGTAACTATGGCCCTTGCCCTATCAGCTCGTTTACAGTTTCGCAGATATCATTCCTCGCAGGACCCACGTCTTCCGGATAAATTTGTTTGTTTTGACTGTCGTGTGCGCGCCGACCCGACGTGGGAAATGATCAAAATGGACCTTTTCCCCACGATGCTGTCCAAATTCAGAGAACTAGCATCTTTCAGGTATGTGTTTGAGAATAATGACTTCTCCATCTCTTCATTGACGTCTTCCAGGCGAGCTATCAAGATCACTGAGAAATTCGAGCCAGAAACTGCTGCTCAGTTCACAAAGCAAATGGGTATAATCTCACCGATGCTATGCGAATAAAATTTGACTCGGCGTTACAGGATGTGAGAATAATCTCGGTAAACAGTTGTTCAAGCGCCTAGAGATCGAAAGTATGCTGTGCTGCTTGGCGTTCCTTGCACTTGCTGACGATATTCTTAGACTTCATAATCGAGCATGAGACTGTCGTCGATGATATCGGTTTCACAGAGAGTCGGGCCCGGAACGGTAAAGGTAAAGGCAAGGCGAAAGGAAAGCAAACAAAGACCCGGAGAAACGTCCAAAAGGCGAAATATGTCTTCAATCGCCAATCAAAACATACCAAGGAATACTCGGATTATTTCGATCCAAGCCTCGAAGCGGAGAGTCGCCTCTTAGGTCTCCCGCAAAAGGTTAGTGGTGTCCTATATATGTAGAAAGATACGTATAGTAACCCACTACAGAAACTAAGCGCGAAGCCACGCCCTGGCATGTCGACATCAAAGACTCAGCTTGCACCGTTGCCTCCGGCTAAAATTCTAGTGAACGACACCCAGACTCAGGATGACATCGAAACTCAGACGGCGCTGCCCTCGGTATCTGCTGACAAGTTGAAGCGAACTAAACTTGACGAAGACTCGAGGCCCAGGAAGAGGGTGAAGGTTTCTGTCGCACCTGGTATCGATCTGGCGGAGTGACATGCTGGTTCTTTAGTCTTTGCCTGGTTCTTATGCTTTGGAATGCTCTGTACTTGCTGTCTGGTTCACATCACTCCTAGAGGAAAACCTCGGAGAAAAGTGTATTGTTGCTGTATTACCGTCTGTTCAGTCCAGAATTGTTGAAATGTATCGATATTATTGCAAGGGTTTACCACTATCCAAGTCCTCCAGGGAGCAAAACTTGGCCGATTCTCGTCAAAGTGAACTCGTTCCGTGTCTAGCAATTCTTCGATAGAGTAATATTAACAAAGTTATTGACATCCTTAACGCTAAAACATATTACCCTACAATGCTAGCTTCTGGCAACCCCTGCGAGTCAGGGAAATGATGCTCTGATATAAATCTGTCACTTCAATTCGATAATCTCTTTCATAATCTGACAATCTTGACCCTTCGAATCTCGCCATCTGGCACTCATTACGACATTGGAGAAATATGCATCATGTTGGAAATGGACGACATTCATGCCTCCAGCAAATTCGTCGGACGACTGCCATATTGGCTCGTAATCATCTTCACGTGTAAAGTGAACAAGCCAGGCTTCATCCGCACTCAGGAGGTCCTTATATTTGACTGCCCTCAAGATTTGTGACTGGACGGACGTTGCGTCTGAATATTCCGCCACCTCCAGGATAATGGTACGCTCTGTCGGTGTCCCTTGGGTGAGAATGATATTGGGGTGGACTCCATCTATGCACGAATGCCATTCGACGGCGACGGACCAAGAGTCAGACGAGCCGAGCCAACTGGAGAGTATCCTTGACAACTCGGATTCATAAACCCCTGGGCAGTATGCCCACCATCCTTGATGCCCACAAACAGGAACATGTGCCGTCTCGGTAGACCTGCTGCATACATCCTGCAAGAATTCCTTGCTGAAAAACCATAATGCCGTCCGTAAAATATCGACGATAGCCATGTCGCTGCTTACTCCAGGCAAAGCGTGTAGATGAGGTGTAGGAAATTTGACAGGGAGCTTTGTTTGCAAAAAGACCGTTCACAAATGCTGACGACATCTGATATTCAGATTGAAGTGTATCTGGCGTGTTGAGGACACCCTCTGCCGTCAAGAAGTCAGCAGTGTCTTCTTTGGAGTAAATATAAACGGGGCCAGAATAGCCAAGGAAGTTATAGTAGAGAAGAGCAGCAGCGTCGTGGGCGTCAGGATCCTGAAGCGTTTGTAGCATATTTTTGTATGGGGGGTGAAGGCCAAACCATTCGTACAGCTCATGGATGGTATTCCGCTGCCAATGAACAAAGGTGACATTCTGGCTGTCATTTGAGGACTGGAGCCTGTCACGGATGAACTGCCCGCATAAACATACGGTTGCGGGATGGCCACAGACGTATTATCAGTCGTGAATGGTACCAAATCGATTACTGAAACGTACCCTCCAGATTTAATCCATATATCTTTGACGATATTGGGATTCAGAGTAAAGCGATCGTCCTTTTGAAAGTCATGGAAGAGACTCTCAACTTGTGATAAGGAAAAATAAGGGACTTGAATGATTGTCATGACTCCATCAAAATGTCTAAATGGCGTTGAACAAGGCGCTGAATGTCCCAGTTGCGATCATGCCATCCAAGGAATAGTAGCTGATGGTTTTGTAATCTCTGAGGAACTTCAAGGCTCCGAGGAAATCATGCACGACATCCAAAGAAGCTGCACGTAACTCATCGATGTCATCGACAAGGAGAAAAAGTCTTCGTCTTTTCCATTGAAGTAGGCGATGAAATCGTTTCCGTGGGTGAACGGGGGCACACCATGCTCCCTCATACAAATTGATCTGTATATGGAATCCCAGAATGTCTCTAGGTCTTCCATAATTCGCAAATCCTTAAAGGATAAACTGATCAGGAAAAGTTAGCTGCCCATATTGTAGTTTTCAGGGAAGGAAAACTGACTGAATAACTGTATATTCTTCCAGACGTGACTTGATGTCGAGTAGTCGCATAGTCTTACCTGACCCCGGAGGGCCTAAGAGCAGAGGGAGCCGTCCCCTTAAAGCCATTTGTATGTACATTTCTGTCTCCGATTCGACGTCGTGCTGCACAAAATATCCTCGCTGTGTATCATTTATATTTGATGGAGTGCGTATGATCCATTCTCTTCCTGTTATGACAGTCAACTTGGAAATGAAGCTCCTAGATCAGCACCATACTGCTTTCGTTCTCTGGATGCTTGTAACGCGTTGGGCTGACAGAAGGCTCCGATACAGGTAGGTTGACGCTATTATATCGACGAACATAACGAACAGGACCAAGCGTTCTTCCTGGAGAGAAATAGGTTATCTACGGAGGAGTGTTAGGAGCCTCGTCGTGAACGTTTACCATTGAATGGCTTCACAGTTAATGTCCTTGTTTGCAACCCGCCGTATAGTCGGTTTTGGAAGACAGAAGATGGCACTCCTGATATATCATTTAAACGAGTCCCCAGAGATTTGAAACTTCGTATTAGTTGAGTCATGGACGAAGCGAGAGAACTTGAACATACCTGAAACTAGTAGCGGAGGGTATCCGATCAGGAGACTCACAAAATCAGAAACATTGCGAGGAGCCAACTCCTACTTCACAAGTAAGAAACGCTACCTGAAGTAGAGGGACACTTTAACTACTTGAACACCATTCCTCAACATTGGAGGCGGTATATAAGTAAGGAAAGACGACGTCGAGAATGCTCCCACGAGAAAAAACAAGGCGTCATCATAGAGATTCAAAGAGCGAGAACTTTACTAGGGAGAGGAGTATGTTAATTGGCGCAAGGGAAATTGAATGCCATAAGGAGTGGAAGAAGTTTTGCCTCGACGAGCTTTTGAATCATAACGAACACTGAAGGACCAAGGTACCTGGTGACTGGTGACTGGTCAGTAGTCAGACTCACTGACAATGGTAAGAAAGGGTAGAGAGTCTAGTGACTCAAGAGTCGAGACAGTAGACTCGAGAGTACTAGAGACGATGGCACTGACGATCGGCAAAAAAGGGCGTCACCGTAGAGATTCGAACTCTAGCGGGCAAAGCCCAACCGCTTATTGTATAGCAGGCGATCCCGTTAACCACTCCGGCACAGTGACCATAAACGGATTTCGAAAAATACACTATGATAATAGCATAACATATCGGAGTCTGAACTCTTAGTAACCATCTTTTACCAACTTTCCCTTTGCTTCAAGATGTCTGAAGCTGACTTTTATCTGGCAACACGTCTTGCATACCCTTTCTTCTGGATATAATTGTCCAAAGCGCGAACATCACTCCACCTCTTTTACGTGAAATCGAACAAAGACATGCCAACCAGTACTATCCTGGACGCCTGTTATGTCCAACATCGATCCGGTTATCTTGCCTATATACCAAAAGAAAAGTTTCCCTCAACTTTCACTCTTCCGTGCCTCTTGAGTCTTCGTTGATACTTTGTCCCGCGGTTCCCGCACGATCCCTGCTCTAGTGTTCCATCATGTACTTCATTTCAAGATCGTAAACTTCAAGTGTTGACGGCAATATTAATGTACTTCCTTCGACGATAGCAGATGAATCCTTTAGCAACTTTTTCTTGTGGCTGAGGCAGCTTACGCGAGGTGATTTTATGTGAAGCTGTTCAGCGATCTGAAGTACAAAGAAATCAGTTGTCACTCGATATCAGCCGTCATCGCACCGATGCTCCTTCGATCTCCTGGCTTCGTGAAAGCACCAGAATTCTTGGTAAGTGTATCTGATTGTTATCATACTAGATCCAGATGGTGATGACTCGAAAAGATCATTTGAATATAACAGTTACGACTCTTGACACGTTGTTCATAACTACCCGCATATTCTGGGCAATACGTGTTCACTAGGAAGGACACGTCATATGCAATATAAATGCAATGTTTGTGTTACCCGATGGACACCAGATCTCTCCATAAATGTCATTTCACACGCAAATACGACGCCGTCAAAACCAAAGGCGCGCTCGAAGTCGAATAACCGCTTATTCTTCTCTGTCTATCGCATTCTTTGCTATACTCACGATTATATGTCTATGTCCGACCTCTGTAAAGGCGAGTTCTAATGATAGAATTGATGGACCTGTCATTGGTATAGGTATGTGTCCTTTCATTCTCAGGGCGATTCATTCTAATCTCCGTCTTCCCACAGACCTGGGAACCACATATTCTTGTGTTGGGTGAGAGTCTCTTCCATGTGTCTCTGACATATTTCTGACAATCCAACTATAGGGTACAGCGAGGCAGTGGTGTAGAAATCATCGCGAACGATCAAGGTCATCGTATCACACCGTCTTGGGTTAGCTTCAAGGACAATGAAAGATTGTAAGTCGGCTTATCCAGTTAAATATTTCTGGACCATACGAATTCTACCCTTCTTAGAATTGGGGAGAGTGCCAAACACGCATTTCATTCCAATCCGCATAATACGGTTTTCGACGCCAAGCGTTTAATCGGACGTAGGGTCGACGACCCAGACGTACAGAAAGACATCAAACATTGGCCCTTCAAAGTACAGGAGAAGAACGGAAAACCGGCGATTTCTGTACAATATGAGGGCAAATCGCTTGACTTGGTACGTTTTGTGCAGCCGTGTATAACTCCTAATGCTGATTTGGACATCTAGTATCCAGAAGAAATCAGCGCCATGGTACTTTCCAGGATGAAGGAGGTAGCTGAAGCATATCTGGGGCAAAAGGTCTCGCACGCCGTAGTCACTGTCCCTGCGTGTAAGACATCCCCATATAATGGTTAGGTAGCTGCTTATCCGAATTTCCCACTAGACTTCAATGATGCCCAACGCCAGGCCACGAAAGATGCAGGAACGATCGCGGGACTGAACGTCGTTCGCGTCATGAGCGAGCCTACTGCTGCCGCCCTCGCATACGGCCTCAACAAGAAAGGCTCAGAATCCAAGATCATCGTCTACGACCTTGGTGGAGGAACCTTTGACGTATCTCTGCTCTCCATTAAGGATGGCGTTTTCGAAGTTCTCGCCACAGCTGGAGACACTCACCTCGGAGGCGAAGACTTTGACAATCGTGTCATCGACCACCTAGTGAAGAAGTACAAGCAGAAGACAGGGACTGACGTCTCAACGAACCAGAAGACGACGGGAAAGCTAAAGAAGGAGGTGGAGAACGCCAAGCGTACGCTGTCAACGCAGCAGAGCACTCGGATCGAGATCGAGAGTTTCGAGAATGGGAACGATTTCTCGGAAACGCTGACAAGGGCCAAGCTCGAAGAGCTCAACATGAGCCTTTTCAGGAAGACCATGAAACCTGTTGAACAGGTTCTCAAAGACGCAGACATTTCGAAGGATGATATCGATGAAGTGTGCCATTCTTGTTCCCCAGTCTTCTCTTGCCTGATGGTGCGTTACCCAGATCGTTCTTGTCGGCGGATCTACGCGCATTCCCAAAATTCAGCAAATGCTCAGGGATTATTTCGGGAAAGAGCCGTCTAAGGGTATCAATCCTGACGAAGCTGTCGCATACGGCGCTGCCGTGCAAGGGGGTATCCTCTCCGGTATCGAAACAGGAGCTACAGTAGTCGACGTCTGCCCTCTGACACTGGGTATCGAAACGACCGGTGGCGTAATGACAAAACTCATCCCTCGTAATACCATCATCCCAACACGCAAAAGTCAAATGTATGTATTCGGTTGTACGGTGGAACATCCTACTGACCTGGATTTCTTGTAGTTTCTCTACCGCGGCGGATAATCAACCCACAGTCCTTATTCAAGTCTTCGAGGGAGAGAGGGGGATGACGCAGGACAATAACCTCTTGGGCAAATTTGAATTGACAGGCATCCCGCCGGCTCCGAGAGGCGTTCCTCAGATTGAAGTAACCTTTGAAGTCGATGCCAATGGTATCATGAAAGTGTCCGCTGCTGATAAGGCAACGTGCGTTTTTCTTTGTTTTCTTAGTCAGGGACGTCCGCTTATTAGATATGATAGTGGAAAAACGGAGAGCATTACTATCAAGAACGAAAAAGGACGTCTTAGTCAAGACGAGATTGACAGAATGGTCGTGGAGGGCGAGAGATTTGCCGAACAAGTTGGTTGACATCGACGTTTGAGGTTGCCTTTTGCTAACCTGACCTACCCCAATTAGGATAAGCTTCGAAAGGATCAGATCGAAGCGCTAAACGCCTTGTCGTCGTTCATCTATGGGCTCAAAAGCCAACTAAATGACCAAGAGGGACTTGGAGGAAAACTCGATGCATCCGACAAGAACACTGTTTCGGAGGTAATCCATGAGACTATAGATTGGATCGAGGATAGCGGGACAAGTGCTACCACAGAGGACTTGGAGGAAAAATTAACTGGTAAGCGGCAGCAGATATTGTTTCGTTTCACTTCAAATTGACAGCATACGCAGAGATTCAAAGTACTATAAATCCTATTACCGCCAAGCTGTATCATTCACCCGGTCCGCAAGAATGGGAATGGGAGCGCCCAGACGATGAGTTGTAGAAGCGCACGTAGCATACCCATCATTGTACATCTACTAGCATACTACTTTACTGCCAGGACAGCTTCAGGAGTTACGAGGGAACCGGTGTTTTCGGACCGCAAGAATGATAGCCGGCGGCTATGAATGACGTCAGATTCGATCGAGTAAATATTCCACGTGTCCTGTCTCAACCTTCCCCTTGGTCGCTCCGAGACACCACATGGCGCATTATATCCATGGCTCTTGAATTCGTCGATAATTCTAGCATCCAATTTCTGATGGGAGTCGCTTTATTCCGACGCAAAGCCCGCTTTGATCGACTCGACCTACTATCAAAAAATCAGTGGCACAAGGCTGCGGCGCCGACTTCATCATTAATCTTAGGGCAGCTGTCTACTTCCCTCCTCCATTTTAAGGTCGGTAAAACAAAAATCAAATGGGCATATACGCGTTTAAAAAAATTCAAGATCTACCGTAAATCTCAATCTACCAGGAACCCTTTTTTCTTCTGTGTCTGAAACGAGGCTAGCATCCTATTGTTCTTGGTATCAGCTGTACCCTATCCTCGTAATATCCAGCTACTCTATGAGCCGACGCGTTTCCTATTCTGGGTCTGACAATGCTTCGGGTCTTGTCTCGAAAACCCCGTCGTAGTTGTAATCTGGATCATTCATCTTGAATGTTTTCACTTTTTTGTTTTCTTCCTCCTTTTCCTGCGGGACATAGGAGAGAGCGTTGGCTCTCTTAAATAGGCTGGCAATTTTCATGAACCCAACCGTATCTTCTACCCATCGTTCACCATGGCCATCGACACTCCTACCGAGACCGAGAAGCCTACTTCGTTCATTCTGCCTGACCTCGTCTCTCACTGCACCTTCCCACTCGTGTACCACCCCCATGGGGACACCATTGCCGCTCAGTCCGTGAAGTGGCTCGACACCAACTGCCCAGACTTGAACACCAAGCAGCGGGCGGCTCTCTACGGACTTCAGGCCGGCGAACTCACAGCTTACTGCTACAACACCTCTTCCGACGCGCGGCTTCGAGTCGTCTCCGATTTTATGAACTACCTCTTCCATCTGTGAGTCTAACTTTGTTTTCTTTTTTTTAATTTCCCCGCGATGCTGACATCCCCACTACCAGGGACAACATCAGTGATGGCATGATGACCAAAGAAACTGATATTCTCGCCGATTGTGTCATGAATGCGCTCTGGTTCAGCGGCTTTTACAAGCCCACGGTTAGAAGCGACTATAATCAGCCGGAGGAGGAAATGAATGCGGGAAAACTCGCTAGAGAGTAAGTCTTGACTTGATGTGTCCCACGGCCCCTTGGACTAATTTCTGCTCTACTTGTAGCTTCTGGGCCCGCTGCATTCCTGATGCTGGGCCTGGCGCGCAAGCGCGCTTCAAGGAGACCCTCGAGCTGTTCTTTGAGGCGGTCAACATTCAAGCCAAAGATCGTGATCGAGGCATCATTCCCGATCTCGAGTCATACATCGACGTTAGAAGGGATACATCTGGTGCGCTTCACTTCTTGACCACTCCACCAATATTTGCTGATTAGTAAAATAGGCTGCAAGCCGTGCTGGGCGTTGATAGAGTGAGTTTATGGCCTATCTGTCTTCTAGTCCATCGCTAATAATTAATTCTTAGATACGCCCTCGACATCGATCTCCCCGACGAGGTTGCTGAGAACGAGGTCATTCAGGCGTTGAACCAGCACACTAATGATCTTGTCACTTGGTCCAATGTAAGCAGCCCTTCCCTTGTCCTCTATTCCCTTGCCTTATGGTGCATTCAGGACATTTTCTCTTACAACGTCGAGCAATCCCGTGGAGATACCCATAATATGATCGTCATCATGATGGTTTATCACGGGAAAACTCTTCAGGAAGCCGTCGATTATGTTGGAGATCGCTGCCGAGAGACTATCGACGCTTTCATTGAAGGCACGAAGCATGTACCGTCGTGGGGTCCCGAGATTGATCCCATCGTCAAAAAGTACATCCAAGGGCTTCAGGATTGGATTGTGGGGTATGTCTTTTTCTGGTTGTGTCCACCGGGTTGTACTCAAGGGCTACTCATCCAGATCACTTCATTGGAGCTTTATGACTACCCGGTACTTTGGCGACGCTGGAGCCGAGGTCAAGAAGACGCGGTTTGTGCAGCTTCTCCCCCTTAGGAACTAGAGATTTAAATAATTTGGGCGGGGCTTTACTTTAAAAATTTTGGGAGCTTTTCGAATTCGTAAATATGTATCTTTTTCGTGCACTTGTAACTTAGACTGTTGGAATATATGTACCAGAATTATGTCCGCTGACATAAACCTTGACGCATTCTTGACGTCATTCCCACGACCTCTTCTCATATAAGAACCACTGTGAGACATGACGCTCTTCTCTCCCACAGTCTGCAATGAACACGCTCTTTCGGCGCACTCTTTCTCGACATGCTCTGTCTCGGCCCTCGGTCTCGCCTTTCGTATTTTTGAAGTCCCGGACTGTCGCTAGCACCGTGTCCAACCGCCCTGCAAGTCAAACATTCGAGCACACGGCTACCAATATAAAGGAAGAAGCCGGCAACGCTGCCTCGGATGTTGCCAAGATCATCGCCGGTGCTAATGTCACTCGAGAGGATTTCGCTAAGACTAATAATTCCACTTTTGTACGTGAACCTCGTTCTCTGCTCGTTGGCGTGGACTCAGAACGGGGTATACACGCCAGTTTGGGATTACCGGTGCTATCGCGTCTTCTGTGCCTAAGCCTGCGATGGTGTTTGGGCTAGCTGGTACAATTAATTCACTACGCGCCACTGCTTAGGTTAAACTCCACCTAGGCACACTTCCATATGTCGGCGCCTCTGCTACGACCGTTTATCTAGCTCAACAAGCGGGGCATGCAGCTAGCGGTTTGGCGACAAAGATAGATCCTGGAGTCGCTCTCACTGTCCTGGATCAAGCCTTAAATGTGCAAATGACTTACGGAGCGGTAATGCTCTCATTCCTTGGCGAGTTATCTTTACAATTACATTGAGATTACAGATCTAACGTTGAGTTTTTTTCTTCTAGGTGCCATCCATTGGGGTATGGAGTTCGCAGGTTACGGAGGGCAAAAGGGATATTCTCGCCTGATGTTAGGTACGGCACCCTTGCTGGTTGCCTGGCCAAGTCTTGCGCTTGATCCCATGGCAGCCTTGACGGTTCAATGGGTTGGCTTCACCGCCCTCTGGTGGGCCGACGCCAAGGCCACGAGCAATGGGTGGAGTAAGTTCTTCAAGTCCGTTTTCTAATCACAAAAACCTCATTTTTATGTCAATGATAGCTCCAGCTTGGTATTCCCAGTATCGTTTCTACCTGTCCGTGCTCGTTGGTACATGGTATGTGCTACCTGGTTGAACGCAAGACTTTGTTCTGATTATATCTTTTTCGCGCAGCATCATTGGTTCCCTTGCTGGAACTTCGTATTACGGCCCTGTTGCCGGTCATGGATTCTTGTCCCATGACCTCGAACTCACTCGTGAATTGAGGAGAGAACTCAGCCCTGAAACCAAACACAAAGTCCCTGGCGTAATCGAGGCAGTTCCCGCGACTTCAGGTCAACCGGGTTTTGTAACCATCAAGAAGAAAGACGCGCATCCTGAGGAAAAGGAGAATTGAAGAGTGTGTATATCATGGGACTGGAACTTGAGCAAATTGGTTGTACTACTAGTAGAAGTCAAATCGCCGAATGTATTTTTGTAGCAGAATGTCGACAGTATACCTTATGGCGCTGTTGCTATTTGCTGAGTACGGAGCTCGGGCGGCATCGTCCGCGATTTTTGCATTCAAGTTTCGTCGGGCTAGACTAGACGATGACGGCAGTCCTAGTAATCGCACGAAGAGCGAATGTTCATCATGATCGTGGTGGGTACGCTTATTATATATCTTGCCCAGACTTCTCTGTCGATCCGTGAGGCTTGAACGGTTCCAACTGATGACGAGAGATCTCATGTTGCTAAGCATCTACACAAGTATCAGTATATTCCTACGTTTCGCATGTCCCTAACATAAAATCCATGTCCGTAATAGTAACTTTAGAGCTGTATAAAACTCGTATCTATCCCATGCGAAAAGTCCCATATACAAATCCGCTGATTGATCCGTGAGTAAGGAACATGAACTCGGGGCGCAAAACTCACCTGATCTTCGCCACAGGAAACGATCTGTTCAGTATCCGACGAAGTCAATTATAATGTATGTGTAACAGATGGAAAAGAAAAGATAATCAAACCTTCGTGCAGTCGAAACCGATGCAGAATATCCGTCCGGTGTGTCCTCCGCTGAGATCAGCCACCAGGGCACCGGTTTTACGGATCCCAGACCTAGATGGTAGGTAGGCGGTTCAATAAACGAGCCTGATGAGGTGGTTCACCTGTCGCGTACCTTGATAGTCAAGTCATAGCTTCCACTCATTACAAAGTCATCTCCTAGTGCTACGCTCCTTACCAAGTCTCCATGCATGCATCTTGTTTCTACATGAGACGAAGCCGCCGCTGCCGGTTGGATGTTCGTACTCCCACAGGTCCGGCAAACGTGACCTCCCGCCAGGCCATTCGCTAGAGGAAAATGACGCTGTCAATGGTGCACTTTGTCGCCGGAGGATTCCCTTCCAACGGGACATCAGGCGAAGTAGACCATCCTTGCAAAGTCGTAATATCGAACAGACGAAGGTGTTTATCCGAAGATCCTGATAATACATACGGCAGTTTGAAGTCGATTGAAGCAATCCTGTCGTATAGTCAGTCTGAGTTTGAACTAAAAGTACTTGATTGGAGCTCACCCTCGAGTGTGGTGATTCTCGAACGTCCGCAAAAGGCCGCCCGTTTTCGTATCCCAGAGTCGTACGGAACGATCTCCAGATCCTGAAACGATAAGAGTCGGAGAAATGGAAACTGCGTTAACTGCAGCTCGATGGGCACCAAGTCTGTATTCTGGTTCAAGGTCCGGGAAGCTATATGTCCTCACGTAACGGTCTATGACAATATTCAGTGAGCGGTCCGGGAGAACTTGGGGGGGTGGGGGAACTCAAAGCAGACCTTTAGAACATGAAACGAGACGTTCATTGTCGAAGCGTACACACAGCACGCTGTCTTCGTGGTCAGAGATGACTTTGACTAACTCGTTCTTCTCTAGATCCCACACGACCACTCTGCGGTCGCTTCCGGCGCTGGCAAGGAGGCCATTATATACGCAGATACTGAGCACAGAACTCGAATGAACCTCGCCGACAACTCTTTCTACCAAACCTGTGGATAAGTTCCATTCTCGGACAGTCTTGTCCCGAGACCCGGTGAACAGCACTTGGACGCCGGTGGTGGGGTAAGTATAGAGCTGTAAACAGTAAATAGTGTTGGTATGGGCATTTGTAGGCGCCCCGCGTGTTTGCAAGGCAGAGAGCCGGTATGATGGGGATAAAACACGGTTGTGAAGTCGAACGTGAGTCTGGTGGAGCAGTTTGTAGTCTGCTTTCAAGAATGAAGATGGCCCGAGAGTATTCAGAACGGGCGGCGCGGAGTGGCGGACCTTTGTAGATGAGCCTGCCGCCGGCCCGGAGGATGAGCGCTCTCTCGTCTACTATTCGTGGACGTGGAGGCTTCAAATGAAAGCGCATTGTCATGGGAAGACATCGAAGCAAAGCCAGAATCCGACTCTGTAAGCATCATCGATGATTCCACACGAGACGTTTCTACGTCTGACATCAACGAATCCGCCACTTCGTCTTCATCGGCTTCCTCATCCGAGTCACCCATACCCTCATCATCGGAATCCTGCCAGGCCTCAGAACGCTTGGGCGCATCGAAAGCGTGAGCTCTCGGTGGTTGTCCGCCACCTGCCAGCCACGGGATAAACACAGATTCTTCCATAGAGATTGGTCGTTGGCTAGTGTTTGCCAACGTCGACAGACTAGAGCACAGGTTAACAAGGCTTCCGCGGATAGGTGGGAGAATATCTGCAAAGACTACTTCGGTAGGCAGAGACTAGTGGAAAGTCAGCTTGAGCGCGCGAGTGAGCACGGTACGACGTACACCAACTACATCGAACTGTAGCAACGGGGCTAGTCGCCGCTGGATAGTAGCCTAGACGAGACCTCGGCAAAGAGGCTAGTAGTCGATATGCAAGCTCTGCAGCTATGTTAGAAAGAACAAAAGTAAGTGAAAGACGACAGACCTTCGCACTCTTGCACCGAGTTCATCGACATCCCTGACAACAGCCTTGAGTCGGAAAATGAAGTGGCAGTCGCCTGCCAGCTATCCTCGTCCGTGTATCCTTCATCAGTGCATCGATGTTCGTCGTGGGTTGCTTGAAACAAGAAACGTTGAAGTGGCCGGTCCTAGGCAAGAGGGCCCTTGATTGATTGGCAGAGTTGGTCGCGATGGGCACGTCAAGCCTATGTCCACGCGAGTTCCGATCAGATTGCAAATTCAAAATAACATAACACGGCCGATACTTCCCAATTTGGACTCAACAGCAGGTTTATTACTACCGCGTACTTACATCTACAAAAATCTTCTATTTCTTCTTCATTGGTTAAGCTCCGGTAAGCCCGAATTATCCCCCTTCGAACGGAGCTCATCACAGAACAGTACCCAACCTAGAAAGAAATAAGACGTTGAGAATTCCATTAACAGATAGATATATCATAATTTATGAGGAAGAGAAAAAGGGTACGGTGAATGCAGCAGCAAGGATCAAAACTGTAACAGCGATAACAGGAACGAGAGACGTCGATGAATGGGATTTTGCGTTGAGCTTTTTAATGACTCGCGGCTTCGGTTTTGGCGTATACGAGGGGACGTAAGGAATTAATTGAACATACCCAATAGATTTGAATCCATGAATGCTGCGATAAAGAGGATCAGCAAAGCCTCAGCTCGAAAGTTGCTCTACTTACTAGTACCCCTTCTAAATTCCGCTTGATCTCGTCCTTCCATACCAAGTGGGACACCAGATAGAGTGAAGGTAACCTTGGTCGAATCCTCCGACTGGTCAAGTGTCGTAGTCAAGGTCGCGACATGATCTAAGGCACACAGGTTTAAAAACAGACTTTATGAAGAGGATGTTCAGCTTCACCTGATGGCCACGTAGGGCTGGACAGCGCCCAAGTCTGTACTATCTCCTTCGGCGGCGTAAGGGAGACATATTTCCCCTTCACACCACCTCCAAATAGGCTAAACTCCGTGTCCGGTTTGGCCGCAGACTATTCTCACGTTAGGCAGAGAAAATGGATGAATCGCGAACAGACATACCTGTGCGGCGGCTCGAGTCCAAATCGGAATCCTCTTTTCGTCCGTAAGCAAACCAAAGAGATCGTCAGCAGCAGCTTTGAAAGTGCTATCCACAGTGACCGTAGCCGTATTAACCGCCTTGGGCTCCTTCTTCACAGGCTTCGGCGCAGCCTCAGGTGCAGGCGAGGGCGCAGAAGTCGCCGCTGGTGTCGCCGCCGCCGGCCCAGGCGTATTAGCGCGACTCGGCTCCGTACTAACGGTCAAATCCTTCCCATGCGTCTCGAAAATCGCAGCAGGGAATTTAGCAAACACGTCCTCGAGGATTTTAGGAATGCGTTGTTTAGCCATCGAGTATAAATCGTCAACTTCGGGGGATGGCTCGGTTAGAAGAGTCCAGAAGAACTGGTGATTAGGTGTTAGATGAAGTAGCTGGGAAGGATGATAAGGAGGAAGCTGAACGGACTTGGTATTGGCTGAGACCGTCCATAGTAATCTCATGGGACACCTCAGGGAATGTCGAGGCGCCCCTTGGCCTCAGTACCGTCGCTAGTCGTACCCGTCCACTCGAGAGCAAGTTCACAATCATAGATCGTGATGAAGTCTAGATCACAAAGAGAACTGAGCACCGCGCCATCTCCGTAAAAAGGATACACGTACTTGGACTTTCCTTTGTCCCAGTTCGACATCGCCAGATACATGGGAGACCTTGGATATCCAGACCGCTTTGCCCTCTACATCGCCTTCTACCCTCAAGTCCGTCAGCTCCTGCTCAAACCAATCCTTGCCCCCACTTTGTGATGTTCTTGTTTTTCCAGTGCCAGTTAGCTGTCGTAGACGGAAGAGGTGCGGGAGGAGCCGCCATCGATGTCGTTCACGCAGGAAATCGGACGTGGAGATGTGAGAGATGTGAAAGAGATAAACCGGAGAGGTGACGATCTTGACGGTACTGGATAAAAACGCGTAACAAAATTTCGATGGACTTCTAGCATTTTCTGGATACTTCCCTCTTTGGAAATGCCTTTCATCAAAAGTTCATCGAAGATTTCTACGCTAAGTAAACACTAAATACGTACAATAACTCAATATACAACTAGCTGGCTTCGAATCGCACGCCTTTCTTTTTCTTTTTCGGGAGAGGAGGCCTAAACACACCAGCGACAGATATGTCACTCTGAATAACACCTTCAACTGGCTCAGAGGGTAGCGGACTAAATGCCCGGGCCTTCCTTTTTGCTGGTATTGACGCGGGTGGCGTCACTGTATCCTGTCGTAGATCCATTCCTACCATAACGGCATCGGGATCTAACCCTGCCGGGTCCTGTGTCGGGATATTGAACAGAGGAAACTCCACAGACGGTAGAAACTTTGGCCGCTCCGTAATGAACCGCGGATTCTGTACAAAAGGTCAAGAGATCATTCATGCACTAGAGCAAGCCAACTAACCGCAATGTAGTGCCTCATACCACTCTCGTCAATGAGTTTGGGCAGTTTATCTGTGCAGTCTTGAAGAAGCGCTCCGCCGGCTGACCATATTTTCTTCAGCAGTATTACGAATCGCCAACGTCTTGACTGTAATACTTTGAGCCCATAGACTAACCACGAAAGAAACCCATGCAAACCTGATATATGCTTAGTCTGTCCAATCCGATGAGCACGTTTGATTGCCTGACTTTCGACATCGGGCTGCCACACAGGCTCACAGAAAATGACTCGCGACGCGGATACAAGGTTTCTTCATATCAACGTGTCAGCACTTCGAGTTCACAGCAGATGATAAGATGCACGTACAGCCCACGAGCTCCATGCTTCAATTCCATGAGGAATACTCGGTACGTCTCCGAGGTCTCAAAGCTATGGGATATTCCAAAAATCAACGACGAACATCTACACGCCAGGAAATCCAAACTCACGTCAAGACAAACTGCTCACGAACTTGCGTGGGCACATGAGACATGAAGCGCAGATACTTGACCTGCAAAAGATCGAGAGCGTCGGCAACATGAGCTAAAGTCAAAGCCGAATCCGAAAAGATTAAGAATTTCTCATTCTGCGCGTATCGAAGCACCTATGCCAGGGAGAAACGAGTTAGCTCGGCGAACGGACCGCTGATACATTTCTACCTCGTTGATAATGTAATTGAGTTTACTTGACGCCGAATCTTTAATCCGGATATGTCGAAAGGGCGAGCGCGAAAGGAGTACTGATGGTACTTCAGGAAGGGTTCGAGGACCCGCGTCTAATGGATCAGCATCCTCTTTCTCTAAGCGCTCAAGTCTTGACAGCGCCGCATCCAGTTCCTTCTTCATCTCTCTCAACTTCTCTGGAGACGCCGCTTTCTTGGCATCCTCATGCAGCCGGCTAGCCTTGCGCTTGCGAAGATCCATTTTCTTTGTCGATTCGGTGAACAAGAGCTGCTTAGCGTGATCCCTTTCGGCGATGGCGGTTCCAAGCTCGAGCATACGTCCTACCGTGATGAGAGGCTGCTGAGAGATGGTGTTTCTCATCGTGACCAGCCTATCCGGGTGCATAAGGCCAGCGAAGGTATTATGGCTGCCATCCTGACTCTGGACTCCGGGTATACGCGTCCATCTCTGGAAGACATCATCAGGAATATCATGGAGTCGATACGGAACCTCGACGTGATCTTGGATATTTCTCCATGTCTTATCGTCCGCTGCTAGCTGGCTGACATAGCGATAAGAATCTCGAAGAAGCGGACGAGTACAGTTGGACTTACATGTGCTCTATCGCCTGAGTGATCAGCTCCAAATCTTCTTGGGACGCATTGCGGTTGATCGCAGTTTCTATGTGAACCTTTGGCCTTGTCATGATCTCGTCGGCGTTGTACAGATGCTCGTCAACAGACCAGAACATGATCCTTTTGAGTATCGAGTTCTCTAGTGAATATTCTGCAAAAAACAAACCCAAGGTCCACGTACTGTGTCATATTCGAAACGAGCTCCTGGAGCAAATCCGAGTTCTTTGCAAAAACGGAGGTAGGCAAGGAGCAGTCCACAACTTTGACTGACATACCTTAGGATGGAACAAATAGTCCTAGGAGCACAGATGAGCCTAGGTATCAAACAATGAAAATGAACGACCTTACTTGATCTCGTCGTTCAGAGTCCACAGCGTTGATTGCAATGGCCGCCTGCAAAGCATTATACGAGCGCACTGCATATGGATCTAGATCCAAAAAGATAGCCTCCTTGTTAATGGGGGGCAGGACAACATCAGCCTCGACGTCTTCAACCCTACAGAAGAAATCCCATAAATCAAGCACGCCTCAAGAAAGCCAACCCACCTATGTCGTACCATCACCATACTCATAACTTGCGTCAAAACTTCAATCGCACCGGGCCGAGGTCCATCCGGATCCATGAGAGGCTCAGGTGACGTGAGTTCTCATAAGCTGTGAATCGGCCAGGAATTGAGGAACACCGACGAAATGCGTTATCATATTCCCCAGTTTCCGGAGGTCCTCCCGATCGTACTTGTTCCATATCCTGGCTTGCTTCATCGTAGGAGGTGTAACTTCACGCGATTGAGAAGCGGATCCCTCTGGATCTTTGAAAAGTTCCCAAAATTCCGCGTCTCCTTCATCATCATCCTGCTCCTGTATGTCGTCCGTCTTTGCGCCGAAATTGAGTCCTAGAAGATTCGTAGTTGGAGTCCCGGTGACGATCCAGCGATGTTCGATGCTCAGGAGCTTTGTGAACGGCGTCAGGGTGGTGGACATGGATGCTGAGACGTGCCCTTCATCGATAACGAGACGCTTCCATCTAATTTGTAAAAGCGGGGAGACGTTTGGGATCTCGCAGCTACAGTTTGGTATCCTAGTTCCTGGGAATTCATCACATTTGCAGATTTTCCATGAGTGTAGCTTTGATACATCTTTCGCGAGATTCTCCGCAGTGAACCCTGGAAAATAGGATCAGCGTCTCGGTACTATCAGAAAGCGATGACAAGCATACGAGAATAGGTCATAAGAATGATCTGCACAAAGGATCGGCTCGTCAGGCAAAGAACAAAATAGCGTTAGAAATTTGCTCACGTCGTAGTCCGATGCCAGTGCCTTCGCGTTCCGGTATTTTCGAAGCGCGACCGAAGGATGAGGACTCTAAGCTCACGCTCGCAATGCTTGTGTACTTCTCCGATCCCATTGGCTGATGAGATTAGAAGGTACCGACGATCAAGGTTCGCAGAGGTCAGATACATGGTACGAGGCCCCGCAGTACCCTTACGACGCTGAAAACGTTCATTGTCGATGGGCTCTGTATCGTAATGATGGTAAAACTGGTATGTTGCTCTGGAAAAGAGCCCGAAATTGGTGTTGCTCGAAAATCTGAAGCATAGCATCCTTCTCCGAGTCCGGCCTAATCCTATGCTCCCAGATAGTCTCGTCTGGCTTGGTACACATTTGATGCAACAGCAATTCAGGGAGAGATGGAACGCCAAGAGCGGGAACATTAGTTGATTTTTGACGACGGGAGCGCATGAGACGGTTTCGCGCCGCCGACATCTCCGCTGATGGAAAATATCGAAGTGATAGTGGAGTCAGGACTGGGCGCACATCAATGATTGATTCTTCTGGAGCTGATAGCTGATGCAAAGTTGCCATGATGAGGGTGAGGGTCATCACAGTTTTTCCGGTGCCTAGAATTTGAGTTAGTCAGGTGCTTGGAGGTACAGTGGGAGAAACTTACCGAGTTCCTCGCACAGTACGCCGCCACGGTTGGGCGCAACCATTGGCCTCTCTCGCAAGATTTCCATTGTACCTGGTTGCAGATAGAAAGGCCTCCTTGTTCAAGGCAAGAACGCGAACGTAAAGGGGATCCGGCACGTCTTTCTCCATAGTCTCCTTCTGCAACATCGTCGCCACTGAGCGTCGCTGGTATGTATAACAGCGTGCTTCTTATCCCGAGGCCTTGAAGATCGTCGGAAGAGTCGAGGAGTTTATTGACCATGATTGTTCGTCGGATTTTCGCAAACGCTGGGCGATGGAAGTTCTCCATAGATTTCGGCTAGAGTACGGGAGTCCTAGAGATACAGTTAACGTATGTCATGTCCTAAAGAAACTACCACAGGGACTGGTGCGCGTTGACAAGAGGAAACGGGTGTTTGACAGGTTTGACTGAAGTATTCCTTTCCATGTCTTCGCAAAAACGGTCAATAGAACGAGATGAAGAATGCGCCGGCCCGTGTAAGAACTGGCGCCATTTTCATCTCGTTTTATACCGCTTTAGATCGAGACCGTAGAAGGCACACATAAATAAAACCAGTTGGAATGTATTGTTTCGCCCGCGAAGTCCCTGCGTCCATGAAAACCGAACGTACAGAAGCGGTTGAAAACAATGGCACTCCCTCAGATGCACTTCCATCCCACGCCATCGCACTTTGCTCCACAACGCTAAGTAGAAGTCTTAACGAACGCCGGGCACGATTAAGAACAGGCTGTTTTCGAATCCGAAGCTGGCCCTGGACGCCGGGGAGGTCATATGGAATAATGTAGATCCTCACGACCAACACCGACGGGAGACTTTGATGGTATGTCGCAGCGACGAATCGGTGTTTCATGAGAAATTCTATTTCCCGACAAGAGTATGTCGTCTCGGGCGGAGGCTTGGAGATGTGAGAGCACAATATCGCTTCGGAAGTAATGCCAGCCATCTTCGGAGAGTGTATGGTCGCAGGCAACGTCGGATGTCAGCGAAAATGATACCGTTCCAGTTGGAAAGAAGTTTTCGAGAGACCAGGGGGAAGAAACGGACGTGCTTTGGGATTGACCAGAACACTTCGTGCAGGGCATCTGGTAAAAAATTGAAGAGTGTTCGCTGCAGAAAATCGCACGCACCTTGCTCATATTACTTGGAATATAATAAGAAGTAAGCAGGCGTAGTTTATAAAACTAAGGTAGACAGTAGATTAAAAGACCATGTAAGGAGTCACAGCCAGGACGTGGAAGTCGATGGCAATACAAGGCTACAGCCGTACCGGCCCGGTACCCGACTCAAATATACCGTGGGAATTAGACACTCAATTCGGCAAAATGGACCGGCAATATGGTCTGTGCGTCGCTGTTCAAAATTGCCCTTCCCGGCCTCTTACCACCACCTTCTACTGTTGATCCTACGCGTTTTTAACATGGACCGGTGTACGCGAATGTTCGCCCCCTCTTTTCGGACATCCTCTGCAAGGATTCAAGCGACGTCTCGACCAATGTTTTCGCGATGTCAGACAACTTTGAGCGAAGCAAAGACTCTTAATTGGGCGGAATACCTTGCGCTGCGGGGCAGTAGGCATAAATGGCAGACGGTGGGTATCTTTTTTTCCTCGTGTAAATTATTTTCTGAACGTTGGGATACAGGCCATGACCATTCCCTTCTTGCGCTCTGGGTCTTTTCGGTGGGGCAGCTTACTTTGGATCGTTGGACACGGACCCTATGAAGCCAATCTGGGTGCGTAATGGACAAGTCTTTTCAGATACCAGATTCTCATGTAGTTTTAGGGCATCGATCCTTTCATATTCTATGGCGCATGTACCGCCGCGTGTATGGGTACGGTGTTCATCTTTTTCTGTAAACAGACAGCTCACGTTAAGTAGGTGTGGGGTACATCGTCGGTCCCACACTGGGGTCCTCGCTGTGGCGTATCATCTATCGTCGTAGCGCCAAACTTATGGATGCTCGGGATCGCGAATTTTATCAGCGGATAGCCAAAAACAGAGTCGACGCCAGTCTGCAAAGCCCAACTAGCCCGGTACCAGATTATTATGGTAATCCTCCTCCGAAATACCGTCTTCTACGATGTTCATTGTTTTCTAGGTGAACGCATCGGGTCCCTTCGTCAGTACAGAAGAGTAAGTGACTCCGATGTATTTTACTGTAACTGTCACCTCATAGTTATCTTCAGTGGCTCAGAGACCAGGGAAAATACAAACGAAAGGTTTTGCTACCCGAAGAATAAGTGCCGCTGGTGTTTAGCTTGAACAAATGTCGGGATTAACGTTGACTCGGATGAAAGAAGGCTGAAGGTAGATGCCAACGCTGTGATAATTAGAATCCAGGCTAGTAGTTCTGCAAAGTATTATCCGTACCTACTAGTATTACACAAAATGAGTCCTTGACCAAGTACGGCTGAAGCTCGGCTGACCCTCCACCCTCAGCTGAGTTCAAAATCTGCCTTTTCTTCCATGGCAAGTCGACTCCCTCGCATTCCACGATTTACGCTCTTCTCCGGTCCCAATTGCTCTCTGTGTGATGTCTGCCGTTTATTTCATTATCTCTAAATGATGAACTCAACGGAATCTATCACAGACAGCGAAATCCGAATTGGCCAAAGTCAGGCAGTCGGTATGTACCTCGTTCAATGTCAGGCGCGTTGCTGACTTTTGATTCTCCCGTAGCGCCAATTTCAGCTGGAAATTGTCAATATCCAGGAACCGGGGCAGGAGAAGTGGAAACGCAAATATGTTTACTGGATTCCAGCACTTCATCTGGACGGGAAGGAGATAGCCAAGGGTCGATGGGATTCGAGCACAGTCACTCAGGCTCTGGAAGTCTGGGACAAGGGGGAGCCGGAGACTTGAGCCAGGCTCCATCATCGCACCTGTTCTTCAGCGATGTTTTCGCGACGGCGGCTTGGGAGCCTAGTGGCATCTACGTACGACACAGTCGGGAGATTCTAGGATACGAGGAGACTAACGACGATGACTCCGTCCCCTCAAATTCGAATACACACCGTTGCTTCAACTGTGGTTCTCCAGACCATTCCGTCTCTTCGTGCCCTGAACCTAGGGATCGCAATCTGATATCATTGTCGCGCCAGCTATTTGAGTTACTCCAAGAGCCCACGGGGCCGGCTGACTTTCGACGGTTGCACCAAACGGAAGCGTGGCGCCAGCAGAGACTGGACTGGCTGGGACTTTTCAAACCGGGGGAAGTGAGAGGGCAGCTGTTGAGGGAAGCTATTGTGCCTGGGGAGGGCGATTGGCTAGAGAATATCGCGATCTGGGGCTATCCCAGAGGCTGGGTTGGTGTTACGGATCCCCAAGCTCTGGTCAGACAGAGGATAATGGACGAAGTACTCCGGCAGTCATGATGAGCAAGATCTTTCCGTCGTATTGGGTGAAGATATCCTGGGCAGCCCCTCGCAATATCTGAGTTTTGACAACTTGGATTCCGTGCAAGTCGCCAACTGACAGTAGCCATGAAAACATTATCATCAAATAACGTTACCTCCCTGCCTTCTGAGCGGACGACGGTGGGCTGAGTACCCCTAATACCCAATTCTCGTCCGAGCTCTTACCCATCTATACCGGAATAGCCTTTCCCCCCATTCAATTTGAAGGCAGCTCTACGTACACGGATGAGCGTCGTGCCCTCTGGGAACGTATAATCAACCCATCGGCTCCCTCGTACCCTGTTCCTCCTGCCTCCACCGCCAACATCGGGCCCCCCACCCCCACCGCCATGCAGTCCACCTCCATTGCCTCCTGCTCTTCCTCCGCCTTCACCCGCTTCAAATGCTCACGACGAATGTGATGAAGTTGACATGGACTTGTCTGACTAGACGCCAGGATATCTCAATGGCGCGTGATGAATCTCAGGTTTTCCGCTTCTAGCCTTAGGCACGAAGCTGAATCTACCAGCCCCGCTCGCGAATGGCCGACACGCTTAATCAATGTCGATTCCATATTTATGGCACAAGACTTCACTACGTAGCAGAAGGAGTCGTGTCGACAGGAGACAATACTGGGACTCCGGATCTTTGGTTTTGTGATTCAGCACTAGGAGCAAGGGGACGCCTTCATACAACAGAATACCACCGGGATGTGATTAGATCCCTTTCCGTTGAAATCACACTGCCGTTGTAGAGATATGTCAGAGCTTCCGAGTATGATTCACGATCCGGGAAAATGCAACGATGATAGGTCATCACACTACGTCCTATGCGTAAAATGATGAATCGTTTGTCCCTTCGGACGCTACAGGAAACCAGGCGGCATAGATGTCCCTGATACGCACCTCGAGAAGCATGTCCAGAGGTAAATCCAATAATGACGACAGTTTGCCTTGAGTTTCGTAGTTTTCCTTGCGGTTGTTTTCATGGCTCACTATTGCGTTTCTTCCCGGCATGGCGATGACGAAGGCAATCGGCCCGGGGCGTGGGCTATGATCTACGCGTCACTTTTGTCGACTCTAGATCTACAGTCCCGTTCATTCTGCCCTCCTTGATACTTGCCCAGAATTTGCATGTCCGCAGCCGGTTTGTGGATAAACTTTCGTTCGAAACTTTCACATTGAATCTGTGTCATGAGAGGCGGGTTGTTTCGCGGAGATGCGTACTACGCCGAACTTCTGCTCGGGTGCTACGACGGGTAGGGCTCAAAAGCAGTGACTGAAGCTCTGGAAGCCTCGTCCACTTGCAAGAACTGCACGTCATACGATTTCTAAGACCTTCAGGCCCAAGCTCGAGAGCGATTTTGGTTTAATTTTCCACAGAGTTACACTTGTGGGAGCTTTCGGCACCTGCATGACGTGGCACTGGTCGGGCACCAACAAGAACAAGACCTTGAAGGCACCATACATATGTCCTGTATCATAAGGCGTTACTCATAAGTAATGTCATCCATCCGTATTCGGAGTTCCTTTCCGTAAGTTAACGATGTTTCCATAAGGCTGCTTATGCTGACCGACAAACAAAATGGCTTAAAGATGATGCTTGTAAAGCAATCTCGGTGATATACAACTCACTCCGATCTTGATAATATGCTTTCGTGGCGTGCATTCTTTCTGATACTGGCATCTGTTTCCGTCTGTTTCGCTCCATCCAATATCAGACTTCTTGAACGCCGGTATACCCCCACCAATTGCACTATAAGTTGTGGACAGCATCCGGAACCCGTTCCACACCGGGCAATCAAGAAATCTCGGGAACAGACATTTGTATAGGTCACTTCATATACGCTCGGTTGTCACTCCGAGGTTAATGACATCACTGTTTTCAAGGATTCCCGGAAGAAAAACCTGTACTGCCTCTAATAGACAAAGAAGTTGGGACGATCCCATCTAACGTCGGCGTCCCCCTACAAGCATGCCTTTGACCGAACTTACAACACTCTACCATGTACCCCCAAACAACTTCGAATCTCTCTCCCGGACCTACGCGTTCTGGTGTAGCCTCCAGCCGTCGTATTCTGCGTACCCTCTGACATTCTATGTCCGACGTCAGGCTTCCAGGTGTCATGCACCTGATAACTGGATGGCACAGTGCGGAGGAACGGGATTTATGGCGCCAAAGCGACGAATACCGGAGAATACGGGATGAGATGATGACGCGGGTGGAAGTGAAACGTAGCCTAGTGCTCAACATGGACTTTGACACTATCCCGAGGGCTGCTAGAGGGCTGATGTGCGTTCATATCATTCGCATAAAGGGAGACGAGGAAGAAGAAGACGAGAGTATACAATGGACGCCAAGCAACGAGTCGTTTTTAGAGGTTCTTGTGGACAGGATGTGGAGAAGATTGCGACGATGTGTCCTGTGTTTTGCCGTCTTACGCTCTATGCGGCTGTGGTGTCTGACGAGACAGTGAGGAGAAAGTATCGAACCTGGATCTGGTTATTTTACTGCAATGAGACGAGTCGCTGTTCCCACTGATCAAGAATAGTATGCTACATACCTGTAAGGACATCGCTTCCTGTACTGTACAGATCAGTCGTTTTTTTGACCAGGGTATCGTTCAAAGCCGTATGCATGAAAGATAGTTTCATGACAAAAACCACCTGTGTACACCGACGGTGAAAGGGACCCCCGTAACAGCCTAACTGTGTTAATAAGAACTATGCATTAATCCGAGTGTCTCCATATCCGGTACACAGCCCTTTTGACGCAAGTAATCCACGATATCCCTCGCAGTCACATTTCACAGCGGCTTTCAAAGTTCCGGGTATCGCTCGCACTGTATCCTGTCGGCAACCTTTCGCTTTTTTGGACCACTGACTTTTACCCCGTAGCCTGGTTCCACAAGCAGCCGGACAATAGGGAGGTTCCTGTTTCGAACGGCAATCAAAACTGATAGGCCGTTTTTCCTTCGGGGATCTGCCCCTAATGCAAGGAGGTATTGAATAAGTTGTACAAATCCTCCATGTACGGCCATCGCCAGGGCATAGCCACCGTGCGAGTTTAGATTCAGATTCGGCACCTTTTCATGCAGATGTCGGAGGTAGGGTAGTGGATGGTCTGTATCGGTCCATTGGCTTGAAGGCTTTTTCAGCCTAAGGAGGTGTTGGAAAAGATGTCGGGGGATTTCCGCGGTTTCGGAGAGGCCAGTGGCATCAGCACAGCGATCGCAGATTATGTCGAGCACTTGTGAGGAGCATAGTCGGTATCGGATAACTCTGGAGTAGAGGTTTGGAGGCCAGGAAGGTGAGAAGCGTAAGACACGGCCTAATATGTATTGGGCACGGAAAGAGTTTGGGGAGGCGTTGAAGGTATCGTAAAGCAGGCGAGAGGTGTGTGGCAGACTGTCCGAAAGAGCGAATAGTTGTACCTCATAAAGAAGCTTTCCTCTCATTAGTACAAGCGAAAGTCAAAGGACAGTTAGCTGTTCACCTCAACAGGAAGCTGCTCTAATTTGGAGCCTGGCCGAAATTCATGGTGATGGTCTACGGCTTCTACCAATCCAGTTGTTTCGCCAAAGAATCTGGCCAGTACGTCTGGGGACAGCCTCGGTGGTCTTACGGTTCTTGTCGATAAAAAAGTCCCTGTATAAATATTGCATTTAGCAACGATGTTATTGATGGCATGGATGAATGCTTACACCACTTTGCTTTCAGCAAGGTCTTGGTCTTTCAAGTTTTCAACGGAACCTTCCTTTGAAAAAGAGATCGAAAACTGCTTTGGAGGAACTAGTAAAAGATTAACCAAATAATTAGTTACACCAAGAAATACTTACAATACTTGTTTGTACCTCTGGCGTATCTGTATTGTGAGACGAAGAAGGAAATACGATTCATCGCATGGACGTTCAGGGCTAGCTGGAAACCCTAACCCAACTGTTGATTCTGCAGCTCTCGGGCCGACTCCCGGGCGGCAAAAGCTTTCCACGACCCAGACCGACTTTTCACCTCCTCCATCTCGACGAGAGTCGATACGAACCTCAACACGACCATGGAAGGAGAGGGTCACTCTGCTTCACCTTCACCTGCCTTGAAACGCAAGAAAAAAAGTTCTGGAACCAACACGCCCACAGCTGATGGTCCCGCTGCGTCGCCTGCACCTGCACCTACTGTCACCAAAAGCCGACCAAAAATCAAAAGAGATAGAGTTCCTAATCCCAGACGTCCACCGCGTAATGATAGCGTCTTGCCAGCGGAAAAAATCGCTTCATCCTCCTCAGTACCAATCCCAGACGCCCCACGAGAACCGAGAAGTGACAGGAAGGGAAAGAGGAAAGCAAAGACAGATAATGGTCTAAAAGGGGCGCGAGAAGTCATTATCATCGACGATTCTGACGACAAAACCGTCTCCAAGGAGCTCGGTGCCGGTGCAGATTTTGTTGCGTTCGACGATTCGGATGTGGGGGATAGCAGTGAAAAGAAGAGCAGTAAAAAAGGGGAAGGAACGTGACGATGGATCAACGCCTCGTTCTGATGAAAGAGATAGGCCGAAGAGATGACAGAGACCGTGATAGCAGACGAAGGCGCGACGATGATACCGACGACAGGCGAGAGAGCAAGAGTAAAAGTATGTTTCGCGTTCTTCACCTTCATTACCCACCTCAAGCTCGCGCTACAGAAAGAGACCGTTCTCCACCTGAACGAGAAGTGGGACCGCGGCAAGGAAAGGCGACGCAGTCGAGAAAGAGAGACGTATTCGGATCGTAGACGTCGAGAAAAAGCAAAATATGAACCGGATTACAGAACCAAAAAGGTAGACAAGGTCCCGTGGCTCGAGAACGTGGACCTGGATAGTTGTATCAATGTCGCTGAAGTGTATGTGCATCGTCTGTTTTCCACGACGCGTTCTCACTTTCAATTAGTTTGCAACGAGAAGTAGAGGCATTCACCAAATGGATATCACCGACACCAGTAGAAGACGAGATCCGTGGCCTTGTTGTGGCACATATCAAACAAGCAGTCGCTGCATCGTTTAGAGACGCCCAAGTTCTTCCCTTCGGAAGCTACGCGACCAAGCTGTATCTACCCACTGGGTCTGTCTTTCCTTTCCGCTACAAGCTTCATGATTGACGCTCTATTAGGGACATTGACCTCGTTATTCTCTCCGATTCCATGGCATATAGCAACAAAGTTGCCGTCCTTCACTCTCTCGCTGCAACCCTGAAACGAGCCAATATAACTGACCGAGTTAGCATCATCGCCAAGGCGCGCGTCCCTATTGTCAAATTCGTCACGAAGCTTGGCATGTTCCACGTTGATATTAGTATAAATCAAGGCAACGGTCTAGTCGGCGTAGATATCATCAATGGCTTCCTACGCGACATGCATGGACGGGATTGCATGGCACTGCGCGGTCTCGTACTCATCACGAAGATGTTCCTTGCACAACGAGGCATGAACGAAGTGTATACAGGCGGACTGGGCAGCTACGCCATCGTCTGTTTGGTTGTCAGCTTCTTGCAGATGCACCCCAAGATTCGAAGAGGAGAAATCGACGTCGACGCCAACATGGGCGTTTTGGTCATGGAGTTTTTCGAGTTATATGGGTGCTATTTCAACTTCAATGATGTCGGGATCTCGGTGAGGGACGGTGGGACGTATTATAATAAAAGGCAGAGGGGATGGTACAATGATTCGAAAGGACTGCTCCTGTCCATTGAAGATCCTGCCGACCCTTGTACGTGCATGAACACTAATTAACACTGGACATTCGGGACTCACCATCGTCACAGCCAATGATATATCGACCGGTTCGTTCGCTTTCCATAAAGTCAAGACAACCTTTGCCGGCGCTTTCAACATCCTGGCCTCTGCTGCGTACCTAAAGGCTGGCATCATCAACTCTCGACGATCAGGAAACGCGGTGCACTTGCGGGATAGGTATGATCCGGCGGATCTGAGCGTCTTGTCAGCTATCCTGAGCATAACGCAGGAGGTACGTTCCTATTTTCCATCTTAAATTAATCCTTGATTTATCAGTTTCATAGACTATAAATCATAGAAAAGTGGTACAGGAAGTATACGATTCTGGGGATTTACACAGAATGGTTGGACAGAAACCACTTCCCCAAGTGTTCTATGGACGCTCCGAGTCAAACGGAATCAAGAATGACGGTGATTCGTCGAAAAATAAGCACGAGATGGACATGGAACTGGGTACGGACTCGGAACATGAGAGGGAGAGCAAGAAACGTCGGCGAGATGAGGACGAGTCTGATGGAGGGAGATATAACATCGGGAAGGAGCCGCCGAAGAAACGCAGACGCAAGGGAACCTCGGCTGATTTCCGGGGGCCCTTTACAACAGACGAGGATAGCCTTGCGGAAGAAGAGGATGAATACGCCAGTGACTCCTCGAACCGCCCTGTCGATAAAGAATCGATACGCAAAGCCGATACCGAGGAACGCAACCGCAAGCAATCGTATTGGCTATCCAAGGGCATTGGGCCCGGCGATGTTGAAGACAGTGATAATTGAACTACCTCTTGTTACCTTTGTTAGAATATTGGATCCATGATACTCCTTATAGCTGCTTTCTTTGCTCGTTCGTCGTGTTTTGCTTTTGCTTCGTTGTCGACTTGCTCTGTGATAGATACTATCCTAGTCAAAACTTCGTCCACTCTGAGAACAGTCATTCTAAAATAGTGATCAAGATCAAATGATAACAAAATCTTTTGAAGTGCTTGGGTTATATTCCTTAACTCTGAAACGCAGTATACCCATATACTAGGACAGCCTTCTCGCACCAATCCAAATGAATTTTTCAAGACGCCTGTCAGCTATCAGACCACTTTTATTGGATAATACAGCCATCCGGTACTGTTGAAGACGAAATAAAAGCATTGACATTCTCCGATCTGATTCCTTCCGATCCTCCTTGCATTGACTTCCAAAAATATGAATATGTTACAGTGGTAAATTAATCGAGAGCAACCGGAAATAGCAACGAAAGAGAGTAATATGTGAAAAATGCGACTAAATGATGATATCATTGGGGGGGGGGGGTAACTAATCCCGGGGGCTAGGCTAGGGTACCGTAGATATCTGCCTGCAGGTCTCTGTTGACGTCCGAGGTCTACGAATCGTACTCGACCGATCGAGAGATCCTTCGGGGATTGGATAAGGATTAATTTGGGTTTGGGTTTGGGTAGGCGTTTTCCAGCCGCCTTCCGATTCTGGTACTGAAAGCCCCATCGAGTAGCCGGGGGGTAAATGAGAGGGTAGGGTCTGGGGTACCGAAGGGAATGCGTCAAAAAGTTCTCTATCAAGAGTGGACGGTGTTGAGGATACCGTCGCCCATGAAACAGGGCGCGGAGAGGTATTATGGCTCGCCTGATGTGAGCCCAAGGTGTGATCGAATTTTGATTGCTGAGGTGAGCCTGGGAGAGCGAGAGAATCTAGGTATGCATGTGGTAGTGGAGGCATGGTGCCAGGTGGGGGTAGAGGTGGTCTTTGAGAATGCCTGATGAAGCGAGCGTAGGGATTGAGACCTCACGGGAGGTATTATGATGTTATCCGGGGAGGACGAAGATTGTGCGGCACCCGTGTGTGCCTTTGAGATTGCAGGCGCAGAGGGTTTGCGATTCAATCGAGGAAGCACACTCTTGATAGTACCCAATGTGCCACGATCTAGAATGACTTATTAAGACCAAGGAATAAATATAGCAGTACCAAGAAACTCACCGTCACTGTCGGTCGTACTAGCGATACTAATAGTTGACTTAGTTCTCCCTCGACGCCACATCTTCTCTGCAAAGGACGACGCCCTATTGACACTACCATTTTTCTTCGATAATGAAGGCCACGCTATACCACTCGGTGCGGAAGCCCTAAATCCTATGCCAATCCCAGTCCCAGGTCTTACGGTCCCCGAATCAACCAAGTCCGGGCTATTATCAGGAGGAGTGACGACAGGAAGCGAATCATCGGATGAAATCTCAGAAGAGACGCTGTGACGCGACGGACCATGAAATGTCGAAGCACGAGATGCGCTAGCTTAGCCTTCTGAAGCTGGCAAGGTATTTGGAGCGTGGCGATTTTGGCGGCGGCGTCGGGGGCCGATCATCCTCTGGTGTTGTCTCTAAGACGCTACCAGATCCATGTCGGATGTGGCCTGAGGTACGAACAAGTCTGATCGGACTCGGGACCTGGGCCCATTCCAAGGGGTGACCTCACCACTGCCCTTTTGCCGTGTACCAAGTCCTGGGAAACCTTGCTAGCATCCTCTCGAGGCTTGGTCTTGTTTCGAGAAAGAGCCTGCGGCATCCGAAAGCTACGTTTTCGCCTTGGCTCGTCTTTGCCAACAACACGGGGTAACCGGGCTTCAGCCGCCTTTGCCTCTTGTAGATGCCGGTGAGGATTTTCGGGAGTGGGAACAGATCTGTTCTTGTCCGCATAGCCTACCTCACTTGGCAGCTCCCCATTCATCAGTGAGCGTTCCAGAAGAGCAGCGTCCTTAAGCAGCAGTGCCAGTTCACTAGATCCAGGAGTGGGAGGAGGTTCCACGTTCATGGCGCGTTTGACCCTGTTCATCTGTGGTGTAGACGGCGGATAAAGGGACCTCGAAGGCAACGTCGCCACTTCCCTCACTCTACCATGCACAACGGCCGAAAATGACGGATCTCCAGATGTTACTGGCTCCGATTCGGCATAGTGTGAAGCAAAAGTGTGAGGACGCGAAAACGAACGCGTAGTATTGTGAAGTGTTAGTTCGCCAAATTCGGTTTCGGTGGGGTAAGGCGAGGATTCAAAAGGTGGGATTGGCGGAGCTTGGTTGCCGCTACTGGTCTTGCGATGAGTGGTAGTGACGTGACTGGGGCTGGTCTCTATCATGCTTACGGGACGAGGCAATGGGGTCGAGGGTGTGGGAGGTGAGAAAGATTCACGAGCTGGAGACGACGGCTGTGATGGAACAGGCGTGGACTCGCCATCATATGAGTTTATAACAAATGGAGAATCCGGTATTGGAGTCAGCTCCGTATGGTCCCTCTCGACATAAGCGTTCTCAGCTTCCAGGAATTCAACTGAGGCTAGAATGGACTCGGCTGAACGGCTGGCCATAGCAACACTGCTCGGACGTGGCGATTCCGGTGAAGTACGGGCTCGGTGCTGCTCAACCGCAGCTGTATCATCTGGCGTCCGTAAAAGCTGGTATTGAGGTAGATTTGATACCTCAACAGACACCCGTTCATAGAGTATTAAATCACTAGCGCCAGAATGGTCAAGTTCGGAGGTTGCGATCGAGGTGACGCCGGGCGACGCATTAATGCTGACATCAATGGACGAGTCTTCTTCATTTGTAGCGGTTGCTAGATCGGATGCGACTTCTGTATGAGCTCCAACATCATCAATGACACATATGACTGGTGGTGGCGGCGGCGATGGAGAAGTAGGTAAGGGTGCTGGAGATTGTGACCGCTCGACCTCAACGAGTGCTGCAAGAGGCGTCGGTGAATCAGGTTCGTTCATCGGAGGGTCTTCACTCTGTACAGAAATGTCTGCCAAATCTGCGGAGTCCATGCTGCCGACAGTGGTATTTATATCTATGTTCTGTAATACATCATTAATGAAATTCTCAGTCATAAATGGTTCACAAACTTACGACATCTGTCTCGTTATTGTCCAAAGTCAAATCCAACAAGGCCGCCGAATCGTCAGCGATGTCTGAAGGTGAGATCCGTGACACAAGGTTCATCCTCCTGGACTGCCAACGGCGTATACTCTTGAGAGGGTGTTGGAGACGAAGACCCGTCAGATTTTTCGTCAGACACGATCACCGGTGTGTCATGCGAGACCTCGTCCGTGTCCATGTGTGAAGAAAACGATGTTCCCGGTACGGGAGACACGGGTGGCGAAAGAGAACATTCACGGGAATGCGTATCACCTCTACCATTGAGCTCAGATGAAGCCTCCGCTCGACGAGCTATGTCAAGTGCAGCCGCAAATGACTGTACTCCGCGATTTGGATCCAAAAGCTCGCGAGTTTTCAAGTATATCATCTGGAACAGGTGAAGGGGACAAAGAGCGAAAGGCTTGACTGTCCCTGGGTGAATCCGCAGTATCCGAAAAGTCATCGTAATCCAGTCCTGACAGCGAAATTTTTCTTCCTCCAGAAAAGAAGAGAGGCGACGTCGAACGACTCATAGGAGGCGCGCTACTTCCACTGGCTACTCGCACAGCGGAAGGAATGCGGTTCCCATACAACTCACCCCTCTTCCTTGTCTGCCCATTCTCTGCAGTCGGAGGCGCACCTAAACCAAAACTCCCTCTAGGTACAGGAATTCCCTCCTTTCTGTTCGAATTTCGCGATTTTATCCCGGAGACCGCTGCTCGAGGGTATAGACTGGTTTGCTGATAAGGAAGGTACACCGAAGGTCTCTGTGTTTGGGAGACATTCCGCTGTTGAAGAGCGGCAATACGCTCCTTCAAGTTCACTTGAGGCTGCTGCGCACGAGAGGTGGTCCTGTAAACATTCAAAATCAAGTGTGTAAGTGCTCGACGTTACAACAAAAAAGACGAGTGAATAGCGTACATCGAGTCAACGGGAATAGCAATGGTTACAGAACGACCAGCGACTGCAACATGAGCAGGCACGGACACGAAAGCTGAGACGGAAGAAGAAAAAAATGAACAAAGCGAATATAAGAAAGAAGGGATGGAAGACACTCAAGAAGCCCTGTTCACCCAAACTTGGTAAGTCTTTCCCAGGAAATTATTTAATTTAGGCAACCGGGCAGGAACCGATGTTTCATTTCTTTGTGCTTTCTCAATAAAATCTTGGCATTTGCAGTCAGACTAGCTCTTGCATTCTTGGGGGCTCTTTCAGTTGTCATATATGACAGACGATGTCACGGATATATGAATTATTAGTACTACCTTGAATATTATTATGGTTCTAGTATCTATCTCTGACCAAGCTTCAGCTTCAAATTCGCCCTCGACCCCCAAAATATTAATATCGCACATGAACGGTACGGTCCCCATGCTTTCTCGTCCTAGAATGGGCTCGGTACGCGTGCCGGACGCGGACCAGGGACCCTCCCAAAGGGCCGATAGTGACGTACTGCCGCCGTCTTTCGCTCAATCCACACGTTGGCCTTCCTCACGAGCATATCAATATCGATAGGAAACGCATGCCGTGGCTTGGGCTGGTGAACCTCCCAAGGGGTGCAAACCTTAACTCTATCCAGCTCGTTCCTCAAGCCAGGAATACAATGGTCATCGTAAGACGGGGCTGGGGGTACTTGTAGGTATGTCGATGAAGCAAGGCGATGTCGTCTAGGGGTGGGGACTATTGGATCCTGACAGGGATTCCATTTTGTGGGAGGAGGTATCTCAGTGACTGGCGCGAGATTAGTGGCACTATTAGGGCTAGGGGCGTGCTATTGGGGGGACTGTTTGCTTGGTGATAGATGGAACGAGCCACCGCGGGGGGACTTCGCACAAGGGCAAAGCACCGATTGATGAAGCGTAGTCAGATAAAGTGAGGAAAGCGTTGACGATGGCGGGTATATCGTGATCGTTATGTACCGGCAACCAGGACTGCGCGCATAACACCCTGAAGTGCTCGGTGTATATATTCCAGACGTCCCGAGGCATCTGGACGTACGAGCCAAGTGTCTCCAGTACATCCTTTTGCGCCTCGAGAACCTGGTCGACCGTGAGCCCTGTAAGCCTAGCTCTATTCAAGAGATCATTAGCAACAAAATAAGATATACATCAAATTAATGATTTACCTAGTCTCCAAAGGAAGCGGATCAACAGTAAACTGATCCAACGCCACGAAGAAGAGAATCAACATCAGTTGACGAAAAGCTTCGACGTTCTTTGGATTCTCTTCCAACTCGCGTAGCGTGAGAGGTTCCACTTTTTCAAAGTAGAGGGTGGCGTAGGCAACGATGTGGAATAGGGTGAATGGGGTTTGATGCTGGGATATGATCAAGTCATAGACGAAGCCATGTAGGTCTTCGTAAGTTGCCGAGAACGAGAGTTCACTACGTCCACAACCTCGATGAGAGACATGGCAAGGGATGTCGAAAGGTCAACTCACCTCACGGTCTGCAGAACCGTAGGGGTTTGCCCAGTAGCGGTGCAGACTAGAACCACCGCAACCCAGTCAGCGAGCGCGATGAGATGAGGCATGCCATCGAGAACCAATTTGTCCTTGAAATAACCTCGCTTATGAGAGTCGTCACTACCGACCAAAGTAGATGTAGGAGAAGGAGGACCATCGACGTCGCGGTACTCCGCGTACTCAGAGTCGGGAGTCAACGACGCGCAGGATGTAGGGGGACTCGATGAGAAACTGTGCAAGACGGGCGGAGAAGGTAACGACTTGTTGCGCCTGGCGGCAATTCGTTCATGAGAATCGTCACTGCCAACCCAAGTAGATGTAGGAGACGGAGGACCATCGTACTCGGGAGTTAACGATGCGCAGGATGTGGGGGGTGTCGCCGAGAAACTATGCAAGACAGGTGGAGAGGGTAACAACTTGTTACGAGCGACGCGGCGCCTAACAGCCGGCTTCGCAAAAAGGGTGAACTGGGGTGTCGCGTATGCCATTCGTACTACTGGTTAGACGAGGAGCAGGGGGGTGAGGATACCATTGCCAGAGAATCACCCATGTTATATATCGATAGCACGGCCCGACTTTCCTACGTCTGGACAAAGGACGTTACGTTACGCCTCCTCCGCCAAAATCAGTGGCATACCTGACAATGGCGACTGCAAGCAATGGCACACCTTGTTTATGGCATCAGGACACCCAGGAACGTCCAATATTTCATATCCAAAATAATGTGGTGGGATTTGGACGGGCGTGCTTTTCAGGCTGACAAGGACAATACTGCTGTTGGTCAACAATGTGGTGTACATAGTAAGGTAACCCGAGTGAGAAATGGGAAATGGTGCGATTGGCTGGGGGAGTCCGAATGATTCGAGTTAATTGCCTGTCTAGTCACATCAAGCAATCGAGCCGTTGGCGCATCACGCAGGTGCTCAACCTTACTGTACTGTGTTAACCATGTGTTTCGCAGAAGAGGCGGGATGAGACGGACATTTCTGAAACGTCCCGCCTCAGCGCTTCTCCCAACGTATTCAGAGATTAATTTGCTAGGTGCTTTTCCCTGAGAATCACATTAATTGACAGTAAAAGTGAAATAAGACTCTCTATACAAGTGATTACATGCCAAAGCACACATCCAATCCCTCTTCGGAGAATCTTCGCAAGCTCGAGAGGGACGAAATATCATAGATGGGATAACCCGAGAGCTTGACCGACTGCAGCTGCTTGCCATTACCAGACATGGGACGCCAACGGTATCTTATCAGGTCTACAACATCATAAACGGCAGTCGTGAGGTCGCTTTGCAAGCTGAGAGTTTGCAGGTCGGGCAGGATACCGCGGTCCTCCACCAGCCCTCTACACAGCTTCGATAGCTCTGGGGAAGACCAGTATCGTATATTGAGGGTCGTCAAATGAGGAGTGCATTGGAATAAATGCAAAAGATGCGAGGCATCACCATACGCAAGGTGATCGATATTCAGCATCTTCAAGCACGCTCTAGAGCGCATGAGAAGGTTTTGAAGGATTTTCGTGACACATTTCGTCTCATAGCGGAAACACATGTCATCCAACGTGATCTCCTGAACAGAAGGCGTTGATACACTATCAAGGAAGGCATTCAGATGATACCCTGATAGTACACGGATCCTCTTTAACTGCGGTAGAACATGCACCTCAGGCGTTGTCAGGATGCTCTTGGCGGTTGGCCGGTAGATTAGCTCCTCCAAATGGGACATGGAAAATAGTATGTCTGGGGGCGTGGTGCACTGTACACTTTCGTCGCAGAAAAAGGTTAACTGATGCCAAGGAAACGAATCCTGCATGGTGTTCCAAAATCCACAAAGCGTCAGCTTTTGCAATCGCGGAGCGAATTGGAATAGGTTGAGGTCGGTGAGTACACCGTCGTTTTGGAACGGAGAAGTATCTTTGAGGGACAGAGAATGTAAGAGAGGAAGGCGATTGTGAATCGGCGTGAGAAATCGATACAATGATAGCGGCATGTCAAAAGTGACGTTCGTCCAACGGTCCGAATGTGACACAAGTACGTCAAGTAGAAGGTGGGACCTGCTAATCATGGACCGGCTTGTGAAAGTGAACGAGAGTGGACAGCTGGCAGAGCGAGAGAGATAGATTTGCAGCGCGCTGACCATCTTCGAGCAGCCAGTGTCCTCTTCTGCAACCACGGCAAAGGAAGACCACACACGAGGAGAGGATATAGTAATATCTCTCCATAAAGTGCATATCGTCTCCAACAGTCGAGGGCCTTCCTTCACATCCCATACGCTATGAACCTGAGACTGGGAATAGGCAACGAAGATTTCTGACAAGATTTCATTCGGTATTGTCGATATAGCTAGTAATACTCTCTAGTCAGTATAACTGGGCACGGCCAAGAGAAAAACACCAACCTGATTTCCCAGCTGGAGCACAGGTCTCTTGCGTGGCATGTTGACTTGGCGACCTGAAGCCGGGTTCGAGTTGAGTTTTGCCGAGCACGGGTAAAATACTCTTTAGTAGAACTGACATGGTGCCTAAACTCTATCTGAAAGCTAGTGAGAAAATTGAAGAGTTAAGGAAGAAATACCCACAGACCTAGAAGCGAAGATGGCAAAGACAAGGTTGTTTCGGTTTCGTGAAAGTGAAACATATGTATGCGTCGAAGCTGCGGCTAAGGGGAACCTTACCCTGAGTACGACATCGCGTCAAGGATCCTTCAGACATGAGGACTGATGCATGATGTTCCTTGTATTGTAGGAAAAAACCCGGCGAAGAACACGTTCCGCTTGTTACATCGTTGAGGAAGTGCGTTACTGTCTGCATAATTTACGTGCTGGTCGGTATGGGAACTCGAAAAAAACGAGAGGTTCCGCATTGTTCGGTAATGGATGCTGCAATTTGAAACATACCGCAGACGCCTGCCTGGGACCCGGAGGCTTTGTTAGCAGTGAAGGAGGACGTTGTACAAGCCACGTGGATATCGCTTACGGGCCTATATTTGGACCCGCTTTCGGGTTTGACGGATTGATGTGACCTTCTTCGATACTGATGCCGTATGACCGCACTCTCCAAGCTTGTACACGTACATTGCTTGTCGGTCCAAGGGTCGCAGGTCACTCATGTCATTGGCAGGCAAGTCAGATCAGCATCCAAGTACTTTATAACTACTTCGGATTTTTTACTTACAAACAGTCCGAGTCTAGGTACAAGTACCATCGTTTGTTATAGGAAATATTCTAGATGATCGCATATCTTAGTTACTGACTACAATACTAGTAGGATGATGCATATATAGTCTAAAAAGAGCCATAATTTAATGATTAATGTGCAAGAAGATTGATGTCCGCCCAACTACAAATGTCACCTCAGTACCGCGTATGGCTGTGTTTTCGACTTCGCCGTTTGAAGATGGAAAGGACTCTCTGTAAAGCGTCGTTAAGAGTAGCCTGAGTTGAAAGGGTCGGCAATACCCCAAACACCTGGAAGCCGTGCCGTTTGTGACGAGTATCGGTGTCGCATTCAGACCGAAAGTCTCCGTCGTCAAAGTCAGGCTAATGAAACCGTCAGATAACCAAAGATGCGCTACTGAAGTGCGGGCTCACCAAAAGGAAGCTGGACCTGTCTTCCTGATTGTTCTGTGTCGTAGCGCCGCGACGATTCTGAAAACTTTTCAGGACCATGAAGTTGAGATAGGGAAAGAAACAAACACATAGCTCCGGACTCGACTGCGCAGTCCTTAAATAAGGACCATAATTCTCCACGCGAGTGGTGCGATAGTAGTCAGGCATAGTTAGAGAATCCCGGCTCCGAGAAAAACACGAAGAGAAGAATGGGAGCACAGGCATTATGAAAGGGATTCTCTGGCAGGTATGAACTAGAAGGGCAGTCGAGCAGCGGGGAAGGGCAATTCTTTAAGAGGAGGCGCAGTGAGTCAGAAACGCAATATTCTCATAGCACTATGAGAGGCCACGAGGTAAAAACCTTGTAGGATCTGCCTCATATAAATGGACGATCTGACCCGATACAAATACTCAGCTTGCCAGTTATGGATATACCGTGGGGAACGGGTCCGAAGCGGCGTCCATGAGAGATGCAACTGAACACCATTATACGAGGTAAACTATCTCATCCTCGTCGCTACTACCTCCGATACACGCAAACGGTGTCATAAATGCAGATATGACTTTCAGCGAGTTCTGAGGACCTTGATACTGAGTCACCCATGCTCGGGATTCGTGGGCTCGTGTGAGCGCATGGCATGCTGAGGTAGATCGCAGCATCAGGACCGGCTAAAAAACACAAAAAAGGGATGCCTACCCCTTGTAGCAAACGAAATGGTTTCATCGCAGATTTGTAACAGCCATTTTAGAAATCGTGATTTCCTACTAAAGCAAGACAATAACCATCACTTTACTGGCAGGGAGAACGACTTCGGCGTAGAAGCCCCGATTCGTGAGAGATATGTATCAAGGAAGCGGACGGAAGCGCCTCAATAATGTTGCATCGCATGCAGGGAGGCCTGATTTGTACGTCAGTGAAACGCTGATGGCGAGGCTCCAAGTCCCTGCGAATCCATTCCCGAAAAGATGATAGTGGCAGTTCAGGATAAGATAATCAGACCGACAAACCCGGTATAGCTAAAAGATGATGGGCATAGCTTCTGAAATCGGCCAGAACCCAGAAACAGTTAAGGTCCTGACATTCGGAAAATCACTGCTTAATGAACTTGTGATTGGTATAGTCTGGACAGATGGTTGAATTCCACGGACCACAACACGCCCCTCGAGATAGACAAGCCAAGTATGATTCTCCACAATTCAGCATTAGTTATGCCTAGTTATGCCGAGAGGCGCTGTAGTAGGCTTCGAAAATCTATAAATCAGCTTGACGTGATCAATGTACTGCGCTGGGAGCAGGTACTATGGGCCATGATACATGATGCACAGGTTTACGCGAGGCTAGCGGCGGTGCAGGATTTGAGGCGTAACTAGTCATTAAAGAAACCGGGCGTTTCTGATAACACAGGAAGTCGAATCTCCTTTCAAGTTACTGTTGGATGGAGTCAAGATGATAAATGCCTATCAAATGCGGGCTCCGGAGTTGTTAGATGGCGCAGATGAATAGATGTGAGCGGCTTCCACTGGTAGAATCGCCCAAAAAACTGAGTTGGGTAAATTTAGCGACTTCGGTGTTTTTGTTGCGCTATAGGAAGCGTTATATGATCCAGAGAAACCAGATGTCCGAGTCTCTCGTAGATAGATGCATACTCCCAGAATCAATCTAGGATCTGTCTTGTACACAAAGTCAGGTCTGTGGGGACGAATTTAAGTTAATTATACAGGAGATATACAGAAAGTGACAGGCCCAGACAACAGCTGGAAGTGGTTTTGTGGAAGTCGACCTATAAGGTCGCCAACCATAAGTAATCAAGGTCAGAACAACAAGAAAGCAATGAGCATACTGTATGATATGAGCACATTGCCTCCTGAGTGCTGGACCCATCGTATTCTTTGCAACAAAGCTCTCTGAGCTTCAACGTCAATCTTAAAACTAGCGAGATGCTTCTGCGTTGTTTCTCGAAGACTTACTCCAACATAGTCCGAGGGAGTTTTGATGGAGTTGGTCCAATTGTGGCACTCGGACTTATAAACTGCTTATGTCAGAACAATAAAGTGGATGATGGCCGAGAACGGCATGACGCGCCACATATCATCGGAGATCCTTTCGTTGCAATAACATCCGGGCGCGGGTAGCATAGTACATGCGCAAAGAGGACAACAGTGTCCGTACTCAGTCAAACTCAGTCATTCTTATGAGGTCCCCATCATCGTATACAAAGGAATTGCATTGGTACTGTTTAGGTTCGGCTCAAGATAGCATCCTTATTTTTGCACTTCGGTGACCTCCCCTTTCCGAAGGCGCTCCGTAGCTGTGTTCAAGATTGTGTATCCGCCCAAAGGCAGGCAATCACGCAAGCGTTTCCCTGAATCTTCATCACGGTGAACGAAGTCCACCGAGCGGAAGACAAACTCTAATACATGGTTCACTGCGGCGGGCCCAGCTGATAGGCTACTCCCTGGCTTGAACACACCGACACTGTGGATCTGCTAGCGCACTTTCAGCGCAGCGCTCGAGCTTATGTATGTACTGGCGAATAGAAATACAACACGATGCGCTTGAATATAGCTACCGTACAGATCGAGACGCAGAAGCTGAACATAATAATAATACGTGATGTGATAGAATGGTGTGAATAAAATCCAAATAAGAGGGAAAACAATCAGAGAATAACGTTCCTCAATTAAACATTCAAATCTTTGACGACGCAGCCCTCTTCGGAACGGGATTCTCAACATTCGGAGGTTCCCCAGCTCGCGCTCCAGCACTCGATGACCTCCCGCCTGCCGAAACAGGTCGGGACAGTTCAGATGAGGTGTCTTCACGGGCCTGGCTGAAGAACAGCTTGGCGTCCCGCTCGGCAATATTTTCGATGAAGTATGCATTGCCTGAGATAAAAATCAAGACATGCGTCCTAATGTCAGGGGTGGCACATGTTACTTACCTCGAGGGACCATGAACATGGCGCCCGCACAAAGAATCATGCTGGTTTCATGAATTCTCAGGTTGATAGCGCCCTCGATGATATAGAAGATCTGAGAATGAAATAAATACCACCGGAGAACCTAAGAAGTTCCATGGAACATACATAGGTGTTGTCCTTTGAACGTTTAGATTGCTTTGCGACTTCGCGGTGGAATAAGCATTTGCCCAGCAGCCATGAAATTCCCATCACCGAAGATCTTCTCAAAGAACCAGTTGCTATTTGCAGCTTGCTGGACATGAACCATTCGTGCCGTGCATGCAATGCCTGGAAGAGTACACGTATATCAGCTATGCATGAAACACTGAGGTACAAAAACTCACGCCGCATGCGGGGTTGGCCGTCGGGATACCCAAGTACTTCGCAGTGTGTATTGGTCTCGTCGTCCCAGCCTTTCTCAGGATTAGGATCGGCATACTCCGCAGGTGCTTTACTCTTGCTTCGGGTTGATCGCTTTCTCTTCTTCGCACCGAGGGGCTCGACAGGCTCCGGGGCCAACCGTCGGATTTCCTTGACTTCAGGAACTAGAATACGCCCTTCGGTCACGCGGCCATACACTCGCTTCTCTAAACGCCACCACTGCAGAGGTTTACAAGGTCTTCTCTGGCTTCGCCGCACGCCTTCAGGCGTTATGCCTGACAAAACATTAACCGTAAAATATAAAGCAAGAATTGACAACACACTACGGTTCTCTTTTAGTCGACGGCTGCTAGTACTAAGGGCCTTCTTCGCTTTCGCCTTCTCTACTCGCACCTTTTTCTGAGATGGCTCTTCGTCGTCGTCTGACAGAACCTCCCGATCCAGCTGTTCGAGTTCGTGAGCAATACCGGCCTCAACGTCTTCTTCCGGCTCCTCCAGTGTGACTCGCTGTTTGCCCTTTTTAGACTTGTTGGGTGAAGTAACAACAGGAGGGACATCATCAGCGTCTCCCTGCTGTTCATCGTCATCATCACGGTCCATCTCCATGAAACTAGTTTGCTGTGGTGACGGCATATCATCTTTGTCGAGATCGTCGTAGTCTCCATTATTCATCGCGCCACCGTCTTGATCTTCATACTGTTCGGGTTCTTCATCTTCCAGATCGCGAGCGGTCACCGTTTCTGATAATCGAGACCGTCCCCGGCCGTTGGAGCGACTGGACTGAGGGCGAGGTGACGGGACTTCATCAAAGTCCACATCAGATACTCTAGCAACTGGACGTGAAGAAGAGCCTATGCGTCTTGAGGACGAGGGTGTAGCAGGTTTTCGGCTGTTGGCAATGTAATGAATGGGACCTGTTCAACTTGTCGTAATCTGAGTGATTTCAATACAGCTCTTGACTTACTATCATCCAGCTCCATATCCTGTTCACCATCCTCATCCACAATATCCTCTTCCGGTTCAGAATCTCGTCGTCTCTTACTCCTCTTCGCCGGTGGCGTTCGCTGGTCAGCTTGCTGTAGTAGCTGCTCGAACGGTTCGAAACCGTCGCCGCGGGCAGTCACTCGTTTAACGGTGACACCCGTCTTCTTTCCAACGTCTGGGTTGTCACCACGGTAGGGTACATGAGGTTTATCTCGTCTTGAGGTGCCGACGCTGCTGCGTCGTGGGGTCGAAGGCATGTGGTCAAAGAAACAAACGAAGAGGCGTGGGACAAATTGTGACGCGTGTGGTCGTGTTTGGCTTCAATCAGGGGTGTCACTCGAATTGCCAAATCGGGATTTAGGAACGACCCACTAATTCCAGGTATTTACATGAATATTTGAATGCTTGAGCTCTCAGCCAGCTGCTACGTGTTCTCTCCAGAGATATGGAACTCCTGAATATTGGGTATATCTCCGAATTTGCTATGAAAGCGGCGCAGTTGAACTAATTCAGTTATTCGAGTCATTCTCGTATGTTACTGGAAGTAAGCCTCAAACCATCTTGTTCGAGTGCACCTAGACATTACTGTCACCAATATCGAAAACTTTACATTACATAGATAGGCTGACCACCTTGTTGGCTACATCGTCCTGGTAGTATTAATTTAATCAACGATGCCCCTCATCGTCGTCACTAGATGCTGGAGGATCTTCTTCATCAGCTCTCGGGATATTGATGGTTCGGATTTCTAACCAGAAGATCTTCAGTCATCTCCGGTATTATCTGGTGATGGGATGAGACATTATACGATCCCACATGCGTAAAGCTTACCCTTCTCCCGGCGAGAGTCCTCCCAGCTTTGCTCCAAGTCTTTGATTATCTTTTCCTGAGCTTCACTGATTTCTGCAGATGAAGTGCATGTCCTGTATTGTTCTATATACAGTCCTGCGCAGTAGAATATAAGCGATGATGGCTTGTAGGAAAGAAAAAATTACTTGTTGACGCTCCAAAATGATCCGCCCCATCCAAAACCCGACAGCAGTTTCTCGGCGTATGAGTCGAAGCCGGTGATGTAAAAGGCAGCGGCCAACGCTTCGACACAGTTGAGCCGCCATGGCTTCCCAGTAATTTGTGGGATTGGTAGCAATCAGGTAGGGTACTTTGAAGAGAGTATGCATAAGCCCTGCATTTGCACAAGATATATATGACTCACAGAGACGTTCAGTGAGGACTCGCTATTTTGGAGAAAGGAACGTCATCGAGACGAGCCCAAGAGCACTCGACAACAGCAAGTCCGCATTGTTCAACGATTTCTCGATCTGCAGGAGATATAACTGACTGTCCCTTTAGGACTAGTTTGACATATGAGCGCTGGTATCATGCAAGAAGTGAAATAAGACTGACGAGACCACGATTCCTCGAAATCGCGAACCCACTCTTAAGCTCTTGTATTAGACCCAATCGCTGCGAGCTTCTTCCCTGAACATCGTCGTGGGTCACAATGGTCAAAGTCCTGGTCTAGAGTCAAGCATGAACCTTTGATGGCGCTGACGAACTAACCCACATAGCGACCGGTACTTTGATGATAGTGTCGTCATCTGCAGATAGAATAAATGCCCGGATGCAAAAATTAAAGAAGAATACCAGCCTTCTTCATCGTCTCCACCATCATCGGCGCTGTTTTCATCTACGTTGTCTATTGCACTTTCCGGGCGTTCATCAGAGCCGGCAACATTCCTCCCGCCACGCTTGAATCCTGATCCACGAGAGCGGCCACGGCCAGCAGCCTTACCGCGTTTTCCACGACTAGATGAAGCTGAAGAAAAATCTGAATTCTTCTTTCCCATTGAAGTGTAGTAGAGTTGTACTAGTCAGGGAGCAGAGAGCAGAAACTTCGCAGAAAGAGGAAGGTGATCGACGGACTGATCGTGGGAACTTTTTGCTGCTTTCCCTCACGCCTTGAAATTTCTCTCTTTTCATGTTCCCGACATTGGCGCGACTCTCAAAGGCGTCACGGCGGCCTCTCACCTCGAAACGTGCCGGAAAGGACTTCTACAAAGGTCAGTACTCGCTATAGAAGCTATGAAACACGCGAACTGACGACTGGTCGTATAACAGGTACCAGACAATCGGCCTTGCCAGGTGGCCCTCGAACCGGTGCACCCGGTAAACATGTAATCCGTGGCAAAGCAAAATACCGCTTGCTGGATGAGAAAGTCCGTATATTCATTGCACCTCCCATTGAAGCAATAGAATCATCACCTGTGCGCTGGACCTCCCGATTCTCCTCGCGATATGTTCTGACCGACCCTAGCTCAAACCTTATGTCGCGCGCGATGTTCATCTGACCAAGGAGGAAGAACGGGTGGCGTTTGGAAAATTTGCGACAAATGGAGGCCTTACTCCAGAACATTTCCTCAGGGGTCATGAGGAAAGCGGCTGGTCAACGGCAAGGGCAGGGCAAAAATAAGGCGTCCTCGAGTGAGCTAGCTGTAGCTGACCCATCGAGTGTCCCTACCTCAGTAGAGGCGCCTACAGGGAAGAAGCCCAGGGAACTGAGCGTGCTATAGCCGCCCCCTTCCCCGAGGTACGTTCAACATTCTTCTGCTTCCAATATCCTAATTCTTATTTTTCCCATTTTAGACTTGTATCATAAAGCTGTAAATATAATTCCATTTGCTTTCCAGCGTATTTGCGCCTAGTGTCAACTTCCTTCTACTTCGCCGCTCGCGTCGAACGGCATCCCTTCGCCTAGATCTGTGCCACATTTCATATAGATCGGCGTTCAAATTCGCCCACTAAGGTTTCGCTAGTCAGCGCTCCGGATGAAACAGGTCCATGATGGTTAATATCACTATCAGGGCGAGAAGATGCCGTTGCGATAGGCTGAATACTCCGAACAAAACTTCGGGTTGCCTGATGATCTTTCAACGTAAGGATAAAAACCTCACCGATAAACAAAACTACTGGCAGTGCTTGTTCTTCCCCCCACTCGATGTTGCAGTTTTCTAGCAGCCTCTTACCTCAGCTTCTAGTCGTCCTGACGCTCAGTCTTGCACGTGTGACCGCCCAAGGACTTTCAGTGACAGACTATGCGCCCTCCACGGGGATAACATGTCCACAAACTTCTCTCCTCCGCGTTTTCTCTGCTCAAAACCAGAGCCTGAATCCAAGCGAGATCGACTACATCCAAGGCCGAGAACGCGTGACACTAGACGCTTGGAATACGTGGATAGGCAATGGCTCCAATCTGGGATATAATCTGTCTTTGTCTGCAGACAGCGCTCCCAGGGTCGGTATAGCACTGAGTGGGGGAGGATTTCGCGCAAGCTTGTATGGCGCCGGCGTCCTTAATTCTTTGGACGCGCGCAACGTCTCCGCGAAACAAGCGGGAACGGGAGGCCTACTCCAGGTTGCATCATACATAGCCGGGTTGTCAGGTGAGCACTATGCATACAAATAGTGACGTCTGCTCATGGCAGAGTTTCAACAGGTGGATCTTGGCTCACATCTTCACTATACTCGAACGATTTCCCCACTATGCAGGATATGGTTTTCGGGAACGGAGACGAACTGGCAGGGTGGCTTCTCGATTTAGACCTTTTCCTCCCTGACGGCAAGAATATATTTAACGACGATAATCAAGCATATTACGGTAGTATTATGTATAGCGTCATCGCGAAAGCCAGTAAGGGGATGTGAGTCCACTTCCCGCGTTTACGTGGCGTACACTAACGGTTCCTTTTGTGTGCGTGTAGCGACACTAGCTTAACGGATCCTTGGTCTCGGTATGGTTCTTTTTCCTTTTATGCTCACATCTGGCGACTCAACATATTTTCTCCTGCCAAGCGCACTGTCGTACCATTTCTTAAATCAAACCAATAGGGAAAACTTCTTTACGAACGATTCTGCTCATGGAGCCGGACAACTCTGGTCTGATATACCTACATCTCAGGTGTACCAGCAGCAGAGTGTTCCATTTCCTATCATTCTAGCAAACTCCCGGCCAAATGGATCGAATTATACTGGCGTCTTGCCACCCGAAGCCGCAGTCTTCGAGGTATGAATCCGATGCGTCATCGAGTACTTCTTCTAATAACGCGTTCTGACAGTTCTCTCCGCTGGAGCTGGCTTCGTTTGACCCAAGTCTTTCCGCCGCCATAGATCTCAAATTCGCCGGGTCCAATCTGACTAATGGAAAGCCTGTGAATGATCAGGCCTGTCTCGAAGGTCTTGATGAAACTGGGTTTGTGATGGGAACTAGTTCGAGTCTGTTCAATGTAAGATTGTGTCAGCCTGGGTGATAGCGTGTCTGATGCAATGTTTGGATGTAGCAAATCCTCGACGAGCGTAGGGAGCAATTGATGAACAGCGAGTATTTTGAGGTTGTGACACATCTATTGGCGCGGCTATTAGAGGATGTTCGAACCCAAGATGATGACGTCGCGAACTGGCCCAAGTACGTTTAACTCGGATACATAGCTTCTCGTTGTAACCTAACTTGTGAACAGCTCTTTTAGGAATGTTGCGCCCTCTACATTCGTGGATACAAACAGCGACTGGCTGGAGCTCATCGACGGAGGATCCAACGGCGAGGTCGTGCCTTTCGGTCCTTTACTAGTCAAGGCTAGAGGCCTTGACGTCATCGTAGGCGTAGATTCGAACGCCAATGACGATAATAACTGGCCAAGGTAGGCGGCTTCTTTTCTTAGAATCCTGCCATCCCTGAACTAGTTTCAGTGGCGAAAGTGCTATCTTCACGGCGAACAGAACGTCGAAACTGCTCAATGACACGGTCAGTTAGACCCATTCTTAGCGTCCTCGCCTATGACTGACCTTTGTTATTAGCATCAACAATTTCCTCCGATACCTTCCACCGTTCAGGCATTCATCGATGCGGGTGCCAATCAAAGACCCACTTTCTTCGGTTGCGATCCACAGCAATCACCTCCAGAATATCCGCTCGTCGTCTACTTACCAAATTCTCCGCCTTTGACAGGGGATAATCCGGTCACTAAGTAAGTGTAATAATTGATGCTCGTGTCAGCCTCATGCATCTGTACTGACGGTGACCTACAGCACCGACACCTTCAAATTATCTTACACGCAGAAACATAGCCAGCTTTTCATCGAGCAGGTCTTCTCCAACACCATTGGAGGGTTTGTACCCAGCTCCAACTCGCCTGATTCCAACTTTGGGGAATGCCTACAATGCGCAGCTATTGACCGAGCACGGCTAAAGTCAACGCCTTCAATATCGCGATCAGACGTGTGTTCGAAGTGTTTCAAACAATACTGCTTCGACCCGACGAACCCGCCAACAAAGTCGGAATTGTCCAACAGAAAATATGTATTCGTTGATCCAGATTCGCAGAGCTATTTCCAACGGCATAAAGCAGCCATTATTGGAGGCATAGTTGGTGGTGTCGTGGCATTGATTGTGCTCGTTGCTGGCATGTACGTTCTACGTTTTCTTTCTCGCGTAGCTGAGTACTGATCGAATCGTAGAATTTATCTGTATCGAAGGAAGAAGCAAACTAAAAAGCCCGTACAGTACCACACATTGACTAAGTCGGCATCGCAAACATCCGACTAGCAAGCATTTTAACGTACGTATTAATAGTCCTAACTCGTCGCAAGCTAGTACTACCTGTATCATCAAGTGTACGTATCATAATGAACTTCCCGTCCATTGCTCAGAGAGCTTTTGAAATCGCGCACCAAAGCGAAGCTAGGCACGCTTTTTATTATGTTTTTCTCCACCTTCTCACCTTCTCTCGGTGATCTAAGCACTGTACGATCCGCAAAATTGAAAGACCCTAAGCGGGATAGCGACCGGACCAGTGACGACCGGCATTTCCCAGCGGAGACTAGACAAATTTATATTCCACTTCCGGATGGAATGCCCTGAACGTAACATATCACGGCACATGGGTGCACCTGTTCAAGTGTCTACGACGACGTTGACGAGGACAGTTAATTGTTTGGCATAGACGTATACATACCCCGCTCTTCTTTTTTTCTACTTACCTCCTCAAGCGACGCTCGCCAGCCATTCTTTTTACTCCATCGATCGGCCTTCCTTTCCGGCCCCTAGCGGCTACAGGATCGCATCGCATTCTACCCTTCTTTCCCTCCGCACCCATCTCAGCAGTGGCCAACATATATACCACGACTCGTTAATCCCTAATTCAGGTGTTGGAGGGGGCTGCGTTTGCATTATCCGGGAGTCGACTGTTTCTTGTGAGTGACTTTGTGCTTGCTTGATAGTACTCATGAAATGTTAAGTGGGGATTAGGCTTCATTCTACAGTATCACATTTTTACGGTGCATCCAACGACGAGCTTATCGACTGTCCAGACAGTGAGTACATTTTTCTTTCCATGGAGTCATTTAACAACCGTTTTCCGGCTAGCATACACTATCATTCATTACCCCATCCCATACCCAATCTGCACGTATACTCTTCACGCATGTCGTTTGACTCAGTTTCTTCCGGCTCGTCAGCGTCACACCCGCTCACAGTCGATATACCAGCGCAATATCCCCCTGAAAGCAATTCTTCCTCCGTTAATTCCTCCCTCAGCTCTTCCCCCACCGCCACGGGGGAAATGACGATACCAAATCTCTCCCCCAAAGGAATCCTTGATATACGAAATCGGTCGGCACCTTTGCCTTCGTCTACGACTTCATTACCAACGACAACAATGAATGTAAAATTCGCCCCTCTGCCGGAAATGGCTCCCCGGCGAAGACGTTCTACGGCGCCTCTAGGTGTGGCCGCGCGCAGTCAGCTAATGCGCCGGCGTCGAGGCATGTACGGGGATGAGCCCCCTCCCGTTCCGTCGGGGAACGGGATGTGGACAGAGACTGAGCTAGAAGAGCACGCGCGACGGTCCGCCAGTGAAGGGGGGCACGACCGTAGGGACCCCCAAGAGGAATTCGAAGATCCCTTTCGTGGCTCTCGGGAAAATGATGAAAGGAGCTTGGAAGAAGATGTCGAACAGCAGTGGAAGCACCCGAGCGAAGACCAGCAGGGCTGTCGTAGTGTCGGGCATGACAGATTCAATGCCACAGCAGGAGCCGCGGAGGAGTAACCTTATCGTTCACGAAGACTCGGAAGCTGGGCGTGAGCAAGGGGGCGTTTGGGAAGAGGAGATTGGACCTGCTATACCGAGGAATGTCGGTCAGACTGAAACGATACGCGAGGTGGAGCACCAACAAAAGGATCCCCGATCATCATCATCTTAACTTTATATCTTCTATGCTATCATACAATCATTTAGGGTACTCATTTTTTTTAGTTCTTCATATCGGGATGTACATATTTTATCGGAAGCTCATAGATATTGGGCTTAAATTATGACGCGAGCCTCTTGGTTATATCTTTGCGAGCATTTGCTGGTACTCAATGAGCTCTGAGTGGTAGAGCCTCAGGTCCAGTGGATGTCGAAACAACGTGCACAAAATGGCATATCAGTGATGTGTGTCAATTGCCGCTAGTGCGTTGATACTATTGTTCTCTAGTGCCATCGGACTCACGGATGGGCATAACTTTCTTTTCTTTACCTCGTGTCTAAGTGAGCTTCTGATTTCCACATTTTGAGTCCCGCCTGAAGAGAGCAGAGGCCCGAATCATTAAGAGCCGGCTTCAAGAGGCCTCGGATGTCCACGAAATAACACGTATCAGAGGAATGTGTTGTAACTCTCCTCTGTGAGCCACCCACCTATAGAGGGAGGAAAGCATTGAATCCAGGACGTAGTTTTTTTACTCGCTGCCCTTAAGCTTGTAATTGACCATCAAGTTATCCCTTTCGTCGTACGGTGAAGGAGACCATACAAGGAAGACAAGTCGTCAAAGCAACACATCCACATGCTGTAGCTTCGGAATCATTACGATGGAATCATCTGATAGTTGTACAGATAAGTATGCGTACGCCAGTGTACTGATAGAATGGACGAAAAAATCCCTTCGGAACCTCCATTCCAAGGCGTAAAATCTCAAGGTCATGAAATGGAGGCAGATAAGTAGTTCGACTTATTCCATCCCTGTGCATCGTAACCCTTTAAAACAATCATGGTAGACCGACTGGACGCGAAGATTCAGAATCAGGTCAAAACTCAAATACTGGGCGCCTGGATTGTCAAAGATCACATGATCGAAACTTCCCAAATTGGTCGTTCCCCGCCGAACCTAGCCACCGACCTCCATCTATGTTTTTTCAAGCCTGTTCCCTACGCCGCATACCACATACTCTATGCCAGATCCGGCGGTATTCCGAACCCGCTACTTCTGCTGCTAAGAAGCCTGCTCCATCAGGTAAGCTCCTTGGTTTCGCCTAAACGCTTTTCATTCACTTTCAATTTGGCAGCAGCACCAAAATCTTCCTGTCCAGCCGACACGGTTCTAACAGGACTGAATTACCTCAAAGGCCAAGAGCCAGTCCTCGCGAAGCCAGATGAAGAGTACCCGGACTGGCTATGGACGCTGCTGGAACCAAGAGTGATACCAGATGATGGACCTGGAGGGAGGGCGGAGCGGTATAAGCGGAGGCTGGAGAATAAGCAGAAGATACGGGAGAGGAACTTTATGTTGACGCAATAGAGCGTGGGGTGAGCGTGCTTTTCACTTTTTGTGGGATACTGATTATTTAATGGAATTACTAGGCGTGTACACGGGTGCTACATATCGGTACTGAGCTCAAAAATATATTTCACCTTGCGCTCTTGCACTTGACGCCACTACATGAACCACGTTATATTCATGAATGTCGTGATTCCGACCAACTTCACTACCGGTTAATATTGACGCTTGTCAAACGTCTTCGGCCACGGTACACCTAATTGTGAACATTCGCCTGTATTTTGTCTTTGCGTTGATAAAACTACGGACGGTGCACATGGGCATCAGAGCTACGAATCACCATTCTCACAACATGCTTACGTCTTTTTGCTCTTGAGTTAAAGAGTTCCAGTACGCCTGAAAAGCGCCTACAGTTCCGTTGGGATGCGTTCGGATCCACTCCTTCCCGCAGCGTGTTCTACGAAGCAATCAGCCATAGAAAAGACGTGGAGATGACGGGAAAGCGTACTTGGGACTGCTTCGTTTAGGTGGTACATACTGAGACTCCATCTTCGCACCATAATTTCCGCTCTTCTCACCTTCGTCACCGTCCGCGGGCTTCTGGAAGTGGAGCTCCCCCACATAGGATGTAGAGTCGACAAGCCCGCAACCCAAGCACCAATCGTCGTCCCAAATAGCGATCACCTGGCCGGTAGCGACGCCTTTCTGAGGGGTGTCTGTCGTAATTAAAAGTCCGTGTTCGTCACTATGGAAAGGAAAGATGAGTCGGATTATCGACGGGACGTAATCATGCAGTCTTACCGAGATACAGTACAAGGGACCAACGGCTGACGATGTCGAATCTTCGCCATCCCGCGGAACGCCTCTCCCTTCTCAACCCCAGGTATGGGTGAATCCGCCCAGATCGACCTCCATTCTATTGGCCGATACGTATTTCTTAATAATAGAGGATGGTCCCTAATTCGGGAGTAAGGAAGCAGTTATTTAAACTAGACGTGAGCAAAACTCACCCCCCAGGGACGACGAAGATGGTGTTCGTACCTTCCATTTTCCCGGACACGAACATCTTTTCAGACATCCCCGGTATCCTAGCTTTCTGACCAATAGTATAGGACCAAAGGCCTTGATGAGTGCCTACCCGTTTCTGGGTAACATGGTCACAGATAGGACCGGGATTGGGAGGCAAATACGAAGAGAGGAAATCCCGGAACCGTGTTTTCTCGCCGATGAAACATAGCCCCATGCTCTCAGGTCTTTCTGCAGTTGGTAAATCGTATTTTTTAGCTAGATCGCGTACTTGTGCTTTGGTAAAATCGCCGATTGGGAAGAGAGTTCGAGCGAGGCTCTGTTCGGAGATGGACGACAGGTAGTATGACTGGTCTTTGATGGGATCCTTGGCACAGCGAAGTTGTGGTCGTGGTCTGGGATGATTGGACCAGGTTTTGCGCGCATAGTGGCCTTTACGCATATAAGAATCGATGGAGACGTATAGGAGACAGCAGGGAAGGTATTACCGGTAGCAAACCAGGCCTTCTCATCCTCCATAGGCAATCGCTCTAACAGTGCGCCAAACTTGATTTCTCTTCACAAGTCACAAAAACAGCAACACGAAACTGTAAGCAAAACACCAACCTGTTGCACCACACATCAGGGTTAGGTGTCAGGCCAGCTTCCCAGACGTTCAACGAAGGCTCAAACACCCGATTCCAGTATTCACGCGACAGATCAATCTACACTGTGTCAGCAGGAGTTATTGGAACAAACTCGAAGACATACCATTCGGCAGGGAATATCCAGGACTTTACACACGCGTTGCACGTCTTCCCAGTCCTTTTTCCATTCGCACCCCTCGTCCGTCCCACTTTCGTCGCGAGTGTCCCAGTTACGCATGAATACAGCGGAAAGATCGAAATCCTACGTCTCTGGATTAATCTTTGTTCGATTGACGCAGAGAACAGACCACGGACCTGTTCTGCTAATAATCTAGCTGCAACTGACGAGTCGACACCCCCAGACATACCAACAACCACTAGTACCCAAAAGACATCCGTTAGTCACTAATTTTTGGTGTGGAGGTCAATAAGAGGGACCTTTGTCTCCAGGCTGAGGTAAAGTGTGCATCGCAGCTGTAGCATAGTTGCGAGATATGCATCGTTTGAAGGCTGCTTTTAGACAAGGAAGAGAAGACATGAGCGTGTTATTTGATTTATTTAATTTTGATCGCAAAGACGATGTCCATTTCCGGACGTCTGTCTTATATCATCCACGACGCGTTTCTGTCTGCGCCTGGAATCATTGATCCAAGTGTTGTAGCACCGATGGACAGAAATCGTTTTCTTAACAAGAGAGAAACTCGCACAGACACAAATTTACATAGACTGTCATCCACCGAATCACGCTGCTTTCTCGCCAAAAACCTTATACTCGACATCATACCCTCCAATATACCTCCCAATCCACCGTCCAAGAACCAGATTAGCCAAACGGCCAGACTGGAGAGGGAAATCAACCAGTACGACATCCGCGTGGTCCATGAAGGCGAGCATCTGGAAGATGCTTGGCTTCAGTCCTTGCATGGTTACAGAGGATAGGTAGCCGTAGAAGTTATGCACGAATGTCTCGTCGAACCTGATGGAATTGGTGAGGAGAGGAAGGAAGGGGAAGACTATGACGAACCCAGGATTAGGTCCCCCGTGGACAGTGATGTGTACATCTAGGTTTTTGCCTGCCTCTGGGTCGGACCAAAACTGAGATTGTATATCATTTAGTGGTGTTCAGGTATATTATTGAAGATGGCGACGCACAGTATGGTAACGCCCAGGAGTGATAGTAACCGACTCCCCGGCTTGAAGTTTGCCTTGATTACCATCCAGGTCGTAACAAAGAACGCCGGATTTCTGCGACTCTGCTCAGTCCATCACCACCACCCCAAGGCAGTCTATACGCACGACGTCAAATGTCTCAGTTTGATAGATATGCCAGTGGTACGGAGCTGCGAAGAGCGTAAGACACCGGTGACATTGAGGAAACTGTCTGTTTACGCACGGGTTGCGGTAGACCCTCTTCCAGCTCCCGTATGAGGGTTCGAATGCTTGAAAACCTGGCGTGACGTGAAGTTCCCAGTCCCGTCTGAACCGATAAAATAGGTCTTCAGAGCTCCGTCGAAGAAGTTCCATGCTCCATCTTCATCAACTTTGATGGGTTGCAACTCGTGCTGTAACGGACCATTTAGTATGAAATAATGATGCAACGATTTCAAGCGTACCTTGGGGAAGAGATTCATAGCTAACGTGTCGTGAGAGGAAAGAACACTCGTTGTCACTTGACTTGTGTGTAAGGTGACTTGGGTTGTCAGAGCGTAGGACTCGATTTCCTATTGTTCACATCATGATGGGAAAAAGAAAGTCCAGTAAACTTGGCGGATTATGAATCTCGATCGGCTACGAATGACTGCCGAAGTACAGATTTTTGCCAAGTACAAGCGACGAGCATAATCATTGTCTACTCATATCCTCTTCACCCTCCGAGTCCGATTACACTTCTAGCCCACCCCATTCTCAGGGAAGCGAGGATATAACAAATATCTGAGAAGATCATTGTTACGTCGATAATAAGTACATTTGAGTTTTAGGTAGGGGAGCTCGTCTTCCTCTGGAATCGCTGAGAGGAGCAAGGTAACGAGCCATCGAGGTCGGTAGGAGTAGTTTACCTGAGTTGTATCAGCGGAGATGGCCATTGGCCAATCAATCCAGTTTTCCAGTTTTGCTGGCGCTACTCTATACCACAACACCCGACAATAGGCGACATGAAGAAAGAATGATGTATACATTTACAAGTCTCGTGTGATGTCAATGTAGTTTTGTTCCCAGCTTATGGTCGGGAAAAGGGACCGTACTTCATAGGAGGGGGTCCGCTCCATGGTTCAAAGGGAGGAGTCCGTACTCGTGGAGGCATAGGACGGTATCCGTCCCATGATTCAAATTGACGGCGCTTGCTATGGGAAGATGTGGTCTGGGTAGATAGGTTTTGGCGTGTGAGGGAGGACTTGTCCTTGGTGTCTGAGGTAGAGGATGGAGAAGGTGATCTTTCTCTTTTTACATGGTATGGGCGGGGGACTTGGCGAGGTACGTTTGTGTCGATGTTTGGAAAGCCTTCCCATCCTTTCCAGTGATACGAAGGCCCTGTCATAGCAGCTTCTTCCTGCCGGTCCGGCCAGACAACGAAAGTGTCACTGTTGGGTTCCCAAGGAAAGAGAGATGGGCTGGAAGACGACCTGGGACATAGGTGAAAAGGGAATCATGAAGGGTATATCATGAGAGTCTCACAGTTCATTATCAATTTTTTTTTCAATTCGTAATAAGTTTGCTAAAACTTATTTCGCGTCTGGTCGCCATCTTGACGCATTTATGAGACACAGCTCGACGAGGAACCATAGGCTGTCGTTTGGAAAAACATGTAAAGGTGGTCGCGGTGGACGACTTCGCTTCGTCACGACCTCACACATAACACCAGCATCATTCTTGATGCCACTAAAAGGTGATTCGCCGGTAAAGATCTTGGAAATAACGTCATAAGAATGTGGCAACGGTGAGCTGCTAGCCTTACCTCGATAATAGTGCATCCGTAGGCATAGATATCCCTAGCGGTGAGGTATGATCGGTCAAATAGTGTTGAATCCATATATTCGGGAGCTAGCCAGCGGATGCTTCCTTTGCTCATCCTAGATGTGCTGTCAAGAGCCTGTGATTCCGCGAACAGGGAAAGGCCAAAATCAGCCAAACAGCAACGTAGATCATCCATGACAAGAATATTTGCCTAAGAGAAACCCATGTAAGAGGTGACACGAAGATAGTGAGCCAGGTACTTGAACGCACCCCACGGATATCGGAATGTACCACTGGAGGATCAAGATTGTGCAAATACTTCATCCCTTCGGCAACCTGAATTAGCTGGGAAAATGTAACTTCAGCTCTCGCCAATTTCATGTAAGGTCAAGTATACCGATGTAAGGCGATCGTGGTCAGGATGGGCTTCAAGGTAAGACATGATATTTCCATTGTCCATCCAAGGAGATATCAAGCAATAACTGGGAGCGAAAAGGTCTTCACTGACTCCCAAGAAGGGAAGGATATTAGGGTGGCGGAACTGCCTCCATACGAGAGCTTCCCTGCAAAAATCCTGCAGCGCGTCAAGACGTAGTAGTTTAGCTTAGTACGGTGCGTGACTTACTCGGAGAAGCTTCGCCCGAGCCTTTTCAGGGATGAATATCCGAAGGACCTTCAAGCATACTTGCGTATCATCGAGACGCCCTTTATAAATGTCCTACCAGGGAGACCGTGGATAAAAACAAGAACATTGACCAAGAGTAGATGGACGCTTACTGCAAATCCGCCGCCGCTGATAGGGTATGGCCCTTCTCTAGTCACATCTCGAGAAGAAAAGGAAGAGGGCACGATACTGCGGGCTTTGCTCAAGGCTCGAAGACATTTCATATAGGTTGTACGATATCTATCGGTCCAAGGCGTATCATCTAGTTCCTGACGATTTCATTGGATCCTTCATTACTGCTGATTAGACTCTACAGCAAACATACCTGCTGCAGTACATCCATAACCGTCATCTCCAACGATGGTGATATCGACTCCACAGTTTTCCAAGGACTAGAAACATTATGAATGAGACCCTGAATCTGGGTTCGCACATCGATTCCTTGGTCATCGAGGTTGATTTGATCCCAGCTGCGCAGAATCGGACGCGACATGTCTGTCGGGAGAGTGGCACTGTCGACGACTTTGTCGGGTATCGGCATAGTCGTATGTGCAACGTGTCTAGGCGCTTATCTGCATTCTACCGCTGAGACGGTCCGAGTAAGTGCGGATGAAAAATTCGTCCGGAATACAAGATAGGGCCAGCTCGCAGAGATACTTTTTATGCATCTGGCAGCTCCAATAGTGCCGGATACCATTCATTCCACCTCCCCACCCTAAACAACCGTCGATCCCATCCCACCACCTTTTTTTGCTGTCCACCAGCATGCTCTCATCCTCAGCGGCCGTAAGAACTCATGCCTCGACGGAGAAGGTACCGAAGAGCCTGACGACACCCCACACGATCCCGCCGTCGACGCGTACGCCCCGCCATGCCTAGCACGACGACAGACATTCATTTTTTTGCACATTTTTGTGCCCGAAAGTTACATTTATTAGGCCTACAACTGCAGCCATCTGTGCTCGTTTCAACCGAGGTTAACGGGAGAATCATCGCTATATCGATAATAAATGCACTCTTAGTCTTTCAAATGCTCCTCAAGATACACGACAAACTTTTCTGCTATTTTATCTTCATGCCAGTCGACATGACCTCTCTCCGTCGTGCCCAAAGTTATAGCTTTCTTGTGAACTGTCACGAACTGTCGTTTCAAACGCTGGAGTTCCGAGAGTGTGAGGTTCCGAGCGGGGAGATGCACTTTGGGTTTCAAAGTCGATGAGATGGGGAGCTGGACGGTTCCCCCGGGGCCTTGTAGGGCGCCTTGTTCCGACATTATCGAGGATACAATTGAAAGGGTGGTGTTTTCGAGTGTTACGAGAGCATCTGTCGGAGCTTTGGTGACCTACGTGAATACTCAGGTTAGTTTTAAGGACCAAGGGAGGTAGGCGCACAGAAAGTGTCCCAGAATTTGGCGGTTTCACAGCGCCATCTGTAATGGCCTTCCAGATATCGGCAGATGGGATGTCTTCGTCCGTCCATAGAATCGTGAAGAGAGGCGAGTCCCAGCGGACCATGGATGAAGGCTCCTCGTATCGTTGAATAAGGTTCTCGAGGCTGAAAGATGGAGTCATGGGTCTATCGAGACTGGATATTGAAATAGGACAGACGTCTCGGGTGCATATCTCTCAGACTCGGGACGAGCGCTATTCCATTCCCTGCATCGCTCAGGCGTCGCGACGACATAGACCTACTTCAAAGGGGCAATCAACAAGGAAACAAAAAAAAGGAGGAACAAAAGGAACTCCTTACAGTGCACACGCGTACTTTGAACTCCCTAGCTGCACAGTATATTTGATACCGGAACCCTTTGATGTAGTTCGGAGCGTCGACCACAACGATATTCTTCAGAGAAATCTGGCGCTGCAGCGCAGTGAATAGTGCGCCCCGAGCCGGTTTTTCCGACCGGCTGTCTGATGTGACATCTGCATCAGTGGGAAACCTCAACACAAGGGGCAACGGGGAGGTGCGGACCATCATATGCGGACCGGGGGATGTTGAGTGACTCGTCGGAGATGAGGACGACAGTGAGTTGGGGGCCGGTGTAGTTGGGATCTTTTAGTTTTTCTTGGATGGAGGTCACGATTTGGTGGGCTCGGCGGGATTTTCCTGAGCAGGGGTATCCGGATATGGTTATCAACGCCATTGAAGGACGTTGTCTTGGTGGAAGTGCGAGAGCGAATGAATTGGAAATTGATGGTGATCTGTATCGGGTTATGCCGTTGGATGGTGCCGAATGTCGGCTTGCAAGGAAAAGCCTGTAAAAAGGTTTATAAACACGTCTTGCGATGCTTTTTCTAAACTTTCAATTCTGTATGTTATTCAAGTACGAGATTTCCAAACATCTGCTACAGCAACTCAAGAATATCAAGAGACGCTTCAACCGTCAACATGAAACATTATACACCTTCCAAACGTAAGAAACCACGAAACGATGGTTACTAGCCGCACTATACGCTGTATCACGACGCGTAGAATTGAGTGGGAAAAGATTGATTTGCGCTTTGACGTCGCTACATATCCCAAAAAGGATTTTTTATTGTTATCACATGATCGAATGGCCAAAAAAAGAACAAGAACCCTTGCAAGGCTATTGTTCTCGCACATTGTTATGCCAGTATGTGCGCCGCACAACGACGCCGGCGGGCGTACAAACAACGAAATTACGCTATTATCACCGGTCCTATAAAACCTTCGAAAGGGACCCATGGTGGTTTGATTTCATTCCCTCCTTTGCGGTTTATTTTTTCTCTGCTTTCACGACCTTGGTGCTGGGACGCCTTTAGCTGGATCTTCTACTCCTTACGCTTGCATAGCTGCAAATCCATTCTCTTCACTGTCATTCACTCACTAAACTCTGAAAAATAATGCTGCCACCTCGAGCGCGTGAGTGACTTTCGAAATTTGTCACTGACGTTTACTTACCCAAAGTACAGTCTTTTTCTACGGCCTTAACGCAGTCCGGTTCCTCAGCATTATCTCCCTCATACTTGTATTCGCCAGCACGATCACTGTTATGGTTCATAATGTCAACGCCTTTAACGCCTTCGAGGCTAACCTTGGCAATAACTCCGACTTGGAAGACTGCGATTACATCGAGTTAGTCTGTTTACATGGCGTCCTTTTGGCAGTCGCTGACTGCTTTACAGAGGCAGCACGATTCCTAACCAGGCCGCCGGTGTCTTCTGGGCTGTGGTTTCCAGCCTTCTCATAATATTCCAGACTATTGTCCTCATCAGTAAGCCCGTCACCCATCATCAGCAATCCATTAGTTAACTTACACCGGGTCATAGTGTCTGAAGTGGGTTGGCCTTCGGTCTTTTTCGAACGTTTCTTCCCTGTTCTCGGATCCGGCTTCGGTCTTGGTGCTCTCGGAATTTTCCAATGCCTGTAAGCTTTGTTGTACCATCACTATTTTTTCTTTTGTTGACGTGCGGCGTTTAGCATCGGGGCCCAGATTCTCTCACATCATGTCGACGATTTTACGCTTGTATCTGCGTTCCTTTTGTTCTCCATCGGCTGCCTGAACATGCTGCTCGGACTTATATTCCGCGAGTCGGCCAAGGAGAAACGGTCCATCAGTGCGTGGCGTGAGGATGCGAAGGGCATACTTCCCACATCCCGAGACAACCGCCCAGTTTTCGTCAACGCTTCTCCCTCATTCGTGGCGAGTACGTTCGCTGGGGACGAAAAGGCCCAGCCAGCTTCGACATTTGGCTCGTTCAGAAGCACTGACAAGGCATCGTTCGGATTCGGTAGACAAGGCGAGAAAGCTGCTGGGCTGAGGGGATTTATCCTCCAGAGACCTGACGAGGCTTTACCCCGCTATGCGACACCTTCACCTCCACCTCCTCCACATGCCCCCGTTTCAGTCAGCCTCTCTCGCAGCCCCTCGGTGCGGTCATCAACTTCCAGCTTCTCCTCGCCGTACCGGCCTAGCGTCGTAACAAACGGCAAGCGGGACTCGCAGGAAGTATCTGAGCCGCCGGTGTTCAGGTCGAGTCCTACTGCATTGTAAGTTATCACGACAACGGACGTTTTTACGCTCATCATGGCAACCCACGATATGTATTCATACATCGACGTAATGACGTTCTCCGTATAATACTGTATTTCCAACTCACTAGCCACTGTATACTATACTAGCTAATGCTGATTATCCTCGTTTCTTCCCCCTGAGAATTTTTCACCAAATAAGGAAGACGCTTACTAAGGCAATACGCTACCGATTTGGAGTCAGCGTAAAGTGCTGTGTCAACAACTTCTGCTTTCTCCAGCAATGGACACATTCGATAATTTCCAGTACGACTCTGCTTCTTCCTATGGAGGTATGGGCGTAGTGGACGACACTTCGTCTGTCTACACTGCCAATACCCAAGATAATGCCTCCTCAGTCGACCTTTCGAGCCTCTCAATTTCCGAGTTCAATGACCCAGCATCCGGGAACGGGGATGCTCATCACATCAGTACTCCTCGTTCTGCGCTCGACGAGGATTTTGATGCTGTTCTGGATGATCTCAAGGATGGCAGCGCTGTTGATCTGCCTCCCCACGCTTGCAGGTTTGTTTTACCATTTCGTTTCTCCTCTGATGGTGTCACTTCACAAATTGGATTTTTTGCTAGTTATTGCGGAATTCACTCTCCGGCATCTGTTGTCAAGTGTCTCATCTGCTCGAAATGGTTCTGCAACTCTCGTGGAAATACGTCCGCTTCACATATCGTTAATCACCTCGTGCGCGCTAAACATAAAGAGGTCATTTTGCACGCAGAGAGTCCTCTCGGAGAGACCACACCGGAGTGCTACAACTGTGGCAGCAAGAACGTCTTCATGCTTGGTTTCATTCCAGCTAAAAGCGATACTGTCGTCGTCCTTCTCTGCCGGTGAGTAACGGGTTTCCTTGCATATCCTAATACGTCCGGCTTACAACGATCCATCACAGTCAGCCTTGTGCTGCCATCTCCAAGGATATACAGTGGAATGCCTCCCTCTGGGCGCCCCTCATTGACGATCGCTCCTTTCTCTCGTGGCTGGTAAAGCCCCCAAGCGAGACAGAACAGCTCCGCTCTCGTCAAATCTCTTTTGCCCAGATCAACCGGCTCGAAGATTTATGGCGGGAGAATGCTAATGCTACACTCGAAGACCTAGAGAAGCCTGGTGTGGACGATGAACCGCAACCGATCATGTTGCGCTACGAAGACGCGTATCAGTATCAGAATATTTTCGGCCCGTTGGTTAAGATTGAAGCCGACTATGATAAGCGGCTCAAGGAAAGTCAGACGCAGACGGATATCATCGTTCGTTGGGATCTGGGACTGAATCAGAAGAGAGTGGCGTGGTTCTGCCTTCCGAAACTGGAGAGTGGCGAAGTGCGCTTGGCGGTAGGCGATGAGCTAAGATTGCGATATATGGGAGAGTTGCACAAAGCTTGGGAAGGTGTTGGACATGTGCTTAAGATCCCGAAATAGTGAGTACCAAACTCTCTCTGACTTTTTGAGCGGAGTTCTGATGTGTTGTAGATGTTTCGGACGAGATCGGTCTGGAGTTGCGAAGAACTGAAGGAGTTCCATCCGAGTGCACTCATAACTTCGCCGCGGACTTTGTCTGGAAGTCTACCAGCTTCGATAGGATGCAATTAGCTATGAAGACGTTCGCTGTTGACGAGAAGAGTGTTAGCGGTTACATCGTAAGACTGTTCCTTTCTTCATTCCGTCTACCCCTCTAATCATGATCTAGTACCACAAACTCCTTGGTCACGAGCTCGAACCTCAATCCCTTCGAACCCAAATGCCCAAGCGCTTTTCCGCCCCCGGCCTTCCCGAACTCAACCATTCCCAAATGTATGCTGTGAAGAGCGTCTTGCAGAAGCCCATCAGCTTGATCCAAGGACCTCCCGGAACCGGTAAAACCGTGACTTCAGCATCAATCGTCTACCACCTCGCCAAAATGAACCCTGGCCAAGTTCTCGTTTGCGCTCCCTCGAACGTTGCCGTTGATCAGCTCACAGAGAAGATTAACACCACGGGTCTGAAGGTGGTCCGTTTGACCGCCAAGTCGCGGGAGGCTCTGGACTCGAGTGTCGCGTACTTGACTCTTCATCAGCAAGTAGCGAACAGCACCACCCACGTAGAGCTGCAGAAGCTTATCATGCTGAAAAACGAGCAAGGGGAGCTGAGTAGCAACGATGAAAGGAAGTATAAGACGCTTATCAGGCAGTGCGAGAAGGAGATTCTGAGTGCTGCGGACGTTATCTGCTGCACTTGCGTAGGAGCGGGTGATCCGAGGTTGAGCAAACTCAAGTTTAGGACTGTTCTGATTGATGAGGCTACACAGGCCGCAGAACCAGGTCAGCATGCTTCGCTGTTTATGATACCCAATTTTGACAAAGGTGTTGCTAGAGTGCATGATTCCTCTAGTTTTAGGATGTAAGCAGGTTGTCTTGGTCGGCGATCATCAGGTTTGTGCATTTCAATCTGTGTCTGTATATTTCTAAACGGCATTGATCTAGCAACTTGGCCCGGTCATCATGAATAAGAAAGCAGCCCGCGCTGGCCTGACACAGTCCTTATTTGAGCGTCTAGTCGTTTTAGGCAACAGACCGATCCGTCTCCAGGTTCAGTACCGGATGCATCCATGCCTCTCCGAGTTCCCATCCAATATGTTCTACGAAGGAACACTTCAGAATGGTGTCACAGCCCCGGAGCGTTTGAGGAAGAATGTTGACTTCCCTTGGCCGGTGCCAGACACTCCTATGTTCTTCTACCAGAATCTTGGACAGGAAGAGATTTCCAGCAGCGGCACGTCTTTCTTGAATAGGTTCGTATCCTACTATTAATACATTGGAATCTGACTCATCCCTTGACAGAACTGAAGCCTCCAATGTCGAGAAGATAGTTACCAAGTTCTTCAAATCAGGTGTTGTTCCGGGACAGATTGGCGTCGTTACTCCCTATGAAGGTCAAAGGTCGTACATCGTGACCTACATGCAGTTCAATGGGTCTTTGAAGAAAGACTTATACAAAGAAATCGAAGTTGCCAGTGTCGATGCTTTCCAGGGACGAGAGAAGGATTACATCATTCTCAGTTGTGTTCGCAGCAACGAACACCAAGGCATCGGTTTCCTGAACGATCCTAGGCGTCTGAATGTTGCGCTGACTCGAGCCAAGTACGGCGTAGTAATCTTAGGCAATCCCAAGGTTCTGAGCAAGGTCAGTTCGCCAAGTAGTCGTGTATGTAAGCGTCATCTCACTTGTGTTTTTCCCTGCAGCATCCGCTTTGGCATTACCTCTTGACGCACTACAAGGAGAAGAACTGTCTCGTCGAGGGTCCGCTCAACAACTTGCAACCTAGCATGATTCAGTTCAGTAAACCGCGCCGCACTCTTGTCAAGTCCATGGACCAGTTCCGTCGTCATGAGACTAATGCTCGGGATTTTTTGAGCGGTGCCCCCAATACAGGATTGATGTCCGACGGTATGTTATATATTCGCCCTCTGCTTTCTCATACTTACGTTCTTGTCTTCATGGCAGGTCGACGCTCTGGCACTCCCAGCCGTTTCGATGCCAGCTTCTACCGTACTCACGACGCGTTAGGCTACATCCCATCGGATGTCCAGTCCTTGCGCTCCCAGGCGACGTATTCGTCCGGCATGCCCATGTTCTCCGCGCCAGGTGGACCTTTCGGTCAGGGCATCCCTCGCGGAGCCGGCAAACGCAGCACATACGAGAGCTACGCGTCCTCGATCATCTCACAAGACGCAGCCCCGAGCATCGCCGACGGTGGAAGCAGCAACGTCAACCTGACCTTCTCCCAAAGCGACCGGCTCCGCCGCCGATCGTCGTTCGGTTCTGCCTCCGTGGCAGGCGCCAGTGACCTTGGCAGCTTGTCACAGTATGATTACAAGAGCCAGGATGATATCGCCGATTTGGATGACATGAAGTCTCAGTATGCTGGAACGCAGTCTGGTGTGACCGTCTTTTGAATTCCCTGCGACGAGCCCTACTCGCCCGCTTGCGATGGAAGATTCGCCTCAGACCAGGAGAGCTTGCATATCGCTCTATCTCTCTTGGGGGGGGCGTCTCAATATACACACAGACTAGCGTGCCCTACCTTCCCGTCAGTGGTTATCTCTGCATACAAGCTCTTGTTCAGCACCCAGCTTGGAGGAGACAATCTTGTTCCGTATACACCCCCTGTTTCCGTCCACGATCGCGTATCATTTGCGGCGGGCAGTGCGATGTGAAGGGCTTCTTCTCATTCGCTCCTCTTTCGAGACTCGGCCACGATACGCACATGTACTCAGCCTAGCTTGTTGTAGATCAGGAATATGCATATGTCGATGTTAGGCTGACTTGCGACTTGATATTGTGGGATTGAGGCGATCTATCAGGCTCAACGAGACTGGAAATGCAGTGGTTACAGGCTAATGCCATAAAGGATAATAGCCCCATAGCAAAGCCGCGCCCAGCAGACCTGGTGGGTCTACTTTTATTTGGTAGGATTCACAAGCTGCGTCACTTATGGAAGAAAGCTTAATGGAATCGTATAACTGATGCTCGCTTTCAACAGGCTCAGACACCAAACGCGATGGAACGGATTTCCTTCGGGCTTATACAGTGCTTGCTATTGCCTGCGGTTTACGGCCAGCTCATGCCTACGCTACTTATGTGGAGGTTCGCCAAATTAGTGGTTTAATTTTCCTAGCCTCATGGGGACGGACTTTTCTGCTGATTTCATGTGAGTATCAGACCGTGCAGTAATTTTCATCGAATACGTTGGCACTGTCTCTGAACAGAGCCCTTATCTCTCCGTGCGACACTCGAGCTGAAGGTAATTTAGTGGTTGTTCCAATTTTTTACAACTCGCCCGAATCTATCACCGCTTCCGCCTGAGCTGAGCGCACCTTGATCGTACATTTGAAAGGCATGGGAAAGCTATGAGTGACAATCAAGAGGCAATAGTATGTTTAGTGCGGAAAGATCTACCTCAGGTGGGCGTCCGTAAAGGTATCGCTAGGTTCAACGACACGGCTTTCAGAATCCACAGCCTTGGAAAAGGACAGTGCTGATGCCATAGACGCGATGGCAATCCATGCGGTGTTTAATGCGAGATAACGGCCGGGACATATACTGAGGAAATATCATAACGGAGGCTGGAGGGAAGTACATCGTACGCACCGTCTTCCAAAACCAAATGCGGCTGTGGGGTTAGGTTGGAGTTCTCTCCCATCCTCGGGCATGAACCGGTCGGGATCGAAGACCATTGGGTTGGGGTAGTCTTTTTCGTCGTGCAGTATGGCCCTACATCGAGTGTCGATGTGAGGCTTAGATTTAATTTGAATACTTACCAAGTGTTACTAATGATAGTCGCGCCTTCGGAGGGGATGAGCATAAACTTTAAAAAATGTACTTGGAGCGTACCCGCGGGGATGTGATAACCCCTGTAAATATCATCTTTCACGCTACGATGGGAAACACCTAAAACGAAAGTTATAAGCCGAAGCAACATCAATGTATCTCAAAATGCATACCCAATGGAACAACAGGATTCCATCTCAGCGCTTCCAACAGGATAGCATCAATATAGGGCAGCTGTGGACGGTCATCAAAATTTGGCAGCCGGGTATGACCGACCACAGTGTCAAGTTCAGCTTGGGCCTTGTTTTGTATCTCTGGGTAAAGAAGGAAAAGCGAGTATTGTGGAAAGTACAACTGATACAGTCTGTGTAACGATAAGATACTTGGAATGATGCAAAATGGTGCAAACTTACGGTATCAGCGCCCGCTATCCAAGATATACAATCAGTTGTTCAGCAAGAAACACCGAATGCAATGTACCAATAAAGGCTACCGCAGCTGTATTCCGGATGACTTCAAGGTATGCTTCCGATTCATATTTCGACATGCGGATCTGTTTCATCTTTGCTAGATTTTCGGAGACGAATGAAGGCGATGCAGAACCATCAGCCTTTGACACGAGGTATTAGAATTAATATGACAAACATCAATCGACGAGAAGTGAGGACGCACCAATGACTCCAAAGTGTATTCAAACGGTCTCTCTTTCATGTCATCGACTTTTTTTCTCCAGGCATTCGCAAGGCTCATGAAATTTGTACCAGGCAACCATTCTTCGGATGCCTTCAATGTTCAATGTGAGCCTTAAAGTTAAAAATGCGTAAACTCACGTGGAAGATATTTCAACCAAGGTATGTAATCGACGAGAAAGACCCCTACATTGCCAATGATACGAACACTTTCTAGCGCCTCATCCACTGACTCTACAAATTTATCACCATCTGCATCTGCATCATATCCGTAGACGATCTTCATGATGACTGAACCGGCATGACTAGAAGACCGTGAGCCTTTAAGAACATGCTGCCGGTCTATGTAGAGCTTACTGGCGAACATGGCGAACAAAAGCATCAGGAGATTTATGCAGCTGTTGTAGTAATGCCAGTGATGATCTCATTTGCACAGGATAATATGCAGGAACTGCACGAGACTGGAAGTATTGGTGAAACATCCGCCGATGCATTCTATAAAGGAAGGGAGGAAGTCGTATTCGTTGAAATCAGACAATGGCAACATGTTGATGGAGAACGTGGCTGGGCTGACCTCCACCCGTCAGAATATCTCATAAAACCGAAGTCGAATCCCCATCCCGCCAAGTGTAACATAGTGAAATCTGCGATGTTATTAGCGACTGTAAAATGTTATAGTATCCACCCACCGTACCTGGCCTATCGGAGTAATTCCCGGAGCGTTTTTCGAACAGATCCACTGCTGCCTGGGCAGAGTTGATTACGACGGTTGGATTTCCAGGAGTATCCAAATAGAAAACGTCGCCGTAGGTGGCAGTCCATCGAGCATAGGTAACCCATGGGTACTCTACAGGCACATCCCAGAGGTTCCCTAAGAGCGGAATACCCTTGGGCCCGGGTGGTAGAGGTACACGTCGACGTCTACGTGAAAGGTAAAGCAAGGAACATGTTAATAATATCCCAGATGCAAGCGACGCTAGAAGGAGAGGGGTGTTCATTGCAAAAGAGTTGTCGTGGGCTAACACAGCTGACTCGCTTGTCTTCCCATCTCATAAGAAGACACGTCTTTCACTGGGCCAAAGGCATGGACACCTTATCTCCTCTCTTCTCCACGAACATGAATGGTGTAGAACAGATGATAGATAAGCATGAGAATAAACAGACATGAATGCGTGCGAGTGGAGCGTCCTCCGGAAATGGATGTCGAAGTCTGATCCTGAGGAATACAAGGACTTGTCGCGATACTGAAAATAAATGTCGGTTTTGTCCATTCCACCTTGGTCAAGGAAAATATTAGACCATGCCGATGCGACAGAGTATTGTAACCACAGGGTGCTATGCTGAAAGAACAGTGAAGTGCGACTGTCACATCTTCGCTCGTTAAGATGTCATGGGAGACAGATGTCCAGTGACATTTCAGCATCAGCTGACCTCATCCCGCACTTAGAACTTCGCAGAGATTAAACGGCTACAAGCGATGTGCTTCCTCCTTGACCAGTTCCTCATCGGGAACCAGAGAACAGGTCTCATGTCCGAGTCTGCATACTATGTGCCCTGGCCATCGGTCCCGACTCCGGTACATCGATGTTCGCAGTGGAAAGGCCGTACCTTTGTCCTAATTGAGCTTCATACGTTTATCCCTAAGCTTTGAAAGACGTACCTTCATAAAATTTTCTGATTTCACAATTAAGACCCGTGTTAAAGGACATCAGTTGCCAGCCTTGGCAGAACTCTTCTCCGTGATTCTGGAATGCGATGCGCAGAAGAACCAGTGACAGAGACTCGTAGTAATGGACAAACAACTACAGAGGCGATGAGAACGTTCACGGTTCAATCGACCGGAGATGCGTCTCCAGAGACATTGGAGTGCTTGACTGGATTGTGCTGCGATCCAGGGCTTTCGGCAAGTGCCTTTTTACCACGCTGGTATTTTAACACTTGTTTGCACTACATGACTTCGGCGAGAAACTGAGAGTTCTCGCTCCGATGCAGGATGCAGAGATATATGTACCAAGAGGAAGAAACCGAGAAAATTCTGTGCCGAAGCCGGCTGAATTTCTGCCGAAATCGGTTAGTTACTACGTGCAACTACTAAGTCGTAAGCGCAATGAGCACCGTTCGCCTAGCCATGAGTGAGCCATTAATGCTTTTCTAACCTCCGTCCGCCTCAGTGTATATTAGGCTCGAATAATGACTGCAAGTTAAATTCTGTGCTGGTATAGCACGTTCTGACTCAGTTCTCGGCAATCTTCTGCCGTCTCTCCCAGCCGATTAAATCTTATTTTACTCAGCCATCGTCGCTCCATGTAATTGCTCCATAACTATTATATCTATCACTGCTTTCCCCCTGAATGCACCTTGTTTGTGTGCTTGAAAGGCACGGAAAGTTACGTGTGAGATATAAAATGAGGTCATGGACATGTGCTGCCATGGAATTAAAAGGGCCACAGAAGGCAGTATCACCTGGTTCGACGATGCAGAAATGGGGGGAAAAGTTTCATGATTTTGCAGCGCCTGCTGCAATCCGCACGCGGCCGATGGCTAGCTCATGTCTAAACCGCCTTGACCAATGCTGACCTCAAGGTGGGATTTCACTGTTATTCGCCCTCTCGCCGCATGAGCCTCTTAGACAGACTCGATTGACAGAATGAGGATTAATGGCATGTCAATGACCGTGCGCGCGGTTCAGAGTAGACTTGGAAGAGTCTGCTCTTCCGAAAGTTCGAGTGTTGAATGGAGGAAAACCAGTCTTGTATTTAGCAGATGAATTTGGGTGACCGCCTTGGATAATAGAGTATTGGACTTTGAACATCCCGGTGAATTTATCAACTCTTATGCCACTCGACATAAGCAAAGGGATGACAGCATTCCCTAGCTCAAAAATGGCACACTAGTAGGTCCTTCAAATGCCATGGACCTTTGGGACCAGGACCGAGCGGCTAGTTATTCAGCAGGACCCCGGCCTCTCAGCAGTCTATGTACCAACTATGCACAAGAGCCGCAACTAAGCGAACGCATGCTGTAAACTGACTTTCTTTTCTGGATCTGTGTACTTGAAGCTATCAAGAAGTACTGATGTATCGTTAATCGCTACTACTGTATTTGGCGCGAAAATCAAATCGGAAAATGTTCAAAATCTAGGGAAGGTATCAATGTCACCCTCGACAACTATCGAATATCAATGATGGTTGACCTACATTTGCCAGAGCGCTAATTTCCGTCGAGATCAACTGGAGCCACCGTCACATTAGGAACCGCTTCGGGGCTGTCTGTGGTGCCACTTTCGAGATCCTGCCTTTCATAGTACTTCTACGGTAGGGAGTACGAGGTCGGGTTCGGTCTATATGATTTGACTCTCGTCGAGGACCGGTCTGAGAGTCAAGTTCGGTGGCAATATTTTCAACAGCGGAAATCGTATCCAGTAATTCTTGAAGCCGGACGAGTTGGTCCCATAAGGATGATAAGTTTGGTATTTCGCCGGCAAGGGCGGATGGCTCCTTGGGCGGCAATGGGACTGAGGCTATTTCTTCCAGGCAAACGGGAGCAGGAGGTGTATCGTCTACACGGCATGACTGTAGGATATCCTGCCATTGGGCACTATCATCGGCGGATACGTTTAGCACATAAGCTAAATTGCGCAGACGTTCAATGAAAGCAACGGTTTTTGGACATAGATGTAGATCAAGGCAGTTAGGGCGCTCGGCGGTCAAAGGTTCATGGAGTTCTTTGGTTGTGAGGTTTAAAAATGCGCGAAGATGGTTCCGTCGCATTCCAATAGTTATTCCGGGCCTTGATAGGTGAAGACATTCCTGCAAATATTTGTCCATATCGGCCACGAGCATAACAACATAACGTTTGCAATCTTGGAGGCTATAAGCCCTCTTTAAGAGAAAACGTAGGATCTGAGGAAGATATGGTAGGGTGCATGAGGGCAAGTTGGGAATGTAGGACTCTACACACTGTGTCACGGAAATGGCTTCAGATAGATGAGACATTAGCGTCCTTTGTAGATTATAGAAGCTCTTAGATGAGAGGGCCTCTATTGTATCCTTGTGTAATAGCCGTCAAAGCTTTACCGGAAGACTAAGCGTCTTTGGATTAACATGGAAAGATTTCTTCTTAAGCAGCAACCTAGCGCAATCATATAGGTCTTTCTCGAGTCCCAGGTCTACACATCGGTTTAGGATAAGTAATGTCTCCGAACGAAGAAAGAATCATTGACTGACCGGATACCTGCGAAAATTCTACACCTGAAGTCACCGCAGAAATATGAGCATTGAACGGGGTGTAGACGCCGGGTGGCATGATGAAATTATCATTATCAATGTCAGGGTGTGTGAGATGCGCCTTAATGAGCCATACACAATGCTGCAAGCCGGTGAGACCATTCTGTCCCGATAAGTAGAGCAAAGATGTTGCCGTGAAATCTGCATTGCATCCGAGTCGGGATTTGTAGTGGGTATCCCATGAGCAAGCAGACAACTTGTCATGAGCGTGAAGGAGCGCTTCGGTGACTGACTTGGATAAATCACCATAACGCAAGAATTCTTCGTAATCCGTGACTGGAAGAAGCTCATCCCTCTTTTCCCCGGCGATGGAAGAGATCATTTCAAGATTGCTACTTCTCATGAGTTCCTTCTCGCAGTGGGAGGACTCGGGAATATGAAGCTTTGGTAGAAGAAGGACACGAGTGCGCTCCTTATAGTTTTGGATTGAATTCCAAAAGAGCTGGTATAACCCAGTCTGCACTGCGAGGAAATCGAAATGACGCACTAGCCAAGCAATGTTGCGACCAAGATAATAGTCGACCGAGGGCCCGGTCATGACTAATGCATCTGTATCAGCGTTGTATTTCACCCAGTATCGGTCATATTTCGACCACGATGAAAGGTGCTTTGCCAGCATTGGTCCGAGCCGGTCAAGTCGCGAAAATGCACTGCGACGATGAAAAATATTACGTCCATCAGAGGCCGCCCAACAGAAAACACGGTTGAACAGGATGATGATTAGCCATGACTGCGGTGATTTGTATGGACACTCTGGGGGCAAAAGAGCAAGTGAGCGGCGTAAAACTACCCAGCAGTATTGTGTGGAGGGGGCCAGTGTGGTGAAGAGGATGAAGAAAATCATGAATGCCACAATAATGCTGACCGGAAGAGCCACGGTCTTGTTCAGCGGCCATAGAAGCTCCAGCACTCCCACAAAGAATAGTACAAGAGCGACCTGGAGGAGAAGGGGAATAGTCGAGATGATTCCTTCGACTTTCCATGCTGATAATCCCTCCAGTCGCATCTGTCGTACAGAGAGAGTATCCTTTGAGTTACGACCCGCATCTTTAATGTACTCCCGGAGCCATTGTTTGCATAATATGCCGGTGGATGCTGCGGAAATCGCAAGAGCGAGGCTTAAGAACCAGCAAACATTGATTCTTTCCTCGGCATGAGCGCTTAAGAACGCTGTATCCGAGTTCGTACTGGCCGAATTGTATAGCCATTTGTAGGAATCGATTATGAATGGAGTGGTAACTGCAGAGAATAAACCGGCCTACAGTATCACGGTGTAAGACAGGTCGATACTCGGCAAAAGACAAGGAAGACATACAAATACCAATAGTGTGTCGATCTCCTCTTTCCAACCTTTGCAGACTTCTTCGTCGTACTTCCGAACGAGTCTGGCACACTCGCACGCTGTCGCATCGGTCCTTGGAACACTGTTTGTCCCATAGCGCTCGTGCGAATCAGAGCAAGAGTGCGGCATCGTCTTAGCATTGTGCGCTATATGCTGTCCCGTGAGAGTCTAGGTATCGATAGCTCATTAGTATGACGCCAGACTGCCTTAACGGAAAGCAGTTACCAAGTCGACAGCATGCTCTTTAGGTGGAGGAGAACGGTCGTCCATGACAGCTGGAAGCAAGGGAATATCAAAAATCAAGATAGAGTCAGTACTAGGCAGTGGTAGAGGTAGCAAGCTTCAGACTGAAAGCCAAGCGCCTACCTCGTCATTCGTGTTGGCGTTGTTGATAGCGCGGGAGCACTCAAGTTGAGTCCCTCTGTAACCGCGTGCAGGATTCATACCAATTTATCGTACTTGTCCGTATTCGTACTAGCCCTTGTCCTGCATATGGTGTCGCTTTAGAGACGAAACACGAAGCGAAGTAATACCAAGTAGGTTTATCGGGTTGATTCCCTTGAGGTGTTCTGAAGTACTGTTACTGTATTGTCAAACAAGATCGGGTGATTCGGGATCGATCGATTGCAATTTGGCCGCCTTTCGCCATCACGACGCCCGCTCCCCGCCGACATGAAAAAGCCACTTCCCAATTATTTAAGGTTTTTTTTTGTCGAACTCGCACACCAGCACCGACGTCTTCTCAATCAAATCCCATTTAGGAAATGGCATCGGCTGAGCCTTGTCGTTGAGCGACTGAACGCGCCATTCACAGCCGCTGACATTTTTACGATTGTCAGACAGTAATCCTTGATGAAAGCACTCCGTTCAATGAGTATTGTATTGCCTATACAAATGTTTAATTTAGCAGGCGTAGATAATGTCAACAGTAAAACAAGCTGTCTACTTGAATTTACTCCTTCTCCCTCCGCAACTTGGGCGCAGACCTAGACCTCGAAGTCGAAAGGAACTTGAGCGAATCCAAGACCGCAGCCTTATGCGCCTTGGTCACCTCCTTCGAAACCCTTCGCTCACTCCGCAGCTCCACAGGGCTCTGCATCAGCTTCTGCTCCTTCTCGTCGAACTCAGGCGGATCAGCACACATATAATCATCGCTTCCCGGCCAATGGAAATTGGTAAGCGTCTTATACGCAGAATCCGTCGTGACTGAGGCGGAGATCCTCACGCCCTTGATACCCTGCTGGGTTTCCTGCCCACGATCTGAGGGAGGAGTATCGACGATGACGCTTCCTGGGATGATACGCATGGGGGCGGTCGACTGAGTCGATTTCGTGGCGTCTCATGGGGTTAGCCTTGTTCACGTCGTAGAGGACTTGTTTCCCAGCGGGTAATACGTCCAATTTGGCTTTGAGACCACCGAAGGAAGCCATGAAACCGGGCTTGTTTTGGCCCCTGATGGCACCGAGGTGGGCAGCCTGACCGGCTGAACCGGTGTTTGCCTGGAGGATGATACCAGGCTGGAGGTCAGGACATGAGATGAGAAGTGGAGCTGGGTGGGATGGGCGTAGAGTAAGCCTCCGTTAGGATGTGGCTGCGGCTCGATTTTACGAGCATCGCGATCTGTGAACTCGTCAGTGGGTGATTGCTTCGATGAACCTCCGGTGCAAATTCGGGCTGGTACTTCACGGATAGCGAAGGAAGGGGTACCGTAGCGACGTTCACGTTGTTCGGCCGGGGCGCCTCACCCTTCTGCGCAAGCTCGTAAAGAGTTTTATTTTTGAGACGTTCATCCTGCTGCTTGGCGTTCTCGACGAACTCGACGAAAGCGGGACGCAGGGCGCGTAGCTTTTTGAGGTATCGCTTCGAATTCCTTTGGAGTCATGGCCATGAAATTTGGACTGAAGTTCGTTAATTGCTCTGGCTTTGCGTTGGCTCCGTATGCGCCTGGCCCTCTGCGTCCTAGACCAGCCAGGTCCTCGTCGAATGGCGTCTTGGAGAAATCCCTCGCCTTCTCCGACTTTTCCTTCTTCGTCCATCCCTCCGTAGCTTCCGGCCGTTCTTCCATGGTCCCAAACTCGGAATCCACCATCCACTCAGTCAGGGTCTTCGAGCTCTGATTCTGGGCCCACGACGACGAAGGCGCCATCCTAGGCAAGGTATCCATCTCTTCGAAGCGGCGGATAAACCGCACTTGCGATTCTCCACGAGTCCATTCCGTGAACTGCTGACGCGCCTCGTAGGGTGCTGCTAAGGTGATGTAAGCATTTCTGCGTCGAATAGGGATGGGACGTTTGAGACCCCAATCGCCACGATTAGCGTGGGGCGCCGGTGACAAGTACGTCTGTCGTATTGACGGGTCAAAAGATGCAAACTGCGAACGACGAAGAAGTTGTGAAAATGGTGACGCAGGCGGGTGCACGGACATGCCCGCGTTTTAATGGTCAAGAGCACAAACCGATTTCGCCAAGTCGCGTCCAAATTCGGTCGGAGTTTCAAGTTAAAATCATTTCCCGATATAAACCGCTCAGGAGTTTTTTTTTCTTTTCACAAAAACCACGACGGCAAAATTACCATCTTGTCTACTGCCTCTTCAGGCTTTTATCGAAGGACGGATGGTCCAGACAAACGTCGAAGAGGATAGCGGACTCTCAAAAACAATCTTTGCTGACGTTCCTCCCATTGGTTGAGGGGCAAGGACGCAGGATCACCTGGAGCAGTTCTACATACCACTATGTTGTTACCTATCATGTATTGTGAGTCCTTCTAGTTGAATCGATTTCTATTTTTCCCTGGTCGATGAAGATAATCCTGGTAAAAGAACGCGCCCCGCTCAGTTAGGAGTCCATATCGTCAGGGTATCTTTGCCCCTCGCTGAGGTGGCTAGATGGCAGGGCGCGGATGGGGAATTAAAGGCGAGGCTGAGACCTTTATCTTCTTTTTGCTGCTTCTCTTTTTTCTTGACGTCGTTCTAACCCACCGTTCACCAGGTTTACATCGTATCTCCTGTATCCTGTACTTATCATGTATTCTGCCCCGACTGAAAAAATACACTCTTTCGTACATTTTATATTTTGAAGCTCTACTAAAGTTAAGACCACCGCTTTATCCTACCGACGCAGGTATAGTTTCATGGATAGAGCGTCCTCACCATCGCCGTCTGAACAATATCGCAGTTAGTAGTGACCGATAATACATGCAAGAGCGAAGCGCACAATATTTCTTCTCTACATCCGCCACCGAGAACCCCAACGTATCCTTATACAATCCAATAGCAGCCTTGTTAGATTTCCTCACATGTAACGAGACGTATGACGCATTGTACACCGTCAACATAGCTTCCTCTAAAAGCCAGAGATGAAAACAACATCCAGGCCCAGTTCAAAACTGATTGAACTCACGCGATAACATCATCAACCGCCGCGCCAGCCCTAGTCGCCTATACGACCTTAGCACCGATATCGAATTGACGTGCCCATGCACGTCAACGGGGTTCGCATCCGTAGTCTCGTCTTCACTTGAACGCGCGTCAGCAGCACTCCACAGCCATGAACACCAAGCCTCACATCTTCGCCAACACATATCCAACGATCTTTCCCTCCCCATTCTCCGCTACGAACGATATCTGCGGCCACGTCAAGAGGTGATACATCCCTAGACGGGTATGAGCTTGCATGTTGTATGGTGAAAATAACAAGCAGGTGCGAACAGAATTTCATGACGTAGTTCTCCGGGAGGTTGATGAGGTTGGCAGCTTGCATACCGCTGAGGTCATCAATCTAGAAGCGTTAGTAGTAGTAATACGGGGCCAGGTGATGTGCGAAGAGACTCACCTAGAGAAAAATCCGGATCTTCTGCACCTACGTACATGTCCACGGAGAGTTATACACGCACCCTTGCTAGTCGGATATTCATTGGAGCAGTCTGGAAGTGTCTGGCACTGAGGTAGATGTCGAGGTGAAGGGCAATTGGGTTCTGGCAGTGACTGCTTGAAAGCCGATTACTAAAATAGGACATCACCTCTTGAAGTGTAACCCGGGGTCGGATTCTTCCGTGTCGTTCGAGGCAAGGACGATTTCCGGAATACTTTCACTCCTAGGATCGTCCCAATGGGACATCTTTCATGCTGCGACTGGATCGGACTCGGAGCGCATAATAGCGCAAGAATGATATAACGAAACAAGGCAAGTGAACGTTTACGATGATACAAATTAAATCATAAATGCAGATATCGAGAAACAATGCAGAATACTAAAATGCAATCCCAAATAGACCACAGTGTTTTTTTTTCAACTCTCAGAGTAGGCAGGCGGAGGAAGCTCCCCTCCAGCATGATGCGAAGCTTCTGCCTCTTGTTGTGCTCTCGCCCCATCCAAATGAACCAAAGCCAGGCTTCCCACCTGGGACTGCAGCTGCCGAACTCCTGCGTCTTCCCTTCCCGGCCCGACCCACCCTGCGTCACCCTCCTCAATCACCCCCTCGCTCGAATAAATATCCGCCGGTGGACTCATCACAGACGCCCTTTGCCCAGCCACAGTAGCATCGTGATTGACGATATGCAACCTCCGCTCAGCCTGAGCACGATTGAAGTATCCAGAATCCGACGAAGTGGGACGCGAGGAAGAACCAGCTTGCATAGCCATGTTATTGGAGGTAATCGAAGGCGTCCGAGAAGGGTCCCCAGCTATGAGTCGACATCCTCTGTTGCTGTGCTGCTGCTTGTTTCCCTGCGGCCGCAACACCCATAGGAAGCATACTCAACGGCGAAATAGCCGCCAACCTCTGTTGGTCATACCCATCAGGGTACACAGGCATCATCGGCTGTCCAGTCATGGGAGGCGAATGCGGGGGAGAAACGCCGTTGAGGGACGGGAGGGTATTCCCACCGACCGTCCCATACTCGTACGGTTTAGGCTCCACGTCCAAATCGCGCCCGAGGGAAAATCGATCGTTGCCCCCCGTACCGGTGTTCGCAGCGACCTGGTCATCGAGGTCGTCAAAGATGTCGTCCCATCTCTTTCGACGTTTTCTGTGCACAGCCCGGGGTTAGATGCGGTGTGGTTTCACCACGTGATGGAGGACTTACAGGATGAACCAGATGATTAGGGCTAGTAGGGCGAGGCCACAGACGCCTCCTACTACGCCCCCGACTATAGCGCCGATGTTGGTGGAGCTAGGGGCGGGAGCTGCTGTGGAAGAGCTAACGGCAGCAGCTGAAGTTACTGTTGTGGCAGCTAATGCTGAGGTGAGGGTTACTATTGAAACTGTGACTTCGCCGCCAGCAAGAGTCATTGATGTTTCGGAAGTAAAGACAGTCGGGGGAGGTGTCGAGACGGTAACATAGGTGGAAGTCGATGTTGAAGTCGTGGAGGTTGTTGTTGGTGTTGTGCTCGTCGTAGTAGTCGTAGGCGGAGTGGTGGTGGTAGTGTCTGGTCCAGTGGTAGTGGTATCAAGAGGAGAGCATGCAGTTCCATATAGCGTGCTGTATACGGTAGAAACGGCTGATCCTGCTGTCACCGGAACTGAAGTAAATATGGTGGTGGTTTCATCTACGTACTAACTTAGCGCCAAATGAAGATGTCTACGAGGAAATCACTACTCACATAGCGTCGTCTCCCCTACAACTGAAGTAGTCGAAGATAAACACTGACTAGGAGCACTAGAATTGAACTCGGCGCAAACAGTCGTTACAGCTGAGCTTGTAAGGGTCGGGACACTAGTAACGACCGATCCCACAGATGTTGAGACAACTTGCGTAGAGATAACACTACTCTGGGTATCGGTGGGGCTTGAGCTGCATGTCGACATGACGGTGATAAAAAAGCGGCCGTTTACCCAGGTGAAGGAAGACTGAAAGAGAGGAATAGGAGCTCAAAAAGAAAGACAAAGTTAAAGGCAGCAAGACCGCAATGGTCTGTTTTCAGTAAAGGTTGAGACATTAAATAAAACTGTTAAAGAGGGTTTATGTAAGTTCCGCGAGGCACCATCGGTGGTAACTGACCGTGCCAAGGGTGTCATAATCTATATATGATAAAGATCGACATGTTTTCCTCGTACCAAACATTTAAAGGCGAGGGAGGGATTGAAGGGGATTGACGGGTTTCTAGACTTGTCATGTTCGTTATATATGCGAAAACGTATCCTCTCGAAAAATTCCCCACCCCATCCGCTTATCCGCTCTTCTCCCTGTTCCTTCTCTTCTATTCTTCTCCGTTTGTTATCCGTGATTCACCGACGCGTACCTCCCTATTTGGGACTCAGGAGTCGCGCAACGTTCTCGGTGACGTAACTTGATATGGAACCGCCGGTCGGGAAGTACCTGAAAAAAATCGACGAAGCATTTCAGTCTCCAGTGGTTATCATCTCACAACATTCCAGGCTAATGTTAAGAGGCCTAGGTAACGTGCAGACGCCGGTCATGTGCCGATTTTGCCGAGTAAGGGCCAGGTCGTGGTTTTTATTCCACGACTGTACGATTTGGAACGTTGTATAACGCGTTAACGTCCGCTGTCAATAGAAACAATCCATTTTTCTACCAACCCCTCTAGTGTATCGATACTGTTGTCCATTTTCGAACATAATATTTGGCGGCAGCTTCGGCTGCATAGTAAATATTGCCCATGAAGCAACCATGGAGACTCAGGAATAATGATTCTAACACCATAGGTTACTGAAGCGCAAGGGAAGATGATGAACCAATTTTAGGAAGCTTCGACCGTATTTACAGGCGAAGAAGAAAAACGAAAAAATAAACTATTATTATCCGATCACGTGATAGGACATCTTGCTGTGTAAATTTCAAATACCGTGTAAGAATTCTCCTCCATTGTCCATTGTCCAAGGCTGACATAGGTAGAATACTGGCAGCCAGCCAGCCCCCCCAATCACTAAGAGACGGTCACCAGTCTAGATGGTATATTCATGAGCACTTCTCGTGCAGAATCCCAGCAACCTCAGTTCAACCGACGAAGGTCGAACACAGCCCAATCTATCCTGAGATCTGTTCCTCCGCCAGTACCATGCCCACCCTTGGAAATCGGCGACACCGTTGTGCTTAATTCATGGGTACATGATCCAAGGGATAACCAAAATGTTACGTTTAATCATGCACGGTGGCCAGGCGTGACGGAGGGAGAGATGATTAGCGTAACTGCTAATGGCGGGAACGAGTCTTTTTTCTTCATTGTGCCGAAAGATGATGGTTCGAATAAGCCTCAGTTGCAGGTACGTGGCAATTTCATGGATTCTGTACCGTACCTTGATGGTTTCGTAGATTTCTGTACCCAAACCGCTTGCGGAATCCTTCGGCGTGAGGAATAACGGCGAGGTTACTCTAACCAAGGTGCGCCATGCTGGAGTTGCTTGTTGTCCGCAGATAACATTTTCTAGGTTGATAGGGAGTTGCATTGTGCCGACTACGTGGAATTCATATTCCAGGATCAGTATATGGGACGAAATGAAATGTGGCGCCTTTGCGAGCATCTCGCTGGACAGTGTGTTTACGCGGATCAGGAAGTATACTTCATAGGGAGCGGAGTAGCTAGGATACAATGCATTTTCGTGGACGGTAAAAAGGTCAGCCGCCTTCAACTCGCTGATGCTTACTTTGTCTGACGTTGTATTCCAGGTATCCGCCGCCTGCATGACATCTCGGACTAAAGCGATATACCGCTCTCTATCAGCTAAAGTGACGATCTTCATCCAAGTCTGCCGAGAACTCTGGGAATTCGCAGGAGACGGAGAACGCTATAACGAGAAAATTGTTCACTCGTTTCTCCCCTCGCTTTTCGCCAAATGGAAGGAAGCTGGCACAAACCATACCGTCACCATTGCTCTCATATCTCGCGTGTATTATGACGAGTCCGAGATTGACTACGCAGCGGGTCCTTTGCGACGAGACGACCGTGGCCAGTGGTACAAAGACTTCTACAAGGTCATAACCGACCTGGAAGTCATATACGAGTGGAAGCCAACTCTTGTTAGCCTCAAGAATTCATTCTGGGATTTCCAACGTGACATCCTGCTCACCCATCATTACCACCGAGCACATCTAGAAGGCAGCTCTGGGACATCAGAACAAATTCGCCTAGTGGGTCGTCTTTCTTACGCCCATGACGGTCCGATCCTCGAGGCGTTGAACCTCAGCTTGAATCCCACGGAAACTCATTACATCGATCGCTCTCTGCTTCTCACCGGGGCTGCGACCATGCTCATTACCCCAGGAACAGGCTATTTTCGCGTTTCCAAGCACCTGCTACGACTGACTACTACTCGGATGCTTGATCAGGGATTTGGTCTAGATTTGATTTGTCTCGGGAAGCCACCTCTTCATTCAAGTCCTATCTTCAGTTTTCAAGGCGTGCAGCCTGACTCAAAGGTTGCTGTCGCTGGTTCTCGTGAAATGGATCCTCTCTGGGGAGGGGATGACGATTCTTCACATGATGCGAGGACGAAGGCTACGTTTTGGTGGGAGCCTTTTTGGATCTCAGTATCTTTTTGGGATAAGCAAATGGTGAGAAATTTATGCCTGGTTGTTTTGCTATTAATCTTACATAGACTAGGACCTTCCGTTCCGCCAAGATAGGTGAGGGGATCAGTAAAGCGTTCGATCCGTCCCTAACTGTCTTGCAGGTTTATTGCTCGAGCCAAAATGCACGAGATACAGACGCTTGGACTTTTGGAACACGATGTACTGTCCAGCATTGAGGTACCGTACCTGAACGACGATGCGGAACCAACTACCCGAGAAGACACTGCCAGTAGCGGCCCACCCCTCACACTTGAAGCTGCACACAAATTTGACCACGATATATTTACAGTTCATGGTGAACCGCAACGGCCACCGGCAACCAATTCTGTTACATCTTCCGGAAGTGTGTCTTCGACACATCGTATGACAGCCGAAAAACGCCCTTCTCATCGTAACTCGTTGATGGCTCCGAAAGTCCCTCCCATTGAAGAGAGTCCCAGAATCTACATTACTGAACTACCACCAGAAGATTCCCCGGATCTGTCGTCGTCCGCTTTGTTTGGAAAAACCCGAACTTCATCCCCATCCCAGTCATCGATCCGTTCACTACGTTCCAATCTATCTACCTACTCTTCAAAGAGGAGCACGAAGAAAGAGAGCCCGTCACGCGATTCAATTTCATCGAAACTCACGCCTTCATGGTTGTTCAAGTCCTTTAGAAGTGGTGTTGTTGAACCTCAGACGACCACAACAACTGTGTCGGCGTCAGCGACGTCAACGTCACATGCGGATACCTGCGTCGTCGACACCTACTTTTTCCTCCTCCATCTCCACATCACCCAGTTCGAGTGTGGCGATGAACCACGGACTGCATGCACCTCAACCAATGGCAATCAAAGGCAGAGGGGCGGTTCGTCCGAGTTCGAACCGTGTATTTGAAAGCGAGCCCCTACCCGCGGCGCGACCTTCAGTGCGACCCGCAGATGGCTCCCCCAAAAGTGATCTTCTTCCCTCCATCATGAAACATCGCGGAACGACCAGCTCTATGGCCGCCTCGTGGACCTCTTCGTCTCCCAGCTCTCGGGCTAACCCGTCCAATCCCCAAATGTCCGTCTCGTATGTCCAATCATCCCTTGCGGCTCGATGGCAGCACATGTTCCCTCAACCTTCCTACAAACACGAGATCAAATGGAAGTCTATCGTCACACCTGGATGCTTACCTCTTTCCACGGAGTATTTCCCCTCAACTGCTGAGCTCGAGGAATGCGTACGACGTGTTTTCGTACGACTTTGTTGTGGACCCCATTGAAATGCGCTCATTCCTTGTAAAGCCTCCCGTGGTGAAGGGCAACGCAGAGGATCGACGTCGTGCTTGGGCGCTTGTAGTTATGCGAGGCATGGTTGCCGTCCGACTGGCACAAGGGTTCCAATTCGTGTTACAGAAGAAACGGAAGGGGCAGAATGTCGATGGAACAGAGGGTAAGGAGAGTGAGAAGGCGAAGGAGAGATCCACTTTTCGACGCCATCAGTCATTTATGGGTCTCACTGACGACTGATATTCCCAAGCCTTGGGGCGCAGCTGAAGTTCTGAAGTCGACGGCTAATCCGGTCTATCTGAGTATGAGCAACGAGATTCACCGTATCTCGTATACTGGTGAGGCTATTCAAGTGAGACGTTATGTTCGGAGAATGCCTGCTAGTCACCCTTTCAAGTATGAGTGTTTGATATGGCCCAAGCTTGGTGTTGGTTATACAGAACAATCGACGACCTTTACCTCCCATGGTCTGGAGAATTATCATTGGAATCGGTTGGTTCTCTTTTCGATGTCTTCCTTGCTCATACTCAGCCTTACGGTATAGATTGGATATGCTTGTCGCAGGATACGAGCGCCACTTCAATGAATCTCTTCGCTATTGGAGAACACGTTTTGTAGTGATACCAACTGTAAAACCACCCACCGTCTCCGTTGGTCCTGCGGGCGAAACGTTGAACGACGAAGAGATACGTATTTTGGGGATCGAAAAGCTCGCCGAGCATTTCACCAAGGTGCGCTGGCAGCCACCTGATGAAAAACAGACGCCCCCTCCAGTTCGATTCCTGCCAACGACGCTCTCACCGGCAGCTTCGGTCCTCGACAACGCGCTGATGGACCAGTTGGATCAAATCCATGCTGCCGGTCCTCTCCGCAAGAAGATGAAAAGCGAGAGAGAGATTGGTGATATGTCGCTAGCCTTGATTGCCAAGGCCATGCGAGAAGAAGACGGTGTTCCCATCAAGCATCATCAGTGGCATCGATCTCGCTATCCAGATTCATTCACAGGCTTCGATTTCGTCTCTTGGCTCTGCCGTGAATTCCGGGATGTCTCGTCTCGAGCTCAAGGAACAGAATGGGGCATAAAGCTCCAGGAACAGGGGTTGTTCGAGCACGTCCGTGGGTATCATAACTTTTTGGATGGGTGAGTCCGAATGTTGCCAGTGTACCGGTATCTGAATTGACCATTCGTTAGTCATTACTTCTACCGTCTAGTGGGTGAATACGCCATACCCTCCACCCCACGTTCGTGGTTTGCCCCCCGGCTGGAAGCGACCAACTTCCGTCCCAGTATCTACCCTTCTAGTGTGGCCAGACCCAGGCATGTTCGACAAGCCAGGAGGAGGTTAATTCTGAGTCAAAGTATGGTTATCGATATTGACACCACCAAGGTAAGGAGTCTAGGTTCCACTCACTCTTCCATTGGCTGACACTCTGAACATAGCGGAGCGACCAAGCAGAGACAGTCGTTCTCCATCATGACATCATCCATAACCCTGCCACGGTGTTCCATTTCGAACTTCAGTGGATTGGCACAACTGGCAGATACATCGAAGACCAGCTCCGACAATGGAACAAGACCATCGAGCGATACGGACTGAAACTCGTAGAGGCGTATGTGACCCAGATAAGCAACATTCGAGACCGAAATGCGTTCCAGTCATGTTTCCCATTGCGCCTAGCCCTGCCGCCGCCGTCTGAAGTGCCCGAACTTCAGAGTCGTGTGGCGGAGGGCACTCACACCCCACATCATTTCGAGTATGCACTTTTACGGAACTTTGGTTTCATTCTGGACGTCGAAGCCTCCGATCTCTACCCAGAGCAGGTCGACGTGGTGTACTCATACCGAAGATCGCCGTACAAATATTCGCAATTCGTGCATCGCTCTGGTGTTGCGTTTATTCAAGTGCTGGGTGGTAAGGATGGGTTCCTGTTTCTTACTAACAGGTTGATGGGTCCCGGACGGATGGGAACCGCGATGAGAGGCAAGGAGATGCGTCCAGCTGCGGCAGCGGATGATATTAGAGTCAAACTGCACAACTTTTGCTCGGATGAGGAGGCTCTGGATAAGTTCTACGATGCGGAGATTGCTTTGCTTAAACGAGGACCAGATGATCCTCCTGAGCCTCCTCCGTTGAGCATCTAGTTTTTCCATTGCGACGCGTGGATAACTCATGGGACACCTGTCGACCCGGAGTAGAGTACGTTCATTAGTGACATTTACTACGAACTCCGACTTCATCAACAGTCTGGTGTAGTATCCATGTCTGGGCTTCAGTCTGTCGACGATCAAGTGATCCGTCGGGGGTAACAATGTGCTGCTACCCTTTTCCAATCGTTTTGTGGGACCACCAGTCGCTTCCGCCTGTTGTCCTGGCAGAGTCACTCATAGGGTACCACCGGACAGCTTCAATTTGGTTGTTCCTGCACAATTTTTACATGTAACTGCATCTTCAGCAGGGGTTTGTCATCTACAAAGTAGGTTTGTGGACTCCGTTAATAAATCAATGCCAACGTGTTGGTTTTTGCTTTGAAAACTGAAAGATTGGCGGGCTTGGTGCAACATCATTCACCATAACCATAAGCACATAAACCCCCAGTTTATTTGTGCCGGATTACTCCAGGGAGACACGTAGAAGATGCCCAAGATATACTAAAGCCCCGAGAGAATACCATGCTAAATTCTAACCATACCTTGTCATACATTCGATCCAGGATGTTAGCGCCAGTGTGACCTGTTAAGGGATCTCCGCTGCATGAAGTAATCTTGCCTTCAAAATTGTCCGCAGTGTTGAGGTGAAACGGCCGAAGGCAAGAACAATGTAGTGGATCTCAATCACAGAGTTGTATATATAAGAACCGAAGAAACGTATCATCATGCATATCGGCCGGAGGTAGAGAAAGCTTATGGATGCTCAGGAGGAGATCAGCGATCATATTGAAGCAGGAAACGATTACGGAGGTAAGATCCGCTATCCTGTATTTTGCATAGTACCGTGACATGAGGCTACATAGGTTCTGCAGCCGGACACTGACAGAGCACTTCATGGCACGTCATGTGCACTGACGAGCATGTCGCGTCCATTAGTTCGAACAGAGCGTCTTCCGGGATCCCGAGATAGAGGTTTGCGCATATCTGACAACGCAATTAGAAACGAAACCGCAGATGCACGGAAGAAACTAACCAAAGGCATCTTCCTCATCTCTACCGCCTTTTCCTACGCCGAGATTACCATAATACTCCCGTACCCTGCGATATACACTGTACCCAAGCCCTTCATACAATTCTATTGCGACGTTATTGGTGCACCGAACGTATAAATCCACAAAGTATCCGCGGTAGATATCGTCCGAGACCATTTCTAGAAGGGTCATCATTTTACGTGCAAGAGAGAGTCTCCGGTATTCCGGTGCTACGGATATGGCGGTAACATGTCCGTGCCATTCGGTGTTGGTCCCCTCTGCTTTTCCGATAACTGAGAGTGTCTGTGTGAGGTAAAGAATCGTCGAAGAGAAGTAATAAAACGTTACCGTAGCCCATCTGGCGACCGTTAGGTGATTCCTGTACGCAGCAAAGGTCTGGCCATCGTGAAAGATAGCTCAGGTAAAAGCCAATGTTATACTGACGACGCGAATTTGTCCTTGAGCTAACGCGACAGACTTTGACGTTAATGAAAAGCTTACGGTCTCTGTCCAGATGTCCAGATTGCTGTACGAGACAGATGTGAGGAGATCTGGGTACAAAAGTTTACTTGAAAACGTACATATTGTTAAATGTGAACATATCAGTTGCTTTGAAAGAACGAACGACACTCATGATGGATGAAGACGACCAAGTTGAGCGATCCACCAAAAAGGAAGGTAATTCCTGAGCACAGCCACATCAAAAGACACCGGCCACGCCCAAGTTGTATTTTCACCACGACCCCGATCACTTCGAGGACCTTTCATTTTTCTCTCGAATATCAATAAAATGTCGCAACATAACCATCAACCACAATACGTACATTACACCGGTCCTCCTGGCACCCATATCCAGCCCCAGAGTATAGCACCACAGGAGACCACCACCCATCAGCATGCGCCGCCGCTCGTCGCAACAGGCGATTGGACCAAGAGTCTGGTCGAACTAGCCAAGACAGCTGAACTCAAGTGAGTTACGATCTTAGTTACGCTTCCATTTGGTCGCAGCTGAGATCGGTCGTCTTACAGGAAGCATGCGCTCACGTTACAGTTGCATACGGCACACATACTGTCAGCGCACGCGTCGCTGGAGCAGAAGAGCAAGGCCGTCCAGGACATCAGAGAACAAAAGAACAAGTATGCTGTCTAATACTTTCCCGATTCTTCCTAGTGGATGACGCTTCTTGCCTCAGGTTGGAAAGTGAGCGCCAGCGGCTGCTTAATTGCTTGAGACAGGTGTGCTTTGTTTCCCATACTTATAATAATATCTCCTCCTCCTGACTCAGGTCCACCCCAGGTGAACGAGGATCGGGATCAGGCAAGCTGCCCGCCACCTCCATTTCCATAAAGCCTATTCACCCAGTCCCCCTCCAGGCCGATTTACTCGAATCTACAATCGATAAAGAGTGAGTACAATACCATTCGGCCGGTGATGGTTTATTTAACCCTTCCCTTTCAGATGCACCGACATCCGTCAAAGAATCCAGCAGATCACCGAAGGCGAATACGCAGTCGCGAAGCGGGATGTCGACAGGCTTAGGCAGGAACTAGGCCAGCCTCCGCTTCCCAGCTTGCAGACCATGTTGGACGAGAAGTCTTCGCAGTAAGTCCATCCAATCGAGACCATCTTATGGAACCCTTCATGCATCCCGTTCCCGGCTCCGAGTGGTTGAGACACGCTAAATGGAAGCGGGAAGCGAGGAGTTTTAACGGTATATATCCGCGACAACTGCGTCTCCTTTCCCAGCCCTGCGAGGCATATGCAGAATCCATGATTAACCTTGCTGACACCTAGATTTCTAACCGAACGTCGATTGAATGGCAACGCCGAGTCGAAACGCGGTCCGGGAGACGACGGTGGCCAGCTTGGTAAGAAACCCCGTGGCCGACCGAAAGGGAGCAAGAACCGCGCCAAGATCCCTTCCGCACCACCGCCAGATATCTAGTTTCGTATAATGCAGGTTATCACCTTTCTGTGTAGCCAACCTGCAGCTAATGCCATCTTTCAGATCATACCCCGTCTTGTCATACCATCTCTCATTTATGGACATACTCATTCATGCCTCACTATATCTCACCACTCCGATGGGACTGTCTTACTATGTCGGCGTCTATTCTATCTTACTTTCGATCCTATATCCACTGTTGTCCCGCTTGTCGTGTAACCTAGATCCGTAGGGTACACCGTTCCCATGAATAATGTAATGTGTTGCAATGCCTTTTCTTAGTTCACAATTGGCGGCGGGCACCTGATTATATGTAGCTCTTAGCGACGGTCTAAACTCAGAAAAGCAATCCAAATACCTGGGGTGATAAGGAAACAATGGAGGTTGTGCGTCAGTTGTGATGCACAAGAGAACCAGGGTATGCTGAGCCAGAGAAGATGAATATGTCTCCTGAGTGCCGTTGAATACCATTACGAACTTGGGAGGAACAAGACCCCAAAAATATCCGCCAGTCAGAGAGGCCCTATATCGCAAGACAAATAACCCGGAGAATGTCGTTATTGGGGCGAAGAATGTTCGATGGATTGAAAGTAATTGCCCACAGCCCATTCAATGCTGTAGTTCGAAGTACTACTCTATTGCTTAAAAATATAGAAGGAATTCCTCATCGCCGTAAACACTCAGCGCAAAACTCAATCGTCAACTACGGGCTATGTGGACGCATCATACATGGCTTAATATCGCTGAGCTGCGAGCTTGCAGAGTACCAAAGGAAGGACAGCACAACGTCGTGTTCCAAGTTTACCACGACGCTGAGTGCCGGTAATCAAGTATCATTCGTACACTCTCCGCTCCTATATCTTAGACTAAGTAGTTACTATGTAGACATAAAACAAATCATTTTCTATACGCAACCCATTTGCCATTGCGGCGTAGTGCTCAGAAAACAAACACACGATGCAGAATTGGTGTACAAAACCTCTTGCAATGATAGCGAAATTTAAATACGCTGATAAGCCTCTTGGAATACGTTCAACGTTATAAGTTTTGTAAAAGAGAAAGCGTAGACCTAGGAACAGTTGTCCAAATGCAGTACGCGGCTTGTATTCGGCATACTAAAGTTGTTGCCGGTACACGCCGTGCCAGACATCGGCCATCAGTTTATGTCATGATTCGTAACAGCGTTGATCGGCATCCGAATGCCGAGATATGAAAACCAAGTTTCTCGACATATTCTCTTTAGTTTTGGACGTCAGAAAAATTCATGCACGCACATATAAAAACTAGATGACTCGAGACGTTCCATTGTACAATCTTGTGTCATGCTTTATAAGGTTGTCAAGTGGACCCACTGGACAATACAATGGCTATTTCACTTTATCACTCTATACGTATGAGATGGATCCTGATAATTTTCAGTTTTAGGGTAATATCTTGAGACGCACCATTTTTATATGTACATGCATGGATTTTCCCGATGCCCAAAACCAATGGAATGTGTGGGCCACGATGGCGATCACGAAGTATTGCTCATATCCGCCCCGAAATCATAGATCAGAATTTTCTGTAGCATTTACTATTAGCTCCCACATCTATAAATTTTAACAGAGGGTCAATAAATTACTTCCGATTTTTGCATCTTTTTTTTCGAGAAGATGCCAATGAAGATGACGGTACCGGCTAGATGCCGAGACAGTGTTGAGCCACATATACAATTGGCGTTTACTCTGCCTCGGCGTCTAGCTGGCCCCACCCTCTTCATCTATATCTCATCAATGAACAGGCAAGAGATTTTCTGACCTCCGAATCAAATTTCTAGACTATGGGACACAAAAAATGATTTACAGCAATGAAAAAAATTGTATTGCAAGGTCTTGGAACATGTATGAGGCTTACGATGCATTTTACCTGAGAAAAAAGGTGTATGGTTGTGAAAATATGAAGCAGTCCAAATGCATGTACGGCTTGAGATCGGCATGCCAGACTTGCGGCCGGTAACTTGAAAAACCGATCGATTTGGCGCAGTGCCGGTTCACAAGTCATACTTTTGAACTATGAAATCAGATTGCCTCTCCTCATCTGTGAATAAGCGCAAGCACTCGACAGCTCGTTGTAAGTTACACGTATAAAGGAAAACGGTCAAGAAGATGCTTTCAGGCAACCCTGACTTGGTGTTCAACAATAGACTGGCCGAATTCGCTCTCATTGTGAAGTTGCGCTGTCCCTCATTCGCTCTACACGCCCACAGTACTTAACCCCATAGTAGACGCAAGTTTATGACGTAGTAATATTATGGATGTATCCACGGAGGGATTGTCGCCAGTAGTTAGTTGATCGTTGAGTCTCGTTTACGGTTCCTCTACCCGTGTTACTAACTGGTGCCACTCTGGCATTGAGTATGTGAGCCATCCAAAGACAGCTATGTGCCAGGTTTTGTAAGTGTGCGGCTATGTTGCAAGCGGGTGCGGACAAGTGCGGCGATTGGTCACGGTTCAGTAGTGTTACGAGTACGGCCAAGTACGGCGATTTGGGTTCCGGTCCCAAGCGATAACAGCAGCGAATCAATACGTCGAACCCCAGATTCGCTCGATATCGCGTTTCTAGTCAATAAAGATAGGATGCGAGACGCGGAATTAGGGACTCAAAAATAGAGACACCTCATCAGAATGCAGGAAAATACCTCTATCTTGATATGTTAGTGCCCAGCCATCTCCCCCGGTTTTTGCCCGACCCGAAACAGCTAGGTTCACCAGGAGTGAAAGTCGGGGCGAGCGGAATTGAGTGTGAAAGAACCGGCAACTCATTCCGATGCGGGTTTTCATTAAATCAATCATAAAAACAGCACGCGAAGGCAAGATCAAAATGATAAACAGTATATAGATGTCAATGTCGTATGTATTACTGTGTGTGGGTCACTGGGTCAGCATGTACAAATTAAATAATCGCGATGAGCAAATTTTGCCCCGCAGCGTTTTCTGGCTACTTGTTGGCTTTGGTGTTTTCTCTGACGACTGAACAAAATAGTATAAGCAGCGCACAATAATTTTAATTATGGGTTTAGAAAAAGTCGTGCTGTGTCGAAGTATGCACATCGTGATCCATTTGCACATGCCGCCCGTACTTAACAGCGATTATGGAGTCAAATTTGATGATGCGAATCGGAAGATGTGTGTCCCTTTGCGCTTAAACGTGCCACCGGATTTCCGTCAAGGACTAGTGGATGGGAGAGGGAACGGGTAAGTTGCAAGTGTTTAGGTGACCAAAGGGTCAGAGGGTGGTACCACCTGGGCACGGCCTGGGAAGGCGTCTTTGGTGAATGAGGAACAACACTACTATTTATCGTTATCAGGGAAAGTGCAATGAGGAAGCTATGTCCAAATCACCCTGGCATTTTAACTACGAGGACCAACAGCAACGGAGACCACGGTCTAGCAAAATACCGTGGACAAGCGAGGATGATTACTTAAGGGTCCTTCCACAAATGGTATATCGAACCTTTTGTGAGGTGGAATCTGAGACGAAAACACAGCATGTCCGAGGAATGTTCGCAAGTAACATTCCCATCGCTGTGGATCCTGTAGGGTCGAAAACAAGGAATTCTTGAGCGAAGCCGGTTTGAGCGCGGTTGAGGAGAGGAGGAATGGTGACTTGATAATAAATGAGATCTGATTGCTAATGTATTAGTGATGCTCGGGATATGACAGCGATGATTACAATTTGACTGGCGATGGATGCGTAAGTAACTCGGAACAAGTGTGTGAGCACGCAAGGCGCGAGTTCGGGTGGCAGCGGCGCGTATATTAGCCTTGTGATGAAAGCATGGGAAACATAATGGGAAGCACCGGAATCATGCAGATACGACGGCAACAAGCTACGATACGGTAGCATCGAGCATAATCAATGAAACAAATCACTGCGCCAGTTGCGGTGGAAGTGTTGTCAGCGGCTCAACGGAATCCGAGTCGTTGTCCGATTCGAAGCAGGCACAGATGCCGAGAGAAACTGGCCGAACCGGATGGGGAATGGGCGTAGCCGCGGCACCGGATCGGGTAATGGTGGGTTACGAGTCAAACGGAATTGTCAGCGCACAACCGATACTGCCGTAAGCGTGTCTTTCTTTTTCGGGACCTCCACTACCACTTTATATAGGCCAAGTATGCTACCCGCAGTGCCCCAATCTCGCTCCCTGCAATGGATCATCCCATGGACTGCTCGCCATCGCCTTCCACGTCGACCTCTTCTTGCTCGTCGTCGAGCTCCCCAATACACCCTGCCAGCCTCGTCGACCCCTCGACTCATTCCCCGGCTCTCTTGGAGCTCGTCGACCTCAAAATATCTCGGCCCGTCATAGGTATGTATCCTTTGTGTTTCCTCTCAGTAGCCACTCTAACGCTTTTTGCCACCAGATTACCTTGTTGATTGTGTTGCTGAAACAGTTGACTTTGCTATGGGTCGCCCATCACCATCATTCACTCGTGGCCGGCCTGTGTCACGCCGCCCAGAACTAGCCAAGTTCACTTCGTTTGCCACCACGGTGCTGAGTCGCGCCGAAGTCACCATGCCGGTTGTTTTGGCATCACTTGTCTATATTGACAGAGCCAAGCCTCATCTTCATATAGCTCTCGAGGAGTGGGCCCTCGAGAGAGTATTCTTGGGTGCATTGATAATCGCGTCCAAGGTACGTCCTTAAGCTCTTCCATTCTCTTCATTTGCTAATTTTCCTCTCTAGTATCTTAATGATTCGACGCTGAAGAACGTCCACTGGGCCATCTGCACGGGGGTATTTGGGAAGCGCGACATTGGTCGGATAGAACGAGAGTTCCTCGATGTCCTTGACTTCGAGCTGAGCGTTACCGAAGCGGATCTGCTGAGCCACCATGCAGGTCTTTCTGCGGCTGTCTCCCCATCACCATCACCTTCCTCGCGCCACTCCATCGAACAAGTCTCTCCCCGCTCCCCTCACAAACGTCACCATCAGCGATCCTCAGTTCCTGCACTGGAACCTTCCAGTCCAGAATCCTCAGAAGGTTCTTCTTCTCCTCAGACACCTTCAACTCTTCACGAGTCTTCCCCGGAGTCATACCATCCGAAGAAACCCCAAGCTCCCCACAAATACTCTGCATTCTCCGATATTTTGCGGTCCTTCCCCTTGCCCATACCACACCGTCATCATTCACACCAATCACACTCTCGCTATCCTGTGCGGGTGAATGCATAGCCCCCTTGATCCTTCTACTGCAGTTTTCTCAAAAATTTTGCACTGGTGCTTTGGTACATATGTACAGCTTCGATCTCACGCCGCATTTTCATGATCCCTTTCGATCCTTCCTCATAACATCTTTTATCTATTGCAATCATCATGCTCCAATTATATCTGCACGTACATATCATATATCATCTAAGTAATCGTCACTGTAGGGTGTACGTGTAGTCATTACCGCACAGCACGTATCCGAAGACAATTGAAATCATTCGGAATATTTTGGAACGTTTCCGGTGTGACTTTGCTGCCGATGAGTCAACCCGTATCCTCCCCCCTCATGACTTGGGTGTAATGATCATCTATGAATCGATTGAGCCCGACGAGCCGTTGAACATCGGCGCTTGTCATGATTCAGTGGAGCACGCGTATCAAATAGCCTGTAGTCATCACCGCCGGTTACAGGAGATTGACGGTCATCACACATGACACATCGCCTGCCATTCCTTCTGCCGTGTCTTTTTTTCGTGTATGTCCGACATACTGCGACTAAGCTCAAGTTAGAAGGATTCCGGGAAACTAGAACCGATACTCGCAATGTAATCTCGGAGTGTGTTCGGACGTCGTATGATCCCACTCATCCGTCGGACTAGGAGAAGGGGGCATTCCAGAAATTGAATTCTCCGGTGTATCTCTGCGGCCGTGGTGACATACTACATGCAGCAGGGTACTTTGAACGATCTGCACTGAGCTACTACGAAGAAATCGGACTCATTAAAACGAATAGAAGATCGATATTGGACTTTTCTCGCTACAACCCAAACCAGGGCGCTTGTTTAATTAATGACAACAGCTAAGTATACACTGCCACTTTAAGTATAAATGATTGTGATCTTGACCCCGGCGACAGCATAATAATATGCATAGCACGCGTTGCGGCTTGGGAGTTCCTCTGACCCGTGTCTGCGGCAAAGTTCCAAGCGGTTGGGGCACACACTGCGCGCTCCGCACGCCATAAGAGCGTTTGAACATCCCAGGTTCGTATCACATGCAGAGTCCAGACGGGAGGAACAGAGCATGGAATAAGGATGTCATCAGGTGGCCTGCCTCAGTGTTTTTCCAGGCCTCCAGCGGAACGACCGTGTGCCTCCGTACGCGGCTAGCACGGATATCGGAGCCACTTTTACTTGTCTTGTTGTTTTTCTCAAGGACGATTCTCGGTAGATGCGGATGGGATGTTTCCACATGAGATTCCGCGATGTTCGTCGATGGGTGCGCGGCAATGACGGAGTTGTGGATAACAGCCAATGGGAAAATTCCTGGGGCAGGGAAAATCATTGGTTTTCGTACCTGATGGTACCTGAGCCTCGCCCACGAGATATGGCTGTGCCACCATAATTTTCTGTGCCTTGGACGAGTTTCATCGCGCTTCAACTTATGCCGACGTTTTGCCTGCTGAATTTAATGATTCTGTGGGCATTGGTATCTGGCTTTCAGGCTATTTGCAATATGGAATCACTGGGCGCCAGATGTGGCTTGTCTGTGTACGTCTTGGTCTGATTGATTTGTGCTGTCGAGTCTGATGGCGTCTCTCTGGGCTGTCTTCGCGTATCTTGACTTCGAATGGGGGATCATCAAGATCATGATCGCATATCATCCGTCTCAAGAGGCGGTGCTCATCCATAAGGACATTATCTTTGTTGATGGAACATCTTGCTGTTCTGAGGCCCACAGCCGACGCGTTGTTCAGGGAATTGTTGTTTCTGTTTCAGGCCAAGCCCCCGGTTTCCGGGCATAAGTCGTTGCGACTACTGGTCCCGTAATGATAATGATGGATTTTGGGCGCGCGCTATGGACCCGTGTGGACACCGTAACGCTGTGGGGTACGCGTGTATTTTGTTTCGAAACGTTGTCCCAAAAAGGTCGTGACTTTCGGTCTGTTCTTACGCGCGTGATAACTTGAACAAAGGAGACACAGGCCCTTCCTAGAAGGCTCCATTTGGTGCGTTGAAAGAGCACAGGAAGTCCGCTTGGTAACTTGTTTTCTCGTAGCTGTATAGGATCAAGCTCACAGCATTTTAGGAAAAGGACAGGTCCGCAGCTGTGTATTAAAGATATAACTCACTGCGGGGTTGTTTTAACATTTCTGGATGATCTTCCAAGACCGAGATATCGCCGCTCCGACGTCGCCGAAACAGTCATAAACGGCTATAAGCTCGCATCAAAGTCTTCATAAACTCTGTTTATGACAGAGTTAAGAACGCTCTCTTGACTTGCAAAAATATGCATCACTGTCAAGCTGTATGCAAACGGCTATAAAGGGACCTTGAGCTTAAACATGTCCAACTTCTCTAACCGTCTTTCTGTAGACGCTTTCTGCTGTTTTGGTTGTCAACGACCAGCTTCTTAGATCTCTGGGCAATCATCCCTAGCTGTATCACTGCGGGCCTTCCATATGAACGAAGAGCACACCGCATCGCCTTTGGTATCAAGACTACGCTTATTCGGCGAACAGCATGCGAGTGCGAGTACTAGGTCGGCCGCACATTCAACGATAGCATTTTCAGCGTTGGATACGACTATGAAATTACGGCATCAAAATTCTCGCTCTCAAAATAAAAATGATTGATTCTCGGTGGCTTCATCACTCTCCTCTCGGGTTCATGAATAATTAATTTCGCATGCCTTGACTGTTCTCTGACTCCTTCGCCCCAGCGTCAACAAGTGCTTGTTTTGAGATGACTCCGCGTCATTAGCCACGGCCCTTAGTTCGCCGTAGGATCGTGGTACACGGTGCAACGTTCCTTTTTTTTTCCTTTGATTACTGCGATTATTCCATGACAATGGCGGCTTGATCGACCGGTTGACATTCAGTATCCAGGTTCACGCTGTATTACGTCGCAGTTTTTTTTTGCACTTGATTCTGAACTTCCGAGACAGAAGCGTAGCGACCACCTAGGCTTACCTCGACTTTTATGTTCGGATCCCTCAGGACAGTCAGTGATCATGACGACGAACTAGGAAAATGGAAACAAGCGAGGAGCGGACTCTCCAAGCTTCAAAAGCAGTTCTTGGCTGATCCCCTTACTCTCTTACCCTCGGGATATTTTTTATTACTCTCGTCTTCAATTATCGTTACATAAAAATATGTTTTCTTTATCAGCATGGAGCTGGCGGGAATCCTCGAGGCGTGACATTTTTCCTGTGACTATGTGACGGGTTACGCGTTCAGACACAGCTTGCTTCAGCCTTCCTCAGTGTCAACAACTACGCTCTCGTTATTCGACGTCGACCACGATGGCGACGTCCTTCGCTGCGTTCGCCTCGCAAATAATCAATAGACCACAGAACTGGCGAAACCAGTATGGCCTCCTCTCAGCCAATGTTCTTCTCATTCACCACCGACAGTGGATCTCGTGCCGGATACGATCCCGACGCCGACCTAAATGACCTCGATGATCCTCACCTGCGAGAGAGCCATACTGAGAAGCGGTAATCTGAGTGGAAATATGCCGGAAATCGAGGATGAGGATGATGAGGACCCGTATCTTCGACTTGACGAGGAGGAGCAGGCAATGTATTCGAGACATGACTCCAGACACCGTGATCCACAGTCACGACCACTCATTTCCCCGGATCGTCTATCAGACCGGTCAGACTCGCCCCAGGGTTGGCTGGCGCATCAGGCGTCTCCGTTGAGGGATCCTTCGCCTTCATCATCATCGGACTCGACAGACTTGGAGCCACCGGCAGAGTTTCTCGCTGCTACTTCGAAGAGTCGATCCCATCCACCGTCTTTCATTCCTCCACCTCCTTCTACGGGCAGACAGCCGGTGTCACTATCACTCACTGATTCACTACTACCCCGCGATGGTACGGTTCGACCACTGGATGTCTTCTCACTCCCAGATCCCCGGCATGTTCCTAGAGGACGGCGGAAGTTCAATGATTTTGTATGGACAGCTCTGTGGTGTACAGGGATCTCGCTATGTTTCTTGTTCTCTATCATAATGCTGTTTACGACTCCCACGTCCGACCGGAAACCTGGGGTGACACTACCATATACCACCCTTCTGCACACTGTACCCCTCATCACCATCCTCACCTTTGTGAGTGCATTCGTGGCGTATACCCATGTGCTCCTTTTGCGGATATTCGTACGGCCTGTGATGATCATAACGTCCGTGTTTATCCCCGCGACGTTGTTCATATCTGCAATTTGGGCCTTTGTAGGAAGTTTTATGTGGGATGGGGACACTGAGCCAACATGGGGTGAAACTACAGGGTACGCGTATCGTCACGCTAGATATCGAATTTCGACTGACCTACGCTTTGCAGGCTTCGCTTGTTCTCTCTTATTCCCTTGGCTCTGTCTATTCTTACCGCTCGAAGACTTCTCAGTCTTCCTAGGGATATACATTCCACGTCCTCGACATTAACGTTGTCTACCCAGCTCCTAATGGCCAATCCTTTCCTTCTCGCGCTTTCCCCGACCATCCTTCTCGCCACCCTCCTTGCATCAATACCGTTCGTTACGCTTATATTCCGTCTACTCCTAATAGGGTATTTTACATCCCCCTATGAAGGAAGCTCCTCTTGGGAATGGCACGTTAGGGGTTGGGCCAACTGGTCTATTACTGCAACTGTCGGTGTCTGGTTATGGACATGGGGAGTCGCGCGTGGGGTATTGCGAATGACATGCGCAAGCGTGATTGGCGCGTGGTATTTTGCCAAGTAAGCTCAGCAGTTCGTCGCTATGAGAGCAGCTGTCTAATTTTTTTTTTAGTCCCGACGCTCTCCCGCCGCCCCCAATGTCAACACACACGATTCACGCCGCTTTGACGCGTTCTACTGGGCCTTCTCTAGGCACAGTTGTTCTTTCGGCCCTGATTTTAACAGCTATCAGACTTTTGACGCTTTTAACGGTCTTCTTTGAACGGTTGCCTCTGTATATGCCCGCTCGGGCGCTGTTTCTTGTTACTGGGATCCGAGTAGTTGTTGGCTTCTTGGAGGGTATCACCACAGCATTGAGCAAGTACGCGCTGGTGTATGTGGGCATTACCGGCGATCCGTTTATGCCGAGCGCGCGCAGAGCGAGAGCCTTAACAAATAAAGTTGGCAAGCGCGGTTTTAGTGCCGAACGTATGTGAATGTTTCCGCGGTATATTTTCCGATACTAATTGTGATGGGGAATAGCTCCATTGACATTATTGACGGTGGCGCCATTGACATTAACTTTTCCATTCGCCCTTTCAACGTATTTGTTTGTCGCACATACCTTGAATGCTCCGGACCAAGCATTGGGCGCTGCATTGTTAGCCGGTGGTGTCACTGCTCTCGTTGGACTCTTCTGTGTAGGATTGGTGAAAGACACGTAAGAGTTATTATCCTTTATGGGGCCACGTCTTAACATCTTTTCAGTGCGGACACGCTATACATGTGTTATTGTATTGATAAGGATCTTGGCGAAAGAAAGCGGGAGGAAGTTTTCCAAGCTGTCAGTACTTTCCCTATTCAGTCGCACAATGCATTTCTCATGGTTTTGGTTAGTTTGAGTATGGATACCCGTCGCAGGCAATACACCGACCTTCCGCACAAACTACCCCTTCACGACCGCAACACCAAGCAACTACACCCAGCCGTTCCACTAATGATGTGTACCCTGAACACTGGCAACAGCCGTCGCCTCCACCTCCACCAGTGTCCCGTCAAAGCCCACCGCCACCACCGCCTGCTCAACAAAGCATACCCGAACCTGTGGAAGAAGACGTTGACCCATTCCAGCAAAGTTATCTGCAAGATGATTCACGACTTCTTCCCCAGCCAAGGCCAAGCAGCCAAGCGGCACAGAATTATAAGCACGACAGCGACAGTGAGGAAGAGGGCGATGGATCACAGTTTTTCCCCGGATCAGGATTTTTCTAGATAATCGACGATTTATGATTAGATTTGATCGTTCATATTATTTCTCTGGTCATTTTCATGTGTAACCCATAGTATAATCTCATGACCCTGTAGCTACAGTACATATAACAGATGTCTTGTTTAAGTTTCCTTCGTTTATCTTGGGCCACATTGTTCTCCGAGCGTCCGTTTTTGGACCACGGGAGTCTTTACTCGAAATGGCAATCACCTCCCCAGCTGGTTTTCCAGTTTTTTGAGCAGCTGATTTATTTTTGGCTGTAGTATCCGTATCTTTCGTACAGGGATCTGCAATGAAAGCCTACACCCCCGCCCGATGATCATCCCATGAGGGGACCACACGATTGTCTTCCAGGATATCTCCACCTACCGCCCGTGCCCGTTGAACCAGTTCATGGTGGCTGCTTCTTCAAAAAGAGTATCGGCCTGTACATTTGCCGACCAATGCAATTCACATCCGTTATGTCCGTCTACTATTATGATGGCCGTACCAGCTTCCAAAGGGCACCACTCATAGAATGTGCGTCTCTCCCGAGAAGCTCGCAATCGAAGCACAGTCTTCGGGGAGCCCGCAAGCATGTCATTGGATGCTTCCACGCTTTTGCTGGAGAGACTTGCTAAGTAAGCTCGGTCGGCCCATGTCGCGATTCGCGAGATACTAGGCTACAATAGCCTCATCAGTGTTCTGGTCCATGTTGGTAATTATAGAACGATGAGTAACAATAGCTAAGTGTTAGTAACGCGACACGGTCGAATGAAATAGAAGCTGAGAAATCCTTCGTCGTCGTATTACACGATAGTAGCTAGGCTTCGGCCCGACTACGAAATAGGTTGGGAGATAGTAAATTGTTTTCCTTTGGGAGATTGCTTCGTCCCTTGAGCAGTACCTGATGACCTCCGACAAACGAGGCTGTATATTCTGATAAGCGCTGGTTCCCTGATCCGTCCAGTACATATTTAGAGTCCCTGCTCATCATTAAGGGAGATACTGATACAACCTTATGGTCTATGAAGTGCGCGAGGTTATTACGCCCTTTATAATAAGTAACTGACCTGCTAGTGAAAGTATAGAGAATCCTCTCAGGTCACTCGTCATATGGGCCGAGGTCTACAAAAACACGTACCAAATAATTGGGCGGCCAAGTACTCTCCAACGGGCCCGAGTCCTAATCGAGTCACACCAATACCCACGGAATCTTGGAGTCAGCAATAATTACCGACATTCCAGGAGTCAGCACAAATAGTAATCACGTTGAGTCTAAATTTGGCCCCTGACAAGGCGTGTCAAGCATCGACAAATACAACCTGAAGTTTACACCAAACGGTCATGATCTCGGAGGCTCGAACGCGTATCTGGCGTTGCTTTCTTCGTTGAGCATGCATAGCGTTCGTCTGGCGACTTGGCACCTGCCTTCACCCATTGCTGTCACGCGTACTGTATACCTCACCCTTTAGTTGCCTCGCGACAACCAGCAATCATGGGGCTGTTCTTGGTGCCGAAACTGCTGCGCCGCTGGCATATAACCAGGGAGTCACTATTTGCATCTCAATGTCAACTTGTGGTCTATTCGTGTTGTAGTACGACATCCCGACTGCCTTCAATGCCTCTAGTAGCGACATGCATTTTACTTTCTAGGCCAGTCTAATGACGCGCATATATCCAGCTGAGGCCGAAGGTTCTCCAAGTCGGACATCTAGATCGACCTCATCGTATGGCTCGCTTCTTGCATCTCCAGATTTTCCATATACGCTATCGTTCCCGTCGCACGAACACGCCTTGCCGCGAATCCCGCCATAGTCGAACAGGGTGTAACTGAACGTGTCGGTCTTCCTAATAGAATTCAACGCACTTTTTCAGTAATGTGAGTTTTTACAGTCGATTAAGCCGCATATATGCGGGGTCCTTACTTCCCTGCAGCCTCACCTGTGTTACGGTATACACAACATTGCCCCAGCAACACTCCTGAAAAACGATCCACCTTCGTCTTACTCTGATTCACCTATCTTGACGACGGATGCGCCGAGATCTTAGTGAAGGAATACCTCTCACATCCTTTAAGATTCTTGCTGTTCCGTGTGCAGACCGGCGAAATATTCTCGTTTGCTCCAAAAGATCTCGTAATGACTATAGACGTCCCTTTTCGACTCCCTGTTATATTCGACAATACGATCAAGAATCTAGGTCAGTGACTTCCATGCTACTGTAACCCTGCATTTAAAGCGAATTTTGGCAATTATTGGCAAATTGATAGTGTCTCGTTGATTGATCTATTTATCGGGTTGACATCATATGCGGTACGTGTTCTTCACCGCTTAGCATGGTCCAACCTGACCTAATCGAGGTCTATAGAGCATTCCGGACAGTATGATTATAGCTCATAGCTGCCAAGAGAGCGCATTGTGATGCATGATTCAAAGATATGTTTATATGACATTGTGACTGGAAGTTGTGGCCTCCATGAGTTCCATGCAAGACAGCATGCAACATGTTCTCAACTACGGTATTCAACTCCCATCGTAGCCTATAGTGGTAGCATCAGGAAAGTTTCTTGCTTGCTTCCACTCCCTCGAGGAGTACGGAAACAATTCATCCTCCGAAATCATGCCAAGTATCTGCCGCGCATTCCGGACGAATCGCACCAAGTACCACTGCCTTCATCTTCCCAGCTACCTATAGAAGTGCCGTAATCTCCCACCGGTCACTTATCGTGTGCCCTTTGGTACCCGAGAAGCACGCATAGAATATGTTCTTCTATGTCAACCATCTGTCAGCTAACTTAGCGCGGAACATGCCTCCACCTCGCTCACTGGTGGAGGGCCAGACTCGGACTCGATTTCGCACGAACATGCTTCTTGACCCTGCCGTGAGCATCGGTAACCAAAAGGGTGCTCACTTTCAAAGTCCAGGTTTGACGCCGGGAATCAAGCTCATGCGTATTTCTGCTTCTTTTTCATATCATACTGATCATTGCGTAGGGTCTAGGTCTCATGTAATTACCAGAAGCCCGGCGGTAGGCGCCTGCCACCGACCTTCTGCGCCTCACAGGCTTGTTCAACGTCGTTTGCGGTGACGAGACTCGGACTCTGTTTGCTACGTACAGATGAATGCTTTCTGTCTGCATCTGTTCTAAACATGAGCGTCGGCAACTTAAAGGACCCTGGCTTCGAAGTTTGGACCTTGCACGTACCAACTCTAACGTCGGAAATCAAAGCAGCAGTCGCCGGACTTCCTTTCCATATTATCGGTGTAGTGTCGCCGATTATAGATGACTTGCCTGACTTGGCGGCAAGCGCCTGTCACTGTACTTCTGCGCCCAATTGACCTTTTTTGGAGGTGATAACGAGGGACGTGAAAGCCCACTCAGGTCCCATTGAGTTGGCGGAAGGAGACCCTGCGGTGCTCTCACTGCCGCTGCTAGGAGAGGAGCAAACACTCGTAATATACTCACCTGTGGTACTTGGTCTTCCTCGTATCTATTGACGTCCGACTAATTCATGTGATTAGGAAGAAATTTCACACCTATGGAGTAGTCACCGTGAAGGTTTCGAGGCACGCACGCACCTAAGCAACGCTCTTCTGGGATGCGCGACGGTACCGAGCGACGCGAAACATTCGACGTTGTTTGACGTAGTTAATTATCAGCATGTCGCTACTAATCACCAACCTTCATCTCGATACCATTGCCCGAATCGGACATCAACATCTATATCGCACACTCTGTGTTATCTTACCTCGATCCGCCGCCCCGCCCCGACTCGCAACCACCCTGCATCTAATTTACTACTCCTTGATGAACCTGGTTCGTCTATGCTTGATGTCGAGGATGACCTCAAAATTTCAGTTTGATCACGCCCACTTCGGAGTCATCATGTCTACGAGGAATTGAATGTCCCTTGGATGGTCACTAGTACTCCCCGGGACCCTTAAGCCACCATGACACTTCCATGTCCTGCTTGTGAGTCTCTCCTTCCCGTCCCGAATCACCCGCGAAAACCTCCGATACTACTCAATGCATTTGTTTCACTCATCGGGTACCCGCTCGCGGACCGGATTTGGGGCCATTCGAATATTTGGACAAAAAGGTACGACCCGCAAGAAACGGCAGCTCCGTGTCTCCGGAAGCTTACGTCGAGGCCCGGATATCCTCCTCCTCATTGAACTAAATGGTGCGGATCAGCCAAATGACTGACGACTGGTAATATCTCTGCAGGTCTCGGGCCTCCAATACATGCGTATTGCTCTTCTCGTATTCATTCTGCAAGCATATGAACATCTACGCCACTACGCGATTTGCGTAACATCATCATTGGATCCGCAGAGCGTGCAGCCCTCCAAACTCAGATGCCTGGGAGGCTTTCACACACAGTTCGGTTTCATCTTGATTTGCGGTATCGAGTAAGGCACTCCGCATGCATAGATACACCCCGAGAAGTTCAATCAGGTACGTACGCACCAGCAACGTGCACGAAGCGGTTTGAATGAGTATTTTGCTATTCTAGGAGTCATGCTGTTTCGTTACGCCACAGACAACATAATATCTAGGCATGTGCCATATTTTATATGCAGTTGGTTGAACATGCATTGCAAGTCGTGTCTTTGCGCGTCCAAGCTGAACTCGGCGCGCGGGCAAGCCATTTCGGAGTTCAAATCACTGCCAGATTAGGCTAGCAAAGTGTTCGGCATGCTCATCGGTCCTGCTTAAAAGTAACCCTGTTCGAATCTATCAAGTGGGGGAATCATCATGAAAATGGATGCCAAGTCAGCTAATTCGTGTTACTTAGTTGCCTTGATCATACCTGCAAATTTAAGCAGGCTTGGAATCGAAGACAAGCTGGTTTAAACGACTATTCTTGATGGCTGCTAAGTTGGGCAAACATGAATGTGGTTTCTCTCGCCTGCTACCAGAAGATGGCTCTCAGCGACCATCGATCAGGGAACATATTATTTCCAGAGTCCGCGGCCGCTTGAGAGAAGCCTTCGAAGACTTCGACGGCATGACGATGACCCATGCATTGCTGACGACTCTGACTCTGAGTACAATTCCCGGCCGGGCGCTGCCAGGATACAGAGCAGTGCTGCAACACGTCAACGGGCCGATCGTATCCTCTTGGCTGACAATTAATATATCTGTCATCCGAGTCTTGGGTCACTTTACGACGCGAGCACTATCGCATGATAATACAGAAGCTTCGCGTGAATACTTGGCTACCATGCTTGGACGCCAATTCTCCGCAGGTCGTACGGAAGGGGTTACCTCGTAAGTAGAATACCACCTGGACAATACATCCGCGCCACGTATATTCAACCGATTGAACACGCGTAAGTAAGACTTTTGAGTGGAAGACCAGATTAGGAATGAATGGCATGACGATGCGGGGAACACATGGGACATATCGGGATAAACGGGTATTCCGTGAGTCATAGTATAGCGCGGTTGGTAATGAAGTCTTAGAGATCACGCCAGGGGATAATGTTTAATCAATGTCATTCGGGTCTTGGCGCATGTAAAAAAGTAAAGATACATGTATGAAAAATATAACCGTGTGCATGAAAAGAGAAAAAAGGTATCTCGAAAGTGCGAAAAGATAAACGATACAAATTGATGTGATGTGATGCGATTGCGAAGGTGTACAGACGATGCGGGGTATGATGTGGGTATGAGATGCAAAGAAGTGAAAGGGAAACTCAGCAAAAATGTGTTGATTTAACGACTGAGCACCCTCCTCATCCTCCGCCTAGCTCTGAAAACCCCAAAGCTAACTGTGAGCGAAATCGACTGCCACTGCTTCTTCATCGCCTCTGAGCATGTGGGAGCGGGACGTTCCTCCTTCTCGTGACGCTCCTCATCTTCTTCGTCTGTTTCCAATTCTGGGACTGCCTCTGCCTCGGGGTAGTAGGACTCTTCCATGGTAGAGTCTAGAGACGCGCGGCGCTTCTCGCGACACTTGCGCGGACGGAAAGCCTTCTTCATCACGCTGCATGGCTTCTCCTCGAGACCGTCGTCAAAGGGCGACTCAAAGTCTGATATGGGTGAGGAGGAGAAGGGGTAGTAAGGCGTGGTAGGGCGCGTGAGGGAGGATGAGCGCCTGAGCGCGTGGTTGGTGAAAGGGTCGTAGTAGTCGCCCTGGATGTCATCGTCATCGTCGGGAATGGCCGACTGGTAGCCTGTTTCCCAGGTAGGCCGTGAATGAGAATACGACGAGGACGAGCTGGATGAGGCTGGGGACGATGAAAGCACGGGAAAGTGGCGGTAGTCTGGATCATGCATATTGCCCTTGCGGTCTATGTAGACGCGGGGCTGGTAGTTGTGAGTCGTTGAGTAGTAAGTAAGAGGGATCGAGGAGACGAGAGGCTTCTGCGTGCTTTGCAGAGTAATGCATGTCGGGGGACAGCGGTTGGGGGCCATCAGGGGGAAATGTAGCCGGTCTTATATAGAAAAGGGATGAAAGAGAGAGTCTGCGGTTGAGCCGGAGTCATACACCATCTGGCTGTGTAACCAATCGCGTAATCTATCTCCGTTATCCGTCAGCTGAACCGGTTCGCTTCAGACAGATTCCGATTATCGACCAACCCGTGGATGCCTCGTGCTTGCCGAACTTGCTTCCATGACTCATCACCGGCCTGTGATCTGACTCGTTCTTCTTCAATCCATCCATCTTATCATATCATCCGTGCTACCAGTTACCTGCCCTGCATACAAAGCATACCGCGGTATACCTCTTTCCGAGGCTCTCTGACTATTCCGACTGGATCTCCCCTATATTTGTCCCGACATTGGAACATATCCATTCCGGATTCCTTCACGGCTTCCCATGTCTTATATTTAACTCTTTTTTATTTATTACATTCTCGGTCTCCGCGAGTTGCTCGGAATGAATTTGTCCCTTCTCCTCATCCCTCCTCACCCATGACCAACCTTTCTTCTCCGAGAAATGGGTTTTCCTGTGGGGGGGCTCAAATTTCCGTCCGTTCGGCAATCTTGCCCTCTAGCTGAACTTTCCATTCCGGGAATTCCCCGCACAACTTGGAGAGGTCTACCCCAAGTATCACCGTAGAGACACTACGATATGGATCATATAGGTGATAGGCAGCTGCAGCCCCGATTCGCATCACCCCTGCATGAGCTCGAGTAATTTTGGCATCAATACATGTCTCCTCCCCACAAATTACCATCTAGAGACAGAGCATGTGAATCCGATAACATTGATGCCTCCAAAGGCCGTGGATGTCCGACTTGGGGCGCGAGGTGCGTAGGGAGGGAGGTAGTCAGTCATATGCCATCTCTGTAGCCTAGTACTACACATTCAAAGTAAATGCACGGAAATGAACTCCTTGCGAACTGCGAACACAATATCCTGACACCCGAAGAAGGGCCCCCACCGGAATGGAGACGAGCGAGGTCGACATAGAGTCTTCGCACGGGTGGCGCAGAAGAGGGTTGGGACCACACTAGATTCCAGAAAAAGTATATTCCTTCGGAAATGAGCTCCCCCGCCGCACCTATACGGCCTGAATGCAACCGGCCCGCGCAAATCTCGCGGGACGGTCGATACGATAACCTCTGGGAAGAAAAGACTGAGCTTGTTCAACACACACGGAAATGAACCCAGCGGCGGGGCGGAGTGGAAATCTTTCGTCGACAGATAACCCATCATCGTGCCATCCGAAAGCGAAAGGACCCTCTATTGTTATTATGAGTGATATGAGTGATCATGAAGCACATCTTATCGTCTTGGGATCCATCTATTGCATGCCCCAAAAGGTATATTCCGATCCAACCTGATTAGAACCACGCACAAGAGATGAGGCATACAGCAAGACAAACACGCCAAGTTCTCTCGGGTCTTCAGCCAGGTGTTGTTCGATAAGCCAGGGAGCCAGCCAGCCAGCCTCGTTTCTCGAATGTTCTAAACGTGGGGGGACAGCTGATATCACGATATTGGGTGCTTGCTGCGACATCCCACCGCCTCCGGAACATGCACCCACCCTGTGCGATAACATCCATGGCCCACCCACACCCAAGACGTGTGGTGGTGACGCAGTGCTGTAAAGTTGAGACCCGTTGTCAATGTCATGTGATGGTTCTGGTTCTGTGCGGTCTCAAAGCTAAGATAACTGTTCGGTTCGTTCTACAGCGAGATGGTTACCCCCATCGTGTATGCATCGAGGATCCTCATGTTAGGTTATGCTGAGATCACTACGTATGTACGATTTCTTATCGGACCGCCGGTCATTAAATCAAAAGCCTCACTGGGTGGAGCGATCGATCCGTTATCTAACCGCCGGGAAGGCCTCGCATCGTAATCACGATGAGTTTTACACTTTACAGCTATGTCATCGCCGCGCGTACCCATTCACGACACTGCCTTAGGAGAGCGCTGTATGTTTGTTGACGCTGCTGCAAGGTGGTCATCACTTCCGAGGAATCAATCCCACACCACAACACAACATGAACTTCTTCTACTTCCCTTTGTGCACCCCCCCGAAATGAAACGAAATTCTCACAGCCTTTGTTCGGTCAGTCTCCCCGCACTTGTCCCAGGGCATAGATCGATCACCGAGGATAAGGAGAGCGTGATCGAGTAAGTATGCTTAAGGTAAGGAGAGCCTGATCGATCAGCTACGAGTCTGTACAAAGGCTCGATAACGCATGCATTCATGGAAACAAAGGTTTCGATAACATTGACAACGCAACGCGTGCATTCATGGAACAAAGGCTCGAAGTCTCGCTGCAATGAGACCGCATGCCTTCATGCAGTGCGGAGTGTGGATCTACATACAAGCTGCGCAGATGTATGGCTGGTTCGGTTCGTATGTGTTGAACAGTCCTCGTTGGAGTGGCACTTGGGCAACATTACTAGGGCCAGCATGACGTTTCATGGAATGGGGCCCACATAGCTATGAGACGACAATTACAACCAGAACTGGCTCTCGTCAAGGATATTCCATTCGTTGGTGACGCGAATATGATATCAGACTTTATTGAGGATGATGTCATTGTCCATAATCTAGTCAACTTGGAATTGTATGTACTCCTCTTCTAAAATACCAGACGAGCGGTTGCAGGTTCTTTTTCCACAGCATGATGGACGGTCACGGAAGCCGAATATTTTACTGTACGCGTTTTGAAACATGGTGTTTGCCCTGGGCCTGATCGGCGCGACTCGGGATTCGTTCCACATCAGGATACCGATAATCTGAACGTTGTCATCACTATGACTCTGAAGCGCTAACGGGAAGTCCCGGATGGCTGTGAGTTCAAAATACGTGAGCGAAGTCATTCGGATTCGTATTCCAGCGGCTCCGAGATGTTTTGACTCGAGGTGTGGATCTAAACTATTGGGGATGACTGACTGAGCTCGATGTCGTCAGTGAATGACAAAGGTTTGACTATGAGACGCACATACCGGGGGACGATTTATAACTGATTATGAATGAAGACTTTATTTTTGGATCCTGCCGGCGAGCACGCCGATCTTGAAAATCCGTGCTTTCTCACGGGTTTGAGTACGAAATCCGCTTGTTGACGCTCTGGTCATCCACTTTCCACACCACAACATGAAGTTCCACCTCAAACATGAAGGAAACGAAATTCTCACAGCCTTTGTTCGGTCGACCTCCCCGCACTGTCCCAGAGCATAGATCGATCACCGAAAGGAGAGCCTGATCGTGGCAGCCTAAGGCTCGAAGACTCGCTGTAAAATGAAAACGCGGTGCCCTCATGCAGGAAAGGAACCTATGTATACAGCTGCGCAGGTTCTGTGGTTCGGTTCGTATGTGCTCTCTGTTGGAGTGGTACTTTGTGGAACCACATAGAGGCCTGAGATTACACTTACACCAGAACTAGCTCTCTATTCCACTCCGTTGATGACTCGAATATGATATGATGTCATTATGCAGTCATTAAACACTCAAAATACCAGGGTTCCACTGACGAGGACTGGGGGGACCTTTTATGCAGCGGAGCTCTATACATTCCAAAGCAGAGGCTGGACGTTTCCCCTGGACGCGCTTTGAAACTTTGGTGCCTTGCCAAGGATGGACCTGATTTGCGTGACTCGGGATTCGTCCCACATCCGGACAATCTGAACGTTGTACATGTACATCACGTCACGACGATTTGAGCTTGGGAGGGGGGGGTAAAGTAATCGCTAACGGTAAATCCCGGAAGGCTGTTCAAAATCCTCGACCATGGATTCGTATTCGTATTCGAGCGGCTCCGAGATGCTTTGACTCGAGGATCTAAACTATTGGGGATGACTGAGCTCGGTGTCGTCAATGAATGACAAAGATTTGACTCTGAGAGGCACATACCGGAGGACGATTTATAGCTGATTATAAATGAAGACTTATTTTTGGATTCCAGCGCCAAAATTAGTAGCGCGCGGGCGCGCCGATCTTGAAAATCCGTCCTTTCTCACGGCTTTGACCGACAAGAGGGTTTGTCATACGAGGTACGAAAGACGAAAAGATCCGATTCGGATGATGGCCTGGGTTAACCCCTCCGAAAGACCAAGAGAAGAACTTGCCTTGATTGCGAACTCCCCGGTGGAAGACTGATATTGGAGGCCTCTCTGGGAGGATACGGCCATCATAAGACGGATATAAGAAAGAAAGAGTGATGTCAGACTCGGTCGGAGAACATGGAGGTCCGACAAAGACGAAGCATCACTGAGCTGGCTCATCCGTCATCCACGGTATGGGGAAGACAGTCGCGTGCTCCTACCTACCCCAGAACGAGGTGGTGCAGGATCGGAATACCGATGTCCAATCCTGGGGTAGAGATGGCTCTCATCCGAATGGCGCGGCGGACCTTGGAACTTGATATCGTGATCCCGTCTTATCTATGGCCCGTGGGGCTGTTTGGCTGGGAAGAAAGGCTCCATCTCTCCCTCTCGGGTGAGAGGGTCAATAATGTCGCGACAGAGTTCAAGTTTTGTCCAGCCCGGCGTAGCCCTACATCTATCCGCGATGACCGTTAGTAGTGTATGATAGGATTTAGCCTGCAAGGCAATACCTTCTAGTCTAGAAAGCCATTCAAAGCGATCGGAACGGATTGAACATCTCGACACCATGTGGTTAGGGAAGGCTGAAGCAGGATTGCGGTGAGTAAACTATTTACCGGCGACCGGTGAGTAGGAAATACAAAGAAGTTGATGAGTTTCGCATCGGAAAATGCGTCACTTGTAGCTTGATACAGGGCTATAGTGGCTTCTAGAGGCCGAATCGCTTCCAGGATATCTGCGTATAGTCTGTGGATGTGGGCTTCTGGTCTGAAATGCTCGACAAAACTTCTAGCTGGTTGGCGGGTCTTTGGGAATAGGTCGGAGCAAGTACAAGTGAGAAGAGAAGAAGCTCTGTTTGCTGCGTAGTGACAGCTAGACTAGAGATCACGGCTCATTAACTGTTTGCCGACCATCGGGAATAACAAAAAAAAATATGAAGCATCATGCTAAAATTCGTTTTAACCGCACGTTACATTATATCATGATACAAGCGAACTAACCTGATACGCGGTGGTATCCTCTAGAAGTAAGGATAACGCGTGGTGGTACTCTTGGGGATGAAGTTTGTTGCCTAGTAGCAGACCACATCCGCTTTTCCCACCTTTGTTGCCCATAGCAGCGCATAGCGATCACCGCGAATGGATAGCTTATGAGTGTCACCATGGATGTCGGTTGCGTCACGACGATTCAGATCAGCCCGCGTAGACGATAATGAAAACGTCGAATGACATTGGTATCGATATCGTACGACTTGGCCGCCAAGTCGGCACAGAAACCGATCCAAACACTGAAGGCTATCAGTCACGCACTCTCCCGATTTGTCACATACGAAAGCTGCAACACGGCAAATCGGGAGTGAGAGGGTAATTGAGCGTATTAATTGAATACGGAAATGTAGGTATCAGTTCGGATAAGGTGGGTGTATCGTCTTGAAAAAGAGTATATATGCGGCTAGGTGGATAGTAAGAGGCACGTAAACGTCTCAGTTTGTCATACTAAACACCAAGAGCGACACTGATATGCAGAAGACGGGACGAGAACGTCCAAGAAGAATTTTGGCTGGATATATGCATCTAACGGCGGCAAAAATGGTGAGGCCAGCCTAACGATCCTGGTTCACCTGCAGCAAAATCGAAATGATTAGTTGCTGCAAGGAAAATCAGAGACTTGCCGCCAAAAAGTCTCTCAATAGTAGCCCTGATCGTAAGCCTGCTTGTACTGCGTATTGCGTAGGCAACTCCATAAGGTATCGGTTCCTCTTGTTTGCGTGGACAAGCCAAATGGTGTATACCACGTTTTCAGCGTCTGACTACATGTTCCCAGGCAAAGCATCTGAGCAAGTTCGAAATGCTCACTCGTAAGGACTTGGCAAGAAGCTGCAGCTCGCTGCTCGGTGTGGAGCGCTGTCACAGGATTTGAGATCAGCTGGCCAATCCATTGTTGGAATACCGCCCATTTCCCGGGATGCTGGAATGGAATTGAATGGCTCAGAACCCAGCGCCAGACAAATTAGACTAAAAGTATTGTAACGGAGAGCTTCCAGCCTATCGTCAAGTCTGAATGCGAGGACCTTGGGATTCGAGCTGCATCAGGCGACATTCCAAAAATGGTCAGTTTCGGGATAGAGCGGCTTAGTGTAGTCAGTTGACCTAAAGCTTGAAGCTGAGATGGACACCTTGTTACACTTCAGCGTTCGATAAAGAAGGGTAGCCGGTTCGGTAGAAGAATGCTCCGGACTTGAGGCTGGAGAGAGAACAGAGTTATCCAAGAAGCTAAGAGAGCTCCAAGGGCTTCTTGGCGAGGTATCGAGCAAAACAAGCAGTCATTTGAATGGTGCAGTGTATGTTCTATAGCTGAATTCGTAAGCGCGGTTCAGCCGACATGCATGTTCTGGTTCGGTTTAGCCGTATGTGATACAGCCTTGTTTGTGATAGCCACAGCAGATAGCACTTGAATTATGCCAAAGAGTCTAGATTGTAAGGTCATACAATCAACAGTTGAGTGGATCCAGGGGTTGACAGCTTATTGAAAGACTGACAACGGTTGTTAAAGATAATTGAGAAAAGTCACGGCGGGCGCAAATGGCATAGGAAAATACGGAAAATACACACACCGAATATCGAGTTTAATTGAATTTAATGTCTCAGCCATTCGCTATCATGAAGGCCAAGCTCTACCAGAGCACTTAGCAGACATCTAGGCTGTCGAAAAAAAATATGTTCCTAAAGCGGCGTCCGTAAGCTTGTGTTGTCGGTTCTTACTCGAGACCGACTTTTGCGACTCCGTCTTGCAACGAGAGAATCGCCGACGTAGAAATATTCGGAGTCAATAAGAGGGAGAGACGTCTTAGTAGCGAGATGTCTTGCGAGGAGAAATTTCGGTGGCTGTGAAGGGAAGGTCTGGAGCACGTGTTCTGACTCGCCATCTTCGTCCATATAAGACCAAGAAGGCTCATTTAATGTTTTTAATTACAGAACAACAACCCGACACGCCATGCATCGTTTTTCAACTGCCAAAGAGGCTGAGTCCCGTCTCCTTGATCCCTCATATTTTTCCACCGCCTGTAGACATCAGCCTCACATCTACATTGACGACCAAGGTAATATGCATGACCCAGACTACCGACCTTTCCCTGTCATCCCATCTGCCCACATATTAAGCTCCTCATTGAATTCATCCCTCCTCAGCCGCGATGAACAACCGGGATGGGTATCCAGCCACTCAGCCGTTCGCGACAGCGAAGAAGACGATCAAAGGGACTACTTTAACCCATTTGTCGTTCATGCTCGGAGATGCTCATCGCTCACACGAAATAGTATCCCTTACTACCCTTCGTCTGTACTGGACTTGCCCGTCAATGACATCGAGGAAGAGAGGGAATGTGACAACTTGAAGGACGTAGTTGATTCGTGCAAATGGCTTCACACGTCCCTAGACTCCAAGGTAGAAGATTATCTAGAGACGCCTCAAGTTGATCAGTCAGAGCCGAAAGAAGATACGGTAGAGGAACAACCTGGGATAAAGCGACCCACTTTGACATGCTCAGAGGGAATGAAAAATAAGTGGTACGCAATATCGCTCAGCATTAGCTTTAGAGCTTTTAGAGCGAGACGGGGGCTAAAAAGTGTCTTCAGTGTCTAACGTTAAATTCTCTCTCGCGACATCTCTGTGTCTGCGCATTTTAGCATTTTCGTCACTTCATTCGCGCATATGTATTACCAGGTTTTCGTAGTCAAATGTAGTTTTCTGCTTATCCTCCCATGTATCTATTACTATGAACTATGCATTGCACAAAATTTCTTGCGTAGGAAAGACAACAATACTACCAGATTCAAATTTTGCCGCTATGTCCTCTGATACAGCAAATTAAGTCCTCAAGAGATATGATGATGTCATGATCGATTGCCCTCCTGTGACCGTTGTTTGCCCATTAGCAGCTGGTCAGATTTTTTCGCGTGTCACGAAACCTCTAGAGTTTGCCGACACCTTTTTGGAATTCGTGATAGTTTTCTTCCGAACTTTGATTACCAGTCGGATTGAATCTCGATACACCAAACATCCAACGCCGCTCAACGGTCCGATTACGCGTCCCGGTTTCATGGATGCGATGGAGTCGAATCCGTCACGGAAACAGCCCAGTAGCGGTAGATCGACATGGGTCAGGCGGTTCAAGCACGAAAATATGGAAACCGAAGCATGAATCAGTACATAGTCAAGGACCAAGTGATTAAGTTGGAGGTAAGGCTCGGAATGCTTGCAGGTGATCCGTAATGTATAGCAATGATCTTGTGGATGTGAACCTTGAAACTTCTTTGGGTTAGCTTCCCGGAGGCACAGAAAGGCCTGCTTCTCAGAATGGTATTCTTTTTTGTTCATAAAATGGTGTCCGGTCCGGGAGCCACTACGAGATAGCATTCGATAGCATCTGGGGTTCTGGCGGATGACTCGGGACGAAAAAAGGCCTGTTCGAAAATGCTAACAGGGTATGGAGACGTACCGATTGCTTAATGGCTCCGATGAATAACCCAAGATCATTCAATTTTTGTAAATAGCAAATACGTGATAGCTCCGGAGCGGACAGGCGAGTGATCGAGACTAAATCTCAGCTCGTCCTCGATATCAAGCCTGTAAATGAACGAGCTATGTCCATCAGGAAGTTGCCAAGGATGGTAAATTGCGAGTCGGGGCGGGACGATAGAGTAGGGTAAGATAACCCAGGGCGCGATATTGATGTTGATGTCCGAGTCCGATTCGGGATAACGAGATAAGCGTCGGTGCGTCTGATAGACAGCGACATATTGATAATTAAGCATAACGTTAGAGGTCGTTGAATATATGCTCTTAGCACTAAGATCATTCGATCCGAACCCAGCGCCATTTGGTTCACGGATAAAACTTCATTCCTTCATCGTGAATGCTAGGTACGCGAGCTGATCAGCCACACGGCGGAATGAACTTTGAATTGAAGAAGGGTCCTCCCAGTGAGTGCATCACAGGTGCTCCATTTCTAACAACAGCAGCGGACGCATGATTCAGGTTTCCAAATGGGACCTGAGTAGCCTCACACTGGGAATAGATCTACTAAACGCCCACCGCCAAGTCTATGGTAAATGAGACGAACCAGGCAGCGTGTTCATCCATGATCAGCAAGCGCTACGCCCATGATTATGAGAAAGGTGCGTTTAGAACGAGGCGCTGGATCCCTAGCGTCAAGCTCAGCGGCTGGGGTTATTTTGGTTACCGATGCTCACAGCCGGTCAATCAAGGGGTGGAGAAGCATTGCGTTCATGTGCATCCAGCATACAAAATCCGAATCCCATCGCAGCAGACGACGTACGTTAACCACGTCAGGCTAGCGGACCGAAGGGTGACATGATAGAAGACATCCTGTACGTGTTTAGAGGACGCACGGTAAGTAACCGGTGCGATATTACGGCACTTGTGTGGGGAGCTGGGAAAATGAAGATGTGGAGGAGATGCGGTTCGTCTGCGGCGATGTTGGGAAGATATGGATCAATTATCAGATGACGACTCTTTCAGAACACCTCGAGGAAGCGCGGAAGCTTGCAGGTGAACGGGATTGAGAAACTTCTCCGTTTGTAGGCGCCGTCGTTGCAACAGGTGTGATTTGAGTCGTCGAGTAACATAGGACTCGGAGGGACCGTGTCGCGTAAACACTTGAACACTTGAACGGACCTCGAGCCCCCTCTATGTCCTTAGTGCAATTTAGCCACTGATCATGAATGATTCTAGTCTGACACGACAAAGGTCATGTCGCGCCTTCTTGGCGATTGCGTCGGATTGCATGACCGTAATTAATGAAAGGACATGTGCCAGGGAGGATGACCACCGAAAGAGGCAGCAAATCACCAAGGTCCCGGTACATTGATTGTTTGCCGACGAAAGGGGTCAGGAAACATGAAAGAGCTAGAATTAATGATAAATGCGCATTAAATCACAATTTGATTCAGGATCACTGACCCGGACGCCTGACTGGGACCGAACATTGTACGTCCTTGGATAATACGTGAAGAACAATGGCCGGGAGCGATACGATCGTCACGGTCTTGTGAACAACACCCAATTCACCCAAAATTGCCTTCTGAATCATGCGTCGTCTATTCCACCCCGCGTCACGATCATCGTTGGACGTAAACACTATGTCGAGCCAGTTCGACTATATTCATCGAGTCTTTGGCGTCCACGCCAAATCGATTTCGACGAATAGTGATTTGTGGGCAACACGTATATCATTCCTGGACAACCATAGAGATCCGTTGACGGAATCCAGCAAAACTTTCATCACCACAGATTAGTGCGTCGTATAAGATTCAAGACAACGAGTGAACTCATTACATCTCCAGAGACACGTAAATTTGTTGGAAGCGTCATGTTTGCAACCGTGTCGCCAATTATGACGGCATTGAATACTTTATGGAACGACTGACTCTGCAAGATAGTGAAATGAGTCACGTATATATGCTGCCACGCTGACGAAAATACAATATTGCGAAACCCATGTCAGCCTAGTGTTGTTTTCATACTTGAAGCGATATACGTACATTCAGAAACAGACACGTTCCGTCTCATCTTCCCTCGACTCCGTCGATCACGCATCAGACCAGAGTCATACGACGACCACTCGCGGGGTGGTGACAGATTGTAGACATATCAGCTGTTGAGGCACAAAATGGCACAAACCAGACAAGGTCCACTTCGCGTGTAGAATTACAATATTTCCACAAGACGCACATCAGGAAATGTGCTTTAGAGGTATAGGTTTAGACATGTATACATCTACACTGACAATAAAACGCATAAAGCATAGTGTCGGACAGCCAGAAGCCAGCCCGTTCCTTGAAGCAGCGGGCACAACATCGATACTAAAACATCATAATGAAAAAATGCGCCTAGGATCAACATTAGCACATACATGAGCCCCGAATAACAATGCGACAAACGATGTATCCATCATGGCAAGTTCGTGCTCATGGACCTGCTGCTGGTGAAATGCCGAGCTGTGGTTATTAAGACCATCATGGACAAGTGTTTCAGTTACTGACAGGCAATGGTCTCTGGAAGCAGGTGTGTGATGGTTGTACCGAATTTTGCAGAAGTAACCTGATCAGCCCGAGACACCATTTCTTCTTCGACTGTGATCGGATATATCCAAGGTGTGCGTACTGTCGAGTTTCCAGCTTTTGACCCTATGCTCGAAGCAAAAACCGTCTGTTGATAACACAGATGATCCAATACTCGGTCAGAGACAGAGCGCAAGTGCAACTCGTTCTTGAAATGGCGTGGCGGCTGATAATTAGATACAGAAGCCTGCATCCGCTACTGCAAAAACATATCCCGTTTCCGAGTAGGTACTTAAACTTCCCTGAGAATCGTCCTGCGTCCAGCACATCAGACCGATTCCAGCATAAGTCTCCTACTAACCTATTACGCGCCTTAATCAGGTTCGAAAATGATGTCCTGGGAACTTGAACCGCGTTATGCACCGCAGAGCGAGATATTTTTTTCCAGCTGCAATAGGTGTTCAAAAGCTTGGAAGCTGACGAAAGAGTTGGATTGTATGCTCCAGCACTTGAAACGATAGGGAATATGATTCGTCGAAGACACAACCAGCCAAGAAGCAGTGCTAGGTGTGCTTGTAAGAAAGTTGAAGGCCAAACAGGCAAGGACTTGCACTATACTGGAGTTCGATTCAATTGTTGGGTGATGTTTTGGTCCAATGCGCTCCAAGAAAAATGCATCAAGAGGAGGTGTCTTTCTTGTTTATTGATTGACCATTTGGCCTCGGCGTGGCTGCTGAAATAGTTGATTAACTTGCTACATCCTCCTAGATAGCTGCCAGTTAATAGAAGAAATACACCTGTCAATTTTCACGGGATCTGCGACGAAGATAATCGGGACAGGATATACCAAAACCGAAAGGCTTCCAGAGACTGAGGTTGTAGAATTGAGCAGGAGTGTCAATCAAGAACCAAACTGTTTTGAAACAGCAGGTTTTGGTCCGTGCAACGAGCACGTGATGGGAATATACCGGATTTAGCAATCACCACCTTCGACTTCTTCGACCTAAGCTTGCTGATCTTTTCTTTGCTGCCATCGAGGTCCCGTCGCTTCTCTGTTCACTGAGCAGATTCGGTTAACAAAAGTCTCGCACATATTGCGGCATTCCTCCTTGGAGAAGTTCGGCCATCAGTTCGGACTCCGGTAAAGGATATCTGGATAATCTCAGCAACGGTGACACAAGTAAGAGTTGCATTTCTTGGCAGCTCAACAGTGCAGCGTCAGAAGTTTTCTAGCTGTTTATACTCTGTGAGTACTATGCAGCAGTTCTGAAGACAAGAATTCACCAGCAATCTCAGTTTGTATAGGTCTTGTTCGTGACTTCTGGCGAAAACCATGTCTCATCTATCATCCTATCCTCCTTCCGGGTCAGGACCTTCCAACTATTATGCACGGTCGCCGCCTCCAACGATGATGTATGGTACCAACAATGCTGGCAATAGCTCCTTTCCTTTCCAATATGGACCCATTCCTGCTCACATGCACCCACATGTACCACCAATGAATGGTCGCGGACGGGGCTCATATAGTCACCATGCTTCGATGAGAGGTGGCCATAATGTACAGAGCTATTCACCTCATCCTGCGCCTTCGTTTGTGCCTATTCCTGCCGCAGTCCACTCATTCCCAACCTCCCGCACCCCAGATCCACAATTCGATACCTCGTCAGTCTGGTCCATACCCTCCGAGCTATCCCCCTTCGTATTCATATTCCCAGCCCCCTCCGTCTGGTGTTTACCCTCAACAATGGCAGACACAAGCAGCCTCTCTCACCTCTCCCAAAACAGCTCTCCATGCCGCCTCCAGATAGTGCTATTCCTGTTTCTTCACACCCTGCACATATACCGGCAATTTCACCGACTACTGATGACTCGCATACTAATACTCAGTCCCCACCGCCTACGTCGCCCACAGCGTTGCCTCTTACTCCAACCTCACCTCTGACCAACGCGGTACGGTTAATGTCCCCTTCTAGTCCGAATATCCCATCGCAAAGGTTACCGAACGCCTTGCCGGAGTGGGTCATCTGGTCTAAACGCCCTCACGACCCTTCCAACGCTCCCGGAATAATTTTTTCCCCTAGAACTAATCCTCCGGCTCATATCGTCCGTGACGCGCTCCCGATTCCTCCTCCACCAGAAGCACCACCGGCAACGTCGGAAGTTGTTCTGTCCCAACCGGTATCGCTCCCTGAGGAATCCAGAGGCGAAAATCTTAATGATGACGCAAGCGATGGTTTACATCAGGACTCGTCCTCGTCGTCTTCTCATGCTACTTCAACCGTCCCATCCTCCTCGGCCACAGAGATAACAGATACGCCTACTCTCCCAGGATCTCCTGTGTCTACCAATACATCCGTATCCCTATCCGACGCACCTAACAGCGCGAAGCTTCCAGAAATCGCTGATCCCACTAAGGCATCCTCGCCAACTGCGACATTAGAGACAGCAGTACCTTCTACGGTGAAAGTTGTCCCAGCCCCCATCAAAAAGTCGTGGGCATCACTTCTCCAGACACCGTCTTCAAGTGGCTCTTCGACGTCAAAAAATGCCCTACCGACGTCAACTGTCCTTGGTTTCTCGATACCTGCATCCGCACAGGCCCCCGTCTCACCCAGCAAAAAGCCCGACCTCATTGCCCTGCTCACGACTGGGCCCACGGCTAAAAATGCGCCTAGCACCAGCAAACTTAGGCCGCGAGGCCTCATCAATACAGGCAACATGTGTTTTGCTAACTCGGTCCTGCAGATCCTGCTTTACTGCCCGCCATTTTTTAAGCTCTTCTACGAGCTTAGCAGGTTGGTTGGTAGCGGGGCTAAGATATTAGCCGAGGCTCATCTGACGGAGGCCACGATGACATTCCTCAAGGAGTTCTTCGAGGACGAGAAAGAAGATGAAAAAGAACCTGGATCTTCTGCTGCCGCGCAGGGAAAGGGTAAGGAAAAAATGGCGGTTAACGATGATGATTGGGAGAGGGAGTCCTTCATTCCGACGTATATCTATGATGCGCTGAAGGAAAAGAAACGGTTCGATAACATGCGGGTGCGTACAAACTAAACCATTGTGGCTTACGTTTCTAATGTTGATCGTTGTAGGGCGGACATCAAGAGGATGCGGAAGAATTCCTCGGATTCTATTTGGATACTCTGGAAGAGGAACTGCTGTCTATCCTTCAATCCATAACCTCTCAGAAAGGCTCAGGTCGCACTTTGATAGAGGAGAAAGAAGAGGATGCACCCCCTCAGGATGACGGATGGCTTGAAGTTGGTAAACGCAACCGTTCCGTAGTAACCAGGATGGTAAAGCACTCACTACGTTGAAGTCTTCTTGATACTAATTCCAACCATCCAGATTAAAAATACAGAATCCCCCATAACGCGAGTCTTTGGAGGTAAATTCCGGTCAACGTTGCGAGCTCCAGGGCAAAAAGACTCTGTCATCATAGAAGACTGGAGAGCTATCCGCCTTGACATACAGGTGCGAAGTATCGTGTGCTATTGCTCGAGGAAACGCCTGACGTTAACTACTTGATAGCCGGACCACATACACACGATAGACGATGCTCTATCTTACATCTCCCATCCTCAATCTGTTCAAATGTCGCTTCCCACTCGACCAGGCGTTGCTGTGGAAGCCAGTCAACAGGTGCTGATCGAAGCCTTGCCACCCATTCTCATACTGCACATCAAACGATTCCACTTCGATACCGAATTCGGTGGCGCGGTGAAGGTGGGAAAACAAGTGAGGTTTGGGCCTGAGCTTGAAATTCGACCAGGTGGGCAGGCAATTATTGTTCACGTCTTCCTTCCCTTAACATTTCTGCATAGAACTTATGTCACCTACTGTTCGGAAGGGTCAGCCTGTGCGGTACAGATTGTTCGGCGGTAAGTGTGGCTTCCTGTTGTTCGCTTTCACGCCGTAATCATTAAAACTCGTGCAGCTGTGTATCACCATGGAGTGTCTGCATCTGGTGGTCACTACACTTTGGATGTACTACACCCGCATCGGTACCCCAGTTTCAACCCCAGTGTGAAACCTAGAGAAGGATGGATCCGTATAGATGACGAATTGGTGTCGGACGTTCGAAATGAGGACGTCTTCGAAGCATGGGATCGGGACGATGCTCGGACAGCATACTTGTTGTTCTATCGCCGAGCTCGGTAGCTATACGTTGCTGTTGTTGGTAAATGACACCAATGTATTCTCTATAATATGTCTAAGTGCGCACTGCGAAAGATGGAGTTCAATGACCAGGGTATGCACCAAATGAACCGTCTATTGTACTAATGTAAAGAGTGAGGGGTATAAATGAGACGTCCAGTTCATTACTTCATCCACAATCACGAACCAAGAGTCCGCGGACACCGAAAGAATTGTCAAAGTGCACGCAAAACCACGATGGTGGAGAAAACAACCAAAACAAATGCAATGAAACAAGAGGGAAACAAACAAATAGAATGCCGATTCCCCAAGTATCACCAGGATTTTGGGAAGGAATTCTCCGCCAGTCGTAAGCAAACTATTGAGTGTAAATGTAAATTCCACGGAAGGACTAAAGACAGCAAAACACTGAGTACACAGCATTTCATATTCCAGAGAAAAACGTACGAAGTGAACATCGGTGTAGGCGGAACCGGTGTTAAGAATGTAGTCGGCAGCATTACTGTTTCCAGTGATCTCTGCACAGCTGCTGCCTTGACCTCCAGCATTTTCTAATAGACGACATCAGATGGTGACAGATCATTCGAGTCGATTACTCACCTGTAGACCAGATATCTGCACCGGCAAAGGTTCCACCGAGGTTAGTGTTGATGACCATCATGAGGTCCTTGAAGTGCGAGGCGGGGTCGCAAGAGTCAGCGGCATATTGTACGACAGGGTCCCAGGTGGTGGGGTTCGGAGATCCGCTGACGATATCATCAGGAACGCTACCGGTGTTCCAGAAGTACATGTTGATTCCGGACTCGGTAAACTCGAGACCGTAGACACCACCATCGGCCTGGTTGAACGGAAGACCGAAGGAAGTCTCGGAATCAAGAGAGAGGCCACAGCCAGTCGTAGACACGTAAGCATTGCAGTTGCTATCACCTTCTATGATCAAGGACGCCTGCACTAGGGACGACAATGTCCAGGAAGACATTGTGCATCCATCACCGGAGTGGATGGAAACGATGTTCTTGGTGTAGCTGCATCCACTTAGTACCCAGGATCTGGTGAAACGATAGCAATACTCACTAGTTGACACCCTCGACGACATCCTTACGGGAGAGGTCAGTTTTGGCAGAACGAAGTTAGGAAATTCAATGACGTACAATTTCACCATCATCAGGCCAGTTGGAGCCGGTAAACCAAACAGCAGGCCAACTGAAACAAAGTCAGTAATAATAGTAAGCCGCAAGGTGCACAACTAACGTTCCGCAGGCCGCAGGAATTTCCTTGATATCAAAGAGGAACAAGTAGCCTGGAAACGGTTTCAGTGATATTGATAGCTAACAAGACAAACGGCATCGTCTCACCTGGGTTGAAGGTAGTAGATGAAACCATCCGAACTGAGTTACGAAGAGCCACTGTTCTACAAAACAATCAGCCATCCTGCCCTGCAAGGGGACAGGGGTTTGAGTCACTTACTCGGCAGTATCGATAGCAATGATCACGTTCTCATCGCCGTCGAGATAAACGAGTCCCTCCGAAGAACCATCCACGTAGTTCGCCACGCCGTCATTGTCAGCGGCCGCGATATCACTGTTGAGACCGGTGAACGGCTACCCTGGAAAGAACAAACGCCTACATACTAGTGGAAGTAGTTGATCAAATCCTGGCCTTTCAACGCCGTCTGAAGTGTCCAGCCATCGCTAGACGTAGTGTACGAGGTGCCTACATTACCACTTGATGAGGAGGTTGAGGTTGAGGCAGCAGAAGACGATGTCGACGCTGTTAGAGTGTCAACACTTCACACTTCTGAAAAAGTAAAGTGTACGCACTAGAGGTGGTTGTGGCATAATACGTATTATCTTCAGTAGTCGATGCAAACGTAGTAGTTGCTTCAGACGTTGTAGCCGCTTCAGATGTTGTCGCTGCCTCAGATGTTGTCTCGATTGTAGTCGCTTCCTCAGTGGACGTTGTGGCCACAACTTGAGAAGTCGTCGAAGCAGAGTCATCGGCAAACGACCATGTAACGTTCACTGTGTCAAACAATATGATCAGGTCAGGCCAGGAGACAATGAATGACTACGACATACAAACGCCGGTTGTCAATTCTGACAAGGCTTCAAAAGCAGCCATAGAAAGGTACACGTTGGCCGAATCACCGCAGTCTTTGCAAGCGTCGGTGACTGTAACATCGACAGACGTGGAAGGATCGTCCCTCAGAGAAACAGTGACCTGCAAAGCATCATCAGATACCAAAGCACAGACCCCGACTGTCGGCATACAGTTTTGAAGCAGTTATCCTTGCTCTCCCAAGTCACGTAGTCTGTGCCCAAACCAACGATATAATCGGTATCATTGGAATACACACCACACGCAGTCATAGTGCTGTTCTAAAGAACGAAGTTAGCAGACAATCAAAAGATGCCAGCAGATGCCCCTACTTGGAACCCATAGTAGGCGAGACCGGTCTCAGAGCGCGCGTGTAGCTGAGATGACCGCTTAGGATGTCTTTTGAACCCGTGGGACGCAAAACTCGAGGAGGCAAGAGCAAGGAAAGTGAACTGAGATGTCAGCCGCATTGTTAACGAATGTGAAGGCTACGATGGGTCGTTGGCTCCTAGATAGCCAAAAATACAGTGAAGTTTATATACGACGGCGTATGCCTAAAGAGTGAGCGAAATTTCGAAAGAGCGTAGTGCGTAACCGGCGGGCGGGTGGAGATGGGAGAAGAAAGAAAAGACTATGTGGGAAAAGCAACTGGGCTCGGGCTTATAGTGACCCAAAACTGCGCATATTGTCGCATATTTGACAATCAGCGCATGATCCTTAGGAAAAAAAACATTACATACATATCATTTTCCAACAGGCAACGCGTCCGTAGCGCGCATCAAGATCTATCGAGATCAGTCACAAAGAGTAGATAACTCCTACGTCGAGTTGGCATCCCTGGCAAAAAGAGATAACCTCTGCAAGCGTCCATCCTAGTCTGTATAGTCCTGATGGGTTTCAGTACCAAAGTCTCGAAAATCAGCGACGGTTTGAACGTAGAATCTGTTTCCCACGCCTAAGTGTCACCACATGGAATTTCTATAACGGGCGTAGCAAGTCTCAGCATCCGTCATGACAACCAGGGCATGAACTCAATACTTCGGCATTCTTTTACGAACGAGGGGGTTCTCTCGGTCACTTCGAAGCATCAGGACAACATGAGCTGTGTCGTCTGTTAGCAAACTGTCCGCCGCTCTCACAGGGAATGAGACCACCGTGAATTCAATGTCAAGCTATAGATCAATGTGCTCATGATTCCATCACACTCGAGACTGGTCTTTACATTCTTGGCGGCTGTACTATGCGCAGCCCTCGGGAAACGTGCAGGCCACGGGCCAAGGCGGTGACGCGTGGCGCCAAGTTATCTCGAGAGAACATGTGCGCAGATTCTTGACGAAAGCACAGTCAGAGCGTTCGGACGCACGCTAAAGCGAAGAATGATGTCCTCCGTGAGTCAGCTTCACAAAAACCGGGAATGGAGAAAATCGGATTAATGTAAGACTATGAAATGAAAATTTCCGTCGTAGAAGCACACTGCGGAGCCGCCAATAACGGTGAGGCGATCATGACGCTCATGGCCCATTTCAGCTATCATCATTCCCGTCGGACCTTCCAGTTCTCCAGCAAAATAGTACATTTTATTCCTCGCTGTAACCCACTCAAAACCCACTGTTCAGAATACATACATATGTCATCGTCCCAACCACCAAAATGAAAAGTCTTTTCGTGGCATTTCGTCAACTAAGCTCGTAAAACTTGACACTTTTGATTTCCCAGTCTGCAAACTCCATAAACTTCGGAATAAATACTCAAGAAACAGGCCACTCACAAGCTTCGTCAAACGACGCTCCGCTAGCTCGGACAAAATCTTCACAATTTGAATAACCCGTCCGTGTAGCGCAACTCTGGTTTTGGCCTGGTGTCCCCGAACTGTTCCACGCAGTACCTGCCCAGTCACCACTGACGCCAAGATTAGCCACCATTTGTACCTTCCATAAGGAAATTGACTAACCATAGTGTCGTATCGAAGATGAACGAATGGTTGTAAAAATATTTAGTCGAATTACATGTCGATGATGGCCAGTTAGCCATTGGCGATCCCCATCTGGAGGGGACAGGCGTTCCAGCGTTAACATCAGACGGAACGGTGTCTTGAGTCCAAAAGTACACTCTAATGCCATCGTCATCCCATTTCACTACCGCCAACGCGCAGTGAGTGCAAGTTTCTGAGTAAGAGATCTATACGTACTAGCGTATACCCCGCCACCGTTGTCATTGAAAGCAGCACCGAAGGAAACGTCGGAGGCGGAGCGGAATCCGCAGCCCTCGTTACTGGTCTCGTTTGCTGCGCAATTGGTCCCACCAACCGCGGCACCAGTTATATTAAGCACATCGGCACTTACGGACGGTAGCGAGCATCCAGGATCAGTATGAAGCGTCGCCTGATTATTCGTGTAGTCATTAATCCCTTCCACAATGTCTATGGAACATGAATATTAGTCCAAAACAGAAAGCGAGAGAAATAGAACGGAATAAACCGATTTCTCCCCCGATAGGCCAGTTAGGCCCTACAGGACAGACTAGTTCAGTTGAAAACAGACAGACCAGCGGTGGTTATGTTATCTTACCATTAGACCACCACGCACTGTATAACGAAAATGTGAAGAGACACTGGTAATAAAGACTAACATGACTCACGGCCACGTTCCACAGCCTGTCGGCATATGCACGGAGTCCAAAATTACGAGGACACCATTATATGTACTCTCCGTGGTTATGCGGATACTTTGACGGTTTCCAGAGACCGTTGCCCGTGGTCTCGACACGCATAACAGCATAGCCATCGGAATTGAACTTCCACCAAGTTATTCGATCTCTATTCAATTTCTTGTCGTTAGATCGGGAAAGATTCAGTAAGCTCGTACACGTACTCCAGTGCTCTCAGTCAACATAGTCTACAATACCTGTAAAAGTGTTCAATAACGAATACAAACCAGCCAGATACGCAAACACGAGCCGTTGGTTGGGTCCGAAGTTGTCCAGAAGGTCCAGCCGCTAAAAAAATTTGTACCATTCTAGATTTTTCATATCAACATCCATTGCAGGTTTATGGGAATTTCAACGCACATGAGACTCTACCAAATGATACGGTGAGGAAAAAGTAGTCGCTGAAGTAGTCGCGGAGGTTGCCGTTCTGGTCCCGCTCGAGTTGCTACTGCCGTTACTTATACCACCGCGAAGTTGACTATCGCTTGAGCTCGATGTTTCAATTTGACAATAAGTCAACCGCATCTGGGGTACGATTTGGGTTTGTTGAGAGACCACCAATGCACCGAAGGCCAGACGCAGATCGCGCGCTATATTCTTGGTATGGCGAATAGCAATGTCACGGGCACGGGAAGCAAATGCCGCTGATACATCATGACAGGTGATGAAGAGGACGATGTACAGAGTTAACGCATGCCAGTGGAGAAGAATCATCTAGACTCTAGAGAGGAAATCTCGTCTAACCACTTTAGTTTGTTGAAAGAGAGATGAATAATAAGTAAAGGGAAGAAGGAAAGGGATCGACAGTAGAAAGTGGTGGGGGTAAAGGAAAGAAATAGGTCCAACACCTGTTATCAGAATGGGAACCAAACGGGAACACAATGCTGGCGCACGCCAACAAGTAAATGCACGGTCCGACAGACCGGACGTCGTGCTTCCCATGGAATGACGTCAGCACAGCTAACTGCAAGCAATTCCCTTCGACGCGTCCCCTGCCCAGGCAGCCCAGACCTCAGATTTCAGCAGGCGAAAACGTGTTTGTTATAACTATCTGCAGGATCCTCACCCTTGACACGCCCAGGAAAGAGGCTGAGCACTGTCTACCTGGCCAAGCTGCAGCCACATTGAGGTCCGCTAAGTGATCCCGGATCAATCATCACTGCGGTGGCTCATATTTTTGACATGCAATTACTTCGATAACTCCGTACTTATTGATTCCTGCATAATTCCTGATGCTAATTACGCTCGACTATTGTAACTGCAACATGCTGCCTCGTTGGAATGTCCTTTTCAGATGGAGTCATAGATCAAAATCAGGAGTATTAGTACGTACCTATATAAATTAATTATGTAGCTTCCAATTTGCAAGCCTCGTGTATCTGCCTGGTTACTAGTGGTTATTAGGAAATTGGAATGTTTCTTTTTATAACTGTGGACAAGTATAGATATGTGCTATGTATATTTATAGCTACAGGAGGAAAAATTTAACAATTAACAGGCACATACCGTAACTATTGTACCCTGAGTGACCGCAGCGTCGAATTCCACCCCTAATTCGTTGACGATTCTGACCCTCCAAGGACCCCTCACAATTCCTCTTAAAACGCTCACCGTAACTCCAGTCCTTGAACTTCCTTCCACCTTCAAGAGTGTAACAACGTCACCTTCGCTATTTGGGAGCTCAACCTCGATATCCATCCTTTCCTCCGAAGGCGGGTTCACGAGAACGGTAAAGTCCGAAGTGTAGTCGTAAACAGCCAGTTTCCGACCATGGCTGCGACTGGGATTTCCCATGACGACAGCGCCGCCAGGCTTTAGAAGAAGAGGAAGGCTCATGAAGTCGTGAGTCTCGGTAAAGTACTTGGGGCCAGTGCGGATCTTCCTATCTATTATTCCGTACCAATTGCCTTCTGGAACGTAGTACTGCACAGAGCCTTCGGCATTGAAGACGGGAGCAACCATGAGATTGGGCCCGAGCATGTACTGCGTATCTATGTTCCAAGCTGTGGGATCTTCCGGAAATTCAACGAATAATGGACGCATCATAGGAACTCCAGTCTGATGTGTTTTGATCGCCGTGATAAACAGATAGGGCATCAAGGTCAGTTTGAGGTCGATGAATTTCTTTAAGACTGCGTCGGCTTCGCCAGACTCGTCAAGAAGCCAGGGTACCTGTACGTTGCATTAGTACATCTTCGCCTTCATAACAACGAAAAAATTTTACACGGAAGCTCCCACTTCCATGAAGACGGGAATGACTTGACAACGATCCAAAGGCGAACCATCGCTTGTAAAGAGCCGGATCTGGCTTTCCTTCAAAGCCACCTTTGGTATTTGTCAACAATAGTGCAATGTGCTGGCAATGGCGAAACACAAATACCGATATCGTGAGCCCAATAACCAAATCCGCAAAGTCCCAGGACTCATACCACCTCGCAGAGTCTCAGCCATAGCCTCGAAAGTCGACATTGGGTCACCTCCCCAATGGACCGGAAAGCGCTGACCTCCCTGCCGTCGCATGAACGCGCGAAAACTACCGGCTTGGACGCTTCCCCTTGTACTTCTCGATGACGTCAAATGTGACCTTGTTATACAGAAAAGCGTAGTAGTTGTGCATCTTTTCTGGATTGGACCCGTCGAAATAGACTGTGTTCCCGGTAGGGATTCGTTCACCAAAATCGGTCTACATGATGAGAATGAAGATGGGTAGTACATATGTAGGAAATTATCATACCTTGAAACAGTCGACTCCCATATCCATGAGTGTCGTCAGCATTGACTGGTACCATTTACACGCCTCAGGGTTCGTAAAGTCCACCCATGCCATGCCGGCTTGCTAGTTATACATGTAAATACGGTGAAACGAATGGAAAGACCCCACAGAACGTACCCAGTAATCATACTGCCACACGCTCCCGTCTTGCTTCTTGATGAAGTATCCCTTCTTCACGCCCTCGTCAAAAATCTTGCTCTCTTGCGCTATGTAAGGGTTTATCCAGACACAGATCTTGTACCCCTTCTCCTTCAGTCGAGCCAACTGCCCTTTGGCATCCGGGAAGAGGTCAGTATCGAACTCGTAATCACACCAGTGAAATCCTTTCATCCAGAAACAATCAAAATGAAAAACGCCGACCGAAATGTCGCGGTCCTCCATCCCTTTTAAGAATTTAGTCACGGTTCCTTCGTCGTAGTTTGTCGTGAACGATGTCGACAACCAGAGGTTGAACGTCCAGGCAGGAGGAAGGGCGGGACGACCAGTGATCATGGTGTATCGCTCGATGATGGCAGCAGGCGTGGGGCCATGGATGATGTAGGCGGACAGTTTCTCAAAGGGTACAGATATATTGACACGCGTAGTTCCTGTGAGGAGGTAAATATACGGCTGGCGCTGAGGAGAAGAAAAGCATACGTTCACTTTGAACCTCAAAACTCGCAGCACCTGGACACGCGACGAATATTCCATAGCCCCGAGAACTGATATAGAAGGGTACGTTCTTATACGTTAGTTCGGATGACGTCCCACCATCCTCGTTCCACATGTCTACGGTCTGACGGAAGAAACAGTAAAGAGATCGACGTAGATATGAGGCAAAAGGTAACTAACCTGGCCATTCTTAATGAACGATCCAAATCGTTCTCCGAGACCGTATATCTTCTCGCCCACAGAAAGCTGGAACTGCAGCGTCATCCACTTCTTTCCCTTGTCAGGATCGGCTAGGGTGAGATTGGGATGATCGAAGTTCGTATCGTGCTTAACATAGCCCACAGATCGCCAGCCCAGCTGGGTAAGAAGGTAGTTTGATGACGATGTGATGCTTGTCGGATTCTTGACGTTGTGGGACTTGATATCAAGGTTGAAAATCCCCGGACGCGTATCGAAGACGGCAGACAGAGTTTTAGTTGCGATCTTGAGCTCTGATTCTGTCTTGGATGTTCCCAGCCCATCTTGCCGATCCGCGCACTGGTTAGATAGATCTGAGGCGGTCTTCCAGACATGACAGCGTGAAAAAGCCTCACGAACTTGTCAATATCGACATCGGGGAACACTTCATAGTCGGGGCCATTTAACGTCGGCTGCTGCGCCTTCCAGTGATATGCCTCAAGGAACAGGGTGTCGGGGATTGGAGAGGAACACTCCATAGTGATGGTCGGCGTATTGAGCGTATCGCCGCGATGATTGATACGCTTCGTTGACTGTACAGTTCATCGTAAGTGGTATGTTTGCGGAGGGTCACAAACTAACTTACCACAACACATCGGATGCGATCTTCCAAGGCTTCGCTCTTGACGACTTCCGTAGCCCAACTGATGGAAACGTGCGGACCGACCCACCACATACCACTAGAAAACTTGACCATGGTGGGCGGAGTAGAATGCTTTTGATAATCGGAGAAGATGGGAAGTTATATAGACTGAGAGAAACATGACACGAGACCTCGAGAATCACTGATAAAGCGAGCAGATCGATAATGACGTGCATCCTCCACTTCACGCACCTAGAGAGAACTGTCACCGTTCGGCTAAGCATTCTATGAGCGTACGAAATTCAACGATAACTCGCGCTGGTATTATTCCGTGTTGCTAATGGTAGAATTTCTAGGGAATATTTTCAAGGCTACCACGGCCTGAGCGAGATACAGAAGTCAAAGACCCGTGATACCTTGAAAAAAGACCTCGTAGGTCATGCTCCTCCGTTTTATCTGAGCGGGCCGGTGTCTCCTTGCAAGAAGAGTTAGTGACGTAGTAATAATGTTGAAGAGAGCGTTACATGTGCATATGCGAGAGCAAAGGGGGTGAGATATGTGAGAAAGTCCTCGGTGGCTGCATCCATGTCGATGATACACTTCCATTGACATTCAAAGCTCTGATTTATTGCTGTTCGTTGATGACGCCCCAGATAGATGCTTTGAACTAGTCATGGCATCTACCGTCAGCCTGTGGTGAAGCTGGCACGTAGAAAGCACACACCAATGTCAATACCAGTCCCATCTTCTTCTCCAGATCCCTCAAGCGCGCCAATAATTGTTCATCGGGCTCCTTCGACAACCCCTTAGCTTTGCTAGCCACCTAAAAGCGACCCTTCGTAAGCAGCAGTCTACACACCAATTTTGATACCCACCTGCTTGACGTTCGCAGCCAACTTGGCGTACTCCCAAAGGACATCTGCTTCAAGTGGGGTGAGGCTGGGATGGCCTGTGTATGGATTATTGAGAAAGATGGGTTCTGAAGCAGAAGATGGAGCAGGCGGCGGGGTAGAGCTCATGGTGATGGTGGTAAGAGCTAAGATGAATTCAAGCTAGGATCCAATTAGCGTCGACGCTGATCGTGGTCAAGACTTGAGAGGCCGACGAAGCCGAGCTGTTGATCATACCCACGCTCCGGGACGCCCTCCCGAGTACCAGTCTGTGTCCCAGAAATTGAATACTTTACCAGTTTATAATTTGAGGTTATCTTTCGGAGTCCAATATAGCTCACTCCCAATTTTTCAGTGTACGAAACCCATGGAATACATCAAGATCTACATTTATAGAATTAAATAGATGGACAGCAAAAAATCAGTTGTACGGCAGCACGCTATACCAGATACTTTTGTAGATGGGAAAAGGTATCCAAATTGCCCAAGATGGTGCCCATTCAAGACAACACTGTTCAAGGCCCTGAAGCTGGATACGGCGGAACGCAAAGTAACAAAGAAATCAAGCGCTAGGTGCACCGTGCCGCAGGTAGACGGCTACAGTACAAAGAATTAGATCAAGCTTGTATCGAGACAGGCAACATACCTGATACCATAGCGTGATCTCGCTCGTAAGGTTCCAGGGGAACCTGCTCTAGAGGTTTGAAATGTTCTTTTTGCAGCTTTGCAACTTCTGATGCAAAGACAGCATCGGGGGCCGCCGTTGAATCGATACAGCTGGCCTTTATTGATATAACCACATGTCCGCCGACTTTGAGGAAATGCTCCGCATTCAAGATGACGATACGAGCCTGGTCAGGCTGCGCAACATCGGCGAAGATGACATCGACCTGTGATAGCAGCATCCGGTATTTTTGCGGCATACGGGCATCTTCAACGATAGCTGGGACAAAAAAGTATGAACATATAAGCGAGCAAAAACTGTGAGCTGCCTTACGGATAACATTTGTTCGCTTCTTGGCCATACCGATGAGGTCACGGCCGGATCGTAATGAGAATTCGACCGCATATACAACGCCTTCCTGCAAGTTCAAACCACATTAAAAAAACGTCAGAGAAAAGAGCTGAAAAAAGAGCGTACCGGTCCAACGATATCAGCAACATGGCTCACACTCGTTCCGCTGGCAGCACCGAGGTATAACACCTTTTTTCCGGGAGCAATGAAAATATCATCCAGACCACCCAACACTCCAGCAGCCAATTTACTCCGGAAAGGATTCCACACCCTGTACTCGACCTTGGTACCGTCGACACCACCTTCAATAGATATCCGTTTCTCTCCGTATACAGATTCACCTGGAACGAGGTTTTTCGTGACGAGGAGGTGCTCTTTGCCTTTGGCGATGAAGACGCCAGGATGTCTGTGAGGCTCGAGGACAGTGTTGGAACCTCCTTTGGCACCGCCTCGTCCTCCGCCACGACCTCCACCCCTACCTCGTGGAGCACCTCTGCCTCTGCCTCCACCACGGTCACCGCCTCTTCCTCCTCCTCGTCCGCCTCGACTCTGAACACCACCTCCACGGACGCCACCACCACCTGAGAAAAGACGCATATAAGCATGTATTCATTGGGAAATGGGATTTGACTCACCTCTTCCTCCACGGCTTCCACCACGACCACCTCCACGATCACCTCCCCGTCCTCTTCCTCCAAATCCGCCTCGTCCTCCAGGTGCACCTAAAAGAGGCATAAAAGGGTCAGAATATCAAAGACACCACATGAAAATCTTTCACCAACCAAAAGCCATGATATACGCGCTTGCCTGGTGTAGAATTTGCCCGCTCGCGGGTGTCGTTAATGGGAAGAGCTCGTTGAGATTTTTTTCGAGAGCTCTTTCCGTATTCGGCGTCACGGGTCACACAGTGTCACGGCTACGGTCCGTGTTCTCCGGTCCGATCAAGACCGTGGATTTCTTTTTGCAGTCAACATGCATGCACCGTGTCCTGGACTTTACTTGCACGAGTAGCCCATACTATACGCATTCTCATCGCTACCTTGGTGCAAGCCTTCAAGTTACCTCAAGGTCATACAGCATTCATTCCGTATCATGACTCCATCATTCCGCGCAGAATTGAAAAGCTCGATTGACTAGACTTCTAGAAATGCAAGGCTTGCACGTTTCGGTTTCGGGTTCCATGTTTACCGTCGACGGTCTTCGACCACTTGAGTCGAAGGACCCCAGATCCTCGTCAATCTATTGGTTATCCCCTTTACCTGACCGGTGGTCCCTTTGGAGAGGTATATATTTGTCCTTTGGCTATCCGCGTGCTCTTCTTTTATCATAGACGTATAGAAAATGTATTCCTTCAAATGGCCTAGAATCGCGCAGTACTCTACGTACCGGTTACCAGTCGCAGTGTCACCAGCCGTTCCCCTCGTCTTGATAATTGAGACCATGCCACTTCATATCGCGTCGCGCTCTTGGCGCGTGTTATATCCTACTCCGATCACCGAATCAGGTTCCATCATATATTGAAGTCACTGTCTTTCAGGTGTCTGTTCTACCTGTTTTCTCATTTACCTTTCTTACGGCTCCACAAGTCTCCCAAGGACAGAAAGTACCCTCTTTACAAACGTACCCTCATTCCCTCGCGACCTAACTTCGAGTCACAGAATTCCTGACGCACCGGAAGCGGTTAACTCCTTATTCTCCGTCGGATGTTGATCCTCCCAAGAATGTATTATTGGAACGGTAGTACAACCTCGAAAAGCTTATCCAACTCAGTTTACGGCATCCTATGGATAATGGATATGTGCGTTCTGAGGCGGATACGACATCGTCTTCGAAGACAGACACATCCGGAGACTCTCTTTCGGCGGATGTTACCCACACGGGTCATTTGTCTTGCTAGTTATGGGAATGGCATTTTTATTATCTGATTCGCGGGTGTCCAAAAGAACAAGGTTAGCCTTACATTGCTCTGATCCTATGGATCACACGCGATATATTTTTTAGTTCTTCCGGCTGTAGCAAGATCCATGAATCTCTGAAACGGCGTCATGATTTCGAGAGTGTATAAAAGACGAGAACAACCTTGGCTCCTCGTGCACCTACTCTCCCACCTCTCCTCATGTCTACCGCCGAGTGTTCATTCATGTCTGAGAAAAAGGTCTTTGACCCATTATACAGCGACCGAACGGATATCTCTTCTATCGGACACGACGTCAAAGTCGTCCATTCCCTGACTATCCGGGACGCGGACGACAAGGAACGTGGCCCCGAGACCCTCGAGGTCAGAGTACCCATAACAACCGCGATGGGCGGCTCTGATTTTCCCGACGGTGGTCTTAAAGCGTGGCTGGTCGTATTTGGTGTGAGTACCTACATTCGCGGCAAACCAAACCAGCGTGTTAAGCAGTTCTTCTTCCAGGGCATGTGTTGCACATTCACAACGTAAGTCTTCTAGGTTTCCCGCAATACACCCTTCCGCTGACTCTACCGCACCCGGGTGTCCCTAGGTTTGGCTATGTGAACGCCTGGGGCGTGAGTTTCCATCTCGGTAGCAATGGCAGTCATCGACTCTCCACTTACGGTCCACAGGTTTTTCAAGAATACTATCAGGAAACTCTTCTAAAAGACTCTTCTCCTTCGAGCATGTAAGAAGGTTCTCCTTCGCTTGCTCGGTTCACTGATCTCCAGTTGTTCCAGCGCGTGGATCGGCTCTATACAGGTACGTATGATAACGACCCCCACATCTACTAGTGTTCATTTGGCCGTGTAGTACTGCCTCGTGTTCCTTCCAGGAATCTTCGTTGGCCGCCTTTTCGACTTGGGCTACTTCCACACGATCCTTCTTTCTTGCAGCGCCTTACTTATCCTCGCCACCTTTCTGACCGCCCAATGTACTGCGTACTGGCAATTTCTTCTCTGTCAGGGGTTCGTAGTCGGGGTACGTATCTTCTATCTAATTCATCCCGTTGTTAATTGTCCTTTTAAGCTCGCAAGTGGCGGCATATTCGGGCCCACGATGGCCGTCATCGCCCATTGGTTCAAAAAGAAACGGGGCATGGCCTTGGGGCTCGTAGCCATTGGTTCATCAATAGGTGGCACCGTCATCCCGATCATGGCTAGAAACCTGATTCCTCGTATTGGGTATGTGTTTACTCCTTGGATATCCTCACTAAGGGACTTACGTGTACCGGTATTCTGAAAGATTCTCGTGGACGATGCGGGTCATCGGTTTTGTTCTTCTGACTACCCTCTGTTTAGCAAATGCCGTATGTGACCATTCCGGAGTTGTGTGGCGCCTTTTCTCACCTCAAGCAGACTTTGAAGCGGCGTTTACCACCAACCAATGTCGTTGGGGGTCTCTTCAACTTCCGCTCTTTTAGATCCGCTACCTTCTCCTGCTATTGTGTCTCCTCTTTTTTCGTCTTTCTCGGAATCTACACAAGTCAGTGTTGGCTTATCTTTACCCAAGGGCTTCTTTGAAACTCACGTATTCCAATGGCAGTGTTAACGTACATCGATGTCAGTGCAGTTTCGCTAGGCATCTCGACTGACATCTCTTTCTATCTGGTCGCCATCGTGAATTGTTCCAGCGGTGTTGGGAGATACATCGCGGGAGGTCTTTCTGACCGTTATGGTGCATTCTTTCACGTCAACTCGTAAATCTATCCACTTAACTGTGTCTTAGGCCCGCTTAATATCATGATTCCTCTGACCTCGTTTGCGGCCATATTCACATATTCCTGGCCCTTTGCCCCAAATCAAGCATCTCTGATTTGCGTTGCTATTCTATATGGGTATGCTTCAGCGAGGCGTCGCCGATACATTTATTAACTATCACTTAGACTTTCGTCCGGCGCTTATATGTCTTTACTGCCTAGTCCCTTGATGGCGATGGGTGACCCGAGCGATGTCGGCCGTCGACTCGGCATATGTATGAGCATCCTTTCCATTGGGGCACTAATTGGTCCTCCGATATCTGGAGATATCAATTCCGCCACAAGGGGATTCCAGGCCGTCGGTTTCTTCGCAGGTAGGTCTAATCTGACTGCCTGAAAACATGTTTGACATGTCTCAACAGGCAGTACGATACTGCTGGGTGTTATTCTGATGACCGCCACACGGCATCTCCTTCTTGGGAAATCTTTGGGAAAGATATAGAGAATAAGCAACGCTTTCATTTTATACCGTTTAAATTATTATATTTGGTTTCTTAGATATCTGCCATAGCGTCGGGGACTCACAACAATCAGCTTCAATCATACCTACTTATTAACTTGAACATCATTCTGATTCTACAGATTCACTGGCCATTAAGTCACGCATTCTCTTCGATTGGTATCCATCTGCGTCGACAGTGTCATGCACAATAGCTTCTGTATTAGCGACGTCCTTGACTACGAGTCAAGTATAGACACGATCAGACACGATCAACCTAGATAGAGCAGCAGCAGGGCGAGTTTCGTAGTGCGTACCCCATATGTAGTCCTGTATGGATACATTTAGACGCGTTGGACCCTGCAATACCGTATACAACAGCTTGACCTGTGTCTTTACACCTCGAAGTCCTAAAGAAGCGCACGGAATACTTAGAAAATTGACGCCGAAACGTATAAGATCGTGATAAAGACGAAAGTTACCAACGAAAGCCCTGATCCTTCACATCGCAGACTTGCTATCTAACTTCCAGCCAACAGCAATCGAGCCAAAGTTAGTACCTGTTCAGCCATCGGTAAATTAGATACGGGCATGCGGGCATGTCAAACTGAATGCCATCGTTTCTGAAGACGCGGTTCGCGATGATCAACTTGAGATAGTGTGCGTTCCGTGTATGATACAGTGATATAGCTATGTACATGTCAGTATAGTATGGAATCCCCCCGAGTCTTGGAGGATAAAACTTCACGGCAGTTACTACTATCGGTCATGGCCACCCACCCAATCTTCATCAGGAGGATTTCTAGTCACCTCAACTACTCCCTTCCTATCCATCATAGCACCTTCATCACTCGCTTCTACGCCCGCTTTCTTCAGATCATCTACCAACACCTGGCTCAACCCCAGCACATCATGCGGAATCCATATCCATGGCTGCTCCACGTACGTCGAAGGATGATCGAACGCATGTTCGTCCTGGTCAGCTTCGTCATCGCTTTCTTCATCACAAAGACCGTCTTCGGCAGGCTCCGGAGGCTCTAATATAGGACGACTGCTGTCGATGGATTTCGTTCGAGCCGACCGTTCGGAACTACCCGCCTTCTCACTGTTATTGGATTGCTGAGATGAAGTTGACGTCCTGGATACATCAGAGCCCTGCCGAATCAGCTCAGGGGTAGCGTTTGGATACCGAGGGTCAACACCGCTGGCCTCGGCAATGTCATCTCCTTCGTGAGATTGGAAGTCTTCTTTGTCTTCATTCAGCGCGCTTCCTTTCCATTCCTTTGAGCTCTTTGGTTTCGTCTCGTCCTCGAAGGTAACCTTAGATTTCAAGTTGTCAAACTTGTCATCTAGCGTCTTGGGAAGCCGCTTTATCCGTTTCCTGATCTTTTTCATATCTAGGCGTTGATAAGTTGATGACAACACCAGGCCAGAGAGAAAAAGGGCTCACGCTGTCGGCTGAACAGATCCAGCTCTATATCCACAGGAGACATACCAACCTTCTCTTGTCGTCTTTGCTCATACCGCTTGGCCATTTTCTTAGTAGCCAAAGACATGGGAAGATACGTGGTAATAGCTGCGCGGAGTTAGAATGCTGTATGATTTTCAAAAACTTGCTGAACGTACGATCAAAGCTGTGATGTATGTATATCTGAACACAAGCGGTAATCGCCACGAGGATAATCATGAAAGCGCCCTCAATGATAGAAGACGTTCTGGTAATCGAGACCTTCAAGAAGAATAGGCACGCTAGACAGATTTGTTGGATATATAAACCGACAACTAAAGTTGAACTCATTTAGCACAAGCATTGCGTTCACGTAGAAGACTGCTCACAAAGATTTGATACTGCCATAGGGAAATACAGACCGCCCGTTTCGGATTGATCGGGCTGATCAAAAACCTGGGTACAAACTGAAGGAACATCAATAGCTGCAATACATCCTAGTCAATGGAGTTTACTTACGGAACTTGAATGCAAGATAGAACATGACATAGCCTATATAATTTCTCAGTCATATAGAAACGTTGAGCGAGGTCTTGGACGAACTGAGCAATGCCATCACATTAATAAGTGGGTTCAAGACGCTATAAGCGAACGCAATCGTTGCTAGTAGAGAGAGTCTTGGGAGGATGATACCAAAATCAGCCTACGTCAACTATTAGTCTGTGGGTTACGCATGCATATGAGAGAGCGCCAACCGAGGGCATCATATAGGTAACCTGAAGAACAAACGAGAGTTAACATTACGAAGATAAAGTGGCAGGACGTTAACGCACTGAAAAAGCCTGTCTTGGTGTGCGCCCCAAAAACCACTTCCTGATGTAGTGAAGGACAAGTGGCATCAGTTGTGCCAAGGCGCCTCCTGCACCAGCAAACCCTTGTGTCACTGAACATCACACAGCCTCTCAGCCACCACAAAGAAGCATAAGAACATAGAGAAACGAACACATGTAAGTTAAGAAGAATATAGAGGCGCCAGGAAGTTGTTGAGCTAGCTTCTGGACTGTTTGTGTAGGTTGCTCGATGATCTGCGATCATAAATCAGTCCAGACACGTATGACGAACGACAAGTCATGACTCACATCTTGTATAGCTGCAGAGCCAATACAGTGTAAGAATTGAAGGCACAGTTGACTGGGATGACGAACCTCTTGTGATTCCAGAACTCAGAGTAACGATGAGGAAGCCATGGCTAGGAGAAGAAACACTATGAGCACTGTAATCAACGGTGCACGCGCTTGCTTACATCAAGAGGAATAAAAAGAATCGGCGATAAACGCTGACAGATATTAACGAATACCGAGGTATACATTCATACCAAGCGAGAGCTGAATAGCAGACGTTAACGATATGAAGCCAAAAAGCTTAACGACGCACCGCGTAGAATGAAAGGAAGTAATGCAAAGAGCCCAGCTAAGAGAGCCGGAGGAAGAACACCTTGTATGAGAGCGGGCACAGGATCCGGCGCTATAGCGGTATATCAGATAGGTTCTAATCATCAGTTCTGTGAGAAACTCGTACACGTGCACACCCATTTTAGCCAGCTGGACATAGCATACGCTTCAATAGAAAGTTGACAAGCTTGCTGAGGACACTTACTGCACTTTGATGCAAAGATCATCCACGTTACTCAACGTCCCGATGAACGTTACTGGGAACGCCCACCCGATGATGAGTCCAATGGTAGCAAGCCAAGAGGTGAGATACCGGCCGCGCATTTCAAGGGCGCCATCATCAAGATTCCGCCACACGACATCCTTGGGATGAGCTTCCATCCATTTGTCGATCATGGTGAGAGGCTGTGGTTCCCATGAGAAATAATGTATCTAAGAACAAACAGCCAACTTGCCTCATGGTAGCTGACGCACTGGGCAAGCACATGGGCCCCAATCTGCAAGTTGCACCGCACAAATGCGCTTCCAAGAAATTTTCCTTCACCTCTTTCTCGTTCTTCTTCGATAGCAGAGTTTAGCCGCGAGATCTCGTCCTACAATTCACATCAGAACTTCAGGGGTAAACATACACCAGTTAGGACGAACTTTACACCACTTCACGGTATCAACTTTGTGACCAAAAATCCCCAGGAAACCAATTCTATGGGTCGGCCGTTTCTTAGCAGGAACGAGTTCGTCTAATAGCTCTTGAGAAGCCGGGGATAGGACCAGCTCCGGTTCCTCTTTACTCTCCTCGTCTTTCGGTTTCCTTTTCAGAGCCTTCTTATGCGCAGCTTGCTTGGCACGCCACGCTTTCGTTGCTTGTTTGAGTACATCAGCTTCGGCGGACTCAAGCTTCCCACAGAGCTCTTGACGTTCCTCGAAGAGCTCGTTCAAAACTTTCTTGTCGCGATAGAACCATACTCTATCCACTCCACCGGGGATAAAACTTGCAAATTCACGCATGTCATGCTCGTTTGCCAATTCGATCGGGACGGAAGTAATGAGGACTGTACGCGCTTGTGCAAGGCGAGAATGTGACTTGCTGATAAGAAATTGGTGTCGCATATGCACAAAGTGGAGCATCTCGCGTCGGATGAGGTAAAAGACAAAGACTAGAGAAGGTCTCCGTCAATCGGGCATGTGGCAAGCAAATTGCCGAAATTCTTACAAGTCAGAAGGTAGACGACGACTATATGCGCGGCAAAGCGCTTTTGGTCCCCCTTATTGACGATGCTAAGAAGCAGAATCAGTATATATCATGATCACAAACAGAGCCAGCGCACTTTGACCAACTAATGCGATCCAAACCCGTAATGGACGACTGCACGCCAACGACATTGACCGGAACAATGGTGACCATAGTGAAAAATGTGAAAACGGCGAATATCCATATTAGCATCTTGATGAATCGAAGAAACATGTATCTGCAGGGACATGAGGAACGCCCATGGTCACGTTCAACGGTATACGCACGAGTCCAATCCATTCTTGTGTATCTGGGAAGTAGATGAGCTTCAAACGCACTGTAAAGCGACGCCACGACTTACGATATCCTCGGGTGGCGACATTAATATGGCAGGGATCCATCGCCAAAAGCCTTTCGGTAATTCTTCTGCTCGTTTACTGGATTCACAACGTCAGTAAAACGGAAAGAAGCAAATAATGGCATCACGCACTCTGGAGGTGGTAGAAACGTCCGCGGACTATAAATCCTCCCCAGTTTCTGCTTCAAGATAAGAAAAGCCCCGACTTCAGCAGCGAGAAGGGCGCCATTGACGACCAGCGCCGTGACGAACGTTTTAGTAGTGCTGTTGTTGCTGGCCTGCTCTGCAGTCACAGACATAGTGTGGACCAAGGAGAAAACAAAAAGAAGAGAAGCGAAATAGCATCACTTGTTTTCTGGACTGCCATGCCGCATTGACCCACACCTGTCATGTGCTTTATGGTGATTGTTGCTGGCTCCGAATACGTCATTTTCCGAAAATCACCCTTTCGGCAAGTCATAGGTGGGCGCCATAGCATTAGTACATATAGCCATTAGTCGGAGTGGTGCAGTGGCAGTGGGGGTTGGTAGTGCACAGTGGAGAGCAGGCGGAGAGCAATAGTGAACCTGTGACCACTGTACAAAATTCAGCAAATTCAAGCACTGCCACTGCAATTGGACCTATAATGGTACATAGCGACACCAATTTTATCTACGGTGATATATTTACCAGTCATCACTGAAGATGATGTCTACAATTCTATCTGCCTTCTCCTCGGCGGTCAAAGGAGCGAAAGAAGAATCCGACAACTCGGAGAGATGAGCATCCCCATACCTCGCAGCAGCCCAAATTGCCAATACCTCGTCGTTGCTGTTTGCCATGGTAGTCAGGTAAGTGAGAAGGTGATATAAAAGAAGGTGACTTGCCCGGGCGCAGCGTCTATCTGTTTAGAAAGTCGTGTTAGCAACATTAGAAAGCGGGTACAGGAATATTACACACCTGTCTACCTCCATACCTCAAGGCGGCGTCATTCAACCAGGCAACAAAGAACCTGATTTTTTCTAGCAAACTAAATTCAGCACGGTGTATCAAGTCGAAATCCGATTGATACCTCTGTTCCTTTTCGCACCCAAGAATTGGAAATGTTTGCCATATCCTCCTTGTTCCTGAGTCCGTTCTTCGTGCAAACGCCACAACGTCGGGGTATCAGGAATCTTAGCTTTGTTTGACCACACCTTCGCTAGCGCTAAGGAGGTGAATTCCGCATACGAGAACGACTGCATGCCAACGTTCACTGAAGCAGCGTTGTTAGCAATGGTAAAAAGATGTTCTGATAACGGGGTTCCTACTATTTATAAATCCAATGGTGGGCTCTTCGATGTAGAACACGTCCAGGTGAAGAGAGCGGAGGTGAGTACCATCCGTCACAATAGGTTGAGGAGTACCAGGTTGTGCCCGGTCATTCGGACCCAGCGATGAATCGTGACACTGACGCAAGAAGGGGAAGGAATATTTGAACCCTGTCGAGAATACTATGTGATCTATGCCGGTGAGGACCTAGATAACCCAACAGTCAGCAACAACTAGATGTAATTGAAACCGGATATCTTACTGTCCCGTTAGTTAATTCCACCTTGCCGGTAGATATATCCGATGCCGGGTGGAAGCGCTTAATTTCCCCGATGAAAGTGGTGTTTTCGGGTACCCGACCAAGTTGGGCCTCTCGAGGGAAATGAGGTACAGTACCTTGCCGAACAGAGTTCAAGGTGAGATCAAAAAGGTATGGAATACAGCAAGCGCACTGTTATCGGGCTAAGCAGGAATAACTATGTAAATAGAAAAGCCATGTAGAAGATCATTTCAACGCACCCTAGTCGACAAGTAAACTTTCCGAGCATGGAAATTAAGGTCTCTAGCTATTTCTCCGCCACTCGTCTATCCAAGCATCAGTCAGTCGAATTGATGAGGTCACGAATCCTTACTCCAGCACCAACGACTAAAACCGTCTTGTTCAAGAACGGCTCCGGACGTCTATATTGACGCGAATGTTGGATGCTTCCAGGAAACTGTGCGGCCCAAGCTGCTAGCCCTTCGATGTTAGGGATGTTCGGAGCGTTGTATCTCCCAGTAGCTACGACAATGGCATCGAAATCCTGTAGAAATAAATGATCACTCGTGACGATATACGAAACAGAGATATACCTCCGTCCACCAAGTTGCCTTCGACGTCCGGTCACCAGTCTGAACGAACTGTTTTAAAGTGAGCGTCCAGCCGACGTGTCGGTTGTCTCGGAACCGTTTCTCGACCTGCTCGACTCTTGTTGAATACGACACATTAGGATTGTCATCGTTGGTATTAATTCCGTGCCATGATGCAAATGCCCGGAGGTATCTCTGTAACGTCAGGTGAGGCAAAGCTACGAAAATTAGCAGGTTAGCCTTTCAAACTTCATGTTTCACGATAAGAGGGAGACGAACACCAGGGAGTGCCTTCAGGCCAAGGCGTTTCCCTAATCTGTTGATGCACCTTGGGTCTCGTGAGTACAGAGTAGCCTTCCAGCAGATTAAGTTGAACTCACTGAGGGTGCATTCGACTTTAAGGATGCCCAAACAGGCTTGGGTTCCCTGTGGTTCCGCCATCTATCAAGAAGAACAGTAGCATCTTCATCGACGTATTCCTCTGTGTAGGGAAGATTTGCTCCCTTCGGCGGCAACGAGGGGACGAAGTCCCCCACAGAGGGGTCTGCATTAGGAACAGGGGCGTCAGGTGGGACTTCCTCGCTATAGTGCCAGTTCCCTCCGGGGAAATCGTCCCGCTCGAATAACCGAACCTCGAATCCCGCTTGGATGAACTCTCTATAACTTATGAGACCCCTATACAGAAGTGAATAGCCAATCAGGGAATAAGGAAAACAAAAGATACCCAGGTCCGGCACCGATGATCGCGACCTTGCGAATAGGCCATTTGAACTCGTAATAGTCATCTTGGAGAAGTTCGTGATGGGAGATGTCTGAAAAAAGCGGCGTTTGTGAGACGAATTTTGCGGTGGCCAAGCAAGCCGAGAGAATGGATACGAGAAAGCGCATCATTCGTGGGGGTTGGGGTGAAACCTCGAGTTGATATATATATCCCTGCACATGTTGCTGACTCGCGCGTTACCGACGAAAGATGGCGCGACCTTCTGTGACTTCTCCTCATATTCCCGCGATACGTACTAGATAAGCCATTGGTCATCCTTACAATGCCACGGGACTCAATCCAAGACATCCAGAGTGTAGCTTATCATAGATATATATGCCACATCGCGGATCCGGGAATGGCACTTTAGAAGCTTCGTTCTGGGTTCATTCCGGTTCAGGAAAGTAACCATTACGAACAGCATATAGATTGGGAATAGCTTATTTCCCTAGCTAGTAAAGGCTTAGCAGGCAAGGATGCTAACTTCGTAGGGCTTACTGGCATTTAAGACCTGGTAAGTGCTTGTTATCTGAGGTACACAGCTTGGATAGCTTGAAGGAGTAAAATAAGCACGTTGTGCGAGTAAAAGAGTCTTAGATTCAGTGATATTGGTGGTACTTACATCAATAGGCAGGTAGAAGACTGGAAGAGAATGAGATCGGCCCGAGGAATCCAGTCCTCCGTTGGCCCTCCTACCAATCGAACGATAATTTTTTCTGATTCTTCACCAGCTCCTATGTAACAGGATGTGGGATGTGTTATTAGTCGTAAAAAAGAGTTTTCAGCAATCGAACTACTAAAGGTCGGAATCAGTTCTGTAGTTCTGGTTTCGGATTTGGGCAATACTCACCTTCATCAACACAGTTGCTGGGAAAGAGACAGACGACTAGATGACTACCCCTAAATTAGACATAAATACTTAAAGATGTCAAGAGGCAAGCAGAACTTGCTTCTAGTACTCGGCAGTAGGAAATTTTGCACACGTCCGTTGCCGAGTATACTCCACACACCCTATACTACCGCACCAAAAAAACCGAATAGCAGGACTAGGTGCAAGAAGGAGAGTGCGACTTAGCACCAGTTCTACCACCGCGTGGCTAGCTACTGCCAGTACTGATGCTTGTGGGTACTTGTGGGTCGGTCTGAGAATAAATTGAAAATAAAAGTAAAAGTATAATAATAATAATAGAAATTTTTGGCGACGGCAGGACGGCCCGTGAAAGCCTTTGGACAATAACTATAAACTCGAGAAGTACGCGCGTCGTGCGCGTCAGTAATCTTTGTTAGTACACTCTTCAGACCCTTTTCCATCATGGTTGCCAGTACGACAGAGCAGGTACTTATCTCTTCAAGTAAAATCTAGGGCATACTGACAATCTTTTGCAGCTGTCCGCTCTAGCCAATACTACCGTCAGTACGTTGGATCGTGCCACGCTGTATTAGAAGAAACTGACGGACGCCTGGATTCGCAGTCATTCACCCTCTCGTTCTCCTCTCCGTAGCTGACCACCATGCTCGGGCTGTCTCCCGGAACTCTCACAAGCGCGTCGTCGGTGTCCTACTAGGACAGGACAACGGCAAGACCATTAACGTTGCCAACTCATTCGGTATACCATTCGAAGAGGACGAGAAGGACAGCAAGACATGGTTTTTGGACCACAACTATATACAGGGGATGTATGAGATGTTCAAGAAAGTTAACGGTACGCATTGTCTAGGCATTTAGGATTCACATTAATGAAATCGGTCTTCGTAGCGAAGGAGAGGTTGATTGGATGGTATCACTCGGGTCCCAAGCTAAGGGCATCAGACCAGGAGATCAATGACTTGTTCAAGAAATTCATTGCTCGTCCTGTCATGGTTATTGTAGATGTGCGGCCGACAACCGTGGGGATACCTACGGACGCTTACTTTGCAGTTGAGGAGATTAAAGACGTGCGTCGTCTCCCATTTATTTCTTAATGAATTAGCGTTGATCCTTTGACAGGATGGTACAGAGACACGGAAAACGTTTCAGCATGTTCCATCGGCAATCGAGGCTGAAGAGGCAGAGGAGATCGGTGTCGAGCATCTACTGCGAGACATCAAGGATTCGACAACGACGACACTGGCGACGCGGGTGACAGAGCAGTTGGCGTCCTTACGAGGTCTTCAATCGCGATTGAGTGACGTTCAAAAATATCTCGTGGAGGTTGCTGCCGGGAAGATGCCCGTGAACCATCAGATAATATATCACCTCCAAGACGCTCTGAATCTTCTACCCAATCTCTCAGATCCAATAACGACACAAAGCTTTGCTTCGAGTACGAATGATGAGCTGCTCGTGGTATACATGAGCAGTCTGCTTCGGGCCGTGATTGCGCTGCACGCATTGGTGGATAACAAGTCGACTATTGGCCGGGCAGAGTTCGAAGAGGGCACTCCTGATGAGAAGAAACCGACAAAAGGAGATGGCAAGAAGGGTGAGAAGGGCGAGAAGGAGGACGTAAAGACCAAGGAGACGAGCAAAACTGACGGGGATCAGAAGGGGCTGTAAATGTATTCATTTTATGTTCAATTTCGTCGCTTGAGTTGACCTTTTTGGACGAACGTGAGAGAATAAATGCCTCGTGGTGGACCGCGAGTCCGAGGGCTTCAAATCCTTGGTATGTTTGCTCAAAAGCTTGCTATTTTTCTGTCATCTGTATCGTTCTTGGACACGCAGAGAGATATCTAAAGGATATCCTTACTTCTTTAGGCCTAGTTCTAGCTCAAATTAATATTCATCGATCTCATATTTACCCTTAAGTCCGTGGCGCAAACGAAGAATGTTTATATCCAAAAAGGGAGTCACCATCTGACTCATCACAGCTTTTTCTTGGGAGCGTCCGAAAAAGCGATCTGCCTCATTTCTCTTTTAAACCACCATCTAACTTTGGTACGTTGCCTTCGCTCCACCTGTCGCAGAGTCTCTCTAGTCTTTCTGTCGCTGCTCTAACAGCATCTATTCGGAACAGCTCAAAAAATTTCAATCAAACAGTCTCAAATATGTCTGGTGCTCGAGGTTGCTTCAATTGTGGCGGATGTGCGTGGTGTCGTTTGGTTCCTTTCTCTATTTTGCGCTCGTTTTACTTGGGGAGGTTCTCCATGTATGCAGCGATTAGCTACTTTTCCTTACCCCGAAACCGTTTTTCTTGTTCGTGTTGTACTGACTTCTGACTTGGCATATCTCTCAATACTTTGCAATATACTATCTCATTCATCAATGCACCCGTACGCAAATTTACAGTCGGACATCAAGCTGCGTCTTGCCCAAAGGCAGGCACCCCTACCTGGTAACACCATCCTTTTTGCCTCACGGGAGGCAGACGTTTACCCCCTCTTCCCCTTCTCGATCACGTCTAGCTACAACTGTAAGCTAATGTTCTTTCTTCCCTTATTCTCTGCTAACCGACGCTATCAACAGGCGGGTTGGAAGGTCACGTTTCAAGGGACTGCACAGGAGAGACCAAGGCGAAGAGTTGCTACAAATGCGGTTTAGAGGGCCATATTGTGCGTATCTCGCTGCTGTTGCGCGCGTCCATCTATTCATTCTTAACATAGTCTCGCGACTGCCCAACCAGCACCGGTGCCAATGCCAGCTCTGGTTCAGGCGCCACCGGAACTGAGTGCTATCGTTGCGGCAAGACTGGCCACATCGCTCGCGCCTGCCCTGACGCCGGAGGATCTTCGGGTTATGGAGGTGCCTTTGGTGGAAGCGCAAAGACTTGGTGCTTAAAACTGCATTCTCGGACTTCTTCGTTATCTCACAGTATTGATCCGTTATAGCTACACCTGTGGCGGCGTCGGCCACATGTCGCGGGACTGTGTTCAAGGCTCTAAGTGTTACAACTGCAGCGGCATAGTGCGTATCCATCTACCCCCAATTTGTCCTTGTTCTCATTGTCTTTTATCTCAGGGTCACATTAGCAGGGACTGTACCCAGCCCCAGAAGCGGGCTTGCTACTCGTGCGGATCCGAAGGGTAAGTTTCGCTACCCAATAATAAAATTACTGATGCCTAATACTTTTGCAGACATATCTCCAGAGATTGTCCTTCGAATGACACCTCCGCCTGATTGTCCTCGTTTGTAATTGTAGCTAGGTCCATAACTCCTTTCTGTAGCATCGTTTTTGAAGTATCCTGTCTGCTTTATCTCTCCCGACTGCGTCATTTCGTGTAATGAAATCGGCTTTTATAGTGATCCGCTTGCACCGCCTTACCTGATAGCTACCGGAATCTGGACTCGAGTCTAGAGCAGCCGGCTAAAATGGAGCACAATCCCAGAACATTGATAGACCTGTTTCCACATTCAGTTCAATCATTGCGTCCAGGGACCAATGTGCGGATTCGACATATAATTTTGTCTAGTCTATATCATCTCCTAGTTCTGCCAACATGCAGGTTCTGAGATTTGCTCCCCGCACTCTTTCGTCCCCTCCGATATTCAGCCGCTCGATGTGTAGCGACCACTGCTAACGCAGCTGACATTTCAGCCTCGAGCTCGTCGGCGCCTACTGCAATCCCCTTGGGACGGGTCGAAGCTCTCTGGGACACGATCTCCATCGAAGAGAAAGCTGCCCTCCGCTCACAGCTTGCAGAGATCCAGAAGAAGGACTGGAAGCAACTCTCTATCGAGGAGAAAAAGGCCGGTGAGTGTTGTTTCCGTCTCAACATGAGTGTACAGTTGTTCCCGGGTGTTCATGCACGCTGCAGCGTACTTCGTGTCCTTCGGTCCTCATGGACACCGTGCACCCGCTGGTAAACCCGGGGATAACCTGAAGATTGCTGCCTCCGTCGCGGGTCTTCTGGGGGTGTCGTATCTTCTGATGTTGGGCGTGAAGGCAATTGGTGAGTCACGTTTGCTTCGCGACGCTGGGTTGATATCTGAGGTTATTCGATTGTTAGCGCCTGCCCCTCCTAAGACTATCACCAAGGAGTGGCAAGAGGCCTCGAATGAACGTGCCATTGAGCAGAAGATGAATCCTCTCACAGGTGAGCGGTTGATTCTTGATTCCGTTGATCACTGGTTTGCTGATGCACATGTTCTATCTCAGGTATCTCGTCGAAGGGATACAAGGGTCCAGGATTCGTCCAGAATTAAACCTCTGTGTAGTAAAGACACAGTTATCTCCTACACCAATTTTATTAACGTTATATCCTGCAATTTAAAGCATGTTTTAACGATGGGTGAACATGGCAAGATGACTGACCTAGCCAAAAGGATCGCGCGTTTGTCCATGTTTCGAATTCAGCCGACCACCTGCCAACATCAGCATCCATCATCATCTGATGTTTTTTTATTTCACCGTCTCCGTATCTGTCCTAGGCGCTCGTCAAGTTCCAACATTCCGAATATATGAAGCCTAGATCGTTACCGATATCCGGCGACATACGATCGCACCATGGTTTTCATTAATCTTTCCATTCGCAAGTGAGTGCACTCATTCATGATTTGCAGCGGGTCTCTATTCCATCATTAAATTACGACAGAAGGAAGAGAAGAATAGTTTGATTGACTTTACCCGAGCCCGCACTGAATACTGGATGCTGTTAGATGCTGTCATTGCCGCCTTCCTTTTCCAGCCGGACAATCTCCGTCGCATATCACGTTCATCAAGGTCGTTTTCTAGTGAGTCTTTTCTGCCCAATCGATGTGCATGATTTCACGATCCTTGTGCAGCGCGAGCACTGGCTTGTGGTGACTAGTGACTGATGCAAATTGCACCTAGGGTCTACTTGGTGGCCCGAGTCGACAGAACTTTCTCCCGCTCACATGCGTCACCGTGATCTAGAGCCCGGGGCAGCCTTGATTAAATATCTCCTTCAGTTTGTATTGAAGGATCTTGACTATATTCACCGCAGCTAACCGATCATATAGACTCTACGCCCCACAGAGCCTAGGGATGGCGAAGAGTATTCGTCTTCTCATTCAGTCTGAAACTGATGTCATACCAGAAGCTCGGAAGTTTCGACAGACGAAGAGCAAACCATGATCTGTGCGGCTACATCAACGGTAGTCACCTTTGTAGCTCCATTGCTGAGATTCGGCACGCCTCTACCAGGAGTCGACCTCCGCGATGACCACCTTTGCACTTGCCGGCGATCTCCAGCTCGTTCCTATTGACATGACGTTTTATCTTGGATTGAACCCCGATTGTATCAGTGAATATTAACTGTCGCTGCAAGTGAGCTTATCTTTAATTCAATCCCCCTAGTTCGCGGGCTGAACCTGCCTGTTCTAGAACCGCAGGTTATTCAATTGATAATTAAAGCTTACCAACGAGAAAATCAGACATCGATGCCCCAAAAACGGGAGACGAATTTTGGTGGCGACGGTTTTCTCATGTATGTCTCCAGCTTTCAACATCTTACGACTATCATTTAACTCTGAGATTTAAACAGGTAGTCGAAGTAAGCCGAATGAGCCCTGTAGACGCCCAGAAAACGACCAGCGCACCCATTGTATACATTCAAGAACTTGTCGTAGAGGAGAGTTACCGTGCCAACTTATCAACACTTTTAGAGTCGGCCCAAGCCACTGGCCCGCCTTACCTATCCGCTTGGCTGACGGTTCTGAATCATCTGTAACAAAACCATCCTTTTGCAGACTCCAATGCAGAGCCGACAAGAGAGCAAGTGGATGGCACTGAAGGAAAGCGCAAACTAGTATAATCATTTTTTTTGTCTTGTCAGTAGGCCTTGATCTCTCTTTTTTTGTTAGCACGTATGCTCATGTCGATATACTTAGGTGTGATTTACCTCTCTTTCTAATGCTGATTTCTTCTGTCTTAAGAGGGATCATGTACATCGTTCTCGCCGAGTCACAGCTGACCAGCATGCGGATTTCAAGCTTGGAGAAGAAGCTACGTATTGAGTATCGACCATGAACCCTCTCGTACTAACGTATACTTTCCTGCAAAGAAGCGGTATTCATACCGATGTCATGATGCCTTCTTTAATGAGACCCGACCAAGAGCAAGGTTATCATATTTCTCCCTTCGGAATGGGTTCGCTTCAAAGCAGTTTCCATCCACGTCTATCACGCGCGCGGTGTGTCGCTTCGTAATTGTGCGAAGCACTTTTCCGAGATGCAGACGTTGCCAGTGATGCTTACCAAGTCAATTGAATCTTAGGCTCAAGTTCGGCCCTGGTTACAGGGAATAAATCAAGGGTTAGAACTTCGTGCGACAACGTAAGGTGACCAACGCTTCTGGATCTTCCAAACTTCAAGCTTCAAGCTCCGCTCCTAGTGCTTGACAGAAAAAAATAATCGTCTCTTCAGTCGTACTGTGACCATGTCTACGTTTACGCCAGTAAGCGACCTTGTCCTCAAACCCAGGAAATTGACTGGACGGGGTCGCCCTTACGTTGATGTGCCAACTTATACCGCTGGGTGGCCATAGTTAGAGGTAAGAGGCCGCTCCGAAGTCGCATGTTCTCTCTGTGATGATGCTAAAATATGTATTCTGTATCTCATTTTCAGCAACTGCTTTACACTATTCAAAAAAAGGACACAGGCGAACAACTTGGCCGCATCGTTTTCCAGTTTATCGATGTCAAGCGAATTCCGAGGAATATGTTTTTCAGGCAAATAGATAACGTGTCGGATGTATGATCGTCTTTGACTGTCTCCTAGATTTTTCCCACTAAATAATTTTACAGGATCTTTCAAATTTTGCCTTGGCTGTCTTTAGCTCCTGTGGTCACCTTAACACAGAGGTCAGAGAGAGCGGTCTTTGCCTTTGGGATGACGAAGACGCGAGAAAGATATACGACAGTCCCATCGTGTACGTAGAAGAGATTCAAGTCAACGAAGGGTGGCGTGGTCAAGGCATTGGGTCTTGGGCAATAACCCAGCTCTTTGAAACACCCAAAGTCAAAAGCGTAGGGTCGTCTTATCTGTTCGTCTGGCCCAGCATCTTGGGCAGGTACGATCCACCGCCCCGTAACCGCACGAACCCCTCTGCAGGACCAACGAAGGAGGATCGTGATGCCTGGGAGGCGAAGCGCGACCCTATCATCAAGTTTTTCCGTTCTGTAAGCGTTCAATTGGTGTTAACATGCAGAGTATTCTTACCCCATGAATCTAGAACGGGTTCAGACGTCTTGCCCATTCAGTTTTCTTTTGTCTTGCAAAAGACCCTGAGCATCGTTCGCATGCAGTTGCAGCGGATGAGGACGCGGGATATAGGCCTCAACAGGCCCCTGGAAATGACCTTGAGATGCTGAGAAACATTCTGACTATTTTCAATTGATTTCGTTCGTGACGTTTATGTATAGTATGTTTAGCGTTGTCAATATCGAACATCTGTACATGCGCAAGATAAGAGTTTATTACTGGCTGTGCAGTGTCATGGAAACATGACACCACATCAGTACCACAAGTACAGGTGCCTTGAACCAGTCCTGCTGACGCGTTTGTTGATCTGTGGATAACGGCTATTGAAATATGAAGGTAGGGATATCGGATTGCTAGATGCTTATCAGCGCGTACCTATTGATGTCTGCTTCGGATTGCACTGCTATCCTCTGGTCTTCCGTACAACTCGGACGCCTGCGTGGTAATACGTCTGCCGTCGGCAAGCTGATAGTGAACAGCCTCCTGACAGGCATTACTTCCGTATAAAGTGACGAAATGAGACATCTCCCCTCGTTGAATTGAACCACATCTAAACCCTATACTCAATAATGTCCCAACGTGCTCGCCATTGGAGGTTCCCGTAACATCGGGTATCTCGCTGCCCTGCGGTTATTGGGTACGTACAGACCTCGACCACTAGCTTCAGCACTTGAATCTGACCTGTCGCTTTATAGCTGCTGGATCGACAGTGACTTTCCTTTTGCGCTCGCCCAGCGTTTTCAACGACGACGCCCGAGTGCAAGAATACGTCAAGTCCGGAAAGGCTTTTCTTGTTCAGGGCGATGCGCTCAAACAGTCCGACGTACAAAATGTCTGGGCTGAGGCGTCGAAACATGGAGACGTCGATGTGGTCCTATTCACAGTCGGTAAGCCGCCCTAGTTGACATCAGAACATGCACCATTTCTCACCTCTATTGACCCAGGCGGTACTCCCAAATTCCACCCACTCAAAGGCGCCGTGATTACCCCAGCAAACCTCGTCACGCAATGCTTTCTAAACCTCATTTGCACCATACCTCATACCGCAACCCCCAAAATCGTCGCAATATCATCCAAGGGGCTCACACGCGAATCTCACGCAAGCCTGCCTCTCCTTTTGAAACCCATATACGGGTATCTACTCGATGCCCCTCACAAGGACAAAATGGGGATGGAGCGGGTGATTGCTTATTGCGCTGGTTGGGATTGGAACACTAAGGATGACGGAGAACCTGACGAGAAAATCATGGGCCCTACCTGGAGGGAGAGAGAAGGTTTACCTGCAGCCGGGTCAATGAAGAACATCATGGTGGTGAGACCCGCTTTTCTCACCGACGGGGCCTGTCTTGCGGACCGCTCAGACAAGCCTGCCTATCGAGTTAGTGACAAGGAAATGGGTGGATATACAGTTTCTAGGAAGGATGTTGCTCATTTTGTGGTGGATGCAGTTTCTAACCGGTGGAATGAATTTGTGGGCAAACGTATCTCCATCGTCTACTGATTTTGGTGTATGAACGCTCTTAATATTGCATCATAGCTGTACTAACCTAGCACCTATAGCCATTATGTGACAAGCTTTATTCCCAGGCATAATTTGATTATCGGAGAGATTATGCCGCCCGTTTCGTTGTGATACCTGCCTTCACAAGTTAGGCCATAGAAATTGCACCTCCCGCGAAGCATATATGTGCATAGGCGAGAGTCGTGTTTGACCAAGACCGGCTCGCGTGAATTGAGACAATACTGCTGACGATGGAAGGGAGGATGGTTCACTTTCAAATGACAAGTTTCAGGCCACACCAACGCTTAAAAGAACGACGACATTGGTTGCATTGCAGAACTTCATATTTGCTGGACAACGACAGATAACAAATCAACCGAAATCAGCTTGTTTATCTGCAGAGCACCTTCTAGTGGTGGGCAATTGCCTTCTCCTTCGCTATCCTGGCCGCGTATGGGTTTTTGGGGTCCTCAGTGTATGTTGGTGCTACAATGAACGACTTCAGTCCACAATCAAGTAGGAATGAGCAGGACACGCACATCTAACGGCCAAATCCTGGATTTGAGATACACCGTAGATAGTGATCAATCCTGCAGTGAGGAATGGCCACAAGGGCTTGAAGACCTGTCGCTTCCGTCAAAACATATCCAACGTCGAATTCTTAGTACTTGCAGGAGTGGGCCATTTGCGGAGACCGAGGAATGCCATTATCTGTATGTTTCGTCAGTGCCTCATTGATAAACGAAGGAATGGACCACGCACTACACGATGATGACAGCGGAAGTTGGAAGGATGAGCGTCGGGTCATACCGCTCAGCGTTGCTCTGGCCTACGTGTGAATTAATTGCTACTTTTAGACATATCTCTGGGATATCGGAGATTAAATTATGTTGCCGTCGGCACCATGTCGGTTTCGAACTCCGACCACTTCACTGAGCAGCAACTTCAGCTCAACCCTCGACGATGGTCTTGGTCTTGATAATCGGTGACCTCCATATTCCCCACCGTATACACGACCTGCCCGTCAAGTTCAAAAAGCTCCTTGTACCCGGGAAAATCCAGCAAATTCTGTGCACGGGGAATGTTTGCGACAAGGAAACGTACGAGTATCTGAGGACGATTTCTCCTGACGTGAATGTGGTCAGAGGGGACTACGACGAGGTTCGCATAAATAAATTTCCTTTTTATTTTGCGTAGCTGATGCATGGGTAGCATTAGATCTCAACATTTCCACTTTCCGTGACTGTAGTGCACAACCCAATAAAGATTGGTGTCATTCATGGTCATCAAAGCGTTCCGACTGGCGACTTTGGATGCTCTTAGCGCGATTGCGAGGCAAATGGATGTAGACGTGTTGGTCAGCGGGCATACACACTCGTACGTCACTGTTCTGCAGATGATAGCGTCGAGATTGAGGCAATGAACGGACATGTAGGATACAAGCGGTGGAACACGACAATAGATTCTTCGTGAATCCAGGTTCAGCTACCGGCGCATGGACGGGGCTCTTCAACGGGTACGTTTCTACGTGACACAAACAGACAGCGTATTCACTTTCTGTTCAGCGACCCTATACCTTCATTTGCCCTGATGGATATCCAAGGTCCCGTTGTTGTTACCTACGTGTATCAGCTTATCGACGGAGAGGTGCGCGTCGAGAAGGTGGAATGGAGGAAGGAAACGGATACTGGGCCCAAAACTTTGCCCCAGCCCATACCTAGTCCCGCGTCGGGTAGTCCCCCTGGCGGTGACTGGTAGTAGTGCGGGATTTGTAGGTGGGTAAACTCCTCGTTTCGAAAGCGAATGGCGCTCATGTGTATCCAGGATGTTATTGGTTTTGCTTGTCTCGAATGATAACTGGACTCATAATTTGGATTGTTTATCTATCATAACTGCAATGCTGAGAACAACACGGGGCACAGTTTTTTTTCTTCTGGAATATTCACCATGTCCATTACCGTTGCCGGCTCTGTCTTGAACGGAATGAGATGACGTCTACCGTGCTAAAGTGTTCTCCAGGGACAGCACTTGTCTAATCTTTAGGGCGTCATAAACTCCGATTCATGCTCTATTATTGGCTTACATCCGACGACCTGTGCTGGCACACTTTGCCGGTGAGTTTCCAAGGACAACTGTGCCCCCTTTTCCCTCATGTTCAGGACTGGGAGAAAACGTACAGTCATGCTCAACCCTTATAACTGTTGAACAGATCCTCCTATGAAAGCTTCCTGAACTTAAACAACAGAAGTCTTGGACCCCAACTTCCCATATGTCTGTCAGAACCCATGATCCGAGCAACACCATTGAGCTAAATTTGTATCTTTTCCAGCATCTTCCGTCTGCGAACAACAATGCCGTGCCGGGATCACCGGTTGTGTTTTTATATCAGCGTCGAGGAGATGTGATGTTGATTGTTCCCCATAAGCGCGTGGGTCTACACCGCCCAACCGCTCACACGGTCTCTACGTCCTCTATGAACCCTGAATATTTATCCACAGCGGCTTTGGTCCCCGCTAGTGCACCACCGAATCTAAGCAGAGTGTGTTCGAATAACTATTCTCTTTGAACCGGCCCTTCACAAGGTTTCTCTGTTCAGACACGAAAAGAGGCTGAAACGCCATACGCTGCTGCTTCCCTTCACTCAAAGGCGTCGTCAATATCGAGCAAGGTGCGTGCGTTTTGCGAGTCCTCAGGAGACCGATGAAAGATCTCGTTTCTGCAGTACTCGTTGGCGCCGGATCCGTATTCATGGGGGAGCAACCTGAGTCCATATGTTACCGAACCAGATGACTCCTTGCACAACCCCACAGTGAAAGGCGGTAGAATCGTTGACGATGATGCCGATCTGTCTCTCTCTTCTCGAGGCGTCGCTAATGTCGGCTGCCTATCCATTCTTTGCTTGGGAATTCTCGCGCTATTGTAAGCATCTCCCACGGATATTGATATTCGAGAATCTTATTAATGGGGCTCATCGAAGTATTGGTTATCCTGTTGTAAATTATCGGGCGCAGTCCATAACAAGACTCAGCGCTTTTGATGCGCTAGGTGTTAATGGTTCGGGTCAGGTGCGTTATAGCTGGACTGAGCTGATTTTTACCTCACTAACTTCTCTAAAAGGTACCTGTGATGCCAGGGAATCGGGGTCTTATCGACGTAGATACCCCAGCATCGGCAATGACAAAGCAGTCACGGAAAGATCAATCGGAATGGCGCCTTGTCTTCTCAGATGAGTTCAATACAGATGGCCGTACTTTCTACCCTGGAGACGATCCTTATTGGGAGGCGGTGGACCTTCACTACTGGGTCAGTACTTCATCTCGGTTTCTCGTGATCTATAGCTGATGTTGCGTAGGCTACGAATAACATGGAATGGTACGATCCGGCTGCAGTGACAACGGCCGGTGGTCACTTGGTTATCACGCTTTCCCAGCAGGAAACGCACGATTTGGACTATCAAGGGGGTGAGTTGAATTTAATGATGAACTGTTTCTATCCGCTTCATACCGACGCTAACTCTCTCTTAGGACTGATATCATCCTGGTGCGAAAACTTCATTCCCTGGGAGAAATGTAAGCTGAGGCATGTTCTAGGAACAAATTCTGCTTTACAGGCGGGTACATCGAAGCCGCTATTCAGCTTCCTGGCGCCAACAACATTGCTGGCCTGTGGCCTGCCGTTTGGACGATGGGGAACCTAGGACGTGCTGGCTATGGAGCAAGTCTCGAAGGAATGGTGCGCCTATTAGTACAGGTGTTGACTCGCATCCGGTGCTGATCACCTTTCAGTGGCCATACAGCTACGATGCCTGCGATGTTGGTACAGCTCCTAATCAAACGATTGGTGGGAAGCCAGAGGCCGCATTGACAAGCGGCCTTGAAGACGCAGGATTCGAGTTGTCTTATCTTCCTGGACAACGGCTGTCACGGTGTACATGCCCAGGGGAGAGTCATCCTGGACCCATGCGCTCTGATGGCTCGTTTGTAGGCCGTTCAGCGCCTGAGATTGATGTGTTCGAAGGCCAGGTATGCTTAACCGTCATGTTCAAGCTCCAAATATTGATCAGTCGTTCGACTTAGATTACTGGAGAACCCTTATCCGGCCAAGTTTCCCAGTCTGGGCAGTGGGCAGTGAGTCAGGACCGGCTTCTTGCGTCCGGAATATTAATCTTCTCTTCCAATGGTAGCCCTTCAACGAAGGATACGTCTGGGATAACAGTTCGGATAACTTGTTTATCCAAGACCCTTCCATCTCCGTTCAGAACACTTACTTGGGAGGGGTGACCCAGCAAGCAACCTCCATCGTTACGAACACGGATCAGGACTGCTACCAACTGGAGGCTGGATGTTTTTCGGTATATGGATTTGAGGTTAGAATCTACCATTCGTGACAGTTGTTGTCTGCTTATGGGTTTTTCTTTCGTTCTGCTGACTAGTATAAACCTGGTTAGCTTATACATTCACCATCGTCTTTTTAAGTCTTTATGCTGACTCCTTGCGACCTTTTGTCCAGGTTATGATGGGGCTGTCAGTACTTTCTTCTTGACTCGCTGCGAACACATTACTGATGTTCTCCCTAGTACATCACTTGGGTTTCTAGTGATAAAATCGCCTGGTCAATGAATGCAGGCGCCGTTGGCGCCGATAGTGCTACGGAAATCTCTGCTCGACAAGTACCACAAGAACCAATGGTATTCCAACGAATACAATGACGTGGTACATCTCTGATGTGTTTGAAACAGTATATCATGGCCAACCTTGGAATGTCTACAAACTTCGGGGTTGTAGACTTGGAGCACTTACAGTTCCCTGCCGTCATGCTCATCGACTATATCAGGTCCGTAATATGTATACAACTTCTTTAGGCACGTCTGACATCTTCGACACAGGGTTTACCAGTAATGAGACAGATTTTTCTCTTTTGAACTGTTTTTCACTGCCACTACAGGGACCCGAATAACATCAACATTGGCTGTGATCCGCCTGACTTTCCGACACAGACATATATAAACACGTAAGTACTTTGGTTACCCCGTGCTACTACCATATGAATCGCTGTCCCATGTCTAGGTATATCGGGGCTTACTCGAATCCTAACCTTACCACATGGCGGGACGATTATAATCAACCTTTCCCCAAGAATTCCAAGGTTGATGGTTGCTAGCTCTGACCACGAACGCGTATTCACAGGCAGGACGAAGGCAGTAGTTGTAGTAGCTACTCGTCGGCGCATGTAGTAGCGCTGGTCGTTGCGATTCACATTGTATTCTACTAAGTCCAAGATACGACCACCGTTGCACAGGCAAGAACAATGAGGTTCAATTTCAGATCGAACATCTCTATATAAGATAATCCAGCGACTGAAGAACATTATTATGCTAGACAACGCCATTTATTTCTCACGTCTGATGGTGCTAGGGCGATGTGACGGATCTCAATACTGTAGTCTATCGATCAGGGTATTATAGATGTACATTCATTGTGAGGGTTGTGTAAACGGTACAAAGATGAGTGACATGACCTAGAAGCTCCTTCAGGATAACGGTGACATTCAGAGTAGTACACGGCATACCAATGCAAGACTCAGAGTGGACTGGGGCGATACCAAAGAGGCTTTTCCTGTGTGTCCAATACTTCCTGAAACCGCCGAATCAGGTCTTCATTTTTGGCTTGATCGAGAGCCATCTGTGAAGCGTTGGTCCCAACAAAAAAGCATATCGCTGGCCTCGGTGACCCGTCTAAACACTTTTCTGTCTTGTGGTCGACAAATAAACACGCGTATGGTCCTTCAATCTTCCAGGGTAACCGGTCGAGAATCTCGCGCCTCGTGACTTCAAGCCGTTCAAAGTAAGGCGCATCGGGTTCAATATTGTGCGCATCTGCCCAGAGAAAAAGATCGTCTACTGTCATAGCAAAGCCGCAGATGCGAAGGAGCACGGTCTTTCCCGGTCTGTTGCGAGGGTTGCGAAGGGGAAAGTCAGTAGCAAGGGATGGGCGTGTGACCCTGTTGTGTGTTAGTTTCAAGATGCAGTGGAAGGAAGACAAGAGATACGTGCATTTTATTTTGACTAGTATATACTTGAGCAAACGGCTTGCAAAAGATCCTTGTGGGAGAATGTCAAGAAGGCTTGAAATCCAATGCGGATCCTAAATAATAAACAGCAAATATTGAAATAACACATAATCAGGACTATGTCGGGGACGACAGGGGACGACGAAAGCTGGATGCTTCAAATTCTTGTTCGACCAACGATAAATATCAGATCAAGACCGTTACCCCGACTCCAATGTTCTTCACCTTCTCCACAAACAAGGACGGTCCGATCCGTCGCCTCTCGCTCAGTCGGACCGGCTGTCATTTGCATTCCCCAGTCCTTTCAATTGCACCCATCATAAAAGAGGGCAGGCGTCCTGTTACTCGTCATGCCTTCTGTCTCCATGATCTCCACTAAACTTGAGATATGTAAGAAATTCCACGCGGCGTAAAGGCAGGCTGAACAGTAGGTCTTGACACCCCCGACGTAAGTACCCTTAAAGTTGTCTGTAGCATGTGACGAATATTTGGACGAGCGTCTGAAATCTCACGGCAAAAACGTCCCTAAAGGATCCACAGACTGACGGCAGCATTGGTGACGTTGTACCTCTTTCGGATGATTTTGACGGCGAGGAGATTCAAGGTGCAGAGATTGCCTGCAATAGAGGCTGCACCCACGCCAGCGATTGATGTCCTGAAGGCAATACCACCCCCATTTTACTGGTCTGGGCTTCGATGAAGAGTTTTCCGCGACAGGGAGGCAAGCCAGTCATGCATCTAGAGATTACTCAGAGTTGACTGCGGACATGTTGCGGAAAAGAACTCACTCAGATATCGAACAAAGGTAGACCGGAGGTGGTTCAGAGCCGTCGTCAAGCAAGCGAGCTAAACTGCCTCGTCGAGATGAGGAGTCCGTTGACGACGAAGACGACGCGATTAACCGGACCATTTTGATATAGGACCTCGCCAAAGGACACCGTGAGCCACTCTATGATGATGTAGAGAAAGCTTGTCCAGCACAAGGATGCTGGTCGCAAGCCATCTGCTTTGGTTTGTCAGCCAGCCTCCAATCAATGACGGTTTTTGATACATCAGTGGCTGCAAACCTTCCAAGCCGACAACATCGAAGTCTAAGGTTGACCAAAACGAAAGACCACTCTGCTAGCCAAGCCTGTAATTAGTTTCTTATACAAGTGAATTAACAGAAAGACTAAAGCGTTTCCCACATAAAGAAGGCCAGCTAAACTTGTGGAGATATTACGAAGCAGAAGTTTGAGACGAGAGAATCAACGGCAGCAAAATTTCCGACACCCTTGTTGGTAGCCACTATGAGATTAATGTTTTAGCTGGGGCTTCTTGTAGGTATGAACATGGTACTTACGACGTCCTCTGGACTAGAGAAGGAGTAAAGTTTCCCACGACTTTTCCTATAGAAGTTCAGACAAGACCAGATCAACTAGAGCGTAGCATTGAAGAGAAGCGCCCCCGAGGAGTCAGGACCGTATGATGTGTTTCATGACGCCGATTCTCTCTCAATTGTTGTAGTCCAGATGCGCTTAAAATTCTCCGACGGTATCGAGATAGAGAACGTAAAGAAATTCAGATTTTGTCACATTTGTGAGTTTCTGCGATACATCCAGTTCTACCCGAGCTTACTTCGTCTCAGCTTCGGGCTTCAAGAGTACCTGTACACCCATCAACGTATGTCCACATCGGAAGAGCAGCGCACATACCTGCTGACCACCTTGACCGTTCTCCCACTTCTGGTATCTCAAGGCTGTAAGCCCCCGTTTTTCGGCGAGCACACGTTGATCTTCCTTCAAGGAAGCGCGGACGGCGCGAGCAGCAATTTCGCTGTACTTGTTGAATCTAAGGTGCACAAAGCATTAGAGAAAGAGAAGGCGAGATACTGCTGTGATACTAACGAAAATACGCTACGCCAGGCGTTGCTCATCGTAAACGGTGTTGGGGAAGGAGGGACTCGGAAATAACCGGATGTATTCTTTTGGATGGAACCACGTGACAAACGCCGGTCTTTGCCGGTCCCCTTCAGCTGCAGTCTGAGCTACTGCATCATACGGTTGCTTCGTTTCCACGATCTGCCCAGCCATGGCCGGAATATCATGGCACTATGTTCTCAAATTCATCATTACTGGCGAGCTCCATTTCTCGTATCGTCTCCTCATCGTCTGACGCATGGCGAGACAGGTGACGCCGCAGTGGGCAAGTCGTCGCTGCTCGTCCGGCTCACTGACCAGCGATTTTTGGCAAATCCGGATCCAACGGTACGCCGCATCTATCTTCCGCATGCCTCATGTGTCCAGGCGCTCATCACATGTTCTACTCTGGTTTCAATCTTAGCTAGGAGTCGAATTTGGGTCGAAACTCATTACATTACCAGAAGAGAACAAAGTGATTAAGCTTCAATGTTGGTGGACCCTTATCCGAAGATTTGCATTACCGCTTATGATTTTGCGGCGTAAACAGGCTGGGACACCGCTGGTACGGAGTCATTTCGGTCAATTACGCGTTCATATTATCGCGGCGCCGCTGGATGTCTCTTAGTCTATGACGTGACATCTCGGAAAAGTATGTTACTTTGTTCCTTGCTTTGTTTCTGGCTTATGACCGCTCTGCAGGCTTCAAAAATGCACGGTCATGGCTCGCCGACGTGCGCGAGCATGCCGATCCTCATCTAACATGCATACTTGTTGGCAATAAAGTAGACCTTTGTGAGGCAGATGGACCATCAAGCGATACAGACACGATTAGATCCTCATTTGCTGCACCTCGACGGCAAGTACCGACGGCTGAGGCTGAACAGTGGGCGCAGGAGGAGGGCTTACTCTTTGTCGAGGCTAGTGCCAAGTCGGGTCAGAATGTGGAAGTTGCTTTCGAGCAGGCAGCGAAGAATATTCTAGACAAGATCAAGAAGGGCGTTTTTGATGATGACCGGGTAAGTCAAACACGCTCCATTGTTCCCTCAGGGTTTCTCATCTTCATTTGCGCAGTCGCCGGGTGTTAAACTGTCGAAACCCAACAACAGTCTCACTCTAGAGCAAGGACCGGGTAGATCAACCACTTGCTGTTCATGATACCCACGACTTTAATGCCTTCATGGTTTTATCTTATATGTATCGTTTGGTTTCGTGTTGTATGTAGTATTGTAAGTTTTCCAATCTTCTCTCGGTGGAAGGTCCTTACCTTTTTGCCTTTTGCAGAGTATAGACCACTTTCTTTCTGTAATCGCAATTTAACAATAAACCTGACTATCGGAGCAACACACCATGTATTTTCATCGAGGCTAGAGTGTCATATCGGCCTTTCCTTTGTTCCTCACTCACCGAAGGTCACATTTGTAAGCGGGTAGCGCTTTCAGTGCTGCTGCACATGGCGCACTAGGTGCGGTGAGATTGAGGTTCCATTTCTGTTTGAAATCGTGACTACGAGAGCTCATGTCTACTGCATTGTGTGTCTGGCAGATGCCAGGGTCAGGACGCCGCTGAATTACATTGTGACAAGTGAAGGTATTGACTGGGTACTGATCGTGTTTCCGGCGTGTTTTGATGGAGACTATTGTGATTGTATCAAGGGAACAAACCAATTCGGTGTCTTTCGGATAGTTCGGCTGGGACAAAGGAAGAAGACTGCAAAGTTATTTAAGGTAGGCAGGAAAAAAAACTGTGACTTCCTGAGAAGCTGAAAGACTCCGTTTACCCTTTTTTGATGCTCCAGCTTGGACCGTACTCCGCTTGGGTCGCCTTCGATGGCTACGACCGACGAACATACGCCACGGAGGTATCGCAGTCCGGTTGCTGCATATCCGGTTGGATAGCATCGGAACGAGAGAAGGTATGGCATTATCTATCTTTCGACTGGTTGACCACCATCTTATATCTTCAAAGAAATTCTCAGTCAACTGGCACAACGCATTGCGAGATATACCATTGGAAGGAGTAGTGTCTATTGATGGCGTTGTATGCAGTACGCACGTCATGCTGGACAAGTCAACACGCCCACTCGCTCCAGACGAGATCTCCATATCCTATGCTAGATCATCGGATCTAACGCGAAGAGATTTTGTCTTTTCGACTATACAAGTGACGGGTTAGTTTCACTGCTGTTGTGGCTCAGTCTCTTTCGCTGATGATTTTCGACGTACAGACGAGGACGAGTACCTGCACACCATTGATAATCAGTATACTTTTGGCGTCATTGAGCTAGAGCTCTGGCGGCTGGCGGTATCCAATGTCACTGCTCGTCAACCACTCCGACACCAATATGGCAAACCGTCACTTGAACCTCAGATATTACACGAACGGTCAAAAAAAGGCGGTTCTCATCATGTCAAGTAAGCTTCTACTTTCGAATTAATTTGTGCTAGACTCGGTGCTCAACTCCTTTGTTCTTAGATTCGGTGAAGAATACATTTCTCATCCGTCAACAGTCGACCTTGTCACCGGGATGCGGATTGATAAACAACCTTTCGTCAAGTTTACGTTCAGATACAGATCTATGGGTACGTTTCTTTGGGGACTCCATAGGGATGAGATGCTGATGCACGTCCGTTTACTTTAGATGTGCTCATTGCTAAAGGAATCGCCCCTGGTCGAGTGGAACAAGCACTTCTCATGAAGAGAAATACTGTTTTCGAACAGGAAGAGATGCAAAAGATGTCTGTGTTAGAAGAAATTCGACTTTTGGAGGTATGTGGGTGTAATTCTCCGAAGTTGGTCAGATTACTAAAGTCTTTCATCGTCCAGGCGCGTCTCAAGTTTCTTAGGTCCTCTGTTGGACAGACATGTACCGAGAATGAGGTTTCCACTAGGCGCAGAATAAAGCAAGAAGAATCACCTACATTCAATCACGATTCCTTTCGACGAAGTCCATTCGGCAGTTTCTAGATCTATTCAATGCGTGTTTATTATGAGCACGTTGTCATCGTGTCGCGAAATAGCAGTATGATGATACTTAAATAACTAGGTGTCATGATGAAAGTGAGGGATACAGATGTACACAATAAAAGTATACCATTAGATGAATCGGAAAATGCAATCATGAGAATGAATGATAGAATAGTGTCGTGAAATCATGGAACTAAACAAATACTATGACGGGTTTTCTGAACCAGATGTAGGCCTAAGCTTTCGTAGCCCTCTCCGTATTGAGAAACCGTGATGTGGACCATCAGAACTTCTCTTCCCGTCGGCGCTCTTCTTGCCCGACTTGTGTCGACCAGTCGTCCGAGAAAATTCGGTAAGATTGCGACTACTCGTCCTCCTCTCCGACAAATGGCTTTGCATCCTGCTCATAGCCACTCCTCCTTCCTCAGTAGCAAAGTCAAATCCACGGTGCACTGACCGTATGCCGGTCGACATATCTGTTCGACTAGCAGACCGAATATCCACGGCCGAATGCAATCCAGGCCTCGACGGTCCAGCAACCATGGAGGCATAGCTCGACCGAGATGTCCGTCTTGAAAGCGCGTCATCTCCATCAACTGGTCTCTTCATGGCTTTTAGGCCAATACCCTCCTCATGATGCGTACTGCGCAAATCACGGCCAGGGTCGACCTTTCGTATGTACCGCAGAATGTCAACGTCGTCAGGTGCAAAGCCGAACTTCCATGCCTTGGCTATGTATCTCGGCGCCAACGAAACGCACACGGTAATTGGAAGGGAGAGCCAAAAGAGTGCAGATCTGAACAGATATATGTTGTTGCCATAGACAAGGGTTACGAACCATCCAGGGGAGATGGCATTATAGACGACCTATGAACAGGTAAGCAAAAGGCTTACTATACAAGTGAGAATTACCACGTACTGTGTATAGCCATACGAGAATAATACCGATAAAGACAGCGAAGAATACCCAGCCGGTCCAGACATTGGTATTCAACCCATTGAAAAGGTTAGCAACAATGACAGGCGGAGAACACCATTGTCTGAAAAGTGGTCAGGTCGGACAAGCCATACAGATCATATGAATGATGACTTACAGTTGAGAACTCCAGAAGATATTGGTCGTAGCCATCAGCTCTTGAAGTGGGAGAAAAGTAGCCGTAAAGAATAAGGAAAAATATAATAGCAGACTTGGGACATATTAACGGCATAGATGAGCAAAGGTAGTAGGTAACGTACCTGATAAACACCATCGAACATATAGACGGTAAACCACTTAAGGCCAAACCATTTGCCTTCACGGCCATAACGATACAGCTCGGGGATAGCCATTAAGACGTCCGCATCTACTCTCGCATTAGAGACTGATCTAGAATATGAGAAGAACGAAATACCTATTAATCTATCAAAAAGACCGATGGCAATAACAGGCGCAATAGTCCAGAAGGAATTCCAGAATAGGAGATATGTGTATTCAAATACACTGAATCAAGTATCTGGTCAGTTCCGCGCTGGATAAAGAGAACAAGGGACACTTACTAGTTGGAACTCCAACCACAATAAATTTGGAACCACCAAAGGACACCAATACAAACAATGTTCTTGTAGAAGAAATTTAGAATCCTTTGATGGGCATCAGTAAGTGGTCATGGTAAGAGATATTAATTACATACATGTTTCCATTGCGAGCGTATGACCAATGCCCATGAACAAAAAGCAACCGTTTGAGGAATCGGAACTGTCGACTAATTAGTATGCGCCGGTCGTAATGATAATCGCACTTGAACGCACCTGTGCTATAGCATAGTCCGATGAGTTCACTGCCTGCAGCCCTTCTTCACCAGAAATACCGACACCAACGTCAGCGGCCTTTGAACGGGAGATCAACAAAAAAAGTATAAACGATTCACGCAAGTGTACGAACCTGAATCATGCTAACGTCATTTGCCCCATCTCCAATAGCCAAAGTCATAGCACCAAGACCATCCTTAACCAGCCTGACAACCAAGGCTTTCTGCAAAGGGGACACACGACAGCAGATCACACCTTCACAAAGCATTGCAAGTCTTAGCAATAAGCTTTTGTGCTCTTCATCACCCAAAGCCTAAAAAAAGATTAGCAAGGATGCGCACATAGAAAGAAGACCCGATACTTGCATGATCCAGCGCCGCGCCGTCAATGACCAGAATGAATCCACCAGGTCGATCGCCGTTGTTTGGTCCTACAATCGAAGAGATTCCCGTCTCGATCCTCCGCAACGCATTGTCGTCCCTAGAAGAGACAGATGCCAACTTTAGCTCTTTCACGAAGGGTTCGTCTTCATCGAGAATACCACTTTCGGGGAAGAACTCCTCGACTGCGTGAAGCATCTGCTCATAAACTGGCCGCGAACGATTATTTCCGCCCCTGATAACGATGATGTTAGACTCTCGACCGATCAGGTTGGTACTGTGTCCGATGGCTATAGAACAATGTCAACAGATGTTAAGGTAAAGGCAACGAAACCTACCAATAGCCGTTTCTAGCTTGTCGCCAGTCGCCACCCATACCTTGATACCAGCGCGTTTAAGATCAGCAATAGTTTCCGGTACTCCGTCCTGCAGACTATCTTCGATAGCTGTGGCACCCAGTAATCGCAAATCATGTTCCAGCTCGTCAGAAACGATTTCTATGCGCGCCTCCCGGTTATCGAGCGCCACAGTGGCTTCATGGTAACGCTCGCTCCAAGCAGCGTATTCGTCCTCTGTAACATATATTACTAGACTGATATACCTTGAGGAAACAACACTCACTGTCAATGACTTTATATGCGAGGGTCAGTGTCCTCAATCCTCCGTTGGCAAATTCACTCAGATGCATTTCAGTCAACTCTCGTAATCCTTCATCTCCGGTTTTCCGTAGTCGCTCAAAAATAACGTTGTCTGCACCCTTCGACAGCAGGAACAATCTGCCGTCTGCATCATCCAGCTTCCTCAGCACAACGCTCATCCTCTTCCTGGCACTGGTAAACTCCAAAATGTTGAGAAGCTCATAGCGTTCGACGTCGTCGGGGCCGGTGGACAAGGGCGTTTGCAAGGTCAAGACCTCCCGATCGCGGCCACGGAAGACATATCCTACTTCCGCCGCCGCACGTACCAGTGCCGCTTCATCCGGACTTTGTGCCTTGTATTCGATCTTTCCGGTGTCGTGATCGATGGAGGTAAGAACGGTATGACACAACGCTAGAACCGTGAAAAAGCCATTCAAAGTCCGCGCATGAGCAGCATTCTCCGACGTCGAGCTCGACTGCAGGGCAGCAGCGATGTCCTTCTCGAGTGCTTCGCAGTGGAAGTGTGTTTCTACGGCCTTGGCTTGCGCGGGGGTCGGCTCGGTAGCAGTCGCTGAGGATCCTTCAGCACTGGCGCTGGCGGCATGGTCATCTGCCGAGATGGCTGCCTGAGATGCGGCTGGAGGTGCTTCCTCGATATCGCCAACGTACACTTTACCGCCGATCGAACACTGTCGGAATATCATAGCGTTCTGAAGGCATCATAAGAAGTAGAAGAGCGATATACATAGAACGACGTACCTGAGTCAAAGTACCAGTCTTATCCGAAAATATGTATTCAATTTGTCCAAGATCATCAGATAAGTTCCAAGACCGAGCGAGAGTGGCTTGGTTTGTCTTTGGGTACCAGATCTCGTAGTCGAAGTATATGAAGGCAGCTTGGCACGTCCTAACGAATTCAATGGAAATGTACAGTGAAATGGGTACGATGTTTTGGAACGTAATGAGAGCGAAAGCCCAAGTGACGAGACCATTGATAGAAGGATTATCGTCATTTTGGTTGTCACCATAGAGCCATGGCGCGCCTTGAGGATACTGTCGATGCTCCAAGATAGAATCAGCGATGGCACAGGCAACCGCCATGCATGCGAGTATTATTAAATTTATAAACCTTTTCATTAGCGGTGAGTGCACCTGATGCGAGGTAATTTTTGGCCACTTACACTTGAGGGTTCATTTGCCTTTCGACCTTGCTCCTCTTGCTAGGCGTTCCACCCGAGTTCTGCACGATTTTGGTATCCTCGCCTGTAAATATAACAAGACCGATAACCCAGCCAGTATTCCTCAGTACCGTTCCTCTCAACAACGTCATCTGAATATCCGCCGGAGCCTGTTCACCGTTTGCCCTTATTGTGGAATTTAGACGGAACATATTGTTGTCCGGGCGGTCCAAATCGACGGTAAACTTGCTCTCCGCGCACGCTTTGGCGTTCGCCAAATGCGTCAATGTAGGAACGGCATTTCGCGATTTGAGATTGGTTTCTCCATCCAAGTTCTTCGTCTCTACAAATGCGACATTCTCATCCTCGGACGTTGCGCATATAAGAATGTCGGCGGGTAAAGACTCGTTGTCCAAGATTTTCACGAAGTCACCAACACAAACATCCTCCCAGAGCGCCTTCTTCCAATGAGGATTAGTGTGATCATGATGGCCGAAGAGATGGTGATGGTGGTGAGGGCGATCAGTGCCGTCATCAAACTCGATATCAGGAGGCGGCAAAACTGGCGAAACCGGAGCTGAGGTCTCAAGGCTTTCCTTTCCTTCGACCTTTTCCGCAAGTGGAGCGGGCTCTTTCGATTTTCTAAACCTCTCGGGGATAAGGTAACGGTTTACATGGTGCGTGAGGTCACGACTCTTGTCGCCGGTGACGTTAGTATTGATCCAATTGCCTCCAGCGAGAACGCGGACCGTGCCGTAGTTGACGCGGTTATCAGATTGGTGGCGTTTGATATCCTCGTAGGCATCCTTTAGAGCGGTAATCCCGAGAACGATAAGAAGTGGGAGAATAACGAGGCCGGGGGAAATGGTGGAGAATTTGGGGAAAAATTGTAGAATAGCGATTCCAAGGAAGAAACTGATGACCGCTTAGTGAATTCGAAGAAGCTAAGATAAATTTGGACGTACACGTTCGCTACCCGTCTGAACTGCTCAAGCAGATTCCGTGGTAGAAAGGTAACAACGTTATACTTCGAAGTGATGACCTGGTTCGACGTATAGACATGCTCCTTCTTTATCCGCCCCTTCTTGTCATAATAGTCCTCCGGTAGAGCCTCGTTGATAAAAATCGTCCGCTTCGGTCCTGGCGACCTCTTCTTCACGAAGAGGGTCTCGATGTTGAAGGCCGCCATTTTGTCGTACCAAGCCGCAAGGGCGCTAAACCTGCCGGGCTTGGACATTGGGGCTTTAGGGTAGTTTTGAGCAGGTCGTGATTGTGGCCGTGGTCGAGGTCGAAGAAAGGTGTAGATGGCGGTAAAGACGGCAGTCAGAAAGTCATGACAGATACAGATGATGGACTGGAAAGAGTAAGAGCGAACGGTTCCGGCGGCGCTGACCGTGCTGACGCCTTCTTGCCCACGTAATGAGGTCGTCATGCCCTGAAGCACTACAACACCAAACACTTCCGAGATCGGAATCGATGCGAATGCAAAGCGTTCTTCAAGTTTACGACGAGCAGAAGACCGTCCAACAGAGAGAAATGGTGCGAGGAAAGCTGTAGAGAGCCGCCTGCCTCTTTTGTGTACTTCGGTCTGACCCTCACCTTTAGCATGCTGTTCATTTCATAGGCAGCGCCATTTTCACTCGGGGTACCGTCGCTTATCAGCGTTGCGCGGGTGGATGGCTTGCGCCCGTTGCAATTCAATTGTTGCCATAATATATGCCATATAAAAGGTTTTTTCCCGGCATTCTTTCGCCCTACTAGTCGAGCTTCTCTGCATTGTTCTCCTGTTTTCGGAAAACCGGGAACCTCTGCTGACTATTTGATTCGCTGACCGATGCTCCGATCGTAAGAAACTTGAACCGAAAACTCCACTCGTCTCGGCCCTGACCGGATTAGTCGTTGGTCATCATGTCACGCACATATAGGTCCAGATCCAGATCCAACATACGGTCTCATACGGTAATACGGTGATCCGCCGTACTTCAAACTTTCGCAGGAATGGAGACTTTAATTTTTGGAATGCGCTCATATCATTGGTTATCTCGTTGGACGGCAATCAAATTGATTATCGGGTATCATTCAAAAATAGGCTTCTCTATGATCCCAGCTATATTAAACGAAGTAAGCACCCTTTTCCTAATATTCTTTTTCCGAGTATCATAAGGCTTAAGGTATACGTCGTAGGTACTCCATCTCCTGACATTTCTGAAATCTCGTAAGGGCCCTGTTAAGAACTAGCTGAGGTCTTCCAATTATCATGTCCCCCTTCGACGTATCGTAACGACGCACGCCTACATGCGGAAACGACCCTAGCCGTTGGTTTGCGGTATTGATTTGTGCAAGCCTGATTTGGACGTTAAGTACTAAGTGTCAACAGGTTTAAATACGATGGTGCCACTATGTTTCCAGGTTGTAGTCCGCATCTGAACAAAGATAGGACGGCACCGGACAGACATAATGCTTAAACCCTATCTTTCTTCTACTCTAATATAAGCCTAAACCACGTACTAATCTTTTCGAAGCCTTCACCTGACGAGAAGAACGCAACAAGATCCGTAATTTCAGTTTTCACAGCTGTGGGGATATTGCACTGGCAGGTCTTCCGCTGAACGCCAGTTAGGCTTCAAGGTTTCGCCGGAAGGTCGATTCTTATACCTCTCAAATACCTCCCACCTCAAGCTGACAGGCATCATACACCTCGAGAGTGCCTCAACACGCGTTCAAAATGATCCTCGTCCCTCGCCTCGGAATATCGAACAGCGGCAGCCGAGAGACCATTTCCTGAAGTCTACCGCGATATTTCCCCTCCGCAATGCACACATTCGTCCTTCTGTTCCAATATCTAAATGGCCATCAACTTCACGAATGTAAACCTACTCTGACGGGCTTCTCAATTTAGCCTCTGGCCGCCAAGTTCTTCGCCTTGCGCTCCACGTCTGCTTCCTTCGGTCATAATGCGCGAGGTATCTAGTTGATAAGGCGCTTCAAATGCTAGGAGCCTTTGGCCCCCCGACAGTGAGATATGGCTTCCCCCATGGACGACAAATCCGTTAACTCTGTTATTCCTCCCGTCCAAGATAGTACTCAGAGAACCTTGAAGGTAAGGTTATTTTCTCGGTCCTTCCAGTTTATCTTACAACATTGCGACAGTCAAGACACATTCAGTTAATCGGGATCGGCGGTAGGTCCCTTCGTGACTTCGTCAAGCAGTCGGAATAATTGAAGACTAAAACCATCCTCTAAAGGTACCATAGGAACAGCTCTTTTCGTCCAGATAGGCTCAGTGCTGCCGTATGGTGGTCCTGGGAGTCTCCTTCTGGCTTTCGCATTATGGGCAACTGTCGTCTTAGCCATCAATTCCTGCCTGAGTAAGAAAGTCCTACTATTCCCTTCAATGCGCCTAAACTATTGTCTCATATGCAGCCGAGCTCGTCACCTGGGTGCCCGTTTCATCTCCTTTCGTACGCTCACATCTCTCAAGCGTCTGTTCCGGATACAAACTCGACTTATTCCCTTATTGATGTAGTCTCAATACGCAGATCGCTATGTGGATCCCGCCCTTGGGATTTGTGTAGGATTAAATTTCTTCCTCCAGATGGCCATGAGTGTTCCCTTCGAGATCACAGCCTTCAACTTGATGCTAAGATATTGGACGGACAAGATTCCCACAGTCGCAGTCATCATCTTCATTCTAATAGCTTACACGTGGGTATCAATTCTTCGTATACCGTGGTCCCACTCTGAAATCTCTGCTTAGCTTACTTAACATTTTTGCTGTCAAGTACTACGGAGGTGGGTCACGCAGCTCCAAGAATATCGTAACAACTGAATTTGTTTCGTAGAGGCGGAATACTGGCTAGCTATAGGAAAAGTCATCCTCACCCTCGGTCTGTTTATGTTCACGTTCGTCACCATGGCCGGGGCGAACCCCATCCACGATCGTTACGGTTTTCGCAATTGGGATCGTACGTACCGTGCTAGCAGCAGCCATTTCCAAATGTTGATATCAAGGCACTAGCTTCCAAAGTACCAGTGAGCTAGCACTTCTCTCTTACAAGTCCTCAACGCTGGATCTACAGCACTCATCGTTCCACAGGGAACCCCGTTCGCAACTTACGTTCATTCCGGATCGCTCGGTCATTTCCTCGGATTCCTCCGTTGCCTAACCCAAGCCGTCTTCACAGTAGCCGGTATGCCCCCAGTAACTTTCACAATCACCGCCTTCTGAACTGACTATCCTCAGGACCCGAGCTCGTGGCGATGACTTCTGGCGAAGCGGAGAACCCCCGGAAGGTCTTACCCCGCTCTTTCAACGCTGTGTTCTACCGACTCGGGTCGTTCTTCATCGTTGGTGCTTTCACTGTAGGGACAATTCTTCCCTACACAGACCCGAAGCTGGCTTTGGTCTCTTCTGGTAAACGCACTGGCGCGGCGGCTTCGCCTTATATTATCGCTATGGAGAACTTGGACGTTCGGGGATGGAACCATCTGGTCAATGCGCTGATATTACTATCCATATTCTCCTGCAGGAAATAGCTATGTTTATTGTGCCAGTCGGACCCTCTATGGTCTTGCGCTCAATGGCCATGTCTCTAAATCTCTTTGTCGCTGTACTTCGTCGGGGGTCCCACTTTATTGCGTCGGTATCGCGATAACAGTCGCCTTCTTGTCCTTTCCTCCAGGTTTCGGAGAGAAGTAGTGTGGTCTTAGAGTGGTAATTTATTCATCGAAGATTTTTGTGAATGACAAACGTCAATGAAGGTTCACCGATATTATCACGGTCTGCCAAAGCGTTAATTACGCAGGTAATATCTTTCATTTATATCAGGATTCTACATGGTGAGCGGTCGAGAATATACATCTTCTAGGCTCATGCCTTGACAACATCAGGCTCTGAAGATCCAAGGAATATCCCGAAATTCGCTTCCTTACCGATCCAAGTACCAGCCTTACCTTGCGTGAGTTACCATCGCACATATATATTATTGATACCATAAGACGTCCAACAGATTTTATTCATTATTCTGTTCCTTCATAATGATCTTTGCCACGGGATTCACGGTATTTCTCCCCGGTCAGTGGAATACAACTACATTCGTGTTCTCGTACATACTTGTCATCGCTCTACCCATCCTTTTTGGAGTTTACAAATTAACCCGACACACAAAGGTACGTAGCCTCAAATATTATTTTAGGTTGTTTTCTGACGGTGTAAGTAGTGGAGACCACTAGCTACCATTACCTTCTTTGACGAGGAGCGGAAGATCATCGACGATTATGAGAGATCGTTCATCTCTCAGAAAGGAGCTGGACTTGGAGACTTTGCCCTACGACTAGGAGCCCGAAATTGACTGGAGCAGCTGGAGTTCAGCCTAGGGAGACGCAGTTATCTTGCAATATGTTAGGCTCTGTTTGATGACGCACACACCGCACACAATACAATCTGCGATTGCCTGAAATCACTGCGACTGCAGCACAGTCAATGAGAACGTATATATATTGAGGCCAGTTACCTTTTGCTGGCACTCCCTGTCGTCCACACGGTAGTCTGAGTGGAGACGCTATCCTGCGCCTACTTCCATTTACGGAAGCATTCCTTTGTTCTGTCCGCAACCTCGCGTTCTTTATCACAAATCGGCGTAAGCATTCCTTTCTCTTACGAGCGAACAACAGTATCCAAGTCGCATTACATCAACAAACAATCCATTGAACCTGCAGCCTTAGTGTTTCTTCGACCCTGTCGAACGACGCCACCCGCGACCGTGTTCAAACGGCACCTGACTTCACACCTTCAATTCTACCTTGCCCGTCTCCCTCTTTTGTTTACTACCCCCATATCCCAAGCCATTGCATCGACGACCTCCCATCGCCCACTGCGTCGCATGCCGGCGCATCTGTACAACAAGCCTAGCTGGCTCCTGGCGCCAGACCCGTCGACACTCCCCATCCCAGCGTTCAACGGCGCTGCGAGGGTCACTGTACGAAGGCAGGAACGCGTCGTTGTCCATGCCACCGTCTCCGTCCCCGCCCCCACTCCTACATACATCCTCGTCTCCTCCTCCCATTCCTCACCTTTTTCTAACTCGTGTATTTTCCCTCCACCTCCAAGATACGCGGAAATGATGGACATGCACGGCGACCTACCGCTCGCCGAAGCAATGAGACGTGCGCGAGCGATTGACCCAATAGGCTACGCCGCCGAAGTTATTCATCCTGAACACCGCCTACCGCCATCATTCGACGACATTCGCCGCATGGAGCCTCACCTATCTTGGGTCGATGCGATGAAACGAGCCGATAACATCGATCAGACTGCTTTTGCCAGAGACCCGATTTCTCAGCCAAGGCCGGAGGGGTTAGAGGCCTTGCTTAGACCATCCCATGAAGCCACTAGTCTCATAGGTGCTCGGTTGGCATACGGTCCAACCATTAACTCGCCGGAGCGGACATACATGACCTATACCGGGTCCTTGATGAAGGCAGAAGAGGCCTTGACCTCTTTGCTATTTTTGTCTTCTACCAAAGACAAATACAGCAAAGAGCTCAAGGCCTTTGCCACATTCATCGCGATCTGGTTGCATGCAACGGTCACGAGTGAATTCAGAACACAACCAAACGCTAATTCAGCGCGGTGAGCATCACATTTACTTGACATGGACGATACGAACTCACAGTTAATAATAGCATCTGGAAAACATGGTCGACATTTAGCGAAGTCGTCATTGTTATCCAAGCAATCATGGAAATACTGGCGCTGGACTACATCACGGTGTTTCACAGCTTGGTATACATTAAGAGACTATTTGGAGGTTGCTATATCCGTGAAGACGAGGCTTACCTCAGGAACGCTCCTACCATTATCGCGCGAATATTCTTTGTCGGCTGTTTTCTAGGTTTCAAATATTCTCGAGACATCTACTCGAAGAGATCCTGGTAAGCATTAAATGTATGTTCCATGACGTGCGAGACTTACACTTTCTTTAGGGCTTCGGCCATGGACATCGACCATTGTACAGTGGAAAAAATCGGCCGCCATGCTTTACGTGGTCTTGGTTATAGGCTCGATATATCACCCAACGACTGGAAAATATCCGTCGGAGATTTGCGCCAATTTGCGGCGACCTGTTCCTTCTCTGGCGAAAGCGTCTACACGCGAACGGTCGTCAACGACATCTTCGACAAGCTTGAGATCAACTCACCTCCCGGCATTCCTCTGAGAGCAAGAACAGGACGTAGTGGACAAGGAACCATTGAGCCGCCATCGTTCACCGATATTTCAGGCATCTTCATTGGCGCGGCATATATTCCAACAATTGTCCTGCAAGCGGCAGAAGAACATCCTGCTGCACCTTGGGATGTACCGAACGACCCTATCGTCGGGCGGAACTGCGAAGGCAGATCGGGCAGCGAATAGGTCCTGACGAGCATTTGCTTGGTGTGTCGGCAGAGCGTCCTGCGATTTGGAACGGACGTAACACTGTTGGTGGTAGCATGGCGATCGGACCACACATGGGTCCGGATACACAATTCTTCAGCAGGCAGGAGGCCTCGACGTGGAATGGGGACACCTTCTTGCCTAGTGATGATACACAACGCATACAGCCTGATTCGGCGGCTTTTTTCGGTGCGCAGGAGGATAAAGAGAATGACCTTACGGTCAGGCGCAGGACTGCGATGATGGTCGGACAGCGTTTAGGACCTGACGCAGAGTTCCTCGAAATGCAGAGGCACTCTTCTGCGTCTTGGAGCAACAAGGATTCCCTACATGATCTTGCAATCCGATAAGACGATTTTCGGACGACGCACAGTGGCTGGCGGTCTTGTCTTCAGAGGTGTCAAAAACACCAACATCTGGGCTCCACAAAGGCCTTTTGTACCGGAATACCTAAGCGACAGATGGTCTACGAGGCAAGGAAACCATATCCCCTTTCTAGGGTATCATGACTACGAGCCTCTCATCAACAAACAAGACTCATATTCAGAGTAAAAAGACCTACTATTGGCTGTGATATTGTTCACATTCACAAGGGAGCTCTGGAAAAGCTTGATGGCGCTTCAATTGCCCGCCATTCTTGCTATGTCATTTGCCCATCATCGATATCAGGCAATACTGCTCGTCTACCATTCCACCAGCAGCGGCCAGCACGTCTTACAGCGACCGAAGAGCATACCCTCTTATCGCACTATCAACTATCATGAAGTTTGAAAGCATCGATATCACGAAAAGAGACGCTTACATACCTTTTGGAAATCTCCATCATCGTTGTGTCCTACTCGTCTTGTAGTGTAAGATATTGAAAGTAGAGCTGATAATTTGTAAAGTCTGCATGAGTGAGAGCTAGCCAGCGAAACGGCGAAAAGAGCGACCTCGACAAGCGACGACGATGAGATGATGAAAGACAAGAAAGTGACCAAATTCGGCAGGTCTTCATTTCGTTACTTTACCACGATGAACTCACCGCCAGAACCAAGCTCGCCGACATTGTCAACGCCCTCCACCGTTTCTCCTTCTCCAGAAGACGTCAACTTCAATCCAAATGCTCAGTCTAGCACTACGTCAAATCTCTTGAACATGGTGACCTCAACGCTGAGTCCCAGTTCTTCAAAGCGCCGCCTTCCTGGTAGTGGTTCGTTCGGCAGTGGATCCAGCCGTGACACAAAGTCTAGGAAACGTGAAGGCGCTCAGAGACTGATGGTTGGTGGCTCAGCAGCATGGGATTCAAAAGAACCATCAAAGAAGGAAGACATGGCTGACGTTCAGACTGTAGAAATGCTGCGAAAGGGTATGTCACCTCTCCAATATTGTCTTGATGTGCACTGATCACCGATATTGTTGGAATTGACAGAAATTGGAGATCCATTTGATACAGCTTTTCTGAAATAAATACAACCTGTCTCCGTCGTCATCAGGTTCGTTGGCCAGCGCCTACGAGCCACTCCTTTACTAATACGGGAACAGTGCCTTCGTTTCTCGTTTTTGTATAATATAATTGTATTGCAATGCCACTGTATTCGGAGCAACAGCTTATCCGCAGAGGTACTTTGCCTATGCCGGTCGCTATTGGGTAACAGCTGGGGCGCCGGACAACATACACACATCAGACGCCGATCCATTGCCCTCGGACGTTCTGCTACCCAATCAACAATCCTTCCTACAGGGCCCGATATCAACGAACTATCAGAGGATGCAACACTCATGGACCCCATACGGGTTATCATCTCAAGAACCTATCATGCAGTGAAATAGATCTCGCACAGCTGCCATTGAAGGAACTAGCATGCTGCATCGACATCAGTATTGATTTCCTCAATGGCCAAGGCTTCCATGCTGATGAAATAAAGTAGTTCAACGAAAAGTGGAACTGATTAAACGGGCATTATGCCCAATCAAGCGGATTCGAGGGGTCAACTTTGTTGATTGCCAAGAATCAGTATGGAAATACACGCTTCACAAAAAGAAAGAAAGAAAGAAAAGGTAAACTGATTTCACGTTGTGGAAGGTTTCACCAATTTCGACTCACTGATTGAGGTCGGCAAAACATCGCCAAGTTCTTGCTGCCTCGTTATTTGCATTCACACCTGAACGTTTCATTCAACGAAGTTACCGCCGCACTCTTGTCAGCGCCTTCTCGTTTGTTTTTTTGGTACCCATTATTGACTCTGTTTGCCCCGAAGAAACTCTAGCATATCGGGTTTCTCTTCAATGCACCATCACTGTCCGGTCGCGGCGGGCCAGCTCCTACCTAACCTGTGACGAGCCTATCCACACCTATCTACGCATCTTCAGGCAGGACATTAATAGAAAGAACTCATGTTCCTTAATGTCCTGAGTGCCTGCATCTACAGCCAGTCCTCGGTCTTGATACCGGTAGCCACTTGGAACGCGACATCTACTATCGATAAGGTGGGTAACATCCACTACCACTTCATTACTGATCTAATCGCGATAATTCGATCTAGGAACCTCATCGGAAAATTTGGCAAGTCGTACAACCAACTTGCCTGAAATTTTTCTTGCAAAGGGCGAATGTCCTTATCTGCAGACAACTCCGTACTTACATGGACGCAAACTGACATTCAAGTCTTCCAACGGGAGCCTATCAAAGACCTTCGTCGTTCATACCAAGTTCGCCAGATGTTCAACCAAATTTACAGTGACTATCGACTTCAGTTTATTTATAGGTGGTAGTCATATGTTTTTCTCCTGTAACCTCGGGAAGAGTCCGTTAGCCCCGGTAATAGCTAGAGAAACGGGTGGAAATGAAAGTAGGGCCGGTAGGTACGTTTTGCCGTACGAAATGTTTACGGAGGAAACCGGCATTGAAGAACTCAGGACATCTCAATGCGATGCCTTTTTGCGTAAGGTTCCTGCATCTTTCACCTTTCTGTTCTGCGGTCTTCTTGCTCAAGTTGTGTTGTTACCCAGTACATGGCATCCTACTACTACAATGCAAAGTCCCAAAGTCCAAGCTAATGTTCGTCTGCGCAACGAGAGTGAAAAGCACAACGTCAGCTCCCAGGCGCCTTTTTTGACTCACGTCAGCTCAAAAACCTAAGCTTCCCCGCCGGGCCACGACAGAACCCCGCCTCCTCCCCGCAATCGACATCTGTACAAGTGATGAGCAGATTGAATCCTGGGAGCCATGATGAAACGCACCCTCAGTCTGATGTTCAGCAGGTCGACTCTGAATCGCAGTTTGCACACATCCTTCCAAATTCGCCTTGCTGTGAAGAGAAATGGTAGCCATGAACGGGGATCAGTATAGAAGAACTGATGTCTGGCATTGATCCATCGCACTTCCAAGTCGCACATCTTTTCTTCCAAGCTAGAGCTAGCAGTCAGATACAGTCTTTAAAAGATCTAAGCCGCCGATCCGACTTACTTGACAAGAAGAACGACGAAGTCCTCTGGTAGAGACATTACTCTGTTCTGCTCGTTGAATAGCTTGTGGGTCTCCTCTATATTCCTCCTGATTTCTCGGAGCGCCCACGCAAATGGCATCTGAGAAAGAACGAGGAGGCGAAATAGAAAGAAGATCAGGACGACGATGGACAAGGGACTAGAAACAGTGAATTGGAACGCTGCGAGTGCTAGTTCAACGTCACCTAGCTTAAAGCTAATCATTCACCGCACATGCAAGGGAACCCGGGAGGAGAAAGAGCTATTGGTGATGTAGCCTCCAGTATATATACATGTCCAAGCCTGAGAAAAGCAACTTCGGTATAGTCTGAAGCGACTGTTGTACTGCCCTCCAACAAGGTCACTTGATCTGTTAAAATGTTTGTCCTTCTGAGTATGCCTGAGTAATAGATATCTACAAGCGCCTGACAGTTTTGAGCGCAAAAGAAAACATTTGCAGTGCCATAGACGCTCGGAGTATAGATTAGCAACCCTACTACAGTGTACGGTGACTTTTATTGTCCATCCACAAAGACCAAAGTACCCGGATGCCGGTGAGATCATTGTAAGCATCCACTCCTGGTAGGCGACTGATTCGCCCCGGTCAAAAAGCAAGGGGAATGATCAGAATGGAGATGAAGTTTGAACAAAGTCTTTTGCCCACACAGAAAAATCGGTCGGCTTTACCATTAAAAGGAATCCCACCTCATTTTGGTGTGGCCAAAAGACTTCGTCAACCTTTGATACGTTATCCACCTGCTTTCGCCGGTTTTTCCTGGCCTGAAACAGCTGCTTACCAGCGGTGATCAATCCGAGAGGCAGGGAAGAACCTTTTGCCGTAGTGCTATGTTCGTGGTCAGAAGCAAGTCGTTTCAAGAAGCCATCAAGCGCGACTGCCGCCTAGCCGTATTCATAGCAAGTCCACAGTCCCGAGTCCCGACATTAGTTATGTGTGTGCACAAGTATAGTCCGACGTCCGACGTAGATAGCGGCATAGCCAGTCGACTATGACTCGTGCAGTAGTGGCGGATATTTCCAGTCAGTTTTCGGTCCTGTCGTTTGTTCTGACTTCTTGATGCAACTTGGATGCAACTGTCAAGTTGAACTTGTAATTCCTATGCAGGAGTACTAGTTTTGAGAAAATTTTCGGCGACTTGATTGATTGCCAGTCACACGTGCCTACCCCGCCACAACCTTCTTGCCTTCGCCCGTCATGTCGACCTCACCCGAGTGTTCGCCCCCCACGTCAGTATCGGACTTTGTCGACCTTAGTAGCTCAGAAAACGGGTCGGAAGCCGTGGTCTCCACCGTTGTCGAAGGAACAACTTCGCCGGGTATGACTGTAGTTGTAGACGACTACGAGCACAGCGCCGTTGGAAAAGCAGAAGGAGAGTCAAGTGAAACAGCTGAGGACGATACCTAGATCACTCAAGAGTTCGTCTCCCTCTGTTTGTGATAGTGACATCACTATCACCCCCCAGGATGTTGCAGGCCCATCCGCGCGTCTCGATCCCAGTAGCTCTCACAGTACAAGGAGGAAGAAAAATGCACGGAAAGGCATCAAGTCCATCTGTGTATGATTACCCTCAAGATGAGGGAGTATCCAATGCCTCGGATGTTTTGGTTTTTGGTGGCAAGAACGAAGCAAAACGACGTGAGTCCATGATCTCTTTTGAATTTCTACCTTCTCATCCTTTCCTTTCCAAGGTGTTGTATTTCCCGCCGAGATGGTCGACATGTCGTTGAACAAGTCCATTGATGGAGGCTTTTCCTTCCAAAAGACGTTTGGTGAGGGAGACTTCATCGCTGCTGGACATCTTCAAGTTTCCAGCCAGAAGCCCGTGAAGAGCGCCAAGGACAACGCTTATGTACGCCCAATCTCCATCTGTTTCTGCTGCTCGCAATTGAAAAGTTCTAGATATTCTATGTTATTGAAGGTGTTGTTAATGTCAGAATACACCAGACATACCATACCGTGAGCTCTGGTGGGATGTTTATGGTGCCTCGAGGTAAGCTACGCCACTTCCCCGTATCGAGCGGATATAATTCATCATATTAGGAAACACATACTCCATTGAGAATGTGTCCGACAAACCGTCAAAGCTGGTTTTCACCCAGGCGCGTGAGTCAGCCGTAGCGTCTGACGGCGATGATCCAATGAGGCTAGATCGTAGATCTCGCCTCCCACATGAATTGGCCACATCCAAGGCTTTCATACTGCTGGGGTGGCTCTTTGAGCGCTTCTTGAAAAGATTCGCAATCTATCGAAAGCTGCTGTTGATATGGTCGAAGCGAGCGCGCTTCATGTTCCACCAACATATGCACGGTGGAAGAACCTACGCACTCTTCTTCATCCTCGGGGTTTTGCTGCGGAGCATGCCTTTCCCTGGAAAGTCGAGTTTGACCCCACCGCGCATTAATATTCAGTTTATACGTGACTCAGCACGTTCATAGTATTCCACGCTGTAGGTGGATGACTGCTGTATTCGTGACTGCTATTTAGTCCTTAGACTGACCGTATTTTTGTACTATACCTGTATTTACTTTATCTTCCAAGGAATTATATCGCTTGATACTACTGTCGATTGCCTGGAAGTGTAAACAGCCGAATTGTTACTCATGGTCACGAATTTCTGGAACAAATTCATCCCCTGGCGGACGCAAGCCATGGCACGGCAGGGCGGCGGGGAAGGCGGGTGCCGATGAAGCCGATGCAGCCGACGCGGGCCAAAACAAAATCTGCGTTACTTGTGAGTGACGCATCCATGACGCAGTTCGACGCGTTCCGATCGTCATGCGCAGATAGCCCACGCGCCTCCCGACGAGTATAAAAGGGGGGCGGCCTTCGTTCCTTCCTCAATCACTTCTTTCTTTCCCTTCCCCCACCATCTCCTTGTGCGCGTACCCTACGGGCCCTTCAGGGTGAGGACCTCTGACCAAGTCCATAACGTGAAGTCATACATCGTGAACACGTCGCATTGACGTCGCCTTCGTCACGCGAGGCGACCGTGCGATGATGACTCGACCACTCGGATGCCCCTACATGCGCCTATGTCAATGGTAACTCTCCGACTCGTCTCTCCTCCAAGGCTCCATCCATATTATCGGCCAAATCCATACCGCCTATTTTCCCAGAGAAGCACCACGTCTGATTGCCTTTTCAAGGACCATTTCACGATGGCGTAACTCGACCATAACTGACTCGTATATTCTATTACAACGTAATGCTGGGGACCTCGAAATAGTGAACAAACAAACAAACTTCTTCTAAAACACGACGCCCGGGAACGATGTTGCGTTGGCCTAGTCATAATCGCCTATTCCGAACAACCTGCTCACATATCCCATTATGCTGAGCTAAATATCAGATGTATCGCCCTGGAACGTCGGCCGTGTCTACCGATAACTCCTGCAGGTGTAACCCTCTTCTTTTACGATCTTTGGACGAATACCCTCTCGATCTAATATATATATAGCATCAGGATAAAGGAAGGAAACAAAAGACTTTAGTCAACTCGCTTTATACCAACCTTGATGACATGAATTGATCTCCTAGCCGTTACCTTTCTCATCTCACCATTACACGGCACGACACATTTAGGCACGCCGGCCTAATAACTGCGCTGCAAAGTCTACCTTCTACTATCTAGTCAACCCCGAAGTCGTGTTTCTATAACGACAGTGACCTGATAGTGACAAACACCTTCCTTTTATCGTGACCTATCCTATCAAACGTTCATTCCCCTTTTTTGTCCCAGGAACGAGCTGTGTCGCTGCGACCTCGAGAGATGCAGACAAATGTGTGTTTGCAGTTGTCAACTTTTGAATGCTCGCTGTTCGTTCGTACCGCTTCTACGTGAATTCTAGTCGTGTTTTCGCCCGGTCCTCTCATTGCTAGTCTTTCTTGCTGCACTATAATTATGAGGGGAAGTCTAACGTGATGTAGTGCGCCTGTCATCACGAACTAAGCGCGCCACCACCTCAGACTGCTAAGTAGTGTATACGTCGGACGCTTTCAGCAGGCAGCAGCATCGAGCTCGCTACCATATGTAAAACGCTGAATGCCTTCTGAACAGCTCGTCATCGACAGCAGGATCCTGGCGCATAAGGTGCGACTTCTGCCTCGATGCTTAGGTGTTTCCCCTAGAAAGGCACCAGGTGCTGGTTGACGAACCGCATTATATATCAAATCGTCAGTGAATATTACTGCAGGGCATACAAAGGAATGGATGATTAGCGTAACTATCTAAGAGAATATGCGAGCAATTGATACAGATATTGTTTGATACAACGAAAGCAATAAATACTTCAGATAAACAAAAATGTCGCGCTCGGATTACCCGCTCTGCCTGAGCGAAAACTTCTTCTTGATGCTGCGTCGGAATGGATTCGAGAATGACGACTGCTTGCCCTTCCTCGACGGAGACGGCTCGGCGGGGGGCACCGCAAGGTGATTTTGCCTTCGTTCCGACAAATTAGTCTGGATCCTCCTCATTGCCACCCCATTTTCCTCAGTCGCAAAGTCGAACCCACGGTCCACAGACACGAGTCCCGTAGCCATATCCGTCCGGCTAGCCGCACGAATGTCAATGGATCCTCCTCGATAGGGATCGTTGATAGTCATCAAGCTACTTGCCCGCGACGATCGACGAGACATGATGGATGTGGGTCGTCCTCGGTTTTCTCTCATCACTCTCATGCCGATACCAAGGTGAGTCTCGGAATCATGAGTAAGATCTCGGTAGGGGTCCTTCTTTCGTACCCAGCGGATGATATCAAGATCGTCAGGATGGAACCCAAATTTCCACGCTTTTGCGATATACCGAGGCGCCAACGACAGCAGCATTGTAAGGGGAATGGCGAGCCAGAAGTATGCGGAGGCGCTGAGGAAGTAATAATTTCCATAGAGATTAGTGACCGCATAGCCTAAAACACGTCGAGGTGAGATAGTGGTCTAAGAAAATGGAGAGACGCCTTACCTGGCGAAATGACTGAGTAGATCATCTGAAAGGGGAACGTGTCGTGAGAATGCATTATCCCAGACGTGAACATGATTGTGTTGACTCACTGTGAAGCCCCAGACAAGGGCGATTCCGAAAGAGACAGCAAATGCAAGCCACCAAGTCCATGCGGATGCCGCCATCCCTGTAAATATATTCGCGACCATAACACCCGAAACAGCCATAGTCTTAGGAGCAAAGTCAGAAAATGGCAATGCCCGTCGGGGGGCGAGAACATACCGTAGAGTATTCGTATAGATGCAGATCATAGCCGTCGCTACGCGAGGTCGGTGAGAAGTACCCGTATGTGATAAGGAAGTAAATGATAACGGACTTGTAAGCAGGGGAAAATCAGCCAGATGTAGACATGAGGAGGCATCGGACTCACTTGGTACATTCCATCGAGGATATAAACGTAGAAATCCCGCATGGAAAACCAATAACTTTCACGTCCATAATGATAAAGCTCCGGCAAATCCATGAGGACCTGGGAATCTGTAGACGAAAATATGAGAAACTCATATGGCTCTCCGGGGGCCGGCGCACCTAAGATGCGGTCGAAGAGACCTATACCGACAACGGCAAGTAGTGTCCACAGCGAGTTCCAGAACAAGATATACACATAGTCGAACACGCTGTATCGCACATTAGTAGGAGAAAACACCAGTAGCTTGGTACTCACAATGTGCCACTCCATCCGCAGTATATCTGGAACCAGAATTTGATACCCATAGGTACGATATTTTTGTAAAAGAAGGCTAGAATCCTGAAGGCACGCACGATTAGTCCGAACCGTAAGCACGAAAATGTAATGCCCACTTACAAAGTCCCGTTCCGAGCGAACGACCAATGTCCGTGTACTAATAGGAGCTTCTTCAGGAAACGGAACTATCCCAGTGTTGTTTAGTCAATCCAATAGTCAGGGGGAGGCGACATACTTGTCCGATGGCATAATCCGACGAATTGACAGCTTGTAGACCTTCTTCGCCAGAGATACCAACGCCGACATCAGCAGCCTGAGTCTCAGTGAGCTGTGGGATACTCATACGCCAAAGCGAGACGAACCTGAATCATGCTAACATCATTGGCGCCATCACCAATGGCGAGGGTCATGACGCGCAAGTTGTCTTTCACCAAGCGGACGATGAGAGCCTTTTGCAAAGGCGACACACGACAGCAGATAACACCTTCACATAGGGTTCCCAGTCGAAGCAGCAGCTGTTTACTACTCTCATGGTCAAAGGCCTAAGAAGAAGTTGCGTGAATAACTTGATCACAGAATCAAGAACAAGATAATATAATACCTGAGTCAACGCAGCTCCATCAACGACCAGAACGAAACCACCAGGAAGTTCGCCGTTATCCTCTCCAACGATCGAGTTGCGTCTCTCATCACGATCAAGCTGGAAAGACTTTGATTCCCGTGGTATTGGGTCAACCTGAGGAGTCATATCCGTAACTTCAGGGAAAAAGCGCTTCATTGCATTCCTCATCTGTTCTTCGACGGGCTTAGCGCCTCCACCGCGTACGATAATAATGTTCGAATCCGGTGCGACTAGGTTTGTGCTTCGGCCGATAGCTGTAAGAGATAGTGGTATAAGATTAAATGACCTCTGGTACCCACACAATGCGTACCTATAGCAGTTTCTAGTTTGTCACCCGTAGCCACCCATATCTTGATTCCAGCGCGTTTGAGGTCAGCAATCGTCTCGGGTACACCATCTTGTAGACGATCTTCAATGGCAGTAGCACCCAGGAGACGAAGGTCTCTTTCTAGTTCCTCGGAAACTTGTTCTATCTTTTCTTCACGGTCGTCCATGGAAACAGACGCTTGATGGTATCGTTCACTCCAGGATATGTATTCATCAGCTGCAAAACACATTAGCCGTCAACTTGTCAGCGACGAGAGGTAAGACTCACTAGAAATGACCTTGTACGCCAACGTAAGCGTCCTCAGTCCCTCGTTTGCGAACTCGTTCAAGTGACGCTCCGTCTCCGCCTTAAGATCATCCCCTCCCGCTTTTAAGCGCTCGAATATAACGTTATCCGCGCCTTTAGTCATTAAGAATATCCGGTCATCATCGCCCTCCAACTTCCTCAACACGACACTCATCCTCTTCCTTGCGCTGTTAAATTCCAAGATGTTAAGCAGTTCATAGCGCTCAGGTTCATCTGATCCCGGGCTTCGCATTGATAGGGTTTCCTTATCACGTCCCAAGAAGACATATCCCATGTCAGCCGCAGATTGGACAAGAGCGGCTTCATCTGGAGACTGGGCCTTGTATTCGATACGACCGGTTTCAGGATCAACGGAGGTAAGCACCGTATGGCATAGCGCCAATACACTGAAAAACCCGTTCAGTGCACGAGCGTGCGCCTGGCTTTCCGGTGGAGCATCCTCGGAGATAGCAGCCTCAATGTCGGCTTGGAGAATGACATCCTTAAAGCGATACACCGTATCCTTCCCCCTAAGATCGGAGGTGGAAGTGGACGCGAACGCACCCGTTTGCGCTTTCTGTTTGAGCTCGAATATAGAATCTTCTTCTTCGTCGCCTTCGTGACCTTCGGGGTCTCCTTTGTATGCTTTCCCTCCAATTGAGCATTGACGGAAAACCATCAAATTCTAAGAAGAGTGATCAAAAAGTGCATAACGGATGATGATCAGATGAATAACCTGTGTCAGAGTCCCGGTCTTGTCGGAGAAGATATATTGTATTTGACCAAGGTCATCTGACAAATTCCAGCTACGAGCCAAGGTGGCTTGATTGGTCTTCTCGTACCATATATCCTTATCGAAGTAGATGAAAGCAGACTGTAGGGTCCGTACTACTTCGATAGAGATATACAATGATATGGGAACGATATCTTGGAAACTGAAACGTGTAATGATTAGTGTGTTTCTGTCAGAGTGGGGATAGCCACCCACGTCAGTAAGGCATATGCCCAGGTAATTAGACCATTGATGGATGGGTTGTCATCGCTCTGATCGTCACCGTATAGCCACGGTGCCCCCATAGGATAATAGTGCTTCTCCAGCGCAGAATCAACAATGGCACAGATAGTGGAGGCGCCGGCAAGAATGGCGAGATTGATGAGTCTGCTTGAGAGTCAGTTAAGACCTAGATGGATGCGAAAGAAACGTACACTTGAGGATTCATCTTTCTCTCAACTCTGCTTCGTTTACTGGGCGCGCTACCAGAGTTCATGACAATCTTTGAATCTTCTCCAGTAAACAACACGAGCCCGATAACCCAGTCTGTATTCCGCAGTACAGTTCCACGCAAAAGAGTCATCTGAATGTCCACAGGTGCCTTCTGGTCGCCCAGAGAAACCATGGCATTGAGGCGATACATGTTATTTTCTGGGCGATCGCACTGTACTTCGAAAGGAGCCGTCCGTGAACATGAATAGGCATCACGAAGGTGGGTCAGGGCGGGGACGGCATTCCTGGACTTGAGGTTGGTCTCCCCATCCAAGTTTTTCGTTTCCACGAAGGCTTCATTTTCGTCGTCCGACGTCGCACAGATGAGAATATCCGCAGGAAAAGGGTGGTTGCCCGATAGCTTGACAAAGTCTCCGACACGAATATCTTCCCACGTAGTATTCTTCCAACATGGACCACCGGCTTGTGGGTTGTCGTAATCGAATTCAACATCAAAGTCATCAGTTGCTGAATGATTCTTGTTTCCCGCGTTTCCGGCCGCAATCTGAGCCGGAGTTGGTTGTCGCCTGCTAGAGAGGAGACCTCGGACGAAGGTCTTGCTCTTGGACTTCATCGCATTCGGATTGTGCCAGCCCCCGCCGGACAGAACCTTGACAATGCTCTGATTGACGGCCTTGTCTGATTGGTGACGTTTGATATCTTCGTACCCATCCTTCGCTGCCGTCAGACCGAGGATGATGACCAAGGGTAGAATGACGACTCCGGGGGCTATTGTGGAGAATTTTGGAAAGAATTGAAGAATAGCGAGCCCAAGGAAGAACCTGGGTCATTGTGTATCAACATAAAGCGTCAGTATACCACCATCACTGAAGGCACGTACAGATTCGCAATTCGCCTAAACTGCTCCATTAGATTCCGTGGCAGGAAAGTCAGGATCGTGTACTTGGACGTGATGACCTGGTTGCTGTTATACACATGGTCGGCCTTGACTCTCCCTTTGTGGTCGATGTAATCTGCAGAGAGTGCCTGGTTTACGAAAATAGTTCTTGGAGGCCCTGGCGGTCGCTTCTGAGAGAAAAGGTCCTCGATACTGAAGGACTTGAGCTTGCCAAGCCACAAGCCAGTAGAGGTGGCAGCGACCATAGCTGAGAAGGAATCAGCGCTGGGAATAAAGAAAGGACGTATTAGAGCCGGGTCAGATACGTGGTCCCTGCGAAAGTTCCATCATGATTGTTCGGAGGCGCGCGTTGACGATACTGCTGTCTTGGGCCCGAGACCGGCATATCGATGACGAAAATCAAACTTATAAAGACTCCGTCCGAAAAGCCGTCTGACTCCGAAATCCGTTTCAGGACCATGACAGATGCTGCACCTCATCAGCTGCCGTCAAACGCGCAACCCGACAATTCATCTTTACGAGATGCACATACGAGACAAGTGAACAGCAGTGTTGAGTGGGGTAAGTCGATCGATGACACTCAGGAGATATTTTTGTTGCAATACAGTACAACACGGAGAAATACACGTATCAATACTTTAACGTAGATAGAGTACATAACGACCGTGTCCGATACGGCAATGACCTCGTAGCGAGAGCTGAAAACGACCCACAAAAAATCCGAGAAAAATACGCATATGCATATGCATAGCCCGGAGTTCCCAAGTTTCAAATTTCAGCGTGATACTTGGCTACAGGGGCGTAAGGTGCATAGGCTTCAGGCACCGTCAATTAATGAAAACGGCTATCGTGACCAAGTGTATATATTTAAGTTGAGATGGGTGGTCCTTGGATTTGAGCGAGCTTACTCCGATTTCTCAAGCACAGCCATAAGCATCAACTACTGCCCCGTGAGAAATAGTGACTAAACTTGATTTACATGAATTGAACCGTTTTAATCCGGTTTCAAACTCCGACTGATGACCGGCTATGTGGTTGCGGACTCGGAGGCTAGCCCACAATCACCGTTTTTAATGCGTATCCTGGATAAAGAAAAGGCATAATAAAAGTTAAATCAGCTCCTGGCAAAAATTCCCTCAGTGTTGTTTTCCTATGAAACTAAAAGAAACTGCAGATCATTGGAATATTCTAATAGCATATCAGTTTATTCAATGCTGGTACAAGAATCAAGCAGATGGCAATCCAGCATAATGTGCTGATTGCAGCTCTGTCTGATTCTGAATCAAACATTCCATGAAATTTCGCTGGTTAGCAAGGTGGGATCGGGGCCGCACTGACCGAGTCAGCTATGACCCACTTATACTCCATTATCGAAACTTCGTGGAATAGGAACGAGCCCACAACATGAGAAATAGATGCAGAAGCCATGGTACAGGAGCTGCCCAAGGAGAGGGGGCAAATCAAACCCTAGAAAGTGGTATGGCATGTTTGGGCGATGACTTGACCAGTAAGAGTGCATCATGGCTGCACACTTACATAAATACTTAACTCTGAATTAGACAGTCACCACATGGAGGGAAAAAGTACACGTACAAATTACTCAGCTGTATCAAGACCCCGTCGAAACAACATCTAATTTCCGCCTTTTCTTCACCGGACTCGGGGAGGTGATGACCACTTCAACTTTAGTGGCCGGCCATTTCGTCGGAGTCGCAGTGGTAGACGTTCTGGGCTGCGACATCGATAGGGGATAGTGTTCCTCCGCCTCCTCATCGGCAGGCCGTTTGCCTAAGACCGGCGCTGGCGGCTGATATTCGGCCTCTTCATCAATGTTCTGATGATCTTCATCTTCAAGTCCAGAGAGTGATTCTTCCTCAAGCTTTGCGTTCTTCTTGCGTTTGTTGTTGATACGCTTGGCTTTGCCGTACACATCCTTAACATGGCACAAATGCACCTCAACTCCAGCGCGCTGGAGCGCGTCGCACCACAGCTACGAACAACAGTTAAACATGGGCAGATTGGACTCGTGACCGATATACCTTTTGGTTCTCCTGAAGTCGGTCACCAGGACCCTTGACCTCAACAAATTTACACTCGCGATCTTCGGGTTTCCAGACGATGAGATCTGGCGCGCCACTGCTTCTTCCTGCGTAATCCTCGCAGAAGAGATGGCAGATTGTGGCTAGGGACTCGCCCTTAAAACACTAAGACGTCGAAGAAGGTCAGCGTGGTATTCGCATCACCAACTCCAGTAATGTACCTGAACGATTTCCAGTACATCTTCCCTAGGGTATTCCCATTTCACTCCGACACACCAAGTCTTGCTCGGCCGGTATATACGATCGTGGCGTTCTAGGATTTCCGCTGCCTTTCCGTCCTCGATTTCTCTCAATCGGGTTTGTATCAGCTCCTTGCGAGCGTAATAGAACGAATCCTCTGCGATATCCAATGGCGCAGTTTGAAACTTGGTTTCGAAGGCTCCCGGAACGTCCGCAAAAATGACATCCCAGAATAGCAGGCCGAAAATTGTGGTCAGTATCCTGGTCTCAGAGTGGAACCTACTCAGAACTTTAGTTGTGTTGAGCCTACCAGGTTGAGAATTCATACCCTTTGTAGCCCCATTGTCCATAGGCCTGGAGTGTTCGAGTTTCAACATTGACTTCCTCATTCTGCTCCCCTCGCCACAAAGACTTCCCAGTCCAAGAAGGGGCCTTACCGCCGTCTTTGGTCCTAGAGGAACCTGGCGCACCGTTTTCCTTCCCCTTTGGTCGGCCAAATTGATCAAGCTGAAGGCTATTGCTGCTGCGTTTGATGCGCTCGGCATGCACCTCAACAACTTCGGGCTCCTTGAGCTCCCCCTCACACTGCGATCGTTGCTCTTCAGGGACCTTCAGCGTCTTCTCCACCTTCTGCAGTCGCCTGAAGAGACCTGGGCGGCAAACTATCGAAGTCACGGTTAACCATATCTATGAGGACTAGGAAGGGGCTCACTAAGATGCGTGTCATCGTCCTGGAGAGCATCTTTCAGATGCTCCATCGCTATCCGTAGCTTGGGCCTGCTTTTAGACTTCTTACCCTCCACCTTGGAAAGATATGTGATCTCAACCAGCGCGCGCCTATCGTACCACGATCCGCGCTTTCCTCTACGCCAGAATCGTTGATCAAGCAATTCACCAAGGGTTTCGACCTCAGCTTCATATTCCTTCAATTGGCCAAGCGCTCGGGCGTACTTCTCCACCATTCGGGTGTAGATATACCCTAGTCTCTTGATAAGCCTACGCGAGTCATTGACACACTATCACTTTACCTGGTTCGAACCGGTCTAGTCCGGGCCTTGGATCCTCACCAAGAACCTCCTTTTTAACCGCCCGTTTGACAGCGACGCAAAGCCGCCAGCGTGGAAGGATGGTGTTCATCACCTTTTCTCTCACAGCCTTGGCAACCATCTGTTGAGGACTCAGCTCCTCTCCATCATTTACATCGTCCATCTCTTCATCAGTGTCAGCTTTGCAGGGACGTGGCGTCTTTCCCGGTGTCGCTGTTCCACGTTTGGGCGTCGTTGACGCTCGTAGCTCTTTTCCTTCACTTTCGAGTATTGCCTCTAGCTCTGCTTCGAAGTGTAGGGCTTCTTCGTACTGCAAGAAAGCGTCACGCGACTCCCATATCTGTCCAGTGCGCGTGGCATTATACTTAGGATAGATACGCTTCTTGAACTCGCTAAGGAGTGAAGGAAGGAATATATCAGTAGGCAAGTGCATACTAGACGGGCCATCAGTCCAGGGAATTTTGGGAAAATGAAAGGCAGTTTACGATCGATAAAAAATAATACTAAATCGTCGAACGAGTCGAAAGAAATCATAATTGAGTCGTATGCATTTGCCTAATTTGGACGTAAGTCTGAGAGCAAGCGCAAGAGGAGGAAGTCAAATACCCAATTTCTTTAGTGCCATTTCCTTCAGCCTCTGCTCTTGCGTTTCCTTGCATGGTACGGCAAAACATAAAAGAGTCTGCCTGTAGCCATCGTCGTATCGCTCACGGTCCTTAGACTTATTCTTCTTAGGTGACTCGAACGGAAGAGAAGCCTGGGTACAAGAGTATTTCATGAGAGCATCTATAAAATGTTCCTTCTAATGGTGGGTCAATCACAACGATATATGAGATAAACATCTGAACTCACCTTGGTACCCTTCGGAGAGACTCTGGTTTCCTTCGCAAGTGCTCTGAGTTGATCGGCAGGGAGCGTTTCGAGGATTCCATGAAGAGTCATAGTCGATTCATCCTGGCAAAAAAAGCTGAGATCAAGATTCTGGATCACTGCTTCAAGCGCGGCGTCCTTGCTCCGCGTCGGAGGAGGTATGGCAGGAGGTCCAGCCGCAGGTTTACGATCCTCTTCCTCCTCTTCGTCGAGAGTCAAGTCTATGATTTCTGGTTCTTCAACTTTAACTTTGGCCTCCTCCGAAGGCTCTAGCGCAGCCGAAAGGTCGGTGATGGCCTGACGAATACCATCTTCACCGATTTCTGACGTATAGCGGTGCAGCGCATTGAATGAATGCCACCGGTTCTGCTTCCGACACAGAAGCCGTGCAAGAAGATATCTGGCATGGTCTACGATGGAGCCGTTCAAACACGAGAAACGGAGAATGGCAGACGAATGGCGTACACTTCAATTCCTTCCCTAAAAGTCTGATTAAACACCACTCATCCTCACTCAAGAGGTGTCTTTCGTAGCTATCTACTTCGTTGATCATATCTGAGAAGGAGGATCAGCCATGCCTCGGAATATATGCTAGTGCATGTACCTTCCATTACCCGCACATAAGTGGATGGTCGTTCCGACCTCTCTTTCCTCTGGGTCGCATCCAATTCTTCAATCTCATCTTCGATGTCAGATAATTCCTCCTCGATTTCGAGATCGCCACCAAAGATAAGGTTAATAGCATCGTTGTCGTTTGTTGGTCTCATTCTGATGCGAAGGTCGTGATAAATAGTCGTCGGCTGATAGCAGCTATAAAGTGCCTATTCCACTGCTGTCATGGAAAGGCGTGGAACGCAGTTGAATGTTATGATTCAAGAGGGACCACCAAAGAGATGGAGGACGAAGAGGAAGGGACCAAGCGATCATGTGATCGGCGGTTGACGCGTCTGTCACAGTCACGGCAGTTTCCGATAACTTGAACTTCGACTTCGACCACCATGCTTGCCGTTGCAGTTACAGGTTCTCTCGCTATACTCGATGCAGCAACAGTGAAACGGTCACCTTCTACCTTTTCTCCATGCTTGAACCTTCCTTCACCTCCAACTGCCTGCTCCTGGTCAACGGACAACGCTTTTCTATTCCTTTCCTCATCACGAACCATTCACAAATACGACCCCACATGCAACTCCCTCGAAGACCTATATACCTCCCCAGAGACAGCCGATATATCCCACATATCTGTCAAAGACAAGGTTACAATCGCATTCAGTGCCGGAGACAAGGTTCATGTGCTGGAATGCGGCTCAACACCGAAGATTGCACAAACCTTCAAGTCGCATAAATCACCGATTACTTCTCTCGCGATATCCAACGATGGTACCCTTCTTGCATCCACCTCCGCTGGCGGAGCCCATGTCTATAACCTCTCTCACGGATCGCACACTGTCCTCAGGGGACTGCCACTAACAGGCCAATCAATCCGAACTTGCACTTTCCACGCTCATACGCGCGCGCGTCTTTTGCTCGGTATTGGCAAGCAACTCATCGTTTTCGATACTACACGTCCCTCGGGCCTTATGAAGACAATTCCACTGAACGCGTCGTCTTCAGGTGACATCGTCTCTGTGGCATGCAGCCCATTCAGTAAAACACTGGTTGTGGTCGCAACATCAGGAGGCAATGTCGGGCTTGTGGACCTTGAGAAAGAGAAAGGGTACGTTTCAATTGCTACGGCTAATTTGTTAATCTGACCAGACCTTAGTCTATTCCGAACTCTAAATCTCAAGATTCCCCTTACGTCCATCTCATTTTCCCCTGAAGGAGCTTCCATCTACGTTGGGACAGAAACGGGAAAGTTTCTTATCTTAGACTTGCGGGCTCTGGATAAAGCACCGAAGAGCATCACAATCAGTGGCAGTGGCTGCCGAGTTGAGGCATTTTGCGTCCAGGTAAGTTAATCTATTTTACGTTCTGTAATGTAGGCTCATAGCTGTTGTTCAGAGAAAGATCAAAGGGGCACCAGAAACTAAAGCAAATTCCTCAGCGGCTAAAGCTACTAGCGAGGTGGTCACCAGCGCGGGCGTTCGTCCAGTATCAGCAGCGAAATCTGCGGCTGTACCCTCCTCTTCTCCTAAGAAAGTGGCAAGACTATCGGCTGGCCACCGAGAACCCTCCGTTGCACGGAAATCGTCAACTGCTTCTTCGCCAAGAAAGCAGAGCAGTGCTGGTCCAATGACGAAGAAAGTGTTCTCCCCAGTGCGAGATCCACTTGGCAATAGCACTAGTCTTAACGAGGACATCTCAAGTTGGTTACTTTACTCTGTACAACAGCGTTCCCTGACACGTCCCCGTAGTGCAGATTGAATCTCTTAGTGCCATGCGCGGCGCTACCAAGAGGCCTGTCAAAGAAGAGAAGGATAAGGCTTCTTCCGTTTCAAGACACTTGATGAGGAAGAGCTCGACGATTAGCGCTTCAACAACGGGCTCTCCCGTGAAGCTCACTAAAACATCACCAGCCTCTTCACCCAAGGTAGTGGAGCGGGCACGTACCACCTCCGCGTCTAGTAAGGCATCTACGGCACTGCCGGCACCATCAACATCGCCCAAAGAAAACGAACCCCCACGTCGAACACGTACCATCTCATCGACTTCGCGTACCCGTCGACTATCAAACACGGAGTCGATATCAACAGCGTCGACACAATCACGCCCAATCAGAACACTCTCCTCGGTGTCACGGACTGAATCTGACAGTCTATCTGCTCGCTCATCCCGTGCACCCAAGACGTCCATTGGTTCTTCAGCATCACGCAATCCATCTCCGATCCCACCCGTGCCCCCTCTGCCTGTTGAAGTCGTACAGCAACAGCAACGGCTTTCCCCCAAGTTCTCCGAGGAGCGAAGTCGCACTCCTTCCCCAGACCTTCCTGATGTACATGATGCTGATCCAGTAACACCTTTACCTGCGAAGAAAGGTATGGCTGTGTTGGGTCTCGGAACACCCGAAGTGGAGCGCTGGATCCAGGCTGGTGAAGTGAAGGAGCTTTCTGCCAAGGATCGGAAAGGGAAGGGGCGCAGCGTCGGTTTCATGGACCCGAGGGAAGAAGACGGGAAAGAAACTAGTATGGAGATACAGATATCCCCTCGTCGCGCGACGCCCATGAAGCCGGCTTCATGGGCGTCCTCACCACTAAAACATCCCATACCTAACTCTCCTGGGGGTACCTCCGCGCACGATTTCCTCCGCAATATTGTTGGGGATGTTATGTTTGATTACCAGAAAGAGACAAAAGCGCAGATTACCGGGTTGCACCTGGAGATGGTGAGGATGAGGCGTGGCTGGCGGAAAGAGCTGGGGGACATAATGGAGCAGTACGTGGGCGACTTGAAGGATCTGAGAGAAGAGAATCAACGGCTTCGAGAGGAGAATGATCGTCTACGGCGAGGGTACTAGAATCTACCTCAGTTTGGATTTACACACCTCATGACTTGTTGATGCCACTAATAACGAACGTCGTATCAAGCTATATCTTCTTGAAAGATGAGTATAAGCAAGCTGCCCGCGCCTTTTTTCTTCTAGAGGTCGCAATTCTTTCCTGTTTTGCTTCGTCTACTTTTTTAGGATACCTGTTAGTGTCTTTCGCGGCAAGCTGGATGCTATCGCTGTATCTACTTAAGGCGTCCTACGCGTACCTAGTGCTACTGCGCTGATATTCGTGAAGCTTGACGCGCTCTCAATTGTTCAGTTGGACAGCACATGATTGTTACCTGCGCAACGACGTAGGTGTTTGAATACTACTTGGCAGGGGGAAGGCGGGCGGGTATGAAGCCGAGGCCGGACCAAAACAAAATCCGCGTCAAAATGCGAATTCTCCTAAAAGAGTGACGTATCCATGACGCGTTCCGATCGTCATGCACAGATCGCCCGCCACCATAAACGCGCCTCCCGACGCGTATAAAAAGGGCGTGCACCTTCCCTCATCCCCCCATCGCTTCCTTCCTTCCTTCTCCCATCATCCCCTCGTGTGCACACCCCCGAGCCCATTCTGGGTGGGTCCGAGTCCATGACGAGAAGGAACGCTTCGTAAACACGTCGACACCGTCGCGCGAGCCGGCAGTGAGACGATAGCCCGAACGCTTCCTCTTGTATGCCGTATCTTGATGGATGCCTTAACACCGTTCCCCGGCGCGCACCTATTCATATTATTGGCTGAATCATAATCACCTGTTTCCAACGCGGTGGACCATTTCACGAAGGCGTAACTCGAACAACCTGCTCACATATACCACTATGTTGAGCGGGATATTGGACTTAGCGTCCTGGGACGTCGCCCGTGTCTACCGATAAATCGATAACCCTTGAGCTTGAAGGCGCATCTCTTATCTCCTACGATCTTTGAACGAATGCCCTCCAATCTATATGACATCGGAAGAAAGGAATGAAACAAAAGACTCCAGTCTACTCGCTTTATATATGGCACGGTACCCTCACACGCGTCAGACGCCGGACGCAATCCTCACTACCCTCTAGTCAACCCCCAAGCCATACTATGATATCTGGATAGTGGCATACACTTTGCTCCTATTATGAATCATCCTATCCGACATCCACTCCCATGTTTTCAAGGTCCAGAAATGAACTACATCCTATGCAACCTTGAGCGACGCAGACAAGCGTGGTTTTGTAATTCGCACGAGCTAATGTTTTTCCGTACTTCATCTACTACACAGCTACCGTGACCTGGTATTGGATAGGTCTGTGCCAGTTTGGGAGAACAAAGGTTGTCATGGCGAAAAATTTCGCTGTCATCCGTGTGGTTAGTACCTTAACCTTGTTTTTCAAGACCTTACAGTCCATGGGTTGGCTGACTGGCTCAAAAACACAACGCTTCAACAGCTCGCAGATTTGCTTCAGCACAAGTAGTCACCGCAAGTAATACAATAGGATATCCGTTTCTTATCATCCCGGGATCATAGAGAGCATTGGATACTAAAAATTTTACTGCGAGACAGAGCACTTGTACTTATCCTGAAGGGAACAAAGGGAAATTCAAATGAAACAAGGTCGTACGCGAAATTAGGCCCCGCCACAGCCACGTGGCTTGGCAACAGGCATTACAACAGTTATTACAACATCATTTGTTCCTTGTACTCTATTGTACTCGTCGTCCTTGAGGGCAAACTCTCTTCTTCGGCCACCTGGTGGTCAAGATGTCAACAAGAGGATTACCGGAACATTCACTACCTATTCCTACACACCACGACGTTGTCAGCGGGGCCTACAACATTTCCTTGAACTTGAGCTCTATCGGTTCCACCCTACTATCGATTCCCACTCGTCTCCTAGCGAAAATACGGAAAGTAGACGATATGCTTCCTGAAGATGCACCTATCGCTGAAGCTGTTACCTGGACGTCGACCGCCGCCGCCGCGAGCAAGCCGAGTATATCATCCTTAACAGCACAGTCGTTCCCCGGCCCTTGGGCGTTCTTCACATCGGCTTATATGCTGGGCTTGTTCGCTATGGTATGTCGTATTGAATATAGTTTGTTGAGCTGCTCCTCACTGTTGCTGCAGGCCATCCTGATGCATCGCATCCAGAACATCGTTGTTCCCACCCGATTTCCCAACGCCTCTCAGCTTAACCCTCAAAGGAGACGACATTCATCCCTAATACGAGGTTTCTACAATGCCCTTCTTCCGTTGGACGTTTCTCGGACAAGCACACGACTCGCCCTCCATATTCCGTCCTTATATTATATGTGCAAGATGCTATTAATGTGGTCCCTCCTTCTCCTCAAAAGTGCCGATCTGTGTCCCGAATACGAGTCCGGAACCATGCATGACCTCCTCCTATGGAGCCAACAAAAAGAGATGAACCAGATTGCCTGGTCCACCTTTTGCGCCGTGTGTGCTGCGTTCTGTGTCGAGGGTTTCGTAAAGGGTCTCGATGGAGTCGGAGTTGGCATTGGGGCACATATGCAAGCGAACAGTTCACCTTTCAATCTGGTGGGTGACCTCTTGCCCTGACGTGTCTTTTTCTGAACTCACCATCCGTAGGTCGGCTACGCCTTTCTTCTCCACATTTATTCTTCGCCGATCACGCACGTCAGCAAACCGGAAGGTCTGCCTTCAAGACCCGACAAGCATGTGATATTCACCATCGCGATTCCTCTCCTCCAGCTCACGGTTTTCCATGTCCTTTCGATCCGAAAGCGATGGTCGACCCACCGCCTCATTCCGACTGCCCTTTCATCTATCCTTTCGCTCATCCATTTCCATACTACGTTATTGATGCATTCCTACTCATCTGCGCCCTTCCATTCCTCGGAAAAAGATACCCTCTCCTCATACTCTAGCCCAAATGGCACCGCCAACTATCCCCTGCTCAACTATATACCCAACCTGTTCGAGACTATGCTTCTGATAACTATATTCCTCACAATATCGCTTAATTGCCTTACTCAGCTCGTGCTCACGGGGAGCGTTACTAGGCCGTTATTAGGTCTCGGTCTCGCCGGACGAAGTACCAGTGCCTGGTCATGGTCTCCCAACTGGGACGAAGACTTTGGCGTGCTCATCTTGCGCGTTGGTACCGCGAGTTTGGAAGCCACTGGGCTGCGCGGATGGGGTAATGAAATGGGAACTGTCGTTGCACCCAGACGAAACATTCATTTCCGTGAAATCGAGTATGGGACTTTGGAGATGAGCAGGTCCGGCGCGGTAACCGTAGTCCCTGGATCAGTTGCGGTCCCATCATCAGGAAGGAATAGGAACAAGAGACGTACCATGTGGGGATGGAAGAATGAGATTAGAGTCGTGCACGTTCGAGAAGAGGAAACACCCTCAGGAGGAAGCCTGGGTATCCCTGGCGTAATTGGTGTGAGCCGGCTGTGGTTGAGAGAAGCGTGGAGATATGTGAGAGGTATCTTCAACGTGGGCCGGACCGCTTCTACAATGTTTTGGGGTATTTTCCGGGGACGGAAAGCGAGTCCTGTGTGGATGGTATCACCTCGCCGACATCCCGGAATCATACAGGACCCTCGTATGGGAGAAACCATTAACGACGAGGACGACGAGGAAGATCTGTATGATAGGTTTGTGCAAGGTGACGAACTTGGTGATGACGACGACGACGACGACGAATGGAACGACGACGAAGCTACTTCGCTGTCTTCAGATGAAGAGGATGAGGACGAGGGGGACGAAGAGAGAGATAGAGAGGCCCTTGCATTGTATGCCGATTTACGTGAGAGAGAGTCAACGCCGGGAGTTTCGTCGTCGACGCTCTTAGCACACATGATACATACCGGCGGGTCTCCTCTAACCCGACGACGATACGACTCATTACTGGACGGAGAAACGTCTGTTCATTACAGAATCCAAGCAGATCTCAGTCCGAGCGGTCCGTCGGCCTACCTACTGGCGGTTTTCAAATACTCATGCTTTTTCCTTAGCCTCTAGCACTGCAAAGAGCGACGATTTCTCGGCCTACGATGACCCTAGACAGAACTGTGTCATTTGCACCACCGAAGCCCGCGAAATTATCTGCTGGCCTTGCAGGTCTGTCTGCCTTTCTTTTTCCGACGTTTATGCAACCTCCCGACTTATTCCGTCAATTTTAGGTGTCTTTCGATGTGCGATAACTGCCGAGAGAGCCTGGCGTCGCGTTCCTCTTCCTCTAAACACCGCTGTCCTTGTTGTCGACGAAAGTGCGCAGTTCTGTTTCCTTGTGATTGTCATGTCTCCTGATTGCCTATTCTTTATAGCGTGGAAGGTTATTCAAGAATTTTTATTCCTTAGCTCTCATTCAATTGTATTATTTTTACAACGGCCTCTATCTATCTCGGAATGTATATCGCTTTCGTACTTCAGCAATGTAATGGTTTGTCGGCGCGGTAAAAGCTGCTTCTATTCTTCCTTCCCGTTGTCCTTGGTCGTTCTTCAGAACATCTTACTGTGCACTTCCAATGCCCACTGCGGGCCATTGCCAATACAAGCGCGGGCCGGGTCGCTAACTCTGGCACGTGTACTTCTCACCCTTGTTCGTACCTTGTCTTCTTGTTCCCATTTACGACTTCTGGAAGTTCTTTTTGCATCTTTTGAGAGGCTCATAGACGCTTTTCCTGCCGATTTGTTTCGAGCATGTGTTCTGTGGCTGGCGAATCCATAGTCTCCTCGTGCTAGATTCTCCTGAACGTGCGATGTGGAACCTTTTGTCTAGGAAATTTTGCCACGCGCAAGAAAGCTATAACTACGTGATGGGGGGCCAGTGGTGTTCAGCTGGTCGACTATGTTTTCCCCCAGTGTCTGGAGTGTCGTCCTTGTCTCGTCTCTATTGGCCCGGCATACTATCGCGGATACCACTTCAGGGACCTTCTCCTTGTTGACCTATAATGTCGCGGGCTTACCTGGTTAGTTGGTCTCCGCTCCTCGCATCTTTCGACCACGGTTTCACTCGCTATTTTATCTAGAGGGCCTCTCGTCTAGTAATCCTGAAACAAACACACCGTTAATATCAGAACGACTGGGCCCATACAATGTCATCAACGTCGAAGAAGATTTCAACTACCATGCTGCGCTTTATGCGAGCGACAGTCATGCGTATCGCACTCCTACGTCAGGTACTTGTTTTCTATATTACTGGGAAGAAGCCATCAATAACGTCCTTGTGTCCAGGTGGTGCAGGTATTGGTTCTGGTCTCAACACACTCTCTGACTTTGAATACATCGATTTGGAACGCACTACCTGGGACAAGTGTTACATAAATTCCGGGGACTGCCTGACACCCAAAGGCTTCACCCTAGTGCGTATCCGCGTATCGGACGGCGCCTGGATAGACTTGTACAACCTCCACGCCGACGCCGGTGTAGATGAAGGGGATCTCGAGGCCCGATCGTCGAATTTCGCCCAACTTACCGAGTTCATGGAGACATGGTCTGCGGGTATGGCTGTTATCGTCATGGGCGATACCAACTCCCGGTACACCCGAGTGACCGACTCAGAGTCTCTCCATGGGTTCATTGACGATAATGGCGTCACCGACGCTTGGATTTCCCTCATTCGCGGAGGCTCGTACCCCGAGGAAGGCGCTGACGCTCTCGTGTGCGACTTCCCCTTCGCTGCGGGCACCACCCAAGCCGAGATGGTCTCCTGCGAAACCGTCGATAAGATATTCACCCGTTCGAGTTCTATCATTACACTCACCACGACTTCTTTCACCAACGAAAATGATAATTTCGTCGATGACGATGGGGCACCGCTCAGTGATCACTATCCATTGTCGGCTACTGCATCGTGGAGCCTCTCTTCTTCCCTTCGTCTCTCGGATCCTACGGGTGGTCCCCACGGTGACCCATTCAACGACATTGCCACTTCTCTCACGGACGATGTACCCACCATCGCATCTATCACTATTCGTTCCGGTAGTCGTGTCGATGCTGTCTCTTATGACCTATTGTACCCAAGCGGAAGCACGAGCACCGTGTATCACGGTGGCACAGGCGGTGACGACAATACGCTTTCCTTGACCAACGGGGACTACATCACACAGATTACCGCATGCAGTGGCAAATACAATGACCACACGCGCGTTTTCTACCTCAAGCTTACCACCAACTCTGGTAGTGTCCTGGAGGGTGGAGTGACTACAGACGATTGTCTGATTACTACAGTGCCTACGGACGCTGGTAGTGGCGGCGCATGGGGTTTAGTGGGATTCTGGGGAAGAAGTGGAGACGAGGCAGACAGACTGGCTGGTATTTGGGGTGCAGTGTACTGAACATTTTTCGTCGCCATGTACTACTTAGTTGGACTTTTGATTTCCTTTTCTTGAAGCCGTTCGTTTACTTAATGCTCGAACCTTCTTGCACTTCAATACAAACTACACTCGTTTCATTCCGTCAAAAAAAGATCGTGACTTAGACCGCCTACGGTCCTTTTAAACATACAATGCAAATCTCGCCTCGCCTCGCCTCACTAATGGTAGGTATGTAGTAAGTAGTAAGTATGACAGGGTTTCACTTCACCCTCCCTCCCTTCCGCATTAATAAGATCGTGATACAATGCCAATAAATGAATGCAGATGCGACAACCACCAACCGATGCACGATGTCCAAAGAATCATGCTTTTGTTTTTCCCCTGAGGATGGGATGTAGGAATTGTTCGTGCAGAGCTTTGCCAGCGGGGACCTATCAGGAGTCAGTCAATAAGAGACTACAGACGAAGAGATAAAAAAAAGTCATACCATGGGGAACACATGCTCGTTCTTCTCCACCAAGCATTCCATCAGTACGGGTCTTGAACCGTCATACTCCAAGAACTCCTTCATCTTCGCAGGCAGTTCTGCAGCGGTATGACAGCGTATCGAATGCACGCCCATCGCCCTGGCTAGTATGACAAAGTCAGGGTTCGTCATTCTCGTATGCGAGTACCGGGCGTCGTAGAACAGATCTGGCAACTCATCAGGACGTAGCGCGGCGGAGCTAGGGAAAACCAGACATACCTTGCCATTGGAGGACCATTCCCTGGAACTCGTTGTTCAGGACAAGAACTTTGACACCAATGTTGTACTGTGATGCCGTTGCGAGTTCCATGGCAGTCATGCTGAATGAGGCATCACCGTCGATGTCGACGACGGTTTTTTCGGGAGCGGCAACCTTGGCACCGATGGCTGCGGGAAGACCAAAGCCCATAGTCTTCAGAGAAGAGTCAGTCTAAGAATTCACTATAAGGATACTAACTTACTCCTAGACCTCCAGAAGTGACCAACTGACGAGGATACTTCCAGCGGTAGTGCTGAGCAGCCCACATCTGATGCTGTCCGACACCAGTAGACACAACGACGTTGTCCTTGTAACTCGACGTCTGCTTGTCCAGCTCCTCCACAACCTCCTGCGGCTTCATCCTCGCACCAGCCTCGCTCTTCACGTACGTGAAGGGGTATTTCTCCTTCCACTGCTTGATGTCCGAGAACCACTGCGTCCTTGGCGACGACGTAATTAGAGGAACAAGGGTGCCAAGGTTGGCAACGACGTCTCCGAGGATGGGAATGGAAGCCTCTACGACCTTGTTGATGTTCTTTGGCATGATCTCAAAGTGAATGATCCCACCGCGGCCTTCGGCGGCAGCTGCGCGCGCAGCCGGAGCGAACGTGTCGACCTTGCCTGTCACACGATCGTCAAATCGGGCACCGAGAGCGATGATAACATCCGCTTGTTGCATCGCAAGGTTGGCATATGCACTTCCATGCATACCAAGCATGTGCAAGCTCCGTTCGTTGTCCTCGTCGAACGCACCAAGTCCTTGCAAGGTTGTCGTCACAGGGATGTTGCCCTGCTCGGACAGCTGACGGAGGAGTTCGGGGCCCTTGGGTGATGAAAGGACACCGTTTCCGGCGTAGACGATGGGTCGCTGCGCTTGGTTTATGAGGGCGGCGGCTTGGCGGATGATAGCGACGTCGGTAGGTGGCTCGAGCAATTGCAAGGGGTTGGTAGGTAGGCCTAGGTTGGTACCAGGCATCGTAGCCTTGTATGGCAGAGGAGTGTGAAGGATACCAGCGGTTATATCCTTGGGCAAATCAACGAGAACAGGACCAGGTCGCCCGGACGTGGCGATCTTGAACGCTTCGTTTATTCTCCGAGGTAGTTCTGAGATATCCTTGATCATAACATTCCATTTTGTACAGCTTCGAGATATCCCAACGATATCAGCTTCTTGGAATGCGTCGGATCCGATCGCCGATGTTGCGACCTGTCCTGAGAACACGACCAAGGGTATGCCATCACTCAAAGCGTCCTGCATCGGTGTGATCACATTTGTTGCTCCCGGTCCTGAGGTGACAAGAACGACACCTGGCTTCCCTGATACGCGAGCGTAACCTTCAGCCATATGTCCGGCGCCTTGCTCGTGCCGGGGAAGGACGAAGTCAAAGTGGGGAGAGTTGTGGATGGCATCGAAGACAGGAAGAATGGCGCCTCCAGGGTATCCAAAGATGTGCTTAACGTTATGGCGTAGCATCATCTCATGAAATATCTGTCCGCCTGAAAGACCGACAAACGTATGGTCCAGAGGTGCACTTGGATGAGGACCGGGTCCGTGCATAGGGAGGTTTACATTATTATTTTTTGTAGGGATCTGTTGAAATCCTGATGAAGGTGCAGGTCGTCTGTGCGAAAATGAATGAGACACATATTTTCTGAGACAAAAAAATTTAGTGAGACGTACACGGCGGGTGCTGCCTCTGCTTTTTGTGTCGTTGATCGACTAATGTTCCGTGCATGTTCGCGTACTCTTGATTTTGCCTCAAGCATCGAATATCCTGATGCAGTTGTTGACCGACAGCGAACGAATCTTGGGGTTGCCGGTACGCCCTTCACGCGCATGGTCGCTGGTAGAGACATGGCCGCTAGAAAAAGAATGGAGCACTCTTCGTGGGCAACGAGAGGAGATTAGAGAGTGGAGGGACTCTGTAGTGAACTCCAAGAGCCTTGGAATGGTGGTGGTCAATGGGAGAACTCTTTTCTGACTCGATACAATTTCATCGTCCGGCCGAATAAAACCGATGACTCCATTGGACACCATCCACCTGATCGGATCGGCGAAATATTTCTCCAGAATCCAGCCAACTACGTAGGTCATCGAGTGAGCTGAGGGCATAACCTATAACGCGAAAAGCAAGCATTGCTATTTTTATTGTGAAGAGAATGTGCACACATGTGTGAAGAGAAAATTGAATTGGATGACAAAGCTCAAAGCAATTCTGTCTTTTTCAAAAATGAAAATATTTCCTGAGCCTGTTTTTTTCGAGAAACTGCACAACTACAACTAAGAATTTCTTATTATTTCATGAATCAAGCAAAGATTGGCAATGATTGTGGTGCTTTTTCAGGCGTTTAGCTCGGCATACTTCTTTCATTTTCGACGTCTAAATTGAAACTAAATTGTGTGACAATCTTGGTGATGCCGAGAGTCGATCTTTGATGGGATCAGCGGCTATTTGAACTCCGAGTCTCCGACGGAATCCAACCAGACTCCAGGGATTACTGATGTCAGGGATGATTTTGCTGCTGTTGGAAGAATCGTTGGCAACCTGTATCAAGAGAAGAGAGCCAGTTGTTCCAATTCTTCACTTCAAGTGACAAAAGAAGAACTATGCATAATGTTGGTCGCGCGTAGAATAATAATAGGTAGGATATAATTCGCGCGAGAAGGTCAAAGCGTCGAAGCATGGATGATAGAGCGTGGTAGAATTAATAGAGGAGGGTACGTTGTACATCATGATGGTGATACAATAATGCATTTACAAGTCCTAACACCGAGATTTTGGTAAGGCGGGACGCTTAATTTCAACATGGCGCTTACCAGTCAATAGATATGCCAAGGTGAATGATTTACTGCCGATAGTCCCAATAATAGCGCGCAGGTTTTTGAGCATGATGATCATAATAGAATTTTTCGATGTCCTTTTTGAGGCCGTTGGTAGTGGCTGAAAATATTTTGGTGTCAAATAATATTCTTGTGTGGCGCACACAAACAACACACCTTTGTTAAATCCGAGTCAACCTTGAGTTTAGACGACGTCTCAGGATCCATCTGTCCTTCTCCTTGTCCCTGCTCTGCGTCAAGCTGCATCTGCCGTTGCCGCCACGCCTTTCGACGGAAATGTAATACTGTTGTACCAATCAAAGCAATAACGACAATAACTGTTATTAAGGGTCATGAAAAAGGCGTCCAGCACCAGCAGAACGATACCAACTCACCACAGACCGAAACCACAGCAACCTCCCATGACTTTCCCAGATGCGTACTGTGCGACTCGGAAGCTGCCCTATGGGAACGTGAAAATGGTCGGTTACCGGGTACTTCGGAAGAACGGAAGGCTGATGCTCACTCAGGCTCTGATTCCGAAGACATGAGTGGATTGAGGAAATGGAAGGATGGATGGAAGACTGGTAATGTTGGTGTGGCGAGAGAGGATGGTATCAAAGAGACACCTACAACACTGAGCCTTATATCATACTACTCTATCTCCAAGTCTCTGGGCAAAGGTGCCGTTACCCGTCGTGCCAAGACACAAGAAGTCAGAGCAGAGCGCCAAGCCCATTTAAGCTCGGCGGCAGACAGTGCCGTGCTTCTAAAATGCCTCACCTTCTCGTCAAGTGCACAACGTTTGAATAACGGGGTAGATAAGAGCGCAAATTATAGTCGGCCCAGCACTGAGGTCCAATTAACGAGGACAGGAAGAGAGAAAACGACCGTTGTTTCAATTAAATAACTTCGATCCCTGTCACATCTGTCACAATCACTCACTTTCTTGGCCTTGTTCATCATCGGATCCAAAAAATTTTCTATGTTCTCGGTCGTTCCTAATGCGCGGAACTGTGCTTAGCCACGAGGGCATGGAAGACAATCCTTCCCTTGACGCCACATACTATATCGGCCGTCGAACGGCGTAGCCCAGACGTGATGGTGATATGAAGATCTTCTTGGATCTTCCAAAGACCTTTCTTTGATGTCTTCGAAGAATTGTGTGGGGAAGGGATTTCATTCTCCGTTACACTTATGTGGCAACGAAGAGGCTGGCCATCCACGGGGGCGGTTCAAGGCTAGTCCTGAGGTTCATTCCCCGCGGGTATCTCGGCGGTCGCGGTCAAGCGTTTCCCAGTAGCTTACCAGCCGTACATATAAAATGGAACGCAGAACTCTCCTGAATCAGTTGTCATTACGATCATCAAGCTAAAGTCTGGCAACGCATCCGGTCTTACTTGGTTACAAAATGTGCCAATTTCGCCAAGCCTTGGCGAGCTGGGTGAAAGGATCCAAGACAAAAAGGATTCTAACTAGGGAGCTTGTCATCCACTGGGGTGGCCTTGTTCGCCTTGCTTTCAGGTCTTGTGAGTCTCGACCCACCCAAGAGTGAAAAAGTGGACAGAAGCATGACAAGTGAGTTTATCATGGCATGTGCGGGGTACCGTTAGCGTTATTGCCGACTGCATATCCGCTAACTGAGCCGGACCAGTAGAATGGATACTTCATATTTCTGAATTGCGGCTAAACAGCAACCGCTGACCTAACGTACATTCTCAAAAGATGTTCAGTAAACGGGTGTAGGCAATCGTTCGCACATCATTGAAATAATCTGTTCACGAGTCTAGATGGTGCCACTTTCGTTACATAGGGATCACTGAGTCTTGTTAATGTAAGATGGATATCAGGATATCAAAAGAAATATATGATCGTCTGTCTGTCTGTCCTTCATTCTAAGCTCATAGCAAACGCCGCGAGAGCTCGGCGCACTTCCAAACCACCCGGACCGCCCGTCGTATACACGACGTGACTAGTCTCGAAACCGTTAAACTGGCTCGCCGCACAAATGGTGTAGGCACCCATATTATCGAAGGCGAGCCAATCGCCCACTTGGAGGGCATCAGGGAGCATAGTCGACGTGCAGATACGATCAATTGAATCGCACGTCGGACCCCATACGCTGCTCATCGACTGCGGCTCGTTAGGCGGAACATGGAATGAACCGCCCATAGACAGTACATATGGGTCTACCGTCTGGTGGTCAAACATGATGCAGTTGAAGGCACCGTATACGCCATCGTTGATGTAATCTGTGGCACGGACGTCTGTAAGTAGGCGATCCGCTATTCGGATGCAAGACTAAAATACTCACACATAACAGAGGGTTCCTGGGACGAATCGCCACCTTGCGCGGCAGTAGCAGCGACACCGTCCGCAGGGAACGGTGCGCGCCGAGCAATTATGTTCGTCGCAAGACTGAACGCCCTGGATACGTAGAACCGTCCGGGTTCCGCAATGATTTTAAGGTCCCTACGATCAGGGAAGTACTGGTCAATCGCCTCAGTCAGATACAGGGCTGCTTGCTCGAAAAGGGCATCCTCAAAACCTCCACCCACGTCGAGGAGGTTGAAAGTATACCCAGCTTCCTTGCCCATGTCAAAGACCGCGCGAGAGCGCATGATAGCGTCAGTGTAAGCGGAAGGGTCATAGCAACCACTCCCAACATGGAAGCTCACCCCCACGACATTGAGGTTAAGCTCTTTAGCCTTCGCCAAGAGCCCAGGCACATTCGCGAGGGGCGCGCCGAATTTGACACCAAAGGCACAAATACTCTTCGAATCATCTGCGAGGATACGGATGATGAGCTTGGCGCGAGGGTGGGCGCGCGCCACTTTGTGAAGCTCGTCGGCGTTGTCGAACGTCATCATATCGACGCCGACTTTTCCTGCGTTTCGTACGAACGAGACGGCCTTGCAAGGATTCGCGAAGACGATACGGGACGGATCAATCCCTCCGATGGCGAGGACTTGGCTGATTTCCCCGTTGGAGGCGCAATCAAATCCTGTGCCTAAAGCGGCCAGGAGACGCAGAACATACGGATCTGGGTTGCATTTGATCGCTTGAGAAAAAAGCTGTTCAGTACGTAATGATTGTAAACAAAATAGGGGACAAACCGTAGAAGGGCTGAATTTCAGGAAGACAGGACCGCCATCTTTGGTGTTGTCTGTATACCTGGCTTAGGTCACCAACGAAGAAGGCTTTTTCAGCATCAGGCACGTTTTGGGCAGCCAGCTGAGAGGCGTTGATGACCCCATTACGAAGGTGAAGTTCAGGGTGGCCGTGATGGAGTGGTGGAAGGTCTGGAAACAGATGATCATCCAGACTTCCGTTTTCAGTGGTCAGATGAAGGGGGCTAGAAGATACAATGTCGTTGACGAGAGCGGTGGTCGTAACCCATCTCGTAGTGTTGGAATGGGAACTGGTACGTGAAAGGTCGTAATCTACGGGGTTTATCGGGCGAAGAATTTCTACTTGGGACATGGTTCGTGGTGGCGATAAAAGTACGGGTGCAGTGGTGTGGTTGTGTCGGCTTTTACAGATGTGGTCTAGTGACTGTGAGCAGTCGTGTGAGTGTTCCAGAGGAACGTTGAGAATGGGAGGATCGTTGTTGTTAATTCGCACTCGAATTACCGGACCTGTCCCGCCACGGTCGTGAGCCGGGCGGACTCGAGGACGGTAATATTAAGTTCTGGTCAATCAAAGGCGGGTTCCTCGCTCCCTGTGCAGCGAGGAAATAGCTTGAAGGGCGCGGAAAGTTTTTCCGAAAGAAAAGATGAAGGGGGGAGACGTGTTACGAGGTAAGAGCTATGCAGACGGTGGTGGGCGAGTCCTGTCAGGGAGGTTCACCTGAAGAGCAACCAAATGAGCATCGAGTCACTATAAAACTGAAAACGACGGACCTCTTACAGAAACCCACCTAGCAAAAAAGACGCAAGTGTTAGTCAACGCAGCAGGGGAAATGAAACGTTGCCGTACTCTAGGGTCAGCAAACGAAGATCGCTGTTTCTTTGCTGGTCAAAAATGGTGGTACACGGTGTGCCCTGTGGTCGTGCGACAAGCTGACGACGACAGAAGCAGTACAGAGTAGTAGTAAAAGGAAGAGGCTGAGGCTGCGTTGGGGTCCGTAAGGGGAATCTTCGAGAAAATATCGATGACTTGGGTACTCGGCATTTCCCGTGCGGGACCGCACGGATGCACGAAATTGCACTGCCAGACTTGGAGCATAGGTTAATGCTATTCGCAGATGATTAAATGTCAGGGATATAGATAACTTCGAACTTGAATACCCTGAATATTTGAGTACACAAAAGTCAATGAGATAGTGCTGACGAGCGATTGCGCGAGCCAAGGAATATAGAAAGGGAGTGTCCAGGGTCTAGATCAGACTCGGGCCGTCCATTGCCGACTTTCGGCAGTGCAACTATGTAAGGAGCTAAGTTTTGCACCCAAATTAACCGTTTGAAGGCGTAGAGAAACAGCCCACAGAGCGAAAATAAAATACTAATGTATTTTAAACTTTGCATACCTGCACCTTCAAATACTGGCACAAAAGGAAGACACTTGAACGTTGAACTTCAGAGGAGGTAACTTTAAGTTGCAAGTACTACGCATTCTATAAATATTTTGCTTTGCGACGCGTCGCGATGCGGACCCCATCAAGTTATGTAAACAGACCACATGATCACTAAGACGACTAAATTTGAAATACTCCCGGGTTCAATCTGTTCCAAATATAACCTTTCAAATCCCCGCGATCATTCATTCATTTGCTACATCCATGGCGTCTACATTCGTTCGACATGGCAAGAAAGTGTGGGGGCTTCTTTCTATACAGTTTTCAAACTCATATCCAAGTTAATCAGATAGTCGCCATCGGAAGAAACTACTCCGAACACATCAAAGAGCTGGCCAATACCGCTCCGAAAGAACCCTTTTTCTTCATCAAGCCTACCACAAGCTACCTCCCGTCTGGCGGAAAATTGGAGCTGCCTAGAGGCATAATTGCTCATCATGAGGGTGCGTCCACACGTCTTCCACTGTCCCCAATTACTGAGCTGTTTCCGAAATCAGTTGAGCTCGGTATTGTCATCGGGAATGGTGGCCGTGATATTTCCCAAGCAAACGCCGAGTCGCACATAGCTGGCTATGGTGAGTACGGCGCGATCTCATGAAAGCATCCTGTCAAATACCGGCCACAGCCTTGGCCGTGGACATGACCGCCAGAAACCTCCAGGATCAAGTCAAGAAGCGCGGTCTCCCGTGGTCTGCAGCAAAGGGCTTTGATACATTCACTCCCATAGGGTACGCGTCATTAACGCTGTAATTAAATCAAGGCTGTTCAGCGTTACGTTATAGATCTTTCGTTCCCAAAGACAAAGTTCTTGATCCCCATGACCTCCGACTATCCCTCAAGGTTAGCGCAGCGCTCAAATATACCTCTCTTCCCCAAGTTGACATACCCTATAGATCAATGGAGGCATCAAACAAAATGGGACGACTGCCGATATGATCTTCCGTATTCCTCGTCTCATCGAACATATCTCGTCTATCATGACTCTTGAGGTAAGTCGCTCAATCTCTCTATTATCAATAGGACTCAACATAACACCAATAATAGGAAGGTGACTTGGTTCTAACCGGTACACCTTCTGGCGTTGGTCCGGTATCGCCCGGCGACAAAGTGGAATGTCTTTTGGCGGACCCATCAGGGAAAGCCCTCTCTACGTTAGACTTCCTCGCCATCGCTCGAGACGGTGGTTATGAATTCAAACCCGAGTAAGGTAGGGGCCTGGCAAGCCAACTTTATTGTACGCTCGCCGAACACGTATATCCAGCCTGGGACTATCTGGCAGGACTTGCTCTAGACCAATCAATGAAATTACCACGTACTATTCGTTGTATGCGTTCATTCAACTACCAGGGGAAGCCAAGCCAAAACATGCACATCGCGGTCCATTTCCACGTCGGGACAGCTCATCCCCTCGTACCTTGGCTACCGTCCGACGAACTGCTCTACGAAATGTCATCTCTCGAAATCTGACATCACAGAAGATAATCACAAAAATCCCGAGTATTTACCGCCTATGGCTCGCTAAGCAATCATCGATCAGTCATGTACTGATAGCTCTGAATTCGGGCTACTGAAATCAAGGTATTTCTGAGTTTACGCACATCCCACAGGTTACTCTGTGTCTGGAAATCTTCATTCGAATTCCTATGTGCCCTGTTCATGTCCCCAAGTTGCCCCGTGTCCGCCGACCACTATTGGTACAAAATCACAGGTAGCCAGCTAATCCTTACATGTTCGATTTTTCTAGTCTCGCATGGCTTGCTCTAAACCAATCAATGAAATTACCGCGTACTATTAATTACACATCTCCATTCAGCTACCAGGAACAAAAATGAAACCAACAGCTGGGCGGAACATGCTGCTTGTGCACCGCGATCCGTCTGTACATTGCAATCACCCACAGTAGTCCTAGGAATACCAATTGTGCATGGCCCTTACCTTAAGCTCCGACGGAACTTCACTCTTCTATATCAGGTAAATCGGCACTACAGGTGTATACAGCGAACATGATAAATACCTACTGGTCCATAATCTATGTATGTCGATCTAAGGACTCCTCTCCTCACCTTCCCGTAAACTCCTACCCTGAGGCTTGGGAGAACCATCAGACGACGACGTAGCACCCTCACTAGAATCACTAGCAAACGACCAACTCCCCGCCGTAGGCGTAAGCTCCCCATCCTGCGACGGACTAGCACTCTGGAAATCCCCAAAGTCACCAAAGTTATCAAACGTGCTGTCCTCCATCTCATCAGACAATGAGGAGAAGAAGGCGTCGTTGCTGGAGACAGCTGCCGAGTCGGAGAATGGCCCGAATGCATCCTGATAAATCCATGATATGAGGTGGTATTGACAGGTGGGAGACAGAAACAAACGTACGTCATCTGCTGAGCTGAAAGGATCCTCAGATGCTGCGGAACTGGATCTGTGTCCAGGGTCAAATTCATCCTGTAGATTCCATCAAATCACGGAGACAGTCCCAGCCATAAAAAGACCGGCTTACATCAAATCCATTTACACTCAGTGGTCTCCGCTCGCTTTGTTGGTGCCTAGCTGCGGCAGGTGGATTGCCAAGCGTGAACGTAGATCGTGATAACCACCCTCCATCTTCGTCCTCATCGTCAGAGCCAAAGTTATCAGCGTTCATCTCATGGGCTAGATATCTGGCAAACTCCTTACGACCGAGTCAAACTTCTTGTACACGCCCAACAAAGAAACGAGATGAACTGACCCCCGGTGCTGTGTCGTCTTCATCGTCTTCGTCATCATCCATCGGAGCGCCAAAGTCTGCACTGCTCTCAGCGTGTTGGCCTCGCTCCAACAGCCCGTTTGAACTCTCCTCGAGTCTCCTGTCCATGGTTTATTCCGTTTGTCCTCGTTTGACAGTCGATGATGATCCGACGAAACCAGTCGGATCCTCCTCGTCGACTTTCCAACGTCCTGCCTGACGGCCCATACTCTGGTCCGACTATAGGCTTGCCTCCTCCAAGAAGAATATTATCTCGCCTCTTGGTCTCAAGGTATCTCCCAGTGACATATTCAGTCCCAATCATGGATCAGGTGCATATTGTATGATAAGCAGCCGTACTTCTGGCGGGAAGACCTCAAGCGCGATGAGTACGTCTTCAGATATTAGCTGAAGATGGCCCATATATCCTAAACGTACGCCTTTAGGCTTCGCGCTAGAGGTATGTCATGAATGGTCGGAGATTGATTGGCAGCGCAAAAGAACACACCTCTCGATATCATTGTGTTTCTGTCCCTCCACGATACGATACATCAGACGCGCATCCCTGAAGAGTGAAATCGCGAGTTCTCTGTTATATCCACTTTCTAGATTGCCCGTGAGTATCTGATGTATAATGTCATAAACGGCACTGTGTAGGAAATTGTTCCATGGATACTCGAAGAACAAGTCCTGAAAACGTCTTAGAAAGGATCAAGAACCAGAGATTAATCAGAAGGACATACTAATAGGACAGGGACGACGCGTAAGCTCAAGAAGACGCGCTTTCATCTTCTCACCGACGAATATGGGCTTGTTCAGGGGCGGTTCTTGTATTGTAAACCGCTTGGAATTTCTCCTCGAACTCTGCGATCGCTGTCCAATTGTAGATGACGCATCAGAATCTGAACTGGTGTCTCTCGAGTCCACCCTAGATAGTGCAACCTCTTGAGTATTGGACCCAGTCACTGATGAATCTGTGTTCGACGGGAGCATAGGCGGTGGCTCCGAAGGACTGAGACCAGGTGGTGTGATGGCAGGAGGTTCATCGTGCATTATTATTTCCTCCATGGCGTCATCATCACTCATGTCTTCATCCGAATCTAGAGACGACGGAGAATGTGATGAACGCGTCACCGGAAGGTCCAGAGAAGGCTCCATGTCATCGACTATGTCATCCATAGAGTCGTTGTTCGGCCCGTCAGGTACGTCAACCAATTTAGCGAGCTCTTCCAGTCCAGCGAGCCCTCCTGTCAGACGACCCTGGGAGTCGTAGATTTTGTTCTGCTCTGGAGGACGGTTGAGCAGCGACATATTTGAACAATGCAGCAGCTCGGCAATCATTTCACATATCCTGAACCGTTCAAAAGTGAGTGGAAGTACCATTCCCACGGTCGTTCCAACAAGCCCTGTCTACACGGATGCATGAGCTCGATATATGCCAGGTACAGCCAAACTTACTGAGCTCCGTGGCGACTTCAAGTATTCAAGGAATTTATGTAGATTGTCGTTCATGATCTCCAAGACAGGCCCTAGATGCACGACTCCCATGCGGTCCACCATTTCTCCCATGGCGCGTTCGAGTGCTTCTCTGGTGACATGTTCAGGCTGTGAGCTGTATTGATGCTGTATCTGCATCAACCGGTTGCGCAAGGTGTGGAATAGATAAGGCTCGAAGTAGTCCGAGTTGTTTTTCCGTATGAGCTCGATGACGACGCCAATAGACTGGATAACGGATGAAGTAGCCGATTCGAAAGTAGGAAGCGGGGGATGTGTTTTATCGTCTTGGTCGTCTTCAGAGGCCACATTACGACCTGGTCCGAAATCCTGTAGAGCGTATGCCACAAGTTTTGACACGCTATCATGGCGCGCTAGTTCACGGGCGAAGAGATTGGATGACGTTCCGTTCTGTAGTCCCTCGCTAACGCTGGAACCTGGTGATGGCGTGGCTAAGGAGATGATGCCCTTGATTAAATCTGCCACCACTACATGTAGTTCAGGGGGATGCTGTGGGGCCAACCGTTCGATTAACTGTGCCATGAGATTTTGTGAAGAGAGCCACTGTTGTTCGTCAGTATATGTGCCACTGACAGAACCCAAGTACGCACCTCCAAAACGCCAGCGCCTCCCTGATACTCATCCAGCTGAATGATGCGAACCAACAGATCGACAAACGACGGATTTTCGATATGATGTAGTATCCTCTCAACAACATTGGGTTGCGATTGGATAAACGCAAGCATCTGAGCGCGTTGACAAGTGCATTCGGGTAAAGATTAGAGAGGATTCACCTCTGCAGGTTTCTTGCTCAAGAAGATGGCATTTATCTTGGCAAAGTGGGAGGCCATCACCATCTGCGTTTTCATGTCTTCGGGGGATCTGTCGAGAAGAGAATCCCAGAAGGGCGCCAGCAGTTGCCTCTGCTCGTTGATACACGTCTCGACGATTGACCATATTTCGCTGCACAAGACCTCGGTCGCCACATACGGGTACCTGTAAATCGAATTTGCCAAGGAACGGTCAGCTAGGATAAGGCTAGAATGCGAAAAGGGACCGGACGCACTTGAACTGCCCCCTCTCCTCGCACTCTATCTGACCCGTTACATAGCCCAGCAGCCGTTGAAGGACATCCACCCGTTGGAAGTAATCAATCAACCTCGTATTTTGTGATTTGCATTCCTGAAGGAGCTCGTCTTCGTCTAGAATGGCCTCGAGAGAAACATCTTCCTTGTCGAGAAGGCTGTCGATACCTGAGGCAGCGCTGAAGCCGAATCTGTTGGCAACGCCGCCAAGTTGAGCACGAATAACGGGCACGAGAACGATAAAAGGCACCTCCAGAACATAAAGCTGAAGGACAGAGATGAGAGGCGTGAAAGAGTAAGGTCGTCGACGCGTCTTGGAAAGGTGTGACACTAACAGGTTATTTAAATGGAGTCATGCTACACCTCATGCCTACATGCATCACACATTGCACGATACAACGCAATAAATTATGTATGCTACTATAATACAATATATAGATTATATTGTCCATCCACAATGAGATATCAGAACTAAATATTTATTTTAAGCTTCCGCAGTGAGAAACGGTGAAACACACATACCCGAATCTGGTACGAACCGCTAGCCTTCGTGAGATATCGCACCCATTTGATACTGTTATAATTGCTCTTCTCGAATACCTTCAAAAACCTGACAATAAGACCCGACGACGTAAACATGAGGACTTGGAAATCAACGTCAATAGGCGGCCGAGCCCACACTTGACGAGTTGTGGTACTCGTCAATTCAGCAACAGCAGAAAAGGCACATTCCTGTCCTCCCTGAAGCCTCGGAATTCTGCCGGGATTGTCAGGGCTGAACAAACCGAATACAGGGACTGAGACATACTTCCAGATAACCACGTTTTCTGCGGGTGCATATTTTGCCTTTCCGTTCGCCACTGAACACTCCACGTTCACTGTGTTCAGTGGCGTGGGTATTCGCAAGACAATGTTAGTTGCAGACAGCTTGTTATTGAAGTTCGTTTTCACTGTAACGTCGTACGATACGCGAGTGGTACCTATTTCTGTGACCGCCGGAATGATTCGCAGAGGTAACTTGACGTTCGACGTTGCCCGGTATCTGCGAACCAATTTAGAACGTTATGTCATGGAGAACCCGCGCACATACCTCATCAACTCAAATTCACCATCCGGAGGGACGAAACTGATACTCCGGTCAGCGTCAAAATCGTTTAACCGCACACACTGATGAAAGCGACAATCGTCAAGTTCAACAGCATCCCCAGCACCTCGTTCACTCTTGTCTATGACGAGCTTGTCGTTCAAACCGAATTTGCACTCTGGCGTACCAGAAAGATACGCGCGCATCTGTATGTGACCGTCGACATCCGCACGGAGGATGGTACCTATGTGACACGACATGAGTGATATCCTGTAAAAGCCCGGAGAGCACACACCTTTGGCACTCATACTCAGATTGACAGTCTCCACAACATCCACAAAGGCCTCGTTCTTCTTGTACTTGACGTCCCCGCGACGCCAACTCGTCGCTCCCGTCGCTTGCGCCGTAATCTTCGACGATTCTTCCTGCACATAACATAAACGTCCACGATACGAATAGCCTCAGCAGACAGAAAGCGTACGACAGCAACAGCCGAAGAAGACACGATGCTCTCCGTCGTAATGTATGTCTTCAAAGTGTCGATTTCGCTATTCTGCGGGTACCCAAAGTCATTGATTTCTAGCCAGCACATTCAGCAGTGCTGAAGCAAAAAGAATGGGCTTGACGCTCACCATCGATAAGTTCATATATGAGAACAAAGTTGTTCTTAATCGCCTCCTCGTCAATCTTCCCAAAGTATGACTTGGCGATATTGATAAACCGATAGCAGAACTCAAACACGAGAGCAGCATTGGCATTATTCCTATACAAAGCAAAGCGTAAGATAACCGATCCTCGGCGCATAAAATAGCCAACGCACTTCGTCACCGCTACCACATACAAATTGTTGACTCTAACATGGAAGAAGCTCGTCGAGCCCAGCGTAATAATTGGTGACCTGACATCGCTATTCGACACGACTTGTATCCTGAAAACATCCGCGATAGAACGCCTAGGAAAGTTGATCATCAGCCGCGTTCCTCAATACATGTTTCCTCGACTCACTTGAAGTCCGTACGATAGAGCCTTGAAATGAGGACCTCCCCCTTCTGGTTAAACACGAAGAATGCCTATTAGATACCACAGAAAATCAACGACAGCGCTTTGAACGTCGTTGCAAACGCTTACCGAGATCATGGTGGTCAAAACGGAGACTCAAAATAGGGAATAAGAAAAATAATAATAATTATTATTATTATTATTGAAACCGGCCCGCTCATTTCCGTGAAAGAAAGGGAAAAAATCCATTAGAACCTAGCAAACTACGAAACGACCTCATCTACTCTCGCCAAGTTGAGCACACCACGTCCAAATCCTTCGGCAACAGCCTTGAACCCATTCTCCTTGACTTCCGACAAGAACAGCTCATGCTGATCAGCCAAACGCTCATTATTCCTCCTAATTTCCCGTATTACACTGTACTCCCTAGTACAGTTCGGACATTCCGTATCATTGTCCATCAGACACCTGTATAAGCAATGAGTCAAAAGAAAAGAGAAAACCCAGCAACTAAACGAACCGTTGATGATAACTATGATTACACATAAAGTGCACGCTCGGAAGGTCAAGCTGCCCACCACATGTCGAACATCGGGTAACATGGAATACCCGGGGATGTTCTGGATCAGAAAGGTCTTGTATCTGCTTCAGCTTAGCTGCCGTCTCCATCCTGTAGGAGCTCGTCCATTCCTGATCCTACAAAAACGAAAAGCATCAGACCAAAGAAAAGATAGAGACAAACACCCTCGCTCACCGTTTGTATCTCGCTCCTGGCCTCCGTAATACGAGTCATCAGCCACTCCTTCACGAGCCCAACACTCGCCACAGAATTCCGACTCAACACCTGTATAACTCCCAGCGGAGGCATAATACCCTCCTGGTTGATATGCTCCAGCACATCCTTGACATCCTCCTGATGCCGACTCAACAGCTCAGGCGTCGACGTCAGGAACCTCAGCACCAACGGATACAACTGCGGATTCCCCGATCCATACTGCTTCAGATGCTTGACCACCTCCGTCGACGCACCAGATACCGTTCCCTCCTTCTCTCTATCCATCCAGAACCTAAGAACGTCCTCATACATGCCCATCCGCTCCCACAATAGCACAAGGCCCTCCGTATAGCCCCGACTTGAGCACAGAATAAGCGCGTGGGTTGGGTCATAGGGTATAGTATCGCTGTTGAGCACCCGCATCGCCTTCTCCCTGAAATCCTTTGCCTCAGCCGATGTATCGTCCTTGTCCGACGGATTGGGCAGCGTTAAATATAGCTCAAGAAGCGTATTCCACACCGCCACCTGATCAAGCTGATCAGCCTTTTCATCCACAGGAGGGTCAGAAGGCGGGAGCGTCCTCGGTAGATTATCTACGCTTTGACCCCATCGACGTAACGCTACTGTCTCCAGGAAGATGACGAACTGGTCCATATGGTCAACAAAGTGCGCGAAATACATTCGCGGCGAGAGCTGTTTGACAGGCGTAGGTCGAGCAGGTTTGGTGGTCGTAGGAGTGGAGGGAGGAGGCGTTGATGGACGGGACGCCTCGTGCACTGACTCCTTTTGTGAAACTGTATCTCCAGGTTTGACGGTTTTGATAGAAGGGGATGGGGGAGGAACATCGACGACAGAGGTGCGGTTCAATGCCAGATATGAAAGGTAGGATGGTGCTGCAGTGGTCGTCTTGGAAACAATGGTCTCTTCCAGTTCAGGAGAAGATATTCCCGCAGAGTTGGTGCAAAGATCGATAAGTAACTGCGTCGTTTCAACCGGGAGATTGGCCAACATCGCTCTGCCGTACCGTGCAAGATTGCTCTCGGCCTAATGAACGAGAGTCAGTCAACCACAAATCTACGCAGCGTAGTACGAACCGCATCCGCCCCCAACTTTCTGAGATACAACAGAGCGTCTTTGTAATTCTCCGCATCTTCGATCTGTATTCTCAGATAGTCCTCGTGGCGCTCGTACTTCTTGGCGAGGTACGAGGCATGGTCAAAGTAACCCGCCTGCCGGCAAACGCGAATAGCAGTTTCCAAGTCGAATGGGAGTTCGTCAGAGTCTGTCGAGTTCCGACGAGACTCTGTCTTGATAAAGTTGTCCAGTCGAGAAACATCTTTGAGCTTTGTGTACGTGTTGAGAAGAAGGGTCGTATGATCCGAGTTGGCAAGCCCGAGAGAATGCAGCTCTTGGAGGTAGTTCACCAAATTATGTATCCGTTGGGCATCGAGAAACTGAAATTGCAGCGTTTGAGATCAGTTTATTCAGAAGAGAAAGAAAAGAGGCTACCTTTCGAATGACATAACTGGGTTGCAAATGTCCAATTGTCTGGATAAATTGCTGCATGGCCGCGTCGTACTCACCCTTGTTATATAAGTGGTTACCGTATTGCTGATGAATACCAGCGACGCTCGATTCGTCCAATCCCTGAGTCTTTGCCAAATTGAGCGCCAGTGGATATAGAGAGCGGGTGTAGAGCATGTCTAGCTTTTCCGATGTGGGTTTCTCTCTCAGAGCAAATAGCTATGTGGATGTTCAGTACATATCCAAGAGAACGGAAACTACATACATTACCATCGTTGGAGAGAACATAAAGATGTCCCCAAGCAGATATGACTTCCCGAACACCCTCTTTGAAAGTACCACTATACGCTACCAACTTATTCTCGGGATCAAACAATGTGACTTTCGTAATATCACTGTCTCCAGCATTCGTGGTCCGTGCTACGAAATTGCGAACAGTTGCTGACGCAGCAGAGGCTGTCGGAAGGAATGGGGGAGAGACAATGACGACGTAGTTGTGATGTGTATGTATTGAAGACTTGTGCCCTGTCAACAAATTAGTGGGGAATCAATTAGCACCCTGAACTTTCTGACCTTCATATGCCCAACACGCTCCACGCCCATCCGTACCACAAACGTATATGGCCTCATCTCGTGCGACTATGATATCCTTCCCTCGGTGGTCCATCGTAGCCAAACCAAGACCTGTACCAACTTCATCAACCACAACGGCTGCAGCACCACTCCCGCGACCCGAAGCCTGATATGAAAGGACGCGATTTGTCGTGACCGCGAAAAGGTACAAGTTCGGACTATCTTCAGAAGGCTCTCGGAAATCCAGGCCTGTTATCGGTTCTGTCGGAGATTCGTGTACCGTCCGTGGTTTGGGAAGTGCTGTAAGACCGGCGGAATTTGCGAGTGACTGGTCGAGGTGCCGGTATAGAAGAACGGACCCATCTCCGAAACCGATAGCAAGGTACGAGAGTGATGCAGACAAAGCAATGGTAGACACCTAAAAATATAAGTTACCTGAGGACTAGGAATAATTGGATAGACGTGTCTTACAGGATGGGGTCGATTGCTGAGTTGTACTTTGACAGAACGAAGAAGTAATGGTGAGCCCGAGCGTTTATCTGTGTTTTCCAAATCCCAAATCTTCAGAATCGGTGACCTGACGGCGTCTTCCTCCTACACCATATTGCTCAATTCCATGACAAGCTGCGTTAGAGAGGCTACGCACTCCGAGGGTTATCAAGATACGCTTCCGCTCCACCATGTGTGTCACTCGTCCGCCGACATGGGCCACCCAGCTATTGACGGATTCAAAGTCACGATTGAGGACGTGTATGCTTCCATGGATATCCGCGACGAGAACGCCGGTTGACGACGATGAAACGGTGGAGATTTCGAGAGTAGCCTAGTACGCCGTTCCATCGATATATTCTGATGTACCGCAGACGGACACACCTTGAATATATCCGGTGTGCTTTCAAAGTCATGGACATCCCTCACTCGTTCTATTTCGAAGAATGAAAATTGTCGCCACTGAGGATAGTTTAGTTCCACCGTGAGGTTCGGATAATGGCGCTACACTCACACTAGGCGCAGAAATATTTGAGGTTGCCATTGGCGTCAGAGATTAGAAGATATACGACATGTAGTTCGAGAAGGAAAGGCGGCGACGTCCGTTGACAATTATGGAAATAATCTAAATAATTAATAAATAAATTACATACCTACGTAATGCAACCTGTGATGTCATTCCACTGAACAGCAAATTCTTGGCCTTAAAAGTAAAAAGCAAGTCTTCAAAGTGGAGTAGCAAAGTTTTAATACTGTTTTCTGTATTGCTTGGTAGTGGTCTGTACTTGTATATCTCTGTTCCCAGATTGCCCCTTGGTGCCTGTAGAAAGAATCATCAAGAATTCTTTTGTTGTCATGCGTTCACGGTTCTGTGCGGCGTTATTCTACCTCTCGGCGGAGCTGGTGCGAGAATAAATTCTATATAGATTTGACGTGTTACAATGTGTTCTGTACGCTGAAAAGTCGGACTGAGCCAGAGTGAGGCTATACTTGGCCGAGGTCAACGTGGCAAAACTTCCTGTTGAGCTGCGGACCCCGGCGCTTCACACTTTAACTTTGAATTCGACAACACGGTCACTCACGACGCCGGCAAGGCTCTTTTTTCTTTCTCAGCTACTCAACACGGTTTCACGCAGGCCTTAGTGCCGAGCCCCGCTTATTCCACGACCGGCAGCTGATGTCTGTTGCGGTAAATTTTGGCGCGTCAGATCCCGATTCTTCTTCTTCAGACTTTGAGGAAGTGCAGTATCCACCGAACAACTGGGCCCAGGCAGACGAGCAACTGCCTCTATATCATATGGAAGAGAAAGCACGGAGGAGGACGAGAGGAGTAGGACCCAGCTTTGAGGACGACGGGTATGAGGTCGCACAGAAGATGGATTACGCATACAACGACGAGGGCAAGGATGTCTACAACAAAATGCGCTCACCGAGGAGCGGTATGGGCGGTGGACGACCACGAACAGCACCGCCGCCACCCCCAACGTCCATCGTATGTATTCCTCTCATCGCAGCGCAGCTAATCTGATCCTTGCGCAGCGAGAATTCCTACACCAAAACCTGGAACACATCCCGCCTGTCATCTACACCCTACTCTCCTGCTATACCCGCTTTCACAAGATAGGCCTCGCCGACGTCGTCGTATGGGACGAAGCCCACTTTGGCAAATTTGGGTCGCATTATCTGAAGCGCGAGTTTTACTTTGATGTGCATCCGCCACTGGGGAAGATGCTGGTTGGGCTTGCTGGTCTGCTGGCAGGCTATGATGGGAGCTTCGAGTTCAAAAGCGGGGTGCAGTACCCCGATACTGTGCCGTATGTCGCTATGCGGGTCATGATGGCGACTTTTGGTGTGGCCATGGTCCCGCTGGGATGGTATACTGCTGTCGAACTTGGCATGAGCCAATGGGCTTGTCATTTGGTAGCATTGATGGTTCTTTTGGGTGAGTAGTCCTTATCTAATGTCTTACCGTTCTCATCGTTTATCTAGACGTTGGCTGGCTATGTATCTCTCGCTTCATTCTGCTTGATTCTATGCTACTCTTCTTCACATTCTTAACGGTCTTCTGCTTGACAAAGTTTCACAACCAACAATATCAGTGCGTTCCCCATCATTTTTTGTTCGATTCGTATCTGAAACCGATACAGACCTTTCTCTATAGACTGGTGGTTGTGGTTGACGATGACGGGGCTATCTATCGGTTGGGTCACTAGTGTCAAATTAGTTGGTTTGTTTGTCACGGCTCTGGTCGGTCTATACACCATTGAGGATCTCTGGGACAAGTTTGGTGACCTGAAAATGCCTGTGGTGAGTGATAGCTTGACGTTTCTCCTTTACAATATGCTGATCCTCGTCTAGCGTGATCAACTGAAGCATTGGGGCGCGCGCATAGCCTGTCTGATCGTCATTCCCCTTCTCACGTTCATGGCGTCTTTCAAAATCCACTTTATGATTCTCAACCACTCAGGTCCCGGCGACTCCCAGATGAGTTCTCTTTTCCAGGCAAATCTGGTCGGAAACGACTTCAAGAACAGCCCACTCGAGATCGCAGTCGGTTCGAAGGTTACACTGAAAAATGTCGGCTATGGCGGTGGTCTTCTACATTCACATGTACAGACATACCCAACGGGATCTACGCAGCAGCAGGTCACCTGCTATCATTACAAGGACGACAATAATAACTGGCTAATCCTACCGACATGGGAAGAACCCGAATACAATCCGAACGACCCGCTGCGCTTCCTGCAGGACGGCGATGTCATCCGACTCTCACACGTGCCCACCACTCGCAATTTACACTCTCACAATATTCCCGCCCCGGTGACGAAGCTGGCCCACGAAGTATCGTGTTATGGTAACTCAACTATTGGCGACGCTTCGGACTATTGGATCGTCGAAGTCGTAGGTGACATCAAACAGGGCAAAAAGATAGACAGGATCCATTCGTTGACGACGCAAATGCGGTTCCGTCACAAGAACTTGGGATGTTACTTGCGTGCAGCGAATAGCGTCCTCCCACAGTGGGGCTTCAAGCAGATTGAAGTCACCTGTACCAACGATAATGACCCAAAGGACGCGCATACACACTGGAACGTCGAAAGTCATTGGAACGACCGACGTAAGGACCCCCCTTTCTCCTGCATACATTAACACTAACACTTCTTCTCCAAGTTCCCCCGGGCGACATGAAATTCTACAAATCTCCTTTCCTGCGGGACTTTTGGCACCTTAACGTTGCAATGATGACCTCCAACAACGCCCTAGTCCCAGATCCAGATAAAGAAGATATCCTCGCGTCCAAGCCATTCGACTGGCCCTTCCTCCATCTCGGACTGAGGATGTGTGGCTGGGGAGACCAACAGGTCAAGTATTATCTCATGGGGACGCCCTTAATCTGGTGGGGAGGCACGATCAGTTTGATCCTGGCGCTGTTGACGTTTTTGGTGTACCTGCTTCGGATGCAGAGGAAGTATATTGATATGGAGCCGAGGGAGTGGGATCATTTCTTGTATGTAGGGAAGATTGCATTTTTGGGATGGGCACTTCATTATGGTGGGTGGCCTGCGATGTGCGGTTTGGGTGTTTATTGACGGTGTGATGCGACAGTGCCGTTCATGATCATGGGCCGTGTCACATACGTCCATCACTACGTAGGGTTTCTTTCCTTCCTTCTAGTAAGGATCGCCCCCGTCTAATGTCATCTCCATAGCTTCCAACGCTCTACTTCTCCGTGCTGATGTTTGCACATCTCCTTGATCACTTTGTCTTCTCTTCGCGTCATTTGACGACAAAAGCAAAATGGATCGCTTTTGGGATCTGCTCTTCGTCGATATTCCTGACATTCTGGTGGTTTAGGGGAGTCGCTTTTGGTATAAGTGGACCTATAGCCGAACATTGGGGGTTGCAGTGGCGTAAAGTGGGTTTCTCTCCTGTCTTACTCTGCTCTGTTGATGCTAATGTGGATTATCTTGTTCAGAGTTGGAATATTTACAATAATTAAAGCGCCATGGACTTCTCAATACAATATCTCCTCTCGTTGGTATAAATAATGCATGGATATTTATTTTCTATTCTGAGAATCGTCGACTTTGAGGGGGTCCTGCAAGCAGCGCCACAATTTTTGGGGGTGAAAAGGTCAAGTGCATCATGATAAGAAAGTCGATAACGGAGTCTCGTTCGCAGAGGCAAGTACCCTCCCAACAAATTGCTATCCCCCTTCGGAATTTCGAGCGCTAAAAATACACCTGGTCCGTGCGCCAGCGCTTCCTATAAAAGCCCAGCGCAAACATCAAAGCACCTCATACTTACCTTGATGGCACAGGCCCCTTCACCTACCCGGGTTTGTGGGCCGTAGAGGTCCTTCATAGCACGGCGACCCTGTCCCCAGAGGATCTCTGCGGCTTGTGTAGGCTCAGGCTTATGCACCGTCTAAATATTTTCCTGTCCCACTTTGGCCACTCTGGCTGGGTGGGCCTCCTTTTTCTTTGCTGTTGACTGGCGAATACCACCGTTTGGTAGTTTTCGAGTTGCAGCAAACAATATTGGAGAGTTGGTGGTTGAGAAGCTTTTACTTTGTACCCACGCAACATTGTCAGAAAAACTTCTCATGGTTTGAGACTCAACATCCTATTTGCTTCTTCAGTTTACGGAGTCTTCTATTGGGCCGTCCATCATTAGTTTATTGATGGTACTTTACCTCAGTTTACCTCCTGGGTTCCTGTAATTGGAATTGGCCAGGCGCAGGAACGTGCAATTATTCACGGCCCGAGTAGCTCATCTGCGACGAGTCAACAGCAGCGTCTTTGATCCCTGTCGTTACGAGACCGGCAAGGTTCGGTGGATTAGTAGTGGTGCTTGTTCGTTACACCTGTTCCAGTATCTCTTGCCGATGCAATGTGATTCCATGTAAAACAATTTAAACAAGATTACAGTTTATATGCCATCCAGTTCTTTACTGCTCCCCGCTTTACATAGAGCTTCCTGAATTCTGATATCGAATCGAGCTTGATATTCTTGCATAGGATGGGTAGTATAAGTATCAACCGAATCGAAGCGGCACAGCTTTGGAGGAGTGAAGTAGCCTAGCATCTAAGTTCAAGCTTCAAGCGAAGACCAGCGTATTAAAGTACTCCCTTGCCGGTCTTATACATAATTAAACAGAAACATTTCTGTCAAAAACGTTACCGTTGACGTTGATTTGTCGTAGATGTCTCCTTCGGGCCATGAACAGTTGCGATAACAGCATTGCTGCGTCACCTGGCAAGTCCAAGAGGCCGCAATTCCAATACTTATTGGCTCAACCTAATTATTTCTGTTCAAACTGAATGACGACCTCGTTTATTTCGGGATCAGTGGGAGGCCAAGGACGACGTCGATAGACTAATAGACTAATAATGGATGTTATATATGTGCATATGACTTTCATTTGGCCTGCCGCCTGTACTTCCAGCCCATACACGAGGCCCAACTTCTAGCAGTAACGGGGTAATAATCTCCCAAGTTTTCGAGGGTCTCCGTCTGTCTCCGACCCATCCAAAACGGATTTGAAACGGATTTGCGAGTAGTGGCGATATGAGCTGCCTAATTTGGGGTGCTCACGCCAATCGGCCGGGGAAGGATCTCATTTTGATCTTATCTGCTTGTCAGAAGCCTTGGAAGCAAATATTACGATCGGTGTTGTTGCTTGTTTCTTCCTTCGCATCTGCCACCATCGCCTTCAAATTTCTTTCTCGTTTCTATTACTTATATGCTTATCATGTCTTCTAATAACCAACAAGTCGCTCTCACGAATACCTTTCGCTCTTACAATTCCAAAGTTCCGATGTTTCTGCAAAAATTGTATATGTGAGTCGAATATTAGTCTTCGGTGTTGTTACGGAAACTAATGCCGCTTGCCGTTCCCAGGATTGTTGACAAGGAAGAGACGAACGATGTCATCTCGTGGTCTCAGGACGGGGAGTCGTTCTTCGGTGCGTATCATCGTGAATATAATCGCTCCAGCTGGCTGAATATGTGGCTGTAGTTCACGACCATGAGAGACTTGCTAGAGAGCACCTCCCACAGTGGTTCAAACACAACAAATTTGCTTCCTTCGTTCGCCAACTGAACATGTACGGATTTCACAAGGTGCCTCACCTGCAGCAGGGCGTACTGAAAAGCGAAACGGAAGCAGACCAGTCGCAGTTCATACATCCATATTTCCAGCGCGGGAAAGAGGAACAGCTGATATTCATTGAGCGAAAGAAGCAGACGAAAGATCAGGCGGCCATTGAATTCGAGCAGGCTGACCCTTCTGTACCTCCTTCGTTTCCTACTGGTCAAGCTCTCGATATTCCTGCTATTGTCAACGGTATCGCCGCTATCCGACGGCACCAGACGACGATATCTCAGGACTTGAGCGAACTGAAGCGCTCAGATCAACTGCTGTGGGAGGAGGCTTTGCAAGCTCGGAATCGGTATAAGCAGCAACAGGACACCATCAATCGCATCGTCAAGTTCCTGGCTAACCTTTTGACTCAGCTGGCGAACACCAGCGGCAAAGAGAAGGACTCGAACCGTCCACGAGACTCTCCACATGGCATCGTACCGCTCCAACCTTCACGTCTCATGATTGAGGACAAGCGTAGAGACTCGGCGGGGAGTAAGGTTGGAATAGTCGAGGTGGAAGATGAAGACGACAAGGATATGGCGAAGTCTCCAGCTTGTAAAATTTTCCTCCATAGTGTTAGTGTATATTCTCTGATTTTCTTATCTGGCAGCAGCGAAATACCCGACCGTGGAGACACCAAGTTCTACCGTGCAACCATCGACGACCACCTCTGAGGCTGTTTCGCCATTAATATCCGAAATCTCGTCCTTTGCCACTCCTGCAATAGACCTCGAATACCCCCCTCCACCTCCCAACCTGAACACCGTCAACAGTATCGGACCGCCGGATCCCCAGCTCTCCTCCCAAACCGAAATTGATCGACGAATACCAACCCCCTCCCTCAACGGCATAAATCTGGAAAATCTGTCCACATCTGATTGGGAGCTGATTTCCTCGATGCTTGGCCCGCTCGTCGCAGACCCATCTCAGAATGACTACTCGCACCTCCCCATATTCGATATAGACCCATCATCCCCCTCACGACTCCCCCTCACCGGCAGCAGCTACGCTCCCCCACAATCACCGCCAAAACCTCCCAGCGACGGCCTCATACCATTCGACTCTCAGAGCCCTGGTGCCTTACAAAAGCAGTTTCGGCAAATCGGGGACATTGATCAAGCAGTCGAGGCGCTCAACGGCGATATCGATTCTCTTAGCAGCGTCTTGGGAATTTCATCCGGCAACCAGCAGATGGACACGAGTGGGATGCCAGATATCGATTACAGCTCCTTCCTCAATTACGCTACCCCTCCGCCGGCTGACACTGCTAATCCGCTTTTGGATGAGAGACAGTCCGATGGTACGGCGTCACCCGTGAACAGTCTTCGCCATGGATCACCTTTCATTCTCTCACAGCCACCCCCTCCGCGTCACCCTTCAGCGACGCCCGTGGATTCTGGTGGTGGCGGTGGTGGCGGTGAACAGGGGAATGTCCCTGCACCTGCACCTACAATAGCTAAAGGGAGAAAACGAAAATCCGATGTGGCAGAGCTGGACCCGCCACCCTCAGCACCGCCGAAACCTTCTACAACATCAGCACCGAGACGGGGTAGGAGAAATCGATGAACTTTCTGTATCGCATAGTTGATTGAGAGACATATAGCATACTTATACACTCACACATCATCTGTACATACTTAAATCACCCTTTGTACTAATCAGCGACAGCATCATCAAGTTGTAACAATATAAATATAGTAGGCAATATAGTTTTGGAGATGAACATGAAAAGATCGAAGAAGCTTGATAAGCGAAAGAGAATGGTGGTATAGTATGAAAGATCAGTTGCGTAGATAAACGATATGAAAGGCAGTGAAATTAAGAAGAGAACTTAAATAACAGAAAGTGATTGCATACATGTCAAGTCATGATGGCGGGGGAGAAAGCGGTTTGGGGGGCAACGGCGGTGGAGGAACGTTAGCGAAGAAGGGTTTCAGAGGTTCGGCAGCACTCCCATTCCCATTGGGCAGCGGAAGAGCATCATCATCATCATCCAGGGCCAGCGCCCCGTCCTCGTGGACCATCTTGGACACACGTGCATCCTCCTCTTGCGTTTCCTGGATGTACTCAGCCGGAGGCCGGGGCATCAGCGGGGGAGGGGCAGGAGCAGGCGCCGACGAAGAGGAACTCGACGCGATACTCCCATTACTCCCGTTGACCTGATCCTCCGTCGCGTACTTGGCTTTCAACATCGCCTTTTCCTCGGCGGCTGTCATGACCCTCGAACTCGAAGATGGAGGCGTTGGTGTCGGTCTTGAGGAGGAGCGCCGTGTCATTGAGGACATCGAGCGAGGTGGCGTGACGGGAGGTCGTCCGCTCCCGCTCCCGCTGGCCATGGCTTCTGCGTCCTGAGCTTCAAATTTCCGGCGCAGGATCTCTTTCTCTGAGAGACCTGACGCATACAGAGCTGCCGCAGCCGAGGGAGCACCCGAAGCGAAGGGAGGCGGGGATCCATACGCTGGTGCTTCATCTATCGAGGGTGGAGGCGGACTGTGCGATTGAGACGCTTCCATCGCACGACGCATGCGAGCTTTCTCTTGCAAAGCTGACTCGAACCCTGAAGAGGAGGAGCCTGCGGCTGCCTCAAACGGAGGTGGTTCGTCATGTGTAGGAGGTGAATGTTTCGAAGAGGAAGGATAGAGCGAGTCATAGGCAACCGGTCCTGGCCCGACACCGTTAAGCAGGCCAACGTTTTGCGTACGATCTACAGCCTGTTTAGCTTCATTGTATCGCTTCAGTGCCGCTTTCTCGTCAGCTGCGGAAGGGTACTGAATAACTTTGCTGCCGGAAGCGGACTTCTTTTCGCGCGGGCTCGTAGTCGAGCCGGCACCGTTCGGTAGCGATTTCGATATTGATGGGTTTCGGGTTGGACGAGTAGCATCACTAGCTGGAACGATGATTTCAATACCCTGAGTTCTCTGTACAGCAGCCTGGGCAGCGAGGAACTTCTCCTCTTCTGCAGTAGGCCACTGACCATGTTTCACCGCTGATCGCGGTTGAGGGTGGGCAATAGGCGGTGGACTGAGACGCGAAGTAGTAGGTGTCTATTTATGATTGTTAGATACACAAAGAAGGAAACCGGGCATATTATACTCACCGGCGAAGGCGTTCTAGCAACGCTCCCTTGGACCTGTTCAACTCTAGCTTTGGCACGATGATACATCTGTTTCTCGTCCTCGGCGGTAGGCCAGGCACGCCCGCTACCAGAACGTGTCCGGCCATTAGTACGGGGAGCCTCCGGTATCTCCGAGGGTAAAGCATTGGTGATAGTTAATCTTGCACTCACACTCGTGCCTGAAGACGAGGGCCGTCGTGCTCCCGTTTCCCTTTCCTTTTGCTCACCCTCAATGCTATTGGACTTTGAGGGCGTGGATTTGTGTCCGTAGCCAACACCATAGCCAAACTCATCCGTCTTCACATTCGCATGTCCATTCGTTCGAGGCTGGGCTGGTGAAGCAAAAGTACTTGCTACAGGTGATTTGACGGCCACTGTGTCCGGCTGAGAAGGTCGGCCACTATAGCTCTGCGATTGAATGGGTTGATGGCGCGCCGCAGGTGATGGTTCTACAGAAGTGACAACAGAGTGCGGAGCCAAGAGGGACAGACCGGGTGCGGGTCCGATACGTCTATGAATTAATTAGGTGCATTGAATAGACATTGATGGGTTTCTCATACCGTATGGCTTCCTGCGAAACATTTCTTCGCTCCGTATATCAGCTATTGAAACGAAAAGATGCAATGGACAAACCTCGGCCAGTTAGACATGATGACGGGAAGATCCATCACCAGAGGATGTCCTGTGCCCATGATAGCTTTGACGCACAAAACATAATTGATATCAATATGCCTGGCAGAATTAAGTGTCGTCGTCGTATGACTCGGAGATACGGTAGATGATAGTTCTGCCTTGTGCTGCATTCCCCCCATAAGAGTCATATTGACAGCAAATTTGTTTTCAAGGATGTTGCCGACTCGCGTTACTGGCGTAGTTTTTCGGCCCCCGGTGAATGCTCCAGCGCGAAATGTTCTCGATTCACGAATAGACAGCTCGAAGCCACGAAGTATCACAGTCTGAAGGTTATCGGACCTGACCGTGGCGAATACAGCAACACGGTCGCCAGGGCCATAGCAGGTTTGATGACGCTCGACGGTCAAAGAGACACCATCGAGCTCAACTCGCCGTACATCAGTCTGGCAGTACACTGGCCACGTAGAGTGCAGATCGTGCTTGTCGATGACGATTTCGTTTTGGGTCGACACAACGTTTGACTTTCTTTTGCGTAAGAAGCCACTATAGGAAGCTGAGAAAGACACGCGGACAGCCATGACACAGCACACGTACCGTTTACCTTTCGTACACACGCTGGCAATGAGTTCGTACTTGATACCCACTTGTGCAACGAGGTCAGTGATGCCCACTTAGAAGCGCAGTATAACCGGTGCTCACCACGCCCCTCTAAGGTGAGTGTCGGCGGAATGGACTCGGGTATGCGAATATCGAATGGGAAGTCCGACTGCAAGTAGATTGTGCCAATAAGCAAGAAACGTAACGATAAGATTGGATGTGTTCGACGCACCGACTTCAATACCTCCCACTCCTCTGGTGCTGTCCAGACGTTGACCGGACTGGGTCCAACATAATCGAAAAACGTATTTTCTCCTGTCATCGGAATCTGCTCGACTTTGCGCAGCTCCACGCGGAGCCACTTTGCTTTGACTCCCTGAGGTCCGACTCTGACCTCGATAGCCTAAATCCCATTGTCAACGCGGTAGTTCCGGTAGCAAAGTTCGCAGGATACCCACGCCTTTTACGGCAGCCTGTGGCCTGTCTGTACCTCCCGAAGGAATGCCGGGGTATCCTAGGAAAACAATGAGACGCGATGCTGGCGAACACTGAGAATGGCGGCTGACCATGGACGAATTCGACGTTTGGAGGCTGTCGAAGGGTTCTACACGTAGGAATGAGCAAGATTCAAGGCGTCGTCGTCGTCGAGCAGACTCACAGCTTCACTTGGGACATGGCCCGACGATGGTGAGAGGGAAAGATGTCACTGCCAAGTTTGATGATTGCGGCTGAGGGTCGTGCCCTGACGAAGCGCCTCTTTCGGCTAGCTTCGGGCCGGAGTCGCGATTCCGCAGCACTTTCATTATTAGTTTGCGCTTATTTACCTGAGCTGTATCAGCAGAGGTGGCCAATAAATCCAGTTTTCCAGTTTTTCATTTTCTCTGCTCGAAATATCGCTCAATTTAATTTAGATTCGTTTTATGTGCCATCTCTGCTACTGTCGAACCTATCCAGTAGCAGATATTGATAGGGAAACACTCTCTGTCAGTCACCCGCCACCCGAAACGATTTGACTCAGATGATATACATCAGTTGTTTCATATCCCTGCTTTGCTGGCAAAATGTGCACTAGTGCTTGATCCCTGTCGTCCTAGACCGACAGTTGAGCCGAAATGACCGCAGGAAATTTGAGTGTGATGAAGTATGTGCACCTTTGTACTCTTTCATTTTTTTTGCTCTTAAACGTCGTATTGGAACCGTTGGATTTAGCAAGACCAGGTGGGCAACAAAGAGGTGAGCTATTATATGGAAATATAACAAGGAGATGTCGATAAATTATACAGGCTTATACATTACAGTAAGTCCTTGCCGGAAGGCGAGTAAACATGCATGCTCACAAATTTTCAAGATATAGGTACATCAGCGCGCGCGAACCAATGTTATGGATGCAAAGGATTTAATGATCTGCTTTGAAAAAAATACTGTCTGGTTGCCACCGTCCCAGATCGCATCTGTATAGCCTGAACGGTCATCAACTGAAAGAATCACAACCCGTCAGCGCTGTTTAGATCTGTGCTCCATCCTTTAACTGCCTCTGAAAGAAGCAAGTCAATTGCGGCTACACCAGTACTGACTGACAGCCACAGTATCCCATCACAATCTGGTGTCATCAAGTTTCATTCCGGTTAACGACAATTGAAGGGTTCGTTGATAGATCGATGGATCACATACATTTTTAAAGAGTCTAACATCCACGTTCAATGATGAACGTTTGAACGGATGAACGTTAAACGTGGATTCTGGTATAGCGAAAAGGTTTTGATTAAACTGACCCTACTTGTCAATGTCTCAGATCGACCCAGTCAGTGGTGCCAAAATCAAAACCATCAAGCTCTAGTTGTAATACAGACCCTGTATGTTGGCCACACAGGGAAATAAGAGCACTGGTCCTCTGATTTCCCTGGGTGGCTCCCTTCCATCCACATCATCCCTCCCCGGGCCGGGCCCTCTCTGCCATGATCTGCTCGGACCTCCCCCAGTTCATTTCCTCTCGTTTCATGTATCCTTGCAACCTCCATTGGCATTCATCACTCTGTAAAGCCATTGCAGCGTGACAGCCATATTTCTTGACCCTTCGTTATCCCGGGTCGACATCATCTGCAGCTGATGTCAGCGAGGCGCAGCTGGTCTGCGACGATCAGGATTACGGTAGTCGGAAGGATTCAGAGGGAATGTGCATATTCGCTGTCATTTCGGACTCATGCACTAGTAGATAATGTTGCTACGACTGTCATTACTTCTCACAACGAGCCATCGAGGTCGGTAGGAGTAGTTTACTTCTATTTACCTGAGCTGTATCAGCGGAGATGGCCAATCAATCCAGTTTTCCAGTTTTCTGGTAACCCATTCCACAACACCCACAGTCTACAGACAACAGCCCCTCTCCCCTAATCATCCATGACTTCCTTCGAAAACCGGCCCCCTCCCTTTTTAACGTGTGTTGAGTCGTGTTGGCTCGTGTGAATTCTTTAAACAGCGTACTCTGCCCAGTTTCCTTTTCTCAACATCGCAAAGCGTTGCTGATATCAAATTCATCTTCAGTGACGCCCAGATCGCACATACTAAAGACATGACGCATACATGATGATGGTAACCGTAATGGGCTGGCAAGGGCTCGGATAATATCTCCAGTGTAATGGTTACTTTGACTTGTCCATTTGGTGGGCATCACGCAATAGCGGACAGTAGTGCATAGCCTCCCCAAGAGGCACAATGCAAAGGTAAGTAACTTGCCCGATACAAGAGATGATGAGAGAAGGAAGGAAAAGAGAGATAAAAGATTGGAATGAAGGAGGGCGCTTGTCGGGAGATCCGCGCATGATCATCGAAGCTCATTATAGATACGTCATCAACGATGATCACTGCAGTGCACACTACTGGAAAGTCTCTAGTACCCGTTGCTTTGCCAGACTCACGGATACTAGTGGGGACAGGGTCACATCATAGTCATTTCCTGAGCCTCATTCCACGCGACCCTGACAGGATCTGATTGGCGCTTGCAAAGAACAGTATTTTCTTCATTTAAATTGGTGCAATGACGCTCGTATTGGCGACTTTCTAGTACGACATGAAACGGGATCATGGTCTAATTGGTTCAACCCTGGGCTGCTTCGACATATGCGCTGTCGTCGCCAAGAACATATTATAGCTTGACCCGTCACCCTAGATAACCGGTTAGTCATTGCTTCAGTGAGATCATCGACGACTTACAATCATCGCATTCGGGAAACCAGGGTCAAAGGGCAGAATACTCTCCAAATACTCAATCTGCTCCTTTGACAGCGTGATATCGAGCGCTTCTAAATTCGACACCAAGTGTTCCACCTTTCTACCTCCGATGAGGGGAAACACATACGGCGTTTTCTGCATCACGTAGGCCAGGGCCACTAACATCACCATCAGCAAAGCACATACAACAACTTGAAGAAAAGGCTCACCAGATCGAATATTCTTCGCCCCGACCTCGCCAGCAACCTTCTCCAGCGCCTTTGAGATTTTCTTCTCGTTCTCGTTCCTCTCCCAGCCCCCGAGTCCGGCAATAGCGCGCCCTTTCTCTCCAGACTGCTTTCTCTCTTCCTCTTCGGCGTCCGTGCGGAACTTGCCTGCGGCCATGACGTCCCATGGGGCCAGCGCCAAACCTATAGAAGCTCGTTATCAGCATAAGGATATCCAATGAGTCGTTCCACATACCAAGAGTACGCGCCATGGGAATGATCTCCCGCTCGAAAGAGCGGTCCAAAAGATTCCAGTGTCCTTGATAGATCGCAAAAGGTGTCTTTCCATGGACCTGGGCGTACATATTCGCGCGGGATACGACCCATGCAGGCGAATCAGATATGCCCTACGAGATCTCAGCAACGACAAGGACACAGACCAAGGAGATAAACATACGAGATAGAGAACCTTCCCCTCGACAACAAGGTTATGCAGGCTGTTCATCACCTCTTCGATAGAGGTCTCATAATCCCACCAGTGCACGTAAAGAATGTCGATATAATCCGTGCGCAACTTTTTAAGACTGCTCTTGACGGAGAGATGGAGAGATTTATTCCCATTGCCGGTGTAATTGACCTTTTGCTGGATGCTATCGTTGCCACGCTTGAAGTTCATTGTGTACTGCAACATCGTGAGCACACAGAACAAGTCGCGTGTTTCGGTAGCCCGCACCTTTGTAGCAAGGACCACCTGGTCACGAACACCCCGCTTCTCGACCCATTCTCCAATGAACTCTTCAGAAGATTCGTCCTGGCTATGAGGAGTTAGCTCGTCGGCCAAGGGGAGATGAAGAAAGTTGCTCACTAGCTATTGGCGGTGTCGATGACGTTACCACCCATATCAAAATACGCGTCGAGGAGCTTGAAGCTTGATTCCTTGTTCATGCTTCCAAACCCGAGCTTGTCCCATTTGTCACCGATGCTCATCGCACCCAGCTGGATGGGCGAAACGCGAATACCCGCCAGAGGGGACAAGAGGCGGTAGTAGCCTAACTTGGTGGGAGGCGCAGGGGGGATATCAAAGAAAGACATGTCTGGGAAAGGTGTGTTGGATTGAGTTCCACAATTTTTGGGCCTTATATAACGGTAGACGAGAGTCAATAACAAATAATCCGTAATCGCATAGTAATCCTCGAAATTAGGGGCCAAGTGAATTCCCGAGTGTCTCGGAATATAGATCCAGGTAAAATCAGCAATTCTTTCCTAGGTCACGATGTTGGCCGGGATATATGAGAAATGCGTTATTAAGCTGCAGCTAAGTCTGGAAGCGACGCATAGGGGTAGCCCGCTCGCGAACGTTTATGCAAAGGGTGCGTGGACGGTACCGTGCGAATAAGTATGTACGGCCGGGCAAAAGACATGGTCTGACGCGGCCACGCCAGCGAGAAACTGAGTTAAGTCTTTGGCCTGCGCCAAGAGACTCTCATTGTGTTTGCTCACTACAGCTTATTAGTACGTTGACACCAAAGGTAAGTGACGACGCTCACCGAAATTTATGCTCAGGGTCGTAACTGGCAAGAATGAAACAGGCCAATGATTGCGTTCGAGTACGCGAGCTGGTATCAGTAGAAAATGCTCATAAATGATGTATAGCAGTAGTTCTTGGTGAAGACAGCACCGTACGACAAGTAAATTTGATTGAGGTGGTTTTCTTGGGGCGCCAACGCACTATTCGATGACCCAAGAAGACTTCAGGGTGCGCTACACTAGTTCAAGGCGACTCCTCTGAGATGATAATCGTTAAGTTTTCATGGAGACCTGCTCCGAGTCGTTAACTGGCATTTCATGCCTCTTAGACTTAAGGCATAAGGTTTGGCGGTGCCTCATGGCTACATCGATTGATGGCACTGAACCAAGAGTTGGAACATATACTTGCTGGAAGCACGCGTGCGGAGAACGATGGACCATACAGTTGTTCAGATGTTTAGGAATCAAGTGACAGAATGTAGTGGATGACACTGCTGCGTAGGAGAAGAGAAGTCTGCGTCACTGCAACCGTCGGTAGGACTTCAAAGGATCGTCAGAGCCAGGATAGCGGTACCGTACCATAGTTATCTAGGCATACAAGGGCGATTTACTGATCTTGACACGGCCAGTAGAGTATCTTGGCGCATAATTTCGCGATATCAGCGCGCGCCTCTTCGCATTGCGAATTTGCATGGCTCTGGTGTAGTCAGAATAAGATACCATTGTGCCGCAAAGCCACAGTAACAACGTACTGTATCACAATCCAAAAAAAAAAAACTAGATTCTAGATTCTCCAGCATATATCTGAATGGCTACGGGCCGATTCAACAGTTCTAATTAAACTTTCACGCGCGTTCAGAACAGCCAGGCCTATTCAACAAAAATTGTGTTACCGTATGATAGGAAATAGCAAAAATACGGATAACATACAGCAGAGAAACCGCGGCGCGAGTCGGTTATGCCGATTATATCGTCGATTATGGCTCCATAATCGACTCATAATCCGCAACTCTAACCCTCTCTATTTTTTCCGGCAGTCCTCGAGGCGAGCGCCACCGCGGCGTAGTCTTCATGATTGTCGATACAATACCGGCCGAGACTAAAACAGATGTGTCAGAAAAAATGAAAAAATGATGCCGTCAATCTCGGGATATCAAAGAGATCGCTAATACGGACCGAAATCTCCGCGATGACTTCCTTAGAGATGAGAACATAAAGACGAGGGATTACTCTTCTCTTTTCTCGACCACCATGACAGAACCGATTCGCTTGGGAGTTATCGGCCTATCCGCCAAAGGATGGGCATCTACGAATCTTGTACCTCCCCTTCTTGCTTCGCCTCTCTCGTCGCATTACAAGCTTCTTGCCATATCCACCACGAACCCCACGTCTGCCGAGGCAAGTGCAGCGAAGTATTCCACTGCCGAAACCGCGGTGAAGGGCTATCATACTCCTGAGTCTATCGCTGCAGATCCCAACCTTGATTTGATCGCCGTGTCAGTGAAGACGCCCAATCATGTAGAGAACGCCATAAAGGCCATTAAGGCTGGGAAGGATGTCTTCATCGAGTGGCCGGCTGGGAGAGGATTGAAGGAGACGAAGCTTCTTGCTGACCTAGCAAAGGAGAAGGGGATCCGGACGATCGTTGGGCTTCAAGCAAGGCAGAGTGCGTTGTTTCGCAAGGTGAAGAAGTTGGTCGCAGCGGGAGAAATTGGAGGCGTTTTGTCCACGAGCATGGTGTGTAGACGTTGGCAATCTCGTATAGCGTCTTTCTCATTGATGGTAGACATCACGAATGTCCGGTCCGCATGCGCCATGGGGACCAACGGTGTTTAAAGGAGGCGAATACTTGTTGAAGAAGGATAACGGCGCAACACTTCTTGATATCCCTGGAGGCCATTTTCTCGAGGCATTCACGTATATTCTTGGACCGATTGATACCGTATCCGCGACCGCAGTCGTTCAGTACGCCTCATCCCAAGTAGTCGATCTGGATGGCACGCCCACTGATGTTGTCTCCGCTGACGGTCCGTCGCAGGTAGCCGTATCTGGCACGCTAAAGAGTGGTGCTGTGATGAGCTTGCACTGGCGTGCGGGGATGGAGCAACCTGCCAATGTGAAAGCGGCGACTCCGCTTTTATGGGTTATCGACGGGACGAAAGGAAGTATCAGGATTGAGAGCGACAATCCCTTGGCAGCTTTTGTAGAGATGTGCGAACCAACGCAGCTTTGGGTGAATGGTGATGAGGTGAAAGTTGAGTATGATGGTAAGACGAATGAGGGTAGGGCCTGGGAGGAATATTTGAAGGGCGAAGGCGCGGGAAACTATCCCGACTTGCAGCATGCGGTTAAGATCAAGAGCATCATCGATGCCATTTGGAGGAGTGCTGAGGGAGGCGTTAGGGTTGGTCTGTAAGTGTTGGAAGAGCATATAGCGCACCGGTGTACAATATATGCAGACAAAGTCGAATTCCATGCCCTTTTGTTCATCTATTCTGAAGATAGATTTAGGTAGAAGCACAACGCGCCGTATCCAATATCGAACCATAGATTTGTGTTGTTCAGATGAAGAAATATCGATGAAGCGTCCGAAGGGTAGCCAGCTGCTAGCATGATTATTTGGCAATGGCCAATTGGGGAGAGCAAGTCCCGTAAATTGACGCGTCATAGCCTATCATCGTGGCGAAGATCAGGATAAAAGAGCCAGGAGAGTAAATGCAAGAGAACGATTCGGACGAACCAGTGAGACGACAGTCAAAGGAGGAAGAGGTAGCGAGTCCCAAAGGCGGCAGCTGGAACTCGCCGACCCGGACCGGTCTCCCCGATTCTTTCCGAGATAAGGAGGAAACGACAGAGGGCCCTACATAGATGGATAACGACCATCCTCCTGCCAACTCGTCAAATTAGGGGCTAAATCTGTCATAACTTTTACGCAAAATACGCGTCATAGGCGGGCTCGTGAACGAAAATACTCCACTGATAAGATATAATGTGGGGCTGTCTCACCAATTCTCTCACGGTGAGTCCGAGCCGCATACTTTCTGGGACTGATGTTGTCAGCACGCTCAGTTTCGGCTTTTCACTGTCGTCGGCGTCCGCTCTCGCTTGCGTAACTGTAGTCTTTTGGCTTCAGAAACACGTTTACTGCTAACATCGTTTATATTATTGGAATCCGAAAGAATCGGGGACCTGGCGCTTGCGCCGCTACCGACATACCGTACCGGACTCAGCATCAAAGCTGTACTATGCTTCTGCTCTGAGCCTTTATGACATGGATGTTCCGCTGAACGATTTCACACTTATCGATGTTATTGGCATAATCCTTATGGTTAGCGTATCAAAAATCCCATTGTGGCATCAAGTAGTGTTTCCATTCTAGAATCAAAGCCAGATTACAGGTCTGAATAAAGACATGAAGAAAGGCAGGATAAAGTCCAGCACATTGAGGAAACAAGCAATGAAGTGAGCGACAAAAACCTCTTCGCCGTAGACGGCCTACTACAAAACTAATCCGCTCTCTTGGGCTTTTTCGGGGAAACGAAGATATACTCCGCGTTCCAGATTGCGCGATCAAAGGTGTAAAGGGACACCAGACGGATGTTTTCAAACCTTATCTTCTTGGGCAGCGCTTTGTTCCGCCACAGCGGCTCCCCAGTAGGGACGAACGACATGTGCATGATGCGGTGGTACAGCTGAGCGACTGCCTTCAGGATCCCGTACCGAGTGACGCATCCATGTTGACACTGCATGTTGATAGTTTCCATCATTATCGGATAACCATTGACCTACACAATCATAGAGATTAGTCCATGCGATGATCAGAAACTCTGGGTACGTACGTTAATGTTCAACAGAAGCGCTTCAGCACCGAAAGGGTTGACGATCTTGCTGTCGTCAACGACAGAGAAACCCTCAGGAGGATCCAACACATCGCGAAGAAGAACCCCGCAGCCTCGTGGGTTTTGGCCAGGGAAATCAACTACAACGCCGCGACTGACGAAGGAAATAAAGGTCGCAGATTTAGTGGGAATCGGCCCTGGTTGTTGGACCACCACGACCTTCTCCGCCTTTTTCACCTTCTACAAAAAATAGGCAAGGTGAATCGCTATGGGCAGAAGATTATGGTATGTGACCTACAAAGTCGCCTTGATGCATAAACTGGAAGTGAGCACACTGGTCGTCACAAGGGGTTTGGGGATTGATCTGTGCAGAGATAGTCAACACTCTTTGTCAACAAGGTGCGCCCACAAATGCACTGACCTGACGACCGGGGTTGAAAATGAACAGTTTGGGTGGAAGGGGCTTGCCATTCTCGTCGGTTGGCACTAACGAGTTTCGGTGGCTAACATACGCCACCAGCTGGACAGGCTTGTCCGGCGTCTATCGCAATCATCAGACGAGGCAACGGAACCACACCATGGTAAGACTTACAACTCGCGCCTCCCTTTTTCCCGGTGAAACTTTCCACTTGGGTGGCATAATAGTTTTGTAATGCTCGATGGAATATTTTCTCGGGGGCGTTTGCGGTCCAGGAGGCTAGTAAGAGAACGTCATGAGTAAAACAAACATAAACCACAGGTCAGGACGATAACTTACGCCGTAGTAAGGCACCGAGCTAGGCGGGGGAGTAACAGGGCGAGGAGGCGCCTGACTCGAACTAGCCCGACTGGCGTGGTAGTTCGATCCTGACGCTTCGGGCCTGACCCGCGAACGAGGGTGACGATCGGGCCCACTGAACAACTCTTCCTACAAAAAAAGTTCATTTCCCACCGTAGAATCAAGAAGCAAGATTGCTCACGTGGGGCCGGTTCTCAGGTGAGGTTTTGTACCAATTGAGATTGAAGACCGGAGGCCCCTGATTCGGGTTACTCTGAGAAGGGGTGGAGTAGCCGCCTTCGTAGACACGGCCGGGATTGTAGGGGTTGTAGGACATGGTGAAAATGATGTGAAAATTGAAGAAAAAAGGATAGTGAAATCAGTGGTAACGAGCAGTGGGAAGACAACCAGGCCTTCGATGTCACAGACAAGTGAAAGGATGATGGAGATATCAGCGAGTAAAGTCGGTCCCTTATATATGCTCCTGGCCAGTGGTTTATGCCACCATTGAACGCGGGCGGATACTCAATTTCATTGTCCAGATATTGCAGCCTTCTGCCGCGACTCCGACGCTATGTTCAATGAAATCAGAACCCTGACTTTGGCAATGTTGCTTGAGCTCATTGTTTACATTCTAGAATTCAAGTCAAATATGCGATGCCAAAAGAAGTCGTCGAGGTACTTACATTATTCGAACTGCGTCCACATTTAGTACACGCCAGTCGGTCCTTTTTAGGTCCCAGTCACTCTGTGAATTCCAGTCCCGCGTGTCACCGGAGAAGCGATCATAATTTTTCACACAAAGAAAGAATAGAACAGAGTCAGTCCTCATTCACTCAACATACAAACAACGAGAAGCACATTTGCTCCACGATCCGTCCCAGCCACCCTTCCTCTTATTGTCCGCAATCACCCGTCTTTTTTTGCCAATGTCTTTGCATCGCCAAAGCCATGGTAAGTGGCGAACAATGAACAGGACCGGAGGCGTTGATCAGGGTAATTACTACTTCGGCCCTTCCAACAAAATAAAAACCGACGAGAAAGCATGAAAGCAAGTCGTTTGTATACAGAAGAAATTACACGGGAATAAAAAGACGGACCAGAACAGAAATCATATTAAAACTTGTACTCCTTGCCCTTTCTTCCATCCCTATCACGATCACGGTCCCGGTCCCGGTCCCGGTCACGGTCACGGTCGCGTTCCATCTTCTGCTTTTTCTTCGCCATCTCCTTGGCAACCATGTCCGAGAAATCTTCTCTTCCAGCACCAGGAACACCGGCGTTTCCGCGTGAATGAGCATCATATTTCCTCCTCAGTTCCTCCTCTGACATGTTCTCCAGATCGCCCGCATCGATGGAGACGTCAACTCCGTTTGCCTTGCGCTAGAAGTACATGACATTAATCAGCATACACTTGAAAGGAACAAGATGCTCGTACCTTTGTTCCGCGTTCGTCACCTAGGACAGGTATAGGCGCGCTGGCGACAGCGCTGACATCGTAACCACGCTCACTTCCCATCAACCCACGGACAGAAGTCTGCTTCTCTGGAACGACTTGGTACAAAGATCTTGGTCCAGATTCCATAGCTTCCGACACCGTTCTTCCAGAGTTCTTGCGGAGCTCGAGGAAGTCTGGTGTTTCCAGACCACCAGCAATCGTAGACACGACACTGGCCATTCCCGAGGGCGTTTCTGTACCTGATGGTGTCTGAAGACCATCCATAGGCGCGGGCTCTGCTTCCTCTTCCTCGGATTCGTCTTCGCTCTCTTCGGATTCTTCCTCTGTAGATGTACGGTTATGAATGAGCAGCGATGTATATAGCTCGAAGTCGCTTACCTTCCTCAGGTTCAAGCTCACCCCAAGGGTCCTTGTCGATGGGCTCGCCCTACAGAAGTAGTTCCAGTTGTTATAATGCAAGTAGAAAGTGGAGGACTTACACTGGTATCCGATATCTTGGGAAGCACGCCGAAAACATCACCGTACAAGGGACGGTTGTATTCATCGAGTGGAGGCTTCCCCCACCCACCAGGGTGGAAACCCCATTGTGCCCTGAGAAGGAAAGATCAGAAATGGCCCAAGAGATGCGGCAACACCTTACCCTTCAGGTATAGGTGCATTGAGACCCGGTATGCGCAACGTAGGGTAACTAGGCGGAGGCCCGAACCTTTGCATGCTAATGAGCCATGGTGGCGGAGCAAGCGGAGGAATCGAGAGAGCTTCAACCAATTCAGGCGACAAATCTCCCGGCCGCTTCTCCTTCAACGACGTCTCGAATTCCTTGCCTTCGTAATACCTAAGAAGAACGTGAAATCATCAACGCCGCCCGAGTCTAGCGTAACGAACACCTACATTTCGCCGAAACCAGTAACCAACGGCTTCGTCTGAAACTTGAAAAAAGCATCGTGCAGTTTCTGATAATCAATGTCCACTTTACCCATCTTCGGCTGGACCCGCTCTCGAGTTTTGGCTTTTAATGACATGTTGGCTTCCTTCTCCTTGACGGCGTCTCGCATGGTAGCGATACCTGTGTCCGCGATGTAGGAAGGGAGCTGGAATGGTGGCTTTTCGATACCGCGCTTTCCCTGAAGATAGTCTCGTTTGGCGCTCCAGTGTATCGGGATTGGAATGGTGTTCCGGTAACTTTTGAGATGGAGGAGCAATCGTGGGTCGGCAGCTGTAACGTCGGTCCATTCAACAACTTCAGGCTTCTTCACCAGTTGCTTGAGTTCCGCTACCGTCAAACGCGCCATCTTTCGCTGCTTCTTCTTCGACAACGGTTTCTGTTCCGCGTCCGAGTCACCTTCGGAAGGCATGTCGTCGTCGGAATAGATCATTTCTCCCTTGGTGTTTTCAGGATCCTTTTTCTGTTCAACAATACGATATGAGAAACACAAATGTAGCTAGATGGACACGACGCACTGATGATTCCTCAGGTGGTAGCTGGAAACGCGCAAAGACGTCGGAGAATGCTTCGAGGGCAGTATCGTCCAACGGCTCAGGTACGTACTCAACATTGGCTACCACATTCTTTGGTTCCTCCTCCTTTTTATCCGTTTCGTTGCCGTTCTGTTGCTCCTGTAGATACATCAGCTTCGGTTTTGAGTTGCAGTCAGGTGACGTACATTGGTCGCTGTAGCTGTCTTTTTCTGCTTTTGCTTCAGCCGACGAAGCTGGTTTTTGGATTTTATAGGCTTCCCATTAATCGTCGTCGTTCCGTTGACCGTTGTCACCTCTTCTGGTTGCGCAACCATCAAGAGCGTCGGGACAGTGATGAAGGAGTAAAGGCAAGGAGGCGTGTGAATGTATTGACTTTTCCGCTGCAGAATATCAATTCAATTATTTATTTTATTTCTTCCTGCACAAGCTCAACATAATCGTTGCACCGGACAGTAAGTAATTGCAAGTTTTTCTTCCGTTTTTGCTAGCTAATCGGAATAACGCTCGTTCTATCGAGAGCGGCCCCCCCAGAACCATTGAAGATTTTTCATCTTCGTTAGTTGTGGCCAACCTCCTCAGCGGCCATTTCTTGTAGGTTAAGACAGTTGGGTCCGCCCTGCACAGGATCAGGTCGCCTCTACTACATCCTAGGAGGTCCCTCTTTTTCTGCGATGGTTGTCCCTGTACTACTTGTTGCCAGTTATCCAGGTCGTTACGGATCTGTAACCTCCAAATGTCACTCTTGTGATGTGCGGCTCGGCTTTGCCCTTCCCACTTGCTCCAGAAATGAATATACGTAGCTTTCATCCTCGGGTATTCATCTACCCCCAAGGCTCCCCAAGTTCTGAGTGAAGAATCTTCGACCCGTCTGAGATAAAATGAGAGTGATAGTGAGTTTCGTTATTTGAAAAGGCCCATGACCAGCGTTTTCCTGACCGCTCTTTCTTTCATTTGACAATGCGCCTGTCACTCTCCTCTTAACCTCGATCCTATTACTTCCTCAATGAACCGTACCGTAAGAGACTCGAGAAAATTACTTTGAGGCTCTAGTTAAAGTCTACAGTTATCATCTAGTCCACATGAAGGGTTTCTGCGATAGCTCATTCGATTATTCTTCAAGTATACATAGCACTCCAAGCGCATTACACAACCCAGAATGATCGACGAGCAAAACACACATGTAATTTGTGAGAAAATAAAGTGTGGAACAGAAATTCCTGGCATCTTCCAAATTTGTTTGCTGCAACTCGAAAACTACCAAACGGAAGTATTCGCCAGTCAACAGCAAAGAAAAAGGAGGCCCACCCAGCCAGAGTGGCCAAAGTGGGACAGGAAAATATTTAGACGGTGCATAAGCCTGAGCCTATACAAGCCGCAGACACCCTCTGGGGACAAGGTCGCCGTGCTATGAAGGATCTCCACGGCCCACAAACCCGGTTACGTGAAGGGGCTTGTGCCATCAAGGTAAGTATGAGGTGTTTCAATGTTGGCTCTTGCCTTTTATACGCCGCAATTGCGCACGGACCATGCACCCAGTTTGGCAGGCCGTATTCCGCGGATGTTTCCGATGATGGCACTATCCAAGCCAGTTCTGGTGGGCTAGGGATCGTTATCCTGAGTGCGCACTGCACAATATGCTACAAAAGTAGAGTTGGGGTTACCGAGCATATTTCGGTACGCCCCTTCTAATGCTGTAGAAAAATGATATTTAGCCTTGCAACAGAGCTAAATATCAATGACACAGACACTCGAGCTTGTCAACTCAAGCCGTAGCAGAGAACAGCATAATTTTTCCTGTTCCCTGGAGGATACATTGTTGTTGCCTACTTGTTCTTACAATGTGCGAGGAAAATAGGATTTCTAAGCTGTAAAGAAATAAATAAGTAAATATTCTGATCGAAGATCGCGTTTATTCGGGCCGTGACTACCGTCGCGTCTCTTACTCAGCCCCACCATGAGCGACGTTATCGCGAAGTCCCCACAGCCAGACCCGGAGGCTCAGCCCCTTCTCGATTCCCCACAGCTAGCATACGATACAACCGAACCTAATGGTGAGATAGTCAAACAAGGGCGTAGTTGGAAGCAAATATTATTCTATCTGTTTACCACGCTGCTCGGCGTCGGCGTCCTGGCCATCTTCATCAAAGGCTTCATCGACGCCGACGATGTATCGGTATGTATCTTCGCATCTTAACAACTCGGTGTATCTAACAATGGACTAGTTTGATTTTAAGAAGGCACTGAAGGCAGCGCTAGGTGGGGGATTGAGCGGTGCTGCTGGTATGACCCTCCGTTGCACGAAACGCTGCAGCCCTCAGTCTAATCTGTTATGCAGCGATGGTTCTACAGGTGTTGACTCTAATGGTAAGATTCACTGACGTGTCATTGGCCGACGCTGATAAGCACTTCGGTAGCCTATTCGTACCGTCATGAACTACCAATACCGATATGGGTCTTCAACAGGCGAAGCTATCCTGACCTTGTATCATGACGGCGGATGGACACGTTATTATCAAGGGCTCTTAGCTGCTCTTGTACAAGGCCCTGTATCTCGCTTTGGCGATACCGCAGCCAACGCTGGCATTCTCGCACTCCTCAACTCAAACACATATATGAAGAATCTTCCGCCCCACATTCAGACTATATTCGTCTCCTTGGCCGCCGCTTCATTCAGGATCCTTCTTACCCCCATCGATACCGTCAAGACAACTATGCAGACCCAAGGCAAACCCGGAATACGCATCCTGAGAACTCGCGTAAGCCCCCATACATCTTGCGTCATCTCATCTCATAATGGCACCGGTTTATATAGGTCAAACAATACGGAATCGTATCCTTATGGTATGGTGCACTGGCCACTGCAGTAGCCACGTTCGTGGGGAACTATCCTTGGTTCTCTACTTACAACTTCCTTGACGAGACTCTGCCTCCGCCTACCACCTTTCTTGAGAAACTTCTTCGGCAGGCTTTCATTGGTTTCTGTGCCGCTGTCGTCTCAGACACCGTCTCGAACTCCCTACGAGTTCTGAAGACCTATCGCCAAGTCAACGAGACGCGGATCGGGTATGTGGATGCGGCTCGTGCCGTCATTGCTGTGGACGGAGTTAAAGGTTTGTTCGGCCGAGGACTCAAGACCAGAATCATCGCGAATGGCTTGCAAAGCATCATGTTCTCCATTCTATGGAAGTTGTTCTTAGACTTGTACGTATGAGAGGCTATGTTATCGGGGATTTCAACTAATCCCTTTCAACAGGTGGAACCGTAAGACAGAAGGATAGACTTGGAGCACAGAGGATATGTAACTAGTAAGCAAAAATAGACTGTGTTGTGAGAAACTATGTGGATATAGTATCAGTGGAACTTATATAACCGACTTCCCATGAATTTGTCTCACGAATAATGGGATTTTGTACACGGTACTTACCGGATACACGTCGCTTTGAAGTACGCGTTTGGCCCCTATCGGCATCACGTGGGGCTACATTCGCCGCGGCGGGTAATGTTGATGTCTTCGTCCGTTATGCTCTGACATATCGTTGTATAAGCCCGTTGTTTTATACGACTCAAGATGCAAATTTCTAGAAATCTTCAATGCAATCACATTTGCTCACACCGCAGACCGTGGTGCGGATCGTACCGTGATTGCTTCAAAGCAGGTATTAGCCTCGTATACGGACATGCCAACAACATATGGATTTGGAGTTGAAGGATTCGAAAGAAAAACCGATGGCAGGCCACCCTCATCTTCTAGCCCTCTCCATTGACTCTGCTGACCCACTATTCCAAGGTTCCACCAGGTCCATCTATTGAAGCAAACATACCGAGCGACTCGGAATGATATCTAACCCTCGCAGATCGACGATGGTATCTCGTACATGGCGCCCTTCCCATGCAGAGCTGTTTGATAAAGCTCCCAATACTTCTCTGCCAGTCTGGACGCGTCGAAAATGGCTTGTCTTCTGAAAAAGTGGACCTCGTACGGACCCTCTGCATGCCACTCAAGGCAGGAGACTTCAAGCTTCAAGCTTCGAGTGCTCTGATTGCTTCTCAACGCCCCACTATACTCAACAACTTTACCCAAGTTAGATTCGACCCCCATCGGTTTTCATGCTTTTGGGCCAGAAACATCCTCTCGGATCTGTGAGTCTCAATGATACCATTTGTATCCTTGGCATGATGTATTAGTTTGAACAGATGGAATGCAGGTTGCCTTCACGTTGTGCGAAAATAGACTCGTTTACGACATAGATGGGAACATGCTATTATCATGTGTTCCTCGGCCCGTATGTTCTCGTACCTGCAAGCGCCGAGATTTGCCAGTTAGGCGACCTCGCTCAGTCACTCGGACCTTCTGATCTCCGGCCACGGAGTCTAGTGCAGGGGACAGTAAATTCTCGTCATCTACATAACGGTTTCGCAGCTGGCTGCTGACGGTTTGCTGTCGTTGCAAACGCTCTTGTACGCTCAGCTTCGTCGTTGATTATTATGTTTCGCCGTTCCGAAAGCGTGTCCAACACGCGGAGGATGCGTGAACTTCGGTTCTGCCGCAAGTCAGGCTTAATCAAAATCGGCCCTGCGGAATGGAAATAGCGAGGCTTCCTTGCGGCCCAGTTCATACATATTGCTCCCAAGATGTTTCGATGTACGTGGTGCGATACCCTCCTCTATCCTCCATCTTCATCCTTATCATGTCCTGTCATTCCTTTTACCAGTTCGATGCTTTCCAACTCTCAGAGCTTTTCCTTCTTCTCTTTCTCTTCGTCCTTCTTATCGTCGATATCGCCGTACACGTTGCGACGAGGTGGCGTTTGAATACCTTTTCTGGTGCGACGCTCGTTCCATATCGTAATTGAAAATCCAGGAGTGACCTGTATGATTTGCGTGTAGCAACCCAGGGAGAATCAAAGAATGTGCCCAACCTGCCAATACCTGTTTCCGACGCACGCATATCGCAACAGCGACAACCCGATGTTTCCGTGTCGGATTCGAAGCACGACGATAATACCGTCGTCCGAACTTCTCGGAATCCCCCACCCGTCCACCAAGATAATACGCATCTACCTTCATCGCTAGACCTGCAAAAGAAGTTGTCTCAAAGCACTTTTTCCCATTTCACCGAACGGCTCCTTTTTACGAACAAGCTATGGGCGCAGAATACAATCATCCTCCAGCTCCGCGATGCTTTACTCTCTGTCGAGGACGGTATACGGGACAATGCCTTCAATGCCTTCCTCGATCGCCTGGTGCTTTCCAACACCATCTGGCGACAGCGGAAGGAGCTCGATTGCTTGAAGCAAGAGCGCGACAAGATCAAGGGTTCTCGAGTCAAATCTGTTGTTTCCCTAGCCAAATCGCTCGCGTCCCACCATCGCAAGGAGGCTCTCACCAAGCGACTGGTGGTTGACCTTGTCGATGAAGTCAATGCGAGCAAACGGGAGACGGAGATATTACGGGAAGAACATGAGAGGGAGGTGCAGAAGATCAACGAACTGTGGGTGAAGGATTATAGAGGGATCGTGGATGAAGTTGAAAAATCCCGGCTTGCTGAGAGCGCGAGGGTTATTCAACAGGAGATTTCTAATGACCTCGAGCGGGAGTTGCGGGACGAGCTCGATAATAGTAGGAAGGAGGTGGAAGCACTGAGAGGCCAGGTTGCCGAGTACGAACGCCTAATTGAAGGGCTTTGGTCGGATCTTCATAGGCAGGAGAAGCCGCCCGCTTGACAAGACCTGGAACAATAACTTCGTCCTTTGGCGATGCAGGGTATGGTAGCGACGGCGGTACTGGTACTAACGATGTTTGGTTGAAAATGAAGGGCGTGCGAGAGTCAAGAGCAAGTAGATATTTATATGGAGTAATTTATTCGCATTGTATGTACTACTAGGTAGAGCGGTCTATTATGTACTTACGTGTAAACATTATGATAATCATACAGGGTCCCTTTTTTTATTTTATCCAATTGTTGTGTTGAAGGTCCGCTTTGATGCCGCGTTGCTTTGCTTTGCTGTGGACGGCGACGACCCAAGCGACGACGTTGATAACCGTGACAGCGTCGTCGCCTACAACAATAATGCCTCTGCACAATAGCCATTGTTGGTTCGTTGCGATGGGTGCCGGGACCGTTCTTAAAGGTCCAACACCGTTGCTGTGCCTACTACGCGTCGCTCTTGATGCTGTTCAACTGGGCTATACCGTCTTACCTCTCTAATATTCTGTTGCGCAACAAGAATCCTCAATGTCCCACAATATGTTACATTCAACGGCTTCCGTTTGACACCTTTGTCGAGCACATATTTCCGTTGCTCTGCGTTGAAGAAATAATATGCCTTCGCAGGGTTAGTCGTCAATCACCTATGAGAAATAATGTTCTTTAACATGATATTTATAGGTGAACCGAATGTTCTTCCTTTTGACCCATGAACCCGTTATCTGGAAGCGCTTCATGTCGCGTATGAACATACATACTCCTCCCTTCCGGCCCACGTTTGCGTATTCCCAACGGGAGACCGATTTTGAGATCGAGCAAATGGTCACACGCGCTATTTCCCTGGATGATAATTTCAGACGACGACGACCTCATGTCGTGAATCGGTTTCGGGTCCTGTTGTACTCCCAAATACTCGAACTGAAGTTGGTGTTGGGGGGAAAGTACCTCGTCGCCTCTATAGTCAACCACGTATACCGACAATTCCAAATCATCATCGTCAATATGGAGCACCCAGAAGAGGAAGGTGTTCGCCCTGTATTATACATTCCGGTCCATGTGCGCGCATCTAACCTCGATGCAAAATATATGACCTATCATGGACAGCCGGGCATTATGATTTCATACGTATGCCGGTCGTGGAAGAAGACAGCTGATGGAACACCGACAGGGCACTTGTAAGTTTTTACTCGTTTGTATATCGAAGGCTGTTATTGACGAAAATCCGTTATAGAACAGACCTCGATACTTTGACTTACCACGCCCCCGTTGATGAAGCGCACCCCATAAAGTACGAGTGCAATTGCTATTTCTCTCCCTTGCACATCATGGAGTCGTTGTCGGATCCCTATATCTTACCAGGAGATGATGAGTACGAGAAGCGGCATTCTGGTATCCAACGACCTTCGAACCGCGTCATGGCCTTCACCTCTGGGCGGGTATTGTACGATCCATCGCTTTTCGAAAGCAACGGCGTGCCATATGTTGTAATCACCCAGCAGCCTGATAAAGTCGCCATCGCTAATCTGCACACTCATACAACCCACCTGCTTCTCTGCAGAAAAGCCCCGAATTTCGAGAACTTCGTGAGCCGCTCACGTATCTCTTTTTGTGATGTCTGATATTAACTGATACTTCCTAGCGTCATACCATAATGGCTGTCCGTGTTCTGCCAGACCAAAGCCACATTCTAGTCATCCGAAGACTTCAGCACCCCGGTCTGATTCCCCGGAACACCATAGAGCTCTACCAAATGCCCAACTCCGGAAGCCAGTCTCTCGCTACGACCGCCGCGTTTGAACGCGTATGGGCTCCAGAATGTTATGTCCGTAGTTTTCGCATTTCTGATTACTACCGCCCCTCGTATAAAGGTGACTATCCCACGCGCTCGAACTCCAATGATCCTCCGCCCCCTCTGTCCATATTCATGTCTTCCGCCCGACCTAACACCATGACGCATTATCATCTTTGGCCTTCGTTGATCAAGTCTCGGATATACGGAACAGATAACACCATTGATTTATGGGCATACACTCTCGGAGACTCTTGCACGCAGCAGTCCCTCCATCGCAGTGACACCGACATAACTCGGGTCATTCCTGGGGTGTACCGTTCCCTCGCGTGGCATCAACCTCAGGAAGACCGGTCAATATCGCCCAAGATGACATCCCTCATGCGATATACAAGCCGCGAGGCGCTGCCTACAGGATACTCGTCTCCCACATTGCCGACCGATGAGCCGCTTCTCCGGAAGGGCCGAATTGGTGTCCCCAAATTCGTCTATGGTTCGTTCCGGGATGTGAACGAAAAAACTTATCCCAATTTCTTCCACAAGGGTATCTCGGCGGCGGCGTGGGACGAGAGTATTGGACGAGCGTGCTTCGTCTCCGCCGAAGGTACGGTGATTGAGGTCCTGGATATGGCGTGTGTTGTACAGCCAGACGATCGCCTGACGCAATGGAATATGAAACAAGTGAACGGGAAACTACAGACACTAGCATTCGCGACTGACTGCCATGGCGATACGACTCTGTGATCACGATCAATATATGCACATCTTACACTACTTTACGATTTTGGTATCTACGAGGTATAATAAAGCAGAAGGACAGTGACTTAGGACAGTGATATCATAGTGTTTGTATTTCCGGATATTGTTGGAGTGGATGAAGAAATCACTGAACAATCCCGGAAGTATGTACTACTACGGTTGCTACGTAGGTCTGTATTCAGTGTACTAAGATTTGAGATTTTTTTGATGTGCTAGTTCTAGTCTTCTAGACTCAGCAATTCATAAACAGACTCCGGGCAAGTAATATGGCTTAGCACTTAGGCATTGCTGCTATTTATTAAGGATGGGAGGCGAAAATATTCAATACAGAGATAGTATACATAAGGATGAGAACATCAACTCGACGGCTAGCTTTGAGTACCGCCGCCGTGTTGCCGGATAAAGTATTGAATCTCCGAATGAACACGGCCCGAACTTCCTGGTTACACGTTGATACAGTACTATTTCAAGGACTTTACTTTGCTATGCACAATGCACAGCGATGAGCACCCTTTATCCTTGGAACTAGCCAGTTTGAAAGCAGCTGTATCCAGATTTCAGGTATTGCTCTCGTTGGTTCACCATCTGTTGATGCTCATGTCCAAAGGATGAAGCTCATAGCGCCTCTGTGAAATTGCAGAGGCAAGCCCTGAATACCTCCAACTCGCACGAGAGACTCATACAATTGGAACGCGAAAATGCTGTACTCAGGTCGGAACTCAGTGTTCTTCGAGCTAATCCACATCCAGATACTTCCGAATCTCATCCAGCGGTTCTCCAATCACAAGAATTGACGCTGTCGTTAAGGAGGCTGTCGGACAAATTATCGCTCACAGAAGATGCCCTACTGGAGCGTACGACCGAACTCGCCCATGCGAACGCGGAGCTTACCAAGGCAAAAGATGCTGCAGAAGGGGCATATGCTTTGGCTGCGAGAATCCGAGGGAGGGAGGAGGATGGCAAAGTTCGGGAAAGGGACTTGGAGAAGCAGCTCAGAGAGGCACTGGAGCACAACAAGATGTCCGACCTCGTTGTGAACGAGTATGCTGATTACGTTCGCTCACTCGATGGGAAGACATCCATGTCGCCCCGTTTACCGCCGAATACAAGTCTTTCCGAAGCAAAGTCTGGCATCCATAAGCTGTTCGACGACTTTTCTTTGGAGTCCGAGGAGCTGAAAGCCAAAGTGGATCACCTCGAAGGCGAACTTGCCACTGTGCTTTCCAAGTATGAGGTGGAGATGAGAAACAAGGAGAACGATAGGGTAGAACTCGCGAAAGCACTGGCCGAGCTAGAGAAGTTGAAACTGGAAGATAATTCGGCCGCAAAAATGGTGTCAAGATACATGTACGTCGCTTTACTCTGTAACAGACACCCGGTTTCTGAACGTAACTCACAGGAAATTCTCGCAATCGGCTACGAACCGTTTGCAGGCTTCACTTGTATCCATGAAGGAAAGACATGCTGCGACGGTCAATACTCTGAGTACACAGATATCTGTACTGTCTTCCCAACTCGATCAGTCCCGTGCCGATACCGAGAAACTGAGGCTTGCGCTGGACGAAGTGGGTGGGGACGTCATGCGAGAGGCATTCGGTCGCCGCAGAGAGGTTTCGTTAAGAATTCGGATGGTTGCTCGGGAAGAGAGCATCGAGGAGTGGCTTCGGCGGTGGGCGTTACGTGCTGAAGAAGGCATCGAACGAGGAGATGACGCGAGCACGCTTTTGGAGAGGATGCTTCGTGATGCTCACGCGTTTGCAGCAGACCTCAATGGCCCCTCCGAGTCTATGGGCCGGATCATTGTGACTGAGAATGCCGTAGAAACTTTGGTTGAAGAGTTACGGACACAAACTGCTCGGAGACTCGAGTTGGAGAAGCTGGTTGTGGTGCCTCCCACTCCGGCTCATCAGAAAAATCTCCCTGAACCGCCAGCTCCGGAAGAGATGAGAGACGACCCTGAAGAGGACAGGGCAGCAGAGAAAGCAGGGGAATCGGAATCTCCCCAGGACAAATCGAAGATGATAGACATTCACCAACCTTCTCCTCGTCTAGCGTCGCAGTCCATATCTGTCTTCGATGAACTTACTCCTTCCGAATCCTCATCTTCATCCTCCACTTTGATTGCATCAGATCCCGTACCGTTTCCGACCAAAGATGATCCGTCTTTACTTGCAGAGCTCAAGCAGGTTAGTCGGCGTTACGATGATATGCAACGGGCCTTCCGTGATTGTCATCACGCACTCCAAGAGCTCAAGAACCAACTATCGGCGACCAACTCCAGTCAGGTCCTTTACACGGCAACGGAACGGCTGAACGACTATGCAGAAGACGCTCGTGTCGAACTGGAAATCCGTATCGCCGATGAGGCTCTTCTCGTGCACGGGTTCGAGACAATCCTAACTGTTCCCGGAGCGCTAGCCGATAAATCCGGAGAGTCGCCAACCTTGAAGGAGGTGGAAGCGCAAATTGACGCGTTCATTTCGGGTTCTGATCCAGCTGTAAAGAGAGCACAGCAGATTCTCTCTCAGAAGCTAGATGATATACAGCATGATATTGCTGCTATCAAGCGAGCTATACATGATCCCGACCTTCTTTCGCCTATACCCCCATCTCCTTCCTCTGCTGCTACTGGATGGATGTCCTGGACATCCCGTCCCTCGAGTCCCTCTGCTACGACATTCGGGAGCGTCATGACCAATCCGAAGCTGCGACAAGCGCAATCTATGAACTTCCAGACGCGAAAGGATCCCTACACAAATCTGGGCCTGCGTGTGTCGATGCCTCTCTCCCCGCCTGTTTCTTCGGTGTCCGTGGAGAATCGGGGACCGAGGCCAAGAACTTTGAGTGCCATGTATAGCCTTGGCCTAGCGAGAAACGCGAGCGGGACGTTGGGTGGTGGGCTTATTCCGCCCACTCCTTCGCGGGAGAGTCATGTAGAGGAGACAGAGGACGAGGATGACGACGACGACGTTGAATGAAATATTACCTGTGGTTAAAGAAACGGGACATTTATACTATAGGATAATTTATTCGTAGAGTTATTGTATTTGGAAGTGCGTAGTTGGTGTTGGTGTTGGCACCGGCACAAGGTCCCAATCAGGAACGGCCGGGTCCAGTCATTGATTATAATTACAAACATTCGAGGAAGTATGCGTATAAATTCCAGTAGAAAACATTTTCAGGAATCAGTACTTGTTGAGGATAGAGGTTTCACCAGCCACCGTATTATTTTACATTATTTTGACCGTCATTACTCGAGCTGCCGATCATTGGTACCGAAAAATCTTGGTTTCTTACTACCACCATCCCCACGGAATATACCTTGTTCGAGCCGTACCACCACGTTCCCTTCGACCGCTGCGCCTATTACCCCAACAGTACTTAATACATTGCCACGGAGACTTCGGATCCACGATTCGAGAAGCAACTTATTCAAAGTTTCCCTATGGGCCGCCAACTCCGCCCTCGAAAAGCGCGACCGAGCTACAGCGCTCTAGCTGGTCTCGATGACACAGACGGTGATGGTGCCGGACCATCTATCGTTGACCTTGAAGACGCCTCAAGTGGCAGCGACTTTGCGCCAGGAAAGGACGCCAAAGACGGCAAAGAGGATGAAACGGATGAGCTCGACGAAGAAGACGACGACGGCAGGCATGGACATCGACCTCGAAGAACCAGAACCAGTCAAGCCGAAACCCAAACCCAAAGCAAAGTCTGGAGATTCCGTCGTCAAGCCCAAAAATGCTCCTCGCGCGGCTGGTGGGTCCAGGCGGCAGATGTACGTCCTTCCGACGCCCAGCGTGAATCATCGACACCGAGCGGTACCATTGTATGCTCGTGATGGACAGGTCGAACGTCTTATGGCTCGCCCAAAGCCCTTCATGGAGACGCAAACGATGTTGACCAACAATTTTACCCAAAATGTCAGGATTACTGACCGCGTCAACAAGGCTTGGGGGTACAATGTCGGTGCTGGGCCACTATGGGAGCTCATTGAAGATAGAGGGTGGTTCAAAGAGGGTGTTGCTGATGCTGAAGTCGAGGCAGACAGACGGCCGACTGTGTATCGCAACGTGAAGATGAAAAATGATCTGCAGGTGTTAAGCCAAGAGTGCGTCGCGTCGCCTTTACCTTTTCTTGGTCGTGAAAATAACATTTGGTAGGGAAGCTGCTCCGTATCTTCCTTCTGATACCACAATGACAGAAGAGGGCGCGCTGAAGCCTCCTCCTCCCGTTCCCTGTTTCTTTGGTCCGTTCGATTCTCAAACTCGCGTCGAAATGGCCCTCTACGAGACCCGAAAGATTGGTACTTCGTTTTCAAGTTTTCTTTACGAAGATTTAACATATTCCTCTAGCCGAGTTCATCCCCGAAAGCAAATCCTATGTGTTCAATCCTGGGGCGCCTGCGTGGGGTCTTGACTGGTGTCCAATCCATCCAGATGACCGACCAGGTTAGAGTAAATGCTGCGTTTCTCCTTGGTTTATCTCGAATCCCGCGTAGGCCGTCAATATAAGCAATATCTCGCCATCGCTCCTTTCCCTACAAGTGAACATTCACCTCAAATTGGCGTTCGCGAACCTCGTCCTTCATATGCTTGCATCCAGATTTGGTGCTTGGACTCCGAAAGATTGAGTTGCGAGCTCGTCGTTTGCATTGACTCTGGCCCAGCGTATGAGTTGAAGTGGTGTCCTCTCCCATCGCATGATGCTGTACGTGACTCGATTTCCCCCTTGGGCCGTCTTTAACAGGTTCTCAGATTTCTGGCAGTGACTCGAAACCGAGAAAACTGGGATTACTTGCTGGGACATTCGAGGATGGATCTTTCTCAATCTTTGCAATACCAGACCCGGGTGACTTTGAGCGCAGCGGTCCAGAGCCTGTTTTCGGTAAATCAATATCTTTTCCTCCGCTCTTGCTGATTCGTTATATCTGTAGTTCGTATTTCTCAGCCTGTATTACGTATCGAATTGGCGGAGACAGCATGCTGGACCTTTGATTGGGCCAATAGCGAAGTCATCGCCATCGGTACAGCGAATGGTAAGAATGAGAATACATGTCCCCAAGTTGGCGTGACCACTGACTCATCTGTACGAAGGTATTATAGCTGTATACAACATTGGAGCTGCTCTCAAATCTATGGATGATCCTAGTATGTGTTCGATATTACACTATTAGTCGTTCTGACGAAATATCGTATCTAGACAGCACTCCCATCACCGACCTCCTTCCTACGCATTATATTTCCGTCCATCAATCTGCGATCCGCGCGGTGGCATGGATACGGGCACCACCTTGTGCACCTTCGGGTACACCACGTATTGATCAGGACCCCACCGTCATCGCCAGCGGCGGATATGACGGTATGGAATGTATGACAGATATACGCGACGGCCGAGGATCAGTGATGAATCGTACAAGAGGTAAATCATAGACGTTCTCTCCTGTTCACGTTTATCTAACTGAATGCTAGATGTCATCAACACGATGGCATTCTCACCTTTTGCGGGAGGTCCCATTACGATTGACCACGAGAACATCGTGAAAGCGTACTCTGCATCCCCCAGCATGCTCGGGAGAGGACATACTCTAATGGAACCTCAAGGGCCTGTTTGGGTTTGTCTCACGCCGTTCTGCGAAGTTCGCTTATGACTCACACTCCTCGTATCAGTGTCTGAGCGCATCTGACTATCATCCACAACTTGCTGTGGCTTCTGCCGATGGAGCATGTTCGACAACGAATATGTTGAGGTCCACGCGGAGGGGTGGTACGGTTGTACGTCTAGCCCGAGCATTCTCCCCTTTGGTTCGCTGACAATTTCTTCTTATAGCCCTTCTTCGTCCACAGGATATACCAGCTGGACTATAGTCGCAAATCGAAGGAGTTCCGGATGCTAGAACGGTTTCTTCCGCAAGAGACCGTTGATAGGACAAAGAATCCGGGCAGCACGAGTACGGGATCGTGGCCTCGGCAGGTTGGTATTCAGCGTGTAGTGTGGAATGAAGGCAACGGTCTGGCGTCAGCGGGACTGTTGGCTTCTGCGACGGGCTCGGGACTTTGTAGGATTGATTTCTTGGAAGGAAGGTGGATGAAGAACAAGATACCACATAATGGTATTGAGAATATCCGGTGGGAGGGTGAGGCCATGGAGGGTGAAGGTGATTCAGATGATTCTTCGTGATTGACTTTCTATTCTTCAATATTTTCATTTTTATCTTGCAATGATGTAGCTCTTTTATTTGATGTTTTTTTAAATAAATGTTTCAATTTTGACTCTGAGAACGTGCTGACTAAGACATGGCACTGCCACTAAATAGCCGGCTCCGACTGAAGTAAAATCCGAGCCGTTGATCTTTCTCTCGCTCGTCCACCACTGCTTTCTGAAAATGTCTGCAACTGCTATAGCACAAGTTCGTACTGCATCTGGAGGGACAAAAGGAACCCGTAAACGTCAGCGGGGCCGAGGGGGAAACGTTAGAGGGAAACCGCAGAACACCGATACGAATGGCGGCACCGAATCTGGACCTGTGGCAGTCGAGCAAACGGAGAAGGAAATAATTGCTGAAGATGGGAAAGCTAATGAGGCTTCCACTCAAGAAGATACGGGTGACGACGCTGTATGCTGGATTTGCGCTGAGCCAGTCAAGTATTATTCAGTATCACAGTGCAACCATCGCACTTGCCATGTCTGCGCCTTGCGACTTAGAGCACTGTATAAGAAGAACGACTGTACATTCTGCAAGGTAGGATTTATTCCGCATTTCCAAGTTATCTACAGATTCTCACATCGATTCTAGGAACCTCAGTCAACAGTAATCTTCACGACATCTGAAGACGCGCCGTTCTTGTCCTTTACGGATGAATCGACCCCGTATAAAGATGCCCGACTGTCAATATCATTCGAAACTGAGGAAATGATGCAGGAGTCGCTCATTCTTCTTCGTTTCAATTGCCCGGACGCGGACTGCGACTTCATCGCAAAAGGATGGGCAGATCTTAAGCTGCACGTCCGTGCAACGCATAATAAATTGATGTGGTATGACCTTCTTTGACAGTTATAGTATGACTTCTCTCATCATTCGCTCCAGCGATCTCTGTATACGGTCCAAGAAGGTCTTCGCCCACGAACATGCTTTATACACGTTCCCCCAGCTAGCTGCTCACCTTCCGTCGATGAATCATCGAGCTAAAGTCTCGCCTGATCAAATTGAAGGTGGTGTGCACCCGTTGTGTCAGTTTTGCCGAGAGTGTTTCTTCGACGGTGATGAACTTTTCTCGCATATGCGAGAGAAACACGAGGAATGCTTCCTATGCAAGAGAAATGGTGTCAGAGATCAATAGTGAGGTTCCCATTCTTTTATATAGGCTGTATGTTTATTTACCTTCGTTCACTAGTTTCCAGAACTACGAGAGTCTGGTCAGTCATTTATTTGCACAGTTGGCAATGGGCTGCTAACCGGTTCTGCAGGAAAGCCACTTTAATAATGCCCATCATCCATGCATGCAGGGCGCCTGTCTAGCCCAGAAATTCGTCGTGTTTAACACCCCGCTTGATCTTAAGGCTCATATGGTCGAGGAACATGGCGCCGACATGAGCTCTCGAGACAAAAAGGATGCCCGACGTGTGCCTGCTCAGTTTGAGTTTGAGGATACACCTAGTAGAAGAGGTGGAGGCCGAAGGGATCGAGAACACGAAAGGGAACCTCCCCCGCGTCAGCCACCCCCTTCTGCGCCTGGTCCATCCAGACCACCGGGTGCAGGGAGAAGACGAGAGGGATTCGGTGCCAGCTTGACGACGAATGACAACGCGAGTACCACGTCGCTTCCTACACCGCCGGTGGTAAGCCGCCGCTCTTCTCCCTCTCCTACCCGAGAGCCTGTCGATCCTGCCATCTTAGAGTAAGCGATCCTTCTTCATATTGTGTGCGTTCTCATTCGGACATCTCAGGAAACACACGGCGTTTCTCGCTCGCCTACAGAGTTTTGCAGCCAATCCTACCACGGCTATGCCGGCTGTGAGGGCAGCGATCCGAGGATACCGTGCATCTGAGTCGAGCGCCAAAGACTTGATTTCAACTATATGGAACGTACTGGATTGCCACCTTGAGCACACGGCTAGCATCATCAATGCATTCGTCGACCTTCTGGAAGAAGACGAGAAGAAGCAAGATATTTTGAGGTCATGGAAGAGCTTTGAGATTGAGGTAATCGATCTTGTCTAACCTTTTTTCGATGCCTTCCTAATTAAATGATTGTAGCAACGTCGTCAATTCCCGGATCTTGTTCCATCTTCGGTGGGCAATGAGTACGCTGGTATTACATCTGGTCGTGTACTGAACGCCAAACACTCCACTGGCTCGCGCTCTTCCCAACAGTCCTCTCGGCAGGTTCTTGATCGTGTCGCCAGGGCAGCGTCGTCGTCGTCGACATTGTCAGCAGCCCCTACGGCTGTCGCCAGATTCCCTCCTTTATCATCACAGACAGCGTCTTCCTCTTCTCCCGCGTTCCGTCAACCTCAGCACAAGACCCCGTGGTCCACTGGTGGCGCCTCAGCATCCCGCGGACCCACGCTCGTACCCAGCTCTCTTCCTGGCCCATCAGCCAAAGCTCCCCGTCCTCCTCCTCCCAAGCTAAATGAAGCCTCCTTCCCGGGATTGCCAAGCACAGCTCCGAGGGCCAAACCGCTCATCGGTGGCAACACGTCGCTGAGGAACATCTTGGGCACCTCAACACCACCCCCTCAGACGGTCTGGAGTGCGACCTCGAGTTCTAGTGCGTCTCCTGCTCCTGATGCCGCCCCCGAAGAGTCAGTTCCAAAGGGGAAGAAAAACAAGGGGAAGCAGAAGCAGACTCTGTTCCACCCTGGGTACCTTCCCTACGTGATTCTTCGCCTTTTAGATGATTAGACTTGGAGTGGACATCGGTATGTTATGTAGGAAGTTTGTCAAAATATTTCAATGTACTTCTTGGCCACAGTTATATGCAATCCAATGCGTTTACATCCAATGATACTTACTTTGGTGCTAATGGTGGGGCTATGTCCATGTTGCGGCAAGCGATTTATACATTGGCAGCGCCCTCGTTAGTTGTTTTCCGTTCAGGTTATATCAACTTCTCTGCTGTCTCATTGTCAAGAAACGAGTCTGTTCTTAGCTTAGAGCTTCCATTCTCTGACGATGTTTTCCCCCGCACAATATGTCCTCTCTAGAAACGCTGCTCTTCATGAGATCTGAAAACTCTGACCCTGACTTTGTTAGCTTTGACCTGGCCTGGGAAGATTCACAACGACGCCAATTCAGCCTACCTGCCTGGTGTATCAATTCGGTAAGCTCTTGTTAATTAAATAATGAATCCTTATATAAATACTAATATCTTTACCCCCTGCATCAAGATTCCTGAAGGGTAAAACGCACTCAGGGAATAATACCAGACCTTCGCCTTTTTCATGCCCCTTCATCTCTTGCGTGCAGTCATCGACTATCGAATGTCATTGGGTCTATCTAATGGACACTGTTAGCGGATTTCACGTAAGGGAATCTGACAGTCTGCTCCTGACATGAGCACCGATATGGGTTTTACATGTAATAAACGAGCATGCAAAGGTAAGACTCCTCGCGATAGGAATTGGACCGTCAAGGAAAGAAAACTTTAAGTCAGGAATTTGGGAAACCGCTACCCGACTTCTTTATCAAAGTCTGCCTACAAGGTTCTACGCTTTCAAGATAAGTTCTTCGAGTATGCCTAAAAGAACTTGAAATCTTATATAACCCTGAGGCTTCGGAAGTGGGCCGACCACAACGACTTTAAGAAGGCCGGCAGAAAGGGCGATCAACCTGCAATCTAGTTTGGCACCACGTCCATTCCTATCCTGCGCTTTAGATCACCGATAGGTGGGAGGATGCACAAAGATGTTTACAATGGAAAGGGCGCCGTATGCTGCGACTCGGCTTCGGTTGATGATCAGCTGCAATTGAACAAGCGGCATCATGTGGGTGCGTCGGCGCCTACTAAATCTGACATTCCTTGCTTCGCACCCACACAGTTCTCGTCCTTCTAAGCTCCAATTATCAGCATCCATGTTGATGGAGCACCGGAAAGTCCCCCGTACCTAGACTTCTTGAAGTCACATCAGAAGGTTCTTACGCAAATGTATATCGAATTTCAGCTCGTATCCTGTAGAAGCCCCCATCGGAGGCATAAACCTTAACAGATATAAAGGTAGCGGCGATGGGCTTCATTGCTCTTCGACAACCCTGCTCAATTCCATCATGCACAATTCCAGTACCCAATCGCCAGGAACCGTCGATGAAAAGACTGCAGACGAATCTACGGCAGGACAGCGGGCAGACAAAAACAACAGAGATGCCGATATACAGGCTACCCTCGCTGCGGATTACCCTGACGGCGGATGGAGGGCATGGTTAGTTGTGCTTGGGGTAGGCGCATTCTAGTGTATTCCCTTCTTTGCTTCTAAAGGCTGAACACATAATTCCTAGGCAATGTGCAGCGCATTTTCGACGTGAGCTTTTGATAGCGTCGTACGGGTGCTTGTTGTTCATTTCAATAACAAGTTTCGGTTATGTAAATGCATGGGGTGTGAGTAACTCTTGGGCATTTGAATCCATGGTAGAATTGACGTCTCTCGCAGGTGTTTCAAGCCTACTACGAGGAGGGTCTTTTGTCACACTCTAGTGCCTCTACAATGTATGCACGGGTTTCTCTAATTCGTCATGTTTATAACATGTATTCAGCGCGTGGATAGGATCCATACAGGTATTCTTTTATTATCATGCCATGGCGAAGTTAAATTGTTGACATTCCAGTATTCCCTCGTCTTCTTGCCTGGTTTGGTCACTGGTCGAATGTTCGATCTTGGATATTTCAAGATACCCTATTTTCTCGCTAGCATTCTTCTTGTAGGGGCCACATTTCTCGTAGGTGAATGCACCAAATACTGGCAGCTTCTGCTCTGTCAAGGATTTGCCATCGGAGTATGCTCCTATTCCTCTGGCCTGTATGTTTGATACTGAATTGGATACCAGCTTTCATGTGGAATGGTATTTGGTCCAACCAATAGTATCATCGGCCATTGGTTCCGGCGCAAGAGGGGCCTTGCTATGGGCTTAGCAGCCTGCGGCTCTTCTGTCGGGGGAACTGTATTCCCAATTGCCGCACGCATGCTTATACCCGCCGTTGGGTAAGTCATCTCGTGCGGTTTCCCACTCGCTAACTTCATTAACAGACTTCCATGGACCATGCGGATCATCGGGTTCATACTCATATTAAGTACTGGGATAGCAAACTTGACTCTAGAACGACGCCTCCCTCCTGTACGTGTTAAGGGAGGACTTGCGAACCTGGACGCTTTTAAGAGCGTTCCATACACTATTTACTGCATTTCAGGTTTCACGACATTTCTTGGACTATACACTGGTAAGTTTTACCCCCATTGAATCAATTGAATATACTGGCTACAGTTTCCCAAGTCTTGACATACATCGACATCAGTTCCATATCAGTTGGTATATCTTCTGATTTCTCGTTCTATCTTGTCTCTATCGCCAATGCCGGTACGCATCTCTTTTTTATGTTTGAATTGATTCTGAGCCTTAAATCAGCATCGGGTTTGGGTCGTATAGTCGCTGGAATTCTCACAGACAAGTTTGGTTCGTCCCGCATCGCTGATCTCTTCTGTGTACTTCTGAGCTACTGAAATTCAGGTGCTGTGAATTATATGGCTCCCGTAACTCTCGCAGCCGGCTTGCTGACATATGCCTGGCCATTTGCACGAGACAAACCTTCTATCATTGCTATTTGCAATACTTACGGGTGCGTTCATTCTCCGCGGCTCGAGAAACGTACCTTCAACATCACCTGCCTAGCTTTACCAATGGTGCTTACATTTCGTCGTTTTTGATACCTATCTTTGAGCTCGGTGATATGGACGACCTCGGAAGAAGACTGGGAATGGCCATGACCATCGCTGCGTCTGGTGCATTAGCTGGTCCGCCGATTTCTGGCGCAATATACAGTGCAACCGGAGGATTCGAAGCAGTCGGATACATGCAGGTGCTTCAGTTCATCTCGTCTTAGCTCGGGGTTTTGCTGATTATTGAATACAGGAAGCACTATAGTTCTCACCGTGGTGTTGATGCTTATAGTTCGTCATCTAGTGCTCGGAAGGTTGGTAGGAAAGTTTTAGGTATGACATTACCATGCAGCTTCCTCTCAGAATGTCGGCTATGACTGCTTTTATGTTCCACTTTTTCTCTCACGTTGTCATAAATTATGTGCGTAGATATTTTTGCAAAGGCACGCGACAGGACTAGATGTATCATTCACCGCAACTATGTATATAGATGTACTTTCAGACGTAATCAGACGAGTTGATATGACATACCTAATTGGACTGGAGTGGCAAACGATCATTCTCGATGCTAACGGAAGCAGTCATGAGTCGAGAGCTACATCGGATAACCTTTATAAGACGTACTGTGTGGGTGAAGGAACTGCCGTACTAGGACCTTTCCCGCATTTCATGAGATTCTTGTGGAGCTATAAGCAGAAGAAGACGCTCACCAGGATCAGCCGTGATGTGCGGAAACTCCACGTCAGGACACTATTGAAAATCAAGGAACAATCAGAATTCCAGGACATATTCATAAGCCCACGCCAACGAACGGAAGCTTCAATGTCCTCAAGTGACTTTCCAGCCGGCAGATGAGGCAGAGGCACCTCGAATGCCTCAGGTTCCGGAATGACTTCAGAACAATCAACGAGAGAGTTGACATCTTGTCCGATCACTGCGACTTTTTCCATGGCTCTTTTGAACCGGGGTGCGATAGATTCTGGGTGACCTGCCGTGAAGAGCGTGAGTAGGTGGGCTTGATCTATGTAAAGCACAAGACGTACTGATCAACGATTGCCAATGGCATGCGGTCCTTAGATCTCTTCAAGAGCACTATCAGCGAGTTCTATTGGAAGGGCTAAAATCGTCGGACCTAGCAAGTCGGTGATCTGCAAGCAGGCGAAACTCCCCATCAAGAGGAGATTTGGCTTCTCCGACGTGTTCACCATCTCCGGGCCAGTCAGTGCCATTCAACAATGTCTGATGAATTGAATAAGATCATCCGTAGTGTTGAGGGAACGACATACTTCAACGAAGAACTGCGCGTCTAGAATCGTAGGGGTAGAGTCGAAAGGAGTGAAGGGAATGCTCTAAATCATTATGGGTTAAAGCGCTTTCCCCCCACCATATTGTATTAATATTGATCACACTCACTGGATCCACTTTCTCTTGAAATGCCACGCTGTGTGAGGCAAGAAGGTCAATCAAATCAGAAGGACTGAGCCCCGCATCCGCCATTCTAGCAAGTAGCACATCGACGGTTTCTTCCGCTCCTGGAAGTAGACCGTTATTCGGTGCCGCAGCTGTGGCTGGGGGACGGCCCGCCAAGAATTGTAAACGTGGACCTCCTGGACAGTTGCGCAGAGCCACGGCGCCGGCAAATTGGATCCTGCAGTAATTTCATCAGTAAGAGCGTTGTCACCTAGGCAGAGGTACTTAGGGCTGACATGTCTCCAAACGAAACATTGTACAATTCAGCGTAAGGCCGTTCTACGGTGGCGATGGTCCGTAAACCAGCATTACGAGGATAGTTCAGTTCCGAAGCGGCAAAATACATCATCGAACCATCTAACTCCAGGGTGAGGTCGGATGTACTACTCTCGAGACGAATTTTGAATACCTGCGCCGCCGCCACTAGAACGACATCAAGTACATGTACGTCAGGGATAGAGAATCGCGTACCCAAACAGTCCTTGTTCAATTAGAGAAGAGGAGTAGCCAATTGCGTCATGGAAAGGTAACTAGAATGGAATGCATTTAGTACCCACATTCTCCGGATAAACTGGGGGGACTTACACGTATAGCATCGGACGCTACTTCATCTGAAGGCCGTCACGCTCATGTGGATATGATACTCAATGAATTTGGGAGAAAATGGCGCACCGCAGATACCGCCGTTATACCTCGTATAGGTTAGTACAATGTGAAAAGCAGCTGTGGTAGTAGGAGGCTATAGCGTACATGTGCACTTGTATATCCTCAAGGACATCGAACCAGATGCAACACTGTCGACGAAGGTCAGCACATGAGACAATTCTAAAGCCATTTTTCCGAACCTGAGCAGAAGACACGGTTTTTCCATTGCTACAAGTCGCGCGGGGAGTGACCACTCCGGAAATGGCGATCAAGGACGAAAGGAGAGCTAGGAGTCGGAAGAGCATGTTGCGAGCCATGACTGACCGTCTGTTGGATGTTCATGTCAATAACCTGGAGTTTTTATACGAAGCCATAGGCAGCGATGCGCGCTACCAGTGGACGCGACCTTCTCCCGTCTTCTCACGTACACATGGCACCAGATTTTGTGGATGGAGAGGTTACTGATTGGGTTGTAGTCATATTCCAAGTTCTACGACCACGTCAGCAGGAAGCTCGAGGAGTTCTGATATCGTCGTTGAAAGAGAAAAGATGGTGCACGGCAATCAGTTATGTTCCTGGATACAAATATCGTACGGGAAAGGTGGATGCTTAAGCTGGAGCCACGTAAGCAGGATGAACGCAGAAAGTATGAGATCGTGGCATAAGCTCTAAACCGGTCCGTAGCTTGTGGTCTTTGAAAAAAGACATTTCTCGAAGCATTGTCACCAGACAAGTTAAAAGACAAAACCAAGCAGACGAACGGCGAGCCGCACAAGGGCAACATAGAGTTATAGAGCATTATAACACTTGATAAAGGAAATAAACAAATTCCTACGGGAGTACAGAGGATGTCGTGAGGGCTGTAGCACCGTATCCTCGGGCAATCGGGTACGCCCAACTCGGTGAGCCGTGCCTACCTCTACCGTCGTTTCCTGTCAACGTGTACAACCGATAGTCGGAGGTCCCCGCGACAGGAAAATGACGACCAGTGCTCACGAGAAGTCCTGCCTGGAATACGTTCCGGTTCATTTCGGGGCCCTAGCTCATGACGTGGCGAATAATAATCACAAGTTTGAAGAAACAGTCCTTTATAATACTTAATGATAAAAGCCACATCGTGTCCTGAGACGGCGTCACTGGGAAAGATTGGTTAGTTGAGAATGTCAGGCCGAAATTCCTGTCAGTAGTCGCTGGAGCAATTGCAGAACAGACGGAAATTAGGAGTCATCAAGATTCTTCTTCCAGCAGATCATTAGTAGCGAGCCGTGCCGAGTCTCGATGTCGTCATTTTAAATGCTCACCTCGGCGAGTTCGAACAATGTTAATGAACATTGAGTTGGTGTGATAAACATGGACGCGGAGAATGCCGTGGCCTGAGCCGGCAGGTTACCTAAACAGACTCAAGCGATGCTGGCCACCTCCTGCACCGCGCCGTCACCGCGCCCTGAACTGAGAACTGGTTCAGCTACAGAATTTTCTCTAGGCCTCCAAGTATTACTAACTGTCTACTCACCCAAAGACTCGGAACCATTACACGCTACATGCCAAAATTTCATGCCGAACCCTCCCATTCAAATCTCCCAATGGTTGTATTCAGGGAGATTCTCTATGGTCAGCTGCAGCTGACACTCCATGACCTTCAAGACCTCCCAGTCTTGCATAGTGAAGTCCTTCACCGGTGGAAAGTGTTTTAAGAGCGAGTAAAGCTGCTCGGGGCCGTCGAACTCGACATTAGAAAGGAACATGCTTTTTTCAGGGATATTGCTGCGAACGTTGATTGAGAAGTCTTTCCGTGTGGTGTTTGGAATTGTTAATATTTTGATGGTCTCGAGACGAGTGAGCGATGATAGGATCTGCTGCCCCGATGAAGAGGTAAATGTCAGTGTTGAGACAACAACTGTTTTGATGCATGGGCCAAGATGCGGTGCAGACATGAGGACAGAGAGAAACCGCCCCTCCAGGACGTCCAGGCTTTTACTTCTGAAGGGAGGTAAAAGCCAAAATTTTTTGAAGAGATGAACTAGTTGGTGAGGGCCAACGCATCCGCGTGGCAGGTCCGAGTCCTATGTTTTTTTTTTTCTTTTCAAAAAAAAAAAAAGAAAAACGTAACATTGACAATAACAATTGAATTCATGGACTAATAACTATAACAGATGTATGGGTTTTCCAGAATATGCACAACTTTGCGGCGACATTCCGATTATATGCAGACTGGGATAAGGAACTCGAGGAGGCTTGCGATGGATTACTGGGTGAAGCTGAGTGCTGATAAATAGACGAAGGAAGAATGTGAGATGACATGTAGGTAATCTTTGCTCTGCCGATTCTCCAGCTGAACCCAAGTGTTGCATAGTCTGTCATGTCGCCGCCACAGTACATGGTCATAACCCCTGTTTCTACCGAGTCGACCTCTGCATCCGCGCCCGCGCCCTCCTTCTCGACAAAGAAGTCAGCTATGTCTTGCTATTCACCATCATCTTAGAAACTAGGAAGGACGGTGAGAATTACTCCTATTTTCTTCTTATTCTGTCATAGTTTATCACCTACCTAGGCAAGGCTCGTGCGCTCTTCACTCGCCCCTCACACTGCCCACCATCCTCCATCCTCAACACCCTGCCAAAAACATGCGGAAGCGCCACCTGCACCGACTCCAAGTGCATCGGAATGTGGCTTATCGAAGACTGCCAGGGCCTTCATTATCCGAACTCCATCATGGTCTGAGAGCTCCCTTCCAACGGTGGTACCGCGACATTGCGAGCGTGAAAAATTAGCAGAGGACCATTACGTGGAAGACTGGCAAACCTTTCGTGTCGGAGAATCTTTTTTCTTGGATCATCGATATGGGTCGTCTCTTGCCTACGAGCCTCGCGGATTTTAGGGTCCATGGAGAGTTGGACTAACATCACGATCCTTGGGCTGGTGCGTCGTTTCCATGTCTTCTTGTCATGGTTGACTCAACCCCTGTATACTATGTCAGACTTGTCTGTACCACTTTACATCCCGAAAGGTTACACACAACTCGGTCTTCATAGCGATGGGAAAATCAGAGCTCAGAAGGGTCTTGAAGAGCACCGAGAGGCGGACAACAAGGGTAGACAAGACGAGAACAAGACGAGACAGGGCGTCAAGCAGGACATATACTCGGTAGTTTTGGTCCTTAAAGTGAAGAGTCTCAGCAAGTATAATACTACTCACCGACACCTCATTAAATCCATCCTAATGACGTGTATAATTCTGAATCCATCGAGCGCATTTGTGTATATGAAATGTTACTTGCTGGGAAGTGCACGCAACCCCGCAATCACGAAAGAGATGAGGAAGGGGCAGACTTGACAGCCCTATCATGCTTCTTCAATGTCGTCCACCAACCAACAGTCACAGAATGAAAGGAGGGGAAAAGAAAGAGATAACCAACCGGCAACAGAACACGACAGCGACAATGGGGAACGAATAGAAAACATCGTCAGGTAGACAGACCGGCAATGGCCGTCAACGAATAGAATTATTCCCACGGTATGCTCAGGTAGCCAGTCCGGCAAATTCCGTGATGAATTGATATCCCAAATAGAATTTCCCACGGGTTGTTCAGGACAGCATAATGACCGAGTATCCTATACACTGCTGTGGTAAGCCGGTATTTTGAGGGGGTCAAATACCTTTGTGTTTTTTGCACCGTATTTTAGTCGCAAATCCACCTGAGAAAATACTGAAAGAAAACCTGACCGTTTTTTGAATAAAATTTACCTAAGAGGATTTCGGGGGCAAATCCCGCTTAAAAAACGGTGCGTATTTGGATCCGTATTTGGAAGGAAGGTTTTGGCGTACAAAAATACCAACCGTCTTTGTTCTGGGATTTACATAAGGGATTTGGAGCCCAAATCCCTAACAAATACTCAACCCTTTGTCTGTTGGCTGACATAGGTATTTGTTCGGGATTTGGAGACCACTGGAAGGAGCACGACTCGGATGCCAGGGCGCAGGCGATATGGCGAAGTACGCTTATGCGTACATCTTCTCGTCCAGTGGACATGGTCTTCAGTATTATGGGACTTTTTGGCGTCAGCCTCAATGTGCGTCAATTCAAGAAGAATGATCGTCTTAAAGCCACAATTGCGTTGTCTCAAGAGATCCTCTGTAAAGGTGGAAGAGCCAACTGGCTCGGAGCGTCGCTACGTCTCCCGCCATGCAGACAGCTCTCTTCGTTTCCACAGCTTCCGCAGACGAGCGTCGATGCAATTCCGCGTATCCCAACAGAGGATGGTTTACGGGACGTGGCCGAAGTTATCGAGCATTCGAATTATAACTGGTGGCTCAATGGGTTACCTACAGGGAAGATGGACGACGAAGGGTATCTCTTGTTTGCAGCGAAAGCGATCGCTTTTAGACCGACACGATATCGTCGAGACCTCATATCCAAGGCCATCTTGGCATCAGAAGATGGTCTCGGACGGCTTCTTATGAAGGACGTAGATCTGAAGGTCTGGGAAATTGTGGATGATGAAAGTAGGTCTGGCAGTTGGAATACGATGTGTCAGAATCTCGATGAAGCACTCCGGAATTCGGTCCTCCATCCTCGACTCCCTAAAAATCATGAGATGGCAGAACAGCCTTTCACAAGCCATTCGCGTGTCTATGCAGTATCTGTGGGAAAAACAGAGCAATATACCAGCAGTATACCCTCCCTTGGCCTAGACTTGGCCAATAAGACTTTAAGAGCCGTCGTAATCGAAGAGCATTCTCCGGGAAAGTTTCACCGGGCTTCATACTTTGAAATAGACGACGAGTTTCAATCTTTCGTCGATGCTTGGCCTGAACGAGAGATTTGTATTGGTGGTCCTACCTCCCCGGCGATCAGAGACCCGGGCCTCGGCCTCGGCCTGGCTGCCTATGAACCAACCCATGCTACACCTTTTATGGTGGAAGTGATGAACATAGGCTACGAACCTCCAAACGTAACCATTGAAGGATCTGATGGGCCTACTATATATATTGGAGGGTCTGCCCAGCCAAGGAGAGAAGAGCGTAAGTCTGATTACCCCAAACCTACTCAGCATGTTAGTTAACCGTATGCAGCCTTCGACGCAGCAGTGAATTCTCCAGAAATACTTGTCCAAAAACATGAAAGCTGCATGACGATGTTAATCAGGAGTGTATTGCAGTTTTTACATATTAGATCCATGTCCACCACAACTTACCATTAAATAATGCAGCGTTCAACACTCTGGGGATTCCCACTGCACCTGTTATATGAGTACGGTCGTAAAACCTACATGCAGATGATGGGCCTGTGTTGTATGTATGTCATTGGGCAGACTCGACGGTGCGATGACGTAGCATGAGATGTTTTTGGATACTTGTAGGATGCGGCGGAATGTGTAGCGGATACGGTTGACGCTGTTGAGCGAATTCAGGTGTCGGCTATAGCCCAAGCAGTCTCCTCAAGGCATCAAACATGTCTCAGAGGCGTGCATGCAAGTCTTAGATGCGTACAATGTTCGGACTCTAGGCAGGTAAGTTGAGTAAGTTGTCGCGCCGTTCGGCGGTGCATCTAGCATCACGTGAAGTCAAGCAATTTTGTCTCCGTAAAATGAAATTCTGAAGGACACAGTATTGTAATAGTAGCAATAGAATAATAAGTGACGCACCATGAAGTCATAGAACATGTAAATCCGCTAACGTCCTACTTGAATGGCCATGGCAGAACTTAAATTCACACATGTTATGGTAAGGAAAAAAGGTAGGCAACTTGATCACATTGCAGAGTCGTTGAACAAATGAACAAAGGAACAAAGGAACAAAGGATACAAATGTGCTACATGAGAGCGGGACATGTTAGCTAGTCCAAGTGTGATCCAGAAGAAGCGGAGCTTGGAGAGTACAAGTCATGATCAAGGATTGCAGGTAAGTCTTCTACCGGTCGCAAGTCGGTCAATCTGAGTTCGTGTGCCAGGTGGAGAATCAAGGAAGGGATCCAAGGGCGTCGTTGGAGAAAGAGAGAGACAGACAGTTGACCCCGTTTACGTGACCAAAGTTCTCGAGACACGCGTTCTCGCCTAATTTGGTTCCGCTTTCACACCAAATTGCTTAGACTTGATTACATTTGGTCGTAGTACGATACTACAAGCACAATATCCTTTCCGAACGCTCTGATAAGCTGATAAGTGATAGAATTTGATCTACATCTAAAACAACAGATAAGCGACCTCAAGTGAAAGTTAAGCAAAAGTGCAAGTGAACTTAAGTGATTATTTTGCCTAACAAATGAAATTGTTAACCACCTGCACTACTCGTTATTATATTCTTAGGCTAAGAATTTTCGTTATCTTATCTCAAAAATTACCGGGTTTCTACAAAATAATGAGAATCGATCGAACTTTTTTTCGGCTGCCCAATATAGTAATTCCCCATCTTGGATTCCACCAAATGCATAAGCACTGCGAATTATACCTTCCTGACGTACAACTGAGCTATATTCCTCCGAATTATCCATCAAAGGCTCTGATATCACCACCCGGGCCTTTGGTTTGTGATCCTCATGAATCCGCTAATCTGGTCTGTCAAATCTCAAATCAGCGGTATTTTCTTCATCACTGCAGGCTCCATTGCATGACTTGATGACACCAAAACATTGTGTCCTGCTTCGGGAATCAATTCTAAACCATTTATTCTATCATTACTGTTGCTCTTGGTGTTGAGTCGCTGTTGAAAGAAAACCGGTGCCTATGAATTACTATATTGGGTAGCCGAAAAAAAGTTCGATCGATTCTCATTATTTTGTAGAAACCCGGTAATCTGTTGTCTTCATACGCATTTCGAGCACGAAAGTCTCTCACGTATTTCGCAAACAATGGTTTATATGTCTTCCAAAGTCTATTTTCTGGCCGCGTGAATGCTAGCTCAGGTTGGTCATCAATGACGACAACTTCTCTTCACTACACCCTGCCCGCTCACCTGAAGAGGCCAAGTCTACCGCTTGCTGCATTGTCCGCGGGATTGTCTGGATTTGAAATTCTACGCTCTCTCCACTCTATGACCGTGTCCACATCTCGCTGATTCCACTACAGCGTCTTATATACTTGGTCTAGAAGCTCCTGGTCCAGAAAGTGATTCCTGTTCCTCCATCATAGATATCATAAGCTAACCTGCATCAGTTACTTAGGTACCATCTTCTCTGACGAGCAGCACAGATCGTCATTCAAAGTGACGAGTGACCAAGATCTCAATGATGTGCCGCCGGTATCGAAGTTTTGTGGTGGGAAAGCTTGATGTGGGTTAAAGAGTGCGATCAATAGTGGAGCTCAGACGTGAGAACTTTGTCTGTCGAGTTGTTGGCCCACTAAAATGAAATCAGCAGGCACCCACCGTCTCCTGCTTATCGCTTCCGGATCTTTATATTATCCGCCTCAGGTACTCGACCTCTTTTTGGCTAGATATTCCCTTGTATCATTGTCCAGAAATCAAGTACCCTACAGTTGTCGCCTTGGTTCAGATAAATGGGTACACTGCGCCGCAACACTCCTCTCCATGTTCTGCTAAGCTTACTCCCGAGAAATACTTCACTCTGACGAGATATCACGCTCGTCTTGCGTTTTTCTCTGTCTCTGACGGCTACGCGGTGGATCAGGAATCAAATCGCACGACCGTCGGCTATGATAATTCTCAGCTCAATTGACGACTTCGCTGTAACTAAACCCTTACTCTCACTATCGCTGTCGCCATCCTACCAAATTGTCTTGCGTTTCCTCCCTCTCTGACGACGCAGTGACCGCGTATGACTGCCGGCTACGACAGCTCTCATCCCAATCGACTTGGTTATAACCAAACCCTACTATCACTATTACTGCCGCCGTCCTACAGTACTATCATCCAGGCTCTCACCGGAGAATGCTATTTGATTTACCCGCAGAACTAACGGACCATGTCGTAAAACAGGTACGTGTTCTAATTTTATAGTCTGCATACTTATCTTACAACCTGAAACCTCTCTAGTTGAATAACCACAGCGACCTCTTACGTTTGGGTTCATCGTGCAAACAAGCACGTGCCGCGTGCAAGCCTAAAATCTTCTCCGATCTAAGGATCCAAATCGGTCGTGAATCCCAGAACGACAGAAACATCTCTCTTCTCAAGAGCCTGTCCCGCGGAGAGACAGACGTAGCGAAATTCGTACATAACTTGTCGATCTTCACGATCTTCCCTCATCGTTACAACTCTCGCCGTTCCGAGTTGGCAGATGCCTATAACAGGACAGCTCGTACGAAGGCGCGCGCATTGGAGAGGATGCTGAAGCTAATCGTTCGCGTGATCCCGCAGTTTGTTTCCCTGGAGTATATTCAGTGTGTGATTTTCTTGTGTTGGTTGTATGCTGTTAACATCTGATGATCGCATCTCAGTTGTGATTTGGAGCCTTCAGGTGGTTACAAAGCTGTTGATGTCGACACCATCGTCCGGGCTCTGGCGAGTCTACCCTGCCTCACCAGCTTGAGCCTCGATTTCGGACATGGCCCATTCCTTCTGGTCCCCCCATATCTAACCAGATCCTCTTTAAGTCAATTCAAAAACCTCCACTCTGTAGAGATATGGGGAGAAGCCAGTTCCTACGAAACTGTCCTCGGTCCATTGCTCGCGAACAATCCTGGGCTGACCCGTTTAACCATCTTTGGTGGACGGTCCGTACTCGTGACATCACTCAGTGAAATCGAGGCCCGGTACAATATCCGCGCCGTCCCTGCTATCACTAGTATTTTCGTTGGATGTTCCTTGGACGCTACCATCCCGCGATTCCTGCCCCATCTTCGCCATCTCCGCACCGCAAACGTTGACATCCCAGATGACTTTTGGACGGCCCTCACCCATAGGGGAGTTAAACTTGTCACTTTACTCACTAATACCACAACGGACGCCCTTATGGCGTATCTCGAGTCTTACTCTGGTCTAGAGGTGCTTTCGTTGTCACCGGTGAACGATCATCACGCGGAGGCGTTCTATCGGCACGTTCTCGTACAACATTCCTACTCATTGAGAAAGCTCTCCATTGAGATTAAGTCGGTGGGGAAATGGTGCGTTGGTCCGCGTGTTCTTGAGGTGTTATCACGATGCATGGGGTTGGTCGAGCTGAATGTGCCCATCTATGTGACGCATCAACCTGGTGTAGTGTACGATCCACGACAAGTTGCTGTGAGTATCTTGGAAATCTTGTCGTGAAGTCAATCAACGCTTACGCCAGGTGGACCTCCAACATCTCCTCGCCCTGCTACCAAGTTTACGACACCTTTATTTGCGGGGCCCAAAGCCAACTCACGAATTCACGAGCTTAGAACCGGGGTGCGATAGATTCTGGGTGACCTGCCGTGAAGAGCATGAGTAGGTGGGCTTGATCTATGTAAAGCACAAGACGTACTGATTAACCATTGCCAATGGCATGCGGTCCTTGGATCTCTTCAAGAGCACTATCAGTGATTTCTATTGGAAGGGCTAAAATCATCGGACCTAGCAAGTCGGTGATCTGCAAGCAGGCGAAACTCCCCATCAAGAGGTGATTTGGCTTCTCCGACGTGTTCACCATCTCCGGGCCAGTCAGTACCATTCAACAAGGTCTGATGAATTGAATGAAATCAGCCATAGTGTTGCGGGAACGACGTACTTCAACAAAGAACTGCGCGTCTAGAATCGTAGGCGTAGAGTCGAAAGGAGTGAAGGGAATACTCTGAATCATTATGGGTTAAAGCACTTTTCCCCCACCATATTGTATTAATATTGATCGCACTCACTGGATCCACTTTCTCTTGAAATGCCACGCTGTGTGAGGCAAGAAGGTCAATCAAATCAGAAGGACTGAGTCCCGCATCCGCCATTCTAGCAAGTAGCACATCGACGGTTTCTTCCGCTCCTGGAAGTAGACCGTTATTCGGTGCCGCAACTGTGGCTGGGGGACGGCCCGCCAAGAATTGTAAACGTGGACCTCCTGGACAATTGCGCAGAGCCACAGCGCCGGCAAATTGGATCCTGCAGTAATTTTCATCAGTAAGAGCGTTGTCACCTCAGCAAAGGTACTTAGGGCTGACATGTCTCCAAACGAAACATTGTACAATTCAGCGTAAGGCCGTTCTACGGTGGCGATGGTCCGTAAACCAGCATTACGAGGATAGTTCAGTTCCGAAGCGGCAAAATACATCATCGAACCATCTAACTCCAGGGTGAGGTCGGATGTACTACTCTCGAGACGAATTTTGAATACCTGCGCCACCGCCACTAGAACGACATCAAGTACATGTACGTCAGGGATAGAGAATCGCGTACCCAAACAGTCCTTGTTCAATTAGAGAAGAGGAGTAGCCAATTGCGTCATGGAAAGGTAACTAGAATGGAATGCATTTAGTACCCACATTCTTCGGATAAACTGGGGGGACTTACACGTATAGCATCGGACGCTACTTCATCTGAAGGCCGTCATGCTCGTGAGTATGATGCTTTGGCGAATTTGGGAGAAAATGGCGCACCGCAGACACCGCCGTTATACCTCGTATAGGTTAGTACAGTGTGAAAAGCAGCTGTGATAGTAGGAGGCTATAGCATACAGGTGCGCTTGTATATCCTCAAGGACATCGAACCAGATGCAACACTGTCGACGAAGGTCAGCACATGAGGCAGTTCTAAAGCCATGTTTCCGAACCTGAGCAGAAGACACGGTTTTTCCATTGCTACAAGTCGCGCGGGGAGTGACCACTCCGGAAATGGCGATCAAGGACGAAAAGAGAGCTAAGAGTCGGAAGAGCATGTTGCGAGCCATGACTAGGACTGACCGTCTGTTGGATGTTCATGTCAATAACCTGGAGTTTTTATACGAAGCCATAGGCAGCGATGCGCGCTACCAGTGAACGCGACCTTCTCCCGTCTTCTCACGTACACATGGCACCAGATTTTGTGGATGGAGAGGTTACTGATTGAGTTGTAGTCATCTTCTAAGTTCTACGACCACGTCAGCAGGAAGTTCGAGGAGTTCTGATATCGTCGTTGAAAGAGAAAAGATGGTGCACGGCAACCGGTTACGTTCCTGGATACAAATATCGTACGGGAAAGGTGGATGCTTAAGCTGGAGCCACGTAAGCAGGTTGAACGCAGAAAGTATGAGATCGTGGCATAAGCTCTAAACCGGTCCGTAGTTTATGGTCTTCGAAAAAAACATTTCTCGAAGTATTGTCACCAGATAAGTTTAAAGACGAAACCAAGCAGACGAACGGCGAGCCGCACAAGGGCAACATAGAGTTATAGAGCATTATAACACTTGATAAAGGAAATAAACAAATTCCTACGGGAGTACAGAGGATGTCGTGACGGCTGTAGCACCGTATCCTCGGGCAATCGGGTACGTCCAACTCGGTGAGCCGTGCCTACCTCTACCGTCGTTTCCTGTCAACGTGTACACCCGATAGTCGGAGGTCCCCGCGACAGGAAAATGACGACCAGTGCTCACGAGAAGTCCTGCCTGGAATACGTTCCGGTTCATTTCTGGGCCCTAGCTCATGACGTGGCGGATAATGATCACAAGTTTGAAGAAATAGTCCTTTATAATACTTAATGATAAAAGCCACATCGTGTCCTGAGACGGCGTCGTTAGGAAAGATTGGTTAGTTGAGAATGTCAGGCCGAAATTCCTGTCAGTCGTCCTATCAGTCGCCGCAAAGTGTGGAGCAATTGCAGAACAGACGGAGATTAGGAGTCATCAAGATTCTTCTTCCAGCAGATCATTAGTAGCGAGCCGTGTCGAGTCTCGATGTCGTCTTTTCAAATGCTCACCTCGGCGACTTCGAACAATGAGCATTGAGTTGGTAAATTCGAAAGTGATAAACATGGACGCGGAGAATGCCGTGGCCTGAGCCGGCAGGTTACCTAAAGAGACTCAAGCGATGCTGGCCACCTCTTGCACCGCGCCCTGAACTCAGAACTGATTCAGCTACAGAATTTTCTCTAGGCTTCTAAGTATTACTGACTTTCTACTCACCTACATGCAAAAATTTCATGCCGAGCCCTCCCATTCAAATCTCCCAATGGTTGTATTCAGGGAGATTCTGTATGGCCAGCTGCAGCTGACACTCCATGACCTTCAAGACTTCCCGGTTTCGCAATTCAATAAATTTTGCCCAGATAAGATCCTTCGCTCCGCAGGAATGACCCCCCAGGCGGTGAAAGATGATCGTGAACGTCTGCAATGAAGAAAATTGAGGACGGGTCACTGCACGGTCTAGCTCGGACCATAGGTCCTCTTTATCGCTCCCAAGAAGGATGTTCCCGTGGATCTCTAAAACGACCTTCTGGAGAGGTGCGACGCCCTCCACATATGTAAAGGAATCAATCCACCATTGCAAAGCTCGCACGCCTGACCGCCTAGACGACGCTCTGAAACCAGTGCCGAATCGCAGCTCCTCTATGTAGTTCAGTCCCAGAGGTGGTATAACTTTCCACGTGATCACTGCGAGCATGGAATGAGAAGAACAACATAAAAGAAAGGACAGAAGGCTTACTATTTTGGGGTGACGTGACATGCAAGATTCGTAGGGATGTACAGGCACGCAAGGTGTACAATATATAGGAGTAGTCCTCGAGCCAGCGACCAGGGACTCGCAGTTCTCGAAGAGTGGGGAACGCTCGAAGGGCATCGATACTGCAGAAAGAGGAGAGAAAGTGAGGCGCCGGTCTTCCTCCTAGTGTGAGTTTCTCAAGGTTAAGATCGTTTGGTGAATTCGATGACTCATGATTTTGGAAAGAGACGGCTTGCATAGTGAGGTCCTTCACCAGCGGAAAGTGTTTTAAGAGTGAGTACAGCTGCTCGGGGTCGTCGAACTCGACATTAGAAAGGAACATGCTTTTTGCAGGGATATTGCTGCGAACATTGATTTGGAGGTCCTTCCATGTGGTGTTTGGAATTCTTAATATTTTGATGGTCTCGAGACGGGTGAGCGATGATAGGATCTGCTGTCCCGACGGAGAGGTAAATGTCAATGTTGAGACAACAACTGTTTTGACGCAGGGGCCAAGATGCGGTGCAGACATGAGGACAGAGAGAAACCGCCCTCCGGGACGTTCAGGCTTTTACTTCTGAAGGGAGATAAAAGCGAAATTTTTTTGAAGAGATGAACCCGAGTGCGCGGGTAGAAGGCGCGGGAGACAAGGGAGCATGCTTAGAGTATTTTAGAACCTTCTTCTGCCCCAAGAAGGTCGATGATAGAATCAATGATTTCTTTAGGAATAGCACCGGTACCATAGCCAGAGGTAGCCGTAGAAGAGCCCTGCACACATGGTGACAGATCAGAAAAGTCCAAGTTGTAAGCAGGATTGAAGACGACATACACGAATGCTCAAAATATCTGTGGGCTTTTCACAGCTCTCAGCTTGATATTTGGGGCCCATTTGGGAGATATAACTTGAATGACGATGTTAGATATATATTCCTCCGATTAGAGAGCGTGATGATGAGGCATTGAGTTATACGCCGAATAGATTCAGTATCTGACGACCTGTCTTCCGATGGTATCCTGAGATAGGATTAGAACAACGACAGAAGGGGCAAATTGATGCGCTGTCCACCTTGAGTATAGCGAGGTTGGACGTTAACGTGAGAGTAAGAATTTTTGTTATCTTATCTCAAAAATTATTTAAATAAATAACGGTTATCTAATTCATGCTTGATCGGCAACTTATAGTTTTTTTCTGGAGCCAGAACTCGGAACAATATTCACATAAAATAGTAATAAATCATTACAATTCATCGTAAAATCTACCACAGCTTCCAAGGCAAACACGTCGTTTTCCACATCCCGACACACCTCAGGACATGGACATCATGTTCCCTTCTAGCTCGATAAACCCACAAATCCGTCGAAACGTCCAATTCCAACGGCTTATCCGAGCGAAAGTGACTGATAGCACTTTGCATACATAAGCTCGTGAATTCGTGAGTTGGCTTTGGGCCCCGCAAATAAAGGTGTCGTAAACTTGGTAGCAGGGCAAGGAGATGTTGGAGGTCCACCTGGCGTAAGCGTTGATTGAGTTCACGACAAGATTTCCAAGATACTCACAGCAACTTGTCGTGGATCGTACACGACACCAGGCTGATGCGTCGCATAGATGGGCACGTTCAGCTCGACCAACCCCACGCACCGTGATAACACCTCAAGAACACGCGGACCAACGCACCATTTCCCCACCGACTTAATCTCAATGGAGAGCTTTCTCAATGAGTAGGAATGTTGTACGAGAACGTGCCGATAGAACGCCTCCGCGTGATGATCGTTCACCGGTGACAACGAAAGCACCTCTAGACCAGAGTAAGACTCGAGATACGCCATGAGGATGTCCGTTGTGGTATTGGTGAGTAAAGTGACGAGTTTAACTCCCTTATGGGTGAGTGCCGTCCAAAAGTCGTCTGGGATGTCAACGTTTGCGGTGCGGAGATGGCGAAGATGGGGCAGGAATCGCGGGATGGTAGCGTCCAAGGAACATCCAACGAAAATACTAGTGATAGCAGGGACGGCGCGGATATCGTACCGGGCCTCGATTTCACTGAGCGATGTCACGAGTACGGACCGTCCGCCGAAGATGGTTAAACGGATCAGCCCAGGATTGTTCGCGAGCAATGGACCGAGGACAGTTTCGTAGGAACTGGCTTCTCCCCATATCTCTACAGAGTGGAGGTTTTTGAATTGACTTAAAGAGGATCTGGTCAGATATGGGGGAACCAGAAGGAATGGGCCATGTCCGAAATCGAGGCTCAAGCTGGTGAGGCAGGGTAGACTCGCCAGAGCCCGGACGATGGTGTCGACATCAGCAGCCTTGTAGCCACCTGAAGGCTCCAAATCACAACTGAGATACGATCATCAGATGTTAACAGCATACAACCAACACGAGAAAATCACACACTGAATATACTCCAGGGAAACAAACTGCGGGATCACGCGAACGATTAGCTTCAGCATCCTCTCCAATGCGCGCGCCTTTGTACAAGCCGTCCTGTTATAGGCGTCCGCCAACTCGGAACGGCGAGAGTTGTAACGATGAGGGAAGATCGTGAAGATCGACAAGTTATGCACGAATTTCGCTACATCCGTCTCTCCGCGGGACAGGCTCTTGAGAAGGGAGATGTTTCTGTCGTTCTGGGATTCACGACCGATTTGAATCCTTAGATCGGAGAAGATTTTAGGTTTGCACGCGGCACGTGCTTGCTTGCATGATGAACCCAAACGTAAGAAGTCGCTGTGGTTATTCAACTAGAGAGGTTTCAGGTTGTGAGATAAGTATGCAGACCATAATATTAGAACACGTACCTGTTTTACGACATGGTCCGTTAGTTCTGCAGGTAAATCAAATAGCATTCTCTAGTGAGAGCCTGGAAGATGGTATTGTAGGACGGCAGCAGTGATAGTGATAGTAGGGTTTGGCTATAACCAAGTCGATTGGGCTGAGAGCTGTCGTAGCCGGCAGTCATACGTGGTCACCGCGTCGTCAGAGAGGGAGGAAACGCAAGACAATTTGATAGGATGGCGACAGTGATAGTGAGAGTAAGGGTTTAGTTACAGTGAAGTCGTCAATTGAGCTGAGAATTATCGTAGCCGATGGTCGTGCGATTTGATTCCTGATCCACCGCGTAGTCGTCAGAGACGGAGAAAAACGCAAGACGAACGTGATATCTCGTCAGAGTAAAGTATTCTCGGGAGTAAGCTTAGCAGAACATGGAGAGGAGTGTTGCGGCGCAGTGTACCCATTTATCTGAACCAAGGCGACAACTGTAGGGTACTTGATTTCTGGACAATGATACAAGGGAATATCTAGCCAAAAAGAGGTCGAGTACCTGAGGCGGATAATATAAAGATCCGGAAGCGATAAGCAGGAGACGGTGGGTGCCTGCTGATTTCATTTTAGTGGGCCAACAACTCGACAGACAAAGTTCTCACGTCTGAGCTCCACTATTGATCGCACTCTTTAACCCACATCAAGCTTTCCCACCACAAAACTTCGATACCGGCGGCACATCATTGAGATCTTGGTCACTCGTCACTTTGAATGACGATCTGTGCTGCTCGTCAGAGAAGATGGTACCTAAGTAACTGATGCAGGTTAGCTTATGATATCTATGATGGAGGAACAGGAATCACTTTCTGGACCAGGAGCTTCTAGACCAAGTATATAAGACGCTGTAGTGGAATCAGCGAGATGTGGACACGGTCATAGAGTGGAGAGAGCGTAGAATTTCAAATCCAGACAATCCCGCGGACAATGCAGCAAGCGGTAGACTTGGCCTCTTCAGGTGAGCGGGCAGGGTGTAGTGAAGAGAAGTTGTCGTCATTGATGACCAACCTGAGCTAGCATTCACGCGGCCAGAAAATAGACTTTGGAAGACATATAAACCATTGTTTGCGAAATACGTGAGAGACTTTCGTGCTCGAAATGCGTATGAAGACAACAGATTACCGGGTTTCTACAAAATAATGAGAATCGATCGAACTTTTTTTCGGCTACCCAATATAGTAATTCATAGGCACCGGTTTTCTTTCAACAGCGACTCAACACCAAGAGCAACAGTAATGATAGAATAAATGGTTTAGAATTGATTCCCGAAGCAGGACACAATGTTTTGGTGTCATCAAGTCATGCAATGGAGCCTGCAGTGATGAAGAAAATACCGCTGATTTGAGATTTGACAGACCAGATTAGCGGATTCATGAGGATCACAAACCAAAGGCCCGGGTGGTGATATCAGAGCCTTTGATGGATAATTCGGAGGAATATAGCTCAGTTGTACGTCAGGAAGGTATAATTCGCAGTGCTTATGCATTTGGTGGAATCCAAGATGGGGAATTACTATATTGGGCAGCCGAAAAAAAGTTCGATCGATTCTCATTATTTTGTAGAAACCCGGTAATTAAAAAGAGTATCCCAGCTGCCGAAGGAGAAAATAAGCTGATGGCAAGGGTAATGAAGGATCCGGTCTAGCTACTCACGTAGTGGGAACGTCCTCTTCCGTGAGTCCCGCAGTGTTCACCGATATATCCAAATTCCCATTAATCGTCGCCTCCCTACATGATTTCACAGTCAAAAATACAACCATCGTTGAAGACGCAATACACACCTCAGGTCCACGTCCAGGTTGATTAGGTTAAGATCCCCCTGCGAAACAATGTTCAATGTGGCCATGATTCTCCCTTCCACGTTTTTGTCTACTAACATAGCAGAAATAAAAAGTAAAAAAATACATAGGACTCGGCAATGCCACGCGAATGCGATGGCCCACTCCCAACTAGTAGATACAACGAGCGATAGCGTCCAAGTGTCTGAGCAAGCATGATGGGCGGTGATCATCGACCATACGGAAGAGTAGGCAAACAGATGTTACGCCACTGAGAAAATACAGACGATACGGGTGTAGGAAGCAATTGATGGGAAACCACCTGCACGCCTCCCGACCGCAGCAGACTCGGGGCTTCTTGCGCCGATTGTTACATATTATGCTGTTTGACCCATGAACAGCTGTCGCAGCTGCCATACATAGCGTCAAGGTACTGACTCCGACTTGGGCCCATTTCTCTGAACTAGATTGGAGTGTAGGAAATAGGACTAGCGAGTCTCATTGCCCTGGTCCTGACCGACGCACTGAGCAAACCGGTCATGATCCCAATGCCTTACAACGAAATCCATATCATCCCTCGGGATCCACCACTCCAGAAACATGAAAAACAGGCAGTCCACAACCAGGATGATCAAGTATATCGGTCCGGCAAAAGGACCTAATCCCATCGTCCTCTTCATTCTCTCCCAGAGATCCACCTGTCTCGACTTGACAACGGTATCATACACAACCTCGGTGCGCTCCGCGACCTGCGCCCAGTCGTAGAACGTCTTGATCCCGCTCATGGGCGCGAATCGGGTCGTGTAGCCCGTCGGAGATAATCTCGATAGCTTCTGATATCGCACGGAACACATCATCTTCCTCAGGCTCCGCAAAGCTGATCATATCCTCTGGTAAAATCTCCGGGACCCCGCCGACACGTGTAGACACCACGTACAGTCCTGCACATGCTGCCTCAAGGATGGCGATCCCAAAAGATTCCGTGAGGGACGTGTTGAGGAATATAGCACCCTGCATTAGGACAGAGCGGACATCATTTGGTCGGATGGGTCCGAGGAGTTCGATACGGTCTTGGAGATTGTGTTTTTCGCGCATTTGGAGGAGGTCGATGAGCTTGGGACCGTCGCCGCCGACGACGAAGCGGACGTTCGGGAAGGCATTGCAGATACGGGGTGCGGTGGCGACGAGGAGGTCGATTCCTTTACGGTATGCAAGTCGGGAGAGGACGACGATGGTCACAGTATCGCTTGATTTCGGCGGGCCAGGCTGGAAATTCTCTGGTACCAGTGCATTGGGGATAACATATACGTCCTCCCGGACTCTACCCGACTCGTCAAAGAGCTCTCCTCGAAGGACAGGTGTTCTCCCTCCCGGTGTGAGAGACGCAAATGACTGCATCGACATTCCTCAGCGTTCCTGCCAGGAGCTTGTTCGTGAGGATGCTCGCAGCGTCTTCGAATCCAAACAAACTGTGGTCAGTGAACACCGTTCTGACACCGAATAGATGGGAATGCAGGATTCCTTCGTGGCCAAGGGAAGATAGACTGGCATGGGCATGGATAAGGTGGATATGTTCCCGAATGAGAATCGTCCGGAGGTAAGGCAGAAAGGTGAAAAAGTTGGGCAGTGTCGCAGAGGATGCAATGGGAACGAATGGTAAATAGTACACTTTGAGCGAAGGGAGTAGCCAGCGAATCCCGACGCGGTCAGGTGAATGGCTGTGTGTTATAACGATAACTTTGTGGCCGCGTTTTATCAGATTCGCACTCAACATGTAGACATGATTCTCCACCCCGCCAACATTTGGGTGAAAGAAATCTGTTATCATCGCTATCGCTATGGGCTCCATGGCAGAACAGACGTCCTTGTTGACATTATTTCGGAGACCTTGGCTCAAAATTACGAGCAATGTTGACCGTCGCGGTCGTATCAAGAGCTGAACGATGAAAGGTTGGCTGTCGTAAGAAGTAGGATGCACAGCCACTTCCGCTGTGGATCAGGTGGACCCGGGTATTCTGCGGCCTGGCCTCTGACTCCCTGGCACGGCGCCGAAATAAATTATTCAATCCCTGAATTTCCTTACATGTGAAACCCGTAGTGTCTCTGGTAGGTGAATATCCTATTAATGATCCTCAACAATATCTTCATTTTGTGTTTTCAGGAAAAACGAACGTACGGCCCCGGAATATCATGTCAAAATGCTTCTAACATGCACTCATGCCTGTCATGTTCTCTTTCCTTGTATTCAAGACGCCTCGTCAGGCCACCTAAGTTGTATATCCAGTTTCCGTGAATATTCTCCCTTTACCATCCCTAAATAATAAGGCATAGATACGCTTCTATCATGGTGATCCCACATCTATGTCCCAAAATCTCACACCTTCTTCCCTGCATCCCATGATATCAAGTAGATGCGGCTTCGCAGGATGAGATGGTTTCATCCGAAAGATGGCAGATGAACCTGCAAAAAGCTGGCCTATCGCAGGGAGAGATGAATAAACTGGGTCTCGATATAAGCGGATGGCTATACCATTTTCTAACCCATGTTCGGTTGCACACTACTACACACGTCGTCTGCGGACCTGAATCAGATGTGGTAGGTAGCGGAAGCATCCCATAATGGTTGCAGTCGCCCCGTCCAAAATCGAACCGTTTGCCAGTCCGGCTCCATAGCATCACGCTCCTCCTCTTCGTCGACTTCAATATCCCTCTGATGCCGGGTTGTCTGACATGGTAGTATCGAGCCAGGCGTTCAGGAGTATAAGAACATTCGACTGGGTGGATTGGCAATGCGACGCAATCTCATATTCGTCCCATAAATTTGGAGGATGAGGATTCAAGTCCATACATATTCCCAAAGACACCGTGAGAGTGGTAGACGGTACAGGAGGTGTTTTGGATACAGGAGGAGTATAGGGAAACGTAAGCGGGAATGTTGTGAACCCTGTACCAGGTTTCGCCCATGTTTGGTCCGTCGTAAAGAGGTTGGTCTTACGATACCCCACGACATGCACCCCATTGGGCCCATAAACCGTCGCACTGTTCGCACCAACACTTTCAGTACCTTCGTCGTCTACTAGCGGACGAGATTCGTCTTCCGCAAGCAGCTCAGGATACCCAGTGACAACATAGCATCCCAGCCTACGCGCCGTTTCCGCGCACCACATCGACGTGGGCCCAGTCATGGGATGTTCCAGAAAAGGAGAGATAGCAAGTGCGCTCGGAAATACGTATCCAGTGAAGCTCATCTCTGGGAGACACAGCAGGTCGATAGAGAAGGGTTTGATATCGCGACATAGCTTATTAACCGTCGCGATGTTGGCTGCGACTTGGCCGATCTGAAGTTACGTGTCAGATTGTGTCTTGTACGGAATTGTACGGACCTTTGGTGCAAACTGTATTACGGCGATGTGAAGACGAGGCATGAGTCTAACAGCTTGCATTAGGGCGGTGTCTAAAGCGCGCACGTGGCCAACGCGTCGCGCGCCGGCCCGATCCGGTCATCGCGACTTGCCTCCAAGCTATGACCGGGTCCCATAAGGGAAATCGCACGTAAAAATATCTAGGTAAACATCCTTCTTTTCATATTCTCTAGAATCCTAACGTAAACCTAGTCATGTCCCAATTTTCTGCTCCACAAGAGCTTATCGATACAATCATCGACGAGCTGCAAGATGATTACTTGTCCCTGATGTCCTGCTCTCTTGTCAGCCGTTCATTTTCTTCTCAGACGCGTCCGCATCTTTTCCGGCACATAGATCTCGCTGGGGGGTCTCTCAGTGCCAAATTCCGTCAGCTGACCCTCTCATCACCTCATATCCCAGGTTATGTCAAAGACCTCACCATCTTTGACAATGCCTTCTTTGAGGACCGCCACGCGATGGGGATCTTGAAGTCCCTAGTCAATCTAGGAACAATCGAGCTCCGCCATTCGCATGTATCCAGTCTCCCAAAGGTCGCGGACGTGCTATCGAATATCTCCATCAGATCTGTGGTGCTATCATTCACAACGTTTCTCGACGTCTCGGTTTTTTGTACGTTGATGAATCGATGTTTTCCCGGGATGTCGAACCTGGAAATGTCCAACGTTCACGTCCTTGCGACCACCGATGCAGTCTTTGCAGTCCCTCAGAGGTCCTGCGCAATGGAGACTTTGAAGATCAAGCTAGATGACGTTGACTATCCGATGCTTGAAGCCATTTCCGAGGGGGCTTTGGGCGCGTTGACAAAATTGCATACTTTATCTACCACAGGGTGTCCTGAAGGGGACGCAGCTGCTCATTTTCAAGAGCTGCTTTCGCTCCCCTCGCTTCGCGTTTTGCGTCTTCGTAACCTCCAGTATGGTATGATCTCTTTTTCCTGGCAGAGCTCCTCTGATACTGATATCATCTTATATAGGCCATTCTCTCCCTGATCCCGTCTCACTGTTGCATCTTCAAACGATCGTGTTGAACATGATCTGCCTGCAACATTATACGCACGTTTCCCCATTACGTTGGCTCGCTTCGTGCCTTTCGTTGGATCCCGACCGGATATCGTCTCTCCAGCATATAACTATAATTTACACGGTGTATCAGAAACGCGGAGATCATCTCATTGGGGCAGATGTAATGGCGTGGGCAGCATTGGATAGACTGCTATCACATCCACGCATGTCCGCTTTGAGGTCGTTTCGCGTGGTGGTTGATGGTATTTTTGGCCATCCTGAAGGGTCCATTTTCCATCCGAAGACAGTTATTGAGGAGAGTTGCGCATATCTTCAGAGTCGAGATTCATTATTCACGGTGGAGGTTGTTGATCAGGTGGATTATGATGCTTTCCAGTTATAACTTCAGCCTTCATTCTTCATTCGCGACGGTAGCCTCGATTGGATATGTATTACGAGATGTAGCAATATCTCTTTAACCTTACCGTCTATATACACACATTGTACATCTATTGCATTGGCTTCTTTATCATACTCTCTCTTTCGGGACCCACACCAATCCACTCTATCGGCACATTCAAAAAAGACTCAATGAACTCAATATACTTCTTGCAGTTCTCAGGCAGAGACTCGTAAGTTGTTGCAGAAGTGATGGACGTCTTCCAGCCAGGTAGTGTCACATACTCAACTTCGACATTGGCGAGGAGCTCCAGGTCCGCTGTTAGCAAGCAAGGTCAGCACTCGATGACAACTCGCCGATCAGCGCATGCATACCTGGGAAGCCTTCTAGAGCTTTGCCGTTGACGGAATATTTCACCGCAACCTTGATCTCGGATAGATCGTCGAGGATGTCGAGCTTGGTCAAGTTCAAGCTATCATATCCGTTGATCAAGCACGAGTGCTTCATCACGACAAGATCAAGCCACCCGCAACGACGCCTACGGCCTGTGGTGACACCGTATTCCCGACCGACTTCTTGGAGGTGCACACCGACATCCTGATCCCATATTAGCGGCATGAAGGACCCAAAGAACAAGAACTTACGTTGAGCTGTTCTGTTGGGAAAGGTCCACCGCCTACGCGGGTTGTGTATGCCTTGATGACACCAATGGTATGCCCAATCAGCTTGGGAGGAAGTCCGAGACCAGTGCATACACCCCCGATAGTCGTGTTGGACGAGGTAACGAATGGGTATGTTCCATAGTCCAGGTCAAGCATCAGGGCATTTGCGCCTTCAACCAGGACCCTCTTTCCAGAAGCAATGGCCTGGTGAAGGTAGACAACGCTGTCGACGACGAAGGGCTTCAGTCGGGCTGCGAGTTCCTACACGAAGAGATGGTTATCGGCAGCAACGATACGAACGGTAGTATTCATACCTTGTACCGTTCGATTTCGCCTTCTGTATCATATTCAAAATACCCGTAACGCTTGAAACGACCTTCAACAAGTTTCTTGAACTTCTGAGCAAACGTTTCGTGGTCAAACAGATGGTGTACTCGAAGTCCTGACCGAGATGCTTTGCCGGAGTAGGCCGGACCTATGCCCTTCTTAGTCGTGCCGATGCTAAACGAAGTGCCGTTGAGCGCGGCAGGGATCAGGCAAGAAAGCGCTCACCTAGAATTTCCGAGCTCGACCTCCTTTAGGCCATCGACGATTTGATGGAAATCAAAAACTAGATGGGCACGATCAGACACGAGAAGGCGGTTGCTGCAGCTGAGTCCTAGACACAAAAGTGTAAGACGAACGCGATAAGAAACGAGCAAAGCCTACCTTGCGATTCGAGGGCATCGAGCTCATCAAAGAAGGAAGGGACATGAACGACTACGCCGGAGCCAATAAGACCTATGCACTTGGGATTGACCAGACCTGCAAGGATTTGCCGTCAAACCGGTGTTTTATGTATATCCGGAATGACTCACCACTGGGTAACAAATGGAAGGCAAAGGTCGTCGGGACCCTCTCGGGCCCTATAGGGACGACGATAGTATGCCCAGCATTGTTTCCCCCGGCACTTCTCGCACAGATGTCGGCATCAGCAGCGAGGATGTCGACGAGCTTTCCTTTACCCTCATCGCCCCATTGCGTTCCTAACACGACCGTGACTGCAGAATCTCGTTCAGCAACATCGGTATGCATCGGCGCATATCACTCACCACCCATGGTCGTGTTGCTGGAGCGTGAGCTAGCCGACGGTAGAGATTATCGACGGGAATAATACAGAATAAGGATAGACGATGAAAGTACGGGATGAAGGGCAGGAAGGAGAAAATGAAATTGATAGCCGAAAACGGCCGAATTTTCATTTCAAAGAAAATTCGGCCGACGGTCCGCGCATATATCCACCTTCGACTACGACGACGACATGCCGGTCTTCGAGTCGAAGCCACTGAACCCTCCCAAATGGCAGGCCGTTGCCAACAAGACTTTTTCCAAGAATCCCCTCATCTTTGGCATTCCATTCGTCTTAATCATGGTCGGGGCATCTTTTGCAATGACGCCCTTTACCCAAACACGATATGACCTACACGACCAGCAAGTCAAGGCGGCGAGTACTTCGTCTTTGCTACCAGGCGCGTATTATATCTTCCTCTAGGTCACGAAGGAACAAGAGCTGGGACTGTCAAAGAACAGGAAAAAGTTTGATATACGGGAAGAGTACTACGTGAGTGGCTGTTGGACTGAGTGGTATTGTATGCGTGTCTGATTATTGTCTCGTAGCGTCTGAGCGCAGAAGTCGACGATGAGTGGGAACAGAGGAGAGTACCGCGACCCAAGGGCGTCCCAGAATGGGGCGTACCGCCCACAGAGCCACCGGACAAGAAATCATAATTGAATTTCTATTATCTCGACGATTTGGATCTATCATCTGCATCTGTATTTGTACAGGAATTCATTTGAATTTTCACGACAAGTAGGAAACCAACCATTGCTGGATACAGACGCTATACTAGTCTGTGTTATATTCAAAGTTCAAGACGAAACGATGAGTCCCGGGTGTACATGTTCTAGTGTGTTGTCTGCTCGAACATTGTTCCTTTTCATTAACACTCCTCCAGCGACGCCTAGCCTGAGATCACCCCAGTATCCTCTACGGACTGCTTACCAGGATAGACCCAACAAAAACTATCATCTCAAAATTCTTCTTGGTACAAGTTTTTATGAGCCGACTATGTTCCATCTCCTGCTAACTTCTAGGGACGAGTCTTTTGGTTGCCATTCTTTCTTGACCGAAGAACGTTATGGCTGTCCGTCAATGGCTTGCGGTCATCGGTGTCTTGCCTTTGAAGATCGTCTGTCGATTTAAGTACTTATCCCATTCTCATTTAGGTTGTACCGGAGATCGCAAGATATCCTGGTGCCATAGTCCCAGGTGGGTCGTATGCCGTCTCCCTTGTCAGACTATGTCATAAGCGGTGTGGAAGAAGTCTAGAAAAGAGAAAATCTGGGCCGGTTTTAATCCCCTTGGGAGTTACACGAGACAGCGTCTCAGTTATGGCTTTCTTCCTCGTTCCACGACCATATTACGAAGAGACGACAGATCTATGGGAGCCTGTATACATCAAACATCCCATTCACGACTGTTCTTTTCTCATTCTAGGACGCCGCCAACAAGTCATTGAAGACGGCACGGAGCGCCTCGGCATTCTACACTGGTTCGTCCTAGATGCATGCCTTGTCATCGCGGGTAGGGGCTTTCTCTCATCAACACCAGACCGCTCCGGGAAGATATCTACCGAAGAAAATGGCCTTCTGACTGGTTGCAAGTATTGGTACTTTCTTGACGACCATGATGACGACGACCACGATATATGCACGGATTTCTCGGAATGGACGCCATTACCCCGAGAGGAGGTCCCAGAACGACGGCTCGTGATAGATCAAAACAAGAAAAGTATACCGAACCCGCCGCAGGAGGAATCGTTTAGCGCTATCGGTTCTTGCATCACACAGGAAGACCGTCTCTGCATCCTTTCTGGTGTGAACGAGGAACTCCGTGCGGTCCATCTGGTACCCCAGGCCTACGCGACATGGGTGCGTTATTTCTTCCTCCTCTTCACCTTGAAACAAACAGTCTCATCTACTGTACGCAGTATCATAGCCACCTGGTCTTTCAGCAGTACACCTTCGAATCACCACTCACAGCTCCCAAAGCCCGCCCTATCGACGATATCTGCCAAATCGACACCCTCGAATCCGGTCTGCAAAAAGTCATGAACCGCCCTTCGTTCGTCTTTGCTCCATTCGGCACTCAATACACTGCGTTCTTTTTCGCTGCACGGAATGTTAGTTTGGTGGAGCGTTATCACATGCGGAGCGTTAGGTTGCCTGAACGTATTGAAGGGTATGCGCTGTTTGCTCGATTCGCGTGGGCGATGACGACTATTGCGTACGCGCTACCTCCATACATGGTCCCTGGGAACAGGAAACGAAAGCGTTCTGACGCGTCGAATCAATCAGGACCTAGCCGACAGCGCAGAACCGAAGGATATGATTCTACTGCTGGCGATGACGGGACTGAATCGAGTTCTGAGGACGACAGCGACGTTCACAACTCATCTGATGATAACGACTTCTCGGAAAATACCAGGTCTTCTGACGATGGACTCGGACATTTAGACCCAGAATCAGTTCTCAATTTTTTGAAGGAACGAGAGCTAGAGCTAACAGACCGTCAGGTTCAGCAGTTTCGTGATGCAGAAGGTGTGTTAGTTCTTACCCTGTTGATGCCAGCGACATTGACAATTTGTAGATGGAACCAAACCGTTACCGGCATTCATATATGACGTACTGAACTATTATCCCGGATCTAGTCGTGCTGAAGAATTGAGAAGATACATTGCGGAACATCCCACCGTCTGGGCGATAGGAGAACCTACAACGAAGCGTCATTATGAGCCCATGATTGGATGCTGGGTGACGAAACCGAGAAGCCCTAGAATGTAGAGTATCCCTGTTTTTAGTGAATACGTTGCTGTTATCACTAGTTATATCCCACACTGAGAGTGTTTTTTGTAGGAATCCTGATACAGAATACAAATTGTGGCTGCGCATACATACAAAGGGATCAAGCCATTTCAATTTCCGAATCAAAGTACTTTAAACGTCCATCGTAGTTTCTGACATCAACGAGAGACATCATTACTTCATCTATGCGACGTTGAAGCTGGGCATCGAGACCACATTCCCGAGCAAAATGCTGAAGGGTGCTCCGTGCGAATTCGATGGATGGAATAGCGTGTACAAGAATCCCGTCGCATGCCTTGTCAAGGATCGACCTTATCATCCACATTGTAACAAGTATCGTGACGTCGTTCTGATGTGAGCGCACCCACAGAGTCAAAGGGCGCAAGCTGTACTGGCTCGATATCTCTTCCAATGCATCCGCGGCATGTGTATGGCCATCGTGTACGACCGATGGAAGGTGTTGGGCGAGCAGAGGCAAGGACTGGGTGACAGATTTACGAGCATCGTAGTACACCAAAGCAGTGAGGACATCAGGCACTGGAGTGAATCGGTGAGCGAGCAAAACAAGACCAAGAATTAAGAACTAACAATATGATAGTCTCCGGCCTACTATTCCATCAAAACTGTTAGATATTGCGGTGGATATTTCCTCGACGATAGCTTCAATCTCGCTGGTGCCTCGGAGCGTGTCGACAAGTCCTGATGACAACGGTGGTGAGCTAATATCCAATGGATTTCATAGATTTGAGCTTACCTCGACAGAAACTGTTTGCCGTCTGATATAGGAGAGTGCGTTCTCTTGTGGCTTCCGGGGCTGCTTTTACTGCTTCCAACGCTGCTCTTGAGGCTTCCACCGCCACTATATAGCTCATATTCGCTATCCTTTGCATGCTATCGAAGAACTCTTGCATCTGCGAATGGATCTCCTGCATATCCCGTTCGAAATTCTTCTCTTCGCCGGGCTTGGCTCGTCGGAGAACTTGATTAGGCGAGGTTGACAAGTGCGATTCTCTGTCCATATCGTCATTGGGGGCCGTATAAGGCTCGAAGCTGCGTTGGTCGTGAAACATGATGGTGGTCGTGGTTCAAGAGGTGGTTAGGGGTTATTCACCGGTTTCGGTTCTTCAAGTCATGGCTGTTGAGCGAGACTCGTGAGAAAATAACGGTCCCGGCTGGCGAGCTGGAGTGCGACAAACAGATTTGCAGGCCGTGAGCCATTTGCAATCTTCATTGAACTGGTCGATGATTCTGTTGATGAGTTCTAACTTCTCGGGGGAACTTGCTTGTAGGAGATATAGGCCATGACTCTTAAGGGATCCTAACATGATATCGATTTTTGGTGAAAAATGAAGAGAAGTTGTACTTCCGGTGGTACCGAGAAATAATAGGACCTTGGCAGGCTTACAATCTATAATAACTGGTAATGTGAGGTGGCGGCGTTTTGAACGGCTTTCAGCTTAGGTAATCGCCCCCACCGACAATTCACCAATACATCTTTCCTTCACTCTTTCACCATGATCGGCATCTCCAACCATTACCGCCGTGACTTTCTTTCGAAATTACCTCGGCAAAGTACTATCCAGAGTTCGCGACTACTCCAAGGCCACTCGAATAATATTCTATGTCGCGTGCACGTGGTGGATTGGCGATCGCGATGCAGAATCCACAAGCTACGTCAACACGACGTCAGTGGAATCATGTCAAGATATAAAGGCGGCGCCGGGGAAATCGTATGTTAGACCAATACCATGGATGGTCCACGATATAGGTGAGTATCTGTCGCGTCAGATGCCATGCATTTATTCAAAGAATGGAACAGCGAAAGACATCCTGTGCCTACAATTCAGGCATACAACGATGAGAAACGAGCTCGCGATGAGGAGAGTGAACACCCGCTACCTTCTCCACCAACAAGTCCAACGTCGAAGACGGACGGTACTTCTGCCAGCGACGAACCGGCCAACGAGAAGACAGAGATGATGAACAGGATGGCTGGGCCCAAGGAAAAGCCGACAGACAAAGTCAAGAATAGCAAGGGCGAGAGGACTGTTAAGGATCCAACAACCGACCTGGACGTCACTATCAAAGACGCTGACTTTAAAGGTATGTCTCCGACCAGTCTTTGCACATTGTATTCACGGCATTAGCAGATTTTCCTCGCCCAGACGAACACATTGGAACCTCAGAAACACCTCCTGTTGGTGGCTCAGCCTCGCCTACGCAGACAGCACCCAATGCATCACGCCCAGGAAATATATCTTTGCAACCATATCTGCCTCCGCCCGCAGCGTCACTTTCGCCGCTCCTAGCTATGTTCGACCACCTCCAGCTGGGGTTAACAGTAGCTTTCACCCTTATCTGGTTCTTCTTCGGCTTCCCAAAAGGCCGTTGGTACATTCCATTCACTTGGCCATGGTTCTACCTTGTCGTTCGAAGTACCTTCATAGCTGCCATCGGATTTGCTAGTGTTTGCGCTGTCAGCATCGTACAACGAAAGTTGGAGAAGGAAGTAGAACGTGTTCGAGTCGAAATGCATCGTGCTCGTGGTAAGAAGTACGCTCCCTCGACGCCAGAGTCGGCAGAGTGGCTGAACGCGTTCGTCCGAACGATTTGGGGTCTCATCAATCCGGACATGGTCGGTAGGAAACCTTTTCCCTTTTCATGTCTAATTCGTTTTTTTTGCAGTTCATTTCCATTGCGGACATGGTCGAAGACGTGATGCAACAGTCTCTTCCCGGTTTCGTTGATGCTGTCCGAATCAGTGACATCGGCCAGGGCGACAACCCATTCCATATCGTTTCTATGCGTGCTCTTCCAGACCGACCAAGGGATCCTGAATACCCCCGAGAGGAGTGGATCGACCAAGGCACGAACCAGCTCTTGGACCAGGCAGAGGCCGACAAAGCCAAAGGCCTTGATGCTGATCAGTCGGGCGGCTACGTTAACTACGAGGTAGCATTCGCATACCAAGCACTTCCAGGCCAGGGTTCCAAGTTACGCTCAAAAAATATACATATGCTGGTCGAGTTCTTCCTTGGAGTATACGATTGGTTGCATATTCCTATTCCGTGAGCGTCCCGTGTGTATGTGTTAATTGTCGCTGATCTTTCACAGTATTTGGATTCAGGTCGAAGGTATCGTAGGCACCATCCGGCTGCGCATACAGTTCATATCCGAGGCGCCTTTTGTAAGGAATGTTACGTTCACGTTCATGGGCGTTCCAGCTGTGGAAGTCTCGGCGATCCCAATGGCCAAAGTTCTACCTAACGTCCTTGATCTTCCATTGGTGTCGCGTTTCGTGAAAATGGCGATTGCTGCTGGGACGGCCGAATTTGTAGCGCCAAAGAGCATGACTCTAAACATTCAAGAAATGCTCAGCGGAGCTGCTATCGGAGGTTGGTTGCAGAATTAATATTATCTATGCTGCTCGCTCATATTTGTGCAGATACCCGAGCCAAAGGCGTCTTTTTGATCGTCATCCACCATGCTGAAGGCCTCTCAGCTCAAGACAAGAATGGCCGTTCTGATCCTTACATTGTTTTGGCGTACGCCAAGGTAACATCTTCTGTTGACCACTGTTGTTTGGTTTTGATCATGACTTTGGTTAGTTCGGCAAACCCTTATATTCAACGCGGATTATCCTTGGAGACCTTAATCCGATTTACGAAGAAACTGCTTCTCTATTGGTCACTGATGATGAGATCAAGACTGAGGAAGATGTTTCGCTCTTACTTTGGGACTCCGATCAGCATTCAGCCGAGTGCGTCTATCCCTCTTCGACTTTGTCTTTGCTCTGACCTTCATTCACCTCTAGTGATCTTATTGGACGTGTCCAGATTCCGGTTAAAGAGCTCATGAAGTCTCATAACAAGATGACCCGTCGTTCTGACAAACTGGCCGGTTTCGAGGATGCCGACAAAATGGACGGCATCTTACAGTTAGTATCGTTTCCTTTCATTACTTTCGTGCGCTCAATTCCGTGCTGCAGTTGGTCCATTGGCTATTTCGACAAGGTTCCTCTTAAGAAAGAGCTCGAGCAGCCGCCAGAAACTCCTCCTCCTCCGCCGGCCAAGACTGCTCCAGGTATCTGTTACTGTTCTTTACAAGCCAGCATCAGACGCTAACATATCATCAGAAATGGTAATGCGACCCGGTGACAAGGCTCCTAATCCAGCCGCAAAAGATCTCCCGCCGCCGCCACCCGATGTCCAGCGTACACCTCCGGACCCTGCGTATCCTTCCGGGATATTGAGCGTGATCATCCATCAGGTTCGTCTGCCGCTGGCGTGTTGTACGTCTTCGCTTACGTAGTCATAGATCAATAACCTCGAACTACAAAATCTGTCCGGTGCTGGCGGTAAGGAAAGAGAAGGCCAAGCTGGTCAAGATACGGACGAACCTTCGGAGCAGAGCGACAATTTGCCCAGCGCATATTGCGAAATCATCTTGAACGATGATATGGTGTATAAAACGTGAGTATTGCTAAGTTTCTCTGACCCAAAGCTGACGATTCGTGCCTCAAGTCGGGTCAAACAATATACGAGCATGCCTTTCTTCGAGGTACGTCTTTTGATTGCATGGTTTCTGGCTATGTTTATCAATGTCGCTTTCAGGCAGGAACGGAAAAGTTCATTCGCGATTGGCAGTCAACTGTCGTTCGCTTGGTTGTCCGGGATTCCAGGCTTCGCGAGAAAGATCCTATTCTAGGTGTTGTTAACTTGAAGCTGAAGGATCTGTTCGCAACTGGGTCTGAGGTCACTCGTCTGTTCTCTATCACCGAGGGTATTGGTTTCGGGTCAGTCAGAGAAAGCTCCCCGATGCTTTAGCTAACCTTGCTCTTCACAGACGAATGAACGTGTCCCTACTCTTCCGTGCCGTCCAATGCCAGCTTCCTCGTCAAATGTTGGGATGGGACACAGGAACCGTCGAGATCCTCGAGCCCATCAAGTTCACTGTCAGCCCTTCCGCCAATCTCGGAGGCGCCAAGTTCGTCGGTCAAACAAACAAACTCGTCGTATCGACAACAGATAGCACGGAGACTCTGCCGGCTTCACCTGCATCAGGCGAGGATAGTGCTGACGTCGTCTGGGACTTCTCAGCAGATCAATTACGCTTGCCCGTGTACAGTCGCTATGCGACTTCCTTGACGTTCGAGATCGGTGGAGGTAGTGGCTTCCTCAGCCGAAAGTCCAATCCCCAAGCGTTGGCTCTACTTTGGTTGAAGGACGTCATTGAGGACGAGGAGACTGACATCGAGCTGCCTGTTGTTGCTGGGAATGATCTTCGCCAACTGAGGCAGAACGTGGTGTATGACCTTACGGAGGAAGGCAAGATCAATATGAATGAATTTACGGCGAAGACGCACGATTTCCAGATCATTGGGCATATTCGGACACGGATCAGGTTGGATCGTGGATTGGACGAGGTGAGTGTAACGTCTTACGGTAAGAACGGTAAGACTAATCGTGGGACAGGATCACGAGGCACATGCCAAGACTCAGGCGAGGCGGCATGCATTTGAAACATAGTGAGTCCTCTCCCTTTATGATGCTGCAAGGTGCTGAACATTATATGCTAGCGACCACGTCGAAGGGGAGGGTCTTATCGCAGAACGAAACGCCCATGCGTATGATGATGGTGTTATTGATCTAGAAGAGAAAAAGGCACTTGACCGTGCTCACAAACGGCAATTGGCTAATCGTCAGAGAGGTATCAATGGATTCCGGCCATATCGCACTGGTAAATGGATGAAAGAAGGTTTAAAGAGTCGCCTCATGCCTAGCAAAGGGTCCTCGAAACGAGAACGTAAGAGATTCTCTTTGTGTTTGAAGATGCTAATTGATTAATTTTTGTTTTCAGCGACGGTTCAGTCAGAGGCATGAGGATGAAAAAGCTTTTTAATGTGCATTTGTCGATGACATTAACGACTATTGAAGAACAATGGATCCTGTACTTTTATTATCTTGTAAATTAGGTTACTATTTGTGGTTTGAAAAGAGTATGGTGTAAGATACGTACCGCTCTATCAGACATAATTGAACTCCTCTACGATGTCTAGTTTAAATGCTCGCCCCATTTCGCGCAAGCAAGGACAGTTGTTCATGATTGTATCAAAGGTTTGCACCCGGTCGTAGTATCTCTTGAAGATGACCCGAACGGAAACGAGTGAGGCAACGGGCGAGCGAGACAACACTTCATTCAAGGCAGCCCATTTCTTCTGCTCGTATACGGATACGTACTCTGCACCGACAAACAGACTGTATTTAATGACGATATTTTGAGCAGATGCATCTGGATTAGGAGTAAGAGCAAAACAGTCTGTGAGCCATTGTATGCCGAGTCCTTGGTTACGAGGCCTGTCAGACCCGAATTGAATGACGTGAAAGACGATGCTCCGAAGATGGGAGAGGGAGACAGGTATCGGGGGAGCAAAGCTGTCATCATCTACAAATATGTAAATCAAACACCACCAACCGACAGTTTACAAGGAAAGCTCACCGCAATGTAGATCTTTCAATTCCAGAGTTCGTAGGGAGGGTGCGCGGACGAGCTTCAGAAATATGCTGAAGTCGCCATCACGGGGATAACTCGAAGTAGACAGAGTATGTAAGTGATCTAGAGCGCCCAGACCGCCACTGGCGATACTGTTGAGAATGGATTTGCCAGTCTCGTGGAGGTGTATTTTCAGAACTTGTACTGGACATGACTGGCTACTAGCCGCGGGATTAGACTGTCCCACGACGTCCCACATGGTGAGGCTCTGCATGACGGGAAATGATGTCCTCACCGCAGTGGAGAAGTCGCGAAAGGAAAGTGAGAGCATGGAAATGTGTTTGATGGGAAGACGGGAGAACGCATCGAAGATTCCGGCATTGTATTTGGGGACATCGTCAAAATCCATATCCTGCAGGGATAAAGTGGACAGGTTGACTAGGGAGTGTATAACAGGGATAACGAGCCGCTCTTTGAATGCGTCGCCAAAGAGAGTAAGATCCGTGACATTCCTGGGTATGTTCGGGGAAGAGACAACTAGTTTGTGAAATTTTTGGCTGAAGGTCTCGTTGAGGACTATTTTGTGGAAGAGGTGGAATCGAGTGCGGGGAAGGAATGTACGGGAGGCCAAGGAGCAGGCCACGAGAGACTTTCTATCGCACTGAAGTTTATCGACAATCGCGTCGAAGAGCTCTTGTGGCAAGTCGGACATTCTTCGAAAAGGGTACGTTCAACGGTGATGTCGGGCGCTTATAATTGTCGAAGACTTACCTTGTGTAAGTGGGTGATCAAGAAGGACCGCTCGGAGAGATAAGAATATGCTCCTTTTATTGCAATGCAACATTCCTTCTAATCGGTTCATCCTAAAAAAAAATCAAGAACATGAGGGGCGGCAGAAGGGCGGCTTTGCCCCTTCTCTGCATGCTGCCTCGGGGGTATACGGCTTTGAGACTTCGTTCGGATTAAATGCCGTTTAATGATTCCTTGATATTTCAGTCCTTGAGCTACAGTTTCCCTGATCTTTTCTCGCCCGAGATTCTAACAACTACCTTGCCGAATTGATCTCCCTTCTTCAGTATCTCGAATCCCTCCTCTGCGGATTCTAGACCTTCTAGCACATGGGATACTACCGGCACGATACGGTGCTCCTCCAGGAACGCGGTCGCGTCTCTCATGTCCTGCAGCGAGCCCATCATTGTTCCTGTGGAAATCTGTCAAAGCGGGTATGCTTGGTATGAAGGGATTATGCGAACCAATGAGGTGCTGGTTTCGCATCACTTCTCTCATTGTGAACGTAATCTTTGGATTGGCAGTCCTAGAAAGCCGTTAGAAACAATCACTTTTTGAATAAGCGACGAAGAATCTGACATTCCATAACAGACAACCTTTCCGCCTCGCTTGAGGCACCTGCTCACTTGAGACATAATATCGCCTCCACCAGAATCAATGACCGAATCAAAGACAGCGTCTTCGCCCCGGACTTTCTTCAATGACTTGTAAATCTGGGAAGGCCAGTTATCTGAAGAGGTGTAAGTCCACAAGGATAGGTAAGCTGATGTTCAACGACACACACCATCTTTATAGTTTGCTCCTCCTTCAGCACCTAGTACAATGGCCTTGTTGATCTTCTCCGTGCTACCGCTTGTCACATAAACATGTGCGCCTTTAGCGACGCATAATTGAAGAGCCACAAGAGCCACTCCGCCGCCTATGCCCGTTATCAAGATGTTTTGGCCAGATTGGACGCTAGCGCAGGTGGTAATTGCCCTGTTAAGCGATTTAGAACAGTTATACAGCATGGAACCAGCTGCAGACGGACATACCTCCAAGCCGTTAGACCAGCTAAGGGCCACGCGGCCATGTGAACATCGTCGAGATGGCTGGCGGATTTGATCACCAACGATCTATCGACGACGACATAGTTGGCGAAGTACCCGAGGGGAGGATAAGCGACGCCCCCAACGACTCCAAACTTTCTATTCAAAGGTATTAGCTACTGAAAATATGTGTAGATGACATTGGAGACATACGGAGACTCTGGCCCATCGAGGTTCTTTTCCCAGCCAACCATTGGCGACATGAAGACGCGTGAGTTGAGAAGTGAATCCTTTGGTTGGCCGGATGCCACAACAACACCTGCAAAATGTCGTTAAAATACATACTTATACGCAGAAAATCTCATCACCGGCTCCATCAGCGCCAAAGACACTCCCAAACGCAATATTCGGATACAATCCTTTACGAATCCATAGCTGTAAAGCGTTACGTTACAAATAACATCATCAAAGCTGAAACAACCTCTCTGTGGTTGAATGCAGCTGCTCCAACCTTCACCAAGACTTCGCTGGCTCTGAGAGGCGGGATTTCCCTCAGTTCTACCTTTGCATCATTGTAAACCGGTTTCTGCAGCGTCGCGGATTTGCAAAGTACTAGTGCCTTGGTAAGGCGAGGGATATCGAATTTCGACATTTAAGACTTCTTCGAGTAATTGTCCTTTGATGTACTTGAAGAATACAGAAATGTTGACTGGCACGCTGTTTTGCTAGTGGCTGCTATTGTGGGAGATTATGCGGTTACTTTAAGACGCTGGTCCCGGTTACTGACAGCGGCTGCCGGCTGGTTACCTAAGTTAAACAATGATAAAATTGATCTCAACTTAAACCACCACCACTTCATCACAACATTTACAACTCGACTGCCTTCACCATTACATTTAGTTCTGTTTTCTTTCTTTGCTCTGTACCTTCTTAGTGCCGTCGTAAGTCAAACTTCCCTTTCTGTTTTATTGCCCAAGAAATTAATGTCGCGTTAGGATCCTTCAAAATATGGCCTGTATCTATTCGAAGCAAGTCCCCCAGGAGCTAATCGACAAAATCGTTAACGAGCTGCATGAACATCGAAAATCGCTCGAGTCCTGTAGCTCCGTTTGCCGTGCATTCCGTTCCCCAGCCGAAGCCATCCTCTTTCGACAAGTCTCGTTAAACGGCTACGACAACCCTATATTCCGCCTTTCTCAAACTACTCCCCGTGTCTTGGACTGTGTTAGGGAAGTAACTATCCACGAGTCCGTAGAAACTCGTCCGAATGCCGACGCCGTCGCCGTCGCAAAAGCTGTCGCGGCTTTCGTCAATTTGAACACCGTCAAGATTACAGGAATGACTTGGGTGCCGGGTTCTTACCGTATCCCTGCCGAGGTGATGTCTGCGTTCGCAACTCTGCCCATTAGAACTCTCGTCCTCGACGAAGTCATCTTTCGATATATCATCCAATTCTCATCCTTCATGGATACTTTTTCCGGCGTTGAAGATATCACTCTCAAGCACGTCTATTGCCACCTTGTCTCGAAAAACGATAACCCCCCAACCTCGTCTCGAACAAATGACATCCACTCGTTGCACTTGTCCGTGAACGAAATCTCGTCGAATGTACTTCGCATGGTTGCCGACGGTCGCCTTGGGTCTTTGGCGAAGCTAAAATCTCTGACTTACGAAGGACATCCGAAGGGCAAGGAAGTTCCTCCTTTGCTCACTCTAGTTCAGAATCCTTCACTCCAGTACCTTCGCGTTACCGGCGGTGAGCTTCTCTTTTCATTAGTTGGTGACCAAACCAACGCTCTTCAATTCTTTAGATATACCGGCCGCCAATTTGTCGCACATCGAGACCCTTGCTATTTATCTAACAAAAGAAGCCAACACACAGGAGTTTCGCATCTCTTTGGGCCTTTGGATGGACAGCTTGGCCTGTGGTGAAGTATTGTCGTTAAAGAAAATAACGATACGTCTGAGCCTGGGACACCAGATCTCGGCAAACGACGCTAAAAAATGGGCTGAGCTAGACAATGTGATATTGGCGTCGCGCTTTCCGGAACTCGTCTCGTTTCGCGTCATACTGAAGGCGAATGCGGGTATTGATGCTGAGCAGACGAAGGAGCTTATTCTGAGTCATTGTCCTACTCTTTGTACCCTGAACGTGTTCACCGTGGGCATGGAAGGATCCCCAGAGCCCTTGGATGATGGTGGAAGTGAGGATGATGACAGTGACTGCTGAGCTTGTGGAAGTCGTAGAACGAGCAGATGGACCATCGTGATTGCTTGGAAGGGGGCTTGGTCGGGATATTCGGGGCGTGCAACCACTCTTAATAAAACCATCATCTCATCTGCCAAGATACGCGTAAGATTTCTGGTATATACATATTAAATAGCACTGAATCAGATAGTTCTCCCAGTGGTTATCCCAGATCATAAGGATACGCCACGTAAATTACGCGTCACCCAATGACAATACACGGGGGGGATAGCATCCTGATGTTACTGCGCTCAGCGCTCAAAGGCAGCAAGACCTTCAGATCACCAGCTCTCATCTTCGATTCCACATCTACCTGCCGTATTGAACACCGCGCAAGACACAGATCCAACACACGACAGGCCCTTCGGTGGAAATGCTCGTGTGCCTCCCACGGCTGCCGGATCCTCAATATCAGATGTTCCAACGTTAGAAGATCATTGTTAATGATCTGCGCGACCCTGAGCAGGGCCTCAGCGGTGAGCGCAACAGTCAGGGTTAGACGCCTCAAAGCCGGTGAACGCTGCGTATCGACACACAGATCACTGTCCGAGCAAGAGATGACGAGGTGAGGAAGGGAGGATGGTACGATGGGAACGAGTATGGATGCCAGTCCATGACCGGTGATAGGATCGGAATGCAATTTCAGAGTCTTCAGTTTGCTAATACGGATGGGGCAGTTTGGGTGGAGGAGGAAGACGGCGATAGCACTGGCGCAAGGCATATTCTCCCAGAGCTCAAGTGACTCGAGCATCGTGTGCTCGCTGGCATGAACTGTGTCGTACGACCTCATGATCTCGCTCGCTTGGTCGATTATGACTGACCGGAACCTGCTGTGCATGTCCTGTATTGATATCAATGATATCTTCAAGTGTTTCAATGAAGGGTAAGCGGTATCCCATAGGGACAGGAAAAGCCGGAAAGTGGCGAAATACGATGCAGATATCTCGAGGTGCGTTATTGGCAGTGCGTGGAGCAGCTGGGAGGCGGACCGGATCTCATGGGCGCCTGGGTAGCAGTATGCTACGTCCGAGGAATACAACTTGAGTCTTTTCAGCCGAGTGAATGAGAACGAGCATGGGACGAGTGTACCAGAAAACTCCCATGCAATGGAGACATCTTGGATTAGAGAAGCCAGGCAAGCGACTCGCACCCGTCTCCATTGCAAGTGTAAACGTGCGGCGCCCTTCTCGTCCTCGAAAACGCCCTTGCACTTGTTCTCGTGCAATGAAACGACGCGGAAGATGTTCCGGCGTGCATGAAGGCGCCATGACCTGCAAACGAGCGCACACGTACGGAGTACCTCAACCCCGACGATGTTGTCGATGATTAGTTCGAAGATCTCGAGCGGGAATACAGGCGGTTCCATAGCAACGACATCGGAGCTGCGCGAGGAAATGCGCTTATGCCTGAGAATGTCGCTAAACATCGAAATGGAATTAATTACGTGTCAAACAGAGGGGTGGTGTAGACTACATACCGGACGTTGCGAAACTTCATTGTATGTCCTGCAGGAGGGTGAAAAGAAGAGTGTCTTGTTGGCCAGTGGGTATTTGAGCAGCAAAAGCGGCCGGAAAAGGTGGTGTGGGGATGAAGCACCCGAGTTCGCGTTTCGTCATGGCGGTAACAAGGTGGAGGAATCAAAGTAGCGACTCCATCCTCGGTTCCGGCAGCCTTAAGCGGCAGTAAACTTTCAGGGGCAGTTTTATGGGTTTTCTGCCGGTGTGCTGCGCAAGTATGCTTCCTTAGGAAGCAGAAAATCAGCATTCATTTAATAGTCCTAGCCAGAAAATGACGCACGGGATGTGAGACAGTCTTGAAGCGACAAAAAGAGGCATCCAAATAATACTCTAGTAGTCCGGGTACACAGACTTCGGAAAGCCGATGGTAAGAATCAGAGCAACCTTTGACGCATCGTCTTGGTTGGTATTGTAAACAGCCACCTCAATGCCTATGATGCAGACAGAAATAGGGCAGCCAGTGATGCATGCCTGCCTGCATTCTTTAAGCAGGGAAACCTATTGAGCATATTTTGAGCGACCACGACCGTGCAGAAGCATCTTGGGAATTCTGATTTCCTCGGTAATTCCTATGTCCTCGAGTAATTAAAACATCAGCTCGGGAGAAGAGAGAAGCAGCTGAGTTTACCAAAATTCTGAACGTCAGTAAAGAAATACAAGGCTACAAGAAGTCGAAGACGCACCAGGCGTAGTAATAACCCAGCTGGAATCTGAGAAGATCCTTGATTAACGTCCAAATCATTGATGGGTCAACGGGATATATATCCAAGCAAAAAAATGTGCAAGGCTACACATATTACATATGGTCACCGACAAAGAGCGAAAACAAACTTGATTGTCTGTTGAACGTGCTGTTGACTTGTTGACATGGGTTGGCGTGCACCGGCTGCACCGGGCCGAAGATTCTCACCACACCACCACTGCAACCTTTCAATCTGTCATTGACGCTAGACCTTACGGTCTCTCGTTTCAGATAGCGGGTACATGCAGAAGATTCGCTCATTGTGCCTGCTAGAAATTCCCGCTCGTCGGTATATGCGATCCAGTGGTTACCTCGACTGTGGCCGTTACACACCATTACTCCTGACTCAGGGGACGGATGTGTGTGTGCTCTGCTTTTGGACATTGGACCATAGAAAATTTCGAGCGATCTGTATGTTCTGATGAGTTAAACTTGTATGTGAGAGATTTCACACGGAATAGGTACGTAGATGCAGTGACAGATCATTTTAAAACCAACATGTGCCAACAGAGCTTTGGGAAATATCGCAACAGAAGATTCCTGATGATGTTATCTGTAGCCGGTTTAGAAGATCAACATTAACTCGTGGTTCTTTGCGTTAAGTAAACTAAGGGGGCTGCCTTCGCAGGGTCAACTCTGCCAGGGCAAACGAAAGTCTTGGCAGGAAGGACGGGAGTCACTGGCACCGAACTCAGGGCATTTTGGAGTTCGAGGAGGGCGTCTTGTGTCGTTTCTCATCATAGCCAGCCGCATTCGAAGCAACCTGTGCAGTATCATGAAGTTTGTCTTCAGTGGCTCTCTTTGTCTCTTTACCCATCAGGACATGAAGTCGCGTTCAAGAGTATCTCCAAGTTCTCCTCCTTCATGGACAGATTCCCCGCTGTGCAGAGCATCGGAATGTCGTCCCTATGCTGCATGAAAGATGATCAGGACCTCTCACTGTAACCCCAGAGCAAGGTCAACTCTGTCCATCACCATCAACAATACTACGCACTTGCACCAACCTCCCACTATTACCACCTTCCACCTTGTATATGCCAGCAGCCGAGATAATATCTGCTCTCCACTGTCCAGTCTGCCTAGGAGCAATGGAGGCAGAATGTCTCAAAATTATAGCTGGTTCTCCTTCTTTGCAGTAATTATCTGTATTTCATCGTTGGTCTGGTACATCTGGTTATTTTTTCGTCCAAATTGCGTGTACTCACATTCCCCTTTCCAGGCCCTCCATTGGTCCCTACAATTGATATATCTTAGCTCACTTTTCTCGAATTCTCGATCCCGAAATCCCGGCCATACCCGCAAAACATTGCTGTATTGCTGAAGGACTGGACAGACTGCTTCGCCTCCTCCCGCACGCATCCGAGTCACGTCAATGTTATCATTGAACCTGATATATATCTCTAATTCTCACCAGAGGACGAAGCGGCTTTCGCGAATTTTGACCGTGTTCTGTCGCTATCAAAAACAGTGGAGAGTGTCACCATCATAATAAACTATTACGAAGCCTAGAATTACCACAGTACAAGACATTCGTGGAAGCCAACAGCATAGACTCGTCGATACTACTACTAGTAGTGCATGAGGGACAGCCTGCGGCCCTTGGCGTCGGGATGGTCTTCCAGCCTTTTTAATTGTTGAAATACCAAATGCGCCGCGCTTCCGATGGCCACCCCTCCTTTCCGTAGTATATTTTCTAAATTTAGCATTAGTATATAAAGTAGGATACCTTGTAATCGAGCCCCTCGCGCATTTGCGAGGGTTCCCTGCTAATCCCGGAGTCCCGCTTATCTGAGCTGAACAGCATACTCCAACACAAATGCGCAGCATAACCCTTCGAGTTCTTGCTCTACTCGCTCGCTGCCGCCATCTGCTGCTTTACTGATAGCCCAACGTCGAGACCGTTGCGGCCCCTGAGACCTACGAGACCATCAGCCTAGCTACGAGAACGCTAAGGCTTACCATTGACCTCCCTCATTTCACGAGACTCATTCCATCCATCCCCCTTCGCCATGTCTTCTGACGACTCTTCCATTCGCTTTCCTAAGCTCAATGACTCAAACTATGTGACCTGGAGCATCATGATGGAAGCTGAGCTCATTTGGAAGGGCTTGTGGACTGGCATTATCGAGATCCTAGTTGATGGAGATGGGAAGACTGCTGACGAGGTTGAGAAAGAGTACCTGACGAAGAAGACCAAGCGGGCAGCCTTGAAGATGGCTGAAGCTCGTGCAGAGATGATTTTGCAAGTTGACAGTGGTCAGCTGCCACACATGATTGCGAGAGACCTGATGGAGGTTTGGGAGATGCTGAGGAGTGTCCACCGAGCCAGAGGATTTGCGACTTCACTGGCATTACGCAGGAAGTTCTTGACGATGAAGAAACGGAGCAATCAGTCGATTCAGTCTTGGGTTGGAGAGATTCGTGGGCAGGCATTCGCCATGCAGATGTCGGGGATTGAAGTGAGTGATCAGGACGTGATCTTGGCACTTACTCTGGGCCTTCCTTCCTCTTATGACACCGTCATCATTCATTTCGATGCCACTCCCCCCGACCAGCTCACTATCGACCACGTTATCACCCGACTGCTGAATGATGAGACTCACCAGTCTATGAACCACCACTGTTCCACCCAGAATGCCACAGCCACTGATGAGGCCCTTTCTGTTACTCAACGTCGTTCCCGCCCTGATGCATCTGAGATCATTTGCTTTTTCTGTGACCAGAAGGGTCATTACAAGGATGCTTGTCCTGAGAAGAAGCTGTGGGAATCCCACAAGCAGGAGGTTGCCAGAATGGTTGAAGGTGCTGATTCAGATGAAGAAAGTTTGCTGCTTGAAGAAGACTGATTTTTCGTGCGCCCTTTTTTGATTTATTTTGATATCACCCGAGTTTTCTGTGCTTCCCTTATATCCCTTTTAGACTGCTTAGCTTATGGGGGTGCCGTTCTTTCCACTGTTGCACGCCGATTTGCGGGGGTGTGTTGAAATACCAAATGCGCCACGCTTCTGACGGCCACCCCTCCTTTCCGTAGTATATTTTCTAAATTTAGCATTAGTATATAAAGTAGGATACCTTGTAATCGAGCCCCTCGCGCGTTTGCGAGGGTTCCCTGCTAATCCCGGAGTCCCGCTTATCTGAGCTGAACAGCGTACTCCAACATTAATTTCATCTTATACTCAAAAATGTCATTCTATATCATGACACAAAGTAAACTGAAAGTAAAGCGACTTTTACCATTACAGGGACACCCAACCGCTGGCGCTGACCAGCGTTACGTCCGCAGGGTGACCGTTGATGATCGGATTTACATTATTTTCGTAAAATTGGTCGAATAAACGTACTTATTTAGTCACTTAGGGTTATGGTTACGGTGAAACGGTCCGGATGCCGGCAGAAGTTTTTCGACCACCAATGCTTTCAGTCGAGCGAAACATTTACATGTCCTTGAGACTCCAATCCTATTTTTCGTCCTCCTGGAACAATACGACACTAAAATCCACGAAACAAGAGGAACAAGGCGTCTATTCGAAAGTACTGTCATGAAGTATACAACTTGAACCTATTGGTTAATATGTACGTCCTTTTTAGCCTGCTATCGAGACGTCGCTGATACGAGAACTTCTGTTTTTTTTTTTTTTTTTGATTTCTGCAGCTCAAAATACGAGATAAGACAGCGACCGGACCACCTCGTTGCATACGTGGAGCAGGTCTGGTTCCTCTCGCTGACAGCTGCTTGCAGCGATATACTGCGGTTACCATTTCCGTCGCCGCAAATCATCGTCATTCTCGTCCATCGCAGCAAACGAAATAGCACGCTTTTCCGTCTTCTATCGGATCGTCTCGCTGGACTCCCGACTCACGGGCGAGGTACTACAACTGTGGACCAGCTGTCTGTGGGCAAAGGTGAGCCTAATGTGCACGCTAATTATTCGTATTAGTTCCTTCGGCTAAAGAGGAAACAAGTACCTTGGATACTGGATCTGGACCGTTTTAGCCATCGGGACTTTCTGGATTCCCAACCCCGATAAACCAGCTGTGTTTAAATGAGATTGATGCGTCAAAATCGGTCGAGCTCAAGACCTTGAAGGCACAATAGTAACCATCTCGGGGATAACAGAGGTCGGGTTTCCATTGGGATGGAAAATGCCTGTGCTTCGAGTGTAAATGCAACCAGCTTCAGCTTCAACGGGCTGCGTACGTATTTCTCTTTTTTGTTATTCTGTGACGCAGGTCTCATAATCGATCATGAAACTCAGCAGAAGTGACCCCTTGGTTGCCCCTTGGTAGTGAAATCTCCGTAGAATATCTTCAGCGCAATCGGCGCCCGTGCAGGACAGATTGCCAATGCGTTGGACTTGGCGATAGGTCATCAAGGGACCAAAGTATCGCGGCTTTGAAGGTTGCTCCAGGCAAGGGTGGCATGTGCATAGTTCCCACATAAGACCTTAATTCACGTACCGCACGCAAACATTGGAAGGGTACCTGGTTTCGGTGTCGGTGAGCACTATCCGTTTCTCGCGATTCAGGACCTTGAGTGATGTCAAGGTCGGTAATCACAGAGGATCTGCAACTGAGGAGTTCGTCCCTTGTTATGACCTTCTGTTGACCGACTTTCTTGACCAGTATTGCCTACCCAAACCAGTGGAAGACGTTCTGCGATGTCCGCAAGAAGTCTCAGATGCCACCGTTTCTGCACATTTTAACACATTCATCAACCCCTTAGCCCTGGCTCAGAAATAGCCTTGATATCGGAGGCCGCTGTCCCGCAAGAGCTCCGTAATCAAGATGGGATTCTTTGAAGCTGATACTACGGATGCCCGATCCTCAGACCTCCACTTCGGTGTATGTATCAGAAGAGAATCGCCCGACATGTCCATGACGAGCGATAAGCGGTCGCAATGAGGATACCTATTGCATGCGTGAAGCACCGTTTCTTTTCGACTTTGAATCTGAGTCGATTCTGATAAATCCTTTAGCGTGCAAGGGTGTTTCTATGACACAAGCAGGTAGTCACTCGTAAACTCTGCGCATAAACGGCATTGAAACGCGCAAAATTCGCCTTGCATTGGTTGGGTCTTGAGGCGGCCGAGGACATCTCACCGGCCAGCCAAAGGAGAACATCCTCATTGTTCAGCGGAGTCACGAAATCCCTGGGATCCTCATGTGTCACATTTTCACCCCATACCAAATTCTCCGTGTAAAATCATATTCTCCCTCCGTTTTTTCTTCTATCTCGTTAGCAGTCATGTGGCGGGTAGCCGAAGAACAGGAAGCAGCGACAGGCTTGGACGATGTGGACCCAATCCTTGAGAAGTTCTTCCCCAAAGAACTATCGCTACTCGGTGGATCAACTGTGTATAACGGTCGGAAAAGTACCCATGCCCGAGTTACTGTTTCATGACCATAATATGTATGCAATTTCGTCTGGCTTAGACACGTTTTCTTACCCCAACACCTTCTAACAGGGTATTATAACGGTTGACCCGGGTGTAATGTTGAGCGCAATGTGGTTAAAGAGATGGGTACCTCAAATTCTTTTCCTTGGCTTTGTGATACCGAAATGGTTGTCTCAGCCACATCCACGCAGCGGAATTTCACCACCGCTTTTTGCCTTGAGTTCAAGGCCGCGCACCTTTGAAAATGATACCTCTCATCGCGACGACAGTCCACGACGACAACGAGGTCTCACTTAGCCCTCATTGCGTATTGCCTCTAATTTGGGCCTAGGCGTACAAGCCGGAGTCAGCCCTACGTGAAACAAGCGTTTACGAGAGCATTCTCCAGACACGTGCTCACTACGGGAGCGGCATGAGCGCTACCTGTAGGTAAACGTGTGGCTTTTGCACACCCGTCGTTACCGACCTGACCTGACCAAACAGTCGCATTTCATTCGGGTCATCTTTCTGTACAATCCGAACACCTGAGGCCGTCAATGAACCCCGAGAGATAGGATCCGCCATCTCTAGTGCTAGGACGACAATCTGGGAAAAAATCTCACCATCATCATCTGTAAATGGGGCGTGCTATGTAAGGGACCATTATTATCCAGTTGGTCTAGCTCGGGGAGGGCTACGACTGACGCCGATAAGAAGTTCGACATGGCGCTCTAGCTATAGAGAGATCGGAGAACGAAATCTTCGCAAAGCATGGCGTTGCACCTCAGGTTCAGGGCAATTACTGGAAAACAGCTCGGACAAGGCTGTGGCACCACAGGTGTGGTTTACTTTTGCCAGACCAAATAAGCTAATTACCATCGGAAATACCACGGAACACTCCGATACCAATGGCGGCGACCGCAGCGATCGTTTTCGCTTCTCATTACCTGAACTGGTCCATTCTGCCTTCTGTATGCCAGTATTGCATGTTCTGAGCACTTCACTTTTGTCTCATGACATTAATTCGCGATCCCGGAACTAAAAACGAGGAAATGATATCCATGGGTTTCCAAGGGCCGGCATCTGTCCCCTTGGTGTTCCTTGTAGACTCCGACGTGGCGCGTCGGGGAGCTTATTTATCATTTCCAATGCAATACCGACGAAAGCGACGGCACCTTACTAGTCCCCATCACTATCCTTCCATTTTTGCGCTTCACATTTCTCTAAAGTAGACAGAAGCGTAACTGCCTTTCTACCCTCGTGGAATAGGCATCTATGTCGGACTTACAGGCAAATGACGTCGGGATCTCCAATGCGCCACCCACGAGGCTCTTCTAACTTATGGAGTACCTGATGCCAGCATATACTTGGCTGTCAGCTATATCGGGGGTAGCCTTTCTCTCGGGGAAATATGTTCCAATCAAGAACAATGAAGGCTATCGCCGCAGTTCGCCTTCACGATCCCACGCTTCTATAGCTGCAGTGTTCGTTCAGTAGGTCTTCTTCTGTTCTCCGAGGCAGATCATTGGCCCATCTTCCGAGTTCCGGGTCGTCAATTACATACGTACCGATGACGCGTCCATTGCATGTTCGAATTAAAATTTGATTCCCACTGCGGGGAGCTCGCCCATCTGGAACGCTATCAAAAGCTCATTAGGGACAACTCGTCTCTTCGGCGATTCAAAAGAAGAAAAAAAGCCCTGAAAGTCACTATGACGACCTCCAATTTTCTTCTCACATTTTGACGACCGTGGACCGATTTGAAGTATTGACAGTGGATCTGGGTTTCAGCCGTGTGATCGGAGACACTTGGGTTAGGTCTGCCCGGCCGCTTCTGCACGACCGCCCGGTCAGGATACGGAAAAAATTTCCATTCAACATCATCCAGGAGGAGAAAAATATTTTGTTGAGTCATTGCATTTCATATGTGTAAGTCGCTAGGGGATTTGGTGAGAGAAATGTTGACGATGTTTCTGCTAAAACAGATTGACTTGCGGTGCAACAAGGATGACGTGTTCGGGGGGTAACCAAAGGGTCGGATCCGTGCCCGTGCACTGGTACAGTCCCTGCAAATCTGCACATATAAAAGACTTGAAAATTTACTTCCGGATGACTCGCAACTACAGACCCAATCATCTCCCCCGCCTTACATTCCCTTATTTTTTCCAATGCCTCCAGGCGAAGTTACGCACATTTGGGATGTCACAGGGCCGAAGAAGAGTTATGTGAAAGGAGAGTATTGTGTTCACTGGATCATCGTGAACGGAAGGCCGACGATGTTCACCTTTGAGTGTCTTCAAGACCGTAAGTCTGTCTGGCTCTGATACATGTCACTTCTGCTGATGTCTTGACAATAGACAACATCTCTCAAGGTACTCGCGTGAGTTTTTTGTGCTCTATCACGTTTCCGTTTCATAATCCATTTTTGTTAGCCTGTACCGGGGAGAACGACCGCATTTTGGACGCCCTATAATCCCAAATGATTAGAATAAACCCACGTTGACGTCGGCCATTGATGTTTGGTGAGTAATGACGCTGTTCATTGAACTACAAATACCTGACCCTTGACGCTCCTTGACGTCGGCAGTTTTGAAGATGTTTTGAAGATGCTATGCGTTTTGGTATATGAGCCTTGATGGTTCAGCTCAGCTAGCCCCTACCGATTAATGCTACGTGTACCTCGAGTGTGGAGCGGTGCATATATATCCGTGTACTTGTGCCTGCATCCCCGGTGGCGCCTCCTGCGCAAGAGGACCGTCATGTTACCATATATATATCTTAAAATCAACCCCTTGAAACGAATATGCGGAGCCGCTGGCAGGAATGTTGTATGGTCCCAATATAGGAACAACCGTAATATTCTTGAAAACTTAACGACCGGGAGTCGAGCCCCCGTGGAACAAGCTCATCACATCGTGTTCTGCGACAGAACAATAACCGAATAATACTTCTACCGACCGCCGGAGTATAAAACACGAGTTCATCTTTTCAACTACAACCATGACGTTCAGCTGTCCCTCCCCTTCGAGTCCGAGCGTCAAGTCCTCGATAGATGAAGTTGTACTCAAATCACGCATCGAGAAACGGCTCTCAGATGAGTGCGTGAAACTCGATCCCTTTGAACAATGTATGTACCTCGTCGTTGCCAAGCATGCTTTTCGTATTAACCTCGCGTTGACGGGTAGGCGGAAATCATATGGTGAGTCTGTTGCCGCAGAGGCGTAAGCCTCCTTTCTCTAAAACAGTTTTAGACCTATATTGCACATATGAACAAGGCGCAACAAGTGTTCATCCGAGTCCAGTGGTCCATTCTGAAGCATGCTGGCTGCGGAATGACCTCTCCGTTGGCTATGCGCTCCGAGGTACGCCGCAATCTAGTTAAAACAAACTTGCACCGATTTTGAAACTAGGTTGCCACCCTGCGCTTTTTAAAATCCAAAACTGAAATCCCGGTCCCTGAGATTTTATATCATGACGTTGACGCAGACGGAATGGTCGGGGGTGAATGGATGATCATGGAATATGTAAGTTCCGAGATGTCGTTATCTGAGTAGGCTGATTAAGGCAAGGACAGATCGACGGCGATAATCTTTCGACAATATGGAGATCCCTCGATGCCAAGCGCCGCGAACAGGTCTGTGTAGCCATTGCGGATGTATGGTCTCAGATAATCAATGTCAACTTCCATTCGATCGGAAGTCTGTACGAGAGGGGAAGCGGAGACTTTTACATTGGTCCCATGACGCGTCTGGCGTCGAACCGAAAAACATCTATTTCCCCACCGCGACTCGAAAAATGTGGTCCATTTTCGAATGCGAAGGATTGGCTCCTCGCGACTGCGCGACGTGATTTAGATTATTTGGAGGCACCCTCAGACGACGCTAACCAAAAGCAGCGTTTCATCAACGATGTTGTATCTAGCATCCAGAACTTCGACTTTCCTTCTCAACTTGAGGATCTACCCATCGTCCTCGAGCATATAGACTTTGCACCGCGTAACATCCTCGTCAGCCGGACAGACCCGACAAAGATAATAACGGTCGTTGACTGGGAAGCCGCGCGCGCGGTTCCGATGTGGGCTGCAAATCCCAATTTCACCTTCCCACCGTTGTCAGTGACAGACGAAGAGAGGCAGCACCTGCTCACCGTAATAACGGATCGTATCATAGCGAAGGTTCCTGCTTGGGCGAGGGCGATAGGACAAGACACACAACCTCTGCGAATCTTGAATGATCACGCAATCTATAGTACCGTCAATCCTAGCATACTACTCCCTGCCCCATACTTAGCCTTGTCGGGTTCGTATTGAACGCGTTACGTAGATAACAGACCATACATGGACCTTTGTATATATAATAATGTTTCGACTACCACATCGAAGCAGTGTATCTGAGATGGCTTTGCGATGGGTCCTTGTATAACATTATGGACAAGTCATCGGACCGATTACGAAGTTCGAACCTCGATCAAGGGATTCGGAAGTCGGTATCTTCGAAGAGATCTATAGATGCATCGTCGCAACGGTTAAATAGAACATGCTGTAAGTACCTGTTCCCATCTGTTCGCATACACCCTGGAAAGCTCAGAACGATCGGTTCGCCGCATACTTAACTTGAGCGCAACTTGAGTGGCCTCTCAGATGAAAAGGCCGTAATAGACATTACTAGAATCAGATATAGGAAGAGTGTCAGGGCCATGCGAGCTAGATATGGGAATGTAATATACGTAGCGCAGGTGTGATATGTCACCAAATATCACCCCAGAACTCGAAGCCTCAGGGTTATCATCAATTCTATTCAGTTGTCCCTAGATTGCCCTCTATTACCCTATTGTCTGGATCTGTCAACATTTCATCAATTCAAGGTACGAACTTGGACTAGGACCACTGATCCTGCAGGAACATAACCACAAATTAGCTGGGCTTGTCTACAATATATTAATGTTTCGCACGATGACTTCGAACGAGATCTCCTGGCAAAATAATAGCTGAAAAGCCTAGGAAAACCTCAAAAACAAGACTATGCCTGGTTTGTACGAGAGCATACTAGCAGTAAGCCTACTTGGAATCGATGAACTCATGCTTTGCGAAGTTGTACGTCATCCAGAATTAAAGCACAGGACTCAAGAGTAGGGCTGAGAACGATAGAATTAGAGCGTGTGTCATGGATTGGTCGATGCAAGGTCGGAATCACACGTGAAATGTATACATGCTAATATCGTAGGGATGGAATTCGAGTTCATGTACGAAGAAACGCATAGGAAGGTCCATATTTTACATATAACTTGGAACTTGAAGAGGCATTGAGAAAACGCACCATTTCTCACTTCATTCTTCCGAATCTCCATCAACATTGGTGGCAGCAAAGGCACCAGCCTGGACGTTGTAGAGTTTGGCGTATTCTCCGCCCAGTGCAAGGAGCTTGTCATGTCGTCCAGACTCGCATAAAGTTCCGTCTTTCATGCACCTACGAACATATGAAAACGAAGACCCACTTTCAAAAAAGTCACGGCTTACAGTATGAGATCCGCCTGGCGCGTCAGGTACCCGAAACGGTGGGTCACGATGACCAGTGTCTTTCCCTCCCTTTCCTTGATCAAATTATCGAAAAGTTGTGCCTCCCCTGCGGCGTCGATCGCCGAGCTAGCTTCGTCCACAGCTACGAAGCTGACCTTTCCAGAGTTGAAGCGCATGAAAGTGCGTGCTCTGAGTGAAAATAAGCGGTCGACAGTCCCAATAGCTTGGTAATACTCACGCAATGATCCTTTGCTTTTCTCCACCTGATGTTTGGACAGGTGGCGGCAGTTCTTCCCACCTGGCACGCAAGGAACTCGTCTCCTTGCTGTCGTCTTCATACATAGAGAATCCGCAATACCGGTAGTCATTGGCTCCACCAAGCAAGGTACCTTGCCCTTCAGCCAGATTGGTCAAAAGATTTTCGGCGCCTCCCATGCGAACAGCATCGACAACATTGTCGTTGCTGCAAGCGGAATCTACATTGCCCATACGTATGTTCTCCAGAAAAGACAGAGGAAAGATTTCGTGATCCTGCATAAAGCTGGCGGTTGCTTGACGAAAATCCGATAGCTTGTAATCTGTTATGTTGTTCCCGTCGACAAAAATGGTCCCTGAAGTCGGTTCGATCATTCTAGTCAAGAGCTTGATCAGTGTAGATTTTCCACTACCGTTGGTCCCGACTATGACGACGAGCTGCCCAGATTTGATGGAGAGTGAGACGTTTGTCAAAGCTGAAGTGCCATTGGGGTAGGAGAAGCAAGCATCCCTGTGGCGGGGGCTCGGGGTGAGTTAACTGAACTACTAGCGATTAGTCATAGGCGTACCGCAAATTGAAGGACATCCCTCGCAGAACCTCTGATGAACCTTTCTCCGATTTGGACCTTGAACACGGTGGATACGCAACGGAACCTTCGGATAGCGCCGGAGGCATCTTCATCGAATCGTACAACCTAGTTATGTGCTGGCAGTCTTTTCTGAATTGCCGGACTCCGCCGAGAAGAAATTGCAAAGACAATTGAAGGTTGGCTGAATATTGCTGCAAAATGGCGAATGATGTTACAGAGAACGCAGATGGATTAATAATTGCGAACAAGGCCAGGTATATCTTCAATTCCGTCAGAACAGGTAGTAGATAAGGAAATGTTTGACTTACGATAGGTGCCCTGCCTAAGAGAGCAGATAAAACATCCGATAACGGCGTGGAAGGTTGACCATACTGATTCTCTGGGCTCGACGTTTGAAGATCGCCGACACGGTCTGATGATTTGGCATATTCTGAAAGTTTGTGATAACGGGATGACCATTTTATGAAGTAAAGAATGAATAAGTCTTGTCACCTGTAATGATATAGTCCGAAAGGCCGCCGGAAAGAACCTCTGAGCGATAATCTTCGTCAATAAGAGAACTCATGGCGTGCATTCGAATGAAGTCCTTGTTCTCCACATGGTAAAAAAAGTCTTTGTTTCTCGTCAAGCCCAAAGGGACGATTCTAAGAACGATCTGCTTACCGTATCCCCATAAGTAATCCGCTGAGAGGTTATCATACAGTGGCTGGAGGATGCACACCAGAGCGAACAGAGGGTGGCCGAATTCACGAGATGTTCGGACAATAAGGACGAGATTAGCACACATGGACGTTATCCTAGAGAAGAAGAACAGCATCGCTGAGAAGGAGGCCCAGACTGAATTGTTTCCGGGATCCTGAGGCCCTGGTAACAATTGTCAGGCATTAAAATAGTCTGTGTGGAATTTGAGGACGTACCTTTCGTGTCGAGAAAGCGCTGGCTCTCCAGTTGCACTAGACAAATATATAATGAAGTGTATACAGAGGAAGGGCAAGCATATTTTACCTTTCATGCGAATCATCGTGTAATGCGCTTCCACACGACGTCGTAGACGATGACGGATGTGATTGCTTTCAAAGAACGTGAGACGTGATCAAGCTATGGAGGCAGAGAATCTTACTGGTACCACCTCAAGGACATGGAAGCGATGATCCAAGACACTTGGATTGCAAGAAGTGTGGCTATCAGTTCATAGTTTGCGGTTCCTTCTACAATCCCTGTCTCCACCTATAATAAAGAGGTGTCAGAAAATCACGGGTTGCAAAGTGACCAAGGTACTCACACTCTTCAGCAACTGACTTGTTAAGTATAGCGTCAACGTAGATTCGGTTTCCAGCAGTGAGCATCCGCCTGATAACTCCGCCATCACATAGAAGGCCGTGAGCAGAGGAGCCAAGGCATAGATCTCCGTGACCATTCTAAGGAAGAGAGGTACTGCAGAGAATATGTCCCGTATATTCTTTGCAACGTCTAAAGAGTTAGCCTTGAGTATCACCACACGCCACACACCCAGCTTCAGAGAGACTAAGTGGCGGCTGTCAGAGCGAACAGAAGACTCTTCTTTCGTGTCGGATTTCTTCTCCATCGATAATACTTAAGGAAAGGGTATGAGTAGTAATGTGCACCCTAATAGACAGACGAAGCTCCTTATATATCGTTCATCCAGATAGAACTGGGCGCTTAAATGTGACAATAATGAGCAAAGAGACAAGGGAACATCCTTTTTAGAGACTGTAACAGCCTTGGGCATCAGAACAACAGCCCGAAGTGAATGGCATGAAGCCATTGTGTCCTGAAAAGTTGCACGAGTAACCCTGAGAAAATCAATTCAGTTCCATGCGTAATGCACAGAATAGATTGGAGCAAACAGAGCGGAATTTACGGGAAATGTGATTTTGGAAGAAGAGGTCCATTTGATGGAAGGCGAGACAATCGTGGGCAACAATTGTGTTGGGGCGTTAAGGGTGAGGGCAGATATTTTGGTCTCAGTTGTTGTCTGTGAGCCAGTGCAGATTTTTTGAGCTTCTTGAACATAGAGACCACCGCCATGATGGATGTCGTTTGCTTAGAACATGGTGTCCGAGTCCGACTCGGATTCGGAGAGTTTGTTACCTGTTAAAATTCAAGATTTAACATGCGAAACATTGAGAGTCGAGGATTGCAAAGGCAGGGTATACATTGTACAGACGGTCATTCAGGAGCGACTCTAACGAAAGCAAAGTACTCGCCGGATTCAGTCGAGACGACGATGATAGGTGAAGAAAAGAACGTACCGGCCATTACGGGCCGAAATCCCCGGAATCCTTTTCTAGTTCGACCACCATACGGCGTACGTTGCTACTGTGAGGATCGTTTTGTCACGCGCAGTCCGGGACAATGGAACCATCTCTTTTGAATCTGAAGACCATCCTTTGCTTACGACGCCTTGTCATGGGTATAGCATTGTTCAATTCCATATTGATGTCTACCACATGCCAGTGCCTACCTGGTGCACTGCTTTTATTTCCCACCAATCGCTGACTGTGCTGGAGGCCATGCTATGATGACAACGACGAAGGAATGCCGAGATAGCATACATTGTCGACTTCACATGACCTCTCCCTTTGCTCTATTCCGGCGAGGCTCGAGCTGGACAGACTTCTTTGTGGTCGACTTTGAAACGTCTCCCACAGTCGGCGCTAGTTGGAAAAAAGAGCTGTGGGATCGTCGCAGTATCAATCAATCGACGCTGCGTCTTGAAGGGCACATCTGGGATCAATAACAGCACCCGGACAAAACCTCCGTGATACCACGCATCTCCTTGACGTTATTATCCGGGCATGAGGAAAACGGCTTGAATTGTCCACACTGCTGTTACTTGCTGCGTGATCTTCATTCTCCTGAGAATTGCTCAGCCAATGGCGCTATATCCTTCTTTGTTTATTTCTCTCTGGCTTGTAAACTAGACCCCATGTCCCTGGTAACGTGCGAGGTCTCATCTATGCCTATCTCCAGGGACTCTCATACGGATCTTCTTGATCAGTTGAGTCCTGAACAAAGTTCAAGGATCGTGAGTGCCCAGAGACGTTGCAGTGCCTTCCGCCAAGACATATTCAGTATTTCTTTCTCTTCGCTCCACCATGTCGCGTGTGGATGGAGGCCTCCTTCGGTCTTAGTCGTCCTGACCAAGTGAAACTCGCTCCGCCACCACCGGGAAGCTCACGAGTCGCAAAGTGGCGATCCATACTCATAGAATCTTTGACATACATGACCTATAACCATCACCTGTGGCACTAGTCGGAATGTCCGCAGGAAACTGACGCGTACAAGAAACCTGTATCATTTTTCATGCTGGGATAGTTCAACGGTATGGTACAGTGTATGATTACGGCCGTAAAACGGTGTTACGGGCGACATCTTGTAAAGTTTCGATAAGATAAATGTGTAGATAAAATGAAATCAGTGTGAAAGCTACAGGACGAAGCTAACAGCCCTTGAAACCACTCCAAATGGGATAAATCCCTACTAGATTAATGCGTCGATTCGAGAGATACAGTAGAACCTGATATTATGGCTGCCGCAAGTCAGCAAGGTTATTTGTACCTGAGCCGTCTACTAAGCATAGAGACGAGCGTTACCAGTGCAAGGTCCGTGCATACGGTCTCTCAGAAAAATACTGTCAGAATGCGTGGCTCATGTATGGTCATTTTTCACTGTAGCATTAGAGCCAGCTTTGAAGCTCTTTGTGACTGTAAGGAGAAACTTAAAACACAAGATGGTTCAATTTGCACCTGAACCAGAGTGGTATGTGACTGGGGAAGAAACTCGCGCGATAACTTGAAGGGGAGAGCAGGGATTCGAAAGAAACTTCCAGGACTGAGAATCGTAAGGAAAGGGTCTCATGTGTATAACTCGCACTGAAGCGAAAGAGGGATGTGGTCGTATCTTCCGGTATATCCATTGAAGATTTGCATAACCTGCAGAGATGACTCTCTCGATTGGCATGGGGTTTTCCGTGGTCAGCACAATGTCAGGAAGGGATTAGTCAGTCAGTTGGTAGGGCGAAGAGTGCAATACAGAATAGCTGTAGCGGAGCAATTTCTTGATTCTTTCAGTATTCTCTGCACCGAAGGGGTTAATCCGAGCATTTACTAAGGGATAACTGCAAGAACAACTATGAAATCGGCGGACTTTCTCCGGTTGGGATGGTAATTGAAGCCAGGAAGTCGATGGCTGGAAACGGACGTGCATCAAATACACATATCTTAGAGAAGGATCAGCAAACCATTATATGATAGTCGCGTACAAAGATAACGGCGGAAAATCTAACTTAACTCTGGTATGTATTCGAAAAAGTGCCTGAACCTCCCTTGACCTAGAGGATGATCCACAGTCGTAGAGGTCAGGGAAATGTTTGCTGACCTCTTGTTCGATTGAGCTAAGCCTACCCCGAGGCCATACTGGAAGTACCGGTCGATAGAAAGATAAGTTGATTAAATAATGAGTGGTTAAGATCCACAGCAGCCAGAAGTGACCCATACAACATGTTTAGAAAACATTGGAAGAGATACAATACATTTGCATCTTTCGATTCTTAAGTTTGTTTGAAGCTTGTAACCCGGCAAATAAACGAACGAAGTTCCGTTAACGGGCGAAGCGTGTTCACATGCACAACCGGATCACAAAGATGAACTCGGAAGGCAACACAAGTGCTTTGCGACACACAGCAAATTTCACGATACCAGGACCATGAGAAGATGTCCTGAAGGAATCCAATGGAAAACGGAGAGCTAATATCACGCACTTGAATGGTGCAAAGACGGAAGGCAATTGCCGGCTCGCCACCCGAAAGCTCCCAGATTAGGATAGAGTTCCCACGGTGAAAAGCTCCGGTTTCCGAGCCCAAAAATTCTTTTGCTTCGTTGCATCTCTTTGCAACTTTCTATTGCTCCCCATCAACCTTTCTCCTCGCTTACCGTCGACCTTGTAGCAGTGCAAGTCGACCATTGAAAAATATATTAGAGCATGTCAGCGTACGTCGTTGCTCCTCCCAAGGCTGCTGCTACAGTAATGACCGTCACCCTGCAGTGAAGATACTCTCCAAGATGTCGCCGAAAACGAGATCGAGTCCAACTGGGACCAGGTCGTCGACAAGTGAGCATGGAGAGCAAGCAAAGGAAGGAATCGTTCGTGCTGATCAGCTTGATAGCTTCGATAACATGGATCTGAAACCGGAGTTGCTTCGTGGTGTATATGCGTACGGGTGAGTAGTTGCCTTTACCTCGCTGTTCACGACGGCGCCAAGGGCCCATTCTAATCTTTTCTTCTACCATTTTCCTTTCCACTACAGTTTCGAGCGCCCCTCAGCCATCCAGCAGCGGGCTATCGTTCCCGTCGTCAAAGGTCACGATGTCATCGCTCAAGCCCAGTCTGGTACTGGAAAGACTGCGACATTCTCCATTTCTATCCTCCAGCAGCTCGACATGTCCGTCAAGGGTACCCAGGCGCTCATCCTCGCGCCCACCCGTGAACTCGCCCAGCAGATCCAAAAAGTCGTCATCGCCCTCGGTGATTACATGAACATCGAGTGCCATGCTTGTGTTGGTGGCACCAACGTTCGCGAGGACATGGCGAAGCTCCAAGAAGGCGTCCACGTCGTCGTCGGAACCCCCGGTCGTGTCTACGACATGATTAACAGGCGCGCGCTAAGGACCGATACTATCAAGATCTTCTGTCTTGACGAAGCTGATGAGATGCTTTCCCGTGGTTTCAAGGATCAGATTTACGAGGGTACGTTTCTTATTTGCCTACAATCGATCCACCCATCGTCGGGCGCTTATAATGAACTTGCATCACAGTCTTCCAGCTTCTCCCCCAGGACACTCAGGTCGTCCTACTCTCTGCTACTATGCCCGCAGACGTCTTGGAGGTTACTAAAAAGTTCATGCGCGACCCCGTTCGAATCCTCGTCAAGAGGGACGAATTGACCCTCGAAGGTATCAAACAGTTCTATATCGCTGTCGAGAAGGAGGAGTGGAAGCTTGACACTCTTTGCGATCTCTACGAGACCGTCACCATCACTCAGGCTGTCATCTTCTGCAACACACGGAGGAAGGTTGACTGGTTGACTGAGAAGATGCACTCGAGAGAATTCACCGTCAGTGCCATGGTATGTCATTCCCTGATCCTGGTTCTGCCGCCGCTAATTAGAAGTGTTGGATAGCACGGAGATATGGAGCAAAAACAGAGAGAAGTTCTCATGAAGGAATTCCGTTCGGGATCGTCCCGTGTCTTGATTACCACCGACTTGCTTGCTCGTGGTATTGACGTGCAACAGGTGTCTCTCGTTATCAACTACGATCTCCCTACAAATCGGGAGAACTATATCCATCGTATCGGTCGTGGTGGACGATTTGGAAGGAAGGGTGTTGCCATCAACTTCGTTACAACCGAAGATGTCAGGATGTTGCGGGATATCGAACGTTCGTTGTCCCACCCACCTTCGTTAGTAATGCCGGCGCTGATTCGTTCCCCCTCACAGAGTTCTACAACACTCAGATTGACGAGATGCCTCTCAACGTTGCGTGAGTGACTTAGCCCTTCATCGAACTACTTTTACTCATTCTCGCTATTGAACAGCGACCTCATTTAAGAAGCTTCACATACACTAACACCCTCTCCCCAAAACGGCATCACGTTCTGCCTTGTTTCTTAGTCTGTTCGTTGCTTCCCGCTTTTTATGATTTACTCTTTCAGTCTCTTCTCTCTTGCTTTTTCTCCTGTTGTGTTCTGAGTAGTAGAGTGTACTTTTCGACGCAGGGAGAGGCGTGGTTTGATTCGAATGCCGTATCACGAACGTATGAATTCAATGTCACTGAATGATGTACTCACAAGTCCTTTGAGTGGCGGTCATTCTGGAGAGCTGGCTGCACAGCCTAAGCTAGCCTTTGTATTCACGTCCACGTGACTGGCCGTAAGTGCTATAAGTGTTGCCAGTGGCCACTGCTGCTTGGCGAACACTTCATTCTCCTTCCCCTCACGTCAAGGACGCCTAACTCCATACAGCTGAGTCTTTCTGTTGCTTTCTGACACTATTTTCGCTCTTCTTTGTGTAGAAAGGTCAAAATGAGGGCCCGTCGCGGCAAGCTTCAACGCATGATGAATATGCCACTGGATATCTGGCTTGAAGTGAGAAGGAACTTATTTCCATGGATTGACGGCTTCTTATTTGTCCCAAGATACTTGCATACCTGGCACCTGGCGACATATTCCATCTGGCCTGCGCCTCAAGGGAACTACGGGACTCTTTGACGAATCCAAATTTATTATCCGTGTGGATAAATCCAAGAAACGCAGAATCCCCCCCTGTTCCTCAGCCTATGATTGGTTACTCTGAAGCAGCATGGATTGGTCTCCTGTTTGATCCACACTGTGATGTACGGTATATCCCTTGTTTTACTACGACTGCTGGCTAAATATTCGCCCCCAGTTCTGCCCGGACAAAAATGTACGTACCATTGACTTCACGTTCCGTACCAGACTATGCTCCGATTGTAGGAAGACACAGTACGTCTCTCCTAACGGAGAAATCCAGAACTGATGATTGACTGCTGTAGACTCATGACACGGAGAGAAATCAGGGAAAAGTACCCTGGAACCGAGATGTTTTGCGATCTGTGTCATTCAAAGAGGATAGAAGGCAAGTAACGTTTCTTCATCTCATACACGGATACGAGAATTAACATAGCCAGCAGGGAAAGGAAACAAGAAACATTATCTGTTGAGAGATGTGATAACAGCCAAGGAGCGCTGGGATGCACTACCTGAAGCCAAGAGGGCCTCGTTCAGGGAAGAGAGGAGAACTATCAATGAATTGAGAAATTCGCTAATTACCTGTCACGCTTACCTTCAGACCTGGTAGGCTCATGGTCTCTATAGGAAATCCCGATGTACGAAAATTGGGTCAAGGAAAAAGCGGCGCTCCGGGTGCAAGAACTGAAAGATACGAGAGAGAAAAGAAGAGACGCGTAAGTGTCGGGCATCGTATTCTAATGCACGCTATGATCTTCCTTCCTTTCTTCAAGGATTATAAAGAAACTGGAAGATCTCGGTTACCAGCACGAGATTTCGCGGATTGGTGTCGATATCTTTGAGGAACATGAACTTGTTAAACGACCGGCTGAGTTGACGGATCGGAGTGAGTCCTGATGTTGCCGTTTGTTGGATTGTATCTGATGCTTTTATGTCTGCGCCCGCAAGGCTGGAGCAACATACGTGGAGAATTAGTTCAATGGATGGAAGAAACCAGGGCAAGCACCCGTGCTCACACTCTCGCCTACCGGCAGGCCCTCGCAGCAGGTTTTCTCGACTTATTTGTACGTTCTTTGGGATCGCAAGCAGACACCACGAAATTTCCCTCTGTCCAAGATTTTTTCGACTTTCCTGTGGTGAAGCAGATCCTTGACTGTCCGAATGATTATCCTGTGTCCATCTACACCTTCCGCGATATCTTTCCTCGGATGCCTCAGATGTTACAACGATGGTGCGACAACGTGATATTTCACAACCAGCTTCTCGGGATCGTTGGCTACACGGGACCTATATTTTCGCTCGACCTCCGTCACAAGGCGCCTTCCTGACACTCGCGTGCAACGCCTTCCTGTGCTCACCTTGCCACGCCTTACCGGCTAGGATCCTTCATTATCCCGAGGTGGTGACGCACGAATGTAACACCGTACACGCCGATTACCTATGGAATCTGTCGAGTCCGCAAGATCTGAAGCACCTTTTGGTAACCTTTATCAGGATGGTGGGCCTGAACCCTGCTACTGCGACCGTGTATGATCTGGACCGATTGCCCCATTATTATCGATGCAAGCTCTGTGGTGGCAGGGACGTTGCCGATTGGAAATGTTTCGTATGTTTCTTCCCTCTGTTTCGTTTCTAGGACAAGAACACTGAGGCAGCCCCTTAGGTACATCATTTGTATGAGAAGCATAGATTCTTTAGCGGAACTGAGGAAGAGGTACAGATTACCACCGCCGAAGAAATCGCTTCCGGCAACTACTATCTGTTCAGGACCACCGATCAGGGTCCTGTTTCTGAGGTTATTTTCTAATCTGGTAGGACGAAGCCTTAATTCGACGGATTCTTTGTTTTAGCTTCCGCAGCTCCAGGGGTCCTGAACATTCCTCGCTGGGCTTTTAGATCTTGATAGTATATATTGTCTGCCTATCTACAGGTTACTCGTGCTCGCCGTCAAGAATAATTTAGATGTATATCAATTTCACGAGAATCCGAGCCGCGGAGCAGTTTCTCTTCATTTTCTCTTATGAGGCAGGAAAGACTGGGAGCCGTATTTGCGGCGATCTTGAAGAAGGCTGACGAAAGCCAGGGTTACTATTAAGTTACGCATCTGAGCTTTATCGCCTCTTCGTTTGCCCTCCTTAACTCGTGGTCTAGAGCAGCCTTACCATTCCGAACAAGCGGTACTTTATGATGGTTTTCATCGTCAGGATCACCGCTGTTGGAGCTCCTTGATTATGCTTCATTTTTGCGGCGGCCGGAAGTCTTTATTCACGGGATACAGCGCCGTAACGTCCTGATTCGCCGCTATTCGCATTCTGTTTATACGATCATCAGTGGATGCATAATGCTGGCTGCTGACTCAAAGATTAGTGGTATCCGACAGCGAGAGGATGCCTCGTATACGTGTGATCAAGGATTTACAGGCATGAATAAATACTAGTTCCTTATTCAACAGCGGAACAAGTTGCTTGGAAATTCATTGCCTCTTCTCAAAGGCGATACTGCAAGGTCGACTGATGGGTCTTTGACCCGCGAGAGCGCCCAACGTCGAGTAGAGAACGATTTTTTGACCTGCTACGAACCGAGGGCCCTTCAAGATTAATCTGGTCTGATCAAGAAGAAGCCGCAATCACCCGCAATCACCGATATGCCCTGCTGGGTGCCAATGAATATGGCTGCTCCGGTAATAACACTGGCAACGGACTACGACTACTTGTGCAAGTTAGGCGCCGCAATAGAAGTGAGCGTGTAAGTCAAGACTTGACATGTTGCGTTAACGATCGATGAAAAAATGTGTACAGACAATGCTTTCAAGCCCAGCAATAAGTGAAGGCCTCAGCCTGTGATAACTCTTACTGCCTCGTGGTGGCACTTCAAGGCCACGAACGAGGCGTCATTGAGACCCTGTGTTCTAGATCAATCACAGAATAGCTAGTGAATCCAGGCAGGATGGTTAAAGGCATCGGGAATCCAATCACAACAGGATCTATGTATACTGATAAATGTAAGCGATTCAAAAGATCATCGATAAGACCCGCCTCCGCTAATTTTTGTCAACGAATACAAAAATTCCGGATCTTGTATTGATGCGTGACCTTGTGTAAATTCCAAGACAGATGAAAGCGGTGCGTCTACCTGCAGGCGAAACAATTTTAGACGGGGAACTGAGCTCAGACTCAATGTCCCTCTATTTGGCACACCAGAATACCAGAATTACTCTATCTGAGATACGTCCAGTAATTAGGTCCCTGCTATTCAATTTCAAGTTCTTAGTTATCAGCAACAAATTATAATGTAGTGCGGCCTACACACGGAGACTTCGGTCCGACCACGTGATAAGTCGAACTGACCCTCAGTCTTGCACCGTACTTTGACCGTACTCGCCTCTTTCTAGGTCCACATACGCTATATGTCCAGCTTTTACTCGGCATCTCCGAGTTTCAGTTCATCTCCGCGAATTTGAAGAATCCCGTCTTTGTTGTACCCCTAACACATGTTCAGCGGAAATTGAAAACAGTCTCTGCCAGGAAACTCGAAGGTTTTGGACATCTGGACATTGATACTAGAGGCACTCTAGCGTTTATGGGTCGAAATTTTGGCTGTGCTGTATCATGGATAACTGCATGACATTCAGATCTCGATCGAACTGGCCATTGTAGCGATATACATCAAAGGTCGTCGACCAAAGTCCGCTCCATTCTAAATATCTGGTTGGTGGAACTAATCATCAGATTCGGAATCACCTTCTCCGCCTTGAGCCTGGTTTCTAGCCGTCGTGGGCCTCATGTCCCACTCGTGTAAAGCTTCCTTTTCCTTAAATACATCAACCACTCGTTCTTTCATGTACTGCTTCTCCCTTTCGGTTCGTTTTGAGCGCTTATCCTTCCTAGTTCTCAACAATAAGAAACGGCTTCGTCTCTTCCACGTCATACTTATCCGACGATCTTTTCCGAAACATCACCTAGTATGAAGGATAAATCTGACCCAAGGATGCAGCCTGATTCCCATGGCCCGAATCACCAGATCGTCTCTCATAAACTAGGGGTGTGGCGTTTGGTGATGCTCAAGGCAAACTCTATCGATGTCTTGAGGAATATACGGGACGTAATTACCGCTACACCGCTCTTTTTCAGGATGTCATTCGAAATCTATGCCCTGGATCCCTTCCTCACGACACTTTACGTAGTGGCACAATTCTCTGGCTTGAGCTCACTGCTGCACACAGAGTCTGCCTTGATGCTGTATTTGTCTAACAAAATGTTGAAGACTGTGGGTACTAGTTGTCTTATTGCGCTGCTACTATCGAGCATATCTTTCCCTGTAGATCGAAACCGGTATTATCCACGGATTCACCAATTGCGACTCGGTCCTCGCCATTATTGTTGCGCAACTGGCTTGGATCATCGCCGCAGGCTCTCTGACTTGGTACAGGTAAGCTTTACTCACCGCAGAAATTGAAAGATGATGATCTCAGTACCTTTTCCAAGCAATCAGTTTTATCCTAATTTTCGCCGCCGTGTTGCTGCTCACTACAAAATCATTCGCATGAAAGGTACGAGGTCATTCCTGCCCTCAGGCTCTTGACACGTGAGCATTGTTTATTCAGTCGAGCTTGAGAGATACCGCTTTCTTGACAGCACGTTTACGGGCACGTTCTAAAGCTCCATTGTTTCACTGAGTACTGACCTTTAGAATAGGTTCTGAAGGCAACGATGAAATTCATGGAGCCTGGGACTCATTTTCAGCAATAGTATCGTTCTTCTCTCAGATTACGTCTATGTGCCTTCAACTCGTGCTCATCGCTCAAGCTGCGCGCGAAATCGGTCACCCTTCTTTCGTAGTGATATGTATCCTGAAGCCGCTGTACGATAGTCTATCTCAGCATGGTTTGTGGGGCTACGGTGAATATCTGAATCCTCTTGTCACGGTTCACTTGCTTATCCGTCGAAATCCACAGAATATTTCTACCATGCGGAAAATAGAGACTTCAAGCGAATGCATGCTCTGTGGTCTCTTACCGATCAGAAATATCGCTCAGAGGTCCTTGCTGGTGGACTGTCTGATTATATTGTTGGAGGTAACCTTTACTTTCGTATCCACAATCGGACTGCATACCTGACAGAAGAAATTATAGAATATACTAAATCCTCGACGCGTGTTGGTAATATTCCAACCTCATCCCCGGAAGAACAATATGGCCAATGTTCCACGCCATTTTCGGACATTCTCTCTGACCTTCTGGGCAAAGCGCCTATGGTGAGACGCAGAATTATCAGCCGATGTGAAACTAATTCTGACTAGTAATCCATAGATATATTTAGCAATGTCTGTTGTGATAAAGCCTTCCACATTCTCTGTGGCGTCATTCACTGTATTGCAATGGTACTCATCCAACCTTCAATTTTCGCTGAAGTGGTTCCTTGCGAGCATCGACAATTTTCAACAAGAATGTCGGTGGATAACCCGTTTTTACGATTCTATGAATATGCCTACCGAAATGTCGTATGACCGCCGTGCATATTCCCCTCTGAAATTTAGATCGGAGAAACCTGGCTGCCCAGACTCCCTGCAGCGAGGAATGTCCTTCGACCTTCGGTACGTATACGATCGATGGTGGAACAAATTGGATTATCGACGTCTGACACCCATGCAGAGACGTGTGCTTCTCGTATCAAAATAATACATCTGCTTTGAAAAACATTTCGCTCTCTATCCAGTCCGGACAGCTCGTCGCCATCGTCGGGACTAACGGGAGCGGAAAATCCACATTAATTAAACTTTTGACTAGGATGATTGAACCGACGTCTGGAACGCTTCTTGTCGACGGGCATCACATTTCAGACTACAAGCTAGCGGATTTTCGTCGGTCCACTGCTTGTTTCATGCAGGACCACCAAATCTTTCCACTGTCTTTCTGGGAGAATATCCGTATGGGTGACGTCGACAACATATACACCGATAAAGAGATCATGAACGCTGTCCGTAAGGGTGGTGCTGGGGGCGTCTTGACCGGATTGGCCGAAGGAAGTGCCACAATCTTAAGAAATGACGATGGGCCAACCAGTGACTATCGTCAATGTAATTTTGGTCCTTCAGATGACAATGAGCCGCATCCATTGTTGCCTCAGTGGAAAGAACTGGAGAAAGACGCTAAGGTTTCGGGTGGAGAAAAGCAGCGAATCGTAGCGTGAGTATCTAACGCGCTCCCATCTCCGTCGTAGCTCACCTCTGCTTGCAGTGCGAGAACATTCATGCGCTTCCACTCCGGAAAGGTCAATTTTGTAGCGGTAGACGAAGCTAGCTCAGCTCTAGATGCTGCGGGCGAAGCCCAACTCTTCGAGAACTTGATCGCGGAAAGATCAGGGAAAACAATTGCCATTGTTACCCACCGGTTCGGTCCCTTGACACGTCGTGCGGATCTCATTCTGTGAGTTCTGGGTATACATACCAAAGGGAGGATCTAACTGATCGTACACAGCTGCATGAAGGATGGGTGTTTGTCCGAGTCTGGGCGGCACGATGAGCTACTGGCGCTGAACGGGGAGTATGCGAGGCTCTACAATATACAGGCTGGAGAGTTCACTGATGTTATCACTACTGGTTCAAAGGAACTGATCTGAGAAATATGTAACCTACTTGTGTAGGTCTCGCGCTGAATTCGATTGCAACGGACACATGCGCTTGCAATCAGACTCTCGTAGATTAATATTCGATTACTGTATCTGTATCCGGCTCAGCTCTGATATGAAGGTACATTCTAACCTATCCAGACAACCTCTCTTAAATCTTGTTTGTGTTCATTCCAGTGGCTGCGCATCCTAACAACAGACATGCGACCGGTAGGATAACGTGAGATGATCCTCGATAAAAAAATTTCGTCTGGAACTGTTTGTCCTGATTGTCGCTGCGAAGTTTCTCCGAAGTTGTTCTCTGCTGATAGTTGAAACCGAGCCTTGTCTAGCAACAAGGAAGGCGCCTCTATTTCTGAGCCACAATACTATTTCCTTCAACAAGAACACAATAACGCAACTGTTTGCACTAGCGCTTACAAGTCCTTCAGTAAGTTATTCTCCTGATATGTGAGCTCTTCGCCACAAAACACAGCGCAGATTACTTCGGCTTGGACTTCTCGGGGAATCCTACGGGATGTTGTTGTATCGGAAACATCCAAAAGCCGTGCGGTTAAAAAATGAGCGCGTCTAGAATGTCTTTCCTGGTTTGCTTCCTACACAGCTCCTTGCCAGCGTTTGGCCGGTGCCTCCGGATCCGAGTGAGGAGACATCGCTTTCGGCAGAATGAGTAGATACTTTATTGATGGTATTGCTATAATTCATGGAGCAACATAGCGGGTTATTGGAATTGACGTGTAGTCGGAATTGAGTCGGAACGCAAAAAAACAGCTTTTCTTGCGATTGATTTTGTGGATGATACGGTCACGTGAAGCGTGCCGCGTGCGCCACGCTTGTGTAGTGTAGTACCTATTCCTCAGAGGACTTGGATATTTTTACTTTAATTTTTTCACAATAACACCGCCGAAGATCTATCGATGCGGCAACTCATTAACATATCATTTCCAGCCGAGTCACAAAACATGCAGTGAGCTTGAGGTGAGCCACCAAAAAATTTTGTGACATTATCCGAAGGAGGCGATGCTTTTCGTCATGCTATAATATAATGCTGTCTATTGGAAACATCCAGAAAAATGTCATTGATTGATTGCAGACCCACTGTGTCATTGCTGTGAGAATTCGGACGCCGGCAGCACGTTCCTGTTAGCTACAGGTGTTTCTTTACCCGATTTTGTCTGCACTGCCCTGTATTCGACTCATATAAAAGCGGCCTTAGTTTGTTAACTTTTTCCTCAGCCGCCTGTCTTCTCCCTGTTCTCCGATGCTCTCTCTCTCCGTCTGAACTACCATACTTTGGATTGCTACGAGCATCTTTTTAACCCACGGCGAAACAACTGGTCCTTAGGGTTCCTTATTTTAAGCTTCATGGCCGTCACCACAACAGTGGCGGTTGGCATATTCTTTCGATGACGGGGTAAAGTTGTATTGCTATTGCATCGCATACTCGCTGCTCACTTTTTTCGTGTACTAGGTTTGCCATCGCGGTGGCAAAGAACTTCAGCAATGAGTTAATATCCGACATGCGTGATACCTTGCCTTCCACCACTAGGATGATGTCCTCGACCTATGCCCGAACATGCGCGAAACCTTGACGACCAAGACGAATAGGCATCAAACCCCACCTAAGTGGCGAATTACCGACCGACTTCATGGAGACACACAATGACAGATGACTACTTTTAGTCCCCGACTTCCCTGATGTAGTCATATAATTTCTGCGGTAACTCTATGGACGTCTTATTGGCTGATTCTTTTGGCACAATAGTTTCCGCGCGAGTCAAGGTGAGTCCTATGCTGATCGATTCCACTACCAGTTCTCATGGTTGTCATGAAGGAGTGTGAAAGTAAATGTTAGCAACGAGCAACACATCGAACAACCTTCGCCCGGGAACATTCAACATATCATCATGCGACCCGACCTAAGAGTGTGTGATGAGCAACATAAAAATCTGAGAACGACGACGAACATACCTGACCGATGGATGGACTCTTTTCTGGTTAACGAGTTTCTCTCGGCTTCTCTCGCTTACTCTCCTTCTCTCTTCCCTAGACAGGCGGCTTCCCGGAGAAGGGTGGAATGCGCCACCATCCTCGTGTCCCCTTGTCGTGGGTCTCTGGGCCTAGGTGGAGTCCTACCAAGGCACGTTAATCAAGAAATTGGTTGCCAGGTAAGGAGATACCTTGTAATTTTCACGGGAGTATCGCGGAGCGATTAGCCTTGCGTCCACTAAAAGCAGGTGCATTACCAGTCAATCGTCGGCAACGAAATGGTATGTTACACCCCAGTTATCAAGACAGGGCGGAATCTGAATTCGAATTGAAGTAGCACACGAACCTGCAAACATAGAATAAGTACACTGCGATAGAGAGAAAGTGGCCTCAGGCTGTAGTAGAGATAGAGTATACGTAAATGTCATTCACTTCCCTTGGAGACCTTCGAGTTGCAGGAAGATAGTAATCGAAAAAATATCAACCAAAAATGCCCGCGGTGGTACTGTCTAGCGCGCCACTTCTGTAGAATGTGCAGATTGAACGGTAGATGTACAGAGGGTGACTTAATTATGTATTAAATGTTGGGAATAAGAACGCTGTGTGAGGACCTGTACCCATTTTGAAGATTGTCATGGCGGGTGGTGGGAGATCAGCGGCAAAGTCTACTTCAAGACACTCTGACCTTATCGTACTTAGTCCTGGTATCTCTTGATTGCCATAATTAAACCTTGGATGGCACAAATATCGTAGAGTATCCATACCTGGAATCTAGGACGCCTAAACGAAGGTTTGACCGACTCGCATGCCTTGAGCCAACTCTGGGCATCATCCGGAGGTTCTTTTCTATTTACCTTCAGATATTAGGTATGCATAGATCAGGATAAAAAATGATGCCATGTCGGAACTGACACACCAATCTGACTCGAGTCTGAAATTAACCCAGCCGACGAAGGCTATCTATAAAGAATTCCTTTTCTTCCCTTGCACCAGAGGCTGCACAGACACCATCACTTGGTTTAATGACCTAACTTTTAAGCTACTTACTGGTAATACCAATGCATTATTATCGTAGTCTATTGGATTATTGCTTCAGAATGAACTCGCGTCTGTCCAGGAACTGTCCGAGTCTTCCCAATCAAACTCATCTTGCATACATCTAAAAGTAGAATGCGACGGAGCCGCACCCAAGTTCTCATAATAATCTTGATTAATGATAGGCTCCGTAATCGAGTGTCTGGTAATTGGTGAGGATCCATGCGAGAGTGAAAACCCTAAGAGAAGACGTACTCGTCATCGAGATGTTTGCGGATCTTACTCAACCGTGTAGGATAAACTTCTGATGGCAAGTCGCGGCAGTGAACGCAACACCAGACGCGATCGTCGACGTCCATCTTGTACTTCTTCAGTTTCTTGTTCTTCTTCACACTCTGGACGGTCAATTTCTCGAAGTCATCGGGCTTCAAAACGACGGTTTGGGTCGGGATGATGTTGTGTCAATAAGAATTGAGATGTCGAACCTGCGCCTTAATCAATGCCAGGGAAGGAAGGCAGGTAAAAAAAACTCACAAGCGCGCGCCATCCGTATATTTCAGCATCTCCAGGCTCGCCCTTCTTGGCGCAGATCTTGCATCGGTAATAAAATAACGGCTCGTCCAAATTCTGTACTGTTGCCGTATCGGGGTCGAATCCCAAGCATCGTATCAAATCCGCTGTCATCCGGTTCAACCTTGGGTTGATGAACAGGTGTTCCGCATTCCATGCACGTCGATACCACATGTCATCATATAAACCTACCCAGGCGTTCTTACGCCTGACCCACTCGATAGTCTTGTCATGTGGTTCTGTCAATGACATATCTTCAGACCACTCCTCTACCGTACAGCACACGTGCGATAAAATCCCTGGGTAGAAGAGAATCTTTTGATGGCCAATGTGGAAAGGCCCTTTGCAAATGAAGACATTCCGCGCAAGCTCTAGCCACTGTATTTTCTGGTCCAAAGTGGTTAACGATGAAGGGTTCGGATGGCCAGAAACTCGTAGAAGCTCGTCGTGAACCCGTTCCCGCCATTCCCGGAACAATGAAGGTAGCTCAGGAATCACGTCATCGAAGGTCTGAATATCGACGACAACCTCACTTGGAAGTTCGAGTATGTTTTTTACTGGCGCAAAATCATAGAAGTCTGGAAGAGAAGGGAGAATGGTGGTGCATGGAAACCCGACCGACAAGTTTTTGTATGTCCGTAGGACGGAGGAGGCTGTAGCTGTTCGAGAATATACGAGCTCTGCGCTCGCGTGAGATACGCTTGACCCTCACGGCATCCATGAAAGCAACCATCTCGTCACGGATATTGTCCCAAACTGCATAAGCCATGAATATCCGTGGAAAGAAAGAAGACACAAGGACAAGGTTACCTTTCTCCGTTAACGGGCGGGTTTGCTTTACTAGTCGATGCTCTTCTAGAGAGTCAGGAAATCTGATACTTTTCAGATCTTCCTCGTATCCGAGGTCTACGAGTTTCTTGTATATACTGTATGGGAGCTTTCAGTTATTGACTACTTAGTTCCAGATATGACTTACGCTGATTTCCTCTCATCGCGCAGTCTTATCAATTCTTTCTCTCTGTTACGACTCTGCTTCTTGATCCATTCGTCGCAGGCTTTGACGCGCTACATACTGGATCATGAGCAAAAAAAATTAAAGGAATAGAGAAAATGCACATACCTTTAATACTTCCTTCACGTGAAACCGTTGCTGCTGGGAATAGGCCTCGCGCTGGTCCTCCGGAAGTGAGATAAGACGAGCCTTAACTTTATCGACATCTCTTTTCAGATAGATGATTTTGTGCTTGTGAGGTTTACGAGCTGGGAACCATTTGTCAGTCATGAGATGGATCGGATGCAAGATGGGTGCTAACTTCCGAACTTGTAAGGGACCATACTCAAGATAGCCGCAGAGGTCCCATCCACATGGATATCATCCTCGACCATGATATTTTTTCTGGCGAAGGATAAGCATAAATCAGAATACAAGGGGCAGGCTTACTCATCCTCGTAACATTTGGAGCAAAGACGAGCACCAAATTCGAAGTCGATGGTACGAGAAATGTTCTTGTTACAAATCTTTAAAAAATTAATACATTAGGAGATTGAGACAGAATATTTAATCAGGATGTTACATACGTGACAGATCGCCTCGTATAACAAATTGACCCAGACTGGCTCTGAGAATCCAGGCCTCGGATCCGGCAAGGATTCGGATATCCGCGCAACTTTCCAAACGAACAATGAGGATTTACTCATTAGAATTGTTCGAAAAGCCTTTGTTGATCGCGCAAGGTGCAACAAATCCAACGGGTGGAGATGCGCATATATCTGCAATTTCCCTCCTATCAGTGCTCGCCTCGCTCCGTATCGGTACAATATGCTTACCTCGTACCATACATCCACAGGCATATCCATGAGACCTTCCAAGTGCCCAAGCCTGCCCCGAGCTCTCGTTGCCTTAGGCTTTTGCTTGGTGGGGTCCTCAGTCTCGTTCCCTGGTGGGCATGCTGAATTTGACACCCTAGGTCGTTTCGGCGCCATAAAATCTTATCGATAGGGTGGAAATTGGTTTTTATCGAATAATAATGCGCACTACGGTGGTGGCTGAGGGTAGAGCCAGGGTAGGTCCTGGGTAACTGGTGGTGGCGCTGGTCAAGACAGATTTCGATCACGTGTGCGTGCGCGTGCGAGACATGCGACAGGTCGCGACGCGTCAACTGGCGGCATACACCTTGCTTCGAGCCTTACTGACCTTGAGTCTACCTTAATTTGTGGTCGGTATCGATTAGGGGTTAAATCACTTCGTTGTGGAAGCAGCTCCGAAGAGCCGCTGGTTCGATTCCAGCTACCGACATTTGAAAGCAATAAAGCCGCCTTAGCGCGTCGTCATGTCTTATTCCAATTGCTCTCACAAGTGGGCTTACTGGAAGATTATCTTCTTTTTTCTATAGCATTATAATTAATGGTTTCATGAAATAGGGCATCGGCCTTAACTACCTAGCTGGTGCCTGTTGCCCTGTCAATTATACTGCGTGGAGTCTTTTCGATTGTAAACCCTTGATCTGACTATAAATTCTATTACTATACCCTACCCGCAGACACTGCGTCGACCTCGTGCTGCACTGGTATCCAATTCCTTCTCAGGGACATCAAGCAGAATACATACATATCTTCCTCCTCCAATCATCAGGTTCAAACGACAAAGATGCTTCTAGTTTGGGTATTCATCGTTTGACTAGCCGGTGGAACTCCCATGACCGCAATAACCGGTTCAAACTTCAGATCGTTCATTCTTCAAGGCTCCGACATAAGTCCCTTTTCCCCCCAAGGCTAACATATTCCTCTTGACTTTGGATTACAAAGCAGGCCGGGTCAAGGGGGTCGCAAAAACCGAAAAAATCATATCGGGTCGAAAAAATTTTTAAGGCCTCGATGGACCGACCGACCGACCGCCGTGGGAAAAACATACCCGCAAAGGAAACATTATGTAATCACTCCGTGTCGGAGTCATCCGCCAGTGCGAGCTTTCCGCATACTTAGTTCTCTCATCCTCGATCTAAACGCTAATAGTATATGATTTTTGTCTGCTAGCAACAACACTGTCCTACTGTACATGACAGACCCTTCCAATTTTGGATCCGTCGAACTTGACCAAATATTTTTACAGCCGGTAACTCCATTCTCAGTAATCCTGCCGATATCCGGCGGCATGCCCTTGGCGTTTTGAGCCTTCGACATCATTTTGACCGCTTTTCCGGCGCTTTTTTAGCCATGTTAAGTCATGAATATCATATATCAGCTGAAATAAACACCTCCAGCAGCGTCTAGGGTCTCTGGATGCTATTTTACAAGAGGGGGGCAAAAAAATTTTAAGGACCTTTTGGACCGACCGACCAACCAACCCGATGTGCCGGCTTGCCGGGCCGCAACCCCCTTGGGCCGCGTATTCGATTAATCTGATCAGTATCACTTGTCATCAGAATTTGTCACACTTACTAAACCGGCCGGCTTGAAAATTTCAATATGGTTGCTCAATGTCGGAAACTCTGCATAAGCATTATTACGTCAACTCTCCTCTAGTATGCACTTATGCCACATTATAAAGTGTTAGGAAGGTCTGAGTGCCTCGATTTTTGGTCAGAATTATCTTATGGACGTGCACATTCAGCTGGTACCAAATTTGCCTTCCTAGGCCTTCTTGTTCAGATGCATTTTTTAGTGGAATATAATATCACGTGACGCATTATTGACCTTATTAGACATTACTTGCCGAGAGTCGGCATTATAATCAATTTTTTGCCCAAATAAGGTATTTGCAGAATCTCCGACATTTTTCAGGCTAGCACCGGCTAACAGGAACCGTTTTAGACCTGTAACCGGTCGTCTTCCATATATGGGAGCAAGCTCATATGGAAGACGACCGGTTACAGGAACCGTTTCACGATCGAGTATAATTATGTTGACTCGCTGTGATTCTGAGCTATCTTCCATTCACCCATCACCATGCCCGACCTCCCCACCGTTAAAGCATCCAATTCTAAATTCTCCCCTTCCTTCATTCCTGTGGCGGTTATTGTGGGCGGAACATCTGGTATAGGGGAGGCGATAGTAAAGGCGTTAGCTCACTATGCCGGAGGGAAGATAGACCTCGTCATCATTGGCCGAAATCGCACCGCAGCAGAGAAGATCTTTGCTTCCCTTCCTACCGCCACAGCAGAGGACGGTAAACCCGTGCTACGAGAATTCGTGTCCTGTAATGCCGAATTGATGGAGAACATCAAAAATACGGCAGCGGATCTCTCCGCGCGTCTTAAGAAGATCAATTACTTCATTTTGTCTGCTGGGTACGCAGATTTGTGGTCAGGAAGGCAGGAGACGGAGGAAGGGATCGACAAGTTGCTGGCTCTGCGGTATTATTCGCGGTTCAAGTTTACGTATGAATTTCTGCCGTTACTGAGGAATGCGAGAGATGCAGGAGAGGATGCGAGGGTTATGTCGGTCTTGGCGTCTGGAATGGGACGCGCTATCGATGTCAACGATTTGGGGCTGAAACACTCGTACAAGGCCTACAAGGCTATGATGGTGAGCGGTTCGTATAACGATATTATGGTAGATGTACGTCTTCAATTTTTTTTCCGTCTCATCTTTCCGCTTCCCTTACATCGCTCTTAGGAATTTGCCAAACGCAACGCCGGAATTACATTCACGCATATTTTCCCTGGACTTGTCAATACGCCGGGAACGCGACCAACACACTGGGCTCTACGCCTTCTCTCCCCGCTGATCAGCCTGGTAGTTTGGTTGGTTGCTATTTCCCCAGAGGAATCCTCAGAATACATGCTGTATTCCCTGTTTGATGGAGGAAAGGGCTTCTTCCACCGCAGCCCGAAAGGCGACGATCTCGGGATGAAGAAGTACCCTTTTACAGAGGAGGAAAAGAAGGCCCTCTGGGATCATTCAGTGGAGGTTACTCGGTGTGCGTAAGTATTGGGAGGGCCTGTTTTAATGTTATTGAGTGATTGAAGGAGAGCTTGGTGTGAATTTACGGACTTCTTTTTCTACAAGGTTATGTTTGTGATCCTCGTTTTGTTTGCGTAACATGGTGAAACCGATTTATTTCGTTTTGCATACCGAGGATACGTTGGACAGTCTAGTCATTAGTGCCATCATTGAGGTTGTCTGACTCTTCAGTTTGAGAATCTGATCAGAAGTACGGCTGTGAAGGAGCGCTTCTTGCTGTTACCTCGTCTACTGAAGGTTGGCCGCGTGATGCAAAGATGTCAGATAGCCTCATCGGTTTATCCTTTGTTCTTATTTATCGATGCACTGCAACGTTCACCTAGGGATTGCTGCATGAAACGATCGGTTAGCTTGCAAACGAAGGCAGCAACATAGTATTACTCACCTTGCCCGAGCATCGTTTTGCCGAGATTGTCGTCGCCATCATAGATCTCGCTCTCCCATCGATGCTAGATCATCGTACTCTAAATGAAGCATATTTAGCGTTGATGAAAGTGAGCACAGGGCTGGGTAAGAAAGCTGTTCATTGAACGAAGCGCGCCTGTCGCCACGGTATAGGCCGTGAGAAATATTGCTACGATCATGAACACTCCAGGAGCACACACGTTGCCCCAGGGTGCCAGTTCAAGCATCTTTTCAGTCGCTATGGGTTTTAAGACGGCACAGCAAAGATCATTCCTTCATTGGAAACGACCTGATACTAAGTTTCTAGGGCTAATCGGCGATGCTTATAGCCTAAGTCTGATAATTCATTAGAGAGGGTTAGTGATACTTTTCAGAAAGGGATAATCTCAATACTAACTGGGCTTCGGCAGCAACAAGCTAGCTTGTAGCGAGCTGCCGTTTGGCTGCCATTTGTGAATCGAATGCCATATTATGCTAAGTACCGAGACAGACAGAATACTGGAGGATTTCAGTAATGAGAAGGATCCATAGTTGGTTGCTATTTGAGATCCCTCACAATCAAATCGAGACGTAACCTCTAAGTACTCCCGCGCCCAACTCGGACTCGGAAAAGATCCGCATTGATCCGTCCGCGTCCGCGTCACGTGCGGATTAGGGCAGGCATGTTCAGCATTTCACAAGAGAGATTCTCAGTCTCCTTCTTCGAGTTCGTGTCACATAGTCCTTGACAGGGAATTCTCTTGGTTGTAACTACTACATGCTAGGGCATGCAATTCCGACAAATTTCATCAATCTCACATCTCGAATAATGTGACACGCTTAACACAGACCCAGCGTTCTGCTCGATTAACACAGCACCAAACGAATCACGATGCTGATTATTATCTGACGTCGTGAATAATTCCTCAGAGGTGCGATGGCATTTTGGCACAAGCATACAATGTCCATGAACGGTGCTTGTGCTTGAAGCATATCTGTCTAAATCTGTATCAGTCTTGCTTACTCGGAATACTCATACGGACGGACGAGATTGCCGAAGGTTCGCTTCATTCGTTCATTTCGGCGTCACTTTCTTTTTTTGAATTCACGATTATAAAGGATATTCTAAGCTATTTGTTTCAAGTGGCGAGGATTGTTAATTCCTGTTGAATTGCTGCATCCAGCGATGCAACATCGCTCCGCGGCAAGTACCTCTGTGCCTAAACTTTGATGTCCGGCTGAGCATTACACAGTGCTCATCAAGTCTTTCCCCCCTTTGAATCAAATATTCGGCTGTATCGGTGACTACACGTCGCCGACGATACGCGTAGATATCACGGCAGGGTTTTCGCACTCCATCAACTTATCAGAATCTGTGAACAGTTTAATTGACCTGGAGCGCACATAGCAGTGCTTCAGGTTCCACGTCGGTGATAGGATCAGATTATCTCAGCGTCTTACCTCACATCCTCCACGTCCGAAAGTGATGAGCAAGCCTTCGGTTGAACGAAGCACTGTATCATCGATGACCCGAAAACTAGGCAACGGACGATTGACCAGTCATTGGAGATACATAGCTTACATCAGTGGGACGTAGTCTTTACATGGAACAGGGATCGACTGATGATCTGCTTTGTTCCGTTCTTTATCTGTGCGTTATCTCTCTGTTCTATCTATGATCACCTTACCGACCTATGTACCACAGAGCCCATGATGCGCATCGGTCGCACTACCCGAAACTTCACCTTTGTACGGTTTCACCTTCCTCCCATTGCTATCCCTACATTTTTGTAGCAATGCACGACTGTTCCATCGATCGCGCCTTCCGGTATAAATGGTTCTTGTGCTGGATACTGTGTCCCCCCGTCCCTGGACCACACTAAGGCGGGACCCTTCTTCATAACTTGCGTTTCTCTAAAATCGAATCGAGCTACACAGTTATGCTTTCCCCAGTCACTGGCGGGTCTTCTTCACATTCTGCAATTCGGCGGGCTCTTCTCATCGGCATCGAATACGGACATGGACCCGTTAACATGCGGCTTCATGGTACTCACATAGATGTTGAGACTACCATGGAATTATTGATGAGCGCGTGTTTTTTTTTTCCAATTGCTCCCTTGCTTGGCTAAGTCGGTATTTCAGCACAATATCACTTCCAGAGAGACGACATCACGATATTGGTCGACAAACCTGGTGTCGAGGACCATATGAAACCAACAAGGTCCAATATAGTAAGGCGCATCAGGCCCAAGCACCGACCTTTGCCTAATTTCCCTTCCGGCAGGTACGCGAACTGCGAGCGCTTGTTCAGGACCCATCACCCGGCGGAGGGTATTTCATCCTATGTCAGTGTCTTTTGTTCCTCGTTGTGCCCTGTACGTTCCTGAGAGAGTACGATAACAGATGCTGGACACTGCGTCCAACTCGATGCACATGGCAACTCCGTTGAAGAAGACCAAAAAGACGAATGTCAGTCTTTTGAACTCAATTCCGTGGGATCTCACCATTTTACCTTGGGCAGACTTGGTGCCAATGGATGCTATACATGAAGAATCCGGCGACTATCTCAACGAAAATCTTGTCAAGGGCGATGTCAGTGTTCGATTTTTTGTGAATACCGGCTTCCATTCCTAATCATCAACAGGATCTGAAGCGCATTCTTGTTGATCCCATCGCGACAGTCCCGAAGGCGAGGCTAACAGTGAGTCATCCGTACTCAGGCGTCATTAGATGTTACTGACGTTCTTATTTCCAGGCAGTCTTTGATTGCTGTCATAGCGGTACTGTTTTGGGTACGGATAACTTCCTATCACTGCATCCCTGACACCATTCCTAATGAGTGACATGTTTAGATCTCTGCCACCACCGATGTAACAGGGCGTACAACCTTAAGAGCACATGTATGTTTGATTCCCGTTACATATATCTCCGTGAAAGAACGAGAATTAACCACTGTTCAGATCGTCGCCTGTGCAGAAGAGGTACGATCGTACCGAAATGTATCAGGTATCGGTGTTAACCCCGAGCTTAGTCAAGGAAGCCTTCCCTGAACCTGGTGAAACCATACAAGCACTCGCTGAACCTTGGACGATGTTAGCGTTGGAACAAGTTTATTTGTCGATGTCTGTCGGTAATAGGACGAAGGAAACTTCTTCAAAGACTTGTGATGGGTACTGTACTCGGACAAGGCGCACGAATGGAGGGAACGTGGTACGTTGTTTCAATTTATCTCCGTTTGTGTTTTCTCTGATCACTTGTAGCTTTGCATTTCCGCGTGCAAGGATTCACAGTCAGCGTTTGGGAACGAAGAGGGCGGATCATTGACGAGGGTAAATCTTTGATGCTTGTCGCAGGCGTTGATATGGGAACTCACATTTCAGTGGTCTAGGCACTTGTAGCGACGCTGAGTAAGACTCCGGTGTTCTGTCGAATCAACACTCTTACAGAATTATTATCTGTACAGAGAAAGAGCCACATCCGGTTTTGAAGGAACTCTATCGAAACATCAGGTAGGCGGTCGCGCTCTTTTCCTGCTGTAATTAATATCTGAGAGAGCCCCTTTAGTCACAGCGTCGATTCTGTCATCAGAAAGCATGTAAGGGGTCTGTTCAAGAGGGCGTCACAGAATCCGCAGGTATTTGTTCAGCCGTACAGCTTCATTCAAATATATCTCACTTTACTCCCAGTTCTCGAGTCTATCTCCCTTAGTACGTTTCCTATTTCAGTCTACTGCGTAAAGGCCTTTCATCTCATTTTTTCTCGTAGCACATGAAGAAGTCTTTCATGTTACAGGAACCCGTGGATTAGTGCCATCAGGCCCCACGCCATTGACAAGACAACTCCCGCCGACTTTTCATCTCATGCTATCAAATGCTCTCCTGGTTGGCAGGCATACGTTTCCTTCATTCCACCCCTCTTAGCGGGGACGTTGCCGTCCCTCCGACCAGGAGCAAGCAGTGATTGAAGAAGGGTTTCTGCTTTTACGTCTCTCACGAATCATGCATGACTACATCACCTACACGGCGTACCTCTAGAGGAGCGTAGCGTGTATTAATACTAACCTATAGCCTAACTCTCACTTATTTAATGTACGCTCATATAATTAGTTATCTTATAGATAATTTTATTCTTTACAACGCAAATTAAAGTCGTGAAACCTCTATCGTAAAGTTCCAAGTGACGATAAATTCGTGTCCAAGTTGTATTAGCGCCTCAGTTGCGCCTACCGACGCGATATCCAGTCTCATGCCTCGGAATTCGATTGGAACATCCCTTTTCATTGAGATCATCGATGGCGCGCTCAGGTATTTATTTATTTGGACAAGATTACAGCCTGACAGGCCAAGAAAATAGACCCGTTATGCAGAGAGAGAAGCATTTTAAAGCTCTGTGATCAGTTTGCGCGTGCTGAACAATCGAAGTTCCGAGGTTTGTAACAGAAACAGTTGACGACTTGAATGTTGTCCGCCACTGTGGCAGCGCAACCGGTTACCGCCACTATCCGACGCTTTCTCGCATGCTGGTATATCCAAACGGAGTATTATCCCTGATGCACGACAGGCATACTCGTTGTCTTTGTGGGTGCACCTTTGTAATAGGGACCGTGGGAGTGCCCACCTTTTGCGAGCGCAGCAAAATTATTCGCGCAATTATCAATATGACCAATCTATAAGATTTTTGAATGTACATGGAGTAAATTTTACTGAGACTCAGGAAATCTTCGAGAAAAATGGACTGAATGATCCTGCAAGGAAAACTCGGGGCTGAGAACAGGCGGCATGACGGTCGGAAAATAACAGGATATGGATGGTGAGAGACAGCGGTATGCAGCGGCAAAACCCGAAGGCCACATATACTAACAAGGCGGTGGCAAGGTGCGTCAGCAAGGAAACAGAAAGACGACAACATACTTATTTTTACCCGCTGAAAAGCACCACATTCTTTATACATGTAAAAACAATAATCTTACGTCCCAGACCGACACAATAAGAAATGAAAGAGATGCGACACGACGAAAGGACGGAAACGACGCCAAAAAAAGTTATCGGGGACCGTAACATTCAATGCACTTGTTTGGCACACTACACCAGACGGGTTCCTCTACTCGCTGCGCTCGCTATAATTTACCTGCACTCCACACACGGCAACATAATCCGTGATATTTTCTCTGGATTTTAGATTAAATATCTACATATATTTAACGGCTTACCTTCATCTGCCATTGACTACGACGTCAAAGCAGAGAAAAACTTGAGAAAAATAACATGGTGACTGGCCCTACCACCCAAATTGGCAGTTAGTTCCCAAAGCGGTGGTGTGATCCCGCCCTCGGTGCCAAACAAACAAGACGACACACCCATTTGCATTTCTTTCTCATTCCACCATGGCCAGTTACATTGGGTACGCTGCCTGTGTCCCTCTTCCTTTCACATACTCAATTCTACTGCTACAGAAAGCCCATTTCGCTTATATCGCATTCGGATGTACGTTACCGGGGCATCCTGGCGGGTATTGACGCGAATGCGTCGACGATTCAGTTGTCGAAGGGTGAGTATTGAGCTTGGCATGGAAAAGTGGTCCTGACGATTGTATAGTGTATTCAATGGGAACGGAGGGTAGGAGGTGAGTTTCGGTGATTTTGTCAGGGTGACGCGTGTTTTTGTATGGGAGCATATCGTTGCTCTTTGTTCGTCCCTGGAGAGCCTGCATACCACGGGTGGATGAAAGAACGTGGAACACGTGAAATATGTGCTCTTGAAGGTCACAGACAACTCGAGGCACTGGTGCTAGTGGCGACGTCATTGTTTTGTTCTCCTAGCTCTACTGTCTCTATCGAATTTTTCGGCTGGTGCTAATTTTCTTGTTTCTTCTAGACCTGCTGCAGAGTTCATACCACCAGTGCAAGAGCCCTACCAATATATCATCTTTCGTGCGTCGGAGGTTAAGGATTTGGCGGTAGACGAACAGCAACAAGTTCCTCATCGAAACGTCCACGATGACCCTGCAGTCATTAACGTGCGTTATCGTTGACCATGATTTTTTTCTTTGGTTTCTAACATCGTACAGGCTTCTACCGGTCCTCCTGTCGCAGCAGGATATTCACCATATCCTCAAGCCCCGGTTCCCAATCCTGCCTATGTGCAACCGCCGCCGCCCCAGGTAGCTCCTCCGACTCAGCCAGAACCAGCTCCTACCCCTCCGCGTCTTCAACAACAAAACCGCCGTGCAAACCCTGTCCATACGGCGGCAGCGTCCATGGAGACTGTCGAGCGTGCCCTCGGTGACCTACGGGTATCAAATACGGGGAATGGAAGCCGTCGACGCCACCCGCAGCAGAAGGAGCAGATCAAAGTGCCTTCCACTGACTTTGACTTTGAGAGCAGTAATGCACGGTTCGACAAGCCTGGGGCGAAAAAGGGCGATGAGGAAGAGAAGGAGAAGGAACCTGCTGCATACAATCCGGAAAAGTCGTTCTTTGACTCGTTGACGCCTGCACCTGTACGAGGCGGAGGTGGAGGCGGCAGAGGTGCTGGAAGGGGGGGACACCCTGGTAGGAATCGACGAGAAGAGGAGAGGGAGAGGAACGTGGCGACGTTTGGGGAGCCGGGGGGTGTTGGACTCATGGGACCTGGGGCGTATGTCAATGGCTGGGGCGGGTATGGACGGCGGGGTGGCGGCAGACCAAGGAGGGGCGGGCCACCCAATGGTGCCGACGTTAACACGCGCTGAGTGACTTGTTTTTTTTGTACTTGTTGGTATTGCCTCGACCAGTTGTCTCTTTTTGTCGACGTTGCTGTTAGCGCTTTACTTGTTGAAATGATTTTCCACCCTGTGAAGCATTGAACTCAGTGACATTGTTCCAATGTGGTTGGAAATCAAATTTTTTGTTGTCGAGGGGCAACCGGATAACCGGTCCGGTATTAACCGAGAAAGCTTTGCATACTTATGGGTCAAATTCGGCTGTTTTTTTTGCTAAATTTGCGGCAATTTTAGCCTCCTTGTGTGGTTGGCAGGATCTCTGGAGGCATTTTAGGCCTGTCATAAGATTCGACAGGATCCCACTCAATCATGCTAATTTAGACAAAATCTTTCGTTCTTGACTATTATTTGAGCCTCAAATAACATTTCTGATAGAGAAGTTTACCAGCCTTGGTTGCATGCCGCGGAATGTTGCCGCGGCAGAGAAAAGGGGGCTTGCGCGCTTGTCGTTGTCCTTTCTTTCACTCACCACCACCAACGCGTTCTCCGTTTATTTCTTCCCTCCGTACTTTTTCTTTACTTTTTACGCGTATTTCTTCTTTCCTCCCATGATGGATCACTATGCTAGCCGCCGCAAGGACATGTTGGCTATCATGAACCAGCTTCACAGCATAGGGTATGTGCCGCTGTTGAGGGGTCGACGGCCAGTGGCTAATTCTACGTTTAGTGCTCAAACATATCTAGAGCTTCCTCGCATCGTTGTCATTGGAAACCAAAGCGCTGGTGAGTACCCTGCAGCACGAACGGGATCGGTGCACTCAACGAGGCACGTTCAAAGGCAAATCGAGTGTAGTGGAGGCAATATCTGGCGTGTGTGCTACTACATTATTCCTCCTTATCATTGTTGATGACCTGAAATTATTATAGATCACCGTTCCCCGCGACGCCGGAACGTGTACACGATGTCCCATGGAATGTCGTCTTGCTTCAAGTGAAGACCCGTGGTGTTGCCAAATCTCTATCCGATATGAGTTCGAACCGAGTAACGGGAGGCGCCTCAAAGATGTCATGGAGCGGAAATTCGGAGGCCTTATCCTGAAGAAAGACCAGGTCGAACCAATGCTGCGACGAGCGCAATGGGCTGTGCTCAATCCGAAGCTTTCATATGCGCATGTCCTTGGGATGAGCATGCATGATATGTACCATAATTTGTCAAGCAGCGCGCTGCAGTTTTCTCGCAATGTTGTTTGTGTCGATCTCAAGGGACCGGATTTGACTGATCTCTCTTTTATTGACCTTCCAGGTAGACTTTACATTGTGTTTATTTTATCGTAGCTCACTACTATGTAGGCATCATCCAAAATGCTGAAACCGAAACCGTCAAACTTGTTGAAGACATGGTCGTCTCGCACATTGCGGGTGATTGCTTGATTCTTGTTGCTCTCCCGATGACAGGCAGGTCCATTTTCGACGAATCGTATTTTGTTGGCTCACAGTCTGCTCAAAGACGACGTGGAGAACCAAAAGGCACTCAAGTTAGCTAACCTCGCTGATCCTCAGGGCCGTCGAACGATAGGTGGGCACAATGCACCCTTCTTGCGGACAACTTCGTAATCCAGAATATGTTTTCAGGTGTGCTCACTAAACCGGATATGCTACCAGAAGGGTCTGTAAAAAACCGTGCCCTCTGGCTGGATGTTATCGAGGGGCGACGGTTCCCTCTCAAGCACGGTTATTACTGTACGCGACATCCAGACGATGCCGACAGAAGCCAAGGTTTATCCTCCGCAGAGGCGCGTAAAGCAGAGATGGACTTTTTCGCACGAACGGAACCTTGGAATATCTCCATCAAGCCACATTACTTTGGTGTCAAAAATCTCACAGCGGCCTTGAGTAGCCTCCTCATACAAGTCATACAGGAAGCGTATGTCTTTTGGTTGCTTTAGATCGTATCCGTATTCTAAAGCTATCCCGCCAGCTTGCCAAAGATTCAGCTCGAAGCGACTCGACAGTTGGAGACGTGCCGAGACGAGCTAGAACATCTTCCAAAGCCGATCGTCGGCGATCCGGCCACTTACATGCTACAGCTCATCACGGCTCTCTGTGATGATGTCAATCTCCATGTTCGGGGGAGCTCGCAGACGAGTAAGATGATTCAAGATAATCGTGCAGCCTTTGCCAAGTTTAAAATCGAAATCAGAAAAACAGCACCGAATTTTGTGTCTTCTGGCGAGGCAAAAGAACCGGTTGACGATGACGATGAAGATGGAGGGGTGCTTACGACGTCTGCGCCATTCACGGTCTCTGATATGAGGAAACATATACAGAGGTGTGTTTTCTTTCACTTGTGGCCTTACAATCGTTGATTTTATTTGACAGGTCCATAACGAGAGAATTACCCAACAATGTGCCGTTCGATGCTAAAGTAGCGCTCATCACTTCCTTTCAGCGTTCGTGGCCACATTTCGTCAAATCATGCTTTGATAACGTCCGAAACACTGTTTTGAATACACTTCTCGCCTGTGTGGATCATGAACGACTCGGGCGATATGACCTCTTGAGACATCATCTCCAGTATGTCCTTGTCTTCCTTCGGTATTCACCCCTCCTAACGTTTTCTTTTTCAGTTCCTTCATCTCGGAGATTGTATCAGAACAATATGCGTCTTGTCACGCGTTCTTGGATGCTATCCTTGAAGTGGAGCTCTCGCCTTTCACACAGAACCTACATTATCTAGACTCTAGTTCGGAGAAGTGGCTGGCGAAGTACAAAGGCGCCAGGCAGGAGAGTAAGACTCAGGCGGCGCCGGCGCCAGCACCAGCACCACCAGTACCAACAACCAATCCTGTGCCGGGGTCTAGCATCTCACCAGGACCCCTCAAGACGAACACCAGTTTGTGGAGCCCCAGACCTGTGCCTATCAGCCATAGTTCTGATTCCTCGAATGAATGTACGTTCAGCCTTATTTTGTTCTTACTATCTTCCAAGTCTAACAGCACCATCTAGCCGACTCCCTCCTCGAGCCGCTTCACACGGCTTCACAGACTCCAAAGCGCAAGTTCAAGAGTAACAGCAGAATCAGCGCTAGTACAAGTACTCCGATATCTACTAGTGCACCAGTGGTGCCGATCTGGGATCAACGCCCCGTGACGTCGGGGACCTTCTTGCCCGCCGAAAATGTATCGAGCCCGTTCGATCAGGAGAAGATGGACCATGCACTGGCGGCGCTAGCAGCACTGGGATTCGCCGGGCTCACTGCGGAAGACCTGGAAAAGCTCCATCCTGTGGATGAGTACGAGACGGAGCTGAAGGTTATGGCTGAAGTGAGGGGGTATTTTCAGGTTTCGTACAAGGTTTGTTTTGTTGCCATTCTTTTGGTGTTATTCGTTGCTTAGGTTCTGCAGCGCATCATCGACTACGTACCGTCCCTCATTGATCTCAAGTTCATCAAGGCTGTGGGGAAGGCGCTCCAGCCGTTCTTGATCAAGAAGTTTGAGTTGGGGAGTAATGAGGCGAATGCCAAGTGCGCAAAGTATTTAGCTGAGGACCCGGGAGTGACGGCTGAGAGAGAGGAGCTATGTACAAAGAAGAGGCTGTTGGAGAAGGTGCAGGAGGAGTTGTATAGGTTCGGGGGGTTGTAGATGTATCGGCGTATCTTGGGCCCGTATTGGTTTTTTTTTGTTTAGTTCACTCTCTCATCACGTTGTGTAATATCCATAGTCACGAATCATCAACATTGCCATTTTGGCATTTCCTACATGATAAGAAGACAGGTACGCGATAGCTATTCGAAATTAGTAGAATATATATTCCTTCAGATTATGAACCAATTAGGCTCCTCCACACGAACACCTCTGCTTGCAATATCCGTCACTGTTGGTGATGTAGTCAATGCTACCATCAGGCTGGGTCTGTCCTCCACGGTTGATGGAGTCCGCGACGGAGTGGCACTGGGAGAACAGTGAACAGGTCAAGAGGGGACTTCCGTTCTATCAAACCAGTTAGTACTATCTCCACCAATAGCCGATTTCAGCGTGCAGACCTTTCCGTTAACATCGTGGTAGGCTAAATACAAAATGTCAGACCTGGGAGTGAACGAAGAAAAGAATAGGACGAACAGTTGACGAAAATACAGCCGTTAACATTGTTGCACATAGCCTTGCAAGCTAAAGAAATCACATCATGAGAGACGTTGGACACAATAGTTCGAATCGACGCCGTACATTCGACAGTATCGACCAATCCGTAAGTCATATAGTCGACCGCTTGGGTGGCACCGGTATAGTTGGAAAACGTCTGGATGTAGCCGTCGCTGCTCGGAGTGGGAACAGACGTTGGGCACTGGAAGCCATTATTCTGCTGCGTGAGGAGCGAGCACAGGTACTATTTGAAAAGTGGTTAGCATTCCTGACGCGGGGAAGGAGCGGTTGAGCAATACTAACTCCGTCCTTGAGCCAAGGCAGATCATTCAAAGAGTCGGGGAGATTGTCGGGAGAGTCGCCGTAGTACCATCCTGGCGTCGCGTCCTGCTCCCAGGGAGTGACAGGAGCGTTGAAGGAGGTCCCTTCGTTGAGGGAATCCGCGGCTTCAGTGGTGTTGTCTGCACCACGGACAAGAACGGCGGCGGCGGCAACGGTTACGAGGAGAGTAGAGAAAGAAGGCATTGTAGTAAATGGAGAATGTAGCACTCAGATGAAGCTCAGTTTGCTGGGGAATAGACGATACTCCCCCTCCAATTTATAGCGACGCGTTCAGGTCCATTTCTGCTCCGTGAACGAATCTCCCCAGTGCCTGAGCGCGAATGCTCCGATTGACTGATGTCATGGGTACCTGTAATAAGTCCAGTTCCTTGATCCTTCATGAATCTACGTCGAGTACCTGAGCAGATGAATAGGAACCCAGACACAGCGGTCTTGACTCTTGACAGTCTTTGGCATACGCCGCCCCAGGCGAAGTTCGATGCGCTGATCCAGGCGCTGAGAAGGCCATACGTGGGAAGAAAATCTCCGTTTTTCTATTGTGATGGGAGAGCGTGCATCTACGAACGTGACCGAGTACAAGTGGCCAAAGCGGCCATAGCCAATTAAAGTATGATCCTCCTTAAATATATAGCCCTTAATGCGTGAGACGATGACAGATTTTGATGGAAGAATCTCCGTAAGCTTCCGTTGGCCTCGAAGAACGAGAGGTCCTACTGCCTGCAATGCGTGTGCAATGTACAGAAATCTTCGAAAAATTAGGAGCTTCCAGCACTTATTAAATAATGCGCCATGTCAAAATGAATAAGTACTAGCTAGCAAATAAGACAGAAACGGTACCAGACCTGCTAAATTGTTAAAGTCATTTCCGGACCCCCGAGGCGGAAGAGATGCGGCTGACCGGCAACAGTAGTTATGTGCGGATCGGCCTTTCCAAGGTTCCATTGACAGCGGCCCCGGCTTTTGAGAGTCTTGCTGGAGGTTGGAACGTGTTCGAACTCTCCAGAAAAGAGCAAGAACAGGCCGATCGACATTGCGAGATCAAAAAAAGGTACTATCCCGGCGCTTTCCGCACAACACCAAAAGGAAATTAGCCATCCATCCACATTAGATAGTTAGAAAGCAATATACTTACTGATGCGATAGACACACCTTAACGCTTCCAGAGTCCAGCGTCCAAATCTCCACCACGCTAGGTGCATCAGAGAACCATCCCGGGCTCAAGTGCCAAAGCCAGCGGCAGAAGGAGTGTTCAAGTTATCAAAGGTTTGTACGAGCCTGGACGATCTGGAACTTACGGCTGGACATCATTCCAGTTGCAGGCAAAGCACTACTGGGGCTTTAGCTCGTTTCTTTGGTTCAAAAATACCGTATGTGTTAACATGGCCAGGGTAAGTACTTGTCTTCACACTTTACCATTGTAATTTGATCCGTTTTCACGCAAGTATCTGATATTTTCAGCAACTTGTGCAATACTTTTAACCGTATTTTTGCCTCAGGCAATTGGACAATATCATTCAGCGGCGTCAATGATATCGTGTATCGAGCCGTCGCGGTCAGTAAATCCCGATGCGAATTAAATAGCGCCCTGTGCCTGGACTAAGTACAATAAGTGGCAACACTTTGAGTCGGGAAAGTTGAAAGAGGGCCTCACTAGTTCATCGTGCGACGTGCATCGTAGTCATTAAGAGCGATACGTGTCGTTTGAAATTTAGAAGATACGACAGACGGAGCCTTTATCACTATACGATCGTTAGGAAATTCGACAACTACCCACACCAGACAACGTTGAGCCTGAGGTGCTTCCCTTGAATCGCGCTCAGTTCTAAGCTGAGTAAACGCGCTAGGTACACGTGGCAAAGAAAGATCCATCGATTCAGGACAAGTGTGTACTAGCTTGCGTCCCAAGTTCGTAGACCATTGTTCCCCAGGTGTACCTGGACAGTCCCAGCTTCGTCAAGGCTCTGAGGAAGGCGTTCCAGCCCTTTTTGATTGATTGAGAAGCTCAAGTTGAGACGTAAAGCAGCGAATTCGCATGCGCGAAGTGTTTGGCAGAGGATCCAATAGTAACGACTAATTAGGCATGGGATACTTAAGCGTGAAGAAGACGCAGTGGAAGAAACCTCCCTTCTAAGGGTGTTTAAATGGCTTTCGCCGGACCTTGGGCGAATCTTCTTACTTACTCTCGCATCAGAAATTTATCGCATCACATTGTACGTAGTAACAAATCAATAGTCACAAATCATAATTGCCGTATTGGCACTTCTACAGATCCACAAAGTAAGAGAAGAACCCCATTCAGAAATATTTAAAACCTAATCCTTTCGGTTAATGCGAACGCCACGCAATCAGATGTTGCATGAACATTTCTGCCTGCAATATCCGTCACTGTTAGTGATGAAGTCAATAGAACCGTCAGGTTGAGACTGTCCTCCACGGTTGATCGCGTCAACGAGAGTGTGGCAGTGAGTGAAGAGCGAACAGGTCAACAGAGGACTTCCGTTCTATATACAGATAATCAGTACTATCTCCCAGGCGATAGCTGAGGATGCAGACCTTTCCGTTGACATCGTGGTATGCTATGTCAAGGAGGTCAGATAGGAGATCAAGGGAAAAAAAAAGGGACGAACAATTAACGAAAATACATCCAGTGACGCTGTCACACATGGCCTTGCAGTCTGAAACGATACAGTGAGAAAGTCGATTCAAAGGCGTGAAAGCCGAACGAGCATACCTGCAACAGTATCGACTAATCCGTAGGTCATATAGTCACTTGATTCGGTGGCGCCGGTGTAGTTGGAAAACGCCTGGGTGTAGTCATCACTGCTCACAGTGAGACTGAGAACAGACGCAGGGCACTGGATGCCATTATTAAGTGTCGGGAGGAGTGAGCACAGGGCCTGTAATGAATGATCAGTATTTTCGTACATGGGGAGGTAATGAAAACGACTAACATTGTCCTTAAGCCAAGGCAAATCGGAGTAGACGTCAGGAATGTTGTCAGGAGAGTCGCCGTAGTACCATCCCGGCGTGCTATTCTGCGCCCAGGGAACGATGGGAGCACCAAAAAAGTTACTTTCGTTGAGCTCGGAAGCCAAGTTTTGGGTGTCACTGTCGGCTGCGCCGCAGATAGTGATAGCAATGGTGACGACGACGAAGAGAGTAGAGAATGAGAGCATTGTAGTAGATGAAGGATGAAGGACTTGGGTGAAGCTCAAGTTGTTGAAGAAAACGATGCTTACCGTTCCATTTATAAAGACGCGTTTAGGCTGCGGATGATCCGTGATTGGGTAATGAAGTGCCTTAGCGCGGAGAGCCAGGTATTGCGAGTATCTGCATAGAAGTGCAGTCAGCCCCTCGATCTTCACGGTATTTGATCAAGTACCTGAGCAGATGAATAGGAACAGACGGAATTAGACTCTTGACGGTCTTCTACATAGGCCGCCGTTATTCCCAGGTGCTGGAGAATTGTCGTGGGAAGAATAGGCCAATCTTTCTATTATGATATGGGGCGCACATCCTCGAGCGTGACCGAGAACTAAGGGTCAAGCGACCAGGATCAATTACAGTATGATCCTCCTTGAAGGTGAGGCCCTCAGCGCATGCGATATGTCAGATTTTTGATGACAAGTGACTGTAAGCTCCGTCAGTCTCGAAAATAGAAGGGGAACTATAGCCTGTAAGAACGGTGGGTTGAAGTCGGCTGAGAGAAAAATCCGAGGATCTCGTTGAAGTTACCGCGAGCTTCCAATGCTTTTTAATATTCTATGTTGAAGACAACTTAATAAGTAACAAAGTACAAGAACAAGCACAAAAACGTACCCGATGAATGGTACCCGCTCGTGTAGTGAGGAACAGTAGCCTCCATGGGTTGCTGAAGAAAAGCAACGTCTGATGACGGGCTTGGGCCCAGTGGGCCCGGATTACGAGGATTCAGCCCTGGATAGATCGCAGGAACGGCCTAAGCCTACATAATAGCCTAGGCTGACTTGGATTCCGGTGAACGTTCGAAGACTGAACCACCAGAACCTATTGGAAAGATGCGAACTATATTGAAGAAGGATTCTTGCAAGCCCAGTGCTTCGGCCAGGTCAGGACCAACTGGGCGATGCAGTAATCAAACAAATGTCTTCGTCAGCAGCAGGATGGACTTACCAGAGGTACACCCCACGGATCATTCTCAACTGCAGACTAGCACATTGGCGCGTCTTTTCGTGTGGGTGGGCACCGAACATATCGGATGTCCAGATATCTTCCAGAGTTTTCAGGTCCGGTTTGAGGGCGAACAGTAGCGATCTCAGGGTTGTCGCGTTCTTAAATAATAAGAAGCGAAGAAACTGAAGACTAATGTCATTACCATGATCACAATCATCGAAAGAGATCCCTGTTGTCCCTATGCACGAACATGGACTCCCGAAGACTACGTGTGTAAAAAAGGAGCACTCACCATGGAGTATAATCCATAGATAACTCAATTAACTACTAAGACACGGGAAAAAATTTTGGGCGACATTTGGATGCATGCTTCCGGATTATATTCAGCGTTGAATGACGCGGAAGGTATCTATAAGGAAAGGTTCGTTAGTGGAGACAGGTCATATCTCAGTATCAGAACAAACATCATGGAAAACACGGAGTGCTGGTCTCCGTGCGTGCCTCGATGGTCTTCTGTTAGACAAGCTGCATAACCATCGCGATTGTGCCTGCATATCCTCGTAATTTTATAGTCCCCTAGATCCTCATTTAACAGAATACAGCACAACTAGTATGAATACACGTACCTCAACCATTTCCGAGACCAGTGCGAAACACGCTGCCACGGCCTCGACATACAGCAGCGGCGGTAAAATTGGCTACCTGACGAGCACTGATATCAGAAATCGAGCCATGCGAATGTTGGAGTAAAAGACGGCAAGCGTTGATAAGCCGGACAGCGCCAATGTCAATGCCCATTAACAATATCGTGATTCGCGGGGCAGGTGACAGATTTGATTTGTGTTGTGCTGACATATCTGAGAAAAAAACGCTGTCTAAGGAGTTCCTAGCCCGATGCTTAGCCGCCATTTTCATGTAGTAAGGTCACAGAAAATATAATATTTTTCATGTTTTGACATTCGAAGCAGGAGTGACAGCGTAGTAAACGATATGGCGGAGTCCTGTTTCCTGTAGCAAGATTACCAATGTCAGTCGAACATCCTTCACAGCGAGAAGACGACATACAAAGACTTGAATTGAAACGCAAAATTTCTCGAAAACATGCATATAGGATGCCCGTAGTCATTAGTAGTAGAGGCCAGAGGACGACACTGGTGATAGTGGTGAAAAGAAGAGAGAGTGTGCCTCTTGCCATTTTAGGACTTGACAATCAACATCGACCCCATGTCGCAGTTCGTTCTGGGTATATGCGCCTCTATCTCTTCATTCCAACGTTACCATCGACACATTATGATATATTGGACATTCAGGATACAGGCGATGCTCTTTGTCTAGTGCCTACAATTGCCTGAGCAAAACGGCATCCAGCAGCAAACGTATGCCGAAATTTGGTCCAGGAGCACCGGTACGTTAGCCAGTAATTCCTGAAGGGCTCATTCTCATGACCTCTGCAGCATATTTTTTCCCACATGATCACCCTAATGCCGGATAGAGAGGGGCTGACATGCTCACTGGGACTTCTCTGAGCCTCGAGATGCGTAGGGCGGCAATACGATGCAAAAAGCATACATGGCGGCATTGCTTTACTTTATCGCTCCTCAGTAGACACGAAATATTACGGGCCATCATTAATCATGGCTCGGAGGCTAAGTCGGTACGCTTTGTCTCTAATATCGCAGGTTTGTACTTTCTGATCATGGATTTCAGAGTCGCGTAGAACACGGCAGGATTGTTGCACGTTCAAATGATCATTTGGTACACTCTCCTTTGTCACAAAGTGTCACTACGTACGCTCATGACTGTCCACATACCCATCACCAGTGCCGTTCGGCCGACTTTTGGGAACATCACGGACGAATTCTCTTTCCTAATCAGCACTACCAGTGCTGGAGATTGCCATGGATGACCTACAGTTCAAGCAACCCACAAAACAGGACCTCTCGAAGCATGATTTACAGGAATCTTTCGACTTGCGTTGTAGTCTTCGTGTTTCTAACTGCGCGCGCGCACCTTTCCTAATGGCATCCGTACGTTGTTCTGCCTCGTGGACTTATCAAAACCCTAACTTCATTAGCATGTCTCCAGCATATGCTGAAAAGATCACATCGAGACGACCTAGGTTGCTCGTCTGCAAAGTCAAGTGATGGAATAGGAAGCGCGCTGGACCACGCAACCATCTTTGTAGCTTGGCTATTAAGCTAATGCTGAATCCAAGAGTGTAGCCGGTTTCGTCAACCAAGATACACCCACGGGTACGCTGACAGCGTACCAGACGGTCTCATATGTCGTCTTGTTGCGATCACACACTCCGCATTCGTTCCGGTGAGACCCCGCGCTCGTTGCATTTGAAGAGATCCGGAAGTTTCTTTGCAATTGTCTGCTTGTTACAACCGGCCGTGCGTGGCTCGGTCTGATCCTCCCACGGAACTATTTCGCCGAAATACTTAAACGGAGACGAGCGCGAGGCCATCTACTCTTGTGCCGGTTCATCCTATCGATGAATATGAGGCTGGTGTTCACTGTTGAAGCTCGAAGGCTAAGGCGGAGGTAAGGGCCATCTTCAGATGGGTTCGTGTAAGGTTCGTTTTGTGATCGTCTTTCTCTTTGGTACATCTTTGATAGGGAAGGTTGCAGCGCATTATCTATTATGTGGCATCTCCATTGATGTCAAGGTCATCAAAGTTGTGGGGAACGAGCTCTAGCCGTTCTTGATTGAGAACTTCGAGTTGGGGAGCAATAAGGCTTTGTTGGATGTCAGGCGCGTGAAGTATCTGGCGGTATGGTGGGAACTGGAAGTGAGGAAGATACAGTTTGGGAAGATGCAGGAGGAATTGTATGGATTTTGTAGTGACGGCGTAGGTGGAATGATTTTCGGTGTCTTTTGAACTATTGATTCAATGCACACTGGTTTATTCCCACCGCTCATCGGTCACCGGATAGTATAACATTGCTAGGCACGAATCAAGACTGGCATTTTGGTATTTCGTTCAGTTCCACAGGGCTGCAAACAACAGTGTACATATGTAGCTATTCAAATTACTCGTAGTATCTTGCGAAACAACGAATCACTTCGTCTTACAAAATCCTGCACTGTCGGTGATGAAGTCGACAGAGCCATCAGGTTGAGTCTGTCCTCCGAGGTTGGTGGCGTCTGCGATGGTGTGGCACTTGGAGAAAAGCGAGCAGGTCAAGAGGGGACTTCCATCCTATTGAAATGATCAGCATCCTCTCCAATTTCATAGAAAATTTGAGTATTCATACCTTTCCGTTTACATCATGGTAGGCTATATCAGAAGGATCAGCCTAAATAAGAGTAAGAGAAAAAGGATAGCACGAACGGTTGATGAATACGCATCCGTCAACGCTGTCGCACATATCTTTGCAGGCTAAAATGTCGGATTGTGAGAAACATTGGTTTAGAAGCCGTTTGATGATTTCGACGTACCTGCAACCGTGTCAACCAATCCATATGTCATATAGTCGGATGCTTGGACGGCGCCGCTATAATTGGAAAACACCTGTTTGTAGCCATCATTTGACGGAGGGGGATTTTGGTGGTGAGGAGGTTTGGGGCAGTGGAAGCCGCAATGAAGGAACTCTAGGAGCCAGCACAGGTACTGTTGGGAATCAGTATTCTATTCGATGAGAGGTAACGCCAAGAAAGACTAACACCATCCTTTAGCCAAGGGAGACCTGGGAAGATGGGTGGAACCCGGTCGGGATGGTCGCCGTAGTACCATCCTGGCTTGCAGCCCTTTTGCCACGGAGGGAAGGGAGCACCGTAGAAGTTGCCTTGATTGAGCTGGACGCTGAGGGCATCCATGGCTTGTACATCTGTGGCGTTTAAGGCCTCAGTGATAGCGTCTGCACCACGGACTATGATGGCGGTCGCAACGGTTATGATGAGAGAGGAGAAGAAGCGCATTGTACAGCTGAAGTATACGTGTGGTGCCCAATTCGCTGGGGAAAGAACGAGGTGCTCCCTCTGATTTATAGGAACGCGTTCAGGTCCACATACTATCGACAGGCGTTCCTAGAGGATGAAGGAATTACCTGCCTGGCGAGTGCCTCGCCGCTGGGATGAATTCATATATGAGTACCTGCTTGGAAGAACAATCAGTTCCTTGATCTTCAAGAAATTGATTTCAAGTACCTGACCAGGTGAATATGAACTCAAAGTTAGACACAGCGCTCTTGACTGTTGGCGGTCTTTTACATAGGCCGTCGCCAAGAAAATTCAATCGACGCGCTGATTCAGGCGCTAAAGAAAGCTCTCGTGAGAGGAAACATCCGTTTCACTATCATGATGAAGAGCGTGCATCTATGAACGTGACCGAGAAACGAGGGCAAAGCGGCCATATGCAAATATAGTGTGATCCTCCCTGATTCGAGGTTGTGTGCGTGACCCAAAACGCCTGCAGTTATGACAGATATTGATACAGGATCGCTGTAAGTTCTGTCATTCTCGAAGGTCGAGATGCAGAGTAGACTGAGAGAATGGCGGCTGAAGTTGGCCGAGAAAGAGAGTCCGAGGATTAGGCTGAACTGGTGGAGGCTCGTACAATGGTCGGGTAGGGTCAGGTACTTCCAAGCAGCTGCTAATGGACCACCTTGACTGGGGACTGAGCAAGGTAGCCTAAATATTTATCTGTTAAATCTGTCAAATAACAATTCTAGAATCATACTAGTAGGGACTTTTCGTTGCCCCAATAAGTGTCCCAAGGTGCAAGAGAGGTCTTCGGCAGCTGGCGAGAACTTTCAGGGGTCCAGGACGTTGCCGTTAAAGCTGCATGTTTCCGATCTGGAAACCGCCGGCCATCATTCCCATGAGGCTCGCCGCCCAGCTGCAGACTATGTTTCTACTACACGCCGGCTCGGTCTTTTTGTAGGCTCCGTATGTGTCGGATCTCTACAGAAGAGTTGGGCTTCAAGTATCACAGTTCTAAGGTCAAATATGCTACATTGTTACCACGCCTAAATTTCCTACAACCTCGAAGTATCCAGAGCTTGTGCATATTCCAACCCCTGCTTAATTTCTAGCTAGTAGCTTTCATATGTTCGTCAAACATCGTAATTTTGACAGTACCAAGTCTGTATGACTTAGGTATCCAAGATTATAAGCTTTCGTGCAGTATAATCATACGGTGAATCGGTAGATTGTTTGTTTATATAGCACCTTCTATGTACAACGGGAATATTTCTAGTATCTCAGCAACGTCAGACAGGGATAGGCAAATGATATCGTGGAAATTGTGGGCTGTACATGAGCACGAGAATGACTAGTACAGGTCCGAGAGTTCCTTGTACCTTACTCGTCCGCGAAGGTACACCGCCGAATATGGTAAAGATACAATCAGATAGTCCCGTTCATGCATACCATCCACCCACCCTCAATAGGTACGTATCGTCTGTCCTATGCGCGACTAATACTTAGTAATGGTCCCGTTGCAATACCCTGCACTGTCGGTGATATAGTCAACGGTACCATCAGGCTGCGTCTGTCCTCCACGGTTGTCAGCGTCTGCGATAGTGTGGCACTTGGAGAAAAGCGAGCAGGTCAAGAGAGGGCTTCCATTCTATCGAAGCAATCAGTACCCGCTCCAATGTAATTAGCGAATCGAGCGTGCATACCTTTCCGTGGACATCGTGGTAGGCTGTAAAAGAAGGGTCAGCTTGAGAGAATGAAGGAAAGAACAACACGAACTGTTAAAGAAAAAGCATTCCTTGATGTTGTTACACATGATCATGCAGTCTAAAACAAAGTATTGTCAGTTGAAAGTTCTGGATTCTACAATATAATAATTTATACCTTGGACAGTGTCGACCAATCCGTAAGTCAGATAATCCCCCGGGACCTCCGATTGGACAGCGCCGGTATAATTCGAGAAAACTTCTTCATAGCCACCACCGTTGTTTGGAGGCGTGGGGTGGAGAGGAGGAGGAGGGGGGCAGAGAAACCCTAGGTCTAGGATCTCGAGGATGAGACAGATGAGCTGTTACGAATAAATTATTAGCGAAAATTCCCAGTTAGCTGCAAGTAACACTAACGCCATCCTTGAGACAAGGGAGTGAACCCGAAGGGGGATGGTCACCGTAGTACCATCCCGGCGAGCAACCTGGCTTCCAAGGGGCGACAGGAGCACCGTAACAGTTGTCCTTGTTGATTTTGGCCGAGAGGGATGCCACGGTCTCGACTGCCCTGCCGTCCAAGTGGGTGTTGACTAGAGAGACGCCTTGAACCGCGAGGGCGACGGTAGCGATGGTTGCGAAGAAGGTAGAGGAGGCGAACCGCATTGTGATGAGACTAGCTAGGCGACACAGAAAGTGCTGGGGAATAGTGAATATTCAGTCTCCAGTTTATACAGACGCGCTTGGGTCCGTGCACAGACCAGTTTCCTCAGAGAAACAAGATTTGCTGCTCTACCGAGTATCGGAGCGCGGAAGGCGAGGATTAACGCCGAAGCGTACCTATATTAATGAACAGTCAATTCCTTGATCTTCATGAATTTTATGTAACCTATTTAGGCAGGTAAACTTGAACTCGAGCTAATTTGAACGCCGTTATCTTCAACTTTAAAACTTGACGGTCTTTCCGCTGAGTCCAGCATCCCTAAGGCATGTATGTGCTCGGTGAATCAGATGATGCAAGCGTTTCCTTTGTGAGAGAAAAACTGATTCGGTGGAAGTAATGAACGTGCACCTGAAAAAGTGACCGAGAATCGAAGGTAAAGCGGCACTAGTAAATCATACCGCGATTCCCTTCCATTTGACGTGCAAATCTATCTGTAAATGCGCAGTAACCGCGTCAAAATTGAGAAGGCTGACCGACATCCCCGAGAGTGTTGGGAGGGACCGCGGTCTGCAGAACAGTCCCAGGACAGTGAACGTTCAGGATCGCCTAGAAGAGAACCGAAGATTAGGCTAAACTAGCGATGATCCACATGTCCTGTCCACCGCAAGCACTCGTGTATTGAATTGCATCTGTGCCGTCAAAATATGCACTAGGAAAAAAAACTGGCCAGCCAGCTGACATCACGGTGGCTGAAGAGTACTGAAGATAGGTTAGCGATTCCATGATAGAAAAAAGTACATAAACGATACTCCACACTTTTGCGAGCCTCGACCGACGATTAACTTTGAATGGAGACTTCATTCTGAAGGTATGAAGGTCTTCGTTCGCAGTAAAAGGTACCAGCCGACCGAAGCTAATGCAAAGCGGCGATTTCCTTTAGAGGAAAAGAACCGAACGACGTGCACTTTCTAGAACACCGCATGCTACTATGGCGCAGGGAAAGCACAGGAAGGCTCTGTGCGACGCCGTGAGAGGCGTATGATCCTTACTCGGACGAGGTGGTGGATGAAGAGACTGGCCGTCTTCATATCCGAGGACCAACGGCGGAAGCTTGACTGCTCCAAAGATTTTTATGGGGGTCCCCTCCATCAATCGATGAAGGTCGCCAAGTAGTAGAGGATCGAAGCTTGGGAATCCTTCTACCGTACGGAACAGTTTTTCCAAGGTTCTCCACCAGTTCCCGAAGATCAGTCGCATAGTGGGCGTCGGGTACGACCGGCAGTTATTACTTCAGCCATAGCGGTCTCCGCGGATATCTGGGTCATAAGTACATGGGGTGGCACGTTCTTGCTAGTAATGCGGTACCAAGGGAGCACGAGGCCATACATGACCAGCGGGAAAACGACGGAGAACTGCGGAAGATACCTCAGAGGTTCGCCTTAGTCGCCAACGTGGAGTCGTGCATGGAAGATTTGGAGCCGAAGGGAACAGCAGGATCAGTTATTGGCGTCTACAAGTAGGAGATGGCTGTTAGTTTCAATTAATATCGCGGAATGGACATCGTATACCACGTTCGATCCTCAGTAGGAACATGGTCGACCTCGGGCTCAATCTCCGTTTTCAAGTCAATCTAGCCATGTTCGCTGTCGAAGCCAATTAAAAACAAGCATCGCATAGAAGATAATAAAATGAATGGATCAAGGACCCTAACCTATAATGTTATCCAAGTCGTCGCTTCCTGTCATTTTCTTATGGAAGGGGTTCGAATGATCACAGAGGGCCGTCTTCCATTTGAAGAGGAGAGCGCGATGATTTGCTGAATTTGATGATGATCGGCTAGTAGTCAAGGGTAGATGAAGCCTCTTCAGAACGCGACCACCGATGGATGATACTACTTAGTCGCTGGAGTCGAGGTCTTCCACCGCTGAGATGCCTTCATAGCATACATTGGAGTAAAGGCAGCACGATCTCAGCATATGGGAGCCATAAGGGTAATACTATCGTCTGTTTGGATGTGTCCAACGAGGTTGTGATGAAGGTAGTTCCGACACGTCAAACAATCCAAATTTGGGCATCACCGCTCTCGATTTCGTATATAATCACGAGACTTGGGCTTGATCGAATCGGATCGATCGGAGTTCGGCGAGGCGAAAAAGTTCTCGCTACAACTTACATAGAGGTCTGATAAGGAGAAGAATGGGAATCAACTCACGGATGGGTTGTACTTTATGAATTCTGCTGCGAGCTACGTTGTTCGACGATTCTGCCACACATTATGTGCTTGCAGGGCATCCGGAAGGTCATATTACTGGAGCCAGTGCCATTCGGGTTCTTGCGAAAACACTCCTTCACGTCGCCAAAGTTGATATTTTTGGCGCTTACTGTCACACCGGATATTTATTTCTCACATATAATTGGACTTGTGGCATTTGTCTTGCACTGAGAAAGCAGACAGCCATAAAGAGATGATAAGCGACTTTAATAAGATGAAGTCAGGAACCCAACAGGAACTACCTGGTAAGGCTTATCATAACATCTTGTGGCTCATGCTTCGACATCACGAGAATTGATAAGATGAACATTGAGGTGATGACATCTGCGAAATATCGTTTATCATCACCACAAGTTATAGCAACGTTCATGGACGAAATTCCCCCATTCAGTGGTGCCGAGGCTGGCGAACGAACTGATCAGATTAGTATCTGTAGATCCTACCGATTTTAGTGCTTGCCGTATTTGCCGATCTATAACATCAAAGTGCCGACTCCGAGTAACGCATGCCGTGAGGGCTGCCGAGGGCTCTTTGTCTTTCGGCATATCGGCAATTCCACAGAGATAGACGCCGAACCTAAATAGAGTGCCACAGAAACCCTATTTCCAGATTGAGATTCCCCGCTTGCCCGACGACCGCCACCGCCACAAGCGTTCTCCTTGACACCCACCAAGCGCGTTTCTGGATACTGGACACCCTCCGTCGCTGTCTATAGCGTTCTGTAGACTCTTTACCGGCGATTTTTGCGACAGATAACCCCGTATCAATGCCAATTTTATGAGCCAGCGAGGACCGAGGACCGACTCCTGCAGAATTGTCGTAATGTCACAGAATATCAACAAGCGCTCCACTGCTCTCCTGGCTGCGACAATGTCTGCATTAGCGATGCCAGGAGGTAGCAAATCATCAGGTGGCCGGTATATGCGTGGACACTGGGTCGTAGTGACAACGCGGCATCAACTAGCAACGCAAAGTGCAACGGCGAACAGTGGCATGTTTTTCTTCTCCTCGTATGAGACGATTCCTAACTGTTCTGTTGCAGTGTAGTGGATGTCCTGGAGCTGGCGGGTACCAAGACGAGATGAAGCGCCTAGTGGATGGAGGTACGTTGTCTGTAGCAGTCTCGGCCAGTTCATTTGATGTTGATTGCCTCAGGATAGACAATGGCTCTGTTATTACGTCGTCGTTCTATGCCTTTTGGCTTCTCGATGCAACGTCATCCAATGTACACGGGACACGCAGGAAGATTGGAGAACTCTGTACAATACAACACGTTCTCAAAGGGTGTATAGTATCGACGCTATAGAACCAGCGCGGCTGTTGCGAGAGAAATATCAGCTTCTAGTTCTGCATCATGACAAGCTCGGGGTACGCTTTATCTGAGAGCGCTAGTGGCCGAGGTATGTGCCTGTTGCTCGTAATCTTGCTTGATGCCAACCTTGCTATAGGAAGTATTGTCTACTACCATCTTTGTCGCTTTTAGAACAGCCATTCAATCGATTTACAGCACTCTTGACCTTCTCCAGGCCAGAATGGCGAGCGCAAGGCGTGTTATCGGTTGTTTCCCATTCAGTGGTATCGGCTGTGCTTGTTCATCACGCCATGCAATACGCTTCCCCCTTCCCTTATCCCCGCGCAGTATGATACATGTATGTGCTCTCGTCGTTCCTTTTCCACTCGGCTGATGACAGCGCCGGTAGATATGCAACGGCACCATTACGGTATCGTTTGGATGTCTTGCTTGTCGCTCCCCGTCTTGTTACTCGGGCGCAAGCCTTTCAGACAACAACAGCCATCTCCTGTCGTTCCTCGTTTCCACTAGGCTGTCTGATATAGCGTCTGAGTTTGTTCTTGAGACACGGACGCCGCATGCGCGCGCCATTTTAGCATTCTTTCCTTCATATCCGTAAGTGTGCCCACATTTACCCGAACGGCCAATTTACTCCCTAGACACAGCGACGTACGTACTCTGTTCGGCAGGCTAATGGATACAGAGGCTATGCTTACGAAGTCGGCTATCAAGAGGTTGAACAATGTCGTTGCCGTCCTTTTCTTTCCTATTCCATGTAAGCCACTGCTTGTGCGCCGTATGATTCCATTTCACAGAATTCCGCTAGTCAACGCTTTCATGTAATACTGCGCACCTGAGCTGGCGACAGAGAAAACCCCCGAGAGACGGAAGTTGTGTCAGCTGTGTTATCGATTCTGAGATGTGACGAGCAAAAGACCTGACCCACGCCTCAGTCGCCTCCGCCTTGTCGGAAATTCAAAAGTAGTTGGTTGTGCTTTTCGGGAAGTATTGATGAAATGGTTTCCTCGCTGCCAAGTGGGTTCCCAGATCTGTGCCCTGCAATAATTAATGCTTATCAAGTCCTAGGTATTGGGCTGGAATTAACGTGTTTTCCTTGCTTGGGTCACGATTATTACACTGGCACAAGGACATTATGGTTCAGGCGCCTAGATCTTGCTTCGGCGAACTGCGGGTCCTGTAACCTTTTCGACTATCGGAGCGTAGTTTCTCGTGCACTATTGCTCTTAATCGGGACTTCTTCTGTTGATGCACTGCTACCTAATACATATTTTTTGTTGCAGCAACAGCGAATTGATCAGCACGCTTGGAACGTTCGATCCACCTGAGGCGAGTCACTAGTCCCCGCCACTTGCGCCTCAGGACATGGGAACGAAAAAGGAATTATTTGACGCGGCCTCCACTTTTTGATGGAAGGAAAACAAGACATATCGACATGTGCGCAGCCCGAACTTTAGAGTGAGATATCGTCGCAACGATGCTACTGCATGTACTATTTCGTCATCTCTCATTCAGGATGCTGATGCTGTTCAATTCCTCAAGTGACCGTCCTAAAACCCTCGGAAACGGGAGCGACCAGCGCTACAACCCGTATTTGACGTACAAGAAGCCGCTCAGTACCGTGCTTAAACTATTCAAGAGAGCGTAACAACGACACCAGTAACCTAGCACATGGGAACGACAACATGTTTCCTCGCATCCAACACCTGGTGTCAGATAGCCTCATGGGACCCTTATTCAGGGTCGTACAGCGTGAACCTGGAGTTAATAATGCCGCGTGTATGCTATTCTGCTGGCGCACGCAAGGCTTCCGCGACTTCCGGAGATAGATCATTTCTCTCCAGGTGAGGATCTTTTCGCGGTTATAGATCACGCATCTGACGAAAACATCAGATTCGTATCGTTGGATAGCCGTTTGCCGCTCTTCTTGAGCCGACGGTAACCCGTGGCGCGGCGATACGCTGTAAGAACATTCCCTATATGTTGTTTTCCTTCAATCTTTCGCTCATGATCCTTACAGTGGCTTTTTTTGATACCGTGTCATATGAAAATGCCCCAAATCTGGCTTGGAAAGACGATCACGGAAATTTCTGACCGTACCCATCTTTGTTCTTGTTTTTTCTTCTCTTGTTATTGTTTCGTTTAGTGCCGCTTCAGTTCTGACGGTGTCGTCTCGCATCAATCAATCCATTTGCTATACACGCGGCTTTGTAAATTGAATTAGATCCAGCGCAATTATGCAGCGTGTTAGCACCCCAAAACCTCGAGGATCTGTTGCTTTGTCTGCGATTGCAGACCAGAAAGATCTCGGGCTTAAAGTTGTCTTTGTACCTTGATAGCTACCTAAAGCGTTGTCGCCGCGCTTCCGAGACGTGATGGAGTTGCTTTATGTGGGTTCACTTAATGAAGGCAATTGGAAATAGGGATCACGAGAATGTGCTGGTGGGACGCGTCCTTTAGATGGCAGACATGTCCTCTTCAGCCCTCATTCTTTCCTTTCCAGCCCTTTCCGAGTCGTCGATTTCTTGAAGATCAGAACATTTTTATGGAAGATACGGTCACGTGAATAGATAAGATCGGTTCAATTTCAAAGTCGAAGCTTTTAACGTTTAATGGCGTGCTTTCAGGGTGTGACAGAGTGAAGTAAGTCCATTCGAAACGTTTGCTAGGTTCTATCATTTATCTTACGACTCTACGTAGGAGAAAGTGCAAAAGAACAAAGCTACACTTCTCCGGCGCCCAGACCTTCTGAAAGTTTGGGTGTTTAGCTCAATGATGTTGTGGTCCGCCGGCTAACTTGCAATGATAGCAAAGAGTATCGACTTTCTTAGTAACCACATTATGCGATGGCCTTAGCCTGGATATATTCGTTAGCAATCGATCAGACACGAGACGAGCAAGAATAGACAACGAACCATTGTCGGCAGCTCTTTCTGCACTCGTGGTTGATAGCGTAGTGATGTGAGCTATATCTGCATTTACTGGATCCGCAGTCAATCTGCAAAGCGAGTCAGAGAACTGGCAGCTTTAAAAGGGATTGCTTGACGACTGACCCGTTGATCACCGTGGGGAGCATCGTGTCCGCAGAGGAATCTGGTCGAGCTGATTCTGCGATGGCACATAATTGATGGGGCGTTTGTTCGATGAAGACTTCAGTTCGACACTGGCCCACTTTTATAGGCTTCTAGGAGCGAAGGTATGACAACATCATAATTACTTAGTATGCCATGACCTGGACTGGAAGCCAACCTGTGCTCTGTGCCATGGAAATAACCGAGAAACCGCTGTTGTTCTTCGGATTATGTCTGGCAACCCCTTCCGGAATACCATCAAGCGTTGTGGCATGGAACGCGTCATCAGGACACGGAAACGTGTTATGCCACAGATAGCGCGCGGTAATATCAGACTTTGTTTGAGTGGGAAAACATGCATGAACGTCCTGGAATACAAAAGCCAGGTGATTTTGATTGATGTTCATGAGCTAGCTGCGCTGCGTTTCCTGTCGCCTTCTACTACAGCTTCTAGCCGACCAAGCTAGACCGCTTCGTCAGACGGTCCGGGATGATTGAATCGCCATTCTTCAGTGGCGGCAAGACAGGGACAGGGACAGGGACTGTCAGCTCGCTAGGGCATATTGCACTGTCGCAGCGATCGTCCTACAGATCATCGATAAGGCTCAGGCTCTCATTGCCTATTATCGAGTCAGCCACTGCCTTTCATTAGTTTACGCCGCCGCCCACTGATGCTATTAACCCGTTAGATAATCCGTCGTCACGGTTCACCTGCGTGTCGCCTCGGAGAACACGGCTCACACTGGCACGTTCCATCCTCATGACGTTCAACGTCGTCGACGGGGATGAGAGCGATAACGAGGCATCTTCAAGCTACCTATTTCGTGCAGCGAAGAGCGACCCTTTGGCGTAGAACTAAGACGCGGGGGATTCCGATGGAGGGTAGGAAAGACGATAAACACACGATAAGGAGGCCTGTCTATCAACCACAGTCAGGGGTATTGCTGGCTGGGGGAGAAGTTTGCTGACATGCATATGGTATACCTTAGAGAGCAGTCCTCTCTCTGGATGTTGACCTTGTGCTTAGACCATGATACTGTGCGATATTGTTTCCTTCTGCTTCTTGGTCACCCTGGGACAGCATAGTTTCCCAGAAGAGAGGCGGCGATCACCCACCCGGATGGCCCCTCGCCCTGTGTCTTTGGGTCTAGGCCAAGTCCCAGAAAGGCGTGTTATTTAATCAAGACCTGGTCGTTAGCGTCGTGAATGAGTAGTCTTCAAAGTATGTCATATGGGCGGCGCCAGGAGGGAACCGAATGCTCAGCTTCTTGTATTCAATTTCCAGCAATATGACCTGTAAATGTACAAACCCGTTCTTGGGCCGTCGCAGTCATGTATTGTTTATTGATATTCTGAATGTGGCTTGTGTGAAAAAGTTCCATATTCTGGCTAAATTACCACGAGACGCACCAAAATAATACAGGCAACCATATATGTATGTGACACGGGAAGGTTCATGTCCTGGATCGTAGGGGCAATCACCGAGGGATTACGGAACGAAAGTCTTTGACCACATCCACCCGGAGCTTGCACCGTGCTTGTATACCCGGGAACATCTCCTCCATACCCTCTTTCAGTTCTAACCTGTCTTCTTTTCTGAAAAGATTGGTGCAAAGCATCATACGAAAGCCCCGCAAGGTGAAGGGAGTCTTTTCCGAGAATACTCTATCCAAGTTCATCCAAGCGAGCCTTGCAGAGTCTTCATCATTGGTATCCGGGGTGTGCGGATTACTGAATGGAGGACGAGTGTCATACAAGATGGTGACTTTTTGCAAGGAGTGGCTTATCGCCAAACATCTAGTCCACCATCGCACTACAGAGAGATGAGAATCGTCTGGGTACCAGTTGATTTGTAGCACAAAGGTATGGATATCGCCCAGAGACAGAGGATCACGCAACCCTAAATCTACAGATACGTAAGCGAAGGAATCTTGGGTTTGGAAGACTGCGAACCTCCAGGCTGGAGACCGGTGACCCGTAAGACTTGAAGGGATGGTGTTTGGATCAGCCTTTCAAGATGTGAAATATTTTGCGGACAAAACACGGTTGATAGAATACGCAAGCTTTCCAAGGATATTAAATCCCCATTAGCGAATGCTTCTAGAACCGGGCCATCATGTAGATTGCAAGGCAGCTTCAGGTCTTGGACACGGGGACGCCTGATAGTGCCGTTCGAATTCGGCATGGCCTGTCCTACGAACCTAATAGCGTAGACCTTCATCTTCTTCAATGAGGTCAGATAGGATAAGGAAGTGTTGAAGTGCGCAATGTCTAAAAACGTGACCCCTGCTAGGGTAATGCTTCGGATAGAGGAGATGGTGGCGAAGCAGTGGTACGGAAGTCCGTCAAAGTCAACGGAGCGAAAGGTGGCGGAATGGAGGTTCACGAACGACCCGAGAAGCGTTTTAACGACGTTAGTGGTGGAGGCATGTAATGCGGTGACGCTTCGGGATATATACAGTGATTTCTGGCACAAATTGCAAAAATCGATACCACGCTTCTCATTCACAAGTGAAACTGTGCGAAAGATATGTCCCCGAGACCTGGCGCAGAAAGCGTGACAGATAAGGGAGCAAACTTTTAGTGCCTCCGGATCGTCGTGAAGTCTGTCCACGATGTCGTCGACCGGTTCCTGTGGCAGTTCTGACTTGAACAGCTCGAATGTCTAGTTATTTGATTGAATAGAACCATCCAGTCAACAGGGCAATAGGAAAAGTATCAGTGAACCCACCTTGTAAGTAAACTAAAACGTTTACCACGATGATGATTTTTGCTGAGTCGTTCCGCGACTTCTTAAGCAGAGAAAAAACCCGCTTAATTTGTGAAAATTCCAGACGCTGTGGTTCCAGAAAAGTTTGAGGCAGAATATGAGAAATGAAGCAGCGTTGAATAGTACCGTAAAAATTGTGATTGTAGTCTAGCGACTAGACAAAGCCAGAAAGATAAGAATTTACAGTCAATCAATCGGGATCTAACTGAGTTTTAGACTCTCAAAGAGAAGTTGAGAGGACGGGATACCTTCAAGTTTCAACAGCGACGCGAAGCAGTGATCAACTTTCAGGAAGAACGGGAAAATCGGACCGGAACTGATTTGAAAATTTCCCTCCTCGTAAGCACGTGATGGAACCTTTTTCCACGTGACTATCACGCTACCGCGTGGTCGACTCATTCCAGGATACCTTACGAGACCTTACGCAACAGGCTCGCTAGATAATCTAATTTAAATTAGCTGCGTCTTCGCATATATATTACACAGCGTTTAATACTGAATAAAAACCCTCAAATGGCCAACACTAACCTGAATGAAGCCACTGAACTTCTTGCAAACTTCAACCAAGGGCCGACTTCTGCCGACTTACACATTCAGAGGTGCAGATACGGGAGACATGCTCTTATGAATATGCTGTGAAGTCAATACACTGCTAATGAAGGTCCAGGTACCTACTGACATAATGATTAACTTAGGTCCTGGGTCATCCTTGCATGGTCGGCGGACTGTGTCTCAGACTCTACCGCGAGAGGACCCTCTACCAAGTAAATCAAATAATCACAGGACTTGTTCCACGTATCTCGAAGTAGTACAATGTAGGTAGGAAAGGACTACGAATAGCAAGCTTAATATGGAACTATGGACCTGCGAGAAAGAAATTTCGTAGCAGAATTACGCTCACCCTCTGCTGCCGAAGAATTGATGATGGAGTTCACAGCCTGTTCCACAAAATCAGGTGTGAAAATAGTAGGACACTTCGCAATAGATGGTATCATCCGGTCCTGATATACCTTCTTCTTCGACGAGCCCGAGAATACCCATTTCTGTCCTGTCTGCTTTGCACAGATGGATTTGTAGCGATAGCAAGTATCACACAGCCGTTTACTGGACCCGATAGTGTCTTCCAACACTTGAATATTCTCTTTGCGTCGAGATAATGCATCATTTGAATCTGTGAATGTGGTCGCACAGTTCCAGCTTCTCCTTTAACCCAAGATGGATCAATCTTGAATACTGGTCTAGGTATAGAAAACGTCTCTAGCCACTCGTTGATCTCTTCGTCAGTGTATGTAATGGACTGCCAATGGAGAATCCCTTTGACCGCGTCTCGTAAGGACATAGGATAGTTGACAACTTTCGGCAGCATACCGAGTTTGTATTCCACCCATACGTACTCCAGGGTGCTTTGACTGCCACAGACAGAACGAAAATGGGCTAGCCCGACTTTCGCAAAACGGACGGCACCATGGTGGTACGAATACACTCGCCACAGACGGCGGTAGAGGAGCTGGATGAGAATGGACGTTCTGGCATAAGCCCAACGTCCGTTGATGGCATCATAGAGAAAATCCGAGTTAATAAGGGCAGAACACAGAGTCGTCATTCGGGAGAAGTACCGGAACCTGAGATCATGGCTTTCCGAAGCCAGAGTAGCGTGCTCCGGATCGGAAATGAAATCAAAGGTAACTCTCAGCATGGCGTTGTTGTCCCCATCTGATAGCACCTTAGCCAAATTGCTGATGCGTTTGGAAGATTCGTTGCCCTGGTTCGTCTCTGAGCGCCACTTGGCCCAGCTTGTCAGCAGCAAGTGTAGCTCACGCTCGTTCACAACGGCCGTGAATCGTAACAACCCTGCTTTTCGCAGGAAACACATCCAGATCGCATCTACAATAGCATGCTCGATGCGATCGATGTCGTGTTCGAAGGTGAAAGATTCATTTTTTGCAGCCAGTTCATCTTGATGATGGAATATGTCACTTACTATGGAGAAAAAGTGCTTTGTGTTCTCCAGATCAGCTTGATCAGGGATACCCTTGTCGGTGGCGATGTGGAGAGTAACGGTCTGGCCATGGACGGATACTGCAACGGAAATGGCATCGTCATCCTCGCCACGAACGAAACAAGTGGAAAGCCAGTTCAAAAATATCAAAACGTGTCTGATTTTCATCGATGTTCAGGATGAGGCCAGAAGAAAGGATTGAGCCGCGGCTGCTAACACTTCGCGGGGTCAGGTTAAGGGTTGAGAGCAGCACTTGTTGTTGTGTCTAAAGCGCAGATGAGAAAGCATACAGTGCACAGACAGAGTATTATCTATACCTGTGACATTTGGACTAGTTGATTTCAGTCGAAGATTCAACGTGATAAGAGGGTTGCTTACATTGGTGATGGTGGTGATGGTATAACCTGGGTAATTTTCACCGGGTCAAATTTGTGCCGTAAAACTGGTGCTCTGATGCCAGCTTTGCGCACACTGCAGTTCACAAAGTTAAAAAGTTATAAGTACGTGGAGGGTCTTTTTTTCTCGAGCCTTGCGTAGGGCTTGAACATAGAAGGTAGAATCCTGGAAAGGCGGCTATAATCAGCCAATTATATGTAAGTGCTTAGATCTAGGTCTGCGATTCCTCCACGAACCTCCTGTGTATCGGAAAAGTCACCAATAGGTTGGGCTCATCATATGCGTCGTGAACAAAGCAGCTTTCCTAGTTCAACGGTGGGAGCATGAAGGTGTATAGTCATTATCGACTCCCGTGCGTATTAGCAATTGCGGTTTCAGTTCCCTGCTATGTATAAGAATTGATACAGAAATATTTAAACGTGAAGGCCTTACGACAGCAACTGGAGTCATTGTTGCTTCTGCCAGACAAGCGAATGAAAAATATGAGAAGAAGAGGAGACGATCGGGACGCAAAACGCCGCGCACCCATATATGGGCATCACCACTGAGGGGACCGCGTGAAACCAGCGATCCCCCTGAATCTGACCGAGTGCCGTGGCGAGTAGCACAAGCGTAGAAATTTGTTCTTGGTGTTATTTAAGTCCTTTGCAACTACATCACATTAGATCAAAAGAATACCCTGTTGTGATCGCTCTCTGAAAAGTCCTTTCTCTTCCCGACCAACGACATTCTTCCCTTCCGCCACACCTACAATCTTTTCTACCAAAGCAATATCTGCATGCCGTGCTTCCTCAGAGCGCGAACTCGAGAAAGCGTTTCCACCCTGAGCTCGCCTCCCTGTCGAACGCCTATAACAGCGGATCTCAAAATTAAAGCTCTTCCTTCGAGCAGATCCATGATGGCACCCTCATCGACGTCGCCCGACCAGACAAGTTGCAGATGTTCCAACTCCTGCAGAATCTCTGCACTCCCAAGGACTCGGATGAACTCTGGAGTGATGAGCTCCATGTCGATTCGCTCGACAATGGACAATCGTCTGAGTTGAGGGACCGTGTAAAGGAGGGAGAGTGTTTCAGTACAGTCGAGGGTGACTGTGGTAAGGATAAGCTCTGTGAGGGGTGACTTTGCGAGGCTGGGAATGTTTTGGAGGCTGAGGGTGTATCTGAGTGTATCCGAAGGCTCAGAGCATATGAGCTCCAGAGAAGTGAGGCGCCGCATATTTACTCTCCTTGGGGGATTGGCATATAATCCGAACATTGAAGATGGTGGATTCATGTCTGAATCATGAAGAATGAGTTTGCGGAAGGGCATATCGACGGTATCGTAGAATATTATTTGGCACTTTCTCAGAGTAGCAGTCACGGCGTTGGGGAATTCGTCTGTCAGTGATGGGTACTCGTTGTAATTTGCAAGGTCAATGTTGACAATTTGATCGCGTGGTAAAGAGAAAGGAGTCTTGGCCAAACGTTGTAGGGAGAGACGAAGAGTATGTAACTTTGGAGTGCGCTCGAACAGCTTGATTAAGCGTTCATCCTGGGGGTAAGAAAGGGACGACGAATAATATCCGGAGAGTTCCAGGCATTCCAGTTCAGGAAGTTCCAGGGGTTGATGCGTCTGGAGTGCATTTGAGAAGGTGCCGTGTTTAAAATAAATAACGATGTGTTTCAAGCGGCGTGGGTCTATGGTGACATTGTAGGGGTAGAACAAGGCATCAAAGGTATTATAGTCCGATCTCCGTTGATTATCGCGACTTGGGACATCTGCAACAGCAACTTGCAGGTTGGAAGGAGGCTTCCCAGAGCGCTTTGCGCACAGGGATGATATAGGTTCGAAGTGCGAAGTGATAGTATTGTGACCGGGGTTTGCAAATACGGATGTCCAAAGTTGAGGGGACGATAGGCAGATGGTACGCCAGTAGAAGCAAACAGACGAGAGGTAGAATGGTGTTGCGAATATGAGCGACACCTCGTCACGTCCGGGAAAGGGGCTGTATGAAACAGAGATACAGACGTATTCGAATATATCTTGGAGTACGTCGCGAGGAATCCTACGAACGGGAGCAAGAAGCCCTTCTGATGTTTGGATGCAATCAACGAGAGATTGTCGAACACCTTCAAGCTTCCCTAAAGCAAACTTTATCCGGAAATTTTCGGCGTCGTAGTCGAAAACTTGTTCTTGCCAACGGACGATGGTGTTTGAACAGAGATCTGCCTCTGCTTCGCTGATCTGCCCTCCGCAGCGCAGATACCTGTTGACATCAATAGGAGAGCAGGGAACTTGAGCATCCATGGAGTGGCCACAGTTATTGCAGAGCATTATGCTGGGCGCCATGGTGACAGCCTGGATACAGAAAATGTCAGTGGTCAGAGGTCGAATTAATCCAAGGGGATACTTACGGTACTAGTCGTTATGAGGAGCAGATATTTGAAACAGTTTGAGACTATTTAAGCAGCATAGTTTGAGATTTGGCGGATGATCAAGCCAAGATTGACGTAATTATAGGCTACGCCCATTATATAATCTGCACCACGCAGGGACGAAGCCCGATAGGGTCCTGCTCTTCATTTCCTCTCCAGGGACGACTTGAAGCATTAGGAAGTTCCCCCGTTACTTGATGACAAAGAACCGTAGGGCCGGCAGCCGTGAAAAACTTTCGGAGCAGACGAAGCCTAGTTATCGTGTTGGTCACAGGGTCCAATGACATATAAATGCTGGTCTTAAATGATATCGGAGCATTCAGAGGGGGATACAGCGCTCAAAGCACGAACGAGCCTAGGTAATGAACCAGAACCAGCACGGATCGAGAATCCTACGACAGTTATTTCAGAGATTGCTCGTCTGAATATTGACAAGCATGACACCACCAAAGGATGGGCATCTGTGCGCATCGCATACCACCACTTCTCACTCTGGCAGTCTTGCTCCATTATCAGCATCCACAGTAAACCACTCGACCGTCAAAACTATAACCAAAAGCTTGTCATGCAGCTGTATCCGTTGCATCCGATCCCGACCTCCGAGATTCGATTGTCGTGTCGGTTGGGATATCAAAAGATGATGGCCTCTTCATTGAATGGTCCGGAAGGTGGTTGAAGGGAATGAGTCTCACTGAACTGGCACGAGAGGAGATTGAAGTGATCGTGGGTCTGCAGATAAGGTGAAGAGAGCACTGTTTCAGAAAGTGGCTAACGGTGCCAACGAGACTATCGACAACCAGCGTAGCGCATATATAGGACCTGCCTTCTTCCTGCACCATGGGTACCAGAGAATTCGAACAGCTGTTGCGCAAAGAAACGGGGCAGCATTCCTCAACGTTCCTGGATGATGTTCTCTCAACACTTCATGGACCTGTCGAATCGGTTCTCGCCAATGCACTATTCCAGCGTGTTTCATGGTGTCATTAGCCTGGTCGACAACCCAACATAGGTAGCTAGGTCTGGCATGGCGAACAGCGAAAAGACGGTCACGCGTAAAGGTCGGAGATCCTTGGTAATGACAAAGCGGCAACTCGTTTCGCGTGTGTTATTGATGAAACGGGGGAGTGTCCTGATTGAAAGTAGCTACTAGCCAGTAGTATTGGTGGAAACGTAGTACAAGCTGGTACAGGTTTGGGCGAATGGCAATATCGAGAAAAATGGGAAAACTGAGGGCCAGGAGGAAGGCTTAAGGAGCGAGGGAGTTAAATATTATCATTTGCAGCATTCGGTTCAGGAGCACTAGAAGAGGCGTCAGAATTGGCCAAGAGGTGCAGAGCATATAGCGCACCTAAACGAAAACAAAATCCATGGCATATATTTCCAGGGTTCACCACCGCGACCTTGATTTATCCACGGTCGGGTTGTCCTCGTTACTGTCTCCAATGAGGATTTCGGGACTCTTGTGGTGCCGTCTAAACTATATACGCCAGGCACAGGCCAGTCGCTACTAGAACTTGGTGAAACGGAGGCTGATATGAATGCTGGAGTCACGTACGAAGGAGAAAGGAATTCAGTTGTATCTCATGGCACTTGGCATAGAAATCCGGTAAATCATAGCGAGTGTCCCAGTCATTGCCGAGCCCTGCATACCCCAGCACAAAATACTACAGAACTTAGAGTCAGAAGCGTCCTTCCGTCCATCATAAAACACGCACCATGCATCCCAAAAGATTCAACCTACCCCATTATCATAGTACAAGAAGCAATGCGAATCCTTCAACGCAGCAAGAACGAAACGAGAAGCTAGCAAGTCCGAGTTGGCGGTGGGCTGGTCGACGTTACGGTCCCAATCTCCCAGAGAGCAGGATTCCCTGCGACACATGCAAAATACCAGTCATGACCAGGGCGTCGAGTGGTAAGGATACCGTCGTGGCAATGGTGGAAATGCCCAGCACAGCCACATCGTATGTCCTGGCGGTTGGACCGTGTCCGATATCAAGTCCTAGAAAGGCAGGTGGTCTGTGATTGGACCAACCCTTACGCGTCTCTTACAGCACCCATGACGTCTGCTGTTCTTCCTTGCATCTCATAACGCAACGCCTGATACAGCTTGCGCTGCTCTTTGACAAGCCAGCACAATAATAACACTCTGGTAGAGAAGAGCTCGGGAATGTGTATACACGTACGAGTTAACATCATGATAATGAACATGAATTGACCGGGTGATAGTGCCATCTCGTACTACACCGTTGTGAACGAGCAAAATCTGAGTTAGTCAATATTGAGGTCATCTAAGCGTGTACAAGTGTACGTTTCTTGCAGTTCATCATATTCGATGCTGAATTTACATAGAGGTTAGGTGCGTCGAGAGCAGGGTCAAAGACGCGTCGGCCCGATCACCCGGTTTCAGGCTCTTTGTTTCCTACCACCATATGGACGCGACTCTCCTCTTTTTCTGGGAGCATTAACTTCCGCCTTCCCTCTTCTTTCCATAATGAACTAATAATTTTATATCTTACCCGTGTCTATTGTCAAGATATCTCGGTCTCGAGAACATGGCAAAACCATCGTTTCGACTTTGGGTATCAAGTGCATTCTTTCGTAGGATGTACGTATCGTGAAAGCTAACGGTCTTCTCTCTGCCGAGGATCCTTTGAAATTTTCGCGAACAAGATGGCTTTTCTATGAACTCAACGCTGCCTACCGCCATTTTACAGGTCTCAAAGTTCGCTCAACTAGAGGACAATACGGTCCGGCAACAATTTTGCAGGAGTACTTGAAACAGGAAAGTGAAACGCAGTCGGGGTTTTTCCTGACGTCGACGGTCACTGCAGACAGTGGTCTATGGGGCGAGTCACAGTTGACACCGCAATAGAGGCTCTGATGATTTTTTAACGGTTTTTTTTTTTTTTTTGCGATTTTTGACGTTTTTTGCGACGTTAGTTGAAAAGTCCGGACAAATCTGGGAATGGGGTGAGGTTACCCTAGGAATCCGGACAAATTTTTGGACAAGGCGCTGACGCAAAGTCCGGACAATTTTTTCAAGAGGGCCAAAATTCGTACTGAACCTCTTAGGAGATAAACATGGGTCCTGTGATGAACTTCTGTTGGTTTTAAGTACCAGGAAAGATCTTTTATTGGAACCAGGACGTCACTACGAACAGTGAGACTCCGCGACTCTTTGTGAATATGGTCCTGAGTACATAATTCACAGTTGACTGTACTTTTCAAAGTTCCAGGAAACGCCTACAAAGACATGTCCTCTGCCACTTCAATAGGAGGACTTATGGTGGACCATCGATGTAATATAATCTTTGGCTTTCATCTGTCCGACAGAACGGAAGGCCAGCCCAAGCACAGCTATTATGGACGTAAGGGCTACAGTCATCAGTGAATTCGACTTTACAGTACACGGTACAGTAACAGTTATTGAAAGTGCGCTAATTGTGCTAGTCGTTCACGCTGAGTCCTGACTCACATCTTTTCTCTTCTCCGCGTGTATAGGCTCTCCGGTTTATGATAAGCGCTTCTGTCACCAAGCCTGCCTCGGATCAGGATTCCACTAGAACAATCCTCGAACTTCTAATAATAAACAATACAACCAGATACATCAAGTAAAGTTCAATTATGGGCGCTCCCACTGGCATATAAGACCCGGTATATTAACCGACTAGGAACTCGGGAACCTCGGTTTATCGTTCCCCACCGATAACACTGTAAAATGTTCAATTCTCCACTGGGTATTTGAAATGCCTGCTAGATATTCAATAACTAAAGACTTATTCATTTCTAGTTTGTTGTTCGACGCATTTTCTTGTTGCGCGCTAGAAGCACCCGCAGTATCAGCACCTTTGATGACTGCTACCGTACTGAATGTCACGGCATCTCAACGGGTATTTTACCGCTTACTACACCAAATTCTCATCACAGCCCGGGTGAGAGCGCAATATGATACCCATCATACAGGAAGCATGGAATACATGGGCGCGGTGATCAAGAGGTAGTTTTCGTTAAGCACGTCTACGTATCGTGCTTCTTTGCTCACATAACTCCCGTACCACAGGGAGGAAAATGATGTCATATCGCAGCATCCTGGGCCACACGTACCTATAAAGTCTTACTTCGACCAGTGACCTTCTCCTCTATTCTTTAACTCATTCTCCTATGCCAAGTATTATGTCCTCCGGGCAGACGACCAGCCATCGAACAGCGTCGAGAGTTCTTTGTTGCTTGATCACCTGTCTCTCATTCGTCATCGTCGTTCCGACCTTATGCGTTACTCTAGCTCTGAGGTTACATCCCGGTGGCGAGCTGTCGTATGTCAGAAACTCTGAGTTGATGGGCATAAATAGAACTGTAAGACGGGTCCTCGCCTCATACATAAGTCAGAAACACCGCTAATACTATTGGAAGATTTCTCTCGGTGCTAACTTGATATCAGCCGATGTCCAGGAGACTACCATGGTCATAGAGTGGTTCGTGAACGGTGATACCTGTGATGATAATTGCACGGAAGTTAATATTTTCTTTGACACGTGAGTATCTTCGTCTATGGCTCTCGAAAAATACATCAGGTTAATAATACCTTTTGAGGAACCTATCTTCATCAGACCACAGCGATGATGACAGTCCCTACAATAGCAACATACCAACAGACCCTATCTTTATATGGAACGAAACTTTGGTAATCAATTCGGCCCCCCGGAACAACGTTCCCACATTCCGCACCAACCTCATCGTCTGTCCCAAGTACGACGAAGACTACTTTGGCTCCAGTCGCGGAAGTATGGTTTATTACCCTTTCGACCGGTATGTTCTCTGGGCTATGCTCCCAGCGTGATTGCATTTAATTCACCTCGGACATATCAGTTACATGTCAAATATATTTGCCTTTGCTCAAGATGCAGTAACAAACGAGTCGGTATCTCTGTCTCTTAGTTCTGCATCTGGACTTGTCGCGTAAGTCTCCTTATCGCCTTTGACTTCATTACCTGACATAACTTTTTTGAGTGGCCTCAAAATTACAACTGACGTTAAGGAGGAGGATCATGCTTACTGGGAGGACATAGAGGCTACGGACCTCGGGAACGAATCTGTCAATGTATATGTGACCCTCCAACGCAGCAACCTTGTTATCGCATACTGTCTCGTCATCACCTTCACGTTTTGTTCGTCTTCTCTTCCTACACTCTCATAGACGTATTGACCTCAGGCATCTTCGTTATACAAATAGGGCTGGTCACTCTCATGATCTGTCTCATCATGATTACGACCGTAGTCTTCGGCTTTCGACAACGGAACGAGATCGTTGTAATCCCCATTGGGACTGTGTTTGCATTTACCCAGCTACGGTCTTCCATGCCCGGCGCTCCTGAAGGTTTTGGTGCGCGGTTTTCTTCCTATATAAGGTGCCAACTCAAGCACCAACTCCTCTATCCAGGTGATATCCTCGGTACGCCGTACTTCGTATTAAACAATTGGAATCAGCCCATTTCACCTCTTTCCGATACAGATTTTGCTGGGTTACTACCATGCCTCGTCCTTCTATCAATATGTGTACGTACGTCGCATTAGTCTGATACCAATGTTTATTTTTGCTTGTTCGATAGGCCGCAACAATGGTTGGCATTTACTTATTCGCCGACCCGCATGATTCTTCTCGTCGAACCTTCACATGGGGGGAAATAGGTGCACTTTTATCAATGCTCCTACGAAATAACATTTAATGAGTACAAAGTGAGCACGCTAAGTTATTATACTCCGCACAGCCAGAACATGAATTGATGATGTACTTGATTTCCCATGCTGATGGCAACACGGAGTCATAGAAGATGTCGAGGTGGATCTTGCACCTAAATAAGACCACAAAGTCTTGAGAATAATTAGAAATACAAATGTAAAGAGTAGTTCTGTATGGAAAAGATTGGGAACCAGTCGTTGAGATACTTGAAGTGTTAGAATATCAAGTTGTTGGGATTTGGCAATCCGGCATCATGCCGAAGTTGCTTATTAAGGTAGAAGTCTTAGGAAAAGCGTGGAAGATTCTAGTAAAATAGTATTTAGTATAAAAGTAGGTACTATGTAGTAGATCCTCATGCGTTTGCAGAGCTCAGCCAAGCGCAATACTATTGGCTTGCTACCGCACATGTGACACTGGGAACGAACCAATACCCCGTTTTCCAACACAAGTGTCATGCATCATGGTGCATTCGACATCGGAGTCTTCAGTAGGAAGCGCTATTCATCTGTTCTCCTCCTTGGCTTTCCTTATTACATAACATTGCTTCTATTAGTGTACATGGTATGTAAATAAATAGGTAGACGAACAACGATGACCCTCGCCTGTTTGCGAGGGTTCCCTGCTATATCCGGGTGAGCGGCTGGAGAATTACCACTTATCTCAACATGAAGGACATGGAAAAGTCATTAGACTCATGAGGACACAGTTAAGATGAGAGGGTGACAATGGGGGCCTGGGAGGGCTAGGGCGACTAGGACTGTAAACGCGAGCCTCGCTGCAAGTAGTGATCATATTAGGGAAGAAACAATGGCTCATAGCATGCTTTTTGCTCCAGAGAAAGTTGTAGTTGAAGAGGAGTCACTGTTAGGTGTAATTTATGGTTAGATATTGGTTCTGAGGGGTCAATGGTGATGACAAGGATGAATACCATCCATGTCGCACTTCTGGTGATTATATTGAAGAAACAAAAGCTCTGGGTGCTGGAACAATCAGAAGTATCAAGTGAGACCGTCATAGGGAGACTACCCGGTAAGTAACTTCTTGTTTTACATTCGGACCATGGCTATGATGTCGGTTCTGGCTGGAGCCACGTGTGTCGACCTGCCTGGACCCTCGGTTACTCAGGCTGAGTCATCCGGTCACCAGGTGGTCAGCCGAGCTTTAGACTTTCTGTGACTAAGTCCCGCTGTTTTCTACTGCATTGCTTTCTGGTTAACTTGCTGACATCTTACTTGCTAGTACAGTTACAACTACACTTGGAAAGTAACAGAATTGGATTTTATACACATTTACAAGGGTATGTGCCTGGTGGGTGTATCAAGGAGATATTGGAAGTGTTATCTCTGCCAAGGTACTGTCAACAACCAACTATTATCGACTTAGATCAACTGAGGATCACCACTCACACTTCAGTGGATGATACTCTCAGAGGTCAAAGGAGATAAAAGAGAATCGATTGAGGACTTAGATAGTCATGAAACAGGGAGCTTAGAGTTGGGTAGAGTAAACCTTAGCCGAAGCTGGGGTTTAGACCAGCTGAGGCTCTACTTAAATACATTGTTGGTATGCTAATAATAGTACTGTGGGAAACTGTCCATTGTGATCACATATACATAATCGTGCTGAGTAAAAACATAATCATGCTGAGTAAGATGAAGAAAAATGAATAAACCATAACATTACCCCCTCCTTAAGACTCGTTCGTCCTGAATGAGTCCTCAGACTCCCATTCATCATCGTTGTTTGAAGAGGAATGTTTGGATTCCAAATAGAAAGATGGGATATCGTCATCTTCATCCTTGTCATCTCCATTCCAGTTTTCGTGGATATGCTGGAGGTTTTGAAGAGTTACCTCCTCTTCTGAGTCATCTTCTGACACTTCACCGGCTTCATCTACTGTTGTGGGTAGGAAGTGAAGTTTACTGATCGTGTTTTCCTCTTGGGGTTGTGGAAGCTGTGACCGTGAATCTCCTCCCTTTGCCTTGGTTAATGTATTGAGCCATTTGTCTAATGCATAGGTCCACTCCTGGTTCTTCAGGAACATTGACGGCTTCGATTTCTTCCGAAGGGGTTGGTGTTGAACTTTTGGAAGAGGGATAAGAGTCTTGTTGGGTGTTATCGATATACGGTAATCCCCTTTCAGTTCGTTCGATTTTTCCTCTTATCTGCTGAATCTTTGCCTCGTAGTCATTGACTAATTCCTCTGCATTGGCCATATTTGAGCATTTCACCCAAGAGTTTTCTTCTGCTGGGTACCCCTTCCACTTTACCAGGTATTCGGTTATGGTGCAACGGGTATGTCTGCGACTGACAACTTTGTCTCGCTGCTCCACAATTTCTTCAATCTCGTACTCCTCCTCATCATCAATTAATTCCGGGGGTGGCCTTTCGGGGCGTGGCTGGTTTGGGAATTTGGGAGCATGGTATGGGGTTAAGAGAGATTCGTTGAATTGATTGTGAATCTTCCATCCCGTGGGAAGTTTAAGTTCATAGGCAGAGGCCCCCTTTTTGGTGAGAATGGTGAAGGGTCCTACACGTCGGTCTCCAAGCTTCTTGGTGGGTTGAGGTAGGTTTAGGTTGGTAGAATCTAACCATACCTTGTTGCCGACCTGGTATTCCATGGCTTGGTCCTTATGCTTATCGTAGGCCTTTTTCATGGATTCAGCTGCTTGCTCTAGGGATCCCCTTGCTTTCTCCTGTACCTCTTTAATATCCTGAACCAATTTTGACACTGCTGGAACGACGTCTGGTCGTTGGGCAAATTTGATGATCTGCCCTGTCCCTTCTGAAGACTACCTTATAGGGAGAAAAGCCTGTGGCCGAATGCGTTCGATTATTGTGAGTGAAGGCAGCCAGCGGTAACCAATCACTCCAATCATCCTGTCAGTAATTTACGAACATTTTGAGGTACTTTTCGATCTCCTGGTTGACCCATTCGGTCTGCCTGTCTGTCTGAGGGTGATACGCCGTGGAAGGATTTCCCATGATGTGGACGAGAGCGTAGAACTCCTTCATGAATTTGGAAACAAAGATTGCCCCTCTGTCTGATATGACCTTCTCTGGCATTACTCCGTATGGTACATAAATGTGATCTCATAGAATTTTAGCGAATCCAAGAGAAGTGAGTTCCTCAGTACATGCAATCGGGATTATTGTCTTGGAGAACCTGTCGACTACGACAAGAATGGAGTCGTACCCTTTGGAATTGGGGAGCTTGGTGATCATGTCCACTGAGATATGAGTCCACGGTCATGTCGGTACTTCGTTCGGGTGCAAGGGGGCCTTCTTTGGCCGACGATCCGCTTTGGTTCTCTGGCAAGTTTCACATCCTTTAACATAGGCTTCTACATCCTGACACATTCGTGGCCACCAGTAATCCCATAGTATGAGTTCTTTGGTCTTTTCCATGCCAGGATGTCTGGCAGTGACATGATCATGTCTAAGGGCAATGATCTCGCTGTGCAGCCTTTGGTCTATAGGGATATAAATGCGTCCGTCATACCACAGTAGGTCCTGTTCCCGAGAGACTCCCTTCTCATGGTTGAGGGAGTCTGAGATACCTTGGTCCCACTTGTGAATATCGTGAGTGGCCATTTTGATTTTCTCGTGTAACTCCTCCAGCATAGGCATTACCAATGCTTGAAAGTGCTCTGCCTTCAGAACCGTTACGTTCCGGTTGTCCTCCTTTCCCTGATCATGATTGGCCCTCCTGGATAATAAATCCGCCTTACGATTCTGAGCCCTGGGCTTGTGGTGAAGCATGAATTGGTATTCGGCCAACTCAGTTACCCATCAAGCCTGTCTGCGATTTAACTTTTGCGGTTTGCGGAAGTACTGGAGATTGGAGTGATCAGTCCAGATCTCGAAGTCTTCCCGAGCCCCCATGAGGTATTGGCACCACTCCTCTAACGCTATCATGATGGCAAGTAGTTCCTTGTCATAGATTTCATAATTGCGTTCAGTAGTGGATAAGGCTTTAGAAAGAAAGGCAATTGGTCGCCACTTCCCCTCCTGCCACTGAGATAATACGGCCCCGACCACCCCTTCACTAGAATCAGCTTCTACTCGAAACTTTCCATCGTCCAAGGGTATGGATAGTACCACGTCTTCACGAAATAGATCTTTCAACTTTTCGAATGCCTTCTGTTGGGTTTCCCCCCACTTCCATTCCACCTTTCCAGTGAGCGAGGTCAGAGGTTTAACGTGTTTGCTGTAGTCACGTATAAATCTTCTGTAGAAATTGCAGAATCCTAGGAATGACTGTAGTTCCTGCTTTTTCCTGGGAATCGGCCAGTCCAGTAGTCTGGCGATCTTTACTGGGTCCATCCGGATTTTTCCTTCGCTGATGATTACTCCCAAATACTCTGTCTCTTCGACCTCGAATTCGCATTTCTCGGCTTTGAGAAATAGGTTATTCTCCTGGAGTCTCTCCAGTACCTTCCGTACAATATGTTTGTGCTCTGCCTTGGTTTTGGAGGCAATTAGGATATCGTCCAGGTACACGGATACTTCTCTGGCGGTGATGAGATCTTTAAAGATATCGTTCATCATCCACTGGAAAGTGGCGGGAGAGTTTGTGAGCCCAAAGAACATTACCAATGGTTCATACAGTCTGCGATTGGTATGGAATGCTGCTTTCCATTCGTCGCCCTGTTTGATTCAAACATTATTGTACCCCCACCTCACATCAAGCTTGGTGAAATACTTCGCCTTTTTCAGCCTGTCCATCAATTCCCTGATAAGTGGCAGGGGGTATCAATTTTTAATGGTCATTTCGTTTAGCTTTCGATAATCCTGTACCAGGCAAAGCTTCCTGTCCTTTTTTTGATGAAGAAGAAAGGCGACACCATTGGGGATTTCGAGGCTTGAATCCGACCAGTGGACAAATTTTCATCGAGGAATTTGTCTAGCTCTTCTTGCTCTGTTGGATTGAGCGGGTAGACCTTGCAGTCCAGGTTAGTGTTGGCGTTGGGAATCAATTCAATGGCATGATCCCAAGGCTTGCAGGGAGGAAGCTCATCGAAGCTTTCTTTATCGAAGACATCTTTAAAGTCTTGATACTCCTCTGGGACGATTTCTTCAAAGGATTTGGTAGCCTTTTTCGCATGGGCCTGGGTGGCTAATTCATTAGCTTTAGTCCCCATCACCCTTACGTGGAAGGCCTGCTCAAAATCTATTACCAGGATGGTATCCCCTTCTTCATACTTATCCCAGCATGCAGAAGGATCAGTGTTGGGGAGGTGGAATGGAATTTTTTGACACGTGCAATGAGCTAAGGTCACCGCCCCTGTATCCCAGTTG